TAGTTGATTTCGACGACTTACCTTTTCGACGACATAGGATTCGACAAGTAACCCGTATCCCATTTGGTCCTCAAGGGGCAGTCGTCATGGTGCATCATATGATGAATTTAGACGCAAAGGGGATTTTATAATAATACGAATATGACGTATTTGGTCAAGTAACGCCCGGAAAAATACGTCATATGACGAATTTGGTCTAAATGATGTTAATTTTATTTCATATTTAAATTCAAGTAAAATATTTCAGTCAAGAATTGAATTGATGTAATATGTAATTACTAGAGTAGAGGTCCGTTCAAGAACGGGTTCTAGGCCCCCGTGGGGGGTGTGTCCCAAACGAAAACTCTACAAACTACACTTTAAATCGGAGAGTTTGCCCAAGTCATACTGCATTTCAACTTCCCTGGTCACGGTACAATTTGATTTCCCCTCTGGGAGTGGCTTAATAGCTAACTGCTTAAATTTCCGTTGCGTGGAACTGGCTGCATAGTTAAACACTACATTTCCAAAAGAGGGGTGGCTAACTAACGAAAATCTTAAATTTCCAAAGGAGGGGTGGCTGCATAGCAAAAAAGTTAAATTTCTAGATAATATGTGTTGAATTTTTACATGATAAAATGGGGTGACATTTATTTCATTCACCACTGGTGAATCACCAGCGGTGATTGGTGATTCCCCCCACCACTCCACCTATCATCACATCATCATGATCTCCTAGGGGGAGCACGCTGCGCGAGTTGAGCTCTCGTAGTGGGGGGAGTTGCATTGGAGGACGAACCCAGGGGAGGGACACTTTATTAGAGTTGATGTATTATAATTATGGATATGTAAATTTTTTAATCTACTTTTATCTTCGTTTTAAACCAAAAACCTACAGTGTGCAGTGGTTCCTTAGCCCAAGTCAGGGCTAAGGAACTGAAAATTTCCAAAATTTCCTGTTTTTCTACTAATTTGGAAAACTAGTATGTGTCATCTTGCTGGGTTCCTCTCATAAATTTGTCTTTAAATTTGAAGGAAAGGATATTTCCTTCTTTCCGTATCTATGCCGAATTTTGAGACAACGGATAAATCCGTTGCTCCGTCGCAACGCCTTAGAAATTAGGATGGAAATATCCTCTGTTCCGTCACAACGCAAAGTTTATGACGACGGATATTTCCATTGTTCCGCAGCAACGTTCGAAATTTGGGGACGGATATATCCATCGTTACGAAGGAAAGGGTTAATATGAAATAAAATTAATTATTAGTGTGCACATACAGTAAGTGGTACGTGTATGCCGGGGTCAATATTGTGTGGGGTCAATATGACCGGATCAATCTGACGAAGTCAATTGGCGTGGAATCCAAAAATTTTGGCATAGTCCAGCATGCAAAATTTTACTTAGGTTCTTTGACCAATTTCAACAGTAGGGGTCACCCTAATGGGTTTCTCTCATAAAAATACCATTTTTAGGGTTAAATTTATGTACCAAATAGCAGAGATGTTGTTTCCGGCGCGTTGGGGGAGATGGCAAATTTATTTTTGACAATCACGACTAATTGACAAAAAAAATCTCAAAAAAGACTCAAAGGAGAGACGAAAAATGCTCATTAAGAAATCAGGAAGGTTACCTTTTCCTAAACTCAAGGCAAATTAAGACATTTTTACTGGATGATTTAAGATAATCTCAGGGTCATTCATAGCCACCTTTCCGGATAATTTCAACTTTTCTACAATTTCCGTGTTTGACAATCTTCCTCCCGAAAAATGCTTTATAAGATGGTCGACTTTAGATGGCAATTTCTTGGGCATTTTTCACCAATTTTTGTCAATACAACGTTGTACGCACACCAATGTTTTGAGAATAGTATTACGGAAATACAAAAAAAACTATCCGCCGATGAGTTTCAGAAATTTTTCTAACTTGATGCTGTATGAGGTCCAATTCCGAAAATTTTGATTATTAAAGAAATTAGCTTTTTCCATAACTAAATACATAGGTCGCCATATTTTCCTATTTCGGACGGTTAAAACCGCTTTTCCCGGTTTTTCCCACTTGTTTCCACCGGCCGAGGGAAAATATAGTTTTGGAAGGGAAAACCCAACCCCTGACGTAATCATATAGAGACTCCTTCGTGACATTGACTTCGTAATTACTTTCTGGAGAATAACAAACGGTTGATAGGTAATTTTCCATATTATTTATCCTACCATTTTTCTACGTAGCAATGCTTAGTATTACCTGACGATACCGGTTAGATAGTCTTGGCAGTAATTTTATCAGGTTCTAGGGTGAAGTCCTATTTTGCACAATTGACAATAAATATTTGTAGCCATGCATAGAGATTCACGGACACTTCATCGCTCACCTTTCATCCCCGCACATTTCTTCCACCACAGTCATCCCTTTGACAGTTTGTATCCTACACATTTCGTCCCCCCACACTTAATGTTTTCATACTTTATACCAGCTATCAAGAGAGGCTCCGACACAATAATCGCATGCGAGTGCATTGAGGTGTCTGCAATAGGTCCAACTGGTGACCTGCGCAGCTGGATGTCTACCCCCATGGGTACGAATCCTCCGCACATAATACATACATACCCTATACAATTCACACCCACAGTTCTTTTATTTACGATACGACCTCACAGGTCACAAAACGTTCCAGAAGTCCTTGAGGGTGTGACCCGCCAAGATTTACGTGCATACGACCAGGGAGTCCAAGAAATACACCCATAAATTTTTGGCGAGCACACCCATTATGTGGGATTTAACCCCCATGGGGTGAAATCATTAGTATACTCGAAAACATGCGTGAGGGAGTGTAACGTTTCCTAGAAGATACACTGCCAAGTTATTTCAGGTTTCTAGTGGTCATGAGAGGGCACTATAAGGATCAGTAAAAATGTCGGTCGGGAAACTCTGTGGTCGGGAACCCCCTCATTTAGAAGTTATTACATCTTAGACTTTTTAAAAACGCTCCTTTGCGCTTTTATGAAAAAGTCACTTTTTTAAGGTAAATATAAATTATAACATCTCTCTCGGTTGACGAGGAGATAGTTATATATGTAAATACATTAGTTTGTTTTTAGTTCATGAATTATCAGGACTATTTGTGGGGTTTAATCAGTTCAAAAATGCTTATTCCTCAGAGTTTATAATGCCAAGTTGGGAAAAACAGCTATGCGGTACTCCTACTTATTAGAATCTGTGGATATGAAGTGTGTAGGTTTGAAATGTACTAGATACGAACTGTGAAAGGGATGAACCTACTTAGGGGTATGAAATGTGGGGGATGGAAGGTCCGGATAACTGCCCTAGATTGTCTCTCCCACACCTCTCTACACATTACCGACGCTTTTTACTAATAACCTAATTGTGCAGCATCGCAAAATCGCAAATTATTTGCCAAAAAGTCGTTCAAAAATGCTTACGAAACTCCCACCTGAAGTTAACCCACCGACGAAACATGTGTCAACCAAGATTTTGTCACAGACAAATTTTAACTTTGGTGTGTGCATATCTCATGTGTTTATAAGGCAAAAATGTATCAAACAAGACCGGAATTTAGTGGAAATATCGTAGTGCTGGCCTACCGGTGAAGTCTAGCAATTTTGAAGACCAAAAAGATATTAGTCTCATCTTTCGAAAATTTCATCACCAGTAAATAAAAAAACCCACGAACCAACCACAGACTTAAACAAGTGAAATGTATCTCACGAAACTATTGGTATAATAACGTCATTGAACATGAACTTGGACAAGTTGTTCAGAAAATTCATCTTACATATAAAAACCAAAAGACGACGGCCTTACGAAGTCCTATGAACATCATCGGGTAGATAAAAATTCCTAATTTGGGTTCTTAAACGTGGGACGCCTCCATTCAATATTGCAATGGTTTCAGAAAAATAAAGTTAAACAACAAAGAAAATTGGACACTGAATTTGGATCTCAGAAAGTGAAAAGTTTGGTAACAAGATTATATTGGTCAGTCTCCAACTTATCAAAGTGCCACCATTTTGAAACGTAAATAATTAAAAATTCAACCGTCTTAACTTTCGAGCGGTCGCTATAATGGTTTTTTTACGTTGTTTATTTGAAGTTTACATTCATGGACTTTCATACTTATTTATGAGGGTATTCATTATTTCCTCGTATCCTTAGTGTTCTTCGTATCGCAAAATAACTTACGACGCTTAGGGAACGTCCATATATTACGTCATCATTTTAGTGGGTGGGTGGTTTTGGTCTTCCTATCTTTCCCATGTTAAAATTCCCTATCCCTTAATGTTTACGTCGGGTGGGTGGGTGATAAAATCGAGAATTTTTGATGACGTAATATATGGATAAGCCCTTACGAGATTTTGTAACCGTCGTAAGATTTTGTCATCGAAAATCGCGTTGCTACGCTTACGATTCTTACGAAACCTGACCCCTTGTTTTATTTTCGTAAACTATTTTACGATACTAAGGATACGAAGAAATAACGAATACCCTAATTATATGTTTTAATTTTTGCACGGCCACACCCTTCAGCGTTGAAATATAGTCTAGTCTTCTTCGACTCTTTGTGAAACAAATTTTTGTAAAACCAAACGTAAAACTCGTTTCGTTGGTTCCCCGTGTCATTGAAAACATGAAATTATGGGGATCCATAGTGGAATATTCTAGAAAAAATTTGAGATTTTTAGATTCATTTTTTGATCCTTTTTCCGGACCAATTTCCAAGTGATCCACTATATGCATACCTATACATATATAAGATCTATCCTAACACAGATTGTCCCTCGCGTGGTACACAACAGGCTTCTTGACTTGGTCGGAGATTCCCACTTACTCTCCGAGCAACGAGTTCGATTCTCCGACCAAGTCAAGAAGCCTGGTACACAAATAATCATACATACATATACATACACACAGAATAAAATCAAATGTAAACTATTTTGAAGGAAGGATGCACCTGACTTTTGATTCAAATTGATTTCAGAAATATTTTGCCTCGTTCCTCGGTCTCGATCCAGTTGTCCCTGCACAAGAAGTCAATATCGAAGAAGAAACTGACCTTGAAAGGTCACACAACCCTGTTTCAATTTTTCATGAGCCAGTTTCACAGGTAATGGCTACCTTACCACCGAGTCGACAGCGGCGAAGTAAGCGAATTGTTCAGTCTCAAAACTTGTGTGGGTCCAAATTCCTGGAGGACCATCCTTTTCTGTCAATTACATCCGCACATGCATTTCTGAACAAATTTTGGAAAATTACAAAACCAAGTACGATCTCTCTATTGTCTCACGAAAAGTATTGCGGCTTTAAAAGTACGGAAGAACCCATTTGCAATCCGAAGATCGTGAACAAGAAAAACAAAACGACCAAAGGCGATACGTACACTCACAAGTATTCGTTCAGCGTAAATGATCGGGTTTCACACCATGTGGAATTGATAACAGGTAAATTTCGAAACAAGGCAGCTGAAAACTGTTGTTTGCACATGCAGCTTTAAACTTTTTTGGGTCACTAAATATATATAGTAGCATTTCTTAATTTCCATTAGCATTTTTTAATGGACGATTTACTGTTATTAAGTATTTCTACAACTAGCGTTCGGTCCGAAAGTAAGGAAACATTTGAAAAATGCCTGTAAAATCCGGAAAACCGATTCCAATGACACTTTTAAGGGTTAAGAACATGGTCCTTATCGTTCAATTTTTTGCTTCATATGATCCATAGACCCTCATCCTTCATATCTGGCGAATTATTTGCCTCGCGATCCCCAGAAGTGCTTTGCCACTGTTTCTTGCTACCACTTTTGAGGTGTGTGTCCAAATGTGACGGAATCTTACCAAGTTTGTGGGTGGTTTTGTTCGACCACTATATTCTCTCTTGCATACTGCCCAAAATCGTTCAAGTGGTCTTGCCCGAGGGACGTAGGGAGCATATTCCTTTTTTGCAACAAAATCGATTTTTTTTCGACCGCAGGTAGTCCAGAACAACTTTTGAATAATGGCATGTTGGTGTGTCCGGTCAGAAAAGTACATTACGATTATTGATAAAGGGGATCATGATCTTCTTTGCACAATCGTTCAGATATCTCTCCGAGGTCATGGTGGCTGTGGTCGAGACATCCCAATGAGTCCAATGCTTTCCCGATAATGTGCTTTGTGGGGAATTTTGACTTCGGCGTGTATTTAAAAGAATCGTTAAACGTTTTATTATTAGTACATGAGTAGAACTTCCTCCCAGGGACTTCATCTGGATCATTCGAGCACTTGGTCTCATCATCCATGACCAGAATCATGTTTTGCTTGACTCGTTTTTCAGCAATCTGCCTAGAGTTGGGCTTTGCTCTTTTTTGCTGACCTTGGTTGTACTTTGGTGCAGGTGTCGCCTTATAGGATTTGACCCCCAACTTCGTAGGTTTAATATCATGTAAACTTAATTTTGCTATTTTCAATTTGTAGCCCAAATTACCATCTGATATCCCAAGGTTATTTTGGCATCCTTGCAGAACATCACGTATTACTTAGGGGGTCGCTACACGAGCTGGACGATTTTTTAATTTTTTGAATTCAGCATTCCTCCTCCCCTCATCCATATCTAAAACTGCAAATTGCCCCATTATGAATTTTTTCTCTTTCGAAGTGGCTATTAACCATTATCCGGACGCGCTCGCCCACGTTTTCGTAGTAGTGGCAAATCTTTTTTTGCGAGTTGCTCTGAATTTTTTGTTCTCATTTTTGAACTATTCGATATATCGACTTCTGGTTTTCAGATTCTGGTAGTCAATCGCATGGACTACAAAACTACCGCGTTCCATCTCAGTGACAATTTTTCTTTCATACAAATAATAAATAAACATACTTTTTCAAATGTTTTTTTACTTTCGGACCGAACCTTATTTTTAATCAAGTATTTCTAGAACGACCCATTACATGTGACAAATTAGAGAATCTTTGTGGAACGACGGACTTTTGTTACCACATTATTTTAATTTTGTAATTGAACATTATAATTTATTGTAGGGCTTGTGAAGTTGACATGCCTGTCTGTCTTTGAAAGCTAGCAGCCTAACTACGGAACTTTGTTTTAAAACGCTTGTCTCAACAAGGTCTTACCTAGTAGCCTTAAAATTTATAAATTGTGCAAACCTGCAATTTGGCATGAGTGTTTTCATTTGTGCAAACACAAATTGGTCAGAAACAGCTAAAATTCACACGGGATATATATTTACATATGTAGAGGAAAGTCAAGATGCACTTTGACCATGGGGCCTCGTCGGCGAGGGTATCTGGGTTACTGAATTTTCTTTGTACACTTTTCCTTCAGTCTGTGGAACAGGTCACCCAGGGAATATAAATCTAGATTTTGAACAAATATCTACCATTTGCTACACACCGCTGAAATATGTATAACCCTCCTAATGGGTTCTTTCGGGCTCTGCAGGAAAATATTTTTCTCTCATCAATTCCTTGTTCCTCAACCTCTTTCAACTTTATCTATCTCGATTAAAATTTCCGTTGAGTACGATATTGAATTCATATAACTACATCTGGTAGCAACCAATTGAATTTCCATGATTTACTATAAAAACCCAATATTTATTTCAACCAGTTTCCAAGTTTCGAGTTTTTTGGCGAAAATCACGAAAACTCCACTTTTTAACATTGGTCGGTATAGGGAAAATTTCAAAATGTGTAAAGAAAAATATCCCAAAAAGTCAGCTTTTTACCATCGAGTTTTCCACAAAATACTAAAGAAACACTCGCATTCTGAGAAAATTTGAGAAATCTGCATTTTTAAAAATACATGATATGACGTATTTGGTCCTCAAGGGACATGTTTTGAATACGTCATATGACGTATTTAAGTGAAAAGAGGGTATCAAAGTAAATATGTGACATTTTGTCCATATATCTTATTGCATTCACTTAATAATGCTTTAAGGTGGCACGACACACGGCCAAACCGCTTGTAACCCAAATTTCGGGACCCCGATTTTCTTGCTGCTCTGTATGTTCAATTTTGTAATTTTGGATATAACTGGATTTGAGATTCGTCAGTTGGAAGAATTTGCTGATGCAGGTCTTCATATTGTCTATTTAATACCAGCTTTTTCAAAGAGTTTCCGTAAATGAAACACGGTCATGGATATTTTTGGGGTTTTTGATGTAGGTAAGTTCTGTTGTAACATTATGTAGATTAGATGACCTTTATGACGACCATGAGCTACATACATTTGATTTTCATCTAATCTGTTTCACGTTGTTCCGCTCTCTTGAATATCTCATTTTTGACAGGAACTTGTCTAAATGTCTACTCATCAAGTTTAAGTTTACAGATTCCTGGTAGTGGGACATTTTTGGGTTGTTGTGTTGAGGTCATTTTTTATCCTTGGCCAAAGTTTTGTTCATCCATTATTACCATGAAGTTTTTCCGGCACATGAAGATTTTGTGGGATTTTTTTACTTGGAATTTCTCCATTTGTAAGTAATATCTGTTTCTGAATCTTAGGATGCTCATGATTAGCATTCAACCAGTTTCCAAGTTTTGAGTTTTTGACGAAAACCCAAAAAATCCACATCTTAATATTGGCCAGTTTTGGCAAAAATCCAAAATTTTAGAAGATAAATATCGAAAAAAAATCCACTTTTTACCATCAAGTTTTCCACAAAATACTAAAGAAATACGCTTTTTTTATAGAAATTTTGGTGTAAGGGTAATTTGTACAGTAAACATACATATGTATGTAGTTGCCTATTTTAACCCCAACGAAAATAAAATACTACACAAATACGTGTACTTTGTCCTTAAGAGGGAGCCCTTTAAATTTTCAGCAATTATCACTGGCGCCCTCCTTGTAACCCCAGTAGCTTTGTTGTAAATATCTGTGACAGTTGTAAAGAATAAGTGTTTGACATAAAATGTTTATTGCAGGATTGAACAAGGAAAGTCAGAAGAAATTCGACCAATGTATACCCTTATCGGTCAAAATTATTTGCCTGGACAGCAAAGTTGTAAATGAAATTCAAGAACGGGACCAGGAAAGGCCCCTCGCATCGATTGAAGGATCTCAAAATGCCAGGAAGAAGAAATTCATTCCGTTAAATGTACGCATTGAATTGCACGATTTTAAGATTCATCCGAATGCCATTCAAGAGTATGTTGAAAAAAATAACCTGAAGGTTAAATTGTAAAGATTCAAAAGGTTAAAGTTAATTGAAATATCCCCATGTTTTTACCGTTTGCCTCGCAATTCTAGAATTTACCGGGCTAATTTGCTAATTGACAAGACAAAATTGTCAATTAATTAAATAATTTTCCAGAAAAACAGAGACGGGTATAGAGATATAATGCCATGTAAATCGACTCTGCCAGATAGCCCGCAGATTTTTGTGTCTCTATTTTTCGTGACTATTCTGTATTTGAACAAAGCTGTTCAAGTAAATATATAATGGAATTACCTTCCAAACGATCCGAACAACAACCAAATTAGAATCGAGTAAATTTTAGTTAATCAATCGATCCACTTCGAGTATTTGGATCTTTATGAAATTCTTGCTGTCATCAACTATAACGTATTACAAATTTTAGTATTAGAAAATTTCTATTAATCCAAGCGTGATGTTGTGATGGCCAGACGTAGGATATTTATTTATTTATGACGTTTTCAATATGCGCCCGATGCTTTCAAACTTGGCAGGGACCTTTATGGTCATGAGTAGGTCACGCGGTCGAAATTTTTTAAAAATATTTTTCAATATTTCCGGATTTTAGAAAATACAAATATTGCTTTTTTTAAATATTTTTGCGGAAAATCATGGTTATTTTACATTTTTTGCGAAATTTTGCACAAAATATTTCATTTTTGGAGTTTGTTTAAAAGTGTCCAAATTTGTTAGTAACTTTTAATTCTTACAAGATGCATTAAGGGCCTTAATTTAAGGCTTATCGACATCGAGAACTACTTGGGGGAAAGCTTCACTACTTGTCAATAACAAAATTCGATCCCCTTGGAAGTTTTCGTATACTCGTAGGATACTGCAACATTCCAAAGGGTATTAAAATCGGTTATAGCCAAAAAAATGAACCTCCCCTCCAGCTTATCAGAGGGTGACCTACAACTATTTTTGAAATTGGTTAGAAATAGCTGAAATTTGCTAACAAGGTCGAAGTATCTCATCTCAGGTGTCCAATTTTCAAGACTCTAAAGAAGAACTGTACATATGCACATATGTACATATTTATGTACTAGTGGTATTAGTGAACCATTCCGTTGGCTATTTCACGGATTAGCGTGTTAGAGTTGTAATATCACTATTTACAAATGCTAAAATGTTGAAAATATAACTTGAGCTATAAGTTATAGCTCAAGTTGTATTTTCAACTGGTTATAGCCTATAACCAGTTGGATATTAAGCCCAAAACCTGAACTTATAAAACAAATATTTAAGAAAACATTTTCGGGTTTTTAATGAAAACTTAAAATAAATTTTTTCGAGGTTGATAGTAAATAAATATCTGATGTCTGGTGATGGCAAAATTATGTCCCTAATTATTTTGTAATTAAACTAAAGACCTAATAGCATTCAGTTATGCTATTAACAATTAATTAAATTAGTAATAGATTAATTATTATTTGATAAATCTAAAATCTAGATACCAAGTGTATGTATGTGTAACCCGTCTCCTGCCTGGCGAGCGTTGATTTGATTATCAAAATAAATTGGTGGTCGATTCAATCGAGTTTGAACAAAACAAACGATCGAGCATGGAATAAGATATTCTACGCTCATAGAATTAGAGGAGTATTAGGTAGTACTAGCTTATAAGCCCAATGGGCGAGGGTGGATTTAGCTTTTAAATTTCCACCCAATTCATTTTTTGTATCGCTACACTGTAAAGCATCTGGTAGAGTCACATATGTACTCCGTGTTGGTATTGATTTGGTAATAATTCCTTACCGGATTGGTTATAGTTTGATTCTGAGTGGTATAGATTTCATTACCACCTCATTACTACGCCGTAACGATCGATATTACCGATGCCGGTAGAGTCATATATGTATGTACTCCGTCCGGTAATGATTCGAAATGATTCAATACCAGTTGCCTAAGAGTGTAGATGAAACTCTGATGCCGGTGGAAGTGAAACTAATTTTTAATGTTCACGTAGAAAGTTGACGGCATAAAAATTTTAACAAGGTCCCTAAAAAGGGGGAATCTTAGTGAGGTAGTGTAATCATAAGTAATAAATAAAATTAGATTGCAGAATTTTTGCATCACCGCTCTCGGTTCCATTTTTAACTTGGAGCATTAATCGTTTAAATATAACACTTGCCCCCTCAAAACGTCCGATGATTTCGTCTTAATAGAATATCCAAATTAATATATTGAATTGAAATTATAGATTTGTATCTTTTTAAAAAAATAAGTACGTACATAGTTCACAATTGTTTAGCCATTATATTTTGTATATCGCAAGTAATTTAACCCACTTCTCGTTCACTATATATATATATATATATAGTAAAAATGCATTACTTCCTGAATTTATTCAATAAAATTAAGAATTCATCCGTATGCAAAGCAAAATTTATAGTGTATCCAGTTAAAAATGGAACCGAGAGCGGTGATGCAAAAATTCTGCAATCTAATTTTATTTATTACTTATGATTACACTACCTCACTAAGATTTCCCCTTTTTAGGGACCTTGTTTATTTATAACTTTTAATTGTCCATGGGATTACTGCATTGCACTGCTCCTTTTCATCAATTTGATCCGGAATAATTTTATTAAATGCTGGGTTTTTAAAATTGAATAAATCCGTTGTTTCTTAATCGATTTACATCATTTTGGTCACTAGATTATCAATACACCTGATCTGGAGGTGCAACACCAACAACAGCAATTTCACGCAGTTTACCAATTGTGTTACAGAAATAACGATTAGTTGTGCTGTTTACAGGTTTGAATGCTTAATTTGTTTTCAATTTATTAGTCTTGCGTCGTTGTCAATGACAATGATTCGTAGCACGCGTAGGAATTTCTGAACTTCAAATTGGAATAACTAAGCCAATTCTTAACGGATTTTGATATATTTATCCTTAAAATTTTCGGGATAAACTGCTCTACAATTCGTGGGTATCAAAGTGTTGATAAAGTTTGCTAGTAACTAGCAATAATTACAAATGTGTTTCTAAGGCTACATATTTGCCCATAATTCCGGTCAAAATGACGTAATCGCTTAGTCGGATCAGATCCCGTTTCTATATTATGTAAGAATAATCGGTGCAAAATTTCATCAAAATCGTTTGAGAAATGACTGAAATATCGCAGATGGTCACTTTTTTGGGGTGGGTCAAATGCATACTTAGTAATTTTTTTCGTTGTTAGGTATTTGCCTCACTAAGAAAAAAATCTCCGAACAATTCTCATTCCTTACTGTAATCACTGCCCCATTTATACCAAAATTTTACTTTCCGACCTACTACTGCAATAAGTTCTGTCCATTATACAAATTAATGTAGCGGACTCAGTTTAGTGAATTTTAAAAAACGAGCGATATCACGAGAAACCCCATTAAATTCCGTACAAAATATACCGAGCACTTTTCAAAATTTCCTCCTTCCGAAGCTACAAGAGCCCAAAGTCTAGGTATCCACATCCCACTCGCGGTACGCACTCGTTCCAAGGAATATTAGTCTCATTTCTAAGCGACAGATTTTTTTCTCGGATTTCAAACTTGTATGTGGTTTAGCACATGTATCCAGCTTCAGTTTGGACCACATATCATATTCCAGAGATTGAGGTTCGGCGGCAGTGAATTTTATTCTCGGTCCGAAGTCAGGAATTTTGGATTTCAACCACCCATTTAGTATTTTGGTCTCATGAGCAGGACCGGAGCCCTGCTTGAATGTCCAGTCGCTATTTTTTAATAGGGTGTGGCCCAGTGGTTCTCCCATTCGGTCGATAACTTCAAGAAATATTTTTTTACAAGAAATTTCACCCCCAGAGGATGAAAATTCTCTTTTTTGACCAAATCCAATCTACGCCGAATAAAAAAATCACAGAATCTGGATGGTGGGTCCGATTACTATTTTTAAAATTTTTATGAATAATATATGGGGTCCTCGGTCCTCTTTATATGGCCCTCTTTAGAATTTTATATTGCCTCAATTGTAAAAGTCTGCTTATCTTTCAAAAATATTTTCATTCTTCAAGCGCGTACCGCATGATCAGCGCCCGGCTTTTGAAGGGTCTGTTTCTACTTGTAGGGGCCTTAGACGTATTTAGTTTTACTTGGCCCGTTCATTTGTAGGGAAATTTTTCTTTGTCTACGGTATGGATTCGGTCGAATTCATGTTTTGCGCACCTTCATGACTTTTTGTGACCTTTCTGATCGTTCCCTTCAATTCGGTTTTCGGCTATAAACACCGCCAATGTTAGTGGACCATTTTATGGTACGGTCGACCATTTTGTGATTAGTTCCAATTTTTAATGAGCTATTGAAAAATGCCGGGTTTTTATGTTTACCAAAATGTTTCTGAGAAATTGCAACACGTCGATTGTCCGATCTGTCATTTTAGCACCTTGTATCACAAAAAATTTCGTAACATGGTTTCTGATAGACAATTGCATGTGGAATTCAATAAAAATAGGACAACTCTCTAACGTAACTGCTACTGAAGTTTTTGGCGTGCGGAATGCGTAAGACATAATATATGCAGTCGTACAAATAGGTATACAGTTGGTTGTACCTCTCCCTGTGAAAAATCTCAGTGGGACGAATAAATACAACTTTGGCCTTTTTTAACATACATTGAGCTTATAGAACGGGAAATTTTCCGTCCCACAGAGATTTTTATTCTGCAATGTACACACATTCGCATTTCCATTTCCATTGGAAGTGTGTTGTCTTCGAGGTCTGGAAAAATGCGTGGCTCTCTGCTATTGCAGACTCCCTTAAGCACTGTCATTACAATTGGCAGTATGTTGGCATTATGTTTGGCTTATTCTTCACTGCCTAGGCCGACTGAAGGCACTGGCAATGACAGGTTATATGGCATATATTACCACGGCCAAAAAACTCCAGATAGGTTCCAGATAACCACAATCAGTTACCACCAATAAGCAACAAATCCAGATAACCACCATAGGTAGCAACTCCCCGATAACGGCAATAACGACCCGATGACCCTACCTTCTCGGATTTGTTAAATTACGATTTTTTGAACTTTCGCGTCATTTAAAACTTGACTTTCTGTGCTTTTATTTCTTCCACGAATACCAATCCGTATTACCTCCTTCCCCACCTTTGCTCAGCTACACAGCCCCGGCCCTTGCGTTCTGTCCCCTCCGATGCAGGTCGCCTCCACGCCCTATCAACCACCCCCCTCGCTCTCCGCAAAAACCTATTCCCTATGCTTCGATTTAGACAGGCAATAGCACTTTCTCCCACTCTTTTTTCCATCCCAGCACTGAACCGACATCTTGGAAAATTGATTATTTTACCATTATTTACACGCACACACACTACTAATCCTCTACCGCGCACTCCACGCACGACACTTTTTAATAAACCTTACTTAGGAGATAAGGAGCTCAATTTATCTACTTATATATTTTACAATTTATGCTCCTTTATAAGCCCGACAGGCTATAAAAAAGGATTACTAATAAATCAAATCAATCAATCAAATTTGTGTCACGAGCAAAATTTTGCGGCGGACAAATTGACGCTTATTTCCGTTGCCAACAGAAATTCTCGCTTATAATATGGATATTACCTAGAACAAGCAATCAGGTCGAGTTATACTGTCACTCTGATGCAGCAGTTGACGGTAGGAAAGTGACATCATGGAATAAGATACTATACTGGAGATACACCGTACTATGCAAACGTCAGTTTTTGCTAATATTTCTCCTGTAGGGTTCAGTGGCCCTTCAAAATCCACCCTTTTCACGACGTTTTTTCGTCAACTTTAGCCTCAATTTGCAAAGCTCCTCAGATTTGACCGAGGTCATGATATAAGTTAGTCCTGTGGAGCTAAATGTTTCAAAATTCAGAAATTCCTGTGCATTTTCAGGTTGAAGTGTTTGAAAACCAAAATGAACCACATTTGTATGCTCCCCTACCCCCGTTGAACAGTTTTAGACCTTAAAATAATTCATTCCCTTTTAAAGTTTTCGGCACACTGTGCAATAGGTGTACTTCAAATTAATAGTTCATCTGCGCGTTTTCAGATTGAAGGACTGAAAAGTTGAGAGCCCTTCAAACTTGGCAATTTTCAGGACTCTTTTCAAAAACACCTAACGTCCGTTGCATTTTGTTTTTTTGCAAGACAATAGTACGAGCAATGTGTGATACCACATTTTAACCAGTGTTAACCCTTTAATTCGTGGACTTGGATACATGAATTTGCTTTAAACTGAAAGTTGTTTCTAAGCATCCTTATCTTTGATGCGGAGATGTAAATTAAGTCGCTATATTTTACTGCGGGGAGGAAACAGGGTCAACTTTGCCCTCAATGCGGGAGGACTTTTTCATGGAATTTTTTAATTTTTTCAATAGAAAAATATTTCTACTAACTTAGTCATATTGTTTTAATGCGAACTTTTAATTTTACATTTTATTTATGAACATTTGAGCGTGTAACATTAAATTCATAAAACTAACTAAGAAAATTTAGCAACAATTTATGAATCAACCAATTAACTTATAAATTTTTACGCGTGTGATACAGTTTAAAACATGGAATAATGCACAACGGAACAAGACACGTATCAAGCTGAAACCTAGTCTCCTTACGTTTGCCACCCGTGACATCCTTCATTCCGCACAAATGACATTTTCTGGAGCCATGAGTCTTTCCTTTTGTACTTGAATTATATTCAGGAAAATGACGGCCCCCTAAGCGCTGCAAATCTCGCGATGGTACCTGAACAATGGTTTTCTTCAGTCCAAATTTGTCCAATATCTGGCGGATAATTTGCAGTTGGAAATCCAAGAATTTTGCATTTCCGTGAAGGTACTTGAAGACTCTGAATGAATTGTAGAGACACATGTCAATTAGTTGAAAAAATAGTTTCTTGTACCATTTCCTTGTTTTTCTTTTGGTCGAATTGAAGTGCATTTGCATATCTCCTTGGTCAATTCCTCTGGCATTCTTGTTATAATCAACCACGCTTTTTGGTTTTTGAACAATTGTTCCATCACGTTTTTCGACATCTACCATGCTGTGTTCATGTACCGTTGAGATCATACGCACTACTTTCTTATCCTTCCAAAATTCGTTCAAAACGCCGTTCGCCGAGAAAACTTCAACTTGACCCCGTTGCATTCTCTGTGGTGGTACTGCTGCATTTTTTCTTCCTTTCCTAAGAGTTCCGCAAAGATACGTCTTGTTTTGTAGTAAAAACTGAGCAAGATTTGGGGATGTAAAGAAATTGTCGCAGTAGATGTGATGCCCTTTGTTCAAATAATGCTTCGCCAATTCCAGCACTATTGCACCACCGTATCCATAATCTTTTGTCGAGAATGGTAGGTCTTCGTTTTTGCCAGAATAAATGTACGAAAATAGAATGAACCCAGTTTCAGCGTCAACTATGGAGTATGTTTTTATTCCAAATCTTGATCGCTTGCTCGGAATAAACTGACGAAAGTAGAGCCTTCCTTTGAAGAGAATGAGGGATTCGTCAACACTCAAGTTCTTATGGGGTATGAGAAAAGACTTGAAGTTGGCGTTCACTTTATCCCAAATTTTTTGAATCTTGAAGAGTCTATTTCCAGCCACATACTCAGTATTATCACAAAAGTGAAGATTCTTGTGAATCTCGAAGAAACGGTCTTGGGGCATAATCTGACCAATTATTGGAAAATGGAATAGGGGATCTTTCGACCAAAATTTCTTCATTTCTGGTTTCTTGTTTATTCCCATCAACATCCGGACAGCAATAAACTTCAGAAGTTCTCCATCTGTGACATCAGTCCATTTCACCCATCGTTTTGTGCGACAATTTCCAGTTTGATCAGCATACTTATTGGTTTCAGACAGACATATTTCTCTGCAGTCATCATCGAACATTTTCAGAAACAAATCTAGTTCTGAATCTGAATTTGAGATAAGGTGAGCCCAACCAGAAGCTAAATTATCGAAATCTTGCACTTCAGGAGTGTGATGAGACCCTGGTGTCCAAATCCAAGGTACCGCTTGTGTAGTAGGTGCAGTCGTGAGGATTTCCGCTGTACATAATCAGAGTGATAATGCGTACCTTGCTAATGATAATGATAATAATTACATTGGCTTGGTGAACCAATTGCATCATCAGGAGACACGAGATCCTCATCATCAGATGACATATCCTCATCCTCGCCGGAATCGGTCTCTTCTTCAGATCCTTCGGCTGTACAATCTTCAGCCCGATCGCAATCAATATTGTACTCTAAAATTGAAATAGAAATGAAAATCTGGATGAGAAAGTTATTGTTCTGCCTTGGCTTACCGAGCTGGTCCACAAAGTCTGCAAACATGTCTTGAGATTCGCCGTCCTCCATTTTCTTGTTTTGAATAGATTTTGTGCAGTTCTCACAATTTATTGTAGTCATAACTAATTAATAATTAAATATTATGCAAAGATGACGAAGACGAATAATTAGAACATTGGCATATTTATTTTTTTCCATGAAACGACTTTTGTCGTCCTCCCGCATGGTGGAAAAATTTTGGCATGACGACAATTGTCGTCCTCCCGCACCATGGCACTATTTTTTCGGAAGACAATTGTCGTCCTCCCGCACCATGGCACTATTTTTTCGGAAGACAATTGTCGTCCTCCCGCACCATGGATATTTCTCAAAAACGACTATTGTCGTCCGTACGAATTAAAGGGTTAAATTCTAATCAAAGTTGGTGTGGATTTAGGGGAAATTTGGGACTTTTTGAAAATTCGATAAACAACCCGACTCCTGATCAAACCCCCTTTTTTTAAACCCCCCATATTAATACTACCCCCATTGGGCATAGTCCTTAAAATAATTTATTCGTTTTTTCAAGGTTCCTGATACACTGTGTACTGGAAGGTGGACTGAATGGAGGCAACATAATGAGCGCCCTCATGGAAACTAATAATAATACAATACACTTAGCGTCTTCATCGGTGCTGTCGAAATACTTAATTAATGTGCGCCACTATTGTATCATTTCGGGTTCAACTTGTTTTCCCAAATCTACAGCAAGACATTCAAGTTGCGATCGAGTTTTATTGTACTTGCAGCTGAACCGAAATCGGTGACGTTATTGAACTTTGAAACGGGCTGAAAATAGTTAAACTGGTAAGTTTGTCTGTGTCCAATTCTGGGAGATATGAAGATTTTTGCAGCATTAAATTACTGCCAATTTTTGAATTTAATTGGCCGTAGAAGGCTAGTCTTCGGAACACACGTAGGCCATATTTGCAATTCAAACTAACAAAAGTAACTATAGGTATGGTTTGAAAGCTATTGCTTGGATGCAGTAAAGCAATCCCCACCAGTTTTAGAAAATGATGAAAATGCTTATGAGGTGCGTCCGGTCTCAAAGTACTGAAACACTACTTTGCAATCAGAAAATTTTATATAGTGCACAATATATCCATTTATGTATGTAGATATATAAGTTCAAAGACAGTCTGTCTGTATTAAATACAGTTTCTATAAATAATGCATGCGTAAAGATAGCGCAATTTTCATGGAACCAAGTACACAATAAGAAATTTATGCATACTCCACAGTCAATATATTCTTATTATGTATCTAGTTAATATTAGACTGACATACCAAATTGTGAAACAATTGAGCACTAATAATTACAAATCTGAGGATGAAGCAACATTACATAAATTATTTATTAAAATATGCTTTCACAATCGTATGAAAGTCGAATTTCTCCTCCGTCTCTTCCCAACCACTTGTTGCTTTCTCCAAGTTTCGAATTCATTTCATTCTCCAGTACGAGATGGCAGACGTGTCGCTGGAAAAATTTAGCCAAACTTTTGCCTGAAATTCGGAATTTGTGCTCTTGTCTGCTATCCAACGTGTAATTAAACAAAATGCGAAAATTTAAATAACTTCCACAAAAATAATAAGCAAGAATTACTTTTAAAAAACTATCAAAAATTGTAATGCCCACTTTTACCTAATACGAAATTACTAATCCAGCCACCAACTTTTCAACGCATTTCCGCTCTGACTTTTCTCTCTTGTCCAATATTCCCCAAAATTAATTCGGCTATTAATTCACCGGAGGCACACCAAGCCACCTGCTGCCCCTTCTGCTGCCAGGCTGCAAAATATACCCGCACATCCCATGCCACATCCATCCTCCACCTTTCACTTTGCTTTCTCCACACCTTTCATCATCCGTCTCACTTTCTCACTCTTCACTTCCTCCCTTTTCACTCTCCCAAAATTATAATCCATCAAAATCCACACCTACGGCTTGAATTAATAATTCAACACGACAGCAATTTCTTAATTCAATAGCATTTTATTAAATTTTCCATTAATTCAATATTATAGAACTTTGTTGGACCAAATTTGCATAAATTATTCAATTCCGAGACGAAAACAAACCGTTACCCGTATTTTAATAATTCTCACAAAATAATTTATGAACAAACGCATCGATTACAGCCGTTTTCAGATTTGCAAACTCCACCCCCCATTCCACCAGTTTTGCATCCGGCAGCACAAGCAGCCGCGTTCAAGGTGCAGATCGCTGATTCGGCAGACTGTGAAATTTAAGAAATTTAAATTTTTACAAAATCTCAAAATAATACGTAAGGAGGAGGAATTTATTCAGTTACCACAGAAACCGCGACGAAAGCCACGATTAAGAAAATGGCCAAGAAAATTGCGAAATTTCTGTGCATTTTGTATGTATATCCTCTGTTTCTCTCGTACAATATACTTCACTAGGTTGCTATTTATATATCCAATTTGGTATGGCACCCACACAAAAATCCGTCTTGTTCTTATACTCGGCGTAATGATGTTCACAACCAGATTTTATGGCGTTATCCTTGCAGACAAATTGATTTTTTAGTGTAATCTCCTCCTTATTTTTGACTATGCATATGAAATGTTCCCCTTGTGTAAGAAGCGTTAAGGCCGTCATGCAAATGTGAAGGATGGTTAATGATGGATGAATTATAAATTAGATGACAACTGCGAGTTAGTGGTTGGTGGATGTCGGTCTGAATAATTTAGTATGTATCGCTGCAATGGGATTATGTCATAGTTATTTTCGTTGTCATGCCAACGACTGGAAATCTTTTAGGCACCAGGTACGAATCAAATGGTAATCCATTACATTGCATACTATAAAATACAAAAACTCTGCGTGACATCTACTCTGCTAAGTAAACTTTTTCATGACAACCTACCCCATTTTGTGTAATGATGTGCAAACACAATAGAAAAAGAGGACAAAAAATTGGACACTCTGTTAGTCTACCTTTGTTTGATTATTATTGATGTAAAAATTACTCCTGCTAAATTACCCCCACCTGCCAGACTGCCTACCAAGTCGGAAATCTCCATAGCAACTAAAACCCCCACCGCATGCACCCACCACGCCACCACCTCTGCTAAGGCATTCTCACCGCACAAAAGAGCAAACTTCAACCCCGCTTTGATGTCAAATTGACCTCTTCTCACGTTCGAAATTCGTGACTTTCTCCCAAATCCAACTTTCACCTCGACTGAAATCTACAAATCCCACTCACTCAAATATTGACACTCTTCACCGCAAAATTATTCAGGTGCGACTAACCGAGATTTAGTAACGCTCCGATGATTTTTTTATTATTTTAAATCACCATGACAACCCCCGCCTACGAGTCTGGCCGGATTTCGGGATGAATTTCTGTGAGAATTTTGTGATGCGAAAAAGGTGTCAGAGTTCCCTTGGGAAAATTGTGATGATGATGATGAGAAGACGAGTTAACGTGGAGAGAATTTCAATTTCGTCTCCATGGAGACTTGCATATTCTTCGCGGAGAGACGATAAGGTTATTGTGAAAATGGTGGCAATTTTGTTCCGAGGGGGTGGTCCCCATCCTCTTTTGGGCGGAGTAGGACTCCCCATCCTCATACATATGTATGTATCCTGTACCGTACCTTTTCACCTACCAGTTTAATGGCTGGGTAACTTTGAGGCTTCCCTGCTAAGTAAAACCCACTTGATGGACACTTCCGCTCTTGTTCCAGCTTGCTCCAGCTTTGGTCCAATTAGGCTAGTTTTCCGGTTTGAATGTATGTGCAACCAGCAATTCTGCTCTCTCAATGGAAAAAGTTTCCCGCAAAGTTTATTCAATTAGTGGCATGTCATGGTGAACATACTTACTAAATCGGTTGTCATGGTAATCTTTTTTGTTAGATTGGTTACATAAATTTTGTATCGCGTAGAGTTTCCCTAGCAACAAGAAATTTATTGCATACAATGTACGAGAACAAAAACACAACCTTTCAGTTTTGCAACAAACTTTCCCCTCTGGCTAAAACATAACCCACTTTTCCTCCTCGGAAATGTAACAAAGTTTATCCACCACGTACATATTCTGTAGAAATCTCTCTCTCTTCTTTAACTCTGCTACTTGTCTCTCATCCCGAATTACGCAATAAATGGATTCGGACGGAACGCGGCCTCTGCACATTTGCATCTTAATTGGATCAATTATTGAAATGATTCCTCCACTGGGGGTTGTTTCGGGTCAGTTTGTTTCCATGGGAACGAAGTGATTATGAGTATGCAAATTTTTTAATAATCTCCCCCAGATTAGACCGTCGTCCTGCGGAGAGAGTGGAGAGAGTGAGATGAGCGAAAGTTGAAATAAATTGAAATCCACGTTCTCCCCAGTGACGACAAACTCTCAAGATCACATACCGGAAGAATAAAAATAAATAAGGAGGTAGAAATCACACATCATGTTTTTCTCTCTTCATCCATAGAGACCCCAACAAAAGAAATCAATTCAACGACACACAAAAGAAAAGGAGGAGGAAATAAAGAAAGGAAGAAGAAGAGAGAAAAAAAGTCATTACTTTTGATTGTCAGATTGTGTGATTGAACGTGTGGGAGGCTTTCTGAGCAATTAGTTTTTGGTTGGGCGGTGGGTTATGCCTTCCTTTTCTTCTTCTCATGGGGGGCAGCAAGTTGGGGGATTATTCGTCTTCTTCCCATCCCAATCTTTAAAAAAAAAGAATGATCTTTTTCTCCGCAGTCGTCATGGACACGAGGAAATCTCCTTCTTCTGTCCCATTTCCTTTCTTTTTCTCTTCCATTGACCAAATCACATTTTGTGGGACTAAATTGGAAAAGAAATTCGATTTTTGTTTCAACGAGGCTCCAATTTGGGCAATTTAGCCCTTGGTCTAACAAACTGGTCAATTTACGCGTTGCTGTGGAGATTGATCTTTAAAATAAGCAAATCCTCCTAAAAGATTCTGCAAAACAAGTGCGCCTCCCTCTCCTCGCTCTTAAGAAGAATATCCTGGTTTCTATGGGGATAAAAGAAAACAAGACGCTTTTTCTCCTTCACTCAACACTCCATCCATATCCAATCGAGTACCATTTTCTTGACCCCTTGCCAATATTTTTGTAGCCTTGGAGCTATTTATTTTTGTTGGGAAGAATAATAATAAATAAATTACGGGTAAGGTTGCCATAGCAACTTTGTGATTTCTGGAGTGAATGCGAAGTGAAAGTGAGTGAGGCAGTCACCCGTGACACTACACGGAGCTAGGGAGGAAGGCAGCAGAGTCTAGAATTTCGAGTTATTATACACCAAGAAATCGTGTGGTTTGGCGAGATAGCTGCGCGTATTATACCACAGAAGAAGAAGCAAAGACCCAGTAGACCTATGTAATGGCCTGAGCTTGCATTTCTCTGCATGCATATATTTCCTTTGTGTGTGGGATGTATGTGTTTCGTATATTGGAATATTTTGAATTCCCTGTTTTCACTACCTAAGAAAAACAATAATCTGGCAAAAACCTGAAATTTCCACCTCCCATTTAACTACTTACTTCTTCCACGTACTCCTCCTCCTCCCCCTCATAAACATAAAACGCACCCCAATTTAGTCCTTCATTCCCCTGTTAAAAATCAGTAGTAAAAGTTCTCCTAAAATTCGCACACTTTTCCTCTACTTTCCTCTGCTTTCTCCACAGCAGAAGAAGAACATGAGACGACACACATACGGCCGTAGACTCTCTCTGACTCTCTCTCCAATCGATATCATTCTCTCCTCTCGTCTCTTTTCCTCTCTTCTCTTTTATACGAGCAGAATCACGAGCCCACTTAAACACAAGCGATCCCTTGTAAATTGTCAATTCTGCCAGGATATGTCTACGCTTACAGGAAATTTTAGAGTTACTTTACCCTTTTATTCTTCCTGGCGAAAATATACTGCACTGACGAAAAAATATACATATGTTTCTCTCTCCTGCCCATTCTTTCCTGCTTAACGGGAGGAAGCACCCCGACAATTAATTACCGTTACGATAGCAACCAATAAAAAATAATATGATAGCATGTCTACTCGGATTATGGTAACTTCGAAACCCGGTGCAGAGTGTGTAAAAAAGGAACGGATATAAAAGAAAATGAGATAAATGTTCGGCTTTACTGAGCGGAGCAGATTGTGTGCGTTCCGTGTGAGCGGATTAAGGTGGGATTTTTTATTCTTCCAACAAATTTTGTCACAGAAAAAGAGAGAGAGAGAAAGAAAGGTAAGTAAAAGGTGTGCAATTAAGTAAGGGAGTCGAAGGTTTAGGGAAATTCTCTATTTTTTTAGGAAATCCCTGGTTTTTGAGGGAAAAAAATAAAATAAAAAATCTCCAAGGTTACCACGCCCAGAAGAGAAAAGGGCCCATAAAACACACTCCACCTACGTGAAATCCCTGCACTGCAGTATCATCAAATCGTGGTGACTTTGAGTATAAAAAATCACGTGAAAATGACCCTCTTCTAGGTTAATGTGTTTTTAGTTTTATGCGGATGAAAGAAGAAAAAGTCAAGTTATATGTAAGAGAGATCGGCTACATGTGGTAAAGTCGTTGCTATGACGGCGAGACTAATTTTCTCGATTAACAGCAAAGTTGGAAAATAATTGAGCCAATTTTCACTCCAGGGTCTCCCACTTTGTGTTTTCGTGTTTTCCTTCTGAGGTTAAAGATCAATCAATTTGCGTCATAAATAATTGAGTCGTTGTTCTAATTGAACAATTATTTATATATTGTGCCCCACTCTTGACGCGTAGAAGATAGATACATACGTGTGGCCTATACGAAGGGAATAAATAAATAAAAGAAATCGATTTGCTACGAAATACAAATAGTTTTCCAACCACAAAGTGGTGATTGAAACTTTTTCGCACTAGTTTTTTCCACTATAAAAAGTTTTTATGTTCCCGTGGAGATTTGTTTAACAGAAGTTTTATGTAAAAAAAGTTGCGTTTTTATACATTTTTTTTCGAAACCATGGAAACCGCGTGAATCTCTACAACTGTCAGAAATGAGTAACCCAGACATCTATCACCTCCACGATAATGGACTGTACCCAGTGACCAAACGGAATGATTTATTGTTAAAAGATCTACAAAAATAATGCGGTTGTCAAGTGGACAGAGATTTATTTTAAGGGAAAGTACAAAGGAAATGGCGACGAGGTCTTTCTCAAGAAAAAAGCAGCTACTTAACTTGTGTAACTAGTAGGTCCTCACCTCTACATACGTAATTCTGTTTTTGTAAAACAAAACTCCATTAAAAAATCACCATGAAAACTGAAAATTAACCTTGCAAATTCTTTTTTAAAGGGAGAGAGAAACTTGTCAGCTTAGCGATTAAATATTCATCGTGTTCCCTTGTCATAAAAATTCATTGGATTTTACGACTTGATTGGATTCTTAAAAAGCGGGACAAAAAATGTCATTAAAATTCACAACCTGACTTTTCTACCGGGAAGGAAAGAGAGACTTAATTTGTACTTTAATTTGTTAGATTTCCATGGAAATGGAAAATCTGTGTGTGACACTAAAAATGACAGCTTCAGCACAACTGTTGCACTCCGTTCCGTGAGAGAGGGAGAGAAAGAGAGAACTTTTGAATAATTCATATTTTAGGATTGAGTGAAAGTAAGTACAAGGAGAAACGTGGGACGAGAAAGATTGGTCCTTCGTCGTCAAGGTGACAGTTTCCTCTTGTTTTAATACAAACCCCGGTGTACCATTCTTTTTACAAAACAAACTTTCTTAACTGGAAAATTTGTTGTCATGTGGAAAAATTTGTAGACGGAAAAAAATAAACTTTTTAAATAAAAGTTTTGCGAATTAATTCCAGTTTTTTCCTGATAAGATAACGACACAAGAACTCGATTTATCTCCATGACAACGATATTAAGAGGAGGAGGAGGCGGAGGTGAAGTGAAGTGAAGTGAAGAGGAGTAGTCTGCATTTGACGGATTTGCCATACTTTTGTCTACGTACGTACGTAACGTACATACGTTTTGGTGAAAGTGAGTACGTAGAGTCAGATGAGAGAGAAAGTTGTCAAGTTTTTTGAGAGAAAGTAAGTCTGACAGAGTTTCATTAGTTTGTTGAATGAAATTCGTGACTAATCAGTAGGCCATTTGTTTCTAAAATGTTCAAATAGGGGGCTTATATTGGAAATACATAGGCCCTTGTCATAGGGATTTGAGCATTTACTATGTAAATATTGGTTAGACTTACTTAGCTATATGCCAGTCGTCATGGCAACTTGAACCCCCACATGCATATAACTAACAAGTTTCCAATATATTTACCAAACTTTCAAGTGCTCACTTGTCCATCTCTCTAGTTCTCTATTTCTCTACCACCCGACCCCCTCTCGCCCCATCTCAAAGTTTGGTTGAGCAGTCCGAGCTATTTCCACTCACGAAATCATTCAAAGAGAAAGAGCACTTTGTTCGGACAAAAGGCAAATATCAACAGGATAGAGACAGTCAAAGTCAACAATAACAAAGGGATTACTTGAGAAATTCCCTTATCATCATCGCTCGATGTTATCTTACTTGTCTCACTCTTCGAGCCCGGTCATCTTTTTCCTGGGATAAAGTAGTATAAATTGGAAATATGAGAAATGCTCGAGATTGAGAGTGAGAAATTGCGACGTTTTTAACAAATACGACGGTAGTATCATTAAAGTGACGCCCAGTCAAAAGTTACATAAGTATTTGTAAGTGGATAAGGAAACCACTGATCCACTTGACATCGACGACATGAAATCCGCATTAATCACACCCCCACTTCCCTTTTATACCTCCCACACTCTACTTACTCTCTTTAAATAACCCTCTTTACAAAATTTGTATGGCCCTCGAGCAAAACTAACCATTAGTGTATGAATGATACTTAACTTTATGAAATAGTATCCTCTTTCAACACGACGCTTAGTCACTTGGCCCATTTCCGATTAAAAAAATGGCATTAAAATATTGCGACGACGAAAATAAGTCGGCGCAAAATATTTCGGCCTTGGACGTCCTCTTGTAATCCCCTTCCTTCCCCATCAAGCTACATACATACATATTCCAGCGCTACATAATCTACGACACGTGCTGTCACTCAATCATAATTAGTTCCTCCTGTTAACCATATACCGACCGATACATAAGCTAGATTAATTAGACTTCATCGCATTATTTCATCATTAGAAAACTGGATGGACAGAATAATCTCATCTCATCTCATCGGAGGGAGCTTAATTTGTAAAAGCGAATTAATTTTCCAATTACGTATTGATGCGTTACACAATTTCACCCAATGACTAGATCTCATAGGAATAATATTTTTTCCCTTGCCAAAAAATACCAATATTACTTTTATCCTTCTGTATAGAGCAGAAAATAATCAATATCCCAATATTTGAACGCATCATGATGCCAAGAATTTGAGTGACATTTCTCTCATATTAAAGAACGACGAAGAACGACAACGGTCCAAAGGATCCAAAAAAAGTCGTCCACGGGACACAAAAAGGTGAATCAATTCAATCTCTCTCTCACTCTCCATCAAACGACCGCAGTGCAGATACTCATTACTTCCCGCGACCCGTTGTCATGACGACAAACTTGTCGTACGTTTCTGAAAGAAATTAATAACAGTGTGCTACCCCATGTTTCCCTATCTCGGCTAAATCATGTATCCCCGTGAGACTAGAGAACTCTTTGTTCATTTTCATTCAGTCTGTGTTTCCCTCTCTTCCCTTTTGTACGGCAGTGTCCACAGAGACAATTAATTATGTCGAGACATTTGTTGTTGTGTAATAAATCTCATTCTGCGAGATAATTTATCGAGTTATTGAAATCGAATTTTCTCCCCTTGCCCCGGAAATGGGAAGAGAGAGAGAGAGAGAGGAGTAAATGGATACATACATAACTGGGACAGCTTTCACCACCACTGACTGCAATACCTTTCCTCTTCCTGACCCAGAAGCCTATGCTGAAAACATACATACCAATGGATCGATTACTCTGTCTCAACTTTCTCACCAAAAGTTTTTTTTTCTTACTTTACTCACGACCCACTCAACCTGATCTACACTTCCTCACACTAACTCCCATAACATTCACACCTCCACACACACAACATAAACGTTGCATGACAACACTCAATAAAAATCGATTCCCATCAATTTGTCAGGAGAAATAAATGCAACAGTTTTTTTACACATATTTGTTTGTTTTTTGTAACTAAAGAAACTTAAATTTTATTGCATACATTTTTTGTAACACTTTCACACAACAACCAGCCATGCGGAAGTATAGGGCTCAACTATTCGTATGGCGTGTTGTCGTTAAGGTTATTTTTTTGTAGTTTTTTGTTTGCATGAAGAGAAATGTACACCTGTAAAGAGAAAAAGATAAAAAATATGTATTAGTTTTCATCCCTGGGAAATTTTGGCTGTCATGGAAACTATTTTCTTTTAAGGGATTATATACATGGCGTCTTTCTCTCTCTCTCCTTGAATATTTTGAGATACTTGATCTCTCTACATCTTTACTGCTGGCTGATCCCTATATAACACAGTTTCCATGGAGATAATGTAATCCACTTTGGGAAGAGGGATCTTTTCGGGATCATGAGAAAGTGGAAAGTTCGATAGATGAGCTAGATTTCCCAAGTGGCCACTTTTTTGAGGTAAGGGTTTTTTTGTGGTGATTAAAATTGTGGTGTGTTGAAACTTTTTTTAGCCTTGGTATCTATGGCAACTTTTATAAACTTGGGGAAAATTGACTTACCCCGAATCAAAAAAATCAGAGAGAGAGTCCAAAGAAATCAGAGAATGACTTCCTTCTCGATGTCTTCTCCGTTCCCGTGAAAGTCCACGATTTCCTCATTAAAGACTTTCTCCCTCTTGAAGCTGAATCGATGGTGTAACCCGCTCCGGTCACTTACCGCACCAGCACCACACTCACAGTTGAAATTTTTACCGCACGAATTTCCCACGGAAAGAGTCAAGTAATCGTCCGTTTGCGTCGTTTGGTTGGAGACGGGGTGAATTTGAATTTTCTGTTTGGCCGATGGTGTCGGAGTGGGTGTGATTGTTATGGTGATGGGTTCTGTCAAATTTTATTACGAATTCTGTCAGACTGTCAGTTAAAAAAAATAATCTCAACTCACCCTCCATAGATGTCCAATTATCAACCACGACAAGTTTGTCCAGTCCGTTAACATTTTTCCCCACTAAATCGTCCCCCTTGATCCCACCCATTTCCAATTTTACTTGGCCCGTCGCCATAGAGACGTTTGCATGTCTTTGACTCGGCGCCATCATAGATTGCCGGATATTTCGTTCGGGATGGAAAATTATGATGTACAGTTTAGGACCAAAGAGACACACCAGCATGACATAGGCGGACAGAGAGATGGCAATGGTCATGGAAAATATGCGCAAGGAAACCTATTGCAAAATAGGTAAGTACTTATGCAATCATAAAAATCAAAAAGAATAATTACTAACAAATTGTCTCACCTGCAACCCGGTCGACCAATAAATCGGGACGAATGCGAGCCAGATGATACAAGTTGTATACATGGTAAATCCGATGCCTATATATTAATAACAGTAATATTTATAATAATAATTACATCAATTTTAATGATTAACCTACATTTCGACTCGTTAAAGTCTCCGGGTATCTTCCTGGTCAATACAGCATACACGGTACAAGTACCGATGATCATTAGTGGATAGAAAAACGCCACAATGTAAGAATGGTTGATATAGGCTGAGCAGATGAGGAAGTTGTCGGCCCGTGTCGGATAAAAGTAGGTGGCGAGGGGACGGTCAATTAATAACCACATTGTAGTTATAAACATCTATATATACATAAAAACCTACTCATTTACAACTGTTACCATCGTTACGCAAGTCGAGTCACGAACCTGCCCTGTACAAATAACACCACAAATCACCAACTGGCTTTTCGGACTGATAAAACTGGGTCTCTTAGCCGATTTCCTTCCTGCTTGGAAAATTCGGGCTATCCTATTAGTCTTTGTCAAGAGGGCGGCGTACACAACCGTGAAAATAAACCCGGTCAGGAATAGTTGCACTCCACAAAGCCAAGATTTCGGTCTGCAAAAATACAAGCGGATAAATCATTGTCATAACCAATTTTTATTAAAGATTTAATAAATATTGTATTACGCAACTCTTCTAGCCAAACAAAACCTTACCGAATGACAAAGAGAAAAGTTAATCCAAAACATCCCAACAATCCAGCCAGCAAAACATAGCTCAATTCTCGAGACGACGCCCGGACGACGGGCGTATCATTATGGGCAATGAAAATAAATGTGATTGTGACCGTAATTATTATACCGATTAGTGAAAACGACATGGAGAAAATGGCTGATGGGCTGAAACAATTAATTCAATTATTTTTATTTTTGGCAATGAAATACACAAGTTTTTCCAACTTACTCTCCAGGTTTTAGATATTTTTCTTCAATCTGGACACAAATTGTGTGATCTTCATTTGGCAGAGTTCCCATTGGACATTCGTAACATTCAGATTCGTCGGTACGATCAACAATCTGCGGAAATGTGCAATTCTCCATTTATATTTTATTTTTTCGTTTCCGATAAAAAAACTCTTACATAATAATTCAAACACTTGATACAGCTCCAACAACACTTGTCGCCACCAAAGTATTGCTTCGCCTCGCCTCTTTGACAATGCTCTGAACACACGGAAACCGGTGGTGTTGATGTATTTGAAGGAAACCAGATCTCTATAAATTATTAGGATAATTATTTAAGCCATATTTTACTTTATATGGCTTTGAAAGTAATACATATTAAAAATGCATGTTACCGCTCATGTTTAAAGTTAGTAATCCCTCATTATAATCTCCGACTCTAATCCATTTATAATTGTTTGGGCCCTTGCGACGAAAATGGATTATATTATAGCGTGCCGGACCATCTTGGAATTCATCAAAGTGAAACGAATCTCCAGATAATCCTATTCTCATGGAAATTTCGAAAGGGTAATGTGAGATTTTCTTAATTAAAATAAATTCCACCCCGAGTAAATTAACTCCTCACCATCAAATTCCACTTTCCTTAAATAATTCAACAACTCGGTCCCATCCACTGGAATCATTCTCGAGCAGAGTCCATACGTTCCATTGCATAAATTTCGATGCATGTCGCTACAGGATTTAAAATCAATTTCTATGCTAAACTATGCCCGAGTATTTTATCCACTTACCGAAAAGCGTACGCGAAGCTCATCACTGCATCAGACACATATTGCAATTGATCCTCAAATGCCATCGAAACGTCCAATTTCTCATCCCCGGTGCACCAACGGTCATAATTCTGGTTGTACGGGGTTCGAGAGGAGTTGGGATACTTGCAGGAAAAGTGATGTTCCCAGAATTCTATGGGAGGAAGAAAGTACAAGATAGATCCCTTTTTAAGTTTGGCAATTAAATTAAGTACCCCATTTCTTTACCGAGCAATTAAACATTTAATTAAGGACTGGGTTAATGCATTTAACTCACCTATAAACCAAGGATTTCTCAGATTCGTTTTAGGGCTCAAATTTAAGAAATATTCTTTAAATCCTTTAACATTTTCGGCTCTGGGTTGAACCGATAGCGTTCCCTCGACGACGGCTTCATTTCCGTTTGAAACTAATGTTCTCGCTGACCACCCATCGGATCCGATCCAGGAGAAATTTCCTGTAGCGTTTCTCCTACCTACGGCTGCCATGAGACCTTTTAAATATTTTTAAAGGTTTATGAGCATTTCAAGTATTTACAAAGAGCACGAAGGCAAATTATTTCACAAATCTCTTGAAAATGAGTCTTACCTTTCACTTCTTGATCTGACCCGTACACTATTACTCCTAATTTTGTTATTTATAGAAATAAAAAAAAATTGATTTTCGTGACTTTTAGAATATAAGGCTAATTTTTAATCATCTGGAAAAAATTTATTTTTAACCTTTAGCTTGTCCAGTGAGAAGTAATTTATCTACGATGCGCTCATAAATAATTTCCTCTGCAACGCCCGAATCCTTGACGAGGAGAATTTTTAAAATTAATCATTAATAGTTATTATTTTAGGGGTCGAGTGAAAAGGTTTTTCTTACCTTGACGAGTTTCTCTTTCGTCGCGATGCAAATATTGTTCTAACATTTGATAGATTTAATTAGATTCTGTTCAACTAAATTTTATTTAAGCATTGCATTTAATCGAAAAGTTATCTAACCTCTGGCAATAACTTTTCCAATTCTTCGAAAGCCTATTTTTTAAATTGCATAAATATTTTTAAAATTTAATTTCCAACTTTTTTCTCTCCTTATCATGTCTCAAATCATACCTTGATACCATAAGTACTCTCTTCATAAATGATGGAAACGTACGTCCAACCAAACGTTTTAATCAGCTCGACCATAACTTTCACTTGGTTCTTATCGGATGGAATTGTCCTCGAAAAGTATTCAAACCTTTGTTTGTTTGACAATTCTGGCGACGTGGAGAAGAAGGAGATCTGTGTGTTATTTTAACAAAATGAGAAGGAGGTGTGGCCTTGCATAACGTGATTTACTTTATTATTATCGCACTCTTTTTATTATTCTCATGCTAACCTGCGGAATTCTAAAAAGTCGCAATAAATTCGCAACTTGGATGGATGTCACACTTGAGGGTGCGGCCACCACGCCCGCAATCACGTTGTGCTTCTGGTGGGCGGAGGAGTCCGCAGAAGCGCAGGTGGATGAGTCGATTATGGATGAATCAATGTTGGAGATGGATCCTAATAATTGGATATGCAAATTTTGTAGCATTGTTGCCATTTTAATCCCTCTCTGCATATTTTCATAATCCGCATAATAAGTAAGAAAACGCTCTCATAATTTCCATATCTGTCAAGAAACCCCTGTTGCTTTGGTTTGCATGAAATGGATCGATTTTCCACTCAAGAACTTTGCCTTTCTGAATTTTTAATGAGCCCAAAAAGTGGGGCATATTTAGAATACCAAGACTTTCTTAAGAAGTTTAAATTTATTTATGCCCTACTCATGGAGAAAGTATTCACTCGCGTGACAAATATTTGTCATCATATATCGTTGACATGGAAACGGTCAAATTTATGGGAAAGTTTGACAAGTACAAATTTCTGGTAGACACGAGGAGGCAAGTAAGTAAATAAAAAAGTTGGTTGAGTTACCTTTGATAAAGTCGACCGCCTGTTCGAGTCCTGTTGACAAATAAATGGGTATGCTCTTTGTACTACTTATGAAATCAATTTATCCCAAATTTCGCAACTTCTTTTCTACTTTAAAGCCTTGAATTGTGTTCATCAAAAAAGTAACACAATTCCATTTTGCCACAGCTTACCATAAGTATCTTTGTCACAATCGTCCAAAATATGAGCTCCAAGCTTAACTCCTGGGATGAAATCCGCTGTCCTGTTGTTTATCCAGTCAATGGTGTACAGCATGGTTTCCAAGGCTTGAATGCCGCCCTTAAGATTACCAAAAAAAAGCTTAATACCCGTTGCGAAATTTGCAGAAAAAAAGTTCTTATCCACACAAAAACTGAACCAAATCCTTACCTGCGGCATGACTGGCCCACAAATAATAGCGTCCTCTCTTTCATGCACCATCATCAATCCCCCCAACCAGATGTCCCCCTCAATAACACTCACACGCTTCAGTGGCCACGTCATGTTCAACTTCTTGGACAACTCGGAGATAATGCCGATGTTACTGCCAGTAAAATTCTGTCGGTTTCCATGCCGACGTGAGCGAAGGGCACGTTTCAATTTTAACTTGAGTATCAACTCTTCAATCGAATCGATCTGGTGGGTGGGGTGTTTATGGCGGAGGTGGTGGAGCAACGTGGCCGTGGGGGAGTGGTTGTTATTGTCCCTGCCGTGAGTATGATGTTGGAATGAGTTTGTCAGTCCAGATGTTGCCAGGAAGCGAAGTTTTGAAGGGTCCAGGTCGATATTTTGGTGTGGGGTGGGGTAGGTGTGGTCGTGGTGGGATGGATGGATCAGTGGGGGCAGGAGGAGGAATATGAGCAATTTCATCAGACAGAGCACAAGAGGGAATGGAGTACGGTCTGGAGAGGTCGGAGGGTCCGTGGTGACTGAGGAGGTGGAAGTGAAAGCTGAAGTGGATATATGGTTTTGGAAGAGAAAGTAGGGAAAAGTAGATGCGTAATGGTAAAGTGGGGTATGGTGAGAATTTCTTTTTTTCTTTGGAGAAAGTGGAGTGGAAAGAGGAGAATGTGTAGTTTTGGAAAGTGGAGTTGAAGAGCGAGAGAGAGAAAGTGAGCTTTCTCTCCGTGTGAGAGAAAGTCTGCACCCGAAGCAGTGCGAGTGTAGAGAAAAGTGAGCAATGCAGAGTTGCATCACGCCAGAAAACTGGTGAATGGGAACAGTGCGAAGCGAAGTTGGATGAAAATTGGACACGGTGACATCTGGAAGGCAGGTTTCAAAACTTTTAGAAATTTATGAGTTATATAAGTTGAGAAATTCTTACTCGGGAGAATGAAGCTGTATTGTATTCTCTGCTTCTTTTGAATTCCTGCGGACATATCTTCGATGTTTGTATGTATTGTGTAACTGCATTATACATATGTATGCTATCTTATTTGTAGTGGTAAACCGTCTCTTTTAAAATGTGGTGGCCAAAATCATTTTATTCATATGAAATTCTTGTTCAAGGCTCTCCTGGCTAGCTGAGAAGTCGACATGGAGGAAGGACGCTGCGAATTGACGATGCGGTTGTTAACAACAATAAGTCTTCTTCTAGTTTAATGAAAAAAAATTAAATTAAAAGTTTCCTTAAAAATTGTATAAAATAAATAATGCGTACTCACTAATTAGATGCTTCCGTCCGATTACGCAGTGGTCATGATCTCTGGGAGAAAGAAAAGAATTTGAAAATGTGAATGTGCAAAGAATGTGGAAAAAAGTTGATGTGGAATGTTTGACCTCTCAGGTTTCGCTGAGCTCTATTTTTGTGCTCCCGTCCCGTCACAGCATTGAGGCCCTTGTGTATGGTTCCCATACTTTCGTGTAAAGTTCAACTCTCCCTGCAAAACATTGTTTCATAATTACTACGCACTTAATAAACTCCTGCTGATCATAATTATTGGATAAGATACACATCTTTATCAACTTATCTTCATCGAGTGCAAAGTGAATTAAAATCTCAAATTCACAGAATGACAAAGGAGAAAAGTGAGACTGCGAAGGCTGGAGAAATCGTTGATTTAGAAAGAAACGATTGTGTGACAGTGGCGACGGCGACGACGACAATAGAAGATAGATATAACTTCTCAAAGCGACGAGGAAGATTATTTCGACCCATACGAGGCAATTTTCAACTCGCCGTCGTATCAAGAGGTCCCGTACGTAAGTATTTGGTCGCTCGCGCCTGACGATCCTCGCCAAATAATGGCATCAAAGTTCTACGAATTGTATGATGACGTCAGTTCGGGGGAAGAAAGTGATGTCGAAATAATTGAAGAGACTGGACCGTCGTGTCGAGAGGTCACGTACGAAAGTTGTTCGATACTCAATCAACTTCTCGAACACGGAAAATGAGCCTAAACTAACCGTCGAGAACACACTTTCCAAATAAAGGCTGTGTCGTGAAAAAGATACCGTTAAAACTATTTATTACTCAAAAACAATGTAATCATTCTCAATTCAAAACAATTTACAAATCGAAAAATTGGGAGCCCTTTCTTTCTTGCTTCCCTCACAAAGAACAACGATCAAGTAAGTGCGCACTTACACTCAAACCTCCCGGTACAGTACGCCATCTCATAACACACTGAATCTGAACAAAGTAAAAACATACACGCTATGATTATTCTATATGTAATCCTTCATCCTCCCACCTTCTTTTACTATCTACGAAGTTAGGGAAAAGAACTAAATATATTAATTATCAAAATATACATATCTAAATCAAAATAAACCTAATTAAACCACTGTCCGTATTTAACTGGCTTTTTGATAACTCGCCCACCCTTGGTAATCATCTCCGGTTTCTGCTCACACGGCTGGTCTTCCGCCTGCACACAGACTGCCATCTCAACTTTGGATTGGGGCTGTTGTGGAAGGGGAAACTGCTCCTGGTTGGGGATCTCCAAGGGGTACAGGCGTTGAAGGGGTCTGGTCAGGATACCTCGATTGGTCTTGATTCTCGCCACTCTCACTTTGCCATCTTTCCCAGGGATTAACTCCACCACTCGTCCTAGAGGCCATTCAAATCTTTTCTTGTTTGAGTCGCCAACAAGAACCATGCATCCAAGTTTCGGAGACTGATTCCTATCTGCACAGTTTTTAGAAGACAGGAATCCCAAATACTCCTTCCGAAATCTTGCTTGTAGTGATCGCTTTGTGTCTTGCATCTTTCGGTAGCTGCCTTGTAGGAACCGAACACCAACAACGCCACTTTCAGGAAACTCTGCCACCGGAATATCTCGCAGGAACATTGACGGGGTCAGAGGCCTCAAGTCATCAGCAGCAGCACTAACAGCACACAAAGGACGATCATTGATTACTTGGGCCACTCCAGCAAGACAAGTCCTTAATTCATCATAGGTCATTCTTGAAGTGCCCAGCATCTTCCTCAGGATCTCTTTCATGGATCGGACCAAGCGTTCCCACCACCCTCCCCACCACGGTGCTGAAGGTGGATTGAATATCCAATGGATCCGCTTGGCTCCCAACTCCTTGGTCAATTTTGTCCAATTTAGTTTCTTCATCAGATTATCCGCCCCCACAAAGTTGGTACCGTTGTCTGAGTAGACGGTATTGGGTCGGCCACAAGTGTTGACGAATCTCTCCAGTGACATGAGAAACGCCTCACTGCTCAGGGAATCCACGAGGTCAAAGTATACTGCTCGATATACTGCGCAAGTATACAGAACAATCCAGACTTTCTTCCCTCCTTTGACCACCAGAGGTCCAGCCAAGTCAACGCCCGTGGTTTGGAAAGAACACTCCGTCTCAATTCTCCGCTCAGGCAATGGGGCAGCGTCACAAGCCATTTTCCCAATCCGATAACCTTGACATTTCACACATTTCTGAATAATATTCTTCACCAAGTTCCGCACATGAATTATCCAGTACCGCTCCCGAAGCCTCCCAATTACATGCTGAGTTCCAGAGTGATAGCTACTCTGATGAGCGTACAGGACTAATTGCTCGACTAGCGGCTCATTCCTTGGTAAGATAATGGGATACTTGAAATCTGCAGTATCCTCCCGGTAGGTGAGTCTGGTTTTGAGGTGCCATAATCCATCTTGCATGAGAATGGCCCCAAAGCCTTTGATCTCTGGCCTTTCTTGAAAATGTCGTTGCTGAATTTCATAGAGAAGATCTCGTTCCCCCTGACGAATTTCCTTAGCAGTCACATATGGGCTCAGAATCCTTTGACTCTTTTCTTTTATGCGACAGTTTGAGATAAATCTTCGCATCCAAGCAGCCGTCTTCAAGTTTTTCAAATAATGAGAAAATGTTGGTTCCACAGCGGTGACGACATGGCTGCTTACAACAGTTTTCCGCATTTCATTGTTGATTTCTTCCTCATTTGTTTCTGGAGATGAAGTAGGCCAATTCTCCTCGGATAACAGCAACCAGGAAGGCCCCTCCCACCATTTGGACTCCATCAATTCAATCAACTCACACCCACGAGATGGAAGGTCAGATGGATTCATACAACCTGGGACATGCTTCCAGTCCTCTTTGTTGGTCAGTCTGTTTATTTCACGTACACGATTACCAACGAATGTCCCCCAATCCGCATCTCGATGAATCCACGCAAGTGCGGTGGTGCTGTCACTCCATAAATGCATTGGAATATTCTCAAGATCCAAAGCTTCACAGATTCCAATTTTCAGACGAGCTCCAATCACACAAGCCAGCAATTCCAGTCGAGGGATGGTGACTTTTCTTGACTTTTTCTTCTCCAGCGGGGATACTCGTGACCTCGCCAGAAGCAGTTGAACTGCAACCCCATCGTCATCTTTAACTCTGATAAATCCAACAGCTGCATATCCGGAGTTGCTTGCATCACAAAAAATATGTAGCTGGAGTTTCACACTTTCTAATTCCAAACTAGAATACGACCTGAACGCGAATCTTGGAATCTGGACCTTGGGTAACTCCGTCATTTCTTCTGCCCATTTCAAGAATTCCTCCGCATCGTCGTCATTCCATGGATCATCCCACTTCATTTTCTTCAACCAAGCATTCTGTAGCATTAGTTTTGGGATTAACAAGGAGGGGCACACAAATCCAATTGGGTCAAAAACTTGCGACACAAAGGAAAGTACCTTCCTGCTGGTTATTTCATTTAATTCTTCATTTGACTTTGGCAATTTGCATTGAAGTATATCCATCTTCTTATTCCAAATCAATCCGAGTACATTTGTTTCCGGTTCTTGAATATCTTCAGCGTTGCTCTCCCACTGTCTCAAACACATTTGAGCATCAGCCAACAGCGCTGTTGATCTTGACTTAAATTCGTGGTAATCTTCTGAACTTGAGAACGATGTCACCACGTAATCCACATATAAAGAATGCATGAGGAGCTCAGCTACTTTTCTATCCTCATCAGACGCTGCTTTGAGGTGCTGCTCCAAAACTGCCATCAGTATAAACGGGCTGCATGTCATCCCAAAAACAACACGACAATGCCTATAAACTTTGATGATTCCATGCTCCAAATTTTTCCACCAAAGAAACTTCTGGAATTCCCGATCTTCCGTCATCACCCCGATCATTTGGAACGCTTTCCTAATGTCAGCTAGGACCCCAATCGGATTCCTTCTAAATCTCAATAACATGGATGGAATCAACTCCAACATGTTCGGACCAGTCTCCAGGCACATATTCAACGAAGGTTGGTTTCCCACCCGGCATGACGCATCATAAACTGGGCGCACGGGAGTAGTCAAACTTTCGGGTTTAAAGACAGGTCGATGAGGGATGTAGTGACCAACGTTTTCAGAAATTCCTGTCACCTCTTCAATAATGCCCTCCTTTTCCCAATCATGGAATATTTGATCATATCGGTCGAATTCTCCTTGATTGATCAACTTTCTGGTGGCTGCATGCAATCTCTTCTCAGCAATAACTCGATTATTTGGAATTGACGGCACCCCACTAATCCAGGGAAGTCCAGTCACATAACGTCCATCTGGATCTCTTTTGATTTGATTCTGGAACTCTTCTTTAATTCGGGAATCTTTTTCTTTTTGAGATTCTTGATCTGCTGTGTCGCGGATTCCGATGATTTCCAAATCCCACAGCTTTGTCACCTCAGCACAAAAATAGCTTTGAATCACATCACAAGCCAGATTATCCCCCGAAATAGATCCACTCAAGGTCCACCCAAAGATCGTCTCAACAGCAAACAGCCCTGGTTGTACTTGAATCCTCCTTCCGGTTCGAAACTTTTCATAATAATCACTCCCAATTAATACTTCAATATCCGGGGTATTATTCTGGGATGAATTCAAATCAGTCAAAAATATTTTCTTTTTCTTCAGTTGTTGAACCCACGGACCAGTTGGAATTCTTGGAGTTGCACAACCAATTTGGGGTCTTTCTCGAACAATCAATTTAACTGGATTGCATGAAGGCGAGATTCCATATAAAATGACTTCATGCTTGTTGCAGACTTCATAATCAGTCACTGATCCATTCATTAGAACAATTCTTGATTCTTCTCTGCCAATCGGGTTGCTTCCAATTTCTTGAGCTGCTTTTGTTGTGATGTAGCTGCGTTGACTACCATCATCAAACAAAACACGAACAAGTTTAAATTCAGACTGAATGTCATTCAACAAAATATTTCCCTGGCATTGAATCCCAAGATTTCCAAGTACTGTATCCTGTTGACTGGAACTTGATTCAACTAACGGCAATCCAGGGCACAAAATTTCATGATGTTTCAGATTGCACTTCTGACAAACAACATTCGACCTGCACTTATTTGCTCGATGGCCTGGAACGAGACAAATAAAACAAGCATTTTTCTCTTTAACTTTTAACTTTTTGGCATCCAGTGACATTGCCTTTCCTTTATAGCAGTGCCCACTAGGATGATTGCTCTTGTCACAAAAAATGCAAGCCGTCTTGACATTTTGACTGAATAACCCAGCATTAGTAGGAGGATCCTCAGACACTTTCTGCACTTTCTTGGGTTTCACTTCTTGTTTCTTCGGTGAACTGACGTCCCAATTAAAATCCACTTTAGCTTGCTCCCTTTTCATTTCTCGCTGAGACTCGTCTTTGAGAAATTTCATTAGGAAATCCAGCTTGCTCTTGGGAGGATTTTCAGAAGATCCATCTTTTTCGTAAAATGGACTTCGCTGCCACGCCACGAACACCTCTTCTGATAAGCACGACTCCACTATTGGATGTAAGAACCTTCCCATCTCTTGTGTCGTAACTTTCAAAGTCCCCAACGCCCTGATATCAGTCTCGACTTTATCATACAGGGACGACAATACCACCTTCTCTTTGTTAGTGGCATTCTGGATCACAATTTTCAGCAGCCCTCTGATGTAGTGTGGGATGAGAAGGTCTTCTTGCCCGAACCGATCTTTCAATGCTTGTATCGCCTCTGGATAGTTCGCGGCGGTCATCGGGTAACTGTCGACCAAATCCTTGGCTCTCGTCCCCTGCACCATTGACTGACTGAGATAAACAAACTTATCCACATCATGAAGCTCATTGTCCTCATGAATCTTGGAAAACTGGGACCACCAACCCAGCCACTCTGACAAATTCCCATTAAACTTCTTCAGTTGAATCTTGGGCAATTTGTACTGTTTCTTCTTTTCCCCATCTCCAAACGCTGTCGAATAATCGCTTGGAGTAGGACTACTCGGTCTGATGGAAGGAGCAAGTTTCTGTTCAACTTTTGACATGATGAGTTTAACCTTCGTTTGATACTCATCTGCCTTTTCCAACTCGTCGTCCAGATCTTTATCTTCCCCCTCCCCATCAGCATCTTCATTAGCATCAGCATCGACAGCACTAATCTTTCCAAGAATCTGCTCGTCGATGTTCTTCAGCTTTTCATTACTTTCTTTTAACAGGTCCAGCCTCACGAGGGTGTTTGTCGCGTCCAGTGGCGCTACTGCAATGAGCTCTTCCAGAGTCACGACAAACTTTGACACCTGCCTCCTGATCGCTGCTCTAACTTTCTTCAGTTGTCCCAACTCCATGGCGCAGATGGATCAATTGCCCCTGAATGCTCAGGGTCGGCCCAAAGAGGCAATGCTTTTCAATAATCCAATAGAGTGAGTCCTCACGGCCTGGCCAGTCGCTATGGTCTATCCGGTTACTTGGTACTCCTCTCCGGTCACGGTCAATCTCCTTTCACGGCACAAGTCCCATCAGAGTCACCAAAAATGTTCGATACTCAATCAACTTCTCGAACACGGAAAATGAGCCTAAACTAACCGTCGAGAACACACTTTCCAAATAAAGGCTGTGTCGTGAAAAAGATACCGTTAAAACTATTTATTACTCAAAAACAATGTAATCATTCTCAATTCAAAACAATTTACAAATCGAAAAATTGGGAGCCCTTTCTTTCTTGCTTCCCTCACAAAGAACAACGATCAAGTAAGTGCGCACTTACACTCAAACCTCCCGGTACAGTACGCCATCTCATAACACACTGAATCTGAACAAAGTAAAAACATACACGCTATGATTATTCTATATGTAATCCTTCAAAAGTATTTGGTCGCTGGCACCCGACGATCCTCGCCGCGTGCGGGCATTAAAGTTCTACGAATTGTATGACGACGTCAGTTCGGAGGAAGAAAATGAGATCGAAATAATTGAAGAGACTGGGCCGTGGTTTCCTTTGAGTCTTGAAGACATGGTGGACCGTTTGGCTAAAATGATCAAAGGTAAGGTGTCGAATCATAGATTGGAATTTGAAATATTTTGACAAGTTTATAATATTTATCGACATGAATATTACTGTACTTGTAGATATTCCTGGACTTTTGCCGTCAGAAGAAGTGGGGGACGCGCAAAGTTGTGAATGGATACCGGAAATGAGTTTAAGCTACGACCCCAAGGTTCTTAACAAACCCAATCGCAAGCGTAAAATGGGTCAGTGAAATAACAGTGCAAATAAGATTCGTTATATTTGTATTTATTCCATATGTTTTGTATTTATGTTCTACAAATAATTGTCTCAGGAATTGTTTTATTTTTGAAAATAGATATATCCATGTACATATGTATATGTAAATTTGTATATGTAAACATTTAGTACTATAAAATCAGTTTTCCTTTGTCTATGTATAATAATAATTCTAACATGTTCTTGAGAGGTAGTTAACTGGTACAAAATGAGCCAAAAGTGCAAGTCTTTTTCGCATCGATTTCACCAAATTGCACATAAAAAATTACAAATTCAGTTTTGGGTGGGGGGATTAATATAGCATAGCTGTTTTTGAATTATATTCAACCACACCCCCTTCAAAAATTGGGGAAGAAAATTGGGAAAAATGAGAAGGTCAATGTACACTCGGTACAGAAAGAAGTAGATACCAACTTGCATTTGACATTTGACTTCCCTCATGAATATGAACATTTTGATGCATCAAGACTTTCAAAATTCGAAAATTCGACCTACATATAAATCGTTAAAAAAGTGACCTTAGCGGTCATTTCGCGGCTGACAACCTGATGCCAGATTTTTCTTCGTCAGAAGTGCCACATTTTCCGCTTTTGTTGTCCGCTGCGAAATGACCGCTACCATGACTTTTTTGGGGTCAAAGTTTCTGAGGGAGGGGCTTATACGGCAGGAGCCGTAACAATGTATAGGTATTTATGATATACATAAAGGTAATTACATAGAAGCTATTAAAACAGCCTCAAATCGCCCCAAATTTAAAACTTAAGCTTTTCTGAATTTATAATGATGATATGCATTCGAAAATTAACGCTATGAGGCTTATCAACGAAGTTATCAATTTTTCAGATAAGCAAATTTAGTTTGTCCAAATCTCCCCAAATTTAAAACTTAAGCTTATCTGAATATATAATGGTAGTATCCACTCGAAAATAAACGCTATCGGGCTTATCACTGCGCTTATCAGTTTTTAAGATAAGCAAATTTAGTTTGTCCAATTCGCCCCAAATTTAAAACTTAAGCTCAACGATTTATCAACTGAACCAACTCGTGTAAGAGATGAAAAGCATCTCAACACGAGTTGGTTCATAATCCCGGTAAACAATTTGAAGAGAGTGAGAAGTGAGACGGACCACCATACGGCACTGGCAACGACAGTCAGCGGTGGTGGTGGATACCCACCAGAATCCGAGTCTCACTCTGCCTTTCGCTAAATAATGGAAACTGCGTTTGTGAAACGGTTGGGCTGGTTCAGCTCAACTAAATAAGTAGGTTGTGAACATTCTAATCAGTACAGTGGTAGTTAATAAAATAGGTATTCTATCCCCGAAATTGATGCACCTCGATGTTTTTACATTTAAATTAATTTACAATTACTATTTTCATACATTAAATACTACAAATCCTAAAAATTTTGTTACCTACTTGGGAGAAATTGATAGTTGGTATTTATTTTACCACTGCATAGCTTCACCTATAAGAATATATGTACAGGTCGTAGAAGAAAATATCGACTAAATTAATAAATTCATTTGGAAATCTGGTGAGGAAGGTGCAGGAGGAAGTGAGAAACTTGTCCAGAATCATTCCTCCCAACCGGGTCGAGGAGTTCCATTAATTGATTGTTGCATGTTGACATCCCTAAAAGCGAATATCAATTTTTAATATATTTATCTGTATTATTATTTTCATTTATTTACTACATCTCTACATTTATTGCTCCATTACAAAACTTGCTACGCTTGACGGTACTCACAAATTTCATTGACATATGCAAGTAGACTTTATTTACTTCTCATACAAAACTTAACTTCTACATGATGAACACCGTTACCTTATCTTAATCCTTCGGTAGACACACAGGATTGCAGTCACCTCAAAAATCAGAAATACAATTCCCCCAAAAAGAGTTAAGGTGGTTGGGAAGCACTGCCAATCAATGTGAAAAGGGACACGAACTGTAGTTGAGTTGAAGCTGGTGAAAAGTGTGGCGTTATTGAGACACGCCATTTTTAAAATTGTCAAAAGTTAACTAGTGATGGTGTCGGCTTGACGCTAAATTGTCTACTAGTTTGAAAATATCTTCTTTATGTGACAAAATTTGATAGAACATATTCGAAAAACTAGAGAACTGTGAAACGCAAAAACTATTAATATAACTAAAAAATTTACAACCTTGAAAGGCGGAGATGCATATCGAGATGTTTGTAGGGTGCTCAAAAATTGTCTCTGGTTCGCACAAACCGTTTTGAAATTGGTGTAATCCGTTAATGCTTTTTGTTTGTAGTTAGATGATCAATGTTCATCGGCTTTAGCACGTTGACAGTAATACTCATTTGAAGGAACAATTAAATTAGAGCATATTTACAAATTTATAGGTATAAAGGCATGTATGTACATTATTACGTAGATAATTGGAAAGTCACAAGACTCAAATTTAGGCAATATTTGTAGCATATGGAACCCTGGGCATAAATTAAATGAAAAGACTAGTAAAATTATATTCCGAATCACATACTAGCTCTCAGGTTGAAGTAGTATTCGAACCAATGCTTTCACTGCTTACGTAACGCGAGCTTGAGCATCGTCTATTTGTCTTCCACTCAACGCTATTCCCCCATTTCTCTCAAAAATCATGTTCCATCGTTAAATTGACGTGATCATTATGAACGAGACGGTGCAGCCGCATAAAGCGGTTTTTTCCTCACCTACAGATAAGTATTTGTGGATATAGGAAGCATTAAGTAATCTTTGTGCACAGTTATGTGGGGACCATCCGAAAATGAAATGCTTTCTCCAACAGTATGGAGATTTACGTGTTTGTCATGAGAGAATTTCTTAATTTTGCTGAGCTCCTTTCAATAGTTTGCTCCGCTATGTTGATTTCCATAATGATCATCGCGATGCACTTACCTTTATGCAATTTCCAGTGATTATACGGACGACTGGAATACTGGGAAGTATGTACAAGAGTGAAATGAAAAGACGTAATGCTGTAAAAGTTTGAGTGGTTGGGAAGTGGGGAAAGTACTTGAGTACAGATCATGTCATATTGCTGAATTTGTACCTACGTACATAAACATGGTGCATCGCCACACTAATCCTGAATGTGGTATATTATATATCAATAAATTTAAAATTAATTAAGGTCACTTCTGATAGACGAGTCAATTTCTAGGGTTTTGTACATCATTAAAAATGAACCAGAACCGCACTATATTTTCCAAATGAAAGTCAGTATCCTTCATACTTAATATGTCGTGACGCACGCAATCGTCAAACTCAATTTCCACAAGTTGTGGAAATTGATTTAAAAATTGAAAACTGTGGGTACATTGTGCACCACAACTGTCATGCACACAACAATGCAGAAATGGAGACAAAGGGCAAAAGTATGCATACTTGCAAGAAACGTAAATTTATCCAGATCCTCAGAAGATATTTTGATCCAGAATGAAGCACTAATTATTGCTGAGGATGGGCAAATCATATTTTGCTAAACTTGGCAAATTTGAGAGACGTTTCCATATCGAACAGTGTTAGAGAAATAAATAATCAGCAGAATAGAAGTTTATAATCGTTCATGAGAAGAAGAGCCATGGGAACAGTCCAACAAAAATAAAAACAGGTCCAATACAAGTTAATAATTAAAGAAAGCTTTTGTTTTCTCCAAAATTACAAAGAGAGAGCTAAACACTGGGATTGATTGGAATATACACGTCCAGAAGAGTTGTATTCAATTATACGTTAGTCTTTAAACCGCCCAAACATTAACAAATCCTAAATTAGTATGTGATGGTATGTAGTAGGTATATCATTTTGTGCAATTTCAAGATTGTATCCACCGATGTGAACATTATACCCGCACCAAAGAAAATTATTTATTAGGCATACGAAAAGTTTTACAGAAACTGTATGATGTACACATACATAGATATTTACATGTACAACTCGTTGGTGTAAGAGCTTTAGCATTTTACGAAATTTATGTATAACTTACCAGGTGGCCAATCCGTTGTAAGGAACATAGCAGTTGACATTATTGATGTTCCCGTTGGTTGGATTAAGCATATGACAAATCGTCATTTACAATAGCGTTATGACCAAATTCTGAGTCATCGTCTCACTCATGCTCAAATTCGGGGATGCCAGTAGTGCAGTGGTTTCTGGCCATCGCTTTGCAGTCTGATCGGCGTCTAGTGCACTTCATGCAGATTATGTAAAACAAATTTATTTACCATTTGCATCGTCAAATGCAATTTATATTAAGGGAGGTATGTACATATGTATGTAGTGTTAAAGTTTTCACTAATGTCACGACCGGTGACTTACAAGTTGCATTTTTTACGTAATATCTATTTAGCACTCATTCTTCACATTTTAATGCTGGGAAGCTGAACAAAATATGATTATCCCAACATATTTACGATTTACGCCATTAATTTAGAATTCGTTTATAAATGCAAACTATGTATCTTAGCGTTTAACGTTGTTTGTTACAGGCCAGATAAGAACATATTCTTATATATATTCTTATAGATATGTATTCAATTTAGGAGACATTATTTTATTTACAACCAGTTGAATTACAAATGTATGTAAGAGACCAATATGCTAAATCCACCCAGTATCACGGACAACATCGTATCAAGTACTTCAATAAATTTCATTTTCGTCTACGCATGCAAGTGCAATTCACCAATTGTACTAATAAGTACAAAACTATATTGTTTATATTTTGAACTTAATTAACAAGCACCTACATATATTATTGGACATTAAATTTTTGGTTTAGCCAAAATAAATGAGCAATGCTAATTCATAACTTTTTGAATTAGGAAAGCTCCAATAATTGATGCCGCATTTCCATACTGCATAGCTAACATGACCATAATAAAATTACTGTGGTATGCCAGGTGCTATAATCCTTGCCAATTCTTTGATGAAATTCAGATCCTAGTTCGGGCTTAAAAATAATATCCAAGATTCAATTGAATATAATAGACATCATCCTAGCGTTTAATCGGGGTGCAATTCTTAATTTCTAATGTTGTTAGTTTCTAATGCAAGCATGCAAATATCATACTGCAAATTCAAAATATCTTCCAAGCCAAGGTTGTGTGGTTAGGATTATCAGATAAATACATACATTTGTATGTACTTATTATTTATATAAATGCCAGTTACAAGAGGAAATTTTAGGAAAATCCATGACAATTAATTATGTAACTCTAAATAGGGTTAAATCGAATTACATTAAAATGACAAGGGGCATAATTTGGATAAGTTTTGAATGAGTTTGGATTTTACGTAGCCACGATAAAACTCACAACTTATTGAATTGAATCAGTCTTAAAAATCCTCACAAGAGGTAAATTTCATGAAAACATTTTGCATAAAAGGGTACAGGAAATTAAATTGCCCTTATTAAATTGAAATAATTTCGCTAGTTAAATTTGCGGAGTTACGATTCTTGAACACACCGTTCAAGAATATTCATGTCACTTAAATGAAATTCGAATTCAATTCAAATGCATCGTCGCTTGTATCAATGCATGTATGACATAACATACCTTCAGAAAAGTGCCACTATGAGCATAAATATCATTTACCATCGCGTCAGCACATTCATCGTGTTGCTCCCTAGAATCATCTTTAATATACATCTAAACATGCGTGGTCATTAAATTTGCGCAAAAATTGATCTACATTTACGTAAGCTGATTATTTTTTCGCTTTCTATACCACAAACATTCAATTAAATAGGTATACAAATACTGGTCAATTCATCACTTCCCAGCCATACAACTCAACACTTTTTTTGCTGCTCCGATTATTATCCGTTCTATTGGAAACGCAAAACAAGCACGAGCAGAAGAATGAAAGTGTATCCCTTTTTATCAGATAAAGTTCAAATCGTACACTATTGATTTATTGAAAACGTTAGCAAAAACCAGTACAAAAAATAGAAACACTCAATAATTAAGCACAATTAAATATGTAAGAGAAGAAGATTCTCTTGTACAGCGTTGCTCCACATTTCATGGTTTCTGCCTCCCCACAAGAATTTAGACACTCATTAAAAAGCAGAATTGAGATAAGATTGTGCGTGTCGTGATTAAGAGTGGAATCAACATCCGATTAGTAACAAGATTGCATATTATACGCAGTAGCATCCTTCACTGCCTAAAAAATATATGTATAATTGCAGACACCTTCCCTTTCCGAAAACTCGTTTCATTCTTCTTCTTGTTACTGATTGAGTACACCCACCCACACCATTGCATTCCTGCCCTGTCTCACCTTTATTGACCCATTCATAACAAAGCGTTACATATAAATGCATACCTACGCACGTGTATGCACACTTATCCCATTAAGAACGTAGTATGTCGATGTTCGATGTCTGGGTTTGATTATAATCGTCGCAATTTTTAAAGTAAAATCTTCATTAAGACAATTAAGGAATGAATTAAATATCTGTATGCATGCATACTCATCTTCTGACGAAGGGAAAAGGGGAACATTTATGTGCCCTTAATTTAACACTTCTAAAAAAAGTATTGTTTAATTTCAGTTTTAATTTGGTCTTCAGTAAATAAAGTTCACAGGGTCGAATGTAACCCACATTTTGCATCGTTTGGATCCAGCATGTTTATCTTTCTGATTTGTGTCTGTGGGTCTTTGTTTGGTGTTAGTGCTGACAATTTAGTCGAGACTGGATGGTGGGACCCGACTCTGGAATCATTTTATGCCATACCTGAAACCAATACTTTGTCGGAAAGAGAAGGTCTTACTGCGACTGGACATGAAAAGGACAATGCAAATCCGTGGGATGAAGTTGGTGTTTGGGGAATTTGGGATTATTATGGAAAACAAGTTATCACTGTAACTTTCCTTGCACTCTACCTGTGAGTATTTGAGCATAGCTAAGTTTTTCAGGATGACATGCAAATTAAAATCATGTATTGGATTCTATTACAGACTTGTCACGCTTTACTTCAAAGACAAACTTGTCGAGTAAGAGGAGTACATTTAATTTTAATTATTCCGATATTTTCGCCTGAGTTGTACATAATAATATGCAAATGCATTTACAGGACAAAATGCAACTCGTGGGGCAAATATGGATTTCAAGAATGGGAGTTTCACGCCGAACCAAGACTTGTTGCAGCAATTCGTACGCTATAAATCAGCATTATTGTCCCCATTAGTTATACAAATATAACAATATTTGCATACCTTTTCAGAATCGGATCCCAGCATGCGGAGCGAATTTTTGGACTTGTTCCGTCTCATGAAACGAATCAGGGACGAGGAGGATGACGATTCCTCATCAGACGAAAAGGGATACATGTCCCAATACGAGGCAGAGTTGTCCTATGTAAATGAAATGTGCCCAAGAAAAGCCTTCTTCTACGGAATGGCTCCACGCCACAATGAAGCCGTCATAGCGCTAATGAGACTTTTTGTTGGTAAATTAGCCTGAATTGTGAAAAGATATTCATGTAAAATTCTTAAGTTATGTATATAAATATCTCTTTTTGCGATTACTATTCCAGCTCAACCATCCCCAACACATCTTCATTTCGTCGCCAAATCAATCCTTCTCAGTAAAAAAGTCAATCCAAAAGTTTGGTATTTGGCCCTACTCGGAGCATCCATAGAACGTCCTGATATGCTCGGTTTTCCATTAGCTCATCCTCTCGACGCTGTGCCGGACATGTTCGTTGCGGCACATTTGTTACAGGACGACGACAAATGGCGACATGACTTAAACCCGGTCAATCGCACAAAAACTAATAAATCGCACAGTAAGAAATACAAAGGCAAGAAAAAGGGCGAGAAAACTCGTCAAACGCGATCTGTTCTTGATGATAGAACAATAAGTTCGGCAGAAATTGCGGAATTATTTGCGCCAAAAAATGATACAAAAATTAAGAAGAAACCAACGAAAAGTAGACACTCTATTAGGAAAGATAGTGATGATGGTGACGAGTGTCTCGTAGTGGACGGCTCTATCGGCAAGGACAATGGGATTGAAAGCGTTCTCTGGTATTTTAGAGAAGATATGATGTTGAACCAGCATCACTTGTAAGTTTTATTTTTAAAAAGTTATTGTCTTATTTTAAGGGGCAATTGAAAAGTGTCCTTAATTTCATTAAAAATGCACTTATTTTTATAAACTAAACAGATATTGGCATCAAACCTACCCAGTTAACGCGACACGACACCCAGACCGACGTGCTGAACAATTTTTCTACATGCACCGATCCATGTTGGCAAGGCAGGTGGAAATATATTAAACACGCCATTACTTTGAAAATAACAATTTACCTCGTGAAATTCTAGATACAATGCGGAACGGTTTTCAAACGGGTTGGAGAGAACTGCGGAACTAAAAATTCAACACGGAGCGATAATCTTTGAAGGATATAATTCACATTTGGCAGATATCAACTCGGGAAAATTTTGGACACCGAGACCACACTTTACTCCCATTTCTGTAAGATTACATTTCCCTAATAACACATTAAATTGCGTACTAAAAACCCTTTGTCTGAATTTAATACAGGATGCCAATCATTTTCATGATCCCGATATCGTGCGCAACATTACGGTCAATCAAATTAACTCCATAATCCGAAGGTTTCTTAAGGGAATAAAGTTGGGAAAATTAAAGTCGGTATGTGCCCCATTGTACAATAATTTAGCTACTTTTACGATCACAGCGTAATCATTTAATTTCAAACAAACCTTTAGAGGAAAGGTTCACTCGCTATCAACAACAAGAACGGACGAGGAATAGAACCCTTGGCCAATACGCTTGAGGCCTCCTCCCTCTCGATAAATCCACTCTTTTACGATGCCTTTGGACTGCACAACCTCGGCCATCAAATCATCGGTTTGGCAGTTGACCCCGACTTTCAGAAGCATCTCCCCACCGGAATAATGTCTGAGGCGGCTGTTTCGATGCGGGACCCAGTTTTTTATACGTATCACACCATAATTGACAACCTCTTTGAAAAATTTAAAGAAACGTTACCGCCATATCAAATCACTGGGGTGCGTTACATGAAAATTCGAGATGTTGATGAATTTTATTACATATTAACTGTAGCAATTTTTTGCAATTGCCAGGGTGCATATCCTCTCCTTTGGAATGGCGTGAAAATTACGGGAGTAGAAATTATCGCGAGTGAACAGAACGAAATTCACACATTTTACAGTCAAACCAAGTTTCCCTTAGCGGGTGGCGTTGATGGGAGTGTCGACAAAGGAGAAAAGGTTGACGTCTGTGCTACACATTTGAACCATGAACCATTCCTGTTCAAAATTACTATCGTAATCCAAAAAAAAATACATTTATAAATTATTGCGACCGTATTACACTCAATTCTGCAAAACAAATCCTTCTGTAGGATATGAAACCCTGTGTAGATAGCAAATCTGGCCTGGCCACGGTCCGAATAATGCTCGCACCGAGATACAACGAACATGGTGAAAGACTAAAACTTGTCGAACAGCGTCGTCTAATTTTTCCACTGGATACATTTCAGGTCAAGTGTGAGTACCGAAATTGTTAATTATTTTCCGTCAAGAAAAAGATTAATTCAGTTTTATTTTATTCAATCGTCACAGTGAAAGTTGGTCGGAACGTGATAACGCGACATGATGTTGATTCCAGCCTGACAATTCCATGGTCAAAAAGTTTGCATGACTTTGAACACGGTCCTGTTTCTGAAGCTGCTGATTATTGTGGTTGTGGTAAGATTACGTGACTACCCATTCACTCGAATGTTTGTAAATTGGCAAACCCTAAACTTCGCAAAGTAACAAACATTTTCAAAGAGGACAAAGAGAAATTGTCGTGCAAATCCATTGCAAACTTATGTTTGCATCTGATCTTGTAAAATTTGTTAACTAATTTTACACAGTTTACCGAGTTACAAATATTAGTTAAAGCATCAACTTTAAGTTTAACCGATCGAATTGTCTCACTGCATATTTATAATTTTAGGGTGGCCAAAACATCTCTATATTCCGAAGGGAAGCAAGAAAGGAACCGTTTTCGATTTATTCGTCATGGTCACCAACTTTGATCACGACTTTGTCCAAGACAGTCCACGAGACTTGAAAATTCCTGAACCCTGCAATTCCGCTTACATATTTTGTGGCCGACCTATGCGTCGATATCCTGACGCAAAACCGATGGGCTATCCATTTGACAGGCCTGTTTATCAGGTCCCAACGTTTGATAAGTCTTGCACGCCAGGCAGCTTGTTGTGCTCGTTGAAAGCTACTGCTTTACCTGTGTTGGAGGAATATGTGGCAACCGTTTCAAATATGGAAATGATTTCGGTGGGTTTAAACTGGTTTTATGCTTATCTTCAGAATTATGTAGTGAAGTCTTTAAAATAACTTTGCAATTTTTTTCTTACAGATTCTTGTTAAACATGTTGACAAAAAATCAAAGAAAACCAAGCGAGAAATATAAATATAAATTATGACTTAAATTAATTCTTGATTCAAACTATAACATAAATTATTAATGCAAATGTAAATTTTCAATGTAATCCCAACGAGACTGATAAGTTATTTGAACTTTAATACCCTTACAGATGCTTACTCATGTATATTTAATGCAAATATATTGCACATTAGCAGATGAAAGTAGCTTGCGAATTGCAAGGCGTGCAGTTCATTTCCAGTGTAGATGCTGCATGCAATAAAATCGTGCCACTATTTCACATACATGTGTATATCTTTATTTTAAGGAAACGTACTCATTCAGGCAAACGTTAAGCAAACATCAATTTAATTACTTATAAGGACATATTATTTATTGCTTATCAAATCAATTAATTACAAATCTTCGTAAATTTCGTCTTCTGTACAAGGACCAAAAACGGCATTAGACCCAAAACTACCCGTATGATAAATTTTATTTTTAAGCAATGTGGGCTGTCCATGTACTATGTCCATGAGCTATTGAAGTCTAGTAATAAATAGCTGAAATCAACTATTTAAGAAAAATTACAGTCCTACGTCTAGATAATTACACCTCTGCGTTTTGACATTTTCTCAGTAATCTCATCTTACCAATATTACTTACTTATACATACATCAAGATGTTTGTATCATTCATTAACAATAATTAATACCCAAATACTCATTATTCTAATGATCCCTGATTATAATTCACTTTAAATGCAGTTGTCATTTCAAAGATATTGGGACACACTTTAACGAAAATTATATCATAGAATGTTACACGCCCAAACCTTATCCTTTAAATCAATCCTGTTTGCCTTCCCAGGCAAGGTCATCAACATCTTAAACTCGTCCCAACTCTCATCCACCCTCCCTCTTGTCAACGCATTTAGCGCATCTTCTGGCGGAAACCCGGTGTAAATCAGGGAATTGATTATCTTCCCTGCGTAAGGCACGGCCCTTCGCACGGTGCTCGTTATATTAAAAATCTTTTCTGCTTCTTCCCTCAAAGAATTCTTCTTCTCTTGGTCAAGAAAATCCGCAAAGGTCGAAATGAAACAGATTCTCAGCCGATTCTTCTCATAATCGAGCCACTGCAAAATGTGCTTAATATTTCTCACATGCTGCGGTTGGAGACGGTCAGCTTTAAATACGATGAAAACGGCATCCAATTTTCGAATGTTGGAACTCACGCGGCCTTTTATCATGCTAATTATTTCGTTTTCAGCCCACTCTGTGTCGCAAAGGCCGATCGTGTCCGTGACGACGATGTTTCTTTGGACAAATTTTTTGGTCTCTACATCGTAAACCATTCCCTTTCCTCGAATAAAGTAGATTTCTCGTGTGACGCTACTGTGGCTAACTTTGCTCTCGCAGATGGCGTCGTTGAACATTAAATTAATCAAGTGGGATTTTCCAGCACCTGTCGGCCCAATTAAAATAATGTTGTAGGTGTCCTCATTATAGTCCAAATAGTAGGAAAATTGCGTTGCGACGAAGTGATCTTTGAGGAAGGAATAGATCTGTCGTTCTCTGTAGGAGTGCAATAAATATTGTTTTTTAAACATGAATTTTAAATCCAGGAATCAATGATGCTGAACTTATAAAATTTACAGCAATTACGATGAAAGTGGAGCTTGGCATTTAAATTGATATTGACAAGTGTGATTTTAAATACTTACGGCTGGCCACGAAATACGTGAGGCTGGATATCGGACGGAAATGAGTTGACAATTCGCAAATGATGATCCATAATATCTCTCTTCACCCAATCGAAAAGATGACCTCGGTCCATATCCATCTGATGACTGATCCATCTCCCTCTCGCGATGTAGTTTGCCACATGCTCGCAGTTCCTGAGACAAAGAGAATAATTGTTCATTCCGAGCACGTGTCTGATTCTTTGTCGCACTTCGGCCGTCAACTTGGTCTCAAATGCCGTGGGTGCAGTGATATGTTGTCTCTTCGTGTTTGTGACGATGGTTACGCAGGCCGAGTAAATGTCAAGATTTGGTGTTCCAAACTCAATATAGTAAACCCCATTGGTGAAAAACCAGTGTTGAAACTTGACATTTCCCCAACCACTGTCGGTATTGCTAAGGACGAATTTCTCATCTTCCAGAATTTCCTCAAGAATTTTTAAATTTGCGGAGCGAACGGTGTGGTCATATTGGAGGTTGTGATTTATCCATGTTTTCTTCTCCGCTTCGATGAAAGAGATGGTTTGACCCATGTCAATGTTAGTGGTCCTGCTAATAATTAATTCATAAAAAATTCATATGCTCAGAAACCTAACTCCAAATTACCTTACCTTTTCTACAGCTATCTGTAAATGCAGGTTCGTTTCAATTAAAGGCTAACCTGTAGAATTTATCGTCAACTTTCAATCTTAAAATAATTCAGGGTTAGCCAAACTGTGTTTATGTTGAAAGATAAGTACGTACATAATACTATTTCTCAAACAATTTTTACCAGTTTAATGAGGTTGTGAGTTTACTGAAGGAACTTTTTCATTGCATGTACGCAAATGTAAATCAGTTCATACATACATATTTCTAGTACAAATATTTAAATGCTACCATCGTATGTATCTATAGTGCAATATACAAGGTGCATAGAGATGTTAGGTTTGTTATCTATGAAATGAAGTTGATTTCTGATATGCATTTTTATGTAATTGAAACTATTGTTTTAAAACTTGTTAACAACTGTTGACATAAGTAATTATCCAAATAATTGTTGTTTAAAACTACAGAAAAACTAATGGTCAGTATGCATGTATGTTACAGATAAGGTACATCAGGTTATCTGGTGATTAGTTGCTCCATGTGTTTACGACTAGCAATCTATTGATATGCACTTTCAGTATCAAAGTATCTGTGGATTCATTGATGATTCACTTGCATTCATATTGAATTATTAATACCTAAGTATTAAATAAGTATTGAAATGTCACGTAGTGCCAGATTATGTATTTAAATGGATATAAATTTCCGTAAATATCGTAACAATCCTCAAATTTTTATTTATAGTATTTTCATCTTTCCCACAAAACTTAACATTATTATTGCATGTATTTAGTTCCTTTTGATATATATATTTTTTGCGTAACGAGGGATATGTTTAAAGCAAGGCTGACTACTACACGTACGCCTGAGCTGAATTGTATTATAAGTTGCACTCTCTAGTAGAGAGTCTCTACTACTCTGAGAGAAGGAAGTATTGCTCTTTTTGACCTCTCGGAAACTCTTAACCGTAATAGTTTTAGTCAAAAACGGTGATAAAATCTGTGCGGAATGTCCTCTTGTCGACTGCATACTTATTGTCGGCGTAGCACTCGTATATTCCGGCGTCCATTTGAGTTGCTGGATCAATCTCCATCTTCGATTTGATCTTCTCATCACCATGTCTCCACTCGTGCACCTAAAAATGCATAACTCGGAATTTAGTATAATTTTAACTTTCGTGGTCAAAAGTTGGCTTCAATTTACCTGAAGAAATCCATGATAATAAAGTTCAATGCCGTCTTTAAACCATGTAATTTGTGGCCGAGGAGATCCTTTCGCTTCGCATAAAAAACTGACCTTGTGACCCAGAACGTATTCCAGGTCGAAATGAGACGCTTTTGTGATTTTGGCACCCTGTAAATCATAATTATTATATTTACAAATTCCAAATTTTATTAGCATGCTAAAATTTGCAAATTATTTTGCACTAACTTTGGGATTTGTGTAATATTTGGCCGTATCCGGATCTCTCCATTGTCCCCCCGGAGGAACTCTAAGGCTCGTGCTGAGACCTCCTTTCCTCCCTTTTGAACGACCACGACCCTAAACAATGCACACAAAATATAAATAAACAATCCCAATTCCCAACTTTCTCCACTTTCTCCGCTAAAAATCCGCACAAAAATTGGCCACTCACCCCTCTCTGCCCCTCCACCCAGACCGTCATCATCCCCAAAAGTAGGAGTATATTTCCCACAATGAAGATTAGTCTCATAATTAGTACTGCTAACAATTACTGAACTCTACGAAAATCAAAATTCCTAGGAGAGAAATAAACCCGCCTACCACGTTTCCCGATCCTGCAGAAGAGAAAGAAGTTTCTATATACAACGTATTGATTTCTCCAACCAAGGGCTGAATGTCAAGACTGAGTCATACCTAGCTTTCTCCGAAGTTGACATCGCAGGGCTGCACAACATACATATCCTACCCGGGTTAGTTCTCTATACATGCAGCAGTACCCGGATTCGGGCAGCTTGGGTTTCGTATCCTTGGCCATGTGTGCAAACAAACGCCAGACGAGTACGAGACAGGATCTGCAATCTTCTGAAAACGAGAGCTGCTGGTTTCCTCACGTCTTGTGATATGTGCAGTATATTATTCTCAACTTTGTAAAAATCTGTCCAAGAGTGCGTGATTAGGGCGAAATTGGTCACATTACAGATCATAAGATTATACTTAATACCACACATTCCAAAACATACTAGAACTTACGTAACTGAAGAAAAATCAATGTATTGATCCAACACCGTGTCGAGAAACCGGAGTCTAATGCACTTTGGTGTATGCAATGCGAATTAAATAAGCATGGCACAATAAACCCGGAAGATGCAGATTTCATAGAACTCTCAAACTCAGCGTTCGCATACTAAATCCTTCAAAAGTAAGACAATAAATTTACCTCCATTTTAAAATGCTCCATTTTAGAGAGTAGTAAGAGGCAAAGCATAAATAAAATAAAACGCTATGTTAATCAAGATCAAGAAAAGAATGACGGTGCAGTACCACCTGGAAAGCAGGTTTGGTCGGTCCATCAAACACCTGCTTTTACGTTGGAAGGGGTCAATATTCAAATTAGTTTGGCCCGATTTGTGCATCTTTCTCTTACTCTATTTCTCAATTTCCTGCTTGTACCGATTCGGCCTTACTCGCGACCAACAGAAACGGTTTGAAAAAATTTCAATTTACTGTGAAAAATATGGGACGCTGATTCCTGTGTCGTAAGTAATTTTGCATAATTCAATATATTGAAAGAATTATTACTTATGATTAAAATTATGCAGGTTCGTTCTGGGGTTTTACGTGTCACTAGTCATAGGGCGATGGTGGGCGCAGTATAAAATAATTCCGTGGATTGATACGCTAGCCATGTGGATAAATACGTCGATTAAAGGGACGGAAGACGAGGAGAGGTTGTTGAGGAGGACGATTTGCAGATACGCGTGCTTATCCATTACTCAGTGCTACACTTTGATCAGTAATCAGTGCAAGAGAAGGTATTTACATAATTTGCATAAGTTATAATTTATGCATATCAAGTAGTAGTTATAATTCATCTGTCAATCTTATTTTTCGTCGATTTTGAAGGTTATAATTTACATTTCGTTTAAAATTTTAAATGCACGACTAGTAATCCAGTCTTTAATATATGTAAATTCATAGAAATTCATGACACATGTACATATGTACATAAGTATTCAATTTTACTGTAACTTCCCAGATTTCCTACCCTTGACCACTTAATCGCAGCCGGACTGCTACTCCCGGATGAAAAGGTGGCGTATGAAAATATCGTCGCCGGCATTCCAAAGTATCAAACGCATTGGATCCCACTCGTTTGGGCGACGACACTCGTGGCGCAAGCACGATTCGAGGGCAAAATAAATTCTGACACTTGGACGAAAACGATACTTGACGAAATCAACAAAATCAAGGATGCTTGCAACCTCCTCTTGTGCTTTGACCGGATTCGCGTCCCTCTCGTGTACACGCAAGTCGTCACCCTCGCGGTGTACTCGTACTTTCTCTCCTGCCTCATGGGCCGACAGTGGGTGCACTACAGACCTGCAGAACAGCCCGAACAAATCGACGGAAAACCTCGTAATTAACAATAAATTGGTAAAATCAATAGTCATGTTTATATGATGTGCTCGTTTCCATAGCAACCAAACAACATGGAAAGTTTGGCGTAGAAGAGCTCGACCTAGTCGTTCCTGTCTTTACAATTCTTCAATTCCTTTTTTACATTGGATGGCTAAAAGTCGCCGAAAGCTTAGTAAATCCCTTTGGGGATGACGACTACGATTTTGAACTAAATTGGATGGTGGATCGCCATTTACAGGTACGAAAAAAACATATTTTAAACGTATTTACCTGAAAAAAGTGCTGTAAAAAATAACTCAATTTCCCCAGGTGTCATACACCATCGTGGACAAGATGCACTATAAAACGCCGACCATGCAGAAGGATCTTTATTGGGGAGAGATGGTTCCACCCGAAATGCCGCACACCGTGGCCTCCATTAAGGGAAACAATGATCCTCCCGTCACCTCCACGGCGGCGGTCGTGGTTCCGCACAAGGAGAGGGAACTAGTGACGCCAAACTTAATCACGATGGCGACCATAGCCAAGGCAGATATCAAGTTCCGCAAAAGAACGCTCATGGCGGAGAGGAAGAAGCAACGTATCCTCGCCGAACAAGAACGTCAACGCCAACTGCAAGAACAAGGACAAGAAGGTGACGTGGCGACAATAGACATGCCCGAAGACGAAGAAGATGACGATGACGATGATGATGATGACGAAGAAGAAGAGAAACAAAACGATGGCGAGAATGTCGTCCAGGTGTATAAAGAGGAGAATGGGATTAAATTAGTTGCCTCAAATGCGGTATAAATAAATAAGACACAATTTAGTATTAATTTATCACTATAATTCAAAATGGTTCATAACCTTAAACCTCATATTTGTACCTGCGAGGCACTTATACTAGCTCAAGTAGAATGGCTTAAAGTATACTTAAGAAGACACCTTAGGACCTTAGATACAAAGACAATGACGATTGATGGGTTTGTGATTTTCTATAACGTGATATTACTTAAATGTGAACGCCTGTATTTATCAGAATTGCATGCAAAAAAGGAATTAATCTGTATGCCTAAATATATTGGACCATTTTTATTAATTGAGAGATTTTATTTACAATTTTGATAACATGATACATACAAATATATGACTTATGTAAGTTTTAGATGAATTTGTTGATGCATTTACCGAATATGTATATATGTAGGTAAATTTTATGGAATATGCAATGAAATTCTTAAAGAATTTATTTATCTGTTGAGCTCAAAATATATCAATTTACAAAAGGAAAATTTAACCCCACTTCTTATCCCTCTTCAGATTTCTCACCAATAATTCCAACCCCATCGACACAAAACTTATTGCTAAACCACCTGCAAATAATGCTAAACAAATCGTAATATTATTCACCACCACCGGTACAAATTTTCCCTCGCCCTCGTTCATCTCGATAACGCTTTCCCCCTGCATGACCAGTAATCCGAAGTAATTTAAACTGCTCACATTAATCGCCTTGTCCCCCCTCCTTAGCTCCCATATTATCTTAAACAACTCAAAATTTCTATGCCATTTCTCATAAATTCCCGACTCTACCAAATGAGCCAATCCTTTTATCAACATTTCCGAGTAAATATTCCTATCCCCAAACCACGGCGTTCTACTCACGTAAGGATTTGGTCCCATTTTCTTCTCATCAATAAAGTAATCCACACAAAATCTGCTAACCAAGACTTTCATGATATCCGAATCCCGACGTGCACTCACAGTTGCAAAAATGTCTGGCATAAAGGTCATTCCTCGATCGGTATCAACGGCTTTACCCTCGCTAATATTTCGCACGACGGAGTACATCTCCCCCCTAAAGAATTTTGAGAAATGGCGAAATCTCATAAAGAATTCCGAGTATCCATCCTCCCCGTAAGAAAGATCTGCCAAAACATAATCCTTCAAAGTCGAGTAAGCCGTCCCATTGAAATAGTGCTTCGTACTCGTGGCGATCATAATGTCCGAGTTGGCAATGGCTTCGAACGAGTCCGGCGTGGGGGGCGGTGTGTCCTTCGTCAGGTAAGAGAAGAGGTCACCCTTGTAGCAATTGCATAAGATGAAGCAGGCCCAAATCCAGGGCAGCAGAAGAAACGCGTTCCTCCTCATTGGGTGTTGACTTGTTTTCCTTTCATCCATCGGGACTGACTGTTCCATTAGGATGGAGAATATGATGACGACCGAATTTGCAATTTTCGCCGGTTCAAATCCATCGCTATAATAGGCGCCAAGCAGAAGTCCCAATATTCCAAAGGAGACGACCAGTCCGACCCATAACCAGATTCCCATGGGTAGAAAGAGCTTTAAAAAATTGAAGTCACCCCTCCCAACGTACAGGACGAGGTCATATTGGTCAATAGTTGAGCCGTAATTTATCCAAATATTCTTCCGAATTGAGGGATCGATAAAGTTGACTTGATTGAATATTGTGCTCGAAGGTTGGTCAAATTTAAGGTTAGTTAAAGGACCCATGCCGTTCTCCGTGGGAAATACGGAGTAGTTGTAGTGGCTGCTGAGCACATATGGGATGCAGTACACCACAGACGTGTGAAATCCGAATTGGTACGGAGAACATGTCCGAAATCTGAGAGGGATGGGGTTACGTTTCGAAATGTGGACGTGCTTTATCCAAGATATCGATTTCTCCAGTTTTATCACCCCTTTAGAAATATCTTCAATTTGTTGAGGCATTTCTTGGGAGCAGTGCTTGCAAAGAAGTAAGTATCCAAAAGTTGGATGTGCCAAGATGAATGTGGAACTTAAGCAATACTCTGATGTTCGGAAGTTTACGTTAAAATTTGTCATATTGGTGTCCTCATAGGTCAAGAAGATTATGAAATCTGGGTTGAAATTGTGATATGTTATTCCACGAAGTAAAATTTGAGTCTCGTTGTAGTTGGAAATTACGGTCGTGTCAATGATCTGTATCAAGCAGGAATTTTGTAATTTCGTCGTTGTGTATGCTGCTCGGTGGGGTGTGCCCCTAGGATAGAATTTACTCGTTGGATGGAGAGTAGTATTGATTTTGTCAAGGATAATGGAATTTATGATTTGCATAGGTTCGAAAAAGTTGGTATCTCTGTTCTCAAAATTACTGAGAATATGGATGATACAACCGTGCGAAAACGATGCCTTTAATTTTAGGCTGGAAACAATCCCAACTAAAGTGATTGCTGGTACGAGATTTAAAATCTGCATTTCTTTGGCTCAAAATTATTTTAAAATTTATACGAGTAAGACTTGATTATCGAAATGTAAACTAAATGAATTTCTGTTCAGACGCTGAACGTCTATCATAGACTTAAAAATATATAGTTGAACTCCGCAAATACAGCGTAGGTTAGATTATTTTATGGACAAACAATCCAAGAGGGTTCCAATTCGAGTATTTACATGCATGAATAATTTTATAAATACATCCTATTTCCTTTGTTGAATTTTATTGACGTTTTGGCAACTTAGGCGTAATTTTTCTTCATTACATAACAATTTAGAGACTCCGGTTACCTACTTATTTTAAACTCGTTATAAACTTTCGAAATTGGAGGAGGAATTAAGTTTATGCTCAGCAAAGTTTTCTATCTACATACGTGATTCATTAAACATCAATTAGTAACACGAGTTACAAATTTATAGAAGTTTGAGTAAGTTATGATAATGTAGTACATAACACATACATATATATTGATGTACATGTTATGTGGGTATATAACCATTGATAGAGAAACGTATATATATATGTACGTATTTATGTACATGTGTACATGTACACATAATAAGTATTTGTACTTATCTACATAGGAACATGTACACACACATTATATAATAAAGCCATTATGTAATTATGTATTTTCCTCTCAAGAATCTGGAGTCTTGCATGTTGCGCAATTGTATCTTAGATTACAAAATTATTATTTCTTCGGGGAAATATTCCATGGGAAACATGAGGTAGTATAATTACAGCACAGATATCGAGTTAAATACATAATTGTGGTGTCGCATATTGGAAATATTTAAAAATGCATATTTCATTTCATAATTATTTTAATTCGCTGTACTAAATATCTTATTCAGGCTTTAAACATTCTACATACATTATAAATTATTTCTATTTGAACCTTTTGTACAGTTAGTGTTAGTCGACCTCAGATAAACCAGTCACGCTGAATATGTAATGCAACAAAATTTAGTCACATGAAAATTTAGTGTAAAGCTTAGGTAAGTATGTACATACAAAATAGCTTCCATAACTAAATAAGTATTGCATAACGGAGTATTGAAAGACAGAATATCAAGGGCAAATAAGTGGAATCTTGAGCAATAAAGAGTTGGGGTATTTTACATAGACAAATATATGTCGTACAAATTTGCATACACACGTATGTATGTATGCATTAACAGTTTAAGTTTAATCCTATTTTTAATTGAAGCATTTTATACACATTACTCTAAGGATTCTTATTTCTTCCCAGATTTTTCGTAATGTTCCCAATATTCCCTCACGTTTTGGTAGTGTCCTCCAAAATCTGTTCCAATAATTACACCAGAATCATTTATAAACATACAACTGGGTTTTAACTGTATGTAAATAAGAAGCATTATATTTGCATACCTGCCAGCGTAGGTACACGTTTCTTGTTTCTGTGCTTCCTTTCTTCATGCCGTAAATTCATATACACGGGCTTATCCATTACTGACTGGATAGGAACATTCCCCAACAATGGTTGAGCCGAGAACTCTGCCTTTACTTCCGGTCCAGTATCTCTTCCTTCTTGACCGGTTTGCTTTTGGTCTTCCGATGATTCCACATCGTTGCTCTTCTTCCGCTTACACGAGGATCCCAAATTTCTACAAGACTTTGACCTGACACTTATCACAATTGCAACGAACAGAACGGAGGCTGCGATACCTCCCGCGATTGCGACATCTCGCACCGCTTGTGCCAAATTTTTGCCAATTTCTATCTCTGTGTAGATATCAAGTCTCACTTTTATCTTGGACATTGCATCTGCCAAGTGTTTAGTGGCGTCGGCTCCGATGGTCTTTTGTAATAGAAATTCCTAACATTAGTATCGCGTTCTTCAAGTATTTATTAAAACTTTACCTTGAGATCACTCGTGTTAAGGGCAATTTTCCAATTCTGGGCTAGCGATGAAACTGCATCTCTTAAGTTTTCGGTCGCAGCCTTTCCTATATTTTCAAAATCCCCCGAATCTAGTCTCACACTAACGTTTTATGGCGAGTTCGGATATTGTGGGTGATAATTCTGCGACAACGGCAGGATTTGAACCTGCTTCTTTAAGCCTTTGGTTTATTTCTTCTATTTCTCGTTGAATTTGCTTTGCTCCAAAGCCAGCTGAATTTCCTTGAAGGGCAGCCCCCTCATTTACAGGATGAATATTTCTATTAACGTCTGACGTTAGGGGCCGTACTGCAGGAAGGGGGTTGTTATGGGTGGAAGAGTCCTGCTTTGATTTTTGAAGTTTTTCATGATTTTTTATTAATTCACTGTGAAACTGATCGAACCTAGAGTCACTTGATGAGACACTGTCAAAAATAGTTAAAATTACTAAAGCGAACATAAGTAATAATTTCGACATTATCGTTTTTAAAATATGAGTAATTATAAAATAAGTTTAAAGTTAAGCAAGTACATGGAAATCTTTTGTGAATGAAAAAAAAATGAGATGGAAATAGATGTGGGTTGATTGTATGAATGAGTGAGGTACTCACTTATCGTTACTTGTACATATTTGTGTTGTGGTATGTGTTTTGGGAGCATATTTGATAAGTAAGCAGAATTGCGTATAGTAATTTAGATAACAACGTGAACTGCAGACAATCATGAGTCTGCGATTCATTGATCCGACGGGATTTCGAAGCAAGATGAAACAAATAATGAGTCAACAATTAAATAAACATCCGTTCCTATCAATGTAATCCTTGACATGATAACTGAAAATGAGTTTGTGAATTGCATAATGTAGCAGATAATGCTACTCGGAAGGGTTAAATATTCATGACTTTTCAAGTGAGAGTGTGATATCATCTTTGGCCAAATAAAAAGTCATGAACGTCAAGATTTCAGAAAAGTATTTGTAGAAAATTAGCGAAATCAAGTTCTATGAAAACCGTTATTTTATTTGGATGCCTGTATTTGATGAAACTCATTCATCATGTATGTAGTAGTGATCCTGGCAAGATGAATATATATATTGAAATGTTATAACATGCGCATAAATTCTATATAATTGTGGTAAAATAATTGATTTTCAAATGCACTTTGTTTCTACACAATAGTAAACTAAGGACAAATTAAAATCATAAAGCAGGAAAATGTTACTTACGAAATTGTATTGTTGCAACTAGCTACATATATACATACATAATTAAGTAAATGACTGACTAAAATAACAATCTGGTAACTGAATCAACATTCGACTTCTTGAACTAAAAATTCCGGGTCTACGAGGTTATCGGCAGGCAAGATGTTTTACCCTCAATTTCGAACACGGACATTTTGTCTAGGACCCAGCGTCAAAATCAACCATTTGTCGCTATTAAAATGTGTATATGCCCAGAAGATACACTTGAAAAAAAATCTTGACCTCTGACCTTTCTAACTTTGCATCTTTACATTGTTCATCAAACCATAATTGCAAAATTTGCCGTGGAAATTGCCTAAAAATTATATGGAACATTATAATTATTCAGTTTAATTTGACTTGCATGAATTATAAATATGCACATGTTTTCACGCAAACCAACCACCAAAGCAACAACCACTTGCATAAATATGTTGATTCATCAACCAGATAAGATACAACTTTCAACTTTCTTTATTGCCACTGATTTAACATTGTTATTGGTTTTATTGCCACCTTGCCTGTACTCTAAATAAGTCGGTATAAAAGTATAATACCTGCCGTTTAGGTAATGATCGGTACATTACAGATATTTGCTGAAAATCATTATCCTCGTTCGACCACAATATTGACAGTATAAATGCATAGCTCAAGCTTTTACAATACGCTGGTTTCGATTTGGCTATCAAGTTTTTTAGAGTGTATACTTCAAGAACTATATCAATTTTTACTGTCATTCTTTACAATTTGTTTATGAATTTTTTGATTTCATCAGTGGCTCAATGGTTTAGGGGTATAATTCCCGCTTTGGGTGCGGGAGGTCCCGGGTTCGAATCCCGGTTGAGCCCAATATTTTGCCAAAATTTTCGAAAAATTGCTAATATTTTGCTAGGCTTTATGTCGGACAGAAAGGAGCGAAAACTGCTCGTAATTTGCTGCTTTTGTGTGACTTTTTGTATGTTACACCTCAATCTGCTTATATAACGTACTATAAGGTATCTAGAAAGTAGCATTAACGCAATTACGATAAGCGCAGGTAACCGCGTTAAAAATGAATCCAGATTCATGGATAAACGCTAGCGTGGTACATTTTGTAGACAAAGAACATCGACACGAATTGAGACAGCGCCTTGTGCGAAGTACAATCTCCGGGTCTCGATTCCACAGCAGGTTGTCCCGACTTCTCGTCACCGTGCGCGATGGTCCTCGTTCTCGCAAAACAAGCCAAACCTAAAGCATGGAGGAAGATAGGCCAACTTTGCATTTACACGTACCAATTATTATCAGAACCATGAGATTCTTTGAAATTTTTACCACATACGCAGATTATGATGTACTATCATCACATAATAAAATAAATAAATTTAAAAGAATAGCGCATAGTTAATTTTCAAATTTAAAATTGTTATAACTTACTCCCCATGTAAAACTTGCTCTCGTGTTTACCTGCTAGAATTTGTATTTCATTAGTTTTCATTAAAAACTCAGTAGATTTGATTTAAGGATTACTTTGTTTTATAACATATCCAAATCCGTAAGAGTTTGCATATGCCAATTCCTTTATTTTTGCTTCCAAAAATGTAGCACTGTTCATCATTTACGTATTGTAAGCGTATGAATGTGAGAGATGTAGGGGGACAAAATAACGCTGTATTGTTCAACGAGCGATATGAAACCGAAGTTTGAGACGGAAGAAAATTGTCCAGTCCCAACTCCGAGCTTTTCGCCTGATCTATGGCTGTATTTCGGTGGTATTTTGGTTGTATTTTGGTGATATTTTAGCGTGAGCACCACGAAAATGATTGCACGGGAAACAGAACGCGAAGAGACGACTGCTCAATACAGAAATTACAGATTCTCCAGTCGATGTGCTTGATTCGGTTTGTTTAACGTAGTATTACCATTACGTTAGCTTTGTTACACTCCAAATTTTATCAATCATTAGAAACTGACCTCCCACCACGCAATGCCAATGCAGCAAATTAATTCAACTTGGGCGAAAACTGGGTAACAGCAAATGCTTATGATAAAATTATAACGGGAATCCAAAAGCATACAAGTTGCAAGTAGATAAATAAATACACCAGCGAAATGAACATGCATTTTGTGCATCATGCGAACATATAAATATGTGAGTTTAAGTTCGTTCATTGTTCGTATGTATGCAATTTGCTGTTCATACGAGACCAGAGTAATTATCATAGAAGTTCTTCTTACTTTTAATGCTTTCATTTTTTGGACAAATAAAAAAGGACAAGTGATGAAACTAAATTCCATGATATGAAACGCAGATGCAAGCAAACTTCCAAATATTTGTAGAATAATTAATACACAATTTATTTCAAGCAGTAGCAAATGGCAAACTTTAAATAAAAAATGCCAAGATCATAATAGGTATAAATCCGTCGAAAGTTTGGTAAAATAATTGATCGAAAAATATATACAGATTTTACACTATATTGAATCGTAAAACAATAAGCAACTTAAATTCATTAAAGTCGGTACACGATACAATTTTAATTCGCCACATGTGTAAAAATTACTGACTAAAATAACATTCCGAAAACTGAATCAACATTCCAATTTTTAAATTCACATTTACGAATCTGCGGAAGTTTTCGACAAAATTTCCTATCCGCAATTTTAAACGTGGACAACTTGTCATACAGTTCGTCTTCAAAGTCAATTATTTCGTCTCTATTCAAATAGACGCCCAAATCTGGACTCACAGCACCATCTCGATCCTTGCTGGATTTCCGCACAAGGAATTGAGATCCTTCGTCGGTGCTGGTTTCGCTAAGGCCGGAATCTGTGGTGGACGAATTCCTCTCCTTCTCAGCCGTCAGTGACCCTCGGAACCAGAAATTCCCGTCTTCGTCCTGAACGCAGGCTCTCTTCTGGTGTTCCACGTACCGCGACATTACTCGGTTCACATTCTTGTGCCCGACGTTAGGATGAACGCAGACGAAGGGGGCCGTTTGGGTGTATCGGTTTTGTGGACGGCCGGGGAGACGGACGATCCGTTCAGAATTTCTGAGATACGGGGGCAAGAATCGATTTCTATACGGTCTGCCACGACCTACAAAAATAATTGCCTTATTTACTTATTTAAATACTGACATTGAGTATTAAAATACATTATCCAAATCAAAATAATAATTCAAGTTTGCAAAATTTTGGCTCACTGTTTACGAGAAAACTTTTACTGCTGCAACAATAATACTTCTCAATGATGGACACGATGGACACGATACAACCGGACTAAAATGGAAATATGTTATATATTTTTAACAAGTAATTTGATAGCTTTAATATAAAATTTGATTGGACTTACTTTGTCGTATTTGTTTCATCCACAATTTAAAAATCTTAAGATGAAAATTTTGGATAAGTGCACCACGGAGAGAGAAGCGTCTTCTGGGACGAAGAGCACCTTGAACCAATGCTTTGCGATGAGTGACGCTCATTCTCGACGTCCACGCTGAAGGAAAAAGACGCCGTCTTATCAGAGTCCCTTATACTCCTGACTCCACGCTGAACTGGGCTCAACTTGTTTAGTGGATAGATGTCCCTGAATATGCCCAAGTTTATTTATATCATGTTTTAAGAAGGACGCTTCACTGATGCACCTTGAATTGGAGCTAGCAAAAGTCAGCGTCCCTTCTCTCACCTGGAATTCTCGCAAACTTTTTTTTTCTCTCACTTACTTGGCTTGGTTTGGGTAAGCCTTTCGGTTGTGGTGTCTTGGAACTTGGTTCAGTTGCCTCTGTGACTTCAGAGTCCAAAGTAAGAAGATTTTCTTCGCCTCCTGCTTAAAGCATCATCACGACAAAGTTTCTTCAAATTTTTCAAAATATCTTCAATCGAGAGATTCAGAAATCATTTACAACAAAAGAAGTTGAAACACGTAAGTACCAATCAATTGTAATTTTGTATGGTGCCAAGTAAGCAATCAAATACTGTGTCGTTTTGCAGTAAATCTTGCTGCCAGGAATTATGGAACACCAACAAGCCGCACTGCCTCCCTACGGAGTGACCTTCCTCCCACCTCTGGGGAACGTGACCTTTTCCATCCCTCCAACCTTCCCACCTGTGGCTCAAGCATCAGGATTTTATTCGAACCAGACCGAAATTCAAGGACAATGGGTACAAGGACCAGTCCAGTACTGGGACCCTTCGATGCCGATTTCAATGTTATACCGAGGAGGAAATGACGCTGGAGGTTTCTTCAACTTACTTCCGTGCACTTTGGCAGATGCCCATCTCACCAACAACTGCTTATCGTTTCCCTGCACGACCTGTTTTCACCCGGGACCAGTGAATGGGGTTTATCCGCCTGCCACAGTATCAGTTCTGCCGCAGGGACCAAGTCTTCCTATCGTGATCGTACCGGCCATGGGATACGCGACAGAACCGTGTCAGGGGGATTGGCCAAATCAAAGTCTTTCTGAAATTGGGAGTGACAGCGTGCCTAACACGAGCAAGAAGATGGAAGACGGTTCAGGCGATGGAGATATGATGGTAAGTTTAATTAACTTTATTAATTTCGTGTACTTTGACAAAACATTATTATCGGTTGATTTTTCACGCTTCTTGCCATTTTCCATGACGTTGCGTAAGTTGAGGCACTTTGAGACAAATTTGAGACGTGGTTAGTAATAATGCTGCTCTCTCTATATCATATTTAGCAGGACAAACAGCAGTCCGAAACAACCCTTCCTTGTAAAAAGTCGAAGTCTCGTCGTCGCCACCGTCCTCAGCGTCGTCCTCACAAAGATCATCGTTACCCCAGATCCAACTCGGGCAGCTCTCTCACTTTGAACAACCATTGCAAGTTGTGTCTCAGCAATGGGGAATCGGAGAAATTTTACATGTCACACACGCTCCGGGATTCCGAGGACAAGGTGCGTATATTAAAGATTTATTAAAATTTCCATTTTTGACCAACCCCCAAAACTCTGCGCCCGATTTTATCAAATCTAACGATTCAACTCGTTCTATTTGTTAGGTCTCCTGTCCAGTCCTACGCAATTTGGTCTGCAGCATTTGTGGGGAAACTGGCGACACGGCCCACACTTTAAAATACTGTCCCTACAATTACGACGTCCCACTGGAATTAAGGTCCGCGAATTTTGACCAGGCACGACGCGACGTAGCAAAATTGATGAAGATGCTGATGAAGAACTGATGTGCAAAACTTTACAATTTTATGACTAGAATTGATGAACTTTTGGAAAAACGCGCTTTTTACTCTAGCAGCGATTTGTAAAATAATTTAGGCTAAAAATATAAATACAGACAAATAATTGTTGTTGCTTTCTTTAATGGTGGTTTTAGTTAATATTATCCAATGAATTTACAAACCACTATTACTTTTAATCCTAATTGTTTTTAAATGAATTAACTTTGAAGTATTTTTAAAGACAAAACTTGTTTATGTATCGCATATGTATGTAAAAAAAATGGTGCATTAGTTAAACAAAATTACCCGAATTGATGAATTAAACGAAAAAATCGTAAGTCATACATATTGTTCCAAGCCAATTATTTCCCACGATCTCATCCCTTTTAATCATCAGCATTAAAGATGTATATGTATATAGATAAATTTAATAATTATGGGATGGCAGCCGTGAAACAGATCCTAATACTCCCGTCGTAATATTGAAATTAATTTCGAAATCGAGACACCTTAACTTACAGAATGAATGCCGACCATGGATAAACTACTTATTGATGAATTATCAAAGTTTGTGTAAGGCACGTTAAATTGGCTGCTTTTTTCTTAGTGAGGCAAATACCTAACAACGGAAAAAATTTACTAAGTATGCATTTACCCCACCCAAAAAAAGTGACATAAGTCGATTTCTCGGCCATTTCTCAACCGATTTTGATGAAATTTTGCACAGATCATTGTTACAGGATTTAGAAACGATGTACTAGTTGACTTGGCGAATTTTTGATTTTTACCCGAGTTATGGGCGAAATAGAGCAAAAATTTGCACTCGGAGTCACCTTTCCATCCATTGTTCCATTTCGGAGCATCACATTGTCCTAAATTATTGGAAAAAGTTGCGCTGATTCCTTCTGATCATTTTAAGACCAAGTTGACCGAAATCGGTTAAGAAATCACGACGCTATTCAATTTTGAAAATTAAAAATTCAGTAAAATTACTGTGGATGGAAGTATAATGCGGTGCAATAATGTCGTTGACAACCGAATTACAAGTTTTAAATAAACAAGGTCCCAAAAATGGGAAATCTTAGTGAGGCAGTGCAATCTCAACTCAGAAATAAAGTTAGATTGCAGAATTTTTGCATCACCGCTCTGAATATCATTTTCACTGGATGCACTAAATTTTGCTTATAAGAATGAATTCTCCAATCTTAATTTGCGAATTTAATGCGTTTTTACTAGTGAAAAAGAAATGTGCTAAATTAACTGAGATCAAATATAATGGACCATTATGTTTTAGAAATACACATCCTTATTAATGGGGTGTATTTCTGAGAGTGGTGATTCAAAAATTCTGCAATTTAATTTTATTTCTGAGTTGAGATTGCACTGCCTCACTAAGATTTCCCATTTTTTGGGACCTTGTTTATATTATCAACTGAGAATACTTATTTGAACACACATTCGGTAATTAATTTATTTAGAGTTAATTAATTTGATACCATGCTAATCACGTAAATTTTAACTGTTGGTTTCAATTTCGTCTTGTCCTCAACTTTGTCTTTGTTGACTTGGTTCTTGATAAATGTGGGGGCGGCTCCCATTGTGCAGATTATCGTGCATCACATTGTTGTAAAAATCTTCATAAAAATTATCATTATTAGCATGATGAAGATTTACACATAAATAATTCATTAGCTCACCATTCCGTCCGTTCGTGTAAATATTTCTTGCACTTTCCTGCATCATTCTCGATTTTTTAATATCTTTGACACACCCGTCGCTACTTTCGTCATCGTTACTCGACTCTCCATCCTCAATTTGTCTGCGATTATTTTCTCTCCGGTACCTTGACTTTGACGCCGATTTTCTCCCAGGGAGGCTAATCTTGGGACGAGACCTTCCACACGACTTGACACTGATGACGCCCACACAAACGACAAGCGCGACAAAAAAGACTGAAAACACGATCCCTCCAGAAATTGAGAGGTTTCGCATGGCATCGGACAAATTAGGACCGATTTCAAACTCTGTGTAAATATTGATCCTGATATTTATTTTGGTCATGGCGTCGGCTAAATGTTTCGCAGCGTCGGCCCCAACACTCTGAAGTGAAATGGGTTTTACATAATGGTGGGAAAATTGAGACAAAGGACCAAATTGAAAAGATGTACTTTTTTGGGTAGCAGAAAAAACAATGAAGACCACGATCAATTTCACTGATTTTTTTGTATGATATAAAGCAAGTCTTTAGCTTGAGTTTGCTTAAGTTTCAGGAATGTTACATTCCTGGAACTTGTGCAATTAGAGTTTTGCCGGAGTCTGTTTTCCATATACTTTTCATGGGATGCATGTTGCAACGCCAAAAAAAGTATGAAGACCACCAGCGATTTTCTTTAAACTTTGCACAATGATCATTCAGGTCATTGTGCAATACATGCATGATTTCTGGGAATGTTACATTCCCAGATAAAAAGTTTTACTGATGCTAAAATTAAAAAATGCGATTCGGTGGGGAAAATGAGAAAATGTTAATTTTTTCACTGAATGACGGGTTGCTAAGGACGGGGTTGCCAACTTTTTCTTGCCGTTTTTCAACAAATCAACAACGAAAATGTTACAAATACTGGAAAAATTGCACATCTTCATCATCACTCTGAACTGGATGGATTGCTGCCTGATTTCCTCAGCTTTCTCTGGATTTTGTTCAACTTTCTCTGGATTTTTTCGACTTTCTCCGGATTTCTTTCTCTACTCCCCCTCTGGACACCTCATCCTCAAGTTTTTCATCCTGATTCTGTAAGTGCATACAATAATAATGCAAATTGCGCATTCTACGAAATCCTACTTCTGGTTGAAGAACGTCAATTCAGGGCGCCCTCAATTGACGGGAGTAAACCCAGTGCAACAGTACGAAATTAGCCAGTTTCTCCCTTTCTGTTGCACTGGCATTGTTGAGGAAGTAGGTGGGGAGGACTGGCAACTTTGAGATTGGTGTTGTGTAATCTTCAATTACATTTCTCTGTTTGATCTTGCAGAGAAATCGGTGGTAGTGGTGGTGGTGATTTATTTGAGGTACAACTACATCATTACATATTATTTTAACCCAACTAATAATTAATTAAATGATAAAATGGTATCAATTATAATCATGAAATATTATGAATTATGAAATGTTATGAATAATAGAACTGTGCAAACAATAAATCCATCTAAAATAAACCAAAAATAATATTAAGTATTGTGCATTTTCATTAAAAGTTTGTACAGGTGTCAAAAATGGTCAAGTTCACGTGCTGTGTGTGCGATTCCAAGTCTGGCGTCAGGAAAAGCATGCGCTCTGCTAATGAGGATTCGCTGTGGGGAATACTACGAGGGGCAATGCTGGACATCGGAAAAATTGTTCGGCCTGACGACCTTGTCTGCGGTGGATGCTTCGCATTTCTGCATGTGAATTCTAAACGAGGTGCGGTAAACCTTCAGCTTCGTCTGGATCAAGTTGCAAAATCTAGGCCACGTAGTTTTTCAAAACCTACCCCGTGTGAAGATCCTGTTGCGTCTATGGAGCTGGATCCTGATGTGTTGCAACTACCTCCTAACACGGACTAGAATGTACCAACACCGCCACGTATGCAACACAACATTCCCCCACCCCATCAAGTTATTCCCGTTCCCGTTCCCGTTGGTGTACCCAGAACTCCAGTCGTTGATGTCCCAATTCCTTCCGTCATTTCCACTCAATCACACTGTTTTGTTTGCAAGTCCCCAGTCAGAACCAGAATCAAGAAACGTGCCATCATCGAGGTTTTCATTCGTCGCGGGGTCCTCATTCCAGAAAACAACCGCTGCTGCCGTGAACATTTGCATGGAGAAATGTTGAAAGAAGATGTGCTCACCTCACTTGTCATTGCAAGAGATTCTTCTTCGCTAACTGGGGAACAAGTCTCGAAGTGGATGGTGACCTTGAGAGGAATTATCACCGAGAAAAAACTTCCCATTGACTTCTCCAAGGATTCTCGCCTTACCAACGCTGATTATGAGATGCTTCTCGGGGTTTCGATGGACAACTTTGACGTTCTACTTGCCCATTGCCAAGGCTCTGTACGGAATAGTGCAAATCGAAGTGTGAGAAATTCCCTTGCCATCTTCCTCATGAAATTGAGATTGAACCTGTCCCAACGGGTCATGGCTTTCTTGTTTGGAATTTCGCATCAATCAACAATTTCTGAAACCATCTCTTCTGTCCTGAAGTCACTCCTTGCAAGTTTTGCCCCTCTCTACACTGGATACGGTCACAAAACTCGTCAAGAACTGTTCGACCAGCACATGCGACCCTTTTTTTACATCTATCCTTGGCGTCCCTCCTGAATCTCTCATTTTGATACTTGATGGAACCTACCTCTTCGTGCAGAAGTCATCAAGTTTTCATCTGCAACGTCGTTCCTTCTCCATGCACAAGAAACGCAACCTCTTCAAGCCAATGATGGCAGTTTGTCCGGACGGCTATATAATAGAAGCAACTGGCCTCTTCTATGGAGATCACGGCAACAACGACGCCAATATTTTGCGCAAAATGATGGAAGAACAAGACTCCATAATGTCATTGCTTGAAGAAGATGACGTCCTTATACTTGACCGTGGATTCCGAGATGCGATTGAGTCAGCCGAAAGTCAGGGACTTGCATGTTTTATGCCAGAATTGTTGAAGAAGAACCAAGCCCAGTTCACAACCACCGAGGCCAACAAATCAAGACTGGTTACTATGTTGAGGTGGGTAGTGGAAAGTGTCAACGGAAGACTCAAGAACAAATTCAAGTTTTTTGAAGATATTATTTGCGCCAGCTACTTCCCCAAGCTTCCTGGACTTTTGAAAGTAACTGTTGCAATACTCAATGCTTTCTCTCCCCCAATCTTCACTCAATCTCCGTGGCATGAGGATCTGATTGAATATGTTGCCAGCCGACTTGAATCCACAAATTCCGTACAAACCTTGGTAGAAGAAAACAATCTTCATAGGGGAAATGCTTCTTGGGATCCCGCCGAGGAAGATGAGGTGTTGGAGTTTCCAGAATTGTCACTGGAAGAGTTAAAATCGATAACTCTTGGTCCGTACCAGTTGAGAATTGGAATACAATACAATTGGCAGCATGCACCCTCTGGTGGTGGGTACAACTTCCAGCTTCATAAGGACATGGACGACCTTCTCCGGATAAAACTTCAGTCACGATTCTCCAGAAGTCGAAGGCACACAGTTTGGATTTTGTTCAATCCTTGGGGACATGGAGTTGAGTCCATTCGGGGATGGTACTGCCTCTGTAAGAATGGGTCCCGAACTTTGGGGTGTTGTGGCCATGTTGCAGCATTAATAAAATCATCTCTGAACTTTTGATATAATCGAGTTTTCCCTCTTAAAATATTTAAATGCTTTTCCCAGGTTCTCCGGTACTTATCCTACGATAGATTCATTCCAATCCGAAGTCGTCGGAAGTTGGATTCCGAAGGTTACTTGGATGCAACTCCCAATCAAGAAGTTCCATCTTCCTCTCAACCTGGACCATCTCATGGAGTATCTTTGGTCGCAGATGTCGTAGAATTGCTGGAAGGTGCCGATGTTAACGCCGCGGAGTCTTCTGATGATGAGGAATTTTCCGATGAGGATTAGTTGAAGAGTCCGCATATTTTGAGTTAATTATTCTACAGTTTATAGTTTTTTCGGCTTGTAAGCCTGTCCTCTGTATATTTATTTTGTATTGTTTTATGCACGTTCTTGTGTAAAATGCTTGTGATTTTACCACAATAAACCTCCCCTGTGTAACCTTTGTAAGTTTTGTAACTTGTGTAAACTTTGTAACTTCTGTAACCTGTATAACTTGTATAATCTTTGTAACTTGTATAACCTTTGTAACCTGTGTAACATTTATAACTTGTGTAAACTTATTAACTTCTGTAACCCGTGCAACCTTTGTAACCTGTGTAACCTTTGTAATTTCCAAAATTGAAAAATAAAACACGAATGAGACTAACGAAATAAATTATTAAGTATGCTATGTATTTATACAACGAGAAAAGAATTATCTGGAAATCGAAAAACAAGTTGGGGTAGGTCAGTGGGACCAAATTGATCATATATTGCATCATCGGTTTAAAATTATTCTGTAAACCTCCTGCGTATCGACATGATACTTGCATCACAACCACCATATTTTGCTTAGAAACTCTTGATAAATTGTTTATTCTGTGCCACCCAAAAAAGACCCCATAATTTTTCTGGGGGATAAATGGGAAAGGGAGAAAAATCAGCCCAGAACGATAACCATGGTAGATACCATCCTTTATAAAGTTTTTATAATCACCTTAAGATCTGACGTAGAAATGGCGACGTCCCAATTTTTGGACAGTTCGACGATGGCCTCTTTCAAATTTCTAGTCGCCGAGTCCCCCATCAGTGCCAAATCCCCAGAATCCATCCTCACACTGATTCGTTCGCCCAAAGCGACAATTGTGTTGGCGAACTCGTGAACGATATCTTGTGTCCCATTAATCGCCAGTTTCATAGAATTCTCCAACTTTGTGGTGGTATCTTCCAAGGCAAACCGAAGTTCCTACGCTGAGGCGACGGCTGCTTGCGACATATCCCGAACAGCTTGGGACACACTTTCATCAACGCCGACTTGAAATTTAACCTCCATCCGGATGCTAATTTTTGTCAGTGCGTCTGCCAAATGCTTAGCTGCTTCCGATCCAATATCCTGGAATTAAATTTAAGTAGAGTGATTCTAGTTTTTGTAAAAATCGTCAAAACTTGCGAACCTTCAAATCTGCCGTGTTCACTGCCAATTTCCAATTCTGCGACAAAACTGCCACAGCATCACGGAGGTTTTCCGACGCGGCTTGGCCAACGTTGGCGAAATCTTTCGAGTCCACGGTGACACTGACTTTTTTGGCCAAGTCAGAAATGCTGGTCGACATTCCGTTCACGGCTTCCTTCACGTCGCCCGCACCTTTTTCCATGGCCGCTTTCAGCTTATCGCTGGATTCTCTCATCCCGGATGCTAAGGAGTTGGCCGAGTTTACACCAGCGTTTCTATAACTGCAGGCGTAAGCATTTTCAAAAAATATAGGTAAAAAAATTACGATGATTTTAATTGCGCTCATCTTTGCAAGAAATAAAATAACTTGAGTGGAGTTGGTTTGTTCTTTTCGGCTCATGGAAATTAATGAACATGAAATGATGGGTTTTATATGATCGAGTCTATTTTTATCAGAATTTGAGGTAGTTGTGTAAATAAAATTGGTGAATATTTTATTCACTCATTAAATAAACATCCCGAATTGTCTGCCAGTGTCCGAGAACGGATTCGTCATTATTTGTTCTCTGGACTGATAAAGAGTCAAATGCCCCATTTCCTCTGCAACGATGTTGATTATATCTGATAATCACAGCTTATGGCATGGGTTTTGATAAGCATAGGTGGTCTTATGTAATATAGTCATAAACTATGTCAACATATGTATGCTCAACAAAAATCAGATATTAGTTAGCAAATCTAAATCATGAAATACAAAATAAAATACTGAAGTGTTTTGTATGGAGTGTAAGGCACACCAACTGTATTGACGTTCAAAATTTATGTCGTCACGAACACAATAGATGCACATTATATGAACAAAACTAAAAATAATAGTAATAATTGCCTCATTGTATTTATTAGTTGTAGCACTCGTACGTACATAAGTTGAACCCTGGATGTACATACACCATGCAAGAAACAAATTATTGCATAGTATTGTCATGGCAACGGGTGTCGTGTGGTTGTTTATTGTTGGTATGTAACGTCTTTTAAACTACATACATTATTATTTTTTCACAATTATTATTTTCCATTTCCACATTTAGCAGCTGTCACAACGATGAACGCTCAATTTAAGAAACCTCGGTGTTTAACTCTGTGGGAGAAATGTTCGGGTAAGTTTTACACATACATATACATTTTATGATAAAATTTTTATCATTTTACATTAAAAATGGATGCATAAAATAAATTTGCACATTTCCAGAACGCTACCCACACTGGACAGTTTCTGAATGCGATGAGTATTTGGCACGAAGTTTTTCATGTCCGCGACCGAAATCTTTGAAGAGTGGTGCCCCCAAAAATGACTATGACTACGTCGCTGTGAGAGAGAACGTGGAGACGGAGAGGTCAGAGGAAGTGGGTGCGGTTAGGCGAAATTGACTGATTGTAATTAATCATGAATTAGCAACTTTTAATTAAAACTCTTCGTGATTATGTTTTTGCTCCCATTTTTGTAATTTGTTTAATTTGCGGGCCACATTTCTGACAAATTCATGTGCCTTGTCGCTAAATTAGCAAATAAGGAAGGCATCTGAAGATATCAAATGATTTATAATTTGTGACAAACTTCTAGTATTCAATGTATTTATTATAGATATGCATATAATAATCTTATGATTAAAAGTGATCCAGATTTATTTAAGCTTATGCTTTACCCTCTCTGTTCATACAGTAAATAGCTGTGAATTAATAGTGAATTTAATATTGTACTTGAATCTTAGTACTTATCATCACTGCAAGAATAGTACATGATAACAAAATGTACCCAATACTTGGGAGCATAGCTGCTCGTGAAGTTTGAGGCAAATCGATGTACCAAATTCCATCACGCCAAGTCGTACAATCGGCAACGACACACCCGTCTAGTCCCCTGTTAATCCCGCCAAATATATAAATACGATGCAGCTTTGGCACATAAACGGCGCTCGTCCATGCAAAAAATAATTCCGGGTTACCATTCGTGGGAAAATTGGCCACCGTTATAACCTTATTTTCAAGGGTGCTTGGGTCAAACTGAATTATCGTGTCTGTGTTATAACCCGCCGATATGTTTCCATATCCGCCAATGATATAAGCAAATTTTCCATCCCATACGGCCGCCGGCATTCCGAGCAATCTTGGAAATGTGGGAGGTCCATAGCTTGCCTGTCGCGTATTCAAGTTGACTTTTGCCACAGGATAAGTCGGCGCAATGTTGTCATCCTCATTTCCAAATATGAAGGCAAAACCGTCCCCGGAAGAAACTGCTGTCATGAACCAGTAAGCTTTTTGCAAATTTGCAATCCTGGAGGCTGTGAGATCGGTCATATTGAACAGAACGATGGCTTCTCTGTCATGATATCCGGCGAGAATATAAGCCGTGTTTGGCATATCTCCAGGAATTGAGACCATCTCGAGATTAGGTGCGGGAAGGTCTGCTACTTTGCTGGTAGTGTTGGCGACAGGGTCAAATCTAAATATTAAGCAAGAAGCATTTAAGGATACGTGCATACGCATACGTACTTAAATATGTTTGTGTATGTGATAGAAGAATTGTTCCTTAATAACCAATATGCATAATACAATTATATTGTTATGTAAATTCATTAAATTGTAACCTAAAAATTTCTGTCAATGAATGGTAATCGAGTGTTCCATTTTCATGCATAATTTCAATCATCCCGCCGTGAGTGTACATATTTCCGGAGGTATCGATCGACCCTGACATTTCGAAAACGGGCAGAGGCAGCTCGCCAATTTGGGCGATGGTATCGGAGGAGATTGTGTATTTGTAGATCTCTGACGACTGCGGAGTGTCGATGCTGTAACCTCCCAAAATATAAATCGAGTCGTTGCCATCATAAACAGCGCAACTTCCGTGTTTCGCTTTGGGAAGCTTCACTTTGGACTCCACTGCGACGAACTGGGATTTCACCAAGGAAGTCGAGATGATAAATATTATGAAGAAAGAGAGAAAATAATGCTCCATGGCTGATAAGTTAATTCGTAATTTATTCGTGTTGTTAGTTACAGGTGGATCTCAATAACAATGAATCGAGTTAATTAGTTAAAGCAATGGTTCTCATTGATATATAAGCATAAACTATGTGACATTCTTATCTCGATGTTAACAATCTCGATGCCCTCCAAACGAGAGTGATAATGACATGGATGAATAATTTCGTGGAAATGGAAACGATAACGGGATTATGTCAAGTATGGGTAGATATTCAAGTAAAAACTAAGTAAAATGTTATTATTTTATTCACACACATTTTTTTGGACTATCATCGTATTTTATTATGATGATAAATGATGTATCTACTTATAAAATTAATTAAATTCCGGATAAGCTGAATTGCGTATGACTCCGGGGATTAACTTTCGAGTAAAGCATAAATAAAATTTTTATACTACGTAGTTTACTTTGAAATTGGTTATCTAGATTATTATAATAAATATCTAGTTTAATCTGTGTAATAATTCCGCAAACAAATTAATCAGTAGCACGCTGGAATTTCTCACTGGATGATAAATTATTTTAATTTTTTGGCAATTATTGTTACCCTTTGAGAATAAATCACGGCAAAATTGATAAAGCTGGATAATGATACATTATGTATCTAATTTTAGAGTATCCATATTTTTCAAGGCTGAGTTGATACACATAAATTGTAAATACGGTTAAAATAGTAACAATTCATAGTCCCCAATGTGGGAGCTAACCTGATTTAAGTTCACATTTTTAAGCGCATGCACATTTTGATAAGTACGATGAAGTTATATAAATAGTCGCTTTTACCCAACCTAGCAGGATTATCTACAATTTAAATAAATAAATAAATATTATTTCTAAATTGGACTTCCCAGTTTGTCCACCATTTTTAGACACTCGGTTCTATTGGGATAAATCATATCATAGTGGAGTGGGATAAACGTTTAAAATAAAAATTTCCGAATATGTATGTTTAGCTATGTGTAAATATTTACATACAATTTGTATACGTTACATGTTGTTGTGTTGCACAACAGGGAATAACATTTGATTATGTACGTGAATAAACTCTTCTTCTGTCCTTCATCTCCATCCCCATATTACCTCATTAAGCAAATATCTACATACTTACTCCGACGTTAAGAAGTTTATTTGCAAAAAAAAACCTTAACACAAAGTGTTTCCAACATGACAAGAGAAAATTTGACAACTATCTACATATGTCTTCACCGTATCCTTAGTAAATATGTATGTACCCACTATACATTGACAGACCGAAATATTGTATGACTATAACTCGTATTTATGTAAATGGAAGTAAAAATGCCATTATATAACAAGATATTGCTCATGATCAATCAATATGTGCATAATTCCTAAATGAGGACACGTACGTGGTTGTGTCGCAGGTTATTGTGAAGTCATACATATCTTCACAACATTGTTTTCCCTATTTTCGATCAATCCGTACTTTTTTTATGACAAAGTTCATTAATTAATATGTTGACTACAAAGAACCGACTCTTCCTCGAACAAGAAACCAACTTTCTCACAATCTCAATTATTATAGTCTTAATTCCCCACTCGGTTTGTGCCTCAGAAAAAAATGCGACAACAATACTGGCAGAGCATATTCACGCCGAGGACGTCGTTTGGCCCACCACCGTTGAATTCCGCGTCTCCAAGCAATTTTATGGCCAAGGTAAATACGTCCTGTCCTGATCATAAATATGTAAATCACATTGATACAGACATATCATACAAAATGTATGCAAATGTCAGGACCTAGTTATTTTGGCAACGCTTCACTCGAAAACTGTACCACAGTTGCGCAACTGTTACCCGCCGAGTTTCAAACATTCAACTACATCGAAGTGATTCCGGGAAATTGTATCAAGATCTACCCAAGTCATGACTGCTTCGATTTTGGAAACATTCAGTCCTGGAAACGGATTCGTCTCACAGACATCAAACAACACTGGAACCTCCTCCCGAGCCAAACACCGGTTCGATCGGTGCGATATTGTTTTTCCGACTGTCCCCCCAGCTTTTCTCAAGAGGAGCTAGAAAACGAAAAGGCAGGCTTGGTTTTGGCAACTTTTTACGAAAACCGGGATTTTGAAGGTCATTTGAAATAACGCCAAATTCTTCATAAACCGGTGTACACATTTGTGTTACTGTTACATATCTTCACAGGAATTGGGCTGCCCCTCAACTTGTCTGGGTGCACAGTGGTCCCACTTTCATTAAAGAGACGGATATCGTCTCTAAGAATGCATCAAGATTGCGTTGTCATTTACACGAGCAGAGATTGTAACGGGCATGACGATCACAGAATGATTCGTGCCCCACCTGCAAATCAGGGCAGCTTGGATACTTGGAATCATGGATTGGACCGGCGAGCAGTCACAATTAGTTCATGCTTGTACTACTGTCTGAATTCCACGATGCGAAAGGCATTTCCGTCCGGAAAACTGGACACTGGTCCAACATCAGAGGACGGGGGTGAGGTCGTAATATATGATGAACCACATTTTTATGGTGAGCATGTTTACTTACTGAAGACGATGGCAAGCATAATTACGTAAAGCTTGTGGTACTGGTACATGCATATTTGTTATAAGGATGGGGACTTTAATTGATATAGTTCATTTAGTAACTTCGTTGCATATAATTTGTCTAAAAATTTAACTCGAAAAATCAGCTTAGAGACTGCATACACGGGGAAATACGTCTTTAAAGATATATTTCATCAAAGTTTGCAACATATTGGCATCAATATTTACTTTGCAAAATTTTACAGATACAGTGAACATTATAGTGAATTATACCTCATTGTAAACACGCCAATGTAAAATAACATGTACATATCTATTTTAGGAAATTTTATAAAAGTTCGTCTCGACTCTTGCATCACACTTCCCATCGAATGGAACGGTGTGGCCAACTCAATCGACACAATGAACGAAGATTGTCTCCTCCTCTACGAGGACGTTGATTGCCTCGAACAACTCGGAACTCATCTCCGACTAGATTCCACAAATCTTGCCGAACATAAAGAACTCAAATTGGGCAAATTCAACCTAAAATTACGATCACTGCAATCCTGCTCCGAAGAGAAGAGCACGATTAAAAGGCACAAAGACTTGTTTGAGACTGCAAATCAAGAGGAAAATTCGGTCCTGGTACAAATTTTAATACCGATCGCTGCCGTCTTCCTCATCACAGCAACACTGCTTTTCTCCATCTTATTTTACATCGCTAAGCGAAGAAAACAACGCAAAAAGCAAAGTGTGTATCAAACTGAAAGAATTGCTTTGCAGGAGGAAACCAACAAGTTTTTACAAGGATATGAATCAAAAAGTAAAAGTAATGAAGATTCGTCAAGTATCGTGCTCAGCTCGCCGTACGATACACATTATGAAATTGCAAAAAATCGGATTGATATCGGTGCTTAATTTTTAAAAAGGCATATCCTAAAAAGAATGATAAGTAGGTCAAGATTTGTTTAATTTTTCGGCAGATTTTAAGATAGTCTTGGGCTCTGGACAGTTTGGAATCGTCTTTAAGGGAAGGTTCACAAATTCCGTGGGAATATTGATGGATGTTGCCGTTAAAACTGTCAAGTCTGACGCGAGTATTGAGTATCTTAAAGCTCTGCTGAAGGAGACGAAGGTTATGATTTACATCGGAAAGCACCCAAACATTGCTGAATTTGTTGGTTGTTGCACCAAAAACCTGGAAAAAGGTAGATATATATTTTTTGCGTGTATGTCACGCGATAAAATTGTGTTTAAAAATATTTGAATTCAATTTCCAGGGAGATTTCTCATATTAATGAAGCTTTATCCGGTGGGTTCTCTTGAAACTTATTTAAACGAGAATAGGGATTCATTTACGGAATCAGGGATACAAAGCGACAATAAATTGTCCTCAACGGATGATCCTACGTAAGCTGCTTAAGAAGTTCGAATTAATTAAATTCAACTACCCAAAATAATTCAGAAACTAAACCAAAATTTCTTAATTAAGCTATACGAAAATGGAACTGCTTAAGCATGATTCCACAACCTTCAACACACAACGTCTTATCCAATGGTGCCTAGGTATTGCGGAGGGAATGGAATTTTTAGCCTATAAAAAGGTACATATTCAGAATTTACTATCAAGCGAAATATGCACTTGCAGCCAATTATTTAGGTCCAAATCATGTATGTTTATGTATGCACATATATTCAGGTAATCCATGGTGATCTGGCAACCAGAAATGTCCTCCTTGATGACAACTTAACTCCCAAGATATCCGACTTTGGTCTCTCTGTCCAGCTCCACCAGTATTACGAATACATTAAGAACAAAAATGTGAGGCAGGATAATATATACATTTTATTCTTATTACACCAATTAAACTTTAATTTATTTTTGTTCAGACTCCACTCCCGTGGAGATGGCTCGCGATAGAGTGCTTAAACAGTTCAATTTTTTCTACCCATTCTGACGTTTGGTCGTACGGAGTGACCATGTGGGAAATTTTTACCCTTGGAAGCGTCCCGTATGAAGGGCTGTCCTGGGGACAAGAGTTTACTCAAAGTTTGGAGCAAGAAATGAGATTGGAAAACCCAATTAATGCTTCTAATGATTGGTTTGGATTTCTTTTCAGAATTTTAGTTGTTTCTTAATAACCAAGTGGTTTTGAAATATATAGTTGCAGAATGATGAACGACTGCTGGAAACAAGTGCCAAAGGAGAGGTGTTCATTCACCGAGCTGAAATGTCGCCTGCAGTCAATCCTTCATTGTGAAGACACATCCACTGACATTGGACCGAATGCATGTCTGTATGTTGGTGTCGAAGCGATAAGCTAATAAGCAGCCAAACTTCACTTTAGCAGAAATAATCATTCATTAATTTGAACGCTAATTTGAGCGATCACATATCATACTTAACTCCGACTATTAAATAACACCGAAATGAGAGAAACAAATATACGCATATGTATAATCTGATCCCTACGTAACTCAAGCGATATCTACACCACTCTTTAATAGTATAGTATGTAGATATATTGTATTATATTTATTTATATACGCATGTACACTTAGAAACTATATGTATGCGTTTTGTATGGGCATACATTTATTTATAAAATTCGTAGAATTAAAGTTTAAGTCGTAGAATTTATTGTCATGCCTACATATTTATGAGGAGTTGGGCCAGGACATAATTAAACGCCTCCCAATCCGACTTTTTCACTTGCAAAAAATTTGTAATTGTTGTGATGATAGCTTTGATAAGGGTAAACGTCATTTACTACAAATGCCAACACAAATTATTGCATAATTCCATATTTAAACGTCTGTGATTTCAGTGAATAATGCGACAGATGCAAAACCAGAAGTCACAGACGTACTCCAGAACTGTAATAATGGATTCTGTTTGGCTGACGTGTAATCAAGAAAAATCTGATTCCAAACTCATCATGAAACCGGATTTCTCATGAGCGACATATGATTTTAACAAATCACAAATTTTCACGACACCGACTGAATGATAAACTCAGATGTTTGCATCCCTTTTTGTGTACAAAATGCAATCAAATTATGCGTAAATCTGGACTTACTTAACGCGAAAAAATCAACACCACTGCAGTTCAGTCATAGACAAAGCACATACCTCATGACATTCCCACATCAAATTCCATCAATTGCATTGGCAATTGGAATAATTTCTGTCGTATTCATTTTCGAAATTCCAGTCTTCCCAGATCAAAGAGATTCCAATAAAGTTTCCGAGTTGTCGAAATTTATCCTCTGCACGGGATCATGTCTCCTTCTTCTCAGGGAATGGAAGTCTCAGAAAAAAACAACTCCCAACTTTTCCAACGTCACGGGTGGTGGTCATCGGTACTTAGGTCTTGGTAAGTCAACAATATAAAAATATTAGAATTTCCATCCGGAAAGTGACTTCAAATTGATAACTCTTACAAATTTACTGTACATTACAGCCTTCTTCCTCTTCTACGAAACATTCCTCGCGTACCGACTGGTCAACCAGTTTCTGTACGTATTCATTGCACCCGATTGTTTTGGAACAATGCCTGTCCTTGAAGTTATTGTGCAGATGTGTCTCGCCATGGGGCTGATGGAATCCTTGTATAATAAGCAGGTACGGAATCATTTAGATTGTAATTCAAATTACAGTCCACGACTCATAAGAGTAAAATTTTGAAATTTGGTACACAGTTTTACCGATTTATGAATACACCAATTCTACACGTCATGTTTCGAAGTCTTGTCTGTGACTTCGTCAATTACTTTAAAAAGTCAATAAAACTATGAACATTAATACAGTCGCAATCCTTTTAAATTTTCCCAATTTAGAAATACCTGCCGAATTCTTGCTCAACGTCTTATTACACGTGGAGCATCGTGGGGGCTACGTCTCTCTGCCTCGCCTTCCACCACATCGTCGACGAAGTAATTTTGACCCAGATCGAGAGTTCCATACTGAATAAAACTGGCGTAGATTTTCTACACGAATATCCAATCCAATCATGGTCGCTACATGTCCCTCAACTTTTCCAAAAGAGGGTGATGTGTCTCCAATATGATGCATATCGAGAAACAGCCCATTACATTATTCACCTGCTTCCCGTCGGTGCAGAGTTCTACTTCCTCTCGGCATTCTTCTGCGCAAACAAGTGGCAAGAATTGGGTTATAACAATGAGAAAGAAAAAGGTAGAAAATCATCGCCGGATTTAATTTTGAATCATATTTCAAACACATGTCCAAAACAAATAGTGCTACGAAGTCGATCAAACTCAGTTCCAAGTCGGCCTCTGAAATTGGCGAGTCCACAAACAACGTCTGCGCAAGTATTGGAAATAGAAATGGTCAGCAATGAACCCAAGCCATGCAAAAAGGCATCCTTACCCTTTAAAATCACCACTCTCGTAACTTGTGTAACGATAGGCATCTTTTTACTGGTAACGATATCGCTATTCTGTGCCCTTATAAGACGACAGAATTACCTTGAAGCCATAACATCGTTTGTCGCTCAACATTTCATCTTACAAGCGACAATATTGTCCCTGGAAATTTTCTTATTTCTGTTAAAGCTTAGAAATTGCGGTTCAGCAACAAATCCGTCTCATCATGCCCACGATTTGGACAAGCTTCTCTTGATTTGTCCTCTACTTCCGCTAGGTATCATTATCACACTCCGCTTGCTCCCTGATATCATCGGGATTCCGATAAATTTTGAGGGCCCTCTGGTGGGAAACGCTTGGAAAGCTTGCAGCATATTTTTGGGTCTGTTCCTTTGGGGTCAGGTGGCATTTCAAGCCTTCTTCATTTCTCAGCTGCTAAATACGCCGAAACAGCGGATTTGTAAAGATAAATTGGTGAAGTTTGCAATGTTAGTATTATTCCTGCTCAATTTCGGAGTTTGGTTGAGCTGGACATTGGAAGTGAAGCAGGTTGCGATATGTGGCAGGTCTCGACAGATATTCGGAGATTTAAATTGGGCAATCTTAGTGTTTTCTACAGTTCCATTCATTCTTTTCTGTTTTGGACATTCCGCGGCTAGTTTCTTTGATTTGTACATTTCGATAAGATAGTTGTAAAGGATTGGTAGTGAGTTGATCACATTTGTACCCGGCCAGGGCATTTATTTCATGCCCTCTTAATTTTTGGGCATTTGAGTTTATGTCCTCATAAGTCCAACGTGTATGAAATTTATATATGTACAGATATATGGAGTATGCCTAAAATTCCGGGCATTTATTTAATCATAGCACTGAATATACATACTTGTAAGACTTTTGAAATAAATTTTATATATGTTTAGATTAATAAATACGCACATTCATATATTTTTAATCACTGGTTTTGCATTGAATATGCTTTGACAATGAAAATGAGATGCAGGGTTGGTCGTGTGAAATTCCATCTATTTTGTGAGACTCCATTACTGATACTATATACATAGTCATATTGAGATCACGTTGCATTTTCGGAGATTTACCTACACATATGCATTTCAGAATCTCACAAGTAATTTAGTATTTCGACATGAAATTTATTATATTCATTTTACCCGAATTGGTCATGAGTTTACTTATATAACACAAAAAATAATCCTGACGTGACTGAACATCTGTGACAGACACGTACATATCATCAATATCCATAAATTCTCAGAAAAGAACAAGAGTTGTTTCAAATAAAAAAAAACTTGTCAATTCAATGAATAGAAAAAAAACTGGCGCGATAAAGGCTATGGTAATTCTTGAACGATAATCCAACATGATTATGTTAAATATGTGAATTATAATTAGGTGAATGTATTTTAATTGAACTTCCTCGCTAATACTGAATCATGTATCGCCAATTGGCATAAATATTATACAACTTTATTTAATTACAATAAAATTTACCTCATACTATGTACTCGCACCAGTTTTCATAAGAATGTGAGCGAATCCATACGCAAAACTTGATGTCATTCCCTCATCAAATCCCATCACTTGCTCTGGCAATTGGGACAATTTCTGTCCTATTTGTTTTTGAGGTCCCACTTTTCTCGGAAGAACGGGATTCCAATGGCATCTCGGAATATTCCAAGTTCATTTTTTGTACGATTTCGTGTATTCTCCTTGCCAGGGAATGGAAGAATCAGAAAAAGAACACGGGATTCCGCTCGGACCGTGTTGAAGGTGGAGGTCACAGATATCTCGGTCTTGGTGAGTTGACTTTATGCCGATGTCCATGTCTCCATTTATTTACGCTCATAAAAAATTATTAAAATGTGTCTCATTTCAGCATTTTTCTGCTGCTACGAGACTTTCCTTGGGTACGAATTGATAAATCATTTCCGCTACATTTTCGTCGCCCCAGACTGTTTCGAATGTATTACAATTTTTGAAATCCTTGTCCAAATGTGCCTCGCCTTGGGTCTCATGGAGGCGTTGTATAACAAAGAGGTAATTTACATAAGCCACAAATTAATAGTTATCAGTAAATACAAATTTCCATTATTTAAATTGACGTAGAAATACATCCCAAGCAACAATTCACTCTCGTACTACACTTGGAGCATCGTGGGCGCCACCTCCCTCAGCCTCGCTTTCCATCACGTCATGGAAGAAATAATTTTAACCCAGATTGAAATTTGTGTCAGGAAGAGGATCCTAAGAAACCTTGAGTATCCAATCCAATCATGGGCCGAATATGTCCCAAAACTTTTTAAAAAGAGGGTGAAATGTTTCCAATACGACGCATTCCATGAACAAGCAGACTTCATTATTCACCTACTTCCGGTGGGGCCGGAATTTTACTTCCTCTCTGCATTCTTCTGCGCCAACAAGTGGCACAGGTTGGAGGTCAAAGACTGTTCCGAAGAAATAATTACAGGTGAATCAACCAATGTCACGAGAAAAGGAATGACGCGTCTTCGTCGAGCAAATTCCATGCCATCATTCACTCCATTGGAAACCCTCGTGACGAAACAATCCCTCGAAATAGAAGGCCTCCGCCATAAAAAGGCATCCCCCTCCTTCAAACTAACCATAATCATGTCGTGTATTGCAGTCAGCGTTTTTACGGTTGGGTCGATATCTATATTTTATGTCTTGATGCATCAAGCGGAACACATGTCGGCGGTTATAACATATATCGTGCAACAATTTATTTTCAATATCGCAATTTTGTCCATAGAAATATTAATTTTTGTAACCAAACTGAACGGCAGGGGCCAAAGTGACCCGACTCATGGAGGTCATCACGAGTTGGACAAGTTGCTTCTGATTTGTCCCCTTCTTCAACTTGGGATCCTTGTCACCCTGCGCGTTCTTCCGAATATAATTGGAATCCCGTTTACGGTGAAGGGACCCCTTGTTGGACACCTTTGGACATGTATCGACATATTTTTGGCCTTTCTCCTCTGGGGAGAGGCAGCATTTCAGGCCTTCTTTATTTCACAGCTGCACGACACCCCGAAAAAGCTGATTCGTAAAGATAAGTGGGTCAAGTTGTCCATGTTGCTGCTATTTTTGCTGAATTTCGGGGTTTGGTTGAGTTGGACGCTGCACGCTAAACAGATTTCTTTACATGGTAGATCGATGCAGATTTTTGGAGAGATTACGTGGATCGTCATAGTCTTTTGTACAGTGCCTTTTGTTCTTTTCTGCTTTGGGCATTCGGCAGCGAGTTTTTTAGACCTGTATATTTCTATGAATTAATCCATGTATAAACGCGTATATGCAGGAGAAATTGTAATTTATTAGTTTCAGTGAAATAAACTGTTTGAATCGTCGTCACAAAGTTATGCAATGTCCGCTAACTACAATGTAAGTACATAATTTTGGGAAACAAATATTGCTTTAAGGAATATTTTTCTAGACGCACTTTCGCACGAAAAATACGACATGCATAGCAATGGGATAGCAATTTACATATTTACTAACAAATTTGTTTCATTAATACCGGATTAAAAACAATTTGGCAAAGTTAACCATTGGTATTTTTTAACATGACTTTAAACAGCTCGTGTAAACCTTTTAAAAGATGAATTTTTTTTTGTTGTTTTGATTTTATATGCAACTTAGAAAAAAACCTCAAACTTTTTGAACTCAAACCTGATTTTCGAACCTGATTTTCGCAGCTGTAGGGTCTATCTATGAGTTAGCCCACTTCTTCAAAGTGTGCATAATTACAAAAATTATTTATGGGGAATAAATGATGCTGTTATAATCTAATATTTAAGTATATGCATTTACGTGCATGCATAGTAGATAAGCATACATATTACCGTCCCAAAACTAGATATTATCTAGTTTTGAGCGATTGGATAAGTACCATGCATACAGTGGCGGATAAAGCCAACTCGGGGCCCCTAGGTGGGATTTTTTGCGATATTCAACGGTATTTTAAATTCTTAACTACAGTGCATCAAACAATTGAGTTACAAGTGACAACGATTGACGTTTATTTAGTAACGATATGATGTCGTGTACTTAGAGGTTCTAAACTCCGCACGCGTTTGGATAAACTCATCGCACTTCCGCGTCGCCGATTTTTAAGAACACCGAAATTCAAATGTCAGAATTTTTTAGCGATTCGAAATGAGAGCCAAAAAATAAAACTCCCTGCATATTTTTTTCGAACTTTCTAATATATTTTACTGGAAACTGCAAGGTCTTACGAAGAAAATGAGCTAGGAAAATGAGCTACGACAGTGTACGATGTTTTTGACGCCCACAGAAATTTTTCGCCAAAAACGTTTTTGATGCCTACAAAATATACAATATACTGAAATATATGTACAAAAGCATATATGCACTTTCTATAGGCTTTTGCATCTTTCAAGTCTTTTAATTTCGCCGCGGTCGCGATTTTAGGCATTAAAAACTATTTTGGCGAAAAATTCATCTGGCTCTTCAAATGGCTCTCATTTCGAATTGCTAAAAAATTCTGACATTTGAATATCGGTGACCTTAAAACTCGGCGACGCGGAACTATTCGGCTGAGTTTACACAAATGAGTGTGGAGTTTAGAAGCTCTAAGTACACGGCATCATATCGTAGTTAAAAAAACTTCAACGTGCACTTAATTGTTTGATACTCAATTGTTTGTACACTGTAAATATGCTAGATTTTATAATATTTTGTTTCTGTTATTTTGTGTACTATGCATGTTTAGCAAGCATATTTTGTCAAGTTAATTAAATTATACGCTCCGACTTGATACGGAAAATGAATTTGCTTAAAAAGAACTCCGATTGGCGACATTTTTAATGTCTGGTAATGTTATCGAACTATTTTCATTTCTTAGAGAAAATATTCAGTTTTTTCTACGTTGCACCGCTCCCAGAAATAAAATTACGCCAGACAGTATCGCTTTAGAAATGACTGAAGTTATACAGTTACTTTTAATCCTAACCACTTATGACCATCGTCTCAATAATTCCCAATTCAAAGATCGGAATCACCATGAACTAGATTGAGACAACGATTAATATAAAGAGGCCAACATAATTTTTATTTGACAATTTCTACATGCGATTCCGCAAAATTTTCTCATACTTTAGTAGCTGGATAATAAATTTGGGGGCCCCTTGACAGATATGAGACTTTTTTCTAGCCAAATTTTGTTGAAATATAATTCTTGGCACATATTTATTTGTTATATTTCAAGAATATAAAAAAATCAGTTTTTGCTTACAAAAGGTCTCACCTCTGTCAAGGGGCCCCCACATTGATTCCTGCGAAAATTTTACGGAATCGCATGCAAAAATTGTTAGAACCCCAAGAAAGCACCTTCCAAGATTACATAATCCACAATGGAAATGACTCGGTTACGATTATAACCAGAATCGAAGAAATATATTTGAGTCTACCACTGACTGGTTATCAATTTATAATCGACCAGTGACAAATTTATTCCAAATCGGCAAAAATAATCGTAACCTAATTACCATCAACATATACACATAAATACTCAACTAACTACTTGTAGTTTCCCCAAACTATTTGTTATGCGAGTACTTAATAACCATTAACTTAATAATAATTTATCCGCAGTATCAGTGAATTTATTTTTCGAAATTCGTTGACCAAACTTAAGTATAGCAATATGTACACCACGCCGCACCCGGGGGCCCCCGCTGCGCGGGGGCCCCTATGTCACGCCTACCCCACATACCCTATTTATCCGCCACTGCATGCATATTATGGTATGGTATATATGTAAGCATGCACAAGTACATAATCTGTATGTAGATGCATAAGTAAGTATAAGCAACATACAGAAAACTACATTATTTTGAAACACAACCTATTTATTTACAAGATATGGAGTTGGACATTAAGTCGATTTAGCACACAATCTAATAATTAGATTATAGTGAGTTATAATTAAACCAATGCACTTATATGTACGTACATACGAAGGGTGCATGAATTTTACATTGTTATTCACAGAATACCTGTTATTTAACAAATTTAACACCTACCAAAATTTCGGGGAATAATAGTTCATATTTTGACATAATATACATATTTTCACAGTTGTTACATCACTTTTGCTATTTATAAAGCTATTGTGTCATAAAATACGAAGGGTTATTACACACTACTAAATTGTACATATCGAGTTATGTAAGGCGACCGAGTTATCCGTCCGTCCGAAGGCGCCTACATCTTTGAGCTCAGCTCTCAGATATTAACATCTAAACATCTAAATAATTTTTAGTCAAGGTAAGTTCGTAGGCTAACCTTGTAAGCCAAGAGGTCATGTTGGGAGTCAAATTAATATCATTTTGCAAGAACTGTCCAACGCGATAATTTAATTCGACTCGTATGGACAAGGTCGAAGGTAGAAAATTTCAAATTTTCGTTTTTGGTAGATACTGTTGCAGAATGTTTCGTGTATGGTTTTCAGCACTTCGATTCCGCTACTTCATTATATTTAAGGTTTCAGTTCACTTTTATGGCACCTTGTTTAGAAACGTGAATCAATTTTTCACTCTGGATTTGACAAGATTTGGCAAGACGAATAGTTATAAGATTTATCTAACAAGTTCTTGACCAATGGGATCTGCATAAATTTTGTATGCGCAATTGATTCTTGCTGTTCATTGAGCATTTATACAAGAGTGACGCATTTATATATTAAATAATTCAACACATAGGCATTCACAGTACATAAAATGAAACTTGTAAAATACAAAACTCCGATTTTGCCCAATTTAAATATTTCAATATTTACTGCTTCTGATTTCAAGTTTGTTAGTGTGTAGGGTACCAGTCACGTAAACAAAAAACACAGTTGTGTATGCATCCAAATTGGTCATTGAGATTCATACTTCGTCAGCGTAACTGATTGGCGTAATGGAGGTCGATGGTACTACTGACAAGTTGTACCAAATTCCATACTCGTTCATGGCTCGTTCCATGTTTGTTCTTACTGCTCTGAACCACAGATTAGCTGAATTTGCTAAACGCATGATTTTTTGCAAATTTTTCTCAAATGACTAAACCAATTATCGCGAATATCCATACTTATATGAAGTCAAAGATGGACAGGAAACGCAAGAAAATTAAGAAACCACACCAAAATCCTCCTGAACTTGACTTCGTATCTCCCAAATTATGGAAAGCGTTCGACCAATTTCTCAAAGTTTATAAAAACGTGGCGATATTGCCGTTTAAATTTCGTCTCGTAGAAAGAAAAGTATCCCGGATTCCAATTTCTAAAGGGAAGCATTTCGTCCAAAAGCTTGGTCCCATCTTCCTGGTCACACACACCTTGATCTGCGTAGTTATCCTCATCCAAAACGTGTTCAGGATTCCAGAGGAGGATGAATATTCACGCGAAAACGAAATATTCCGCATTGCCGAACGGTTTTGCTTGTTTTATTTCATCACAATAATTTCCGCCTTTACACAGTTCAATTACTTCGTGGCGTGGAGACCCCTTTGTCTTTGCAACATTATGAACTCAATTTCACCATTGCACAACAGAATAAAAGGTATTTACATATTTACAATAACTTAAGAATAACAACTGTATATCGTCACTGTAGATCAATAATGTGCCATATTGAAAATATAGTTACACATATGTAAAATGCTTCCAAAAATCGTAATACACTTCAATACAGTTTAGGGATATTATGGTTCCAACTGATTTTCAACTTGACACATTAAGGATTTACAGCAACGATATGTAACAATTATGTACATGCAATTCCAGCACTCGGTCAAATCAACTACAAACAAACCTCGAATAAACTGTTGGAACTGGTCGTGTCAACTTTCGTCAAATACATTCTCTTCATCCTCCCCGTCATAGTGCCAGGCTTTATGTGGCTTCACCTCGACCCAATGCGCACCCCGTTACAAATTTTGATAAACTCTGAAAATTTCATTCCCAATTTTTTCTCCATTTTCCTTCGAGCCACAGTTTTGACGCTATTGTGGACAGAACTTTTAAAAGTGGTTTCAGGTATTTTCACCTTGGCTTTAATCGTGATGGACGGATTCACATCCGGGATGAGACAATTGCGTCAAGTTCAACGGATCAGAGGTACTTCACCAATGAGAATAATGCGATTGTACTCACAGCTGCAGCTTTCGAATCAGTATCTCAATCAAACTTTGTGCTATTATACAATCCCGCCATTAATATTTTTCGGGGTTGGACTCGTGACTCTGACAAATTACGGGACCGTTCGCCTCCACGATGTGCTTCCCCTGTCACTTTATTTCATCCTCCCGTTAACCAGCTTTCTTGGGGGAGTCTTTGTCGTGGTAGTGTTGCCACTAGCGAGCAAAGTTTATGAAACGGCGTCTGATTTTATATCGTTTTTGAGAGGACGGTGCATCTCGCGGTATGAGAGGAGATTGTTTTATTCCATTAAAGTAATTGGGATACAGTCTGGACCATTCCATATGTTGGATAAGCCAAGCGTGGTGACCATAAGCAAAAGTGTGGTGGATTATACGATTCATTTGTTGTTAACGTTTTAAGAAATTTTGGTGCAATTTTTTGGTGAAATTTCTTTTTATATAAATTTTACGAATGTAAAAATTATTAGTACTTTCTGTGTATGCATTCACATATGAAAAAAATGTATGACACAAAGTTTATCGCAGGTACATGTTATATAAATAATCGGTGTGCTAGTTGATAAATAAACAAAAGAAAATTGAAATTGAAAATTAATACAGCATTTCTATTTGTGTATTTATTTTCTGTGCAAGGTTACGTTTTCGCTTACGTGTTTATTTATCATTTAAATACCTTCTACTCATTTTCTTAATTTCGATGTATATAGTTTTCTCAAAAATTGGCTAAATTTTTCAATCGGTTTTTATCAATGGTACGTAAGACCTACGCTTTTTCATTAAAGGCGTCGTCTTCTAGCGTTGATCAGATTACATAAGTATCATTTAAGAATTCCTTATTTTATTTATTTAAATGCTTCGTAATCAATAAAATTTGATAGCTAAACTCCGTAACAAGCTTGCGTTGCATCACAACTAAATCGATTATTAAGACAGTAGCACCTGCACCCGTTAATTGTGTTTGGGTCATCAAGGTCTGCAGTGAACTCGCCGCTGCAAACGAGACGGTTTCGAAATCTGGCTTCGCATTCTAATTTACAGTTCAAGTCGTCCGATCTCGAAGGATTTGAGTTGGAACAGCTTCCTAAAAATTAGAAAATATGAATTTCCAACTGCATGATTTTCATTAAACAATTAACAAATATAAGCAATTATTACGTACCAATAGTGACAAAAAATAGTAAAATCAACAAGTAATAGAACCCCGTCGTCTTCATTTTTAAGAAGTATTCTGTACTCTAATTGCTCAAATTTAAGATGATATTAACAGTGTCAGCATGACAGCAATTAGGCAACTGGTGTGATACATGAGGAGCCTGAAACATTAAATAATGTTCATGTACGTTGGACCTCCTTGCTAAAATAGATGTGACTACGTGAATGTTACTTACTTGGCAACCAAAGGGTTAGCTGGCATTCAACCATCTCCATGTGGGGGGTGGTAAATAACTACTTGTAATATTCCAGTCAATTTGAACACCACTTTGTCACAGATAAAGTCCGACATTCTTATGTAAGGATGCAATAAGCATTTGGACTTTCCAGCCATTAAATTGAGGCAGGTCATAATACCATGAACAAACGACATGTAATGGGCAATCTGCACAAGTTCAATGTACAATTGACTTATCGGAATGACTATAATATGCCAATCAAGCCACACATTTTTTACTTTATCAGAACAGTTACACAATGCGCGTCTGTTACAGTTGTCTAAATGTACAAAGGAATTTAACCGACAGGGAGGCGATATTAGATACATTTCGAATCCTACATATGTGACCCTGGGGGACGCGGAGTGTTCTTCGTTACATATGCTAATGGAAATCTTGGTTCATGAAACAAATTGGTAGTTTAAGATTTACGGATTTGAGACATGCAAGCATTATAATATTTCGCATTGTATAATGTATAATAGATTTTATTGAAAGCTTAATCCTATATTACACAAGTAATTCCAATAACGGTACGACAAACTGTGGTTTCATAAAAATGTATTTATTCGTTAAATTTCATTTGTAAGAGTCACAATCGTAGAATAAATTCAACCAAGACAACAGTTATTAAGTAATTTAACTTAATTTAGTTCATCAATAAAATCAAAATGATTAAAGTCGGAATTTAACATACGTGCATATTTACCTAAACGTGTTTATCTCTTCTACCTCGACGAAGTGCTAGAGTACTCCCTTGCATAATATTTCTCCAGATGCAAATCCCCAATCACACCCCCTTTGCTCAGATAATTCGCCTCATCGACGTAAACCCCACTTCCGACCAACTCCAAATCCACGTAGTCTGCATACACCTCCAGATCCGAAAAGGACGCGGTGTCACTGGCCAAAAAGAGCTGAAAGGTCCACAAAGTGTACGGACTCATTATGGAGTCACCAGCCGCAAACTTTTTATAAACCTCGTTCCTCCCCAGTCGCAAGTGAGTGTCGGGATCTCTCTCGAAATGGTAGGCTATCGTTATATTCGGTCCCGGAATTTGATAGCTCTCTCCCCCAAATTGATACCTCGAAACTCCCGAGTGGACCATTTCTACTTTGAAGTGCTTCAACAAGTCGTCCAGTTTTCCCTGCTCTCTTTTTACCTTGGATCTCAAGCTGATCTCCGCAATGACAAACTTTACAGCAGCAAACCCTTTCTTGACCCCATATTCACTGTTCGCTGTCAATGTGATGGGTGCTCCTTTGAGAAAATTTCGTATCTCGGCGCTCCACTCATCATTTTCCCAAACGTAAAAGGCTTGCCCAGAAGTAAACTTGGGGTCAAATTCCATTGTAATGAAATTTACATCTTCCTTAACGATGGCCAAGTCTTGTTTCAAAATGGAGATTTTTTCGCTTAATTTCGACACGAGAAAGCTGGAATTCTTATCCGTCAATTGCAAACTTTCCGGGAGGGTGAACTTGGCCAAGTATTTGTTCGCAAAGGGGAAGACCCATTGTTTAAAGGAGGTCATGAACTTATCATACTGCTCGATTAGCAGGTTGGATTTGCTCGCTTGGGCGACCAAATTGATCCAAGAAGCAGTCTCCAAGTCGGTAATATCCATAACGTCGTCCGAATTTATGGTCGTGATATAATCCATAAACTTACTTTGATCTTCATACTTTTTGATTAAAATATACAAGTCGATGAGATGGGTCATGGTCTGGTCGAGTTTGTCCACGCAGGTGAGAATGCTTTCCTCCATTGCTTGATCTTTGGTAAATTGCTTAATACGATTCTTATAATCGCGCAAACTTCCCTGCACTTTCCGCTGCGTGACACGCAGAGAAACTTCAGATTTGTCCTTATCTTGCGCCAAATTGTTGTAAAGTTGGGCCATTTCGTCATTCATTTTCGCCATGATGGGGATCATATCGCTGTTGATGGAGGATTTGTATACTCTTAAATTTTTGACGGCCTCTTGTGCCTTTTCCACTTCGCTGCCCAACTTTTCCAGGGTTTTATGCTCTTTCGCCAAAGCGTTATAATTATCGAGCCCATCTCTGAATTGTTTCGAGACAGCGGCGAAAGTTTTGATGGCTGGTCCTGCCAGGGTGCCCTGTGGCTCTAAAAAGGACGCAACTTGTTCAGCGAATTTTAAACCTGTCAAAAACTTATCGAAAGGCATCGAATCCTTCATTTTTTGGAGTCGTTTCTTGGCCTTTTCCACCTCGTCTTTCGCGTCCTCTTCCGCGTTGATGATGGAACTGAGGAGAAAGTCGGTGTTGTGTTTGAGCTCGGTCCGCACGGAGAGCAAGACAGGTCCAACGGTGTCCGAGATGAAGGAGAGGGCTTGGGAGATCTTTTGTTTGAAGGTCGAACTCATCGCGGCTCGACTCTTCTCTACGACCTTTTTCTCCTCGAGTTCGTTGAGCGTGGTCGTGATGACGCCGGCGTATCGGGCGAGGTCGAACACCATGTCGGTTTCACGGAGACGAGAAATAGTGGAGAGTGTGGAGGAGTACAGGGTCGCGAGGACTTTCTTCTCTTCCTTGACCCACGAGGGATTTGAGGCGTTTTTGGTGCTGGTGTAATTTGCAAAGGCTTCAAGCCGAGAGGCAAATGAGGTGAGGACGGATTCAATTCGGGCGTTTTGGTTTTCAGTACTGTCTGAAATTATTTAATATAATTATTGCAATGATTGATTAATTCATGATTTGTAAGACTCTTTTTTTAGGAAATATTGGGAAATTTTTACCTTGTAAATTCAATATCTTTTTCTGATATCCAACCAACTCGTAGGCATATGCTTTCCCACTGCGGTAAAACCAATCGGTCAAGACGTCACAGTTGATGTCAATGTCTGGTTCGGGCAGTTGGAGAAACGCATCTGCTTTCCAATCGCCTAAAAGTCTGTAGCCCTCGATGATTTGTTCAGTATGGGCTGGCTCTTGTTGGTTCGTGGTTGATACGTTCCACGTCCCCTTGGAACCGTCGGGTTGTCGCGTGTAGACTCCGTAGTTTACACAGTTGACCCAACTCCTCCCGTCATTCTCGCACTCGACGCGATCCCCTTGAAGTCCGCCCAGACCGGCTGAAAAAATTGTTGGTTATCATTTGGCATTCAGTAAATGACCATTAAAATAGTTAATTTACCTTCGCCAGCCCAGCCTGGATCCCCAGTGGAACCTTTCTGCATCGAAACAATGACTTCTGGGTCTTTTGGTGAGGGTGAAACTGTGTGAATTACTACATCACCCGGAAATCCTCCTACGCATCAAACAAGTAAAGCTAGTAATATTTGTTTAACTCATCCTCCTAATACGAATATTCCTCAAACCTTTGCCCCCTACGCCACCGTTCCCACCATTTCCACCCTTTGTTCCATCGTGTCCCAAAGTTCCTCTATTCGTGCACGAAGGAACGTTGTGATTGTTGTCCCAACAATGACTCGCCACGATGGAAGCTTTCTCCACATCCTGAAGTGTTTTGTCAGTCGCATCGTCCCCCTTCTTGCCTTCGCCTCCTTTCTCGCCTTGCTGTCCGTGTGATCCGTTGCCTCCGTTGACAGAAATGTAGAGAGGAAGTGGACTGACATGTTCGCCGCCGGATTGTTCCCAGTGTCCCACCACGCCGACAAAATATGCTCCCGGATTACCAGGCCTTCCAGCATAACCATCCTCTCCCTTGAACCCAAACAGTATTGAAGTTGAGGGTCGATTCACCTTCGCTGGCCAAGGAATCCCGTCTTCCCCATCAAACTTGAAATGGAATCCTGACATTATTTGGTCATCCCGAGTCAAATGCATGTCCCAAATCGGAGCGATTATTGAGACCTGCTTAAGCCCCAAAATTGTGAGATCTGAGTCGATAAAGAATTTCCTCGTGGCGAGAATCGAAATTGATTTGAGTTTCTTGGAGCAAGGATTCTTGACGGAGGTGCTGTTCACGTCGGTGAAGTCGGTCACTTTGATGTAATTTCCTCTCACGATAAGGCCGTCCTGGGCTTCGTTGCAAGCAATCTTTGGCCTGGGCCAGGCGGAATGGATCAGTTTCTTCTGGTCGAGACTTTGGTGAAAGTAAGGTTTGCACAGCTTTTCTTTGTGGACGTCGATATGCTCAGATTCCTCCAAATCATTGCACCAAGCGGTCATATCACTGGAAGAAAGTGATTCCAAGTGAAACCTACTTCCGGGTGAGAGTCGTCGCTCATTGTCATCTGAAAAGATAAATTTTAGAGTTTCAAAGTAAACTTCAAAATTTACATGTATCATTGCATTATTTATTAATGTTATTTAAATACTTTGCATTTGTTGGTCATGTCCGTTAGTTTCTTGTGTCGTAATTAATTCTCGTTGATGTCGAATTTGTGCACAATTTATATCAAGTATCTGCCGAGTCAAAATAAAACTACTCGATTATTCATGTAAAATTGAAAGCAAAATCGTAGCAAATTTTTAACAATTTCTATTAATAGAAACTTGAAAATTTGCTAAACTGGTATGTAAGTACTTACCAGTCTCGAAATTCCAAAGAGGAATACAATAAGGTGTAACTCGTTCCGAGATGTTCTTTTATCCAAACTCGTCCCGAGTCTCATTTTCCCCACTATGTATTTCACAGCTAACCAAAAAATGATACTCCACTAATTAAGCGACGATCCGTGTTATGGGGAGAACGTCAACTTTCTTACCCCCAAATCACGTAAGGGTACACTGTTCCGTGTCTTACACTTTAAGTGATTTGGGGGTAGGAAATTTACATAGCATTCTCCCCAAGACATGGAGAATCACTACACTAATCCTTATTTCTTAATGGCTGGATTTAGGGTGAATGACTTCGGGTGAGGTGACAAACTTTTTAACAACAAGAAGGCAGGTAGGACTAAACGGGGTGAAAACGCTGGACATTCCAAGGGTGATAAAATTCTGAGAATAATACTATTTGTGTTCTCACTGTCGGCTTAAACCACTACGAAGCCCAGGGAAGGAAACATCGATATTTAAATAGAATCTTTAATCAACTTATGACAAGGGTTCCACGGTAGAACTTCTACCAGCAACAAAACACATGATAAATATGTAAGCACCTGTCATGACCTCGTATAATCATATACAAACAAAAGCTTAAAATATTGCAAACCAGAAAAATCAGCATATTCATTCATTCGGTAGCTGGGCACAGCAGAAATTAATGTTTTTCGATCAGTTTCAGAGCTCTACGTCGTCAATCAGCTTGGTATCGGCGCATCGCCGATACAGAGAAAAAATTATTGTATGCAATGATAAAAGGTATAACGCTCAAAATGTCGAAATTTTAAATATTTAGTTTTGACAGCTTTATTTGTGGTTGGATGGTTTCCCGTACACAGTGAATTACGTCTGTGGGGTGAAATTCAGAGACGAAAGTGCCATACATATTCAGCCTATGATCATGTACATAACAGTTAATAATCTTAATTAATTTGCTTATATATAAACCCCAAAATAAAATAAAAAACTTCACAAACAATTTTGTCGTGGGGAAAAATTAACATCAAAATATTTTGAAATACAGAAATACTCACTCGCAACACATTATTTTAAAAAATGAGCATATGTATGTATGTATATACAACAGTTGTAATTAAATTGCTAGAGCAAGTACTTTCACTAACCTATGAAGCTTATTGGTAAAAGTATTGTACATTTTTTTGGGCAGTATCGTACATATATATAACAAGCAGTCATAATTATACTTTCATTACTTCACATATGCAGATAAGTAAATCCATCAAAACCAATCACGGAATGATTATCAGTAATCCTTAATTTGGTGCATAACGTCCATCTAGTCCTTCAGATTTGGCTTATACATAATTTAAATCAAGCAATCATTTGATGAAATTCTAGGTCGTTTTGTCTTGATTTATAAAACAGCTTTATGTAAATATATAGATTATGTAGATATGTCTGTGCAGCCCAAACTCAATCATACAAATCTAGGCACGTATGTACATAAGCCTACATACATCCTTCCTGTATGCAAAAATGATACCTGCTGTACATGCAATAAGAGCCGCAGGTACCTACATGTTTATGTAAGATACTTCTGTATTTCTATCATCAACGTTCCACAAATTCTTTTTTATGACGACTTGTTCAACAAAATCAGCGACATGGTCTGCACCGCACAAAATTCCTGAATCACAAGAGGGGTCAACCGATCGACATAGTTATTGCCGAATTGCAGTCTCAATGGTCGACAAGATTTCCAACCCTTCCTCATCACCTTAGCCCTCCTGAAATCAATTTCTTCTATCCCCACAATCCTCGCTGACCTTTGACCCTGCAACCACTTTTGTGTCCCATCGTACAGTTTCGCCCCGGCCGAAACAGCGATCAAGTTGAAAGACAGCACTTCGAGATAAACCATTCCAAACATTCCAAGCTTCAACCAGTCCAGACTTTTGCCTTCCTCGACATTACTCAGCTTGAGAATCACAAATCCAACGAATATTTGGACTACGGGAATCACTCCCATCGCAATGGGGAAAAGCCGACTTCGGATATTTCCATTAAGGAAATTTTCCAGCACTTGCACCTCTCGAAACTTCATGATCGACGCCCGAATTTCAACAATTTGATTGAATTTTAGGATGAGATATATGATTCCATTGACCAACGAGTAGACAGCGTAGTGAAGTCCGCTTACGGTCCCGTGCTTACTGATGAGAAATTCGAGCAGGGCGATAGCAACCTTCTTGACATCGAAACAAATGATGTCGTAGTTCCAGACGCGACAATCCTGGTCCAAAAAGTGGTACACGATGGATCCCAAAAGGGGCGGTTTACAGGGGAAAATGAGGCCTGTGACTGTTATCAGAATGGGAAATGTGTAGGTGACCAACTCGCTTAAGTGGCAGAAGATTTGGACCAATTTTATGACCATTTTGTTAACAGGTGGTTCTGCAAAAAATTATTGGTTGCGTTGAAATGATGCAAATTTAAAAAGTTAAAATGCAATGAATACAGACCTGACTCTTTGGTCTTATCATCACCGATATTCACCTTGCCCTTTGAAATGATGGTATTGATGAGAATCATCGGCCCATAGTCGGCATCCCAGTCGAATCTGAACACCAATGTAGACGAACAAGATGACCACACCTTCCAGTTTCTGCACCATGGGGAAGGATTTCTTCCAGAGGACCAGAATTTGGAGCACGACATATGTCAAGTGGAGGATTATTCCGGAGCGTACAATCAATCTTTCCTTGCGTGCAGATCTGACCACTTTATCGCCCACGCGGTCCCAGCTGAACGGAATGCAGAAAAATTTTCTGGAATTCTTGATGTAACGCCGAACCAGGGGCAGGAGGACTCTTGCCAAGGCTTTCATAATGATATCCTCTCCAAACTCGGAAGAATTGGCAGGATTAGGAAGAAGCCGAATTAAAGGTGAAAGTGACATATTCACTGACTTTATCAGCTTTTATATACTTTTGGCAAGCTGTGTTTTCTCACTAAATGAGAACTTATGTATGTTTCCACTTTATGGAAAAGACATGTCTGTCCAGTTGTAAAATTGGTAGCGATCACTGGGAAGCTATCGAGAGCGTGTAAACCTTGACACTTTATTAAGTCTGGTTTATTGGTCTATCCAATCCGAAGTGTCGCTTTATTTTATAATTAAGCCAAAGAGATAACTATCTTTCTTACAACCTTGTGGATTTGGATTGCAATGATGAGCATCCTTCAGAAGAAATCGTGGTGGCGGTCACGGTGGCAAGAAAGAGGTTTCTCGAGCTTTCTCTTAATGAAGTTGGTTCAACAGACATAAAGAAATTTAATCTACTGGATGAGAAAACGCAAGTGTTGGTTAATGTCGATACCTACGCAAAGTATAAATATCTTCAGTTAAGAAATAATCTGCCTAAATTGATACTATTGATCGGAGCCAGACCATTAACTTCAATCACTCGTTCAAATTATAATTGTTCTAAATCATGATAAATAGCGTCAGCCAAGAGATAGATTAGTCCCGACTTAATCGAATTGACCCTCCTAGTATTTAATCCAGTCAAGAAAACAATGTCATAATAACCTGCAAGAAAGTAATTACTGCATTTTGCGAAAACCCTGCCAATTTCAGGTTGGGCCTCCACTTAAGTCAGAGTTACCATTCACAAGGATAACTTCAATTAGAGTGGGATGCTATAGGAGCATGCATCGGTCATAGAGAAAGCAACGATTTCTGTAGAAACCCATTTCTTAATCCGTGCATGCCAAATGATCAAGAATTATCTGGAATAATCAACCGAAAGGAGTACTTACATATTCTTAATTTGACGAATTTAGAACAATTTTAATCCCAAAATCCCTCATAAACCACCAGACCAGTTGACCATTTGAGTCATAAACTTTAATTTGCGTTGCTTCGCGACTTAAACGCATGTATATTTATAATATCTCATTGTTAATATGTCTGTATTTAAAATTATGTAAAATGGACAATACTGAAATTTATTCAATACATAAAACCGCTATGTAATTTAAAAAAGATGCTCTTTCTCCATTCCATGCAAATGAATAGACCGTTTTTTAAATTTTGCCCTGATTCGATTTAATAGTGATTAAAGAATTCTGGAGAATTTAAAGTGTTATTGAAATTAAACATTTTCACATTACTATAAATAAATATTTTGTCAAATCAAATCCTTAACGTATAATTATTCGAGTGGTGGTGGACATGTGCCGCCGCCTCCTCCAATCAACTCCAAAAGCTCATCAATGGTATACTTTCCAATCACGACATTTCCAGCTAGTCGAATCTTCTCCGTGATGGCGGCCTTGTTGGCGGCAAATTCGGCATCGAAACAGGTCTTGAGTCCGGCAGACACTGCATCCCAGTCGACTGGACTTCCTCCGATGAGAAGGTCAGGGCCGAAGGAGAGCATAATGTCAGAGCCGAAGGAGATGTTTCTAATTTCCAAGGTTCGAATCGACAGCTTGTTGGTGATCAAGTTGGCGAAGAGGACAGCGCGGATGTTGACGTCCAATGCGCTGGCGTGAACGGTGGAGGCTCCACTGCCAGTGAAATTTCCGGATGGGATGCATCCCGAGGAGAATGGTCGAGCATCCAGGTATCCCGTGACGACAAAGTCGGTCGTGATATGGGCCGAGGGCAAGGTCAGGTGGAAGTTAAGGGTCAACGTGATGATAATGATGGTGTAATCGTACGACAATCCTGAGAGGCCAGTGGCGAGAAGATCGCTACAAAATTAATTAAAGTTATTACCAACCTTCAAAAATTTTGAGTAATTAAATATTCGTTTACCCTCTGGTGCTCCCCTGATCGATCTTCAAAATGGGGTCGAGGGTAACGTTAAGTGGACCGGCTGGGGCATTCAGGGGGTCGGCGGGGGCTATGAGAATAAAATATTTGGTTAATTTATATTTGGTGTGACTTGTATTATTTCAATAATTTGCTCAACTTACGACAAGCTGGTCCAGTTTCTAGTGTTTCTCGAAGGCTGGAGCCAACTACGGCTGTCGCCACGAGGGCTAAAATTGCTAAGACCTTCATGTTCCTTGACGAATTTGGAATTGCTGACTTCCTAGGTTAGTAATTACTTGTAGGAGGAGGGATCCCGTACTGATGCCTTGATCTGAATCGGGATTCATTTTATATGCAAATTTCCACCTCCTGTACCAAGGTGATGGCGTGATAAAACTAAAAAATCATCGGGCGACACTGTTAATCTTGTCACTCAAATTCCGCAACTTTATGTAACGAATATTTGCGCATCGGCTTCCCCTTACTATTAGTTCTGATGGCATGATGAAGTTCCAGCATGAAACGCAGTTCGCAGAATAAATAAATTAAGGACTTTTGGGAAAAAGGAGACCTTAGGTGAGGCAATTTAAATATCTGTAAACTTGAAACAGGAAGATAAATTTATGGAAACGAGTCAAACGATTAGATATAACTGCAAAGGAGAATAAAGACTTCACTTATTTTCTAAATCGAATGTACAAATTACTTAAAACCTAAGTATCTAATTATTTTTATTCCGAGCAAAACAGCGATTTCGGCTAGACATAAATATGCATGAAAACTTTTGTAACCTCCACGTATTTATGTTTAAATTAATGCTATGATCATTCTCCAGAAGATGATGGCTTCTTTCTGTGTTTGTGTTTTGTCTCACTAAAGAATTTCAGGACAAAGGTGAGAGAGTTCGGCATCATTATGCAAGGATTTGGACTTTCCAGTCATTAAATTGAGGCTGGTCATAGTAACATGAACAAATGAGATGTAATGGCATTCTGCACAAGTACAATGTGCAATTGACTTATCGGAATGACTAGAACAACATGCCAATCAGGCCACCCATTTTTTTACTTTATCTGTACAGCTACACAATGCGTGTCGGTTATACAGAATTACATATGTACATAGGTATTTAACTGACAGGTAAGGTTGATTTCAAACGTTCAAGTATTAAATGTTTTATAAATAGATTGCTTCAACTATGGACTAACTATTAGATCCAATCTTCAAGAAACATAAAGATGAATTACAAGTAGCATGTGGCTTTCTTAATAAAGTATTTTGTGCATTTTTAAATTAAAGCTACATATTCTACAAGTTTGCATATTATTATTGTATCAAAATTTACACCAAAATATTTCAGGTGATAAATAATTTGGACTGCGTGTACCTGTACATATGTACATAAATGAATTTTTAAATTACTCAATATATGTACATATGTATGTATGTAAGTAATTCAGTTGCTTAAGATGATTTGAACATCAAGTAATCATCCTACCTTTGTAATACAGCTAGCACATAGAAACTTTAAACTAAACTATCTTCCCAGTAATTTCCCTCGTTGCTTTACAACAATTTACAATCACAGCTAGACTAGACTAGTTAAATCAACAATAGATCAAACATGGTACAAAATTCTCGGTCTTACCCCCACTCCCAATCCCGCTTGTCACTACCCCTCTCCACTTTAAGAAGCATACAGATACCTCATTTCGTCACACTCATAGTCATCCCTAAATTTTTGCAATCAATAATTCATAAATTTTCATACCCTCCATCCGCTCATCTTTGACATGAATCCCATCCAACGAGGCATTTGTAGAGAAAGTCAAGCTTTCTCCTAGCGAGAAAGATGAGAATGGATCACACTCTGCATCCAAATGCCGACGCCATCGTCATTTGGATGCCACCACAACTCCATGGAATCTGCCTGTAATTTCCAGCATTCATTCTCCTACGTGGCAAATGTGGTAGGATGTACAGGGCTTTCCCAATCCCAGTACAGTACAGTTTTTTATCATAAATTGGTTTTTCCCTACACCCGACACTTATATGACTATACATGCAAACTCTGTATTTATCAAAAGATTTGCATGGGCTAATGGCTATGTAGTTAATAAATACATATACATACAAATGAATAAACAGATAAATAACCATAAGATAATAAGATAGGTAATTAAGTTCCCTTCAGCGCCAACAGTGCCCTGAACGTGCCACGTATAATTCCCTGAAAATATTTTAGGACACTTGACCTCTTAACAAAGTAGTTCCACCCAACTCGTATCCCTAGAGGGCGACACGCTTGTCTAAACTTTGCCATATATTTTCTATCCTGGTTTGACCAACCAATCCAAATATTTCCATAAACTTAGCACTTCCTCACCATGGCTGTACACGAAGGACCCCATTACCAGAATAATTGACCAAACCGTAAGGGCACAAGTACTCCAAAATACAAGAATTAACACCGTCGTGCCATCCAAGTATTTCCGCCCAGTGATTAGCATAAAATTACACGCTATACAAACTTGTCCGCATACAATATGTGCTGGAAGTAGGATATGCTCAAATATTGAATTTACATATTTATGTAATATTTCAAATTCTCTGTACACACGGGTAAGATTATTCTCACTCCGCAGGACATTTCGGGTAGAATATCCCGTCTTACTGTGTCCCATTAACTCTCTTTGAAGCACGTTAAATATGAGGAATCCATAGCTTCCAAGAATAATCCCATTGACAGATATATTCGCCCAAATGGCGAATAACATCCAAGTGTAGAATACGCCATAGGCTAGATATGGAAATATTCCAAGTTGTAACGATGTCAGCAGTGACGTCGGGTAGGCCAAGCTTTTTGGGAACATAAAGTAGTGAAGAGCGAGCCATGGTGGATAGAAAATTGCAGCTAGTGCTGTGAAGGAGCACCAAATTGACAAATATGTCGTGGGTTTATCCGAATATGGCAGCAAACGTGGTTTCCATTTAGCTAAAATAAATCAATGATCTGATTATTGAAATTCATGAAGAAATTTATGGTTTTTGTAGTTTGATATTCGCAAGCCATCTAATGAAATAAATAAAGTTGGGTCCACACTCCTGATTTCATAATCATGTGCATGTATATATACAGTATGTACATATTTAGGAAAGTAAGTTACATAGTTCTGATTAATTGTTTCAGTAAAATCTGGTGTACCCACATGCCCTCTGTAAAACCTTTATCGGATCTTTATTCACAACTTTATCCAGCAACTGGGGACCCATCCTCTTCAGCACAAGCGATACAAATTACAAATAATCCATGGGGACCAAAACAAAACAGAAAAAAATTGTTGTTTGAAAATCATTCTTTGTGAATTCCCTCACAACACAAATTTTTTGAAAATTTCCAAATTCTTTTTTTAATAAGTTGTGATGCTACGACGCGATAAGATGTTATCGGAAGTACCCCATCAAATTTCTACGAATCAAGGGCGACCTGTGAGTATGACGTATGGATCCAGCTTTATTCTTTAAACATATTTTACAAATTACCTGTGAATTCATTCCCAAACCGCAGATACGCGTTAATTACTGCAGCAGAATTTTCAGGCGTGGGTATAAAAAATAGAGAAGAATTACAATCGAACAATGCGACTATAAACACTACGGTCAGAAGGCAAATTTGTGCGAGGGATTCATGTGATGAAATATTTACTAAGCGAGGCCCCAAATAAGCGATTCGTAAATACAGGATTCCGCAGTAAGTATAGAATCGAATCTTGCTGTGATTGGTGACCCTCAACTCTCCGCGGCGTGCATCCCACACGAAGGGTGCGCCACCAAATTTTCGTGCAGCCTTTATTTGGTACGTAAAAATTATGTAGAACAATTTGTTATACATTTAGAAGAAACGAATTCTTTGGACTCAAACAACAAAATATTTTTTGCCCACAGAATGGTTTGCAATTTTGGTTTGAAATTGAAATTTATTCTACCTTGGAAAACAGGATGCTTTTTTAGAAAATACTTACATATGTATTAATCAATTATTGAAATCAATTATTATGGCGCTGGTCGTTTAGCTTTTTCAAAATAAATGTATGTAAAATGAACATGGAAAGAAAAATAATAAAAAAAATATTGAAATTATTTGAAATACATGGATAAACCGCTAATTTAAAATAATCATAGATAGTTTTAGTATATGGAATTATGCGTTGCAGACAAATAAATAGATTGAAAAAATTGATTACGACCATTAACTCGAGGAATATCAAGTAAATTGCATTTACATTGAAATTCGAATGAGATTCAGTAGCAATAGTCCTTCTACTAATATCATATATTTAGTAAAGTATACATATTATTGTTCTTTGTGCTACGATGGTACATGCTGACTGTATAGATTACTCTTAAAATCGATGAACACATGAAAGACAAAGACAATGATAGAAATGATTAGTGGAAGCAATGAGAGCCCAGCAAAGTTCTGAACGTTGCATTAGTGTGTCTCAAATACATGCATTCAGCTTTGCCTTTGATGCAAAAGTAGATTCGGCAGAGATTTTCCGAACCGGATTTGTTCTAATTGGATTATATTTATATGAGTGTCACATGCCAAGGATGAAGTTTACAAATTAGTTTTAATTTAGGCTGGGAGACGAGTTTATAAACTGGTTAGGAACTGTCCACGCAGCTACATATTTATGAATGATGCATACATAAAGTATAAGTATGTATGTACGTATCTATATATGTATGTACATCTAACTTCATTATTTGCTGTTTACAAATACTCAATTAGTCTGTATGAGGTTTAGGTTAGTAAATGAAAGTTGCTGCCAAAAAATAACCGGTGTGCTTTGTGTACTCGCAATCTTACTTAATATTGGGTCGCTTGGAAGAAAATTCTCAATGCAATGTATAAGGCACTGACTCCTGAGTAAGCACAGCACGTTATTGCACATGCATGCCATACCCGTTTGCGAGAGACAGACAGACTGGAGGGGTCTACAGTAGTGGCATTAATGACGACAGCAAAAAATAAGTAGGTACTCGTAACATACACTTGTCAATTCGTATGTAGTATTCTAAATTCTGAATTAGGCATTACGCAATTACAGATAACCATGATTATGCTTCTCGTAGTGTATAAGACAAAAAATGGCAATAAAGTGATGTATGTACTTGCCATTCATCTCTTCAATAAAAAGATACGGACTGTAGTGCACAGTAGATGCATATTTATGTATGTATGCATGTGTGTGTATGTATGTATATAGCAATTCGTATATTTAAGCACCTTGAATCCTGCCTGTGCTTAAACTTGCGGGCACTCGGCAGAAAATTGATACCGAGAGGTATATGTAACTCGACAAGTTATGGCATTATTAAGTAGCGTAATTTTAAGCATCTCTTCAGCATTTCGTGCAAGAGTGCGTATGAACGTTTCCATGACATTTTTCGACACCTATATAAAGTCCCCCTCACCTCAAAGATGCACTTTGTCTGCAACCAGTACCCCGCGGAACGCATCTACTACCTCAACAATTTGGAAGTGCATAATTTTAATATTTGAGCTGATACTAATCTAATTTTGAGACAAGTCGACATGGAATCCAATAAATACTTAATTTACGCTGGCATTACCAGTGCAATTATAGCTTTGTACTTCAACCCGAAGTTTCTAACTTCACTCAAATACAGGTAAGAAAATTTAAAAAAATATTCATACATACAGTATTTTTTATGTACACTTGAATTTGAACCATGGTCCAAGTCCAAAATAATATTTTAATATTCGGATTCTGTAAATTTTAAAGGTCATAGTCTCAAAAAGTTTTTTTCTAAACGACTTCATCAAATCGAGTTCAAATTAAACCGTAATTACATACTTGCCATCAAGGCGATATGCAGTTATTGCAAATGGGTATTATGTAATTTCTCCAAATTAGAGATTTTCAAAAATTACGAAATATTTTTTATGTATAAATAAGACCGTACGTTAGACACATATTTCGTACTTCATACTTGATAGAAAAAGCCTTCTCATAATCCCATCATGGGATTCCCATATGCCCGTGATTGTGGTTGCGTTTAGGGCCATTTGGCAGAAAAATCATACATACATACATGCATATGTAGTACGTACATGGTACATACATAGGAGCTGAAATAATGCTGGATATGTACATAAGATTTAGTGCGAATCAGAGAATAAACCTTGGTCGGGCAGGGGTATCCTGTGCCCGGGCAAGAAACATTGCTAGATAGGCGAATGCCCGATCAAGGTTTAAAGCCTGGTGCGAATTGTGGATAGTGTATGTGCTCATATGTACGAACATGTTGTAAAATCGGCATGCATTTTATCTTGTGCTACACATGTGCATAAATACATATATATGTACGTACAGTATGCAGGTAAAAGTATATAAGGACCCGACTCACTCTATAAAGTTCATATCATTTCCGTTTCAACAAAAGTCGGTTTCATGTGGACAGCTGAGGAAGCCTTAGCCGGATTTTATTCATATAAATAGTTCATTTCTATACAAAACTTGTGGCCAATTTAATCACTTTTGTCGTGAAAATGGATTTGCAAACAAAAAAGTATTTACTTTTCGCTTCTATCACGGGAACAATTGGAGTTTTGTACTTAAACCGGAGTTTTTTATATTCGCTAAGACAAAGGTACATACATACATATTTTTAAATTAAGTTAAAAATTAGAATAATTTCGTATAAAACAGAGCATTTTCCTACGTTTGGTAATTTAAATACTTATTTCCATAAAAATTTACTGAATTTAAACATGAAAAAGTATGGGTTCGTTCTCTTAAGTTTTTGTAACCTTTAATAATATAAATACTTAAATAAAATTTCAGGTTTTTGGCGAGAACTTTTCAAAAGGAGAAGAAAGGGCACGGCCACTCACACGGTCACAAGCATGGTTCTCACTCCTCATTTAACATGGATGATCTGAAGGATACCTTATTTCGTCACTTGGGTCCAATATTGGCGGAGTGCAAGGTATCCAACGTACCTGAACTTAAATCTGGACATGACGGTATTCGCATTGTGGAAATTGGAGTTGGGTCAGGTAACTTGAATTTACTGCAATTTAAAAAATTACGAAGTTAAAAAATGTAACAAAATTTAAAACGAAGAATTGAAATATTTCATTTTGTCTAATTTGTAGGAACCAATTTTAAATATTTTCCAACCAAATGTTTGTTTATTGCCGTTGATCCAAATCCATTCTTTGAAAACGATGTGAAAGAAAATCTGAGCAAGGTTGGATTTTAAAAAATATATATTTATTCTGTACAGCCATATGCTTTCAATTCTTAATTAATTCTTCATGTATCGTCCTCAGTATCCTGGAGTCAAACTGGAACGCCGTCTCATCACCGGAGTCGAAGATATGAGTGAAATTCCTGACGGTTCGGTCGATGTACTTGTCGGAACTATGGTATTTTGTCAAGTGAAGGATATCGAGAAGACGTTTAAGGAAATTTTACGAGTTCTTGTCCCAGTATGTCGAACAATGTTCTATTTTCGTATTACATTTTAAATTCATTAACATAATTTTAACAGCCTAATTTTGTGATTAGGGTGGCAAATTCTACTTCATGGATCACCTCGCCGCAGACAAAGGATCAGCTACCCACCTACTCCAACTTTTCCTGACGTACAGCGGAATAGCTCGCGTCTTCCTCAATGCCCATTTGGATCGCGACATTGGCAAAGATATCCAACACGCCGCGTTTCAAAGTGTGGATCATAAATATATTAAATCAGGGAAGACAAATATGGTGATTGGAGTGGCAGAAAAATAATAGTTTGAGATTGAAATACTTGTACTTGTATTTAGTTTTGGTTATACCAATTTATTTTGTTTGCATTCCATAGTATTTAACTTCTGGCTTTTAATCTCATTATGTGGGTGTGTATATAAATTAATTTAACTAACATATTCCTACATGCAGTTATTTTTAACGAATTTCATGCTGGTGCAGTTTTGTAAATATAATGCTAAAGAAATCGAATGATGAAGTATTACAGTTTAGAGTATATCAAATGTCACAATCTATCCAACTTTGAATTACAAAACATAATAAATGTACTCACACATCTTATATTATATTGCACATAGCTCATGTGTAAACCTATATTCGCGAGATGCATAAATTTATCTACTCAAATCTAATTATTATTTCTATGTTAGGATACAAATATATAATTTGTGTTTGAAATAATCAGGGTAACACGAAAAGCAACTTGACAAATATTTACCATGCATATACAATACTATGTTTCTCGGTTAAGATACAGATCAATACAACATTGAACGAAAAATGAAATTACAATGAAGTGGTTTTTCATGGTATAAATTAATTAAATAATTAATTATTTGATTTCTAAATAAATTTGGTTTCCACAAGGATAGAAGTAGTGTTAAAATCAAAACAAATTCCTAGTTCGGAATAAAAAAGAACTTTCCATCGTAGGCCAAAAGTGAACTTTCTTTGGTAGGCAACAGTTCGTTACCACCGTAAAAGAAAGTAGAAATTCACAGAAAAAGGCCACAGACAAATATCAGTAAAAGTTCCTATAATGTTACTAATTGCCCTAGTAGCTCAGAGGTCAGAGCACTTGACATGAATTTAAGGGAGCCTTGGTTCGATTCCCGGCTGGGTAACAATTTTTGGCATTATTCGGGATTTACGTATTTGATTTCTAAATAAATTAATTAAGTTATGATATATTTTCAATTAATGCGAAATTAAGGAGAAAAACAATAAAGTTACAAAAAGATATTCCTATTTAACAACTACGCAAATTTAATATTACCAAATTCTATAAAGTAGACTTAGCTAGGACCTTAGAGTCATGTATTTCCACAAAAAAAAATCCACTAAAACTAGGCACACAGTAACAAACTATGTAACTACATAAGCCATTCGATTAAGCATCAAAACCATCGATTGAAACGACCGTGACATTGTAGAACAGCACACTCAATGATCCAGTCTTGATTTTTACCCCTAATTTATTACGAGATTCCTGGAATTTTGCTTCAATACAAAATGCCAGGTACATAGTCAACAAGGTTCGCACACCGAGGGAATCGTTTGCGAATAACGACCTAACAAGAGATGCATATAATAATATGTACATAACATTACCAACAACGTTTCGCGAATAGGTATTATGGCAAGGAACAAGCATGCATATGTATCTACCATGCATTAAAACACGTCAGTTGAGTCATGACTCATTTCGCGAAATGCATGATCTAATGCCGGCACAATGCAACGTGTGTGATATCATCGATCTAATGCGACTCTTCTCATACATACGTTTTTGGTCGGGACATGATACAAATGTCCTGTACCTGTGCAACGTTATTGCATTTTCGTTGTATTCCTCATTCGTCCATAAAATGCTCAACAAATTTAACCTCACTCTCATTCGTGTGCAGTGAGAGAAACAAATCGCGAATCATGAGCTCTCCACAAGTTTCAGAAGATTTCTGCCCAAACCGTGATAACAACATGTTCACCTTTTTTGCGAATAACTGGATCCAGGATAAGCTAGTCACCATCCTTCTCCTCCTGGCCACCCTTACAGTCTCAATCCGTTTGATACGATGGAGTTTCGTTCGAATCAAGAAGCGTTTCATGGTAAATTAAACATACGTAATTATTAACTTTACATATGTAATTCTTAAATTGTTACTCAAAATTATGAGTTTCCTGGAATTTTAATAATCTTAATCATTACTGTTTACACAGATATCCCTCCAAATCTGTGGATCTGGCGTATGTCGTGAAACTTATAACGAAATAATTTACAACTCCTTGCTCCGATGGCTGGCAAGGAATCCAAACTGTTCAGGATTTCGGGATCAAATACTTATCAGCAAACAAGTCCCCTTACCCGACGACCAGCTAGAATTAAGCAGCAAAAGCGAGGAAATATCCGCCATCGCCCTGGGCGACGAGGACCCCTATGATTACCGCCTCGTCTCCTCCCCCAACAGTTGGAAGTACTATTTCTTCAAAACCATTGGGATCCGATCAGCGAGTTCATTCCTCTACAAAAACGCCCGCTTTGAGATCCATCGCGAATACGACAACTCCCACGAGATCATCACACTCTCCACGTTCCCCTGGAATCGCTCCCTACTCCTCGAAATTATCCAGGAATGCAGCCCCATCGCAAAAAAAGATGACAAAACTAAGCAAATAATCTACCAGTGGAGAGACGGCTGCAGTTGGCAGCAAATGGGAGGCCTCAAGAAGAAGCGTCCTCTCGACTCTCTAATTCTGGACGCTACAATTTTGCCCCGTCTCGTCCAAGATATCAAAGGCTTTTTAAAAATGGAGAATTGGTACGTGGAAAAGGGGATCCCATACCGGAGGGGATATCTGCTCCACGGTCCCCCCGGGTGTGGCAAGTCCTCCATCGTCAAAGCCATTGCGGGCGAGCTAGGGTACAATATCTCCGTCGTCTCTCTCTCCCAGCGACTCACGGACGACTCCATCACGGAATTGTTGAACTCAGCACCAGCAAAATCTGTCATCTTACTTGAAGACATTGACGCGGCGTTTGGAAATCGAGAGAAAGTGGTCGAGCCAGATCTCGAAGTAGTCGAGAATAAAATGTCACAGACACATTTCGCGTTTGGAGGTCAATCGCAATCCTTGTTGACTTTTAGAGGTCTGCTTAACGCGCTGGATGGCGTCGCTTCCTCAGATGATGGACAAATCGTATTTCTCACGACGAACTATCCGGAACGATTGGATCCTGCCCTAATCCGACCGGGAAGAGTTGATCTCAAAATACATATTGATTATCCTGACGACGCTCAGGTTGGGGGCATGTTTGACAAGTTTTATGCGCCACATGAAGACGGTGGAGAAATTAGGGAGAAATTTATCAAGCTTATTCGTGAGATGAAAATCAAAGTGTCGCTGGCTATGATTCAAGGTTTATTGTTTTTGTATCGGAATGATCCTCGGGCTGCGGTGGAGAAAGCGGAGGAACACTTTGAGGAACAGTTTGGCAGCGCAAAATTTTCGCAAGGAAAATTGTAATTTCAAATCCTAAAGAAATTTTGTTTCCAAATTTTAAACAGTATTTGAATAATAATTAATATGCACCATGATAAATATGATAACTCCAATGATACATTATGCTTATCTTGTGTTACATATATTTAAGTATTTATGTGTATTATATTATTTTTATTCGAAATGACGAAGTGTGATATAAATATTTATGCGTTTATAATATCCCTATACACGCAAAACTATTCCTTGTTTTCATTTACAATTAATAACTTGATAGTCAATGAAGCATGAAAATATGTACATTTTCTAATTAATTGCAAACTGTATTAATACGTGGACATGTTTTATGTAATCATCAAATGAAGAACAGAATGTCGGCGTTAATCAATTACACAATGCGTAATTGAGTAACTTCTCACAGTTGTTAAAATTTAATTTAAAGGAGAAAGCATGAATTTTAACATTAAACTTAAAAAAATGTGCAACCAGCCTGCAGGTATGTATTAGCTTAGCATATATTGGCATATATACATATGTATTGCCGTATATTGACATATATGTATACATATGTATGTGTGAAAATATGTATGCCTTGACCAAAATCATTTTAAATCTTCTAAAAAAATTATTCTTACCTTAAGATTACCCTCCTGAACGAATATTCTACGTTACGAAGATGAATGTGATTCATAAGGTTGCAAATGCTATCAACAAATAATAAATAAATTTATTTTCAATTATATGCACATTATAATTGATGACCCTTGTTATCTGATGCTAATTAGCGGAAATTCTGCCCATCAGCTTTACTGGTAGTTTCGGCAATCAATATAGAGCCAAAATTGTCAAGGGAAATGCAGATAACATCAATAATATTCATGTGTTCAAATAAATTTTGTAAAGTTTGCATTACAATACGTATTTAAAGCATACATATGTATTTATGCACGTGTCCAGGCGTAACATGAAAAATAAATCTGGGGCTCGATGTGGTTGAGTTGAAAGTATCTATTTAAATACTAACAAACCCATCTCAAGACTTTGGTCATGCTCTACATTACCAATGCATACAAATCTCACCCGTGGCCTTGACAAAAAGGGCATGCACTTATCCATTCCAACGTACGGTCGATGAGTCATTCTCTACGGGTGACGGGGTGGCTCGTTACATAGAAATGCAAGATATTGTGTACAAATTGCAAAACCCTCCAAAAAACCTTTGGAGTCCTATATCTTTTGAAAAATTTATCACGTGCATGGACCCATTTTTCCGGTTACGCAACGATAAAATATCCTGGAATGCGGAATCTGATTAGAATAATGAAAATCCAGAATTAAAAGAAAGGTATAGACAATCTACCGCTAAAATCTGGAATCTGGATAGATGTATTGCTTTGCTAAAATATTAATTACCAGCATGGTATGCAGAGATTTAATGCTGTACAAAAACCTGAATCGACCCAACGATATCATTTTGCCATAAAAGATAATATTTTCAACTCCGACAGAAATGGGATATATATTTACCAATGTATCATTCATATCGCCAGTGTGAATATGAACGTGAATTTGTGTAATTTTAGGGACATTTCAAAACAAGAAGAAAAATTAATCCTACGTCATATCTCCTCGCATTAAAATGCATAGCAAATTAGCTATGCTAAATCATTTCATTTAGGTCTCTATGAATCAGTTTTGAGATCGTGTTATGTACTTACACATTTGTGTTAGAAATACTTTAGTACAACAAATGGAGTGTGCACTTTTAATCTATCTAGTTACGTATTTTTGTGTTTATTTACTAAATTACAACAAAGGGCACACAAGGATATTGATTCCCATATAGTATGTAAAATAGCCATGCTTAACTATAGTTTTGCAGCACAACACTTATTTGATTATATTCAGATAATTGAGTTGATTCTAAAATACAAATTTAGCTAATCAGCAAATGCTCTCTTATTTATCTACGAATTATGCCAAATCAACCAGAACATAATGCACGAGGAGAATTCTGACGTATATTAAACGCGTCTAGAAGCTAAGGATAAGTACGAATATATGTGCACATATATATTTGTATTAGTAAAAAATACATATGTCCATCGGTTTATTTATATTCTTGAAGTGTGACCACGTATCGTGGACTACGCTACGTGTTTTAAATCTCTGCCCACATTTCTCTTGAAATTGTTCCGTTGTCAAATCATTTCCAGCCCCGTCGACTCTGAAAGGTTTCTTTTATGGTTATCTTAATCTCTTTTGTGTTGACAAGATGACGCATTTCGTGCTCAATATCCAATTCCCTTCGTGACGTTAGGCAACTTGGTTTGTGTACATTGTTTTAAAGAACGTAATATTAACTAGAAACCCAAAATGCCTTACGCTTGTAAAAATTGATGTGATTGTTTAATGATCAGCGCATGATGATAAAGTTCCGATACACATACAACATAAGGTTTATTGCTGAACAAAGTAAATATGTATAGCCACTGGGATTGAAATGATTTGCTGGTTCAAGTTTTGTCCTGTTATCATAAAAATATTTAGGCGTTAATTTTGTAAAATGCAAAACGTTCATTTATGTAGGAAATTCACGCTTGCCTGTGTAATTCTGTAAAATTCATAAGATATTGGACGGATATTATTTTACAATAATAAACGGCGTAGTCGAAAAGCAATTTAAATAAAGTCCAGTTTAAATGAACTTTTGCTCGGCTAGATCGGAATGTTAAAATATGGAAGTGTAATCTAAGCAAAATAAATATTACATATATCTTGAAAATTTCTAATATCCCTCAATTCCGATTATTTTTATGACGCACGGATATCTAGACCAAAATAGAAATATGCGTATGTACTATTTAGTTAGGTTATAATGATCGGCTGACTCATCAGATTCTAATCCTAATGCCTACAAAAAAAAACCTACAGGGCAGCCTTCATACGCCCGAGTCAATCACTTTATCTCTTCTGAATTTTAGGGACCAATGTTTTTGTTTAAGCACATCTATATACATTGTGCATTAATTTTCCTATTTATTTGATGCGCAAAATTCCGTATTCTTTCGATGAGTTTAACTATGACTACTATGAGTCACCCCATTTGACCCTTCTGGAAAATTAATTCCCAAAATTTAGTACCTCCCCCAGTCAACCTGTTGACCGATTTAACTCATCATCGAAATTAACTCCTCATTTGTCCAATACTAAATGCATGCGCACAAAATTTCACCTTGATAAAATGAGTTTAACGAGACTTGTTGCAAGACAGACGGTTCCATAAGCCCTGACTCACGCTGTCAGGCAAAATATCATATGTATGTATACAGAATGTACAATAATGTACATACATACTGGAGAAGGGAGCTGGAGACAAACTTGAGACACGAGGCAAGTAAAGGACTTATGTAAATATCTACGTATATATAATGCCCTACGCACAACGAAATGTTCAGTTCACTTCCAATAAGTAGCCTGACACTTACTCTCTCCGTTTGTCAGCAAGACGAGCTAAATAAAGTCTCAAGTCTCCTCATCAAGTTTTTTCATCAAGTCCAGATTTTCATCCAACGATGAATTCATCAATAACTAGGGCTATTCTCATCTTCGTGCTTCTAGTCTTCGTGCAAAATTCTTTTGCACAAATAGGGATTCAACCCCAAACCTCAAAAGAAGGAGATGAAAATATGGTTTTTTACAACGTCACGAGATGCAGCTCAAGCATTTCCGCTCCGAAGGGCCACGTCCGACGGATTCAAACCAATGGAAAGTGTGTGAACGTCTACTCTTCCGAAAATTGTGCAGGATGGTTTGCTAGGTTGGAGTCTGGAGAGGTCGCACTTTCCACCTTCTCGGCCGACACGTCTTTCTGGAATGGAAATGATTTTAAAGTCACTAAACTTATAGTTCGATCGATTGGACCATGCTTCGATAAGTGCGACGCCAGAAATTGGCACAACGACACAAAGGCCAATACCACAGTGGAATTATTCCAAAAGCCAGAATTTGAAGGTATGTACCAAGATTTGTCCACTTAATATTTATTATGAGGATGAGCAAAGTCACAGCGTTTAGTTTTCCTAGGTTTTTTTAAATGAAATATTTGCAAAAATAAGTTTGGGAGATTTTGTAATTTGTCAATGTTCATGGTCGGATCAGTTTCAATTACATAAACGGTGTAGATTGGCTTTTAAAATTTTTACTTGCATAATCATGTCAAACAATGAAGCAGTTCACGCACGTCTTTGTAGTATTGTAAAATCCGTAAATTCTGTAAACTTACAAACTTTTACAAAATTTTAAAAATATTTCTAAGGAGAATTAGCTTTATAATTTTTGAACTTACTCAGAGCAAGGGCGCCTTCTTATTTGGTATAAGTTTTGTAAAATAATCTTATACAATTAACGGATTGCACAAGTTGCCAATGACTGCGTGAATTGCCTCGATGCTTTAAATTCAAGTACATGCATATGTATATTTGTTACTGAGATTTTGTAACTTTACAAAGTTTTCACCTTTAAATTTTTAGCTTTACATATTTATTTTCTTCGAATTTCTCAGCTTTTAATTTTTAAATTGGTTTGGTAACTCTGGATTTTTTATTATTAAACTCACAGGCAACCACTCATCACTCGTGATCAATGGGGACGCCTGTTTCCCTCTCCCTTTCCAAGGCCAAAATTTGAAATCCATTCGAATCCATGGGAATATGACCTCCTGCATCGAGCTCCATGAAAGTGTCAACTGCGGAGGGAGATATACGCAATTACGACCTGAATACCCGGACATGCATCAATTGCCCATCTGGACATCGAAGGCTGTGGCCATTTCTAGGTGTGGAATCTTTTGCGACAAGACCCCTCCAAAAGTCAACCAAATTGCGGAAGAAAAGTTGGGCGACAACTTGGTCACAGTTTTCGACCATTCCGGATTTTACGGTAAGTTTCAAAATATAATTTTGTAAGCTTATTTTGGAAATTTTGCAGCAGGAATTTTACTGGTAAAATTTAGTTTAAATAAAACTTTATGGATTTTTTACAAAAATTAGAAAACTTCGTAACTAGGTATAATTGTTTCCACAGTTGACAGTTATGAATAATAAAATAATGATAATAATATTTTATTCGTGTTGAGTTGAGAAAATTGAGGAAATTCACTCCGATGTTTGTAGCCAGTAAATAATTGTGCAGATTTTCCTTAGTAATCTCTGTAATTGCTAAGATTACGATATTAGATGGTTACAAGATTACAAAAATTACATTTATGTACCATTGCTAAAGTTTTTTTTTACATATAAATTTCAGGCACCGCCATGAACATTAACCTCACCGGCGGCTGCATTACTTTGGACCAGAGCTTTAAAAACTTCTCGATCCGGTCCTACAGCCAGTGCGTGGTCTTCTACGAGGAGCCTGACTGCATGGATACGTCGGGATATTCTCACCAAACCAGTGGTCAATCTTCGGATTACTACGCCCAGGCACATTTGACGAGGACTTATCCCAAGGTCCTTAGGTCCATCCAACTTTGCGAACACGACCTGAAAATTAACAATGTTGAACCTAAATTTGCATTTGTTGTTTCCCACATTTGGGAAATGAGCACATTCGTCCTTTCCGTGGTGCTGTTGCTCGTGCTTATCGGAGTGGGCGCGTCCTGCGCAAATAAGAGGTGCAAGGACAAACCCTGTGATAAGCTGGAGGAAGAGGACAGATCTGATGTTCTGTGCACATCTGAATCTCAAATATAATTGGTTTAATGATATTTGTGTATACAAATTATTTTAGGGTTCCTACAATATTTATTTATATCTGTCATATGTACCAAATAATTTATCAACATTGTTCCAATCCATCCTATTTCATAACTGCTAATTTAATTATGCCACGACAAATATTATTTTTATACAAAAATAAATACATATTGACATAATCTGTATAATGAAATTTGTTTACATTCATTTGACATAAAATCGTCGAGTTTCATAGTTGAGATATGTAAGAAGGAAATTAGTCACCTTGTCTAATACCACCTTAATTATTATATGCATACATATGTATATGTACGTACATAAGTAATAATACTGTCTAAATATGTCCATAATTTCAATAAAAATATATACATACAAATGTTCTTTTTCAAAAAATTTCCATCAAATTCTCATCATTTCTTGATTAACAATTAGAAGCACATTGGTCGTGTGGGTAATGAGGTACTATCATCATGATAGTATCATCATGATACTATCATGTAGCTCTTTTTGTACTTTTTATATACACGAAAAATATGCCACCTCCATGGCGATATAATTTTTAGCCACTTAATTTCATAATTCTCCCTTCTGCTTTCTGAGAAGTAGCATCCACGCCTATGTCTGTACATCGACACCCAAGTTTTATATATGAGAACAGCATGACGATAAAAACAAGAATTAGGACCATGAAGGGAAGACGGTAGAAAATTAAGTAAGTATGATCCATTTTCTCTTAAGTGGAACCGCGCTCAATGACCTGTGCATTTCGACCCGCTTGGTAGATATTTATAAAGTCTTTCGTAAATTGTAGGTAGGAACCAGACATGTCAGTGTTTGTTTCGAAGGATTTATCTTTCTTCATTCTTGGTCACCAATACGACTTTCCGTAACTACCTTCCAATTTGCGATTTTCACTCGAAATCCGAAATGTACTTGCTGGTTTTGCGCCATTAACGTTCGAATTTTTCTATCTCTTTCGCGTTGAAACGAAGATTAGATTCCGTTCTATCCCACAATGTCAAAAACTTGCCACTTTCTCCCAAATAAAGGTCATTTATGGGGTTTACTGTTTTAGGGGTATCTTTCTCAATGCTAACCGTGGCATGACCAATTCGGAATTTTACAGGGAGTTCAGTTTTTATGCACAAGTTTTGTTGATAATCTAGACTGGCAGGGCTGCCTGCGTGAAAAAATGTGTTTTCCGAAGTCTTTAAGGGATCAGGGTTGACGTAGGTCTCGTCATAAATGGTGATAATTTTTAATGACAGTTGGAGACAAAGTTTTTTGCAACATTTTTGGAAGGTAATTTTTCGGTATTTAACGTATTTTGCAAGACTTTGTTTGATTTTTTCTGTAATCCCCACTTTATGAACTTTAAGGCTGCACAACAAACTTTTTGAAATTTTCAGTTCCAGAAAATTTACTTTTATACGTACTTTCGTGTCACCAACGTAAAAAAAATTATCTTTGTACATACATAAGTGCGTGGTTCGAATTGATCATGTGTGCAAAAATTCATCACATGCTACGTATCACATCCGTAAACACTATTACAATTATAATGCGATGCAAAATAAAAACACTTTTGTAAAAATCTAAATTTTGCTAATATATGTACGTATAGTATGTATGTACATATGTATGCATTGTATGTATTTACATTTGCATGCATCATCATAAACATCATGAGTGGTTTGAGGTTTGAAGCTCAAACTTTGACGTGTGCAAAATATCTGCATACAAATAATAACATGCAGAACTTACAACGATCATTTCGAATCGGATCTTAGGGTACATGCTTTTCGTAAAATACAACAAGATGCACTTCGCATTTTAAATTCACCTTCTTCACCTCCTCAGGTGATGCCCTACCCTATAAAATGACCCTGAACTGAACGAAACCCACCTGGATCCCATTGACGTGTGCAAATTCCAACGAAACTGGTTTCAGCAGGTCAATAATCAAGAAATTGACATTGGCTGGCATAGGACATGTCTCACCACTCAGTGGACCATTTAAAACCTTCGCAAAAAACTAGATTTCATACTCCAGGCAGACAGAAGTCATACACGAACGTAAGCATAATGCATGGTCATGGTTTGTTTGTCCTGTTTCACGTAGACAATTGATGTAAAGCCAGTATCGTTTCGTGTCTCTGATAAGATAGCTCATTGATTTAATGACAGACTGCAATCTTGATGATTGGCATTTGTACCCAAATTCCAACGTACCACAGAATCCACCCGATCTCGTGCTCGTCCTCTTTTTCTCATTCACAGGACAAACTTCGCATGCGAAACATGTTCCGTTTATCAATCCATGTCACGGTAAAGATTACCCCGCAGTATTATTTCGCACTCAGTGCCACACACAGGGACTCGATTTGACGAAAAAGTGAAAATTTCCAAACAATAACAATGTCAGGTACGTATGTTGAGTCAAGCTACCCGAATTTTCGCAAATTTGTGGAAACCGGTGTCAAATTTCCAACGGGGTCGGACTGGTTGAGAGGTAAGAATCAACTAACTTAATAATTTGGATAAAAAAACTATAATTTGTCCATGTTTCATACAAATGCAGCAAAGCGGAAAGTGGACAATCTGGGGTCCACATCGCTTTGGAGGGTTCACGACAAGCTGTACAATCTTTCCAGTTTTATTGACCTCCACCCCGGCGGGAGGGATTGGATAGAGACGACTCGCGGTACGGATATCACGGAAGCATTCGAAACTTCTCACCTCGTTAATGTAGAAAAAGTAGATGCTATTTTGGCAAAGTATTATGTCCGAGATGCAGACGTCGGTCATGTGCGGAATTCTCCATATACTTTTGAAGAGGATGGATTTTATAAGACGTTGAAGAGAAGAGTTCGTCCATTACTTGAGGTTAGACATCATACAGTTTTTGGTCAATATTCGGTGGTGTATTAGCAGAAGGATACCGTTCCTATTTCAGGATTTACCGACTTATTAAGCATATTCTTAATAATTTTCTTTATTAAATACTCGACACCCACAAAATTCATTTCATTTTGTCGCAAATCCAATTCCCGATTAAATATGAATTTATAATTTGTTTAATTAAGCAATCTAAACAAATTTCTTCACAAATTTCAACAGGAAATCGGAACAGGACCAAGTCCCGCTTTAACTATGTTGCAAGACAGTCTTGTGCTACTGTATGCGACCACGGCCCTTGTCGGTGCATCCTACTCGTCCACCCTGGTCCAAATCATGTCCGGTTTCCTGCTCGGCATGAGTGTCGTCTGTGCTCATAATTTTGCACACATGAAAGACACTTGGCGGCGTTTCTACCTGGACTTGTGTCCCTTTACCAGCTACGACTTCAGAATCACGCACAACTTGAGTCACCACATGTTCCCCAATACTGTGCTGGATTACGAATCGGAATCGCTGTCGATTATCCTGGACACTCGGCCGGGGAAGGATAAGCGTGGATATATTCGAGGCGTTGCTACTCCATTCTTGGCTCACATTTTCTACACGCAGCTTTTCACCTTATCGTTCATATCATGGATAAGATTGCTGTTCAGAAAAGAAGTTCGACCGGAACAAGGTCTGATCGCACTCCAAGTTTTGGGATTCTTTTATTTCTCTCCAGATATTCTGGTATGCAATTTAAAAAAAGTTTTCCATGCACTAAACTTTGAATATTTATTTGAAATTAAGTCAATTACTTATCCGAAATTTATGTAAATTTTGTAGACGGGGATAAAATGCTTCCTTATCGTTTTTGCCGGGGCGTCCTACTGGATCGGTTTCTTATCCAATTCACATCATCATCCTGCATGCTTTCACGATGGGGACCAACCAATTTCTGATTGCGATTTTGGGTAATGAATGATAAATTTAGGAGAACTATTATTTACTGACATTGTGGATGTACAAATGAGAAAAACTTTATTGTTTTCTAAATGGTGTCAAGCTTTCGATCTCGTCATCAGGACGGAAAATATTACAAATCAATTATTATTATTCCCAGAGACTTGAAAATTAAAATCGAAATAATTTATGGTTGTTTGAGAAATGGAACCATTAGCGACGACCAAATTGGGTTAATTTCCATGCCGGAGTCCTTGTTCATTGTGTTGGGGGTCTTTTGTATGTACAACGCCTCCATGAATTTTCTGTGAAAATATCTTGGTTCATGAAAAATTAAACTTGCTGAGTTAAAATTTATATCATGCTGTGGATATTCTATCTTGTGTGTTGCAACTGCTGATAAATTTAGTAATGAATCTATAAGCCAATTCGCGCTTGGTAGCATTGCAAAACCCGTAAATTCTGTAATCTTACAAAATTTTGCACATATTTCTAACGAAAATTGCCCTACAAATTCGTGTAAACTTACTTAAAGGAAGTTTTTTTAAAGTTTATAAATTATTTTGCAAAATTTGTCGATTTTCAAGTTACAAACGACTACGTGAATTGCCTCTACATGTTTATTCACATGAACATTAGTAACATAGTAAACTATGTTACTAATGTTACATAGTAAACTATGTAAAATCCATAAACTTTACTATGTTAACGTAGGTTTAGAAATTACCGAGGACAAATACCCAGTGATTTATCTTAAAAATATGAAGTTGAATTTAAATATGGACACAAATCTCCACGATAACAATTTTTGTATTATTTTGCCCTATAGCCTGCGTCAACTGGATACCGTTCTTGAGAAGAATGACGCCGTCCATTCGACGTTGCTCGCCATTTCGACCACGTTCGGAGAGCATCCCCTCCACCACCTCTTTCCGACCGTGTGTCAGTCAAAACTCTCAATGCTAAAACCAATATTTGAACAAACCTTGGAGGAATTTCAGACAAAAAATCGCAAAGTTACACAGTTAGAACTTTTTCGGGGGACATATCAACAGTACATGAGGGACAAGGAGTTGACTTATGATGAGAGAAAGAAAAATCTTCCATAATTTACTTACTTTTATATTTATTTAGTTTAAAATTACAAACTTGACGGGTCATAAAATAAACTTATCTTCAGTATTAAATAAAATGGTTATGCCATAAACCGGTACAAAAAACATGTGAGAAATTAGTCCAATTGATTAAAGGTTAATTGTCCCAATTTTTAAGATCGTAAGCACTAAAAGTGTGGGTACATTTAGACATTTTATTTATTTATTGCTCCAGAAACTTTCAGCAATTTCAAAACTCTAAAATGCTCTTTCGATGTGAAGTTTCTCAAGTCCAGCAAGAATAAGTGTATTTAGTTAGAATCCTTTGTGACTTTGCGATTTTAGAAAGCGGTATGCAGTTGGGAGAATAAGTTGTACTATCCAGAAGAAAATTATGCATATGCGACTTTCCTAGTACATAACTTCACCTGCATGCAGCTATAAATAATGTATGTATATGTTAGAAATGTTGGCATGTCGCCATGAGAAAAGTACCTTGCGACCTTCCAGTAGGTGTATAACTACATGATTAATTTCATATGCAATTAATGTGTAAATGAATCAATGCATGCGCCAAGATTACACGTTCTGAAAAGCGTATGCTGGTCACATATGTAAGTATGTATGTACATACATAAATCCATTCAAAATGCAGGCATGTAATATCCATTGTTTCTGAGGCCTAATCCGCATAAAACACGAGTTCCAGTTTTATGAAATTGGGGTAGAGTACCTCAAAATCTATCATATATATAACAGCCTTGTTCCAGAACCAGAAATATGTCCAGAAATTTACTTTCAGGGTAAACACATACATACTTACCTAGATACTTATGAAACAACTTATCTTTAATTGCTGTTAATAAACGTATTGCGCAACTGATTGTACTAGCTTCAATTAAATCAAAATGTTGATACAACTGTTTTTCGTTGTTTGTCTCACCATATCGTACGTTAATTGTCACGATGAACAATTTGACACTGGAGACGAGCAAGGTACCATTTGTTCTTAAATAACAAAATCAAATTGTTTTTTTACAATTAATTTTCATTTACTTACATAATTTCTCTATTAGTGACAACAACGCAAGCCACGGAAACTTACCAGCGAACTGATATCATTCTGAATCAAGTTAACGCAGCGGTGGATGTCTTTGATGGGTTTATAACGAGGCTGTTGTGCATCCCATTAACGGCTGCGGGAGTGGAAAATTGTGGACTGCTTGGACAAGAACAAGTTGTAAATAGCTCGTCGGAAGGTATTCCATACCCAGAAGAAGTCATTTTGAACGCAACTACAATTTCCAGTATAAACTTACCTTACACTGTTAATAAATATGTAAATTTATGACTATGCACTTCTAAGAAACCACAGCGAAGTAAAAAAAAACTTTGTAATTGTGCATTTGATTATTCATTGATTTATGATATGGAAATTTCAAAACATTCTTTCTCCTCTTACAGATCTTTCACTACATTCCAAATTTTAGCACATTAATATGAGGTATATTTAGCGTATGAACAAATCCTCAATGTACACAAGTACGTACATAAACAGTGCTAATGTAACATCCTCTCGATTTATTCGTAATTTTACAGCTTAATTTGAAAGATTATTAATTATCTAAACAAATCAACGCTAATATTTCTAATTTCAAAGATAAACATCTTGCACAACTGGACTAAATCAAACCCTCTTCCAAATTCTGATGGCCTGGTTTACTGGCCTAACTTCGGTCGCATAACCTGTCGCAGTAACACTAATCCCATCCACAGGACCGTCTCCCCCAGTTGAGACGAACATGTGTGGCGATACCCCATCCGCAATTTGGATCGAAGTCGGCCAGGTCGTCCCCGGTGCAGCATTTCCCCAACTAATTGTGGTTATCTTGGGACTGCTCTCTGCCTGAGGAGTACCAAAAGTGGCCGAATTTCCCCCCTCAGCCCGAAAGAATTGGCCTGCATATTCCGTCGTGACATCAGTCCAAGTGTACGTTGGGAAAAGCGTGGTTGGATCGGCTTGTCCAGGATACTGGGTGTAAATGAAGCCAGAAGGAACTACAAATCAGATGCATTCATTATGATAAAAATGACCAAATAAGTTTAACTTTGTTCTAATTTTACTAAATCTGTACTTAATGAATTAAACTGATTCTGCAGGGAGTCCACTTTCTGAGTGAGTTGGTTACAGCAGAACCACTGGAAATATTAACAGGTTGACATAATTTAAATTATGTAACTACGAAATAAATGCATCCTGCAGCCATCATAGTTTAATTTTAGTTAATATTGATATTAATTAGCCAATGTTTCACCCAGTTCAAATCCCTAGTCTGAAAATTCAATAATACAGAAACTCAACATTTTCACAGATAAATATGTACATATGTCAGCTCATGATGCTTACCTCATTAGCTGGATGATTGTCAACCGCCTCCACGGCAAGATGTGAATTTTCCATGCTGACCAAAACCATGGCCGCTATGATTCTGATAAAGGGCAAATTCATAGCAAAATTTAAGTTTTGCAAAACTGTAGACAAAGTTGGACAAAATGTGAATGCCTTTGTGGAGGGTGTTGAATATGGAGTAAAGTATTAAATGAAGTATGTTTGGCTCTTCATTTTTTTAATTATTAAGGGTCAAAGGGAGTAGATAATAATAGATTGTGGCCGTTATTGGACTTTTTTATGCTCAGTTTTACTATACCTGTTCCAAAATACTAATAAAATTCCCTGAAAATATCCAGTAGGGTGTGATTATGTACATAGAAAGGTGTAGACAGTGATTCTAACCGGCAACCCCCAGACTTCGCTTCGACCCAAACACCTGCAGAGTTGTTTTAAATACCTCAAAAGTATTTAAATACTTCATTTCTAAATACTTGAATATTTGAGTGGTATTTAAGTATGAAATACTTAAATAACTGAATTTATTTTAAATATTTAAATACTAAATACTTGAATACTCGTATTTTGACTAGGTATTTAAATACTCAATTACTTAAATACCTGAATATATCTTAAGTATTTAAGTACTAGTTATTTAAATACTCTTTAAATAGTGTTTAAATAGTGGTAACATCTGAATTACCAACTCAATAGTTTAGATCTATACTCTCAAGTAGAATCGCCAACAAACTTGAACAAACAATATGAGGTAGCCTTAAAATAAATCATTTGCTTAATAGATAAGCTTTAAGGCTTGTTTAACTACTAGAAATGTTTGGTAATATATGTGAAAATTAGACTAATATGTGGAATTAATAATTTATGTTACGAGCTGAAAATGAGTAACAAATGTGAATAAGCATATAAAAGCTAAATACAAATCATTTCTTTAAATTTTCAATTTAACTAAAATTTTCACCCATATTTGATTAATTTTCAAATGTTTTGAGACACGAGTTGTAATAAACTGCTTGATCTTGCTCCTATGAAATTAATCTATACCTCAGAACACAAAATGAATGCTATGAATTCGTTAGTTAACAACGTCCGAAATCCGAGTTTTGCATCATATAGAAGAAAATTAATATTTAAATGATTAATTTCTAAATACTTGCAACATTTAAAGTATTTAAATACTATATAACTAGTTAAATACATTTCATGCACTCAGGTACTTAAATAATAAATACTTGAAATTCAGTATCTGGATTTTAAATAATAAATAATAAATATCCAAATCCGGTATTTAAATACTGATCTTAAATACCAAAGTATTTAAATATAACAACTCTGAACACCTGATATTGAACTTGACGCTCATTCGAAACAATTTAAGGTGCACAACTTTAGAATGTTAGAGGGCGAATCAAGGAATAATTTGCAGTAATAATTTTGAGCTTAAATCTTATTTCTTCATGTTATCATGCTATGAAAATATTTTCATTCCTTCGTAATGACAATTTAAGTACATACTCTTTAAAAACCTATGAATTTATTCAGGAGCACTAAAATTGCATGTCTGCAAACAAGAATCCCCTGCTCAACCCCTTTTGGTTTCTTTCAACATGTATCATCTTTTGAGAATTTAATACGACTTGTTTTACTACGCCAAATTACTCAAAAAGAGATATTCATATACCTATTTCCACTTAACTTCGAGCCTAATTACAACTCATGTTTTAACCTGACAGTAAGTGAAAATTGATGCGATGCACATGCAACAATGTACCACTTTCATCCTCATCTTGCCACGAGGTACTAACTGGTGCTAACTGCATAGTGAGAATGTGTATTCTCACTTTGTCTTCCTAACACACAACATGTCACAAATTTGCTGTGCCTACCGTTTACTACCTTTAACTCTGATATACTAGGCTGTATTGATAATAATGAAATTCATCGCCATAAATTTCCTAGTCCGCTTAACTCACCGACCAATCAAATTTCTAGAAATACTAGTCCTGCTTCAGCTTCTCCACCCACATCTTAGTGCATCCACGAGGAACAATAATTTTAACACATTAATTAACCCAGAAGGAAATCATCTTCAAGTACTTAGACAAAGATCAAACGGGGTAAACAGAATACTTTTTCCTATTATTTTTAGGGTATTATGCATATTTTAATATTTGCAATTTTTGACAGCTTTGGAATTTTTCATCCCACCTCGATACAAAAATAAATCCTAACCTCCAGGGTAGAAATTTGATAACAACTTTGTTCGAGTCTCCGTACATTTTTAGCTTTTCTATCATTCTGGTCGTGCTTTATGTGACGATTGCCAAGTGAGTCTCGATTTTTATAATATTATCAATAATTATTAGACACAATAGACGCAATAGTCATTTTTATACGGATTCTGAGTGCTACGTTTACATAGACATTCGGAATTTTTAGGTTTCGATATTGTTGGTTGTATAAAAATGCCGGAATTTTGAAAAATGCAACTTCAATATGTATGCTCTATATTAGAGAGAATTGAATACTGATAGATTCCTGATGCGCTTCCTGATGCGCTTCCGGTCTACAATCAGAATCAGAGTGAAATGACTATTGAAAAAAGTATTCATTAAATGCATAATGACATATTGCCTCACTCAATTCCAGTCACAACATGCAAGCGCAACACCATCATCATCCAGAGCCCAAGGAAGAAGAGGAGGAAGAGGAATCAAAAGAGATCGGACTTATCTCCAAAAAACTTGGCATAGCTCGTGAAGTAATCACCATCATTTCCGAATCCTTCAACAAGGCTGCCCACGATCTCGAACTTGTAAATGTGATACACGACATCCGAACTGGTCATGCCGAACCTGGTGGAGAGAGAGTTAGTGGAAGTCACTCAACAAAAGATAAAAGCAAAGATAACCCGGTCAATAAAAATAGAAGACCTACCAAAGCTCAAACTACACCCACCAATACGCGCCCCCCTTAAATATGCATGAACCTGATTTGTAGATTAATAAAAACCTGCTTTACACATTTTACGCCGTAGAGCTCATTAATAATAAAATTACTTAACAAAATTACAATCTTAATTGGAATGATACCGGTTTTAAAATTTTTGCATGTACATAAACGTAACAATCACAAACATAAGAAAATGATGATGGCCCTACATTTTACTTTTCAATTAACCAAACCAGTGGCATCCGGTTCTTGGCAATAAAAGCAAATGTGTGTCTTTGCTGCTGCATGAATGTAATGAAATCGAAATCAATCAAATTTATGGTCAATCACTTGCAAACTAGAGAAAAAGCTGACCTTGCCTCCGTCTCTTCCTCATTTTCTTAGAATTCTTACAATTTGAGTGCATCTGCATGTTTTTTTAATTTCAGAGAACAAAAAGTGGTGCAACTTCTACTCATTCTTTCGACCCCAAACCACAAGTCAACGCTGTGTACTCTGTAATCACACACATGGCCATACAACAAGTTATCTTCGTATCGCACACAATTTTTAAGTAACTTAATCCTCACGGCGTGGGAATAAAGTGGGTCGTTTTTTTTTGTGCAGTACGCTCTGCATGTGTGTATACATGTGCCATTCGGTAGGATCTCTACGTACTTATTTATGTATCATACTAATACCTGTCGCCACATGAAGAGGCAGGAAGGAAAATGTTATCATCTAAAGAATTCCTGACAATGTGCATAGTTTTTATTAGTTTCTTATTCTTAAATATAGTGCCAACATTCTCCAGCCAAACGTTAGGAATGGGTTATCTAGTCAAAGTACCGGAATCACTGCCAGTGATCCGGTACCAACCAGCATCCCCACCACCACCCATCTCAAACGAGGTGGTACAACATTACCAAAGTGTCAGTGAATTTGTATCGCCACATCATCGCCCACTAACTGCTACCAATTATTTCCTTAACCGGAAATGTCTGCACAAGAGGTGTCGTCAACTTAACGAATTTGTCATCAAGGGTGGCAAACGCTTCTCAGAAATTCCCCTGGTCACAACGGTTACTCCGGTCGCAGTCCTTTACACGGCCGCCCTGATGTGGAAGTGAGACTTTTATCAAATAATGGATACAATCAAGGTTTTTGCACTTGGGGGGTTGCTTGGGAATTAATTAGATGCTAATCAGTTTATTCGAATTAAAAAAATCTGGCTCTGGAGAAATTCAAAAAATTAAGAGCGTAAATTATTCAAACTCCGGATTTTTAAATTATAAACTGACATTAGCATCGAATTACTCCCCAAGCAATCCCCCAAGTGCAAAAACCTTGGAATATAATTGTAATTATGATAAAGAACTGGCCACACTTTTTATAGACAAATTTCTTTTTGAATAGAGAATTTACACGAGAAAAGAAACCTCTTCGTAAAATGAGACGAAAACACGAGAGAAGGAGACCCGTAAAAACTGAGGAGGAAAAAGAAATCGAAGAAATGAAAGAGAAAGCACGACGGGAAAAGGAACGTGCCGTTATGAAAAAAGAACAAAAATTAGAACTTGCCAGAGAAATTATGGGAATTCACGCTGATATTTTACGCCTCATCGCTTACACGACGGCGACTGGGACGCAAACGCTCGAATTGGCGAATAATCTACGGAAAGATGCAGGCATTCGGATCCCTGGCATTGCAAGGAGGAGAAAAATTGGTGAGAAGAAGCAGCGTAAAAATACTACTGCTGTATCATCCTCTGATGAAAGCAGAAGTACCGTCGAGCTAACCAATCGAGTCGATGCTAGTTTAACGAAGGATTTTAATGCCACGTTAACCAGACTAAAAAATTTGCAGAATGTCCTGACCAGACTTGACTCTGTTTAGTGAGTGAGGTGTATTTATGCGTCGTAGTAAATAAGTTATTAATATGCAAAGATTTTTAAATTAATTTGTATATTTTTAATTAAAAAAATATGGTGATACAATAAATAAAATTTCATAATTTATAAATAAATCATAGTTTACAAATTTTCATAAGTTGTACTTTGTGGTGGTGGTGGAAATATTGCAAGATGAGATTCGTCTCGTTTCAGATTGTATACATCAAAATTCTGAAATGCAAAATATTTCAAATAAGTAAGTTTTCATATAAAATCATCCTTAAAAATACGAACCATGATGTGCCGGTGGGTGTGGCCCGTGACCCCCTCTCTTTTCCAACTCGAATTTGACACTTTCTTGAATTTCTTGCAAGTGCATAACGACGCATCCGAGCCGAAAGAAATTCCCAATGGAGATCAGACTCAAGTCCCGTTCAGCTTTTTCTTCCATGTGATGACGTCGTAAGGGTGGTGGGTGTGGTAGATGGTGTACCACCTCCTCCTCCTCCTCTCCAATACTCCGTCCAATCCCGTGGCTTACATTGCCAAAAATTTTTTCAAGATCTTGCGGAAACTTGAGAACCTGATTCCCAATCCTCAACTGACCAGAGCTTTGGGCAAGGAAATGTTTTAGTGTTAATCCAGAGAATAGTGACAACGAATCCTCAGCGCCATATTTAGCCGAGGAGATGGGAGTGACAAAGATGACCAAAAATGCAGAAACTAAGATCATCCACATCTTTGTATTTTTTGGGATAAAAAACCAAATTTTAAAGACCAATATCAAACAAAAGATGAACCACTACTAAATTAAATCAGCCTTTGTGACGAGTAGATATTTGGGTAAAATTGAAATTTAATTTCGTTACAACGTAAAAGTAAACTTGATGTGGGACATCAATATCGACCGGTTTGAAGTTATCACTTTTACAGATAATGAATATAACCACGTGTAGTTTAGGCAACAAGTATGTAGGAGTACATAAGTAATATGCAATCTTTGCAAGTTCAAATTAATAGTGGATAGAGGAGTGTGAAAAAAAACTTGTTTTGTCATCTCCATCATCAGAAGGAATTTGTTTAATTCATTTTTGCAATATCTGCACTCGTCGTTTATTCGACGATGCATGATGTGCATTCAGCAAAGTGATGAGCAGCTCTAATCTTAAGGGAGACAAAATACAAATAAGAACGCCACACAATATTGTTAATAGCATGGTGGCAATATAATTAGCTGTATTGGTACACAAAAACTTGATTCGACACTGTAAAAAACTGGGAAAAAAACTCCGAAGAATGCTACTGACACCGGGTCTAATTCTTTTGTAAAATTTGTGATCAAGAAATATTTATATGTATTCATGTATGGAAAATACTGGAGATTTTAGCCACTACCTAAATGCTTGTGGATAGGTTTTCAATTGAAAAACTATCATATTTGCTTATGTGCATTCCGATAAACTGTGACACTTTCTCCGCATGAAGGTTTTTGAAAGTACTTAAATAAGGACGCCAGCCAATTTTAAAAATATGTATGCAGATATTTATGTATGTTTACACTCCCAGACAGCAAAATTCATACGGAATTCTCACCGAGTATTTACATATTCCATTCTGGGTATGTACATATTCGCAGAATTTTATGTGACGGTATTGCTAGAATTTGTATTGTGGTTTACCAATAGATTTCTACATGCATATGAATGTTAACCTGCGAGTTTATTAAATCAAAGTACTCATTTTTAAGCAAGGTCATGACAACACACTCAAAAAGCGTTAGGTCACCACAGCTCAGGCTAAATTTAAATTTGGGGTCTTCTGTTTTTCAAACACCTCACGTTCATTCTTCGCCATTGAAAATGAGGAATTCAAGTAGGACGAATTCATCGTAAAGTAAGACAACTGCTCCAACCGTTTCTGCAACATTATCAATTATTTATGTGTGTACTTGCTCATGCATATTAATGCAGAATGCACTTTAAGCCTGCATACAAACATACAAACATATGCATATGCGGTACTCCGCCCAACATATTGATGTGTTTTAATATTACGAACTAACCTGTAACTCCGATATTTTGTGGTATGCACTCAGACTCATGAGGACGGACGCCACGAGCAAGATCAATATTGACAAAGCCACACCAATTAATGTAGACTGAGAGATCATAATTGACAAACTTTCGCGTACGGGGGATGCTGGAAGAGTGATGATTATCCCGGTGTGCCACAAAGGCTCTTGAAACAGTTGGCAAGTAGTCGCCACCGGCGGCAAAGAGTCGCAGATTTTGCCGACATCCAGCCGAGTACTTGCCACCGCTTTCCCGCCGCCATTTTCACTCGGCAAACCAGTGTATTTGCCGGACTTAATCTGTCTACTTGCCGTCGACGGCCCATCCCAGGCCATAGCAAGCTTTAAATGGTATTTAAGATTTTGCTTCTGGCCACATTCTTGCCAACTACGGCCCGACTCGAATGAGATACCAAAATGCCCCAACTCTTACTTAAAGTAGAGGAAACTTAAAAACCTCCACACCGTCAACATTCTGTCCATCAAATCAGTATTTTGTCTTTATTCCATTAAACGTACTTTGTCATGATTAAATTTGCAGTAGTTATATTTCCCGACGAAGATAACGCCATTGACGTTATATCGTCATCTTGGATTCTTCCGCCACTTATTGCAAATGGGGGGACCCAAGTGAAGAACTGCAGATATCCACCATCAAAAGTTCGAGGTGCAAAACTAGCCAAACTTGTTTGCAATCATCAACCCCCATCTTCGGATTGGTTGGTCTGTTCTTGTCGAGTTTTGAAAGAGTATGGTAAGCAGTTTGTTGCAAAAAAGTATATGGCAAAACTAATTACTTGCTGTTATCTATGTTATTTTCTAGACAATTATTTGACCGCCCGTGAAGCATCAATTAGGGCGGAAGAAGCTTCCAACTTGGAGCCATCTTCCGTTGAGGAGGCAGATTCTAGGCGAATCCGAAAACGCATACAAAACAAAGTAAAGCCGCCACCGTGTAATTCCAATAGCAACAAGCTTCAAAAAATAATTGCTGTAGCCGAAGATTCTAGCGACGAATCCAACACGTTGGAGGACGACAACCCGACAACTTTTTGCCTTGGATTAGTTAGAGAAACAGGTAAACCGGAAGGGTGTAACCACTAGTTTACGTCGCCAGTTCATAGTTTATGTTAATTTAAATCATTTAATTAGTATTATAAATAATTAATAATTTAAGTTATGATATTTTTTTCTGTTTATATAATAGCCGATTTGGAAAGGGGCGGTTATGAAGGTGCAGCTAATGACAACACATTATTTGCACCACCTCATGGACAAATAGAAATATACCCAGGAGGAGGAGATCAAAACACTTCCGCAACCCACCAGGCAGAGGATGTCGAGTTTAAAAATCAGTTCGTACAGTTTCTAGAGGAAAATAGAAGTATGATAATATTCGTATGAATAAAATACGATTGTGTGTATTCTCCTTTCTATTATATTTATACTATGGAATTAACTAACTTTTTTATTAGAATTTCAAGATGCGGTGATTTCCAAGCTAGAAATAATTTCTAGTAAGTTGAAGCACATTAATCTTGGGACGACGTGTGCAAAAAATATTAAATTGACTGGAGCCCCGCTACTGCCTTTAACCAGCAAGGATGGTTTAGCTTCCCTCATAACCTGGCTTGGTATTGATAAAAATAGTGACCTAATGGTACCAGAGAATTTTAATGCGTACTTTATTTATTATGCGTACGCTGGGTATGACCTAATCTATTTATTAACGACAGATCGATTATCTAAGTCTACACGGAGGAGAAAATGTTTCTGCAGTAACCGGAAGCATTCTTTCTGAAATATTTACGAACCAGTTCGCAACAGTAGTTAGCTTTACTGGACAAGGACAAAAAGCGGTTTGTGGCATAAAGGACTCAATATTACCTAAATTAATCACAAGTACGTTAATAAAATTTATTCTCGAAACCATCTTATAATTAAAAATGATTAAGTGTTCTGCAACGATTTTCTAGAGTCGGTGCGGTCAAATAAAGGCTTTAGCCAAGCAACAGATTTCGAGGTGAAGCAGGCAATAATAAACTGGTTGAAGAACGCTGGTGACAGAGGTGGGGGTCGAGCAGCTCGTCGTCAACGTCATTTGACAGGATGAATACAGTCACCCCGAGAACGGAATTACGCCGCAGAAGAAAAGCAACATCACGTATATTGCAATTTATTAGAAGTAAGACGATAGGAAATACTGTGCCGACATTATTATTTAGTGAAGAAATTGTAGAGCCACCAGTGAATGTTCAAATAGTTGAAACTGAAATAAGTAGCGCTGAACCCTCAGATTTTGTATTAGACAACAGTCAAGTAAATGTTGAGTCAGATATCAATTTTCCTTTACTTTTGCCAGATAGTCTTCGTCTGTGGGCTACAGCACATAATGTTACACATATGTGTCTCCGAGAACTGATAACCATTATAAATCCACATATTAACAATATTCTTCCTCTCGATCCTAGAACATTAATGAAAACGCCACGACAGATAGTTATAGAAAAGCTAGGTGGAGGTGAACTAGTTTATTTCGGTATAAAAAAAGGTGTGGAAAGACGGCTAAAACTAAAATTATCGGATTGCAATTTTCCAATTATTAAAAAATGGCAGCATGAGTCTATTTCGAAAATTATTTCAATATCAGTTGGTATTGACGGGGTACCGATTTCTCAAAGTAATACTAAGTCGTTTTGGCCAATTCTTGGTATGCTGGACCAAGCTGTAGATTCAAGTCCATTTATTATTGGATTATTTTGCGGCATGTCAAAGCCAAAAGATACTTTATTTCTTAAACAATTTGTTGACGAAGCATTAGAATTAGAAAGGACTGGTATTTTATTTAAAGACTTACAATTTGCATTTAAAATATCTTGTATAATAGCTGATGCACCAGCTAGAAGTTTTATAAAAGGGTGCAAACAGCATAATAGCTACAACTCGTGTGAAAGATGCGAACAGGAAGGTGAATGGCTTGGAAGAGTAATTTTAAGAGAGACAGTATGTCCACAGAGAACGGATGATAAATTTATTAAAAAAACGGATGCAGATCATCACACATACGACAGTGAATTGCTGAGATTAAATTTAGGCCTGGTGTCACAAATAGTACTTGACCATATGCATTTAGTTTTTCTAGGAGTAACTAAAAAATTATTGAACATTTGGGTGAAAGGTAAATTGCCGCACCGACTTAGTTCACAACAAGTTTTAATTTTATCTAGAAATTTAATTCGACTTAGACCTTTTGTATCCCGTGATTTTCAACGCAAACCTCGTGGGCTCGACGAACTAAATCATTTCAAGGCCACTGAATTTAGACTTTTTTTGCTGTACTCTGGAATAGCAGTATTAGGCGAGACACTTCCACTAAATAAGTTTAAAAATTTTCTAAAATTACAAGCAGCGATGTCAATATTATTATCTCCTAATGCAAGTATAAAATCGTGGAATGATGTAGCCAGGTCGTTGCTCATACAATTCGTAAAAGAAGTTGAATTAATTTACGGTCCAGAATTTATGATATATAATGTGCATTCAATTATACACATTTGTGATGATGCATTGAATTTTGGTAATTTGTCCAGGGTCAGCGCATTTCCTTTCGAAAGCTATATGCAGAAACTAAAAAGCATGCTGCATGCTAAAAATTATCACCTGAATCAAGTAGCGAAACGCTTACAAGAAATTGAGGCAATTGATTTTGCGACAAAAATTATGAAATCTAGTACGCAACAGTTTTCTAATAGTAAATATGATAATTGTTTCTACTTAGGAGATGGTACTTATGTAATATTAAAATATATTAACCTATCCATAAAATATGCAGAGTTTTACGAGGTTATAAAACTTGATAAATTTCCGGAATATCCATTCAATAGCTTAACCGTAAATATATTTCTAGCTAAAATTACGACTAATGTGAGGATTGTTAATTACAGTGAAGTTATGTATAAATGTTTACTTTTACCTTATAAAAATATGTATTTGTGTTTACCACTTCTTCATACTTTAAAATAAATAACAAATGAAAAAGTAAATAATATGTGCAATTACTGGTGGCATTTGGATGGGTATAAGCATTTCCGCAGGTCTGAGCCATGGTCTTGCCACCGGTGGCAAGCCGGTATCAAGTTGGCGTGCCAACTGGAATACGAAGTTGGCCCGTACGCGATCGCCACCGCCAAGCCACCTATGGCCATTCGGACATTTCCTGCAGTTTGCCGACCCATTTTGGCCGCAGCTGCGCCTACTGCGGCCCTGCTAGTTTGGCAAATCGGGATTGTTTGTAAGGTTCCAGTTGTTGTTGCTGATGTTGTTAGTATTGGTGCTGTAGGTAATCCCATGACCGGCTCGGTTATCAGTGGAGTTATCGTACTTGTTGAAGTTGTTGATGGTGGCGCAGTTGTAGGAATTGGTGTATTTTGTGTTGTGGGTGTAGCTTGTGTTATAGTTGGTAAACCCCAATACGAGCTACTTGTTGATCTATTTTGGTTGTTGTAGTTGTCGTAGTTGGTGTAGTTGTCGTAGTTGGTGTAGTTGTCGTAGTTGGTGTATGCAGTTATCGTAGCTGGTGTAGTTGTCGTAGTTGGTGTGGTTGTTGTGGTTGGTGTAGTGGTTGTAGTTGGTGTAGTTGTCATAGTTGGTTTTGTAGTTGGTGTACTACATTGCCACCAGCATGTTAGAGTTGTAGTTACTGGTGGCGGACTGGCTGTGGCATTGGTTGGAGTTGGTCCGGTTGATGTTGTTGGGGTAGGTTTCGAAGTTGTTGAATTGTTGTTAGATCGTACTGGTTTCAGAACAGGACTCATAGTCGATATTTCAAAAATTGAATTTATGAAAATAATAAAAACAATCCCAAGGTACCAGGATTTGTTGCAGTTCCCCATTTTTTTCAGGATCAGCGAAGGTGAATTTGTATTATCTCTAACTTGATATATGTGTATGGGTGACTAAACCAGCAACTAAATAATTTTGAACAAATTGTGGAACCCAAATTTTATTGCATGATTTTGATACACGCAAATGTATATCTGCATAAATGTACTCATCACGATCACGAACACGAACTCATTCTTAGTTCAAGTCAGTTCATTACGTAGCACAAAAATTCAATTGAACCAATGGGCCCAACAATGCTTAGATTTAATTTTAGATCCATATTTAATAAATGAATGTTTTTGACATTCTGTAGAAATTTGGTGCTTAAATATGACAAACTCCCACAATATGAACATGAAATAATTAAAGCATGTCACAATTGAAGTGTTCAAATGCGCATTAGTTTCTCGCATTTATTGTCAATGCAGATCATTTAAATGTACTAACATAGCTCAAATAAGTGTCTAGCTTTAAAATTAAGATATTTGACTTGTACATATCACTTAAATGTACAAACATATTTGTATTATAAGCTGGAAATGTCTGTCGGCAACGGAAGTGTTCCGCAACGGAAGTGAAAGTAAAGAAAGTAAAGTTTCGAATGTCACGAAAATTCAAATTAAATAAAAAAATGACAAAGTATAAGGCTGATTATAGTTAACTTGTGATGGTTTTTTTATGGTTATCATCTACTCCCAATTAAACACCATCAAATATGAGATAAATATTCAGAACATATAGAATATTCAAAATATTCAGAATCTGCATAATTTTCTCCACTTTCTCTTCGTTTGTGGAACATTTGCTTTCACTTCCGCTGCCGACAGACATGTCCAGCCTATAATTTGCGCCCGGCGGGAGACGGGCTTATACGCTTGTATTTGTATATCAATGAAATCCTTCTTAATAGATGTGGATTAGACTTATTTAAAATCCTTGAAATTCTGTACTTCTCTCCCAATCATCCAATATCATACTCGCTGCTTTCTCTCCAATCATAATAACGGGTGCGTTCAGGTTAGCATTTGTTATTCTCGGCATTATGGACGCGTCCGCAACTCGCAGCCCCTTCACTCCACGCACCCTTCAATTTCAAAACCACCATAAGTTATTGGTCAATTAAACTTGTAAAACTTAATTACTTTACGAACCTCAATCGTGAATCTAATACAGCATTTGGATCATCCGCACTCCCCATTTTTGCACTGCAGCTCAGATGCCACGTCGTCCCTTACAAATTTATGTCATGATCGATTAAAATCAAAAATTCTTTTCTGCACCTATTGCATATCTTACCTGTTAAATGTCTCAAGAAACATTCGTAATACTCGTCACTTCTCAAAATATGGTGTTCGCATCCAGGGAAATGATTTGGTATTAACGTCGCATTGTATTTCCGAAAAGCTTCAGTTTTCTCGTAAAGTTTAATCAACATTTTCAACCCTAATCAATTTGAAAATATATGTCGCGTAACTACGACTTGTTTACATATTATGCATATTATGCATAATCACGCATTACCACTAATAGGTATATTACCACGAATCATCTCCTTCATATCGTCCGGATGACTGAAATAGTTCAAATCAACGACCGGTTTATCGAGCGGATTTGCTGAACGGAGACGAATTGTTCCTCTACTTTTTGGGAGTCCCAGATTAAATCCGAGAAGATTTGCATCCCGTCCAATAAATCCATTTACATATGATTTTATGGTTCCATCCTTTAAGCCAAAAATAAAATCAAAGTCTTCCCCGAATGACTTGTGGATCCCGACTGGATACAATACTGCATTCAAGTTCGGCCAATTCGGTTCTGGAGGTTGGGCTGTACTAAAAAGTCCAATTGCGGCCATGGCGTCAGAGGCTAAGGGCCCTTAGAATTTGATTTGCAATATCTTTAATGTTTTTCCGTTCATTGTTGTGTAGCTTACTTTTACCTGTATGATTCCGAAGGTAGAGCTCCGCAGCTCCCATACTCAAATCCCTGTCGGAAATGTAGGACACAGTATCGTTCAACATGAAAGGTCCAGCCAGCGATAGGACGTGATCTTGTAGATTATCTCCAACATGGAGGTTTGATATGGTTCTAATCTATCGTAGTGAGTCATGATTAATTTGCCTTTATTATTCGGATTCGAAATCTTGGTTCCAAGTCCGAAATTTTCGAATTTAATCCGAAATTTCTAAAATTGGTCTTTTGCAACTTTGAGTTTAATTTTTAGGCAATTTTCCATACCCCAAAGGACTCCAAATGGTCGGAATGCCCGATTCCAGACAACATCAGAATATGTGGACTTCCGATCGCACCTGCCGAAAGGATTACTTCCTGTGAAGCTGTCGGACTGAATGTGCGCCCATTTTTGATGTACGTGACCCCAATGGCACGTTTCGTCGAATCAAAATTTACCTGATTTCCAAACATATCCTTTAATTTGCTCCACTGGTTATCATATAATGTTAATTTATCGACATGATGTTACCTGTGTGACATGCGCATAACGAATTACTTTAAAATTGCTCCGATCCAGCGCAGGTTGAATGAAGGCTTTATACGTACTCCATCTCCGCCCATCCTTCGTTGTCAGGTCGACAGGGAAAAATGCTTATTTATCAAAGTTATTATTATCGGAAATTCTAATTCTACAAATTTCTGGGGATATTCATTACAAGTTCTTGAACCAATTAACGAGTTCGAATGTTAGCAAATAAACAAAGTTCGCAAGCTCACAAAAAATTGGGTTGAAAATTCACTTACAAACTTATACATATCCGAAGCTACTATTAATTCTCAATTTTTTGTAAATTACGCTACAACTCGTAGTGAATACCCCCATTGAGCAATTATTCAAGCTCACTTGATGTCTGGTACGCATTTGCATTCGAATTTTTGAATCCCATCTCTCTTGCGGCAGACATCCAATCCTTTATTATGGGATCATCAGGTTTAGAAGTCACCGATAAAAGTCCTCCTGTTCCACGATACTTCGCTACATAATTAAATATTTTGATTTACGGCGTATAATAACTAGGTACTGCTTGTGTCCAAGTCTCTACCAAGCAAAACCGTAGACGGGCGAAGCCATAAATGGTCTGTGGGATACCGTAAAAAATTGAAGTTCAGCAGAGTTTAGAAAGCATTACTAAAGGATTATTTTTCCTATTAAAATTTTTCGATACCTGACCTTTGTGACTTGTTACTTACTAATTCTTGTTCATGCTGTGACTATTTTTAGATAGTTTTAGTTGATCACGATATGTACAAAAAATTTAACTTGGGAAAAATATTTTTGTTAATAAAAGCTCTCATTGGACATTTGAAAAAAAAATAATCAGCAGAAGCAAAAAAAACTTGTTACTAATTGTAAGTGATGAAACTCATTAATGGGAATTTTTGGGAATACGTTGTCTGTATGTATGCACGATAATTTGAAAACGATTGTAGTCAAATTTAGAAACACGTGTGCTGTCTGTGGAGCCTAATATTACCCTCAGCTTGCACTCTTTGCTGAGGGAGAGCCTAAGGCTCTGTACCAACTTTAAACACCCAAATATGTTTTTGACCTTAGTTACCCAATTAATTTTAAAATTATGAAACCTCCCCCCCCTCCCCCTGGAAAAAAGGGGGAAGCACATTTGGAAAAATTAATTAATCAAAAGTGAATGAAAAATAAATATAACCTAGACCCAAACTTGCTTTTTACCTTCAGATTGCCTTATGAATATGAATATTTTGATGAATTCAAAGTTTCAAAATTCGAAAATTCGAGTTTTTTTTTAATACATAAATCTTATATACTACCTGACAACTAGCCGGATGCAACTTTTCAAAAGACGTTCCTGTCGGTATTAGTGTATTTTGCACGAAATTTTGAATTAGAAGTTGTGGTCAACACTATAGCCGAGGTGGATTAATCAGTGAGAGACTCCAAAACACTTCCAGAATTTTACTATTTTTGAAAGAAGAGAGCGTAATTGGGTCAGTGCAAAGTTTTCTGAGAGAAAAACTGTCCACCACTGCTTATCAGGGTCAATGACCTATTATACCATCTGCGCCACACTATTCTCCACCGCTATGCACAAGAATTATGAACGTCGAAATGCTCCAAAAATTGTGAACGTCTTTTGAAACTTTTAAAACATTAATGGCAGTTTTAATTTTTTCGCGAAGTTGGTGGTACTGGGTGACATCATATTTTCATTAAAAAATATTTTGATAAATTTACCACCAAAGACTTTTTTCCAAAACATGCTATCGTGCTTCAGTCCCAAGAAATTTGGGTAGTGAGGGTAATTAAATACCTTGGTGAATTACTGGTACAGAGCCTTAAGAGAAACCATTATTTAGCCCCACTGGCACAACATGCAACATCTAAATTTGACTTTAATCGTTCGCAGCTTATCATGCACACAGACAAACAACGTATTCCTATTAATGGGTTTCACCCCTTAAATTGCAGGTCACAAAAGGTCAGATATCGAAAAATTTTATAGGGAAAATAATTTTCTATTTAGGTTTTCTAAATTTTTGCAAAGCCTCAATTTTGTTTACTTCGTATCCAACAGACCCTTTCTGGCTTCAGAAAGCTTTTTTCGTCCACTATTTATAATATGTACTGTCGTAAATCAATGTATCTATATGTAGAATTATTTACATACGGTCAGGATAATTTCCAGTGTAATCTTCCGACTTTTTGAAGTAAGGCAGCACATTTTCATATGACCAAGATGCATTTCCGGTAAGATTCGCCCAGTTGTCAAAGTCATTGGGGTTTCCTCTCATGTAAACCATAAAATTTAAGCTGCTCGAACCACCCAGAATTTTCCCTCTCGCGATTTTAATCAACTAAATAATCCATTCGAAGTTTATTTTTTGGTCGCAATGTCAGATTCTGAGGTTACTCACGTTATCTTTGCACGCAAAACAGGAAGTGGTTAATGGCTCCGAAGGTGTCATCCAGTCGGTGTCAGGATGATGCAAGTTGTACGTCGCCATGGCTGGGATTGAATTTAGCACGGTGGGATTGCCACCAGCCTCAAGTAGCAGGACTGATAAGCGCATATGTAATTATATTTACTGATCACATCCTTATACTTTTTAATTTGTTACGGACAACCTTTGAAATTAGGATTTGCTGATAGTCGATTGGCAACAACTGCTCCCGCCGAACCTCCGCCCACTTTAAAAATATTACATGTATAATATTTCATGAACTTCCTAGATAATTTAAAATTGATATTTAAAACAAACCAATAATGAAATCATAATTGTTACACGAACGAAATAGTGGGTTGGGATCCATGGCAGAATCAAAGCCATGATTGAACAAGGCTAAAACTGTTGTAATTCTAACAATTATGTTTTTTAAGTTTGCAAGTACTATTGTCGGGATTGGAATTGTGTTCAAAAAATTAAAGATTGTGTTGGACGGGTCCATTTTCTTTGTGTAGCCAACACCGAAGATAATCTTGTTTCTAGCAAATGTTTTATTTCGTGGGCCTTTTATAGCAAATAAATGAGGAAAATTCCTATGCAAATATGTACTGAATGTACAAATTATATACTGTCAACTGTAACATAACGTTTTGAGAGATGAAATCAAGGGTATTTATTCGAGAGTGATCGATAAGGCTTAGGTATTTTGTGGCTAACACGGGAAAATCTTTGATATTAAAAATATAATAGATTACGCATGTATGCAGAAAACTTTTATTGGAGGTGGACATCAATGACTTGTAATTATTGCACTGGAACAAGTCTCATGAAAATTCCTAAATATGCAAATATGTACAGGTTCAAATTGTATAACATTTTAATTGCAGGGAAATAGATTCTATATTTATTAGAGATGTGATCAACAAGGTTTATGTAGATTGTATCAGTATCTAACAAGGTAACATGTTTGATGTTATAAATATACTAAAATTTTATTGGAAAATGTAATCAATGACTTGTAACCATTACACTGGAAGTTGTCTGGAACATGTTTATCATGAAACGAATTAAGACAATAGTGAGATGCATTTTTTCCTCGTGTTAAGGTACCAAAAGGTCAGCTTATCATGCTCTGATCCTTAATTCTCTAATGTGGAATAGATGACTTTTTAAATTGCAAGGCTTGTATAATTTGTTTTCGCTATGCAGAAAGTACACGCTAAGAAACCCGGTAACTAAGTTATTACCAGGCGGAGTATCTATGTGACTCTACCGCATGGTAATTTATTTATTATTGAGTGGTAGAAAATTAGTTACCAACTGGTAATATTTGCAAATTTCGCGACCGGGGTTATTACCGTTTTGGTAACAAAATGTCTACCACTCAATAATAAATTAATTACCATGCGGTAGAGTCACATAGATACTCCGCCTGGTAATAACTTACGATTAGTTACCGAGTTTCTTAGAGTGTATCATACGTCTGAAAACCACGTTGCACACTTAAAATGTATAATACAAATATGATACAAAAGTATCTATCTATGTATATGTGCGGTTTTATTGATGATTAATTTCGAGCACTAATAGAAATACAGGTACTTGATTTGCATACCAGTCCCATGACAATTTCATTCACTTTAATCCCTAATGAATATTTTTTTCCTTTTTAAAAAATAACCACGGGTGCAGTGAAACTGCTGCTTGAGCAGCCTATTCACAACTTATGCAGCTTATAGGCAGACGTAGATTCCATATTCGTGTGGCCCGAGCCTGGGTTTTTAACATTTTTTGTATTTCATACATACATGTATTGCATTGCATATGGTTACCGTCAAGTGGATCTATGTATTTATCTAGTTAGCTCATTGCAAAGCCAAATAATTTGAATGCACACTAAAGTTTAATTGGGTCGGACAGACCCATGACGGACCCACAGTTCCCATGAATACATACCAAATTGTAGTTGTGTAATGTACAAGATTTAGATAATTTTAATGTATTGACCATCTACGCATAAGATGCAGTAGAATCTTTTGGTGTAGTTTTTTTGGGTTAATTTATTTTCGTCTGAAAGACATTCGAGCTATTACATACACAAATACTCAGAATTCCATCAAGTTAATTTGTGACGATGCTAATTAGGCTATTCTAGCTTCCAGCTCTCTAATTTAGAAGACATTAAAAATCAAACAGGTTCCTCTAAACGAAAAATGGTCATAAATAATATCTTACGTAAATGCGTCGGATTACATGTTATTCCAGATTTATCATGCTTGAAATCATACAAGTGTGCAACACAATATTTGCCAACGAGTGTGACAATCTAATTATGTAATCGAAAAGTTTTAATCGATCCAACTTTATTCAGTTATGCACGCATGTATTTGTAATGTAAGTTAACATTCTGGAGGAAGCCTCACCTAAGGATAAGTATGCTTTATTAAATATGTATTGGCTATTGGTAGTGTATAAATCGCAAGTGTTGGTTCTTGTGCCCGCAAGTATTATTTTTGTATGCATGGTCCATAAAAGTTAGGGTTGCCCCGGGTACCGGGTAACTACCCGGTACCCGGCATACCCGGCCTGTTTTGGGATACCCGGTACCCGGCCGGGTATGTTTAAGTACCCGGTCTACCCGGCCGGGTAATTTAAATTTATAAATTTCTTACTTAAAATGCAAAACTTTACAAAAAAATAGAATCCGATGGATTTAATTTTTGTATTTGGTTTAAAATACTATATTCTGGGTACAGCATTGGCCAAAACTTATTTGGAAATTATCGTACAAATTTTAAAATTACTTTGAGCGCGCCCACGTCGACGAATTATCAGTCAATAAATTTGCATATCTCGCAAATTAAGCATAACTTGCGAAGTTTTTCGAAATTTGCAAGATTTCTCAAAGCTTTTGCTAAAAACCCATTTTTTTGTAAGACTATTTCGCAGACTCATCCGTGCGATCATGAGCGAGAGAAATTGCGAACATCTATGACAAAAATCAAAATAAACGTCTTTAGTTGATTTGTGAGACTTTCGAAGTGCTATCTTGGTGATCGATTCGCAGGATATGTATCACCTCAAAAAGTCTCACAAAATTGGTTTTATGTTTCATGAGGGGATTCGAATGCCCTCAAGCAATAACTTTTTTAAGCCCCACGAGTTGGCTAAATGATTGCGATCATAAACAAGGCATTATTGTGAGTACGCTGTTTGTGTCCAATATGATTCTTTCGTTTTTAATACCCACTTTCTAGCCCAAATCATTAGCCCGAGAAAATGAAATTTTTACAATGTGCATATTGGGCAAAGATACAGGAAACAAGTTCAAAGATAGGCTGCATTGATCACCCAGTTGCCCTGTGGTGGGTCGCATTTGTGGATTGGGGAAGCAAATTGCAACCATAGTGAGTGTAGCCATAGAAAAGGCGACCCAAACTAATTTTTGCAAAATATTTCTTTAATCTGAAACTAGGCATGGAGGTTAAAAATGAAGTCTGCACTGTAGAAATTAACTTATAATTTTTAAAACTTATAAAATTGTTGCGAATTCTAGAAAAAGTAGAAAAAATCCCGTTATTTTTAATATATAAATATTACCCGGTACCCGGCAAAAATTTGAGGCCGAGTACCGGGTAGCCGGGTACCGGGTAGTACTACTACCCGGGGCAACCCTAATAAAAGTGCATAAAACGCATAAAATGGAGTGATATATAATTTATGTAGGGAATTTCCTGTAAATGGGGAAATGGGTAAGATTCAGTTATCTAAACTTCTACATATACTGATTTGATACATCATAGATGCACTTTTTGGATATTAAAAGTTTTGGATGAAAACTGGTTATTAAATATTAATTCCAGAAATTAAAGTCTTAAATTTTTAGAATGTGACGGAATAGCAACATGCATAACTGGATATGTGAAAAAGTCGAATGTGATGTCGAACTGAAAAAGTATATAAAAGTTAGTAAAGCATATATTTAATACATCATCAAAAATTAAGCGAATGAAGTCCGTATATAGCGTTCTTAAAAATCGTCGAGTTATACCTTCGTTAGCTTTTCATATTAAAAGCAGGTAAACTTCGAATCAACTCCAAAATGAATTTTATACAACTAAGAATTTTTTATTTACCCATAGTAAAAATGTATATAATTTAAATAAGCAATTTGAGAATTAATTTGAGGACGATTATACCAAATTACCAACTCAAGGGTTCCAATGCGAAAAATGTTGTCACGCCTATGTACTTTGTGGGGTGACCGGACTACTCATTAATAGAAATAGGCCAGCGGCGGTAGCACATTAAAGGCTAATTGCCGACACGCCTATTGTCACGCCTAAGAATATTAGATTAATAGTTCACAGGTGAGGGATTCTGAGGGATATATATCGCTCCACGTTGCATCGATTTCACCGAATTAAATATAAAAAATTGCAAGTAAAATTCCGGGTGCTGCGGTCGATGCAGCATAGATATTTTCGAATTATATGTAACCACACCCCATTCAAAAATTGGAAAAATGAGAAAGTCTATGCATACTCGGCAAAACAGGAATTACACCACAACTTGCATTTGACATTTCAATACCTCCATAAATACGGACATTTTGATTCATAAAAAGTTTCAAAATTTGAAAATTGGCGGTTTTTGAACCTACACATAAATCGTTAAAAATCTCATGGTTCCCACACTTTTACTTCTGACAACCTAATGCCAGATTTTTCTTCTTGGGAAGACCTATATTTTCAGCTTTTGTTGTCCGGAGTAAAAGTGTGGGAACCATGAGATTTTTAGGGTCAAAGTTTCTGAGGGAGGGGCTTATACGGCAAAAGCCGTAACAAACCATACCCACTAAACTATAGAGAAACAAAGTGAGACAGGATTCTCCTACGACCCTGACGCGAAGTGGTGGATACCCACAAGAATCCGAGTTTTTCTCTTTTTCTCTCGAAAATGGAAACACGTTTCGTGGCACATTTCCCTCAGAATCCCTCAGGTCCCGTTTGAGCTGGTATACATAAACGAACTTAAATATTTATTTTTACTGCGGCAGGTTGAGGTACCTAATTTGCATACCTGTGCAACATGTTAAGCATTATGTCTGACAGAGCTGGGAAAATCCAGGTTAGTGGGATTGGAATTAGTCAGTCCAAAATCTTTCGAATGAAAATGATGAAAATAATGAAAATCTTCTAATCCTAATCCCGAAAATAAACACCATCAAATGAATCCCTACCCAACAAAATATATATTACACGTTAATCACCAATCTGGATAGGTCGGGGATAATATCCATGACTAAACTAATCCAATATCCGCTGGATATTGTATCAGTTTGGAGTTGTGTGCGCTTCACTTTTCGCAACTGGTTCGTTTAGCTTTTGTCATTTTTTACACAAAAACGAACCTCTTTCTCCCATGAACCACTTACATATTATGATATGGTGTTATATAGCTCTAAGAAACTTTTAATGATTTAAACCGTTTCCTACTACATTCATTTTTTTGCGGTGAAATTACAAAAGTTCGTTAAACGCATGAATTAAGTAAACCATTTATTTTTAAAAAATCCTTCTTTAATCCAGATTTGCTAATCCATTATCATCAATCTAAATGATTTTTGAAAAGTACCTAACTAATCCAATCAATATCCATGTTTTATTCTAATCCCCAATCTAATTACACAATCTCAGTGATCAATCCATAATCCTAGGAAAAAATTTCTCAGCTCTGATGTCTGCATAATAATTTCTTTTCTTGAATGCATGTTGTAGATACACAGTTCCATGATGAAACTTTCATCAGTTACCAAACTAAAGAGGAAATACCATGCACCATCCAGTACCAGATTTTTGTGCTATTTGCATATGTTGCAGTAATATCTAGGTGAGTGCAGAAAAAGTTTAGGCGGACTTTACTCTATGACTCAGTTTTTTTGAAGGCCTATTTCCAATTGCGGCATAGGTCTCAGATTTTGTCTCCGAATTTATCAATAATCGCCAGTATGAAAAGGAACTTATCGTCAAAAAAATTAAAATTTAATTTCAAATATTATCCGAGTAATTATTATTTTTCGAAATTTTAAAAACGCTTTGCATTTTAAATATCAAGTGCAACAGATTTTTGACACAGTTTACTCCAACTTAAACTTTATTTTATTTGCCGTAATCTACTCAATAAAATTTTCAAAACTTGAAAATTTTCAATTTTCAAAATTTTGAATGACAATTTTGAAGCGCTGTAACTTCTTGCCCCCACTCATGTTTTTCTAAATTTTTTGAAATTATGATCTAGTGACGAAATAGTTACCAAGAAAAAAAAATTACGCCAAACATGAGTGGCAAGAAATTATTGCGATTTTACTGACACATGTTAGCTTATGGGAGGGAATATTCCCAAAATGATAGAAAAACAAGGGGCGTAAATAAAACTTTTAGTGACGAAATTCTAGTGTCACATCCATAAAGATTATTGTGAAAGCTGACTTAAAAAACTATAACTTAAAAAAATTAGCCCTGACCGTGTCGACATACAAAATGACAACCCGTGCTACGCCCACAGCTGGCGAGCACCACCATCAGTAGTGTCGCTCGGAATGGAGAGACATCTCCGCTCTCATGACTCTCCTCCAATCGAAGGTTTTGACTTGGAGTGACTCCCATATGCGCGCCTGCTTGCTGTACCCCTTTCAGTGGCATCAAATGCTAAGCTTGTGTGACGGAAGTGGCATTCAAATGTGCATTGGTTAGGTTAGCCATCAATTTTCAATGCAGAATATTTAAATACCTATGTAGGTTTTATTCATTTAAGTATTGAATTGTTTGCATGAGAAACCATTTAAATGCACACACACATTTACTCCTGCTTTTTTCGGCGGCTATAAAACCCTCGATATCATCAATCCCATTACTACATAATAACATTGCAGTGGTTTTATTGCCGAAAAAATAAGAGTATGTATCTACATTTTTACAATAAGCATATGTGCAGCTTTATGTTTGACCTGCTAATAATCATACAACCGAACATAAATATTTCTTAATAGGTGGGGACAAAACTCATGAAAACCTTATAATGTTTAAAATTCTGAACCTTTCTCCCAATCATCCAATATCATACTCGCTGCTTTCTCTCCGATCATAATAACTGGTGCGTTCGGGTTAGCATTCGTTATCCTTGGCATTATGGACGCGTCCGCAACTCGCAGTCCCTTCACTCCACGCACCCTGCAATTTCAAAACTGTGATAAGATTGTGATCAATTAAAGCTGTAAAACTTGTATCACTTTACGAACCTCAATTGTGAATCTAACACAGCATTTGGATCATCAGCACGACCCATTTTTGCACTGCAGCTCTGATGCCACGTCGTCCCTTGTAATTTTATGTCACGTACTATTAAAATCAAACATTCTTTTCTGCACCTATTGAAAATTTTACCTGTTAAATGTCTCAAGAAACACTCATAATACTCGTCAGTTCTCAAAGTGTGGCTTTCACATCCAGGGAAATGGTTTGGTATTAACGTCGCATTGTATTTCCCAAAAGCTTCAGTTTCCTCAAGAAGCTTCTGCTTATGCATCTGTCACTACGGCTAATTTACATATTATGCATAATCACGTACATTTGTATGAAAATATATCTTACCACTAATCATCTCCTTCATGTCGTCTGGATGACTGTAATAGTTCAAATCAACGACCGGTTTATCCAGCGGATTTGCTGAACGGAGACGAATTGTTCCTCTACTTTTTGGGCGTCCCAGATTGAAACCTACAAGAGTTGCATCCTTTCCCATAAATCCATTTGCATATGATTTCATGGTCCCCTCCTTCAAACCAAGGAGAAAATCAAAATCTTCCCCCAATGAATTGTGGGTCCCGACCGGATAAAATATTGCAAACAAGTTGGGCCAATTCGGTTCTGGCGGTTGGGCCGTACTAAACAGTCCCAGTGCGGATATGGCACTAAATGCTAGGGGCCCTGTAATATGCAACATATTCAATGTTCATCTTTCATATCATTCGTAGATTACGTTTACCTGAATGATTCCGGAGATATAATTCTGCAGTTCCCATACTAAAATCCCTGTCGGAAATGTAGGACACAGTATCGTTCAAAATGAAAGGTCCAGTCAGTGATAAGACGTGATCTTGAAGGTTATCTCCAACAGCGAGGTTTGATATGGTTGGGATCTAGTTAGTCATGAATAGTTTGTGCTCATTATTATTATTCAGATTCTAAATTTTTGTTCCAAGTCCGAAATATTAGAATTGTAATCCGAAATTTTTTAGGTTAGACATCTGCTAGTCCTGGTTTAATTTTTAGGCATTTTCCATACCCCAAAGGACTCCAAATGGTCAGAGTGCCCGATTCCGGACAACATCAGAAGATGTGGACTTCCTATCGCGCCTGCCGAAAGGATTACTTCCTTTGAAGCTGTCACACTGAATGTGCGCCCATTTTTGATGTACGTGACCCCCTCGGCCCGTTTTGTCGAATCAAAATTTACCTGATTTTCAAACATATCGATTAACTTTTCTATTATCGTTGTCATAGCACGTTAATTTTCCGACGTGTTGTTACCTGAGTGACATGCGCATAACGAATTACTTTAAAATTACTCCGATGCAGTACAGGTTGAATGAACGCTTTATACGTGCTCCATCTCCGCCCGTCCTTCGTGGTGTGGTCGACAGGGAAAAATGCTTGCTTAACAAATGAATTTGTTATACTAAATTTTAATTATGCAAGTTATGGATTCATTGTTCAAACTCACTCGATGTCTGGTACGCATTTGCATCCGAGTTGTTGAATCCCATCTCTCTCGCGGCAGACATCCAATCTCTCGTGAGGGGATCATCAGGTTTAGCAGTCACCGATAAAGGGCCCCCCAGTTCCATGATACCTGGCTACACAATTTACAATTTTTATTTACGACGTTAACGAACTACTTAATGAGACAATGCACTCGGGTATTTGTAACCCAGTACACAAACTTGAAATTTATAAGGTAAAAAGCATTTTCAAAAATTAAAACTCACAGAGTTAACTACATTATAAATATTATTTTTGAACTATGCCACTTATCTCAAATTCTAAACTAACGAACCTTTCAAAAGTTATAAGTTATGTAGTTTACTGAATTACAAATTATCTCTTGAACTATTCTAGTTAGAATTAAGTATTTACATACGGTCAGGATAATTTCCAGTGTAATCTTCCGACTTTTTGAAGTAGGGCAGCACATTTTCATAAGACCAGGACACATCTCCGGTAAGATTCGCCCAGTTGTCAAAGTCATTCGGATTTCCTCTCATGTAAACCATAAGATTTAAGCTGCTCGAACCACCCAGAATTTTTCCTCTCACGATTGTAATCGACTAAATAATTCATAATTTGAAGACACTATTTGTTCATAGCTTGGTGAAGTAAAAATAAAACTATCAAGTTTGTTAAATAGTCGTTCTACAGTATATCACAACATTTTTATCAATAAAGAGAGGATGGAAAGAAGTCATAAGCTGGATAAATAATTCATGGAAATTTGATTTTTTGCAAGGTGATTGACAAATTTTGAAATTTCTCACGTTATCTTTGCACGCAAAACAGGAAGTGGTTAGTGGCTCCGAAGGTGTCATCCAGTCGGTGTCAGGATGATGTAAGTTATACGTCGCCATGGCTGGGATTGAATTTAAAACGGTGGGATTGCCACCAGCCTCAAGTAGCAGGACTAATAAGCGAAAAAATTAGATTTACTAACACCACTCCAAAATTTTGTATTTGTTACGGACAACCTTTACAATTTGGATTTGCTGATAGTCGATTGGACACGACTGCTCCCGCTGAACCTCCCCCCACTTAAAAAAATATATGTTAATTTTAACTTAGTTTCCTAAATAATTTAAAATTGATATTTAGAACCAACCAATAATGAAGTCATAATTCTCAGACGACCAAAATAATGGGCTGGGACTCATCACAGAATCAAAGCCATGATTTAGTAAGGCTAAAAGTGTTGTAATTCTAACAATTAAGTTTTTTAGGTTTGCGAGTATTATCGTCGGAATTGGAATTGTGTTCAAAAAATTAAAGATTGTGTTGGACGGGTCCATTTTCTTTGTGTAGCCAACACCGAAGATAATCTTGTTTCTAGCAAATGTTTTATTTCGTGGGCCTTTTATAGCAAATAAATGAGGAAAATTCCTATGCAAATATGTACTGAATGTACAAATTATATACTGTCAACTGTAACATAACGTTTTGAGAGATGAAATCAAGGGTATTTATTCGAGAGTGATCGATAAGGCTTAGGTATTTTGTGGCTAACACGGGAAAATCTTTGATATTAAAAATATAATAGATTACGCATGTATGCAGAAAACTATTATTGGAGGTGGACATCAATCACTTGTAATTATTGCACTGGAACAAGTCTCATCATGAGACTCTCATGAAACGTAAGTAGTTGACAATGGTTAGATTCTTATATTATATTATTTTATTATTTTATTTATTACATTATTGCATTTATTAAATTATTACATTTATAACATTATTTTATTGTACTCGTGTTAAGGTACTAATAATGCAGGAATAAATGCATTTTTGAGTTACATGCTTGTATGATGACGTCATTTTTTTCGCTATATCCAGAAATTATCGTAAATCTGAATACTATACTCCACACCAAAACATATATCATAGAAACATGACGCATTAAAAGCATGCGTGGCTTGATTGCTTAATTTCCAGCTCTGGTAGAAATGCACTGCATTCTTAAAAGTGCGAGTCCCAGATAATCAAGTAGCTGTATTTATTTTCATGTACTCGATTTACATACCAATCCCATGACAATTTCATTAACTTTTGTCATGGATAAATAAGGTATTTATAGATTGCAATGTTGGTTCAGCCCGAGCCTCAATATTTTTAAGACATGGTCATCCTACATATTATGAGCCTATGCATTAAAGGTTTTCACATACTGAAGTGATAGTGCATAAACACTTCGTACAGAAATAAATATAATATCAGCCTTTTGAAGACCATTCGTATTTTAAGCCTTTCGCCACAAATCAAAATTACACTTGTGCATTTGTTGACCTATGTAGTTGACTGATTGAAAGCTAAAATACTTATTTGTACCTAATTTGAAAGCCTCAAGTATAAATGGATCGAATTGCACGAAGAAACAATGACAGTCCCACAGATCCGATGAACATGAATATACCCCAGCTAAAGATTGCAATTTTCGATAATTTATATGTATTTATCATCTTCGAGGGAAGGTTAATTTCCGACCTTCCCTCGTACACTTGGATTACCCAGGATGGAGGAAAATCCTTTGGTGTAGTTATGTAATGTTCATTTATTTACGCCTTAGAGATGTTCGAGTTATTACATACTGAGAATTCCATCAAGTTAATTTTTAATGATGCTAATTACATTAATCAAGCTTCTATCCAGCTCTCCAATTAACCTATAGTAGTATTAAGAATCATACAGGTTCCTTTTAAATGTCGAATGGTCATAAAATATCACACGTACAAGGTACATACGTCAATATTACATGTTATTCCAGATTGCTCAGGCTTGAAATCACACAATTGTGCAACATCAACTTCTGGAGGGAGCCTCATTTAAGTATATGTATACAGTAAATATATATGCATATGCACTATGCAGTAGCCATGTATGCTTCATTAAACATGGATTGGCTAACGTATTTAGAATCAAGCACATCAACTACTCACAAATATATAATACAAATAGGAAGGGTGGGATTTAAATTCTCATCATGCCAAGAAGATGTGAGAAATTTATCTTCGCCGCTTCAAGCATTTTATGTATTTTAAAGATTCACATCCATAGTAAAAATTTATAAAATTTAAGCAATTTGAGAATTATGTAGATAATTTAAGGACGAATTTTCCAAATTGCCAACTTCAATTATTATTATTATTATTATTATTATTATTTATTAATCAAGCTTGCTTCTTTACAAAGCTCGTTATGCCTGACATATTAGTATTTCACAGTACATGAATTTGTCGTAAATTTGTTAAATAATTGAATAAATTAGATAATATGTATAAATATAATTCAATGTTCCAATGGGGCCAAAAATTTTGTCATGCCTTAGATTAGATTAATAGCTCTCAGGTGACGTGCGTTTGAGGTAGCAAATAAAAACACATATAAATATTTATTAGTGTTGGGGAAGGTTAAGATAGATGATTAACATACCGGTGCAACATTGTTAGCAATTTATTGCGTGTACTATAAACTTGCACCTGTCACCTCACACAAATATGATACTTTGTATGTGGGTTTATATTTACAAATCTATCATGCACATACATTTATGCACATGGGTTTAATTTCATAAAAACAGGGATCAGCTGTCACTGATCACACGAATATAAATTACTGTATAATCGAACTTCTTGCATATGTAATGGTCTAATCCTTGCATATTTATTAGTAGATCAGACATTTTACGTCGGGTATAAGGGCTCATAGACTTTTTAATATGAAATACTTGGTTGTCGCAAGTCGGAATTTATGTTATTAAACCACCGTGTTTATTATTATTACACTCATTAGTAATAAACAGGGCTTTGCCACATTGATGAGCACTACACCTTGGAATTTTATCCGATCGGATGATATCAGAAGGGTGTTGAATTATTCCTCGTAGCCGTATCACATTTCAAACATTGATTAAACCCCTCAGTGAATTGTTTCGATTTCTTGACTGGTATATATTTATACCGTCGTACATAGCTTAATTTTCCTCTTCCAGACGAGTCTCTTCTTCTCCAGCCAATTAGTCATGCACATCATGCTTGACGATAGAACATCTTAATTTAAAGGTAGCTACTTTTTCCTGGAATATGGGACACTTTGGCTATATCTATAAAAACAAGTGTCGATTCTGTCACTTATTTAGTTTCTCCATCTCCTTTAAAAAACTGCTTCTTCTCTACATGTCAAATTGTAAACCGGTTCTCATGAAATTCAACACCTTCTTCCTCATTCATTAGTCACATGTTCTTTTGGTTTCTACAGGAAAACTGTGAAGTCCGATAAAAAACGGATGTCGACAACATCGTATTCTGTAGTTCTTAGCTGAACATGTATTATCTTTTATTTGTAAGTTTACGCCCAAGTCTGATTCCGATCAACATTTGGCAATTCTGTCAAGTCTATGTATGACAAACTTCAGTAATATATGAAATGAATAACGTTGGTCAAATGGAAGGCATTAGGCCAATGTGTCTTGGTTTGTGGCATTTATTGCCACTTAATTTCTTGTCACATAGATATGTACCACTTACATGTACATACATATGTGTATATGTACATATCTAAAAATAGTATCTATATTCTTGTCTGTAGCCATACAATTAAGATATTTTAGCTGCAAATAATAATCTACATGATGTGAAATATTTGTTTAATAGTTGGGGATTAAAGTCATGAAAACCTAAAAATCCTTAAAATTATGTACTTTTCTCCCAATCTTCCAATATCATACTCGCAGCTTTCTCTCCAATCATGATAACTGGTGCGTTCAGGTTAGCATTTGTTATTCTCGGCATTATGGACGCGTCCGCAACTCGCAGTCCCTTCACTCCACGCACCCTGCAATTTCAAAACTGCGATAAGTGGTTGGTCAATTATACTTCTAAAACTTAAATTACTTAATGAACCTCAATCGTGAATCTAATACAGCATTCGGATCATCAGCACTTCCCATTTTTACACTGCAGCTCTGATGCTCTGTCGTCGCTTATGAATTTACACCAGGTTCGATTCAAATAAAATATTCTTTGATGTACTTATTGCAAACCTTACCGGTTAAATGTCTTAAGAAACACTCGTAATACTCATCAGTTCTCAAAATGTGGCTTTCGCATCCAGGGAAATGATTTGGTATTAACGTCGCATTGTATTTCGCAAATGCTTCAGTTTCTTCGAAAAGTTTAATTAATAGTTTCAACCCTGACAAATTAGAAAGTATGTATATCTATCACTACGATTCACTTATTATGCATGGTCATGTACATTTGTATGAAAATCTATTTTACCCCTAATCATCTCCTTCATGTCGTCTGGATGACTGTAATAGTTCAAATCAACGACCGGTTTATCCAGCGGATTTGCTGAACGGAGACGAACTGTTCCTCTACTTTTTGGAAGTCCAAAATTAAATACGGCAATATTTGCATCTCTTCCAATAAATCCATTTACATATGAATTCATGGTTCCCTCCTTAAAACCAAGAAGAAAATCAAAGTCTTCCCCGAATGACTTGTGGATCCCGACCGGATAAAATATTGTAAGCAAGTTCGGCCAATTCGGTTCTGGCGGTTTCGCCGTACTAAACAGTCCAAGTGCCGCTATGGGACTAGACGAAAGGGGCCCTGTAATATGCAACATATTCCTGTTGTTTCTCCTACTGTTGTATGTAGCCTAAGGATTTATGTACTTTTACCAGTTTACCTGTATGATTCCGAAGGTACAGCTTTACAGCTCCCATACTCAAATCTCTGTCGGAAATATAGGACACAGTGTCGTTCAAAATGAAAGGTCCAGCCAGTGATAAGACGTGATCTTGTAGATTATCTCCAACAGCGAGTTTTGATATGGTTGGGATCTATCGGAGTGGGTCATGATTAATTTGCTTTTATTATTCGAAACCTTGGTTCCAAATCCGAAATTTTGAATTTTAATCCGAAATTTCAAAAATTTGTCTTCTGTAAGTTTGAGTTTAAGTTTTAGGCAATTTTGCATACCCCAAATGACTTCAAATGGTCAGAATGCCCGATTCCGGACAACATTAGAATATGTGGACTTCCTATCGCACCTGCCGAAAGGATTACTTCCTTTGAAGCTGTCGCACTGAATGTGCGCCCATTTTTGATGTACGAGACTCCCACGGCACGTTTAGTCGAATCAAAATTTACCTGATTTCCAAACATATCCATTAATTTGCTCTACCTGTCATATAATGTTAATTTATCGACATGATGTTACCTGTGTGACATGCGCATAACGAATTACTTTAAAATTATTCCGATCCAGAACCGGTTGAATGAAAGCTTTATACGTGCTCCATCTCCGCCCGTCCTTCGTGGTGTGGTCGACAGGGAAAAATGCTTGCTTAACAAATTAATTTATTATACTAAATTTTAATTGTGCAAGTTGATTAATATATTGATATTGATTAATATATATGCATATTGATTAATTATTCAAACTCACTCGATGTCTGGTACGCATTTGCATCCGAATTGTTGAATTCCATCTCTCTCGCGGCAGACATCCAATCCCTGGTGAGGGGATCATCAGGTTTAGCAGTCACCGATAAAGGTCCTCCGGTTCCATGATACCTCGCTACGCAATTAACAATTTTGATTTGCGAATAAACTATGTAATGAGACAATCCACTAGGGGCAGTCCATAAATTATGTCACGCGAGAGGGGTGTCCAAGGCTCCTATGATTTTGTGCCTGTGTGACACATGTTAGAAGGGGGGAGGACGAGTCTAGAAATTGCCTATTTTTGCATGACATAATTTATGAACGGCCCCCTGGGGAAAAGGAAACTTGTATAGTTGACTGAATTGCAAAGCTTTACATCGCATCACAAATTCAGGATTACATACGATCAGGATAATTTCCAGTATAATCTTCCGACTTTTTGAAATAGGGCAGGACATTTTCATATGACCAGGACGCATCCCCGGTAAGATTCGCCCAGTTATCAAAGTCATTCGGATTCCCTCTCATGTAAATCATACCGTTCAAGCTGCTCGAGCCGCCCAGAATTTTCCCTCTCACGATTGTAATCAACTAAAATATTCATTCAAAATTTAATTTTTTCTGACATTACCAAATCTCAATTTTCTCACGTTATCTTTGCACGCAAGACAAGAAGTGGTTAGCGGATCCGAAGGTGTTATCCAGTCGGTGTCAGGATGATGTAAGTTGTACGTCGCCATGGCTGGGATTGAATTTAAGACGGTGGGATTGCCACCAGCTTCAAGTAGCAGGACTGATAAGCGCATAATTATATTTACTAATCACAAATACCACACAATAATTTTGTATTTGTTACGGACAACCTTTGAAATTTGGATTTGCTGATAGTCGATTTGCCACGACTGCTCCCGCCGAACCTCCGCCCACTTTAAAAAATACGTATTAATACAACAATCGGTTTCTAAAGGACAGAAAATTTGTGTTTAAAACAAACCAATAATGAAGTCATAATTCTCAGACGAGCGAAATAATGGGTTGGGATCCATCACAGAATCAAAGCCATGATTGAACAAGGCTAAAACTGTTGTAATTCTAAAAATTATGTTTTTCAAGTTTCTAACCAGTATCGTCGGAATTGGAATTGTGTTCAGAAAATGCAAGATTGTGTTGGACGGATCCATTTTCTTTGTGTTGCCAACACCGAAAATGATCTTGCTTAAAGGTTTTATTTCGAGTGCTTTTTATTTCAAAAAAATATGGGGGAAATTCGTATGCAAATATGTACATGTACAAATTATATACTGCCAACTGTAATATAACGTTTTAATTGAGATGAAATCAAGGGTACTAATTCGAGAGTGATCTATAAGGCTTGGGTATTTTGTAGCTAACAAGGGAAAATCTTTGACATTATAAATCTAATATGTAGATTATGCACTATATGTAGGAAATTTTTGTTGGAGATGGAAATCCAAGACTTGTAACCATAGCACTGTAACATCTTGCATGAAACGTACGTACATATGTAGTTGACAATGAGGGGATGCATTATTTTATTCGTTTTAAGGTACCAGAGATCGACTTATGTATGTAATTATCTAATTATGCTCTCGTCGGTGTTCTCAATTCTCATCCTCAGATGAAGAAGGAATAAATGCATTTTTGAGCTGAAAAGTATTGTAAATTGAATACTACAGATACACTTCACACTAAAAAATATATTATAGAAACGTGACACATCAAAAGCATGTGTAGGTTGATTGTTTAATTTCGAACACTGGTAGAAATGCACTGCATTTCTACCAGTGTAATTGCCAGGTAACCAAATATTTGCATTTAATACAGGTGCTTGATTTGCATACTAATCCCATGACCATTTCATTAATTTTTATCATCCATGAATATTTTTCACTTTAAAGAATTATGTAAATCATCTCCACAAGTACAACGGGGCCCAGTATCAAAGGTTTTCACATACTGAAGTATACCATAATGCACATATAAAGTTTATAAGTATGTGCATTATTGTAGTATAAAAATTTATCCAATTTAAACAATTCAATAATTAATTTGAGGACGACTTTTTCAAATTGCAGACTTAAATATTCCAATAGGGCCAAAAATTTTGTCATGCCTTAGATTACGCTAATAGCTCGTAGATGACGTGCGTTTCAGGTAGTAACTAAAATCATAAATATACTTAAAAATTTATTGGTGTTGCGGTAGGTTAAGGTACTTAGGAGGGGAGCTTGCGAGGTTGATAATAACAGATCTCGATGCCCTTTGGATATGTGATAGGGTCTCATGAGTGTACTAAAACCCTGAAGTGGTTTGACTCCATGGCCACAATTGCGCCCGCCACACCCACTCAAAAATGCCCAAAAAACGCTTTCACTCCAGTTTTCACTCACTCAAATCCACGTCAAAAATCCAATTTTACTCGGATTTTGAAATTTCTTTCATCATTACACTCCCAGATAGTTGCTTTCTTCAATCCAATATCAAACCCAATTTTTTCGAAATTTTTAGTATTTTTTAAATTTGAAATTCTGAATGAGGATTGTTGTAGTAATCAACAACTCAAATTACGCCTGCGAAATAATCATCAGCAAAATTGAGTTTGATATGGAATTGAAGAAAGCAACTATCTGGGAGCGTAATGGTGAAAGAAATTTCAAAATCCGAGTAAAATTGGATTTCTGGCGTGGATTTGAGTGAGTGAAAACTGGAGTGAAAGCGTTTTTTGGGCATTTTTGAGTGGGTGTGGCGGGCGCAAATGTGGCCATGGAGTCAAACCACTTCAGGGTTTTAGTACACTCATGAGACCCTATCACATATCCAAAGGGCATCGAGATCTGTTATTATCAACCTCGCAAGCTCCCCTCCTTAGTTAATTAGCATACCGGTGCAACCTTGTTGGCAATTTATTGGATGTAAAGTTTGGTATAGAGTATAAAGCTCAGTATAAAGTTGCATCTGTCACCTGACAAAAGTTATGTGATACTATGCATGTACGTATTTACAAATTTATTATTCGTTGTATTTACAAATGTATATACATATGTACATATATACATATATGTATGTATGCAAATGCGTTTAATTGCATGAAACTATTGATCACATGCATAAAAATTATTATATAATCTAACTTACTGAATATGTAATGGTCTAATATATCAGACATTTTAAGGGCCCAGGGGAAGTTGCTTAGAAATCATGTCAACTTTGACCATAAAATTCAGCAATGCGCAAGAAGGCACATTTTTCAAATTATGTTGAATTTGTTAATCATATCTTTAGGTTTTACTAACTTTTTTTTTGACAATGTGCCCTCTTGCGCAGTGGAGATATTTGGTCATAAAGTGAGCACAAATTGGCTTAGAATTGCAAAATTGATGGCATGAATTGCATTTTGAGTATCCATGGAACAAAAGAAAACAACTTTTTCAAAAACTTGAGGGAAAAGTGATCAAACAAAAGCTTTTGGACGTGAGTGTACCATAGAAACGGTGTCAATTAATCTTTATAGAGTAATAAATAATCCTAGATTCCTAGCAATTATTGTTGCTAACATAAAATCAATTTTCGAAAAGTAAATCTTCCCCCGGGCCCTTAAGTTGCATTGATTAAATAAGGGCCCAAGTACCAAATTACATGAATCGAATGCACATACATCTGTACTCACATGTAGATATTAATGTATTTTCAGTCGTGCACTCATATGTAGGTCGGGATCCTCCCTCTGTACTCCGTAAATGATATACAAATAATATATGTAATGTAGTATATATCTCAGATCTATGTCTGCAGTTATATTTAAACCAAATAACAATTTCCATCAACCAAACGTATCACTGACATTGACTTTTTTAATGGAGACTAAAACGTGTATAATCAAAGAAACTATCTCTCAAAGCATCAAAAAACATTTCATCACAGCCATAATTAACTTGTAACCAAGCAGATTTCAACTCATTTATAAATTCTTATTTTTTGAAGTTTATGATTTACCGTGTTGCAATTATTTTATTTTCCAAAAGTTGTAAATAATATTTAAAATCTGATAGTCTGGACAGGATGCATATTAAACATAATTTTAGTAATCCATCATGAGACTTTAGTAATTATATGTTCATTGCGGTATACATTTGAATTCGGGATCTAAATAGGTTGAAATTAACAATATACGCATATGCAATATGTATGTACGGTTGCGTCATACGATTTTTGATATGAAATAATTTGGTTGTTGACAAGACAGAATTTGGTCTTTCGTTCTATTTCTTTCCCATCATAACTGAAGATTCAACGTCTTTTAAAAATCAAATTTAAAGTCGAAAAACAAAATTGATCATGGAATCTTCTTTTTATTCAAATTGGTCTCCGACATATAATTCGGATCTACTTTCTCCAGGATTATGGGACACGCTGACTATATTTGTTACAGTTTATAGAAAAATATCAATTCTTCCCTTTAGTTTCTCCACCTCCTTTAAAAAGCTGCATATTCTCAACATGTCAAATTGCAAACGGTTTCTCATGAAATTCAACACCGTGATGCTCATTGGTCATACCTTCTTTTGCTTTCTCCTCCTTGCAGAAAAACTCTTGAGTCCAACAAAAACTGATATGGGAAACATTTTAAATTTAAGAACATGTATCATCTTTTATTTTGCAATTTTAGCCCCAAGTCTGATTCCAATCAATATTTACATTTCTTTCAAACCTGAACTCGTATGCGATATTGTAAATGCAATCATGCAGTTGCAATTTAGCATCTCAGGTAATAAACTACTTATCATTATAAATGATAACAAATCACTAATAATATATGTGTATTAACAATTAATATCTTTTAAATTATTTAGCACTCTGCCGATTAACCTTTGCACACAAGTCGAACAAACCAGTCGAATTAGGATTGAAATATGTAACTCAATTTTGTCACCTGATACCACCAGTATTAATTCCAATAGGAATATTTTTAAATCTGGACCCTATCAATGTCCTTCTGCCAAATGCAGTTCGCAGCACAATTGGTTTCATGCTGTTGCTAATATTTCGAGGTATGGTCCTCCTCCTCGTGGGAATTGCACTCACAAAATCTCTTTGTGCAAACTTGATCATTTCCGAACTCGTTGTGGAAGCGACGAACCAGTGCATCGATCGAATAACGAGAATTGCAAAAATTAGTTCCACACCTCCCGTGAAGGTTATGAAGGTCTACAAAGAGGTTCACATTTGGAACCAATTCTACAATATAAATTACTGCCGTTTAGTCACACCGGTATTTGTGCTGTTTGGAATTGGCATAACAATTGTGTCATATTATGGCACGATCAGACTTCATGGGGTCATTCCTACCACGCTGTATCTCTTATTCCCCATAACGGCTGGTATTAGTTCGACGCTTTTCGTAACGTTGTTGCCCCAGGCGAGTAAAGTTTTTGAAAAGGCGACCGTTTTTCTAGTGATAATGAGGAGCAAATGCTTTTCACGGTATGGGCGTCGTGTTGCAAGATCTCTAAAGCCTGCTGGGATAGATAGTGGCCCTTCCGGAGTTGCCAATAAGGCGTGGCTGGTGTCGATTATTAGAAATTTTTTTGAGTATATGATCACGTTGTTGATTACGTTCTGAGTAAGTGTAATTTGTGATAAAGTACTGAGAATGTAGTGATGAATGTAAATAAATCTAGAAAACATGCACATTTTTGTGTAGAACGATTTATCCATGTATAAAAGCATGCACAAGTATACGGGTAATTAAATGACTGTATGGGTTGTTCGTGTGAAGATTTCAGACACATTAAGTATGTATGTATCTAAAATTAAACTACAATAAATATGAATCAATGCGAAATAGTTTTTATGCTTCATGCAAATTTACTAAAGGTAAATATGTATGTACGACTATTGTCATTCTTGAGTAGACGAATAGCTCTAATAGAATTAATACTTATCTATTTATGCATTGAAGGTGGAATAAATCTATTACGTGTTGCATGACATTATGTGCAATATACAAAGCATATTAAATATAACACTGATTACAATGATATACCACTCGACACGAGATTCCGGAAGTGCCTAAAAATTACATTTGCAAATTCCAGTCCCGACAAATAAGTACTTAGCATTAATTTTTGTTCATATCAAAACATGAAAAAATATTTTTGGTTTTCTGCAATTTGTTTCCTTTCAATATGTCTACAGATATATCTCATTAATGGCGAAACGCCAACCACAATGTTTAAGGTAAAAGTATAACCATGTGTGAAACACAAATAAGTAAACTTGTGATTTAACATATTTCAAAACTTCTTTTCATTTCTTGCCAGGGTTTTCTCGAAAATTGCGACAAAGAATCCTCCAACTGCTTCGGACTGAAGCTCTCTGGCGACACTAATGCCAACTGCATTAAGAACAAGGACTGTCACTATGCCTACGCATTTTCGGACAACGGGACACACTTTACCATCCGAGATTATCAGCGGTATGAGTCCAAAGGGAAGAAAAAGTTCCCCATAATCAGTCATGCTAATTTAATAAAATTCTATAACTGCAACGAAACGAAATGCACCTGCGCGTCGGGAAAAAAATCAATGACGACGAAAGACTTTATTGGCGTGATATATTTTGACTATGAGCATTGTCACAATGAAACGGTAAGATTGTTGATTATGTAAGATATAACTACATAAACTAATTATTAAGGTGTCATTTTAAGGCAATACTGTGATACTACGATCATTTTAATTTACGTACATTCTCCAAAGCTTCGAGTTGATTTTGAATTTAGCTAAAAGTTTAGTTATTGCATTTAAAATGTAATAACTAAAAATCAAAAATCAAAATCAAAAATGTAACATTTTTGATTTTGATTTATATGCTCGTGTTCGTATCTGGCTTTCAATGATGATGAAACTTCATGCCTAAACAAAGCGAGGGAAATGCTATGCATGCATTGACTGGAAGCTTGAAAATGATCGTTTTCCTTTCAGACACCAGTCACGGAAAGTATGGGGACGGCACGGCAATTAAAATCCGAACTCAAGTTTAAATGCGATCGCGACATAGATCCAAGTAAGCAAGGCTGGGGTTTCGGCGATGGATATTTTCGTTTTGGAAAAGATAATACGACAATTGGAACATTGGTTGGGTCCAGCAGTGGTGGATTTTATCTGAAGAATGGGACACGAATTGATGTCGATTGGAAACAGAGTGAGTCCACTAAATAGATACTTATGTGTGCATACATATTTATGTACATATGTACGTTAAAATATTGTAGTATCATCATATTATAAATAATTTACTTTATATTTTAGCTATGTTGATGGTCAAACCTATTCAGGACGGATTTCTGTATACCAATTTTAACAAGAGCAGATCGTGTTAATTGTGGATTCATAAACAGAATAAATTGTTTTGGCTAACAAAAATATTTATAGCGAATTGATTCTTAACGACACGTATTTGTCATTTGTCTATTTGTATATTTATGTATTAACTACCTTGAATAATTATTAAACAAAATTGAATATCCATCAAAAATGCTCGTCACCACATCAAAAGCTATATACATATTTATATGTATGTATATATGTACACAAATATATATGTTGCACATGTGATATTCTTGCTTTAGCTAGAGATTCACTAAGGTTCTCCTTGAAGGAATTATGTAATTCTTTCAGTTTGAACTACTTAATTAACTTCGCCATCGGTCATCATATCGTTGATGACGCCTTATGATAACCGTCACATGACCGTGACCGTCACTTGTGACGTTCCATGGGGCTGATACATATGTACTTATGTAGGCATTGTACTGATTATACAAGAAATATGTAAAAAAAAATCACTATGCACATTGAATAAAGGACATACACACATATGTAGATGCATATGTACATTCTCGTATTTATCTACTTATTTAAAAACAGTGAATTGGTGACCATGACCATGGGAAACAACCGACAATGATTACATATGTATTATACAACTCTTTTCTTTCCTACATATGTATGTAAATTCATCTGGGATTTTCAAAATCTGTAAAGTGAATATTTTTGACTTTCAGTTGTTGCTGCATAATCTCCCAGATGCGAAAAGGTCATAACCTTTTACAACCTTGTAAATATTGCAATTGGGAATTGCTAGTTCGAGCAGAGATTCTTGTTACATAAAAATTTGGAATAGTCAAACAATAAATTACTGATGTAACTAGCATGCACTCATCATGTTTTCCGTTGATGAGTAGTTACGAACTGTGAAATTTGAATATCAAAAGCTATCATTCGTTGCAGTGATCTTTGAAAGTGTGTAATACTGACATAATTTCTCTAATTTATAAACACCTGCGGATTAATTATCTTTCCAAGAACTTGATAGTAAACATGCATGACGTCCGTTTTACAAGTTTGTACCGATTTACAACTAAAATCTCTACTTTGCATGATAAATAATCCATTCAGAACACGAAACATAGGTCTTCGGGGCCTTGATTTCCATTACAATTAAGCAAAACTTCCAGCCAGAAGAGTATAGATATCTAATTATTTAGGAAGGGGGTATAAATACGAAAATCTGAATTTATCATCGACAACTACTCTTCCTCCAAACTGATAGAACTTCATAATCATGAAGGTGATCCTTTTGGTATCGTTGGCTATTGTTGCAGCCTCTTGCGAGGTAAAAAATTAATTTATGTAATTCAACTCCAAAACATAAAACAAATTCATATTTCTGAAATGTCTTTCTTTATCCATAAAAAAATTACCAGGGGATAAAACCAGTCAAGCCCGTCAAGCCACAAGCTCGGGCTTCCGCTTTCACCTACAATGCTGGAGTGACTGCAGCCTACCCACCACAAACTGGGCTTATCTACAACGCCAATACTTTGGTCAAGTACGTCGGCGGTGCTACGGTTATCTTCCCATACGGCACTGTCGTCAACTTTCCCTTCGAGACGGAATTCTACGTAAAGGAAGGACCATCCAGAGTCGTTGCTGATACAAATGTGACCTTCGGTTCGAGTGTACAAGTGACGTTTGCACCAGGTATGGAAAACCTACCAAAACCTAATATGTCACATTCGCCATTTTTTACTCATTAACAGGTACGAACGTCAAATACACGAAGGCAAATTCTGAGGTCAAGTACCTTCAATTTAACGGAAATACGCACAGCTGCGTCCAGTACCCCAACCAAACTCCTGCCCAGTATTACTGCTCCAACTGCGACTTGAGACTTTTCCAAGCCGACACTAACCCACTCGTCTACTACAATCCAGGTAAATTCACCGATGAGCACAAATCTTCCACTTATTAAACCATCAAATTTCAGGAGGGTCAACTGCATTCGGGGCTTCCGCACTTCCCGTGGAGACTGACGTCAAGCCTGCCGCGACCGCTAGGACTTACGGCTATTATGGAGGTGATTAGTGCTTACCATCTCAATTTTTGATGAGCGTGCAGTTATCAATTTGTCTGCATAGGTGGATGTGGTTACTCTTACTGCTCGGGTTACTCGTACTACGGTTATCCACAAACCACGTACTACAACTACAACACGGGATACTCCAGCTACTGCTACCAGACTGGGTACAACACCTACTCATACGGTGGGGGTGGTGGTGGTGGATACTCCATGGCCGGAGGTTCCTGCTATGGTGGAGGCGCGTATTATGGATCTTACGGGGGTTCGTACTACGGATAATTATTTCGTTGACCATTTCAATGACTTGCTTGTCGAGCTCTAAATATGTTCCAAGCTTATGAAATAAATAATTTCAATTGAGAAATAATTTGTTTTTTAGTATGATATTTTATTCCGCACAATAATCTTGATTTAATGCATATTTATAATATGTAGCTAAAGCTAGTGTGAACTAACAGACTAAATTTTTCGCTGGAATTAAAATCATGCTATTTAATCATGCCATTTAATCCAAAGCATCCTATCCATTTTGGTAAAGAACAAAGTTAAATCAAAGAAGGAGAAATGAACTTGAAATCGCGATTATTAAAAAGTGTCAATCTTACGATGATGGGCGTTTGCATATGTATGTAGCATCAATCGGTTCCGAAGGTTCCGTAGCACAAAACGATTCCGTAGTAATTCCAGTTAGAAATCGTAAAATTCGTCTCTAAAATGTTAAATAGCATCGACTTAATTCCGTTTCAGAGAATTGATATATATTTAAAAGTAGGTTCAGCAGGGTCGAATAATAAAAAAAACATTGGATCAAACAACAATTAGGCCGTATTGACCCGACAGTGGGCAAATTTACCCCTGAGGACGAAATCTAGAATGCTAATTTATACATATGGGAAACACTTCTCCTTGTACCAGACCCACTTTAGAGTATGTAATTGTTAAATACTTTTCACTCAAACAAGAAGCCGGATTGACGACATTAGTCCTACGCTTAACATTGGCATTCCAAAAAGTTGCAACGTTGATGCTAAAGCTAACTACATAAATCTAACAATCGTGACAAAGGTCATTATTTAGACACATTTCAAAACTTTGCGTATTAATATGTATGCATTTATTAATTGAGATTATGAATTCTAGTACATAGATATGTACATACATATGTTAACAGGTCCCCAGTGACGCCGTACATTGTACTTACTACCCAAATAGGTCAGCTTTCAAATGTGCTTTTGCTACATATGTATTTGTTGCGTTACAATTATATTATTTTTTAAATCTGACTTTGATAATCCTTATTCCCTACTTTTTCATACTGCATTTTTCATACTCCGTAAAATGAGGCGTAATTATCTAACATACATCTCTATGGAATTATCTAACATAAGTATAATGTAAGTATATTTATAATATACACACATATGCAACCCTGCATTACATCAAAAGCCAAGCCACAATCATAGCAGGTACATAAATTTTTCGTGCAATTTAAGGATTGGATTTTTAGCTGATTTTTTCCTGTTGCAAAGAGCAGCGTTAAGCACTAACATGCTAAAATAAGCTGTTTTTACCATGCAATCTGATATTCTTAATCCATTTATCAAGATAATTAGGATTAGTATTTGCTATCTGAACAAAATTGGCATTAATTTCTAGCACTACCCTGTTTTAAGCTTTCGCAGTTGAAATTCCAAGAAACTCTAGTGCATCTCAATTTCATCAGAGTTCAGATTAACCAAATTTTGCATGCGTATTCCACCATCATTCATTCTAAAATCTACAATTGCAGGTGTTGCAGATTCCACAGAAGGTTGCGATCTTAATGTGCAAAATGGTTTGCAATGTCTCTGATCCGTTCGCTTGTCTCCAATCCAGAACACCACGCCTGGTGCGTATGCAATATAAACGGAGAAGATCGTGACCCAAACTTTGCAAAAGGTCGCGTTACTGTCAACTTGTTCCTTTATTTCTTGCAGCTCTGGACTCATTTCTGCCACTTGATACCCCGACATCACGAATCCAAAAGGTACCCAAAACATTGCCATCAGAATCGCGTAAATGAACATGAATCGAATCCGTTTCAATCTGTCAGACAGTGTCCAATTCCCAGTGACCTAAATACCGTAAAAGTTGCATGATTTCATTGTACCAACATTGCGACATTTAATATCGCAATTGGCCAAGCAATAAAGAAAATACTTGTCTTACTCTCTTCAGAAACATCAACTTTTGCCAATTTCTGTAGATCACTGTAACACAAAAAATATATGTACTGCGTCTAAACCCTCAACCAGCGAAGTTTTTATTTCTAGTTACACTCCATCAGACAAAATAGGAATCCAACATGGAAGATTACTGCTCTCACAGACTCCACCGATATTCCGAGAATGACGTTGCCAAAAAGAGGTACCTTGACATAAAGAATTTTGCAATAAAGCTAGAAATCCGGTTCAATTTCACCCAGGTAAATACAAATGTCAAGCATCTTGCACAACTCACCTTGACACATTTGTCCACCTCAGGTCCATCACCGTTGGAGAAAACCGTATCAAACAGAGAATGGATCGCTCCCACCCCGGAGATTAGCCAACAGGTGAGAATCTTTCGTAACATGATATGACCGTTGTTGAATCGGGGTCCCAGCAGGCTGCACGTCTCATGCACGATGGACAGGACTTGAAGTGGATACATGTTGATGATCCAGTCTAGAAAAAGTCAAGAATTTTCATTTGCTTGAATTCTTTGGTCAACTTGACACTTTTTTACGCAACGCAATCATGTCAAGTGGGGTGTGGGGTAAGAAATGGGGAAAGTGATTAGTTTACTTCGCAGAAAGTGGAGCGATGGGCACAGCCAAGCCGAACAATTGGAGAGAAACCTTTCTCCATGTCCGAAATTGAAGAGAACAAATCCAGATGCAAAGCAGGTGATGAAGGACCAGTTCGCAATTAATATGTTGACCGAGCTGAAAATTTGTAATGAACGGATTACATTGAGGTGATTACATGGCTGTAATTGAATGCCAATTTCATACATTGTTAAGAAACATAATTTATTAAACGCTCGAAAGGCGTACACATATCTATGTTTGAAAATATACAGAAATATGGTCACTGGTCAATAATAAGTTTTTCAGCAATTGTGAAAAAATGCACAACTAGTGCTTAATAATTAAATGTATGAAGCATAATTTTAATTGTGTTTCTGTAGATGAGATTCAATACACGAAATACCTGAAATCTTGCATTACCCCGACTTTTCACAATCAACAAATTACTTTCTTACCTTGGTTTTTTGGTCAAAATCACAATTATGATAATTGCGCAATTAATCACCACTGACGTTGCACAAACCAGGACCATAAACTTTTGAAAAAATGATTCCATCTTTGCAGCAAAAAATATCTCAATTTTGACTTAAACGGGATTTTGCACCCCTTCGAACGCTCGCCTTTACTGGTCCACGACTTTCACTGATCTGTGAGACTCCAGAGATTCGGAAGGGAAGAAAGTGGGCGAAAGTTAAGCAGGTGAGGTTTCTCTACGAATTTTACCTTCTTTCGACATGAAATACCTGTTCTCATAATGTCAGAGCATCACTTCTTTTCAGTAAATAGCAGATATAGAACCTTTCACCTTAAATATGTGTTTTAAGGTGAAAGGTTCCAAGTAAATATATGTTTTGTGTTCATCCCATGTGTAAAAGCATTCTTCGAGACGTAACCATTACGAAAGGGTGAAAATTACTTTAAAGAGAAAGTTTGCATCAACCAATAGACGAAATTGGTGTAATTCCATATCACTACTTTGAAGAGTTATTTTTGAGATAACTTTTATGTAAAGTTAAACGTAGTTAAGTTTTAAAAACCTAATTATGCATGATCCATTATATAAAAGGTAAGGTTCCAAACATCCAATTAACCTTACGTAGGTGATTATGTACTTAAGTTAGAAGTAAAGCGTATTATTTGGGTTTCGTTTCCTGACCAATTTCTAAATTCCAATAATCTGAGAAATGACAATACTTACTATTTTTAAATGTGTCAAACTTTCTCTGACGACGTGACGATGTAATGTGTGTATGTTCGTGAAGTATTCTTCATTTGACGTACATACATACTTACATATGGCATATACACATAAGTAAATACAAATAAATAAATGTCCCATGCTGAACATAAAATGTCGCTTCTTTACATACAATTTCTTCAGTAGAAGAAATTGAATTGCAACGAATTCTGGGTGAAAACGAAATTGTACATTTCCGATGAAACAAGAATCATAAATATGACAATTATTGTTTCACAAAAAAAACAATTATTGATGGGTAGCTACGATCTATTGAATGTCGCTCATCTTGCAACTATTACCCAAGAATCTACTAATCCTAGGAATTTTCTCCATGTTCGCATATGTACATTTGTAGTTGTGAGCATTAATTTTTCAGACGTAATTTACACTTGCATGGCTTATTTTAATTTTTCGGGTTAAGTAGTTTATTTCATTATACGCACGCACTCCTTTTCTTTGAGTACTTCCGTACTTACAAAATATGTAGCAAATCATGAAAATTTATATTTCATCCAAAATAGATAATGAAGCCAAATAGATACAGCATATGTACTACAACGACTGGTCTTTCCTCAAGTGCATCTTCTTGACGCTTCCCGTTCACAATAAATGATGACATTGTTTAAGCCAGTCTTATCTATTGTCCAAACATACTTATGATTATGATAAATAGGTTAAATTATCATAAATACGATTAATTAAGTATCAAATAATTATATCCCATTTTTTCACCTCTGCTAAAATCGTCAACCTGCGTCCTCAGCCCTACCAGAGCATATCCTGATCGGCACACTTGCGCCGCTAGCTTGATCAGTGGCCAGCGTCCTGTCATAAAACTGGCATAATTATTCTCATGCCGTCCATCACTGCAGATGAGTCGTACTCCTGCCGTCGATCCAAGATCTTCCGCATTATTTGAGAGGATTTCCTCATAAAAGACTTGAATACCTGGAAAACAGACGGACAAAATTAACACATCAGAACATCACATTTATACCGAATTTGTATAAATTTGTTGGCAACCGATTGGGTAGGTTTCATCCGGGCAGCTAGTCCATCCCTTTGAGTTCCATGGGATCTGGTTTGAGGTAGCGCTGCTAACTTGGGTCGTGTCATCTGTGCAGAGAAATTTTATCCCGGAAATGAACATGTCGTCCTGACCAGGACCGGAACCGTGGTATTCGTCTATTTGCAAGTTGTACGCCACGGCGGCATGTCCGCATGGACAAATATCCATTTCTGTTGATGCACGGATTAAAAATTCTCAATGGTGCCAATCCGTGGCAATACGTATTTCGGAAGGTTACTAATCTTAAGAAAAGCTTGCTGTTTACCCCCATAATTTCCAAATGCGTATGGGGCAGTACTATTAATGGAATACATTGTACATGTATTGGCTACTTGGTCGTCGTCATCTAATCTGTTTATCGAAAGAACACTTTCACCTTTAGAATTTCGTAGAAGCAAATTTAATTTATGAATATCATATTTGGTAAAACAAAATTAAAACTGTTGAAATTTTACCGTGTGGAACGTCTGACAATGTAAGGAGTGAATCCTCACAATGCTCATGAACTCGTTCTGGTATACTTAGATTAAATTGAAGTAGGAAAATTATAATTTGGGAAACAAATATTTTCGTGTAGTTTTGAAACATGCTTATTTATGTCAGAAATAGAGACGAATAGTTTTTATTTATTTAAATTAGATTAGTCATTTAATATTTTTAGGTATTTATATGTAACTGATTATTTGCGTAGGCAAATGAATGTTTTTAATTGGATAGCAACACGTGCGCCAAGAATGCGATATACAAATCGCATTTTGTATGCATGTACATATGACATACATACCTAATACACTGACTTGTTTGCGTTAGATATTTTAGCTACATGCTTACAAATTATTAGAATTGTTATTAAACTCGGCAAATGAGTTTAATAACAATTCGTCTTCGATGCAAAGTTCAAATCTTCTTGAACTTTGAATTATTGCTGCGTGGAATAGTTTACATCATAAAAATTTGTACTATATTTATTATGACTACAATGACTAAAATAATAAACGATTACAGCAGATACTTATACTTACATCCGTATGCGCTTACAATACGATTCACTTAATTCGCTCAACATTTTTACTCCAACTCTTCCAGGAATTCAATATGTAGATATGTACAAGCATTTAATATTCCAATTATAAAATTTAATTTTCTAAATCTTTCGAACTGTCTTTATTCTTATTATTGCGATGGATGAAATGGTCAAAATTGTGTGACATAAGGTTTTCGAGATTTTGTTGGAGAAACTCCAATTCTTCGTCACTCATACCTTCCCAAGTTTCCAAGAGGATGAGAGAGTCATCCAGAGGCGTCATTTGTGAAGGTGTTGATGTGTCGACAGGATCAGGATCCGGACTCCACCACTGATGATGATCCGTGTTGTCGGCTTCAGTAACGTTATCTGGCTCGGAGACTGTAGTATTGTTAGCAGGTTCGTGCTGTTGCTAATTCAAAGTTTAGTATACAGTGAAAATTCGAACTAAATCAAGAGATTACGTAGCAATAGATAAACTTACGGGACGCTTATAAATTAGGAGCGTAAACAAGAGAGACACCATTAAAGAGGTCGCAAATATGAAATAGCACTTCATTTCAAGAATATATTTCGGAACCCTCGGCTTCTAGATTGAGGAAAATTTGTAAGCATTAGTTCGTAGCCAGTGTTAAGATTAATCTGAATAACTGCATAATTTTGATGATTATCCAACCATCGATATACCTAACTCGTGGATGGATTATTATTCCTACGCATTTATGTGGAGATTTATTATCATGTCAGGAATCCTGAAGTGCATGCAGATGTACAACATACATACACATATAAATTCGCGTAATAGATTTTCGTTTACAAAAAATAAGTAATTGTTAGCAAAATTCACACCATCTGTGCGGCATCTACTTATTCGGTTTAAAAATTAAAATCATATAATAATAAGCGATTTGTCCACGTCGTAATTGTAAAAACGTTGGTTTGATCCATCTATCTATGTTTCATTTATGTATGCAAATACGTACTGACACTCGCGTACAATTAAATCCATTGAAGAATAAATTTACTTGAGGAATACATAATTTTTGCTAGGCTTCTAGTACATAAATAGTAAGTAAATATGTACATATTGCATCTGAAAGATTTCATTTTCTACCTGATCAATTATAGCACGTTTGGGTCCTCTGTACTTACATACATATTTCGAATTTCGAATATAAATGATGATTCTACATAAGAAATTGCAAGAATGTTTACAAAAATGTTAAAAACATACAGTTTCCGCTTAGGATTAGTACATTAAAATAAAATAAAATACAATAAGGGTATTGACGACGAGTTTGCATCATTAGAAAAAAACAAAGTTCCCCAAAAGTTTGGTTTAAAAATACATTTGCGTCTCCAAGGTGGTATTTAGTATTTTGTTCGTAAACTTATTGCTTTAACCTCCTAGTTACCAGTTATTTCTCGGGAATATTCCGTTGCGTACCAATTACACACATTTGTGTAACGATTTTTTATCACTTGACTACCAATCCATTTTTCGAAATATTACTTTGCCTACCAATTACACATATTTGTGTAGCAAAATTATTTCCATTAGCTACCAATTACACACGAGTTCGTTTTCCATTGCGTACCAGTTACACAAATGTGCGTAATTATATCGGGGATTTCAAAAATTCTGGTAGTCAACGGAAATCTATCAAGTTTTAAAATGCCGGACAACATAAAATTTCCAAAAAATATTTTGCTAGCCAAGAAAAATAATTTTGCTACACAAATGTGTGTAATTGGTAGGCAAGTAACATGTCGAAAAATAGTTTATGGTAGTCAAGTGATAAAAAATCGTTACACAAATGTGTGTAATTGGTAGCCAAGAGGTTAAATGTTATTACGATGCGAACATGCGAAGCGAACTGAATTCCTCAATAAAATTGGCATGAAATGAAAATGATGGTTCTTTATACTCTTTATTCAAGCTTTAAATACATAAACTTTTGGGGCAACATTTCCCAATTTTTAAGCATTTCTTCCGAACAAATATATAGCACGGAGAGCAAGATGACTACATAAAAATAAATTTAGCGGTTGGACTACATACAAATTTTACGAAATTAACGGCTTTATTATTTATAGATTACAAATTTTGCAGTGCTAACAAAATCATGCCACATTCCCGCTTGAAGAACCATTTTGCACTTCTTGCGGATAATCTCTATATTATAAGCTGGAAATGTCTGTCCAAGGAATTTGTCGTAAACGGAAGTGAAAGTGGAGAAAGTCAAGTTTCGAATGGCGCGAAAATTCAACTTTATATTCTTTATTTAAAAATATAAATTCCCCAGACAATCACTGTCTGACAACCACCTCCAGATAACCACTGTCTGACAACCACCCCCAGATAACCACTGTTTGACAACCACCTCCAGATAACCACTGTCTGACAACCACTGTCTGACAACCACTCTCTGACAACCACCCCCAGATAACCACTGTCTGACAACCACCCCCAGATAACCACTGTCTGACAACCACCTCCAGATAACCACTGTCTGACAACCACCCCCAGATAACCACTGTCTGACAACCACCTCCAGATCACCACTACAAATCTGTGAAGTGAGCACATATGTGCTCACTTCACAGATTTGTGCAATTGGTGACGAGACACAAAAGTGTGAAGTGATCACCTGTGTTCACTTCACAGTTTTTGGAAGTATTGACAAGACACAAATTGCAGTGCTCACCAGTGCACACTTTATCAATGAATTATCTGGGGGTGGTTATCATGGGTGGTTATCATGCTGTGTTATCTGGAAGTGGTTATCATGGTTGGTTATCTTGGGGTTGGTTATCATGGATAGTTATCGTGGGGGGTTATCTGGGAGTAGTTATCGTGGGGGTTATCTGGGGGTGGTTATCATGGGTAGTTATCGTGGGGGGTTGTCATGGGTGGTTATCTGGGGGTGGTTATCTGGGGGTAGTTATCGTGGGGGTTATCTGGGGGTGGTTATCATGGGTGACTTTATTTGTTTTCACTTCGGCTTCCGACATTCTTTTGCATCTGATAGTTCTCGCTCGCCCGGCGGGAGACGGGCTTATACGCTAGTCATTAATAATAATCAATGTAGACAAGTCTTCATCACTATCACTATCGTCGTCTACATGACTTTCTTCACTGTTAGGATCATCATCGTCGTTTTCGTCACTATTATCGTCACGTTTTTGTCGACTTTCATTTTCTTCTCCATAAACGTGGTGATCGTCCACACCCACGATGTCGTTCTCCGCATCATCATCGTTATCTAAATTTTCTTGAATCGTGGTTAGCTCCTGAGGACTTGAAGGCTCTAATGGTGAGGATGATGTTGATCTCTCCTTCAGGTTCCCGTTTTGATGGCCTCGGTTTCCATTAGGTCGCAAAACTCCATGGGATTCCCCATGATGCTGTAACAAAAGTAAATTTATGCAATGAATTTATAGAACTATTTATGAACAAAGTTCGACTAACTGGATATGAGGACGCTCCCACCACAAGAACAATAATTGTCAAAAAACAACGCCACATGTTTAGTGAAAAAAAATGATGGGTAAGGTCAGGCAGCAAATTATCCAGATTCCTAGTGCCAATGCCAAGTACGAGCTTGACATGATTATATAGTCGGGTTGGGATTCATTATTATGTTGATTAAAAGGATGTAGCACAAATTAACATAGCAATATGTAGGGAGCTAAAATTAGTAGTGTCGTGTTTTTTCTATGATAATGAAATTAAATAGTACCAACTGTGCATGACTAGTTAGAAGCAGACAAATGCATCATCAAAATGAATCATCGAAATCCGGTACAAGCACAATTCGGAGTTATTTGACTCGACCCCTGAATCACAGGAAGGAGACTAGGGAACGATCGTCATACCTGAATTTGTCAAAAACATGTGTAAAAATTACACTTGACGCCACTACCCATGCCATAAATTAAGGTCATATACGAGTATGTACATATCTTTGAGCAATGAAGATTAATTAAGGTTTCGTTGGACATACTTATGTACTTTTACACCCTCATTTTAACAAAGTCGTAATATTTAATACATAGCGAGCCAGGATTAACCTCTTAATTTTGTGCAACTCCTTTCGCTACAACCGTGTCTCTTAAAGACACAATTCAAGTAAATGTTCTTGTCCTACACAATACTGGAGATTATCTACCAATATGTATCATAAATATATGCAGTTAAGAAACCTCCACTTCACATAATAATTATTTTTATGACTTTAAAAACATTTCAGATCTATACTAAAGCCACGTGAATGATTATGCTATTAATATACTGTTAAGATTGTCAATTTAATTTATGATTACTTTGTGTTGACACTATGATATCTTGGTTGATTAACTCAGGATTAGTTTGATATTGGATATAAGAAAACTACTCTCTGGGAGTATCTGTATAATGGTACACGGAATTTCAAAACCCGATAAAATTGAATTTTTGGTGTGGACTTGAATGAGTGAAAGCACTACTTTTTCCCTTTGTTGGGCACCTCTGAGTGGGTGTGACGGGCACAAATTTGGCCATGTGATCAAACTACTTGGGGATTCTTGTTCATTCATGGGACACTATAACACATTCAAAGGGCATCGAGATCCGTGAGTTGATAGTACACATCTCCCCACTTCACGATTATCAACCTTTGTTTGTAGGTTTTCGATCATTACTGTTATTGGAGTAAACATACATATGCATCACATATGTATTTATGCACGAAAGTAAAAAAAATCGGAATGCATGAGACTATGTTCTGCTATGTTAAGTGACGAGCAACTGTTTACATCGGGTAGGAAACGCTAAAGGAACTGACGACTACCATGTAAAATGGTTATAACGGAAGTATCAGTTAATGGTACATATATATGTTGTTAATAAATACATAGTTCTCTAAAAATCATGCCCGGAAGGTTCTAAAAATACCACGACACTATGAAAACAGAAATAAGTAAGTAATCTTCAACTAATCTGCATAATATTTATTTAGATAATTTGAAAAACAGAGAGGTGTTTAGGTTCATATAATTGGATTGCTTTATTTATCCTCGCTCGTATCATCGTCGTCGTCTTCGTCGCTATCGGCGTCACGCCTCTTTCTCTGTTCGTCGCCACCATTGTCGCCATCATCATCTCCGCCATCGTCGTTGCCATCGTCGTCCCCGCCATCGTCGTTCCCGTCGTCGTCCCCTCCATCGTCGTTCCCGTCGTCATTTCCTCCATCGTCGTTCCCGTCGTCGTCCCCTCCATCGTCGTTCCCGTCGTCATTTCCTCCATCGTCGTTCCCGTCGTCGTCCCCGCCATCGTCGTTACCATCGTCGTCCCCTCCATCGTCGTTCCCGTCGTCATTCCCCCCGTCGTCACCATCTTGATTCTGCTTATTGTTTCCCTTTCCTTTGCCTTTCCCATTATTAGCACGTCGTACGCGATCAAGTAACGCTGAGGGAATATCGTCGCCTCCTTCCAACTCTACAACTTCAGGTTCTTGGGCTGGAACTGATTCATCAACCGAGCTTGATTCCTCCGGCGCCGACGATGTAGGTGCATCAGGAACAGCGGAAGTGGGTGCATCGGGTGCTGACGAAGTGGGTGCGTCAGGTGCAGATGATGTAGGTGCGTCAGGAGCAGATGATGTAGGTGCGTCAGGAGCAGATGATGTAGGTGCGTCAGGTGCAGATGATGTGGGTGCGTCAGGAGCAGAGGAAGTTGGTGCGAAGGTTGTGGACTGTCGTTGCCATTGATGATGACCCCAACCCCATCCAAACGGCCGAGATCCTTCTCTGTGCTATGGATTACATTTCACATTTAGTTAATTCCCTATGCATATTACTATCATTCAATGATTTATGCAATTAAGCTTACAGGGCGTCCAGCCGACAGGGTAACAGTGACCATCAAAACGGCCGCAAATAAAAGACAGTGCCTCATTTTGTATGCTGATGGCTTCGAAAAACGTGAGTGAAGGTAGAAATGTTGAGTCAATTTAAAATGAGTAACCAACTTCGTTATATACGTTTTTCGACCAGGATTTTTTATTAGTTACATAAAATTGCATTGGGTCCTAATTATCATTACAATAAAAATCTGGTGTTTGATAACAAATTTTCACTGAAATACACTTGAATAATTACAAATTTGTATTGTGAATAAATCCGTCTTAATTGTGTGAACAGAAGTGACGCTCTCCATTTGTGATGAGTACGCACGCACGCTTATTTTTAATCTCTCCGTTAACTATTATGCATGCATATATTTATGTCCCATACAACTATCGGACTTCTATTAATATCATTTAAAAATAATAAATTCATATCTTAATTGCTCCAAGAATTAGTATTACTCGACCACTTATTCTCATGTACAAATTGTTTTTCATAAAAGTAATGCTGACAGTTTTTTCGCCAATGTTTTGGAGTTAATATCTATTACCACATGCTAAATATGTGAAATTGAAAATAGAAATGTATTTTAAATGTGTAACGGTATATATATCTGTATTTTGATGTCATCAATCCACCATTAATCTCAAACAACAGTCCAGTTACAAATCGCTCCAAAAGTATAGGGTTTCCACGACATTGGTTTAGTAGAATTTAAATAAGCCTGCACCCCAACACCCTTCGCATCCATATGGTTAAGAGTATCCACATAGCACAATATTACGTTGCTTCCTTTTCTTAATCCCGAATGCTCGCAGGTCCACACCAAACCTTTGGTTTGTTCCTTAAACGGTGTAAAAACCCCATCCACACTTAGGATAAGAACATATTGATTTCTGGAACGAATTGGAGAATGTTCGCAGGCAGCAGTAACGAGGAACTGGGTGGCGCAATTGGCATTAATGTGCTCTAATGGGGGCCGAATCGTGTCACCGGACAGACCAGTTTTCGCCATAGTTACAGGAAGAACTTGCAGAGCATTGCGCATTGTGCTATACTCTTCCCACGACATGACCTGTGGACAAAACTGGTATTTCTTATTCGTGGGAAAGTGATTTCTTCTAAAAATTTCCGCCGTTGCCGTGAAATATTTCGTGTTTAAACATTTAACGTACTGGTTGGATTTATCTAAATGACCAGCACCCCAACATGGATCGACTAAATGCCATCGCCCACTATCCAATTTGACCGCATTCCACGCATGGTTCGATTCATGTTTGGGAATTGGACTTCCCTCTGGTAACTCTTTATACCCGTATCCTTTTGCGTCCCCACTGATCACCTTGACCTGGAGGCCAGATAGTTCTCCAAGAGTCTGAAATAGTTCGGCGTACCCTTGACATACGGCGAGGCCGGTGACTATAGTTTCTTCAGGTGATTTTCGTTTTATGTTGCCTGAGAAAAAACTTTCTGTGTCATAACTAATGTTGTGATGAAGCCAGATAAAAATTGCACGAGCTTTGTCAATTCTTTTGAAAAAGGGTAGAGTTAGGTATTCAGCTAGGTCGCGAAGCAGGCGAACCTGGGAGCGAGGGAAAGTGGCTGCATGGGCGTCGATTGAGCTAAAATCACGACAAATTAGACATTTTTCGCCGGAGGGAGACAATTTCGGATAATTATTGTTGTTTAGGTCAGTGTCGGAATCGTCGTCGGAGACCGGCTTCTTTTGTGGTGGCGCTTTTTCTGGAGTGTATGCTAGTTTGGCGAGAACCGTTCTAATGCCCCCGAATCCGAAATGTATGTTATGATTACTTTGATGCGAGTTATGTTGCTCCTTTCTGCAATTTTCTTTCAATGTTGGACGCACAGCAGGTTCAACTGGTGGATTTGTTGAAGGAGCAGAATTGCATAAAGGTTTTGGAGGTATATTTTGAGGGGTGCGAGGTTTGTTTGGTACTTCGGGTGGAATTTTGCTTCCCGATATTCTGTTTGATAGCGACTCTGGTTTTTTCGGTACCGGTGGTTTTCTTGGTAGCTCGGAATTATGTCTCACAGCCGGTTTAGACGGTACTAATGGTAATGCTTGCATTGGCTTCTGTGCTCTAAAAATTGGTGGAGGTGGTCGTGGAGGTTTTTGTACGTCGTCCATTATTACGTTCTCGTATTTAGGTTTGTAAGTTTCCGAAACTGTTTCCCTCCACCACTCCATTTCGGAGGAATTACGCAAGTAGGCTGCAATTTTATAGTTCTAGTGAGTAAGCTCGGTTTTAATAAAAAAAAAATATTAATTTTGAAATATTTAATAGGCCTTACCAGAGTTCTGATTATACATGAACTTGAACGTTGTCCGGTTTAATATGTACTTTGCTTCAACAGGTGAACAACTTTTTTTGGCTGTTTGACATGATTTAAGTACTTTGGTATGATTTCAAACTATTCAGTTTCCCAGAAACTCGTATCTTATCACAAAGCTCAAGTTGGAGATTTATCGATCAATTTTACCGTATACATACATATGTAAATATTTAATTGTGCGTCATTAGCAGAATATATTCTTCTGATAATGTTTATAAATACATACATATGTACATATTATTTGTACATATTATTTGTACATAAGCAGGTCATAGCGTTTCATACGCATATATTATGCAATTGCAATGATAAGCACATGTCAATCAAATAAAAAATCAATTTATCATGCACTCCAACTTGTACTCAATTATATCTACAATTGACTTCGCATTCTTAGGATTGGACCTCCTTCTCTTAGAATTAGTGCATCAACGTGTCATATCCTATCGTACATGGACGGACCTAATACTAATACTAGTTCCACAAACAATTGATTAACGATTGATATATGGTCAATTTTCGCAATTATTGTCATGTCAACCTCCACTAAAACTAATCGAACAAATTACTACTTAAACCTGCTAAATAAAAACTTTATCTAATCTTACCAGCCAAAGTCATTGACCATGACATGGTCACCTCACATATTATCTTGTGACTCACATTACGAGGCAAACAACATGCCTTGGATGTCATGGAAATTCACTCGTGTCCCTACCAGTTAATTTGTTTGCTAATAAAAAGGTCACTAATAATACCAATTGGTCCATCCGCACTATGTATGTACAACAAATTGTGATGTTGTCTGAGTCATAATTGTCACAGTTAATCCGTGTCTGGAGTTTGTCGCGTGGCGTGGGGTGAGCATTAAGTAGCGTGTCCTACATAAAAAAACAGTGAGGATGTTATTGCCAATAAGCTAGAAATTAGTAATCCTCAGTTTTGGATGAGCTCACAGTGTCAACGTTCAATCATGGCCGCAGCTAAAAATGCATCTCCATTTCACCTGTGGACCAATGACAGATTGTGCATCTTAATTTTCTTAAAATAATATACATTTTAATCCAAAACATCACAAATGTATGCAAAATAAATAATTTATGGATGCTTCGTAGCTTGCACGTACTCGTAAAGTTGTATACGCAAGTCTCCTCGAAGTTTATTATTATTAATTGATTCGTCCTTTCGTCACTTGGTCTGCAACTGCGTCAAATTCAGCTAATATTTCGCTGTTGACACAGGCAAAGAGAACAACTTGGATTGTATCGCTTATTGGGACAACTTATTTCTGTCGTTTTCATAATAAAAATATATCATTCTAAGACAAATTTTAAAATACCAGTTCTATTGTCGTCATTGTCTATACCACTCATTGTTTTGGTCTGTTTTAGGAGCAAGGTAAGTGTGGGTATCGATCAATATCGAAAGTTTCCAAATTTCATCCTATGAAATTTTGTACATATTTCTCCAAATTTTATAATAACTTATGAAACTTATTTCAGTCACAAGCATGCGGTTGTATCTTATCTTCCTTGGGTTGGGGTTGCTCCTCTCCAAAACCGAGATGGTGATACACGGGGCGGTGGTCGTGATGCGTTCTGCTGGAGGCAGGGGAGGATCATGGTCTGGAACAGGATCAGTTAGTCGAGGTGGCGGTGGGGGTATCAGTCACCACAGATCGATTGACCAATTTCCATACACACCCGCAGGATCGTACAGATTTGATGGTGAAGATCCCAAAGAAAGGTGGAAGGTTCATCAGTTTGAAAGAGATGCTGTCCTGTTGAGGAGAAAATCCAAACAAAGAACATATTCGTACGGCTTCAGAGGGACAAAGTTGTAATGTTATTTTGATGTATGAATAATTGTATTTTGTAACTAAAATTGTACATATGTATTTTAGTACCAAGTAAATCAAGCTCATAAATATAATTGTTTGCTAATTATATCTTTGTATGTTCATACTTATTTAGTAATGCAGGGGGAATTATATTGTGGTCCATACCCTTATCGGAATTTATACATAATTACATTTACTAAACACTTTTGTTAACTGTATTCACAGCGATAACGAATAAATTTACTAATAAATAGCGTCACGACAATAATAAGTCTTAGGTATGTACATGCATATATATGTATGTATGTGGTTGTGCCAACCTAAATATATGTGTACATATGTATTTAGGTACTTCATTAATTTCGTGCATGAAAGTTGGTACGTAATAACGTTCAATTTTTATTTTCTAGTGCCAAGTTACTATTACCGACCAATTTTATGCACCTAGACTTGTCAACTATTCTGATATGCATATAAAATTACATCTTCAAATGGTATGTATGTGCATACGATTTTATTTACAGGACATTGATTAAATAAAAGTTATACTTTTGTATGTATAATTATTATATTTATCAAGGAAGGTAGATTTTTGAAAGGTGTGAACCATATATTTTCCATGGATAATCAGCAACATCGAATGTGACACTCCGAGTTTGGATCGCACGGATTACAAAGACAACACTTTGGTTGACCCACGCCAAACAAGTGTCCTTCCTTCATGCAGCAACGAATGCTGCATTCAGCACCTGGTTCGCATCCGCAGGGGCAGCAATTTTTTTCTGCATAAAATTTTTTATGAAATTTGAATTTGTAATACATTTTGTTAAATTGCTAATTGTACAAGTTTGTGTAGTTACCGTTCTCAGCTGGCGAGGCTGCAGCGCAGACAAGTCCGATGACCAAAACCCATAAAATCAAGGATTTCATTCTTAGTATGGATGAATTTAGTTATTTTTCAGAGAAAAAATTCACCGGTTTATTATTCTACAATTCTGCAAAAATCACAACTGCTTTAATTCAACGAATTGCCAATGCTTTTTATTAGAATTGGTGTCCACGCCCATAATTGAAATGTCATGTTGTACACATTTATCTACTATCATATTGACGTCGCTTGTAGTGTTTGTAATTATTTTCGAACTATGACACAATATACATATGTGCAGGACCCGGCATCGTATTAATTGACCAACCTATAATTACACATGAAACCAATTAAGTTTAATCTTGTTAGAACTTGAGTGTAAAAAAAGATAATCAATTATCAAAAGTTTTGCTGGTGATTTAATGGTGTAACTCGTAACCATATTTTACTTCTGTCATTAGGAACGAACGCTATATGAAAATCCTGGTTGTACAAAATCCTGGATCCTGGAAAATCCTGGATTTATTAAACTTGGGTGAAAGCATAGATTACAGATATTTGCATAATTCAAATGCGTCCAATAAACATATTGAATTGGTTTGAAAAATTAATCGCCATATTTTCAATATTCCCAAGGTCGAGGTCTAAACCATCCACGCGAGACACGATGTCCTGATATTTCAGCATAACGATCTTCATCTATAGAAAATTCACATTTTTAATTGCATAGTGTAAGTAAATTAATTAATTTTTAAGTTTATTACATACTGAGTTAAATTAGAGTTTCAATAAGGAATTAAGTACATGTCATTTAATACCTGCCACATTTCGGGTCTGTTTCGCATCAGGTATTGGTAAGAATGATCCAATTCCAAATGAAAATAATCCAGCCAGAATAAGTAATGAAATAATGAAACGCATGCTATCAAATTTGGTGAGGAAACTCAAAAAAATTGTTGTTTAAAAATTAAACCCGTTGTCCCAAATCTGATGGCAAAATATTTCATATATAGCTGAATATTTAACTTAACGTCGTCACATTTGAGGGAAAATGTAATTTTAATGAGATTTTAGACTAATGACATCAATACGTAATCATCTTTGTACTAATGATGTATTGTAATCAACAAAGATATAAATGCAAACTGAATGTCGGTCATTCCTTTCGTACACATCACAAAATTGCCGATTTTTGTGGACACGCCAATTACGCAAATGTATGTAGGGACTACCTGTGTCAGCGTGAAAACCTCAATTTCGTCACCAAGAGGCAAATACTCTTTATTCAAGCCAATAAAGTTAGTTTTGCCCCATTGCAAAGTTAAGTACCCTATACTGCCAAAAATCTTGAAAGCTACTGGAGAATATGGAGACAAATTGGAACGGAATGTGGGGGAAAGTTTGGAACTTCCCAAATTAGCAGCGTCAGAGATAAGCTTCGCTCACTGCCAAGACATGGCGTTCACAAAATTCTTTTTTACAAAAGTTCAAGAGCATTTTAATAGTGATAATACTATGCTGTGCCTTAATTCAATAAATTCAATAGGTCAGCTTGGTAGAGTTAGAATTCGCCAGTCCGATTACATATGTACCTAGGTATCTGTAAGAGACACGTCATATCAGAAAGAAAGGAGAATAGATGTGCATGTAGGTATGCATGTATGCACATATGCACATACATTACATATGCATCCATGTATATGTATAAACTTAATGATGCATTAAAATTAAAAATAGGAAAATACAAATTGAAACAATTAACGTGAAAGTAGCTTTATTTATTAATAGAGCCAAGAATAAATATCATATATACAGATTATAATCTTTCGTTCACAGATTCTACATTTGTGAGATTTATGTATGTACCTATGTAGTCGATAACTATTATAATGACTTATGAGAGTGACTTACAGGTCAAGCCTTGTTATATAGGGGCAGACACATCTTAACAAAAACCATGGACAAGATATAATACTATTTAAGCGTATGTAAGTCATCAATTTCGTCAATTTGTAAGTTCCATAATGATAACAATAAAAAATAAAAAGGTGTAAAAAAATTAACTAACAATAAAATAAATATAGTTGTCATTTAAAAAATACATATCGGACTAAGTTGGCACCAAAATTAATCTCATGCATTTCTCCTCAGTTTATATCACGTTGAGCTAATCTACGATCGGAATTAGTCCGTTTTCAGCCTAAATGTATAACAGAAAAGTTTTCAAGTTTTAATTTTAAATTTCATTTCCGTAAACTGAAGTAGTATAAATATTGTTTAAATACCTGTCATGTTTGGATCCGTACCACTCATTAATCCTGAAGGTATCCGTAATAGAAATCTTTTCCATGCTGGGACTCTTGACTAAAATATTGTTCTCTCCGGAAAATAAGTTAAACAATGTGGTTTCTGAAATTTTGATCAGGTCCCGAATTTCTTGCCATGTTAGCTCGTCATTTTCATTAAATAGGAGCAGGACGCACATTGCCATCGTCCCGACTTGGATTGTCTTTCGCGTTGAGATCATAGAGCTAGAGACACCTTGTTCCAATCCTCCTGGAAATAATTTGATTTCGAGTTCTGCCGTACCGAGGAATGGGATTAAAGTTAACTTCCTTCCTCCATGTTTCCCGATATAAAATCTGGAAATCCCAATGGATAATTTAATTAAGTATTGCACCATTTTATTTCAGTATAACTTATGAATATGGAAACCTTTCAAACTTTTGGAATTCATCCATGAGATACGTTGGAAAAACACTCGTGTCTACTGGACAAGGAATCGGCCAAACTTCTGCCGTTAGGACGCAAAAAGTCAGATCCATCTTGGGAAAATTTGCCTGCTCAGCACAATAATGCCGGAAATCGTCCATAAGTCTGTCACGATCCACCACATCTTTAAACATCCTCTGTATTTTCACAGCAATCTATATCGAAGATAAAACATGTAATTACTTACATAAATTTGACCTCAAGATCGTCAACTTGGACATATTAGCTTCTAGAAAACTAACCTCATGTTTACGATACTTGCTCGCCTGATGATGCGTAGCACCTTTTTTCAAATGTTCGAGAAACTGATCATCCAAAACTTTTTGGACTAATTCAAAGAGATTTTTCGTTCTGAACAGGAACGACGCCCATTCCTCTTGAGAAAGCTTGAATAAAACATATTGTTGTTATGACTTTTTGACTTGGTGATTAAACCTAATTTAATTAAAACTACCTCCAACCCCTCGCTACGTTCTACCCTGTCCCGCATATACTTTGGAAGGAGCTCTGGGTACAATTTGTTCTGGATGATGACAACTTGAACGTCGTCTGGAATCACGTTGTCACCCATCAGTTGACCCCTCGAGAATAAATCTAGGGCGAACTTGTCCAGCCTGTCCTTCATTGAGAGGAGATTCTATACAAGGTCAAGGTTTTGTTAAATTTTGAAGTTATTACAAACCACAATTAATTTTCAACATTACCTGCACCCCAGAGGGACCGTAAATGTATGCTCCATGCGCATACTTGCTTGGGTCGTCACCTTTACTCAAATATGCTGAGATCCAATCCTTCATGTAACTTTCTCCACCGGAATAGCGACCAACCAAGGCCAGCATCCAGCCTATATATATATATATATATATATATATATATAATTTATATATAAAATTTCACGTATGTAGGCTTAATTTTTTACCCAATTCTTCGACTCGATTGTTTTTCAGAAAATGAAACTTTTCTAAATTTGCAGGTTCAAAAATGTCCATGATTCGTCTCTCTACTAGTTTTTCTACCATCACGTTTTCCAGTTTAGCTAGCGTCCCTTCACGTCCTTCACGTCGCAGGTATTGCGTGACGTGGTTTAAATCTTGAGAAATCCTCGTTTCAGCCCACTCCGCATAGCTCATTGAGGACGCCTTGTCATCGGTAAAGGACTTTACAGCCACCTAAATGTTACTGAGGAATGAGTATTCGGTCCATTTGAAAACTAATTTAATCAATTCATACCTGATACAGCTCAGCACACCGGAGAAGTAAATGTTTCTCAAATACATTTTCGTAAACTTTCTCGTCGGAACTCGGGTCCACCTCTTCCAGTTCATCGATCAAGTTTAGCAATCCCTTGACAACGTGGAGGGACGGACCACAAGTGCGTTTTCCGTCTTCCGGTGGAAAAATAGACTCACTCAGACACTTTGAAATGTGGGGTCTAATTTTTTTCCGACAGAGGATGATCTAATTAAACAAAAGGATATTAAAAAGATGGTAAGCTAACAATAAGTGATGTAATAATGTCACACACATACCTCTCTCTTGAAAAGAGCAAAACCCATAGTACGCAATCCCACGAGTTTATTCGGTTTCACGTAAATGTTATCCATGTTCATGCACATTTCCACGATCGTATTGACTGCTACCTTATGAGCAGTCCATGCAAGGAGGATTGTCTCCAAAAAGTCGTCTTTGTCTATCCTTCTCCTAATTGTCTGTCGCACCTGCAAATCGCAAATACATCAGGAAAAATGTAATAATATAAAAGTTTAAGATTATACATGTACAAGTGAATTAGCGATAAGTAAATAATAATAAAAAACCTACCGAGGCTTGCAAATGGTCCGTGATGACTTTATTGATGCCATTGTACAATTGTTCTCCATACCTCCTTACAACGATGATGCAAGCCAGTCGATGCAACTGGTCAAAATCTGAGGTCAGGTTTGAGGTACGTAGTAGATTTTTGATGGCGCCAGTGACATAAGCGACGAGTCCGTCGTAGTCGTAAAATGTTCCATTCCGCATCTTAAATATAAACAATTTAGCAAATTAGAATGATAACTCATAGTAGTATTATTATTATTAAATTCTTACTTACCAGACTAGTTAAAAATTCGTATCCTTTTGGAACCTTATTTTGCGACATATCTGTTTCTTTCTTGACACGGAAGGATAATGAGTGGAGATGAGTGTAATAAGCGTAACAATTATCTGTGGCAATTAAAGAAGCAAATAAATTAAAATTTACCAAGTCAACCATAACAACCTAATTATTAATAATAACTTATTATTATTAAAGGATTTACCTAATTAGTAATTCGTAACTTCAAACTTGGTCAGTTTCTTAAAAATATGCGTTTTCAACGTCATATTTATGTCATACTTTGTACTTTATGTATGGTCAAGTCCTCCTAAAGAACTGACTGAGATCTGTGAAGTAGATAAAACGTAATTAGTTAATTCAACGATAATTATGTTGTATTTTGTACAATTTATAAGAAATCTTACCATGTTACATGTGCGTGCGAATCACACAGTGCACTGTGTGATACTGTGATGAGATCTGTTCAGAATGAGCTGGGGGAGAAGCGATCGATCGATCATTTTGCTTTCACTACCAATCCGTTCTCCAATAATTTCATGGAAAGATGCGTCACAGTTTGTATGAGATTTTTGGTATCAAGTTGGATCACACATGATCGTATTTGCCACTACGGTTCGGGCTTTCAATAAATATGACATGGTTTGCAAATTAAACTTTATTTTATGCACATATTCAAGCCTTTCATATTACAGAATCACATATATAATTCATAGACTGGAAAACCCGACATTAAAAATTGACATTATAACTTAAAATTTTGAAGGACACTCTGAATTTGGTGGTACATATTCCTCCTCGATGTCCGGATAAGTCACATAATACGTTTCCCTTGTAGAGTATGTCGACCTTTTTTGAAATCCATCCCCACCACATTGCTCAGTATGAAGGGAAAAACGCATCAATCGCTCCAACTCGCCACGGGTTACGTCATTCCAAACAATGGAGTCAACATAGTCAAGGAAACTTAATCCTGCGAGGTGTTCTGGTGCCGTGATTATGGGGTTTGTTAAGGCGTCGTTTCTAAAATAGATGTGCATATGAATCATTAAGGTGGAAGGTTGTCATCATACGAAAATATGAAAATTTTACAATTCGCGGACAGAAATTCCGAAAAAATTCCGTATATTTTCCTTCAAAATACTACTTCTGCAGTTTTCTAGACCCACTTTAGGGTAGTAGTAGTAAACAGCTTCACACATTTCTCGTCGTGTCCCAAATCCACCCAGGACGCCGGTCGGTGGAGAAAGCATGGAATTGTCGTAGTGACATTCTAAATAAGTGCATATAAATACTAAGTATTTGTCGCCATGATGAATTAATATTTTTAATTTCATCTGCAAACCTATTGCCATTTGGTCCCCTGGTAAAAATTTTACTAGTGGAATATTTCTATTGTCCTGATAATCGTTATCGTAATTGTCGTCATTTAACACCCACGGTTCCTCAGCTCCATCTCGGAATTGGCGAAGCTTCATTTTGGTCCCTAATTAATTTACAATTCAACAAATTAGTATTCATAATTACAAAAATTATAAAATTATGCATGTACCGTAAGAGTGGGAGTGCAACATTATATTGAAAATGTTGACCCCTTCGGTTGGGATCCACTGTGCCGTACAATTTGAACTGCAATGTCCCACGACGACATAATCTTTCGAACTGGGTGGTACGACGAGATTGTAATCGTACATTTGACCTGTTCTCATCACACCGGCTTCGATTGATCTATACATTTTTCAAAATTTTACTAAATACACATTTTTGTTGTAATTAACATGTACCTCAATTCTGGGGTATAATAAATTCGAACTCCACTTTGAAACGAGACATCAACCAGTTGCTCAGGATTGTCGAAATGGCTTTCCATTAAGTAGTACATGTGGGTCTCCTCCCCAATTGGGAAACCAACTCCGTCCGGCATGTGCATAATCTGAAAATAAGTACATCTTCATATATCTTTTGCTGTCACTTTCCCTTAAAAAGTTACATTATTATTACGTACCCTGCCTCCAATTGTCCACGTATATATGAGTTTAGTACAGTACCGATATGCAGAAATTTCTCCTGGATTTGGATTCAAGCAATCAATTCCACCTTGGACGATATACTTATTAAAAAATTCCTCTGGATCTTCTCCATTCGGTGGAGTGCACGAGTAGAGGGAAATATGGTGAGAATGCTTTTCGGAAACTGGACCAAAAAGCACGGGACCAAACTAACAAGAAAAATAGTTAGTAAAAACATAAAGTTTAAGACCATTGGTCATTTTGACTAGTCATACCGCCACGGCGTGTTGCTTCCCACTAAAAACTGGAGCCTTGTGCACTGTGCACCAATATGTCGTGTCTTTAGATGGCATCGTTAAGTTTGTGACGGCATCAAAAGTGGAAAATCTATAAAAAACGGTAAGTTGTAAATATGTGTCCGCTGTCATATTTCTCGATTCGCATTAATTATGAGGTGCATACGTTGATAAATCAATGTCAGGATAAGGCAAGCCCAATATATTGACTGCAAACGATCCCCTATTGTTGACGCCATGGTAGGCGATATTATCGTCGCTTCCAACTGACCATATGAATCTGAAGGTGTCCTTTGTAATGGCAACGTCATCTTGGTCGCAGGTGTCAAGCAGGCGAGAAATATGAAGATGTGTATGGGTCATATTTTCAGTGGCGGAGTGAAGAATCCAATCGTGAGAAATATCCTCAGGAGGAAACCCATTCGACGGGGCGTGTCGATCCTGTTATATAATTTTATAGTTGTCAATGTTGCCTAATAAACTGCATTTTGATATGCGTTTGACCCTCTCCCCAGGATTAAAAGTTTAACCACTACCAGAGCCCATTTGGTGCAAGGAAGAAATGATTCAATAGAAAACAACTACGGTCACCTGATCACTTGGTGAACAATCCCAACCAAAATAAGTGTTAATTATGTATAATGATACGCTTATTTATTACACAATGTACTTTTGAGTACAACAAAGCATAGTTCGGTTGCAGATATTTTTTCATGGTATGCACTTGAATACGACTATGCAATATTTTTTATATTTTTACTTACACTAAAATATACCGTCCCATTTGGAAGCACACCACCAATCACGATATCTGCACCACCCATTCCTCCATTCTTAGAAATTCCGAACCCCACAAACCCAGTCGTTTTTACGGTAAGGTTGAAAGTGACTGTGGCATTTCTACTAGTCTCGTCGGTAATTTCCCAATCTACAGTGAAATCAGGGTTGCTTGAAATTAATTCCTTACGCTTCCCACATACAAAGTTCCCAGAGAAAAATAATAAACTTGCAACCAAATATAAATTCAGGAGCAACATTTTGATTGTTCTGTATCCAACTGAGCTTAACGAACTGTGTACCCCCACCCAATCCTACTAATGGAAACTATTGGTAATACAGGGCTTATCGGAAAGATTATCTGTGGCATTATTCATTGTCTTCAAATACATAGTACAATAAGCATCACAGTTCTGGTTATCATAATTACATATAAGCTTGAGTTTTTAGTGCTATTACATAATGATGTTATCCAATCTGCTCCTCCAAATTTTTTGTATTTATGTTGCAATCTATGTTCGAGTCGAATTAGAGGGAAATTTTTATTGAAACATTGCACCTGTATACTTTTTACATAATGATATGTGTATATATTACGAGTAAATACATAAGGAGAAAACCCTTGAATACATGCTTAACATGTTTATTCAAATATTAAGAATGTTCAGTAGTGCTACTACTTGATATTATATCTCTCAAAGACACCAGATTCCTTTGCACATTGCAAATCTTGTCGCAAATAGTCCATTGAATTTTGAAGTGAGCCTGGATAATCTTCAGGTAAGTACTGTTCCAACTTATGACTCCAAAATATTTTTTGATTCCCATTCATCCAAGAAATATAGGGTTCAAAACTGTTTTCCATGTTTCGAAGCTCAGAATCGAATGGAGTGATCAATTTGGCCATTTCATGAACGGTATCATTTTCCAAAACCTTATTTAACTTTTCGAAAAATTCAGTTGTTGTAATTGGCTTAACAACGATGCCGAACTCGGTTCTGGCCATTTCTTCAAAATTAAGTTCATCGTCTGAAATTTGAATTTACAAACTCATATTAGTCATCAATTACTTGACAATAAATCACGTGATAGATTATTTGAACCGAACCTAAATGCGGGTTATACACGTTAAACACTTCAAAGCCGGTCTCCTCCTTAAAGAACAATTCCATCGAAAATTGTGCACACTTATCCACCGGCAAAATGCTTATCGGGATTTTCTGAATCGGCATGTGTTTGAAGTTCAAATATGATAGAAATCTAATCATTACGAAGGAATCCATCTGCACATTTCCCCCAGTGACGCTGTCACCACTCATGTGTGGAAATCTGAAAAGTTTTGCAGGAACGCCTCTGGCAACCGCTTGCGCCACGAGGCAATCACTGATGAACTTTGAAGTTGCATAAGCAGAGTTCGGAATCAGGGAGATGTCCTCAATAAAGGGCCAGTTTTGACTAAAAGTTCCATCTTCACCCAGTTTTGCCTCCGCAATAATTGATGAACTTTGGTAAACGTATTTCAACTTTTGTTCAACCGCAAATTCCAGAACGTTTTTAGTTCCGATCACATTGATTGATCGTGCCGCGCAGTCTGTTTTGTATGTTGTGTGCATTTCCATGATTACGGCGCAATTAAAAATCGCATCAACTTCGCCACAGAGCAGCGCATATGTTGAATCCTCCATACCCAAGTTTTTTTCAGTTACGTCACCCTCGACGAATTCAATCTTTTCAATTTCAATTTCCGACAGCAAATTCTTCTTTTCATACAGAAACCTGAATCGCTGGCTAATTGCCATGTATGGATGCTTTCTCATAACGCAGATGATCTTCTTGATGTGCGTCCTTCTTAACAGTTCCCGAACTACGTATGGACCCAAGTTTCCCGTTCCTCCTGTGACCAGGACTGTGCAGATGTTAGACAGCGGACATAAGCTGTGTCGTAGGGACACGTCAACTTTAACAGCGTGGGGGAGTTTTCCATCCTCCAAGGCCAACTGAAGCAAGGCGTCGGGAGTTAGTGGGGCAAAATCTTCGCTCTGTGTGATCAGATTAACCAGTCGTTTCGACAATTCTGCCACTGTTTTACAATCTTTGACTGAATTTATTGAAATTTTGACTCTCTTTCCGATGGAGGCTTGGATTCCGTTCTTCATCTCAACCATCATCAACGAATCAACGCCCATTTCTTGAAAGTTCTCGTCGTCCTTGATCTCGTCGTGTTTCCCGATTTTGAGTATTGTACGAAGAAGCTTTTTCAGGAAGCCGCGAATTATTTGATACTTTGCGTCCGAATCAGGCGCAGAGTCAAAATCGGACCAAAATTCGTCCCCATCAATGCCAGACTCGCCCGTGTCGAGTTTCTCAAATTCAGCAAGTAGACCTTTCGTGGACTTGAGAAAGTTTTTCACTGCCCCCAAATCCGCCTCGTAAGCGAGAACCTGTGTCTTGTGGCTTTTCATAATGTTCTCCAACGCTGCGATACCTTGATTTATGGACATTGGTTTAAAAAGAGGAAACACAATATTCGCCGCCATCCCAACTTGGGCCCACTGTCCCCAATTTATCGTGGTGGCGGGAAGACCTAAAGCGTTACGATAATGGGCCAACTCATCCAGGAAGTAGTTTCCCGAAGAATAGTTGCTTTGTCCCATCGCAGCAAGTGTGGCGGCAGTGGATGAGAAAAGTACGAAATGTTCGAGAGGATATTTTAGTCGTAGGCTGAGCATGTGCAGATTCCAGCTGCCTTTGACCTTGCTATGAAACACGGTCTCATATTTCTCCCAAGTTTGGTTTTCAAAAGTTCCATCGTCTAAGATTCCTGCAGCGTGGATAATTCCTCGAATGGGGGAAAATGACTCGGACACGTGGTCATGGAAGTTCATAAGGTCCGCAAAATCGCCAACGTCACATTGCCTTGCTTCAACCCTGACTCCTGAACTTGTCATGTCTTTGATGACCGTGAGTGCTGCTGGTTTTGGTGGATTACGTCCAATGAGAAGTATATTTTTTGCGCCAGAACTTGCCATCCATTTCACCACCTCCATACCAATTCCTCCAAGCCCACCAGTGATTAAGTAAGTCCCTTCCGGATACAGTAGCTGACTCTTCTGGGTAACTTCTGACCCTCCAGTCACACATTTTTCTGGCATCGTTACCACAATTTTTCCAACATGTCTCGTCTTCTCCATTAACTCGAGTGCCTGGCGAATATCGCAGCTATCAAACCGCACGTAAGGAAGTGGGATGAGTTTATTAGTTTTCATATTGCTGCCCAAATTAACGGCCAAACCGTCTCTCATAATGCTGACAAGTACGCTCATTTCTAAAACAGATACATCAACGATGTTGTATTGCACGTCGGGTCTCAGTTTCTCAAATTCTTCGACGTCCCAAATATTCATTTTGCTGATTTCCACAAACCGCGCTCCTGGTTCGCATAAGGACAACGTCGCTTCCTTAAATCCTGGTCCGGTGAGCGAGTTGAGCACGACTGTGACCCCTCGACCTCCAAGCGCTTTCCTGACTTTCTGCGCATAATTTGTCGTCCTTGAGTTGAAGACGTATTTTACACCCAAACTTCGCAAATAGTTTCTCTTGCGTTTGTTTCCCGCCGTAGCGACAATCGTGCTCCCGTATTCTTGCGCCATTTGTATCCCAATTAGCCCCACGCCGCCTGAAGCCGTGTGGATGAGGACGATGTCACTAGCATCGATTTTGGCAACCCTTTCAAGACACTGTACTACCGTAATGTAGCCAAGTGGGAAGGTTGCGGCATCTGCGAATGTCATGTCATTTGAGATAAGAACCGTGTGCCCTGCTGGAACCACGATATGACTCGGCAGCGATATTCCATGTCGTCGACAGTGGACGACGCGATCACCAACTTTCCTTTCTGGACCACACCCAGGCCCGACAGCAGTGATGTATCCAGCCATGTCGACACCCAACGTGTTGAAATTCGCAAAAGCAGGATCGGGTTTTGTTATGCAAAATAAATCCCTGAAATTTAAACCGCAAGCTTTAACTTCAATTTCAACTTCCCCTTCGCCAAGTGGTTCAGGCTGGCACGGTTCAAAATGTAAATCTTCAATGGTCTTGGTGGCTGGTAGAACGAGTCGGTATCGGCTGGTTTTGGGGATCATTAGAGGGTTGTTTTTCAATTTGAGGGGTTTTATTCTTGGCGTCCATCTCTGTCCAGCTCGATATGCTACCATGACGTCAATGTCTGTGATGAAAAGTTCTGAAAAAATTTCTGCACAGGCATCATCGCTTGCTCCAATGTCAATGCATTTACAGATCAGGTCAGGGTTTTCGTTGGCGAGCACGTTTGTCATGGCAATAATTGGTGAGGATACTGGTGCGGTCAGGTCAAAGTCGGATGAGCCGATGCACATATTTCCACGAGTACATGTAACTACTTTCAGCGGAGATTGAACTTTGGCCAAATATTTGCAAATGTACAAGAATGGTTCGGATACTTGCCGAGTTTCGAGTGGTTGGTCAATTCCACATAAGTATATTACACCCTGGATATTACTGTGCGATGATTTTTCAAAAATTTCGCGTATTCGTGCCTCCATCATTTCGCTTGGGCTGATTGTATGCGTGTTTCGTATAATTTCCACAGAGCAGCAGATCTGTTTTAGTTTGTCTATGAGATTGCTCGTTGTGGAACCATCATCCCCAAAGATAATCCACTTACTTTTGTTATACTCTTTTGCCTTGTCTGTCAAAATGCTAAAGTTTGGTGAGCCAAGTTTGGCTAGAATTAAGGCTCCAGCTTTTGCATAAACAGGAACGGAAACGATATCGCAAAAACCATTGGTTTCTAGAACAATTTCCCAATTTGTGATGGGGGATAGTTCAAAGTTTCCTGTTCCACCGAGCATCATATCAATATGTCGACACGGCTTAATAATCTCTGAAATAAAAATGTAGCCACCATGTTTCAATAGCTTGGCTGAATTTTCTACAGCATCGGCCGAACTCTGAGTTCCATGGAAAATGAGCAATGGGACAATGATTGCGTCGTAATAATTTGGAATAAAGCCTTGCGCCAAAGGATCGTTTTCAAGGTTGAGTTGTAAAAATTTTGCGGTTATCCCAGTATCGTGAAACATGTTTTCTACTTCCGTTGCAACACTCTTGTCAATGTCGGTAATTGTGTATTCAAAGTGAAAGCCTCCAATCTCCACCATTTTTGATAATGCATATTTTGCAGCTGGGGTTCCAATTCCCCCACCAAGTTGGAGAATACGAATTACAGATTTCGATCCCAATTTGGACAATTCGGTTAACAGATCTTTTTGTATCGGGTTAAGAGAATTCATTTTTCTTGCAAACAGTGAAGTCGTGAGGAAATTATGTTCCACATTTTTGGGGACGGATTTATCATCAGTTAGTATAATATTGTACAAGCAATCCCCGATTGACTGAATTGAAGCTAGTTCCATATCGATCCAATCGATTTGCAATTTTTGTAAATCATGAACAATTGCGTCAATCTGGTTTTGAATCTTGTCCAGTGATTGAAACTTGCGAATTATTTTAAAATCGGATTCATTAGTTTGTTCAATCAATCCATCGGCAACAAGTTCTCCTAAAAGTCGTCTGAAGAATGTATAAAGCTTGGGTGCGATATTTGACGTCTCTGCAATTTGGGGCCATTTAAATTCTTTCAGGTTATCAAGATGAAGCTGTTTTGCCACCTTTATCATGTAAAGCCCTGCTAAAGATTGCAAATTATTATAAAATTGTTCCTCCTCTTGTGTAAATTCAGCATCCGTAAGGTTGCACGAATTCACGATATCTTTGAGGCAAATTGACCCCCTCTCTTCGTCAGGAATTCTCCTCTCTTCCGGACCCAGAAACTGCCGCCACGAATATTCAGCCATTGAGGGAAGCGGATTCTTCTGCGCGTCAATTAGTGCAAGTAAATTGCTCAAATTGGTCGGGACAAACTCTGCCCCACGCATGCAAGTCATTCGATTCCCGTCTTCGTCAAACAAATACGCTTCATTATATCCCGATCCGATACTTGTGTAGACATAACCTGACCGTGCCACGTGACCAAACCAGGCGAAACTTGCTATCTGCACGGGTACAAATAGTTGCTTGGCGGGTGGCCGGTTAAATAGAAACATGCTGATTATTTGTGCCTGCAACATTGAATCAACAATCCAGGGATGGATAATAAACCGGTCAATATCTTCATCCGATTCGAACACTTCAAATTTGAAGAGGTATTCTCCACCGGAATTTCCCCACACTCTGGTCATTACACGTAATGTAGGACCAAAATTGAATCCATATTCCTCAAAGACTTTGTAGTCCAAGGTGTCCATGACGACGTCATAACATCGTTTCTTGATGTCTAGCAATTCTGGTAAATTATTAAAATCTGGTGTAAAAGTTCCAAACTGTGCGGTAGCATTTTTGACCCATTTATATTCCTGGTTATCCAGTTGAATTTCTGAGTAAATAGTGGAACACATGCCTCCTTCCGGAGTTTGAGACACGACAACCTGATTAGAAAATTTGTTAAATAAAGTCAGCAAACTAGCCAGAAATGTGAAGTTTTACTTGTGTATCAATAGGCTGTCCTTCGGTTAAGCAAATTGGTGTAATGATGGAAAAATTTGTAATGGTCAGCATGCTGGTTGGTTTAGTAAACATTCCTCTTTTGCATTCACTTGCCACGTACGACGAGGTCATGCACATGTCCAAGTATCCTGCACAGGGGTATATAATCTTATCCCCGAGCGAATGATCCTTCAAGAAGGGTAATCTCTGCACATCGATGCTGTTGTTGAAAATTGTTATATCCGAAGCATTTGGAACGTAGACACCGAGTAGAGGATGGAAATGGGTTCGATTCCCGTTTTTGACTGTCACCCAGTATGGAACTTCATCAAATTGATACCCTGGAACGTCTACCTTCCTTGCGTTCGTGTACCGATGGAAACCTGACCAGTTAATTTTGATTCCTGTCAGATACAGCTTTCCCAGTGTGGAAAGCATTGTCTCCCACTCAGGCTCATTCTTTTTAAGAGACGGAGCGAGAATTGAAATTTCCACGATCTGGAAAATTTTACAAAATTCTAACACCCCTCAGACCAAAAGAATTATACATGTAAATGGAAACTATACCTCGTCGATATTTTCCAAAAGCAGAGCCGACAGCACAGGCTGCGGTCCGACCTCAATAAATCCAGTGATTCCAAGATTTGCCGCCGCCTTGCTCGCTTCCATGAAACACACTTTCTCCCGCGTGTGCCGAATCCAGTAATCTGAATCAGTGCTGGTAATCTCTCTTCCGCTAACCGCTGATATGAAAGTGCATCTTGTCGCAGGGGAAAAATCAATGGTGTCAACTATCCTTTTATATTTTTCAAGGATCGGATCCAACAGTTTGGAGTGAAATGCGTGAGATGATTTTAGTATGTGAGTCTTGACACCATTATTTTTGCAATATGTATGAAATTCTTGAATATTTTCAGTTGTTCCTGCCATAACTGTTTGACCTGTCGAGTTCACCGCAGCTATGTCAAGCCATTTCTGGCTCGTATTGGTAAATGCGTTATTCAAATGTTTTCTTGATGTCTGAAGATCCGCACCGACCACGATCATACCGCTTTTTGGTAATGATTCGATCAAAATGGATCTTGATACCACAAGTTTTAGAGCATCATGAAGAGTCAGAATTCCCGCCGCGACGGCTGCAACAAATTCGCCGAGGCTGTGACCCATCACTGCATCTGGCACCACTCCCCAAGACTCCCATAATTTGAGGAGACAAAATTCCACGCAGAATATCGACGTTTGACTGAATAGCGTCTGGTTCATAAAATCTGGCTTGCTGCTTGAATTCCACAAGACATCTTTGATAGAGATTCCATGCTCGGTGAATAATATGGTCTCACACAATTCGAAATTTGACCTGAATACGATGCTTTCTTCGTAAAGGGATTTTGCCATTCCGATATATTGTGATCCCTGCCCGGTAAATAGGAAACACAATTTCGATCCCGAATTTGGTACATGTTTTGGTCTCAGAAGATCCAATGATGCAATTAGCTCTTCTTTAGTGTCACAAATTGCAATGCCCCGAAGTAGGAAATGTGCTCTGCCCGTGTGCATCGTCAATTCGATGTCACTCAAAGAGCAGTCCGTCGTTGTTAGAAAAGTCTTGTAAGCCTCCACCTGAGAATGGAAGGAAGTCTCTGTTTTTGCAGAGATGGTGAAAATTTTACGAGGTCTTTCATCATGAAAGGTTATCTTCATGTCCTCTGATGGATAACCATTCGCCGGGGGTTCTTGAACAATTACGTGCGCCTGAGCGCCAGTGATTCCGAATGAATTGACTCCCGCTATACGCAATTGTCCATTATCCATGGCCCGCTTCCACTCGACCTGTTTGAGCGGGATTTGTGCCGGAATAGAAGCCAAATCTATTTCCGGATTGAGTTTCTTGAAATGCAGATGCTCTGGGATTATTTCGTGATGCATCGAAAGTACAACTTTCTGAATGCTAGCTATTCCGCAAACGGATTCGGTATGGCCGATGTTAGTTTTTACGGAACCGATGGTGAGGATATTTTCTCGATTAGAATAAGCTTTCGAGACTGCTTCAACCTCGATTGGGTCGCCAATCGGGGTCCCTGTTTTTTGCAAAAACATTTGACCGTAAGTGTTTTTTGCAACCTTCAAAGCTTGTAAAAGTAGTTTTACCTGTGCCATGCATTTCGACATACTGAACTTGGTTAGGTGCCACACCAGCCCTCTCCAGGCCGAGCTAAGTAGTTACAAATTTTTATAAAATACCATAATTTTTTAATTGCAAAATTGTAATTTAATTGTAAAAAATATCCACCTCCATAGCTTTCGCTTCCACCCCGACGGTTGGTGTCCCCATACTTTTACTTGGTCCCTCCTGCACCACGGCGGAACCTAGAATCAATCCCCAAATGCGATCACCATCCCCTATCGCATCAGAATATCGCTTCAAAATCAACACTCCGATCCCCTCTGCGCGGCCAAATCCGTCAGCCGAACTATCAAAAGTTTTGCATCTCCCATCCCTCGCTAGAACGCCTTCCATTAACCCATCACCCAAAGTGTACGGGTGAAGGAGTAGATTCGCTCCCACCGCGATGGCTAAATTGCACGCCTCATTTCTTAAACTGTCGCATGCCATGTCCACCCCAACGACGGAGGTGGAACAGCCACTCTCCGTAGAGAAACTTGGTCCGATAAGCTCCAAAAAGTGAGATATCCTCGCGGTGAATGGACCAAGAGCGTTGCCCATGTAACCTCGAAGAAAATCGGTGTCAAAAAGGGCTCCCTGCATCTGCAACAACTCTTTGTAGTCACCTCTCCACCATCTTCGAGGTAAAAAATAGATTAATTTCATAATCTTCCATTCAATAGTTTTCTCTGCATCTCACCCTCCGAAAACTCCTGTCAGTGAATTCTTTAATGACAACGGATCAATGCGGGCATGCTCCAAAGCTTCCCAAACAACGCGGAGGGATAACCTTTGCTGAGGGTCGAGAAATTGCATGTCGGCGGCGTTCGTGTTAAAAAATTTAGAATCAAAGTTTTCTATCGAGCAGAAAAGAAAGCCTGCCTCCGTACTTCGCCAGTTCCCCATTCGACATCTGCATTTAAATTATGACCACTTTATATCCTGAAGCTTTTTGTAGAAATTTATTCTCAAGAAATTTATATGTAGGAAAGATTCGGAAATTACGTGAAAAGATTGATTCAAATGTCAATAGCATATGGAATAACTTGGCGTTTAATAATTTCTGAATCATTTCATAACAAATATTTTTTTACAATGCGTTCTCTTTGGTCCATCGTCTCTCGGGAACTTTGCTGATTCCATCCAATCCATTTACCAATAGCTCCCAGAATTCAGCGATGCTATTTGCGCCTGGGTACCGACAAGCCATCCCGACTATAGCGATGGAATTTGTAACTTGGCTTGGCATTTCGTTAGTAATGGGTTGAATAGTCTAATTTTTAGACAAACCAATTAGAAATTATGTGTTCTACTTATGTCCTGGATGATTTCGCTATGAAGTATGGAAAAAGTATGTACATTGCTGGGGAATAGTTCCGGGCAAAACCGTTTATATAACTCGGTAGCTTTCTTTTTAAGATCATTGTCCAAATTCGCAGTCTTTGTGCTTCCTTCGTCATAAGAAGTGGGTTCAAGTGGGTGCCCATTCGAGAAATAAATCAATTTGAGGTTCTTTCCGCACAGTGGATTATTGGTTGAGCTTTGACAAAATATGTATTCGAAACATTAATTGCACTATTATGGCGAACAGGAATTGCATAATGATCGCACAAGCCTCACCTGTCCAGGTCAATTACATGGCAATAATCCAACTCTTCACCAGAATTTCTTCCATCTTAAACAAATAATCAATCTTTCAATGAATGCATATGACAAGAACACTCTTAATTGATCTGTACGTACTTTCTCCCAAAGTGATGTATTTCTTTGTGTCCCCCAGCTCAGATTCTGCTGCAGTGCTTGATAGAAACACAGGCACCACTCGTCCATCTTCATTCTTCGCCCATTGGACGCCGCTTCGATGAAACAGATCGTCGCAGTTGTTCACGACGAGACAGTTACAATCCAACCAGACAAAATGACTCCACTTTTCAGACGCGTACCGCAATGCCCCAGATCTGAATTCAAGGCTGGTAAAGAATTCGTCTTCGATAACGAGATAACACGCTTTGCATTCGGATTGCAGCTTTAGCCTGAAATTTTATAGATATTTTTGGAGAGATGTAACTATTCGTGAAGTAATGCATGATACTGAATTACCACATATTTTGCGACACATTTTTTGATAAGAGGACCACAGCGTGTCTCGTGGAGATACTTGCTTTGAGTGATCGCACCAGTGCTAAGCATTTCCAAGCATCGGTGTCGTTCTCAGCCAACGTTGTCCAGTTCTGGCTTCCAACTTGAAATTAATTGACAAACGATGCAATTTTTGCAAATTACATACAGGATGAATCGGTAACACGTGAACGCGGGCGATCTTGAATTGCTCCGAAACTGGTTGGAGTTTCGGTTCCAAATTTTGAGCATAACGACATGTGATTGTTGACAAGGGCTGAGCAAAAAATTAGCTCTCTAGATTCAAAAATGACCCGACCATTGACCTTAGAGTAAGAGGGTACCATAAAAACACTTTCCAAACTTAATTCTTTGTACACATACATAAGTAACCACTTCAAAACTCAAGGACAACAAGTTTCGAAAGGCCAGATACATAAGGTACTTAAAAATGAAGGTCAATAACGACAAGCTCGTACCAAAGAAAAACCATCATGCCTCAAACACGAGTCCGAAAAGTGCTAATTAGGCCCGTGCTTAAGAAAATTGACCTATTGACCTCTAAGGGCAACTCACCACCCCAGAGAGCAGTGGCACGTCTAACCAAAGTGTCAGAGACTAGGCGCTGTTCGTAAACTTCGTAACGCTGGCTAACCATGGGAAGATAGGGAAAAATCTCTATCTTCCTATGGTTAGCCAGCGTTACGAAGTTTACGAACAGCGCCCTAGTGTGCGTCGAGCAATTAAAATTTTGGGGCAGCCAAAAAGAAGAAAAATCCAAGTCAATCAGCTGACTGGGAAGCATTAAAAAAATAGTCGTCTGACCTGCAAAAAAAATTTATGTGAATTACCTGACAAAAGATAAAAGTGGCTTTTTAGTGTCGTTGGATGAAGAATTATTTTCCTTACAAGATACCAACAGTCAGAGAAAAATTTACTATACAACCAAAGGAGAAAATAATTCCAGAAGATTGGCCATCCCGCACACGGAAAACTTTTGCAACAAGTTCATGGTGGTAGGTGCATTATCTGATCGTGGTGTCCTCCCACTTATCAAAGTTCCACAAAAAGTGAAGGTAACTACGAAGTACTATATTGACTTTGTTTTAAAACCGCTTTTGGAGATTTATGTCTCAAAACTAAATGGCCAGGACACCATAAAAGTGATAGTTCATCACGACGCAGCGTCATCGCACACCGCCCTTTTGACCCAGGATTACGCCAAGGACTTAAAAGCTAGACTCGGGATAACAATCATCCAGGATAGTGAAATACCTATTAAGTCACCCTATGTAAGTCCCATGGATTTTTTCGGCTTTGGATATCTGAAATAAAATCTTTTCTCCGCCACCCAAAAACTTTTGACGGAGTTTGGAAAGTTTTGAGAGACGAGTGGTCAAAAGTTGACCTCGCCATGGTCAAATCAGTGTACAAAAGTTGAAATCACCGATGCCGACTTGTAGCTCGAGAAAAGGGCTTTCACATAAAAAATGTTCGGGACCTCCACTCCAAGCCGTTCAACCAGTAATTTAAGGTCAAAAACGTTCACGTGTTACCGATTCAACGTCGGTAGTTTAACACATTCTTACTTACCAGGCATATTGCTATGCAATGTTAACAATGCTTAAGAATTGTGATTGATGGGGTTCTGAATTTCAGAATAAGTAAAAGTCTTGGCTGCACGGGGTATTTAAGTCATGCTGACACAGGACATTGGATAAGTGCGACAGGATTAACTAATTACACTCCAATAAACCGTTTTCATTTTCAGAGTATTAAAAAAATTCATCCTATAGGAATTTTAGACATAAAATTTACGAATGCGGTAAAATATTTTACCGCATTCGTAAATTTTATGGAATAATTAAAACCATGACTACATATATAGAATCAGAGTAGATTTAACATATATACTTTTAATAAGAACTACCCTCTTTCCTTGTTACATCGACGATATCAAAGTAATTACAATGAGAACCAACTTTACTTTATGCTACTTTAGGTACAAAAGTAACATACGTAATTAACACATAGTTAAATAAATATTAATTGCATTACCAGGCATCTTTCCCTATTTTATTGGGTTAATGATATTCCGGTATTTTTACGCGGTGCAAAAATGTACAGGAAAATATAATTCATAATGCATCCAAAATAGGATCAATTTAAGGAAGTGCAAATCGATTTGTCTATGTAATGAATGCAATGCAATAAGTATGTACATACGTCCCACTGACAACTGATTGTTGATAAAGAAAGCCACAAATCTAATATTAGGAAATAGTATTCATAAATTTAATAAGGTAAATAAACCGTCGCAAACGCGCATACGGAAGTAGCTTCAGACTACTTCACTCCAAGCACTCCCACGACATCGCGGGAACACTTGATTTTACTGTATTTCATCTATACATTCAATTTTTTCAAAAATCTCATTTTGCCCCGACCACACCCCCTAGTGACGAGGGGGTGTGGCACAACTCGGGAGCACTTTATTCTACTGTATTTCATCTATGCATTCAATTTTTTCAAAAATCTCATTTTGCCCCGACCACACCCCCTGGCGCCCGGGGGGTGTGGCACAACGGGGGAACTCAAAATTTCACTCCATTTCATCCATAGATTCAATTGCACTAAAAATCTCATTTTGCCCCGACCACACCCCCTGGCGACCGGGGGTGTGGTCCGGTTGCACCCAAAAGTTGATAGGATCCTCCCCCTGGGGTATTATGTATGATGGCGAAAACCGATTTCGATTATCTTTATCCGTTCTCCCGTTATCCTGCTGACAGACAGACGGACAGACAGACAGACAGACAGACAGACAGACAAAGTCTTCACATAAAGTAGCTGAAGCTACTTAATAATGAATGTAGGAGTTTCAACAAACTATGTATGATTTCAAAACCCATATCGGCTAAATTAATTCGACTGCGTGATAAGTAAATACATACGTACCATATTAAATAAAATTACTAAAATTAATATAAAAAATTATAAATATTTATTTTTATCTGCCTAAATTAAATAAGTATTTTGTTAAATAAATAGATATTTTGATACTAAAACAATCAAATCAAATTGCTCCAATTTTTCAATAAATCATAAGCTGGATCGTAAACTGTAACCGCAATAAAGTTTACCGGACAAATCATGGGTCGGCAGGTACGGAATTTCTCAATAACTCAGAACTTTAGGCCAAGGAAGGACAACGTCGGCGACGGACGCTGGACCAGTGGCCGCGGAAGCTGTGGGGACATTAACATTGTAGGATAGGGGAGGGCGGGGTTTATATAAGATGGGGAGATGATGCGGACATCGAATAACCGTGGGGACATTGTCCCTCTGTCCCCACTGCGCTGGACCTAATATTGCCGAACTATGACGCCATGACCTTCACTTTTTATATAACTATAAGTGTACAATACAATTGATATCATAAAAAAAACTCCACTTAAAACTTATTTACTTTCAACACAAAGCACTTACTCGCGTATTTATAATCCATCATTTTTTCATGATTGTTAGTCACAGTCATCTTCAATATGATGGGAACTGTTATACTGCACATAATTTGCAAGAAATATTTCTCTACACTTCAACCATCGTGTTGGTAGCTTTACTGCCAATAATAATAATATTTTTATTGTCACTATTTTTATTTAGATACTTTCTTATAAAATCTGTCAAGTTTTTTTTAAAAGCAATCAGTGGGTCTCATTAATTTTTTAGCAGTGTGCTTGCTTTAGACGATATTTACGATAAGCAACTAGCAAGTAGTGGGGCTGTCATACGCATAAATAAAACATTTAACCATGCCAAAGTAATCCAGAAGCTGGGAGAATTTGCTAATAAACATGTCGTAAGGCAAACTTATATATACGTACAATACGCTAAAGAGCGTTACTGGTCGCAAAAGGTAGATAATCAAATCAGTCCTTCATAATATGCATTGCATAATAGAAACTAATTCTGAGTACCTGTGAGATTTTAAGAAATTTGAAGAAAGTGTATTGCTTATGCATTTCAAAGGAATCGATCCCTCTGGCATGCAATCTTCTTTCCATGGGTCAACGTTACTCCGTAGACGAGCAATTATGTACATAATTGGAAAATTTACGTTTAAAAGCAAACTACTTACATATTTGTAGTGTTTCTGACCTCATACACATATCGTGCTTTATGAGCTCCTAAATAAAATGTCGCGCAGATGTAATCAATTTTGTGCAAGTAATAACAGTATTTATTAAAATAATTGCACATGGACCCTGCAAATTTTGTACATGCTACATATATATTTAAATTATGTATGACTAACATTTTTCTAGCTTTTATACTATCGCAATTTACAACATGTTCATATAGTAGAATTCTAGGATTAATTAATTTTATAAACCCTGCCATTTAAAGATTCCTCATTATTGGATTTTTCATATTTCCGTGCATTTTCCAGATATTCCAAAATATTTAGTCGGAAAATGCCTGTGTGCCATTAAAAGCACACAGTCCATCCTCGTTCGGGGAGGATTTCATGCAATTTGCATACAGTGGACAATCCTCCATGGACCTTATTTAAATACATATAAATTTATGATTCCAAACTTATGTGTGTAGCTATTTTATCATTTGAAATTATTTCATTACCGACACGAAACTCCAAAAGCCGATACGCATTTCCTAAGCTGAGGTTCGTACAAGTCATCCAAATTACGGCAACTACAAACTGCTCCAATTTCAGTGACATTTCGTTCCTTGTTCATCTGTGGAACAATTCGACATGTCAAATTTGCCAGTTTATCACAATGTTCATGTGCGGACGATGGGTCGCATGTGTTTCCATGAAGTATCTCACACTTCTTGTCTGAATTTCGGATATTTCCCAGTTTACACTCGCACCGATAAGGAATTCCATGTTTCTGGAAATAAAATCTATAATTATCTCCAGATTTAGTATATTATTAGTGTCCTATTTAATAGATCAACCTCCGCCGTCGGTTCACATTGTGCACCCACCACACAAGAATTTGTATCCTCCGGATCGCACGGCGTCCCTACGAGACCCCGACAACTTCCATACTTTGCAACTGTGTCGTCATATATCTGCATATCTTGATTTCTGCATAGACATCTCATAGAAGAATTTCCTTGAACTCTGTAATTTACATGAGTCTTATAATAAGTATTGTCATAGATTATCGACATAATTACTCGTTAAGCCACTAAATTACCGGGTACACACTAAATTATCTTGACATGGTTTCGTCATAGAATACTCCTTCCCATATTTTCTCCCACACAACTGGTCACGTGTCTTAACCAGGTTATCCTGACACCAGCAGGTCCTCCCCACACACTTAGCGTCCTCCATGCAATAAACGTTATCTAGTTGAGGTCCGTCTGACCCGTACTTGTAGTTTGCTTCGACCTGACACTCCACGTCTACCTAAAATGCAAGCATTATTTGAAGTCATTGAGCACAAGGATTTTCGCATAGTATTTAATCCAGTAATTGTTCATATCATCTGACCTTTCCCACACATACACCTTTGTGGGCGGTGAAAGAGGTACCGTAGGAATATGGGACCTCGAACCTCTCCGGATTTTCAAAGTATCCTGGGGCACAACTGCAAAATCCTGTCTCGTTGCATACAGAAGCTTTAGGACATTCAAGGATTTCTTGCCTGCACATAATTAGTACATTAGTGTTTTTTTATACGAAAGGTTTTAAATTGAATTACATAATTACAATTGCTATGAATCGATTGATCTTACTTTTCAGAGTTTAATTCCGCCCCAAATTTGCATCGATCTCCATTGCTCGCAATGCAGGCTTTTTTCGTAACACTGTACCATAATTCGTGAGTCCGGCAGCGACACACCTTATCCGTTGCACAGATAAGTCCAGGTTCTTCGCCACAGTGCATTGAATTTTTGCACCGTGCGCGATAATACGATGGTAGATTTGTGACGAACTTGAAATCCTCGTCGTGATAGGGTTCTGTTACCCATTCGGTGATTTGACTTGCTGTGAATAATACAGTAAATAATAAGCAGAATACTATCAGTTTGAACATTTTTGAAATTTGGTGAACGAAATTTATAAATGAAGAAATCTCTGATATGAAATTGACAGGCTGAAGTTAGATAGGAAGTAGGGCATACAAGACTCAAATCCATGCATATCTACTAACTTGGAAGAAAGTGCGAAGTAACCTTGGATCATAAATGTATGGAGAAAGCTGGGCATCATTTTCTGCAGAGAAAACTTTTACATACTTTCACTTCACCATGAAGAGATCGATAAAGTAAACAAAGTTAAAACATTGTTATCCTTACGTTTCTCGTCCATCAATATAACTGACATTAATTGATTACATACGCTCTGTCACTTTTTACTTATTTACTTGTTTTGACCAGTGCTAAGAAACATTAAACCAGCTGGATTCAAAAATTAACACTTACAAACAAAATTTAAACATAATATTGCACATCTCCATCACCGACGAGGACGTGTGGTTTTTCATAGATTTCCTGGCTTTGAGCAGGGATATGTCGCCAATCGGTTGAAACTAGAATTTCAGATTGAGCGTATCCCAAGGCTCCTTCGGGAGGGGTCAAGTTATTGTCCTGCTGCTGGTAGTGGATACTGTGGCGAAAAACGAATTTCTGGGCCAATGTTGATCCTTCCACTTGGTTTGATGATTGGGTATACGATTTAGACGTAATTCCCGGCTGCATATTCAGAATCTGGAACTCATTTTCTAGATATAGGGTATCCATGAAAGTAATATTTTTTGTAGGATAACACGATAATACTCAATCCCAGTGACATGGTGGCTTCTTCTTGGCGTCTCTGTTTGATAAATTCCATGAAAAATCCCTTCAGATTTAGTTTCAGAAATTTAACAAGCAGATCATTTTTATAAGGTATCTTAGGCCTTGAAAATGTTAAAGAAATCTGTTGCGACATTTTTCGACTGACATTTGTTTACATAAATCTCTGAAACTTTTTGTCAAGTAGATAAAGGGCTTAAAAATTAGCTACACAATTATAATAAGCAGCAAGTGATTAACAGATTTGAAGGAAACCTCTGAGCCCGTTTGTTATTAGATGTGTACCAATGCCAGCTAACTTTTTGCACCGTCATACATACACTATGATACATATTTACCCGAAATTGTGATTGGCCATGGATGGATATGCAATTTAAGGATCAAATACGCTAAAAGTCTTAAAACGCTTGTACTATAATTTACCAAGTGAGACATTATAAGAATTTAAAAATTGCAATTGATCACCACATATAAACTACAATCAGCTTTATGCAGCAAAAAAAGCATACCTACTTATGTGTAATTTGTCTCAATTTTACAACGACAAGAATCTTGTCACAAGATATCTAACAAGCTCCCCAATCTATAATTGTAATGTTTAAATCTCATAGCATAGACAAATTACAATCTCACGAAATCCATAATACCGAAAACGGAATGCACTAATTTTTAAAATTTAAAGCTGCACTTTAAAGGAATCGACATACATACTTTCTCCGTGTCCAGTAAGCTCATAAAGCTTAATTATTAAGTGATCTGAGACTAGTGATGGTGATAACGTAACAGCAATTTCATATTGGGACATGCACAAAACATAAAATTTATTAAATACTGGAGATATTAATTTAAAACCTGGCGAAAGTGGATCACATGCTTTATTTACGGCCCCCAAGAGAGAGCGAGAGAACAAGCGATTCGCCTAGATTGGCATGAGCAGCTCGTGTCCCCTTCACACTCGGATTGCGTACTCTGCAAAAAGCTTCCCAGCAAAAAAAGTCTCACTTTTCTCGTCTGGGAATCCCAGACTGGGATGATGAATTTTGTATGAATTCACTGCTAAACAAGTATTGCAATTTGTAATTTGCAAGTTATCTTTTAGCCTCTGGCAGTTTATCAATTGCCTTACAAATTTGAGAAACATTGCAAATAAAATTCTGATTAGGGGTGAAATTACATAACAATATGAAATACTTTTTATTTAAATTGTATTTAATAATTTATGAAAATAAGGTATCCGACGCCGGTCATGAGTAAATTTATTACTTGGCTCTAACAAATAGCTCAAGCTCAGAATTTACATACGGATATTAAATTTATGACAATATGGAGACTGCGTTTTGCAGGCATTGGGTAAATTTGAATAAAATTTCATAAAAATATTAATTTTTTCATATTTAGTTAGGAATTAAAACCGGTCAGTTTCCTTCATTTTAAGTCCCATCCAAACAGCGAATACGACGAGAAGAGCTGCTATGATTAATAGTACTTTATTAGTGCAGATTTGGGGGTCCATTTCATCATTTTCGTCGTCACCGTCTCTGTTACGTCGGATAACATCTTTCTCTCCCATATTGTTAAGTACTCTGGCCAAAATATGATTTTGAAGAGATGCGCAACAGAACTTATTCAGCCCTTTAACAGTTCGTCCTGCAAATAATTAAGTTGTTTAACTCAATTTTGGGCTGGCAAAATAAGACAAAATATTAAAATATGTTAACCATATCTTACCGACTTGCTATGATATTGTGGTTAAGAAAAATTGTCAGTTTATATATAATTCACGTTCGCCACGTCCAGGTCAAGAAAACGCTTGATTATATTCGGCTTATTTTTAGAATAGCTTGCAATTTTCAATTTTTAAGGTGACTTTCAATATTTCAAAAATGGATTAGAAGTTAATTTATGTCTATGTTGAGGTGTACAGATGTATTAAAGAAATTTCTTGTATCATGTCACTTACTAAGAAGATAGTACACTATTAAATATAATGCAACTACAAATCTAATTTGTGTCTGAGAAGCAAAAGCGTCATACACAAGACTGAAACCATCTGATATTTGCAAGAATTTAAATTGAAATAAAGCATAGCCAACGGGCCCATATCGATGTACATTTAACATGTGCTGGGAGTTGTAACTATTGTTATTTTCTGTCTCGACTACTAGTTAGTTGTGGTAAGACGCAGGTTGTGATTAGAAAAGTGATGATGGTTAAGAGACAAAAAAGTGGTTTAATCATACTTGCTTCGAGATGAATTCACTGTAATATTTCCTTAGATATTAAGGTAGGAATTGTATTCACGGCTACGTTACAAATAGGCAACCAGACTAACCCATTCTCATGAACAGGCTACGTTATTGCGTAAGATGCAAAATGTGTGTAATAAATTTCAGATTTTGCACTAATTTTCCTCTCGCGTTCAATACTTCAATCATTGATGTGCCTTTGTCACATTTGTTATTTTCTGATTCATATATTCTTTCTGAAGAGTACAAACAATGCAATACATACGCAAATGTCAATAATTACAAGATTAACGAGGTCCTTCCGTTGGTTTAACTTATTCATATTTTGTATTTATTTAACTACTGTAACTTTACGATTTATATATTATTGTCGGGAAGAGTCCAAAAATAAGGATATATGTTCTCTCTCAATGCTGCCCAAAAATTTAATTTATCTTTATCTTGAATATTAATAACTTGTCATTATTCCGAAATTTGGAATTATTTAGTGTTCTACGCAAATCTAATTTTTATCGATAATTATACTTTTATTGTCAGCATTGGTACAAGCCCTCAACACTATCTGGTTAAACTCGTCTATAGCATCTGTGGGTACTTGGTGTGTTGCATGAGGAATGATCTGCAAAAAATCACAATTTATGTACAATCTTTCCCACACGTCCACAAAGTATTATTTAGAAAGAGAAAACAACCTCCACTTCGATGTCAGAGTCTGGGCAAATTTGCGTCAAAACTTCTTTCGAACACTGTCGAAGCCACGACCTCCCACCGTAAATGAGGCACAATGCAATGTCCGGATGGAGAAAGGCGAATCTGCGAATGAGTGGATTTTTTGCAAATGCTAAAGAACCTTTCATCCAGTAAAAGGCGGCTTCACCTCTGAAATATAACCAAATTACCATAATTTTAGTGGCGTATAAATAAGGATTAAATTGAGGTAATTTAGCACAAATGTGTAACTTGTTGCAAAATTACTTGGCAAAGCATAGTTAATTAATAAAAAATAAAATATTTTCAAAATTTGTAAAGTTGCAACTGTAATTGCCTTGTTATATACATTGTGTTATATATATTAGAAAATTTATCAAGTGTCCCAATTTTGCTCAACCTTCACAATTACAAATCATTGCTTCGTTGACTTACGATGGCGGTGCAGCATTTGCATGGTAAATATACTCCTGTATTGCATACGCGGCTTCTTGTCCACCCAAACTTTTAAAATTTTTCACTAGTCTCCATTTTACAATTCCAGTTATTTTTGGTCCTGCGCACATATTAATCAAGAAAGTAAGTAATACATACATATGTTCCCGTTTAATTAATTCGTTATATAACATGTAGCCTAACGACATACCCAATCTGCCAATCATTCTGAGACCAAAAAATGGATAAAAGTACGTCATAATGTAGTCAATAACTTTAACTAGGTAGGGAAGTGCAAATCTGGCATAAATATCGGCCGGTGGTTCTGTAACACCCTAAAATTGAAATAAAACTGGATTAACTTCTCCTTCACGTAGATAATAATGTTCACGTAAAGTTGTAACAATACCCAAGGGTCCGCCAATATGAGGGACGCTACCCTGGAATGAAATGAAAATAAATATTGTTGACATTTTGAGAAAAAAGACTAAATCAGGTTAAGTTCGTATTTTAGAAATGAACCTTTCCGGATATTTGAGCGCATAACATGTCGCAATAAACGCCCCCATGCTGTGGCCCAACAAAATAATTTTTTCCAGTTTCATCTCCTTTCTCCATTCTTCCAACGATGTGACCAACTCCTCCTCCGCCAGAACGGCATCCTGACTAAATTGGGGTCGAGAACTTCGACCAAATCCTATTTATTTCAGCCCAAATTATACAAATTTCTAGTAATTCGTACACAGTTTTACAATTGATATACCCATGAGGTCGATGGCGTGGACGTGCCTGTCCTTTGCTAACTGGTCCAAATTGAGTGCCCAGAGACCCACTGCTGCACCAAGGCCGTGCAGGAGGACGAGTGGTATTCTTTCTGGAAAGGATTCTTTGGCGGATAATGTCCAGATGCGATGATTTGACGTTTCCCCACCCACCATGATGGGACCAATGTCGACATGATACGTTTCCGAAGGGGTCTTGAGGTCTGAATATGAAACCATTCCATAGTTTGAAGAGTTATGAAAATGTTCAGAAATTGAATGTGTATATTTTACATGATAATATTTTTGTCTCTGCGTCCCTAAGCTGGTCTTCAGAGGTTGGACACCACCACTTATAGAGCAACCTGTGTGTGAAGATCGTAAGAGCATGAAAGTCAAATAAAGCACGCATTCTTGAAGTATAATCTTATTTAAATAGTTACCCAAGATGTCCCCAATTATCTCTTAATGCAACGTCTTGTTCACCATTTGTGCCCGTGATAATATCGCCGGTATCGCTTACACCATTATGCCCCATTTTGTATGCAAATATTCAGCTTATAGAACTTATTTAAGTTAATTTATTAATGTCGAAATACGAAATTTTAGTCGCCATCCACCAAGAATGTTCCACACTGTTGAAAGTTACATGCTCAGCTGCTATCTTCGTCCCAACTCGGGACAAGTGAACAATGGCTTATGAAATCGAAATGGAATTCAGCATAGTGAGCGAGGACGAAGGATACACGTATTTATTGGAGTGGGATATGACTCATGAATGAGACTGCAATTTCGCATTCATATTTATTTGCCCGTATTGGCCAGTGCTAAATACTAGATGGTTATTCATTTCTACGTTATATTTATACAGTGAGGTGCCCATCGTCCAGGGTATAAAGTTGACATTGAATTCATTGTACATATACATTATATTAAATCATGCATCTACACACATATATTATGAGATATGTATGCATATGCATACATATATACAGATAAATCACAGCTTTATAGATTGATTTCCCTGGTAATATTATTTACGCGTATGTATCTTCAATCAAAGCAAATTACCATATGGCAAATTCATGATGCGAGTCCGTGTGAATGCATGCAAAGTTTTGTAGTATTCAAAATATCCGAATTCAAAGTAATGCGTGTCTTAGCAAATAGTTTCTAATTCTTTGTCAATTTATAAACGGACCTTGAATGCAAATAATTATGGGAACAGTTGAAAAAATTATTAAGTTCAGTGAAAGTGAAGCAAAATCGTTCTAAATTAATTAGTGGCACTACCAGTTAGTTTACTGTACGAGTATACGGAATTACCAATTTTATTATATCTCATTTGTGTATACCCAAACATATTTAGACACATAATGTTGAGACATCCCATTCATTAGTCATATGCATGTAACGTACATATGTGCATACATATGTATGTATATATAAAGCTTAAACAGCTTTCGGATTTCTCCACGTTCGAACTTTGTATTTAGGACGCAGTACATAAAAACTCATAACAATAATATGCTTACATCCTGTTAGCTTAATAAATATTCGTAAGTATTTATAAGTATGTATGTCTTAATTTTTATATTTAGACGTGTACCTCACGTGATGTAATGTTTTGACAAGTCCCATTTCTGCAAGTCCGTTATATAAATTTGCATATATGTTCTTCACACTACGGAAAGTAAGAGTAGGCCGTTTTAAACTACGAAATCCATTATGTATTGAGTAAATCTGTGACGGAGTATGTGCATCCATAAGTAAATAGGTAGATGGATAAATAACTGGGATTCGCAAGCAAAAATTATCACTGTACTTTATCAGCTTCTAACTATACAGTAAATCAATGAACTGATATCTGATTATCTTAGTATTAGATAAGAGAACTATCGAGTTTTTTTCGAAATGAAGAATATTTCTAACTACATAATCCTCACCGGGATATCCATTGTAATTACTCATTTTCGCCTGGTCGAATCCCGGAGTATCGCTGTCCCAGTGTCGTCTCAAAGTGAGAAAGTTGATATTCCGTACTCTCCCGAATTTCTGCAACTACAATTTCCTGGATTTAATACTCAAGACAATTTGGGGTTGGAGGAAATTGATGGGAAGAATACCGATACAGAAACAGAAAATGGCACAAATTCGGATCGTGAAGGTAGAAATCGGACCAGGATCAGATACCATATTAAGAAGATTCTACTTGGATTAGGAATTGCGAATGGTAAAAATAGAGCAAAATACAGTACTCATAAAATATAAGGACAACATCCTAATTAGTGCCATGCCAAGTTAAATATTTATGTAATAAATTCAAAACCAATTATGTCATCCATAAAATTGGATGGACTTATTTTTTCTTTTTGTGTTGGCAATGTACTTTTTAGCTAGCACGCATTTCACTTGAGACACCAAAGTAAATATATTCAGTAAATGTTGACTAAATATATGACACAATTTTATCAAATCGACCATGCTATGAATCATGAGTAAAGGTAAAAAAGAACAGCGAGGTATGTATGTAGCAATATGTAATAGATTTTGATCAAATTGTCCGGTTTCTCAACACTTTAATGCATAAATAACGAAAGGATGGACAGAAGTTATAAATTATTTTTATATCAAAAATTAAAATTCACAGATAGAATACGTATGTGCATAACTCGTATGTTAAGTACAGATTAAGTTCATATTTTAATTAAAACGATTCCCTATACGAAGAATAGAAAAGTGTGAATTTGAAAATAACAAGTGCGCTCGGCATGGTACAAAAAATATCAACTTATCTAAATTAGAATCCAAATAACATATGCATATCTAGTTAAGAATCTACATACATATTTAATATCCTTCATTATGACTTCGATTCAGCTTATTAAGCTCCTTCACATTAATCTTCAGCTCTCCTTCCACTCTAGAATATTCAATTCCGTCAACACACTTATTAATCTGTTCCACCCCTAAATTATTAAGTTTCTTGTACTCTTCTTCACCAACCATATTCGTACTCTGCCCTTCAACTTCATTTATCAGTAAATAACTCGAGACAATCTTTTCCTTCAGATTCACAACAATGATCTGAAACACGACAGAAAACAAGATCACCACGTACAAAACGCCAACAAAACACATATCCCTCATCCCACTGGACTGCACCGGATTTGGGAGGCATACCACACTTGATTTTTGCAACGTGTAGCTTCTCTCTTGGCTAATCGTTTGTAAAAATAGGTTGACAAAAGGCTGCAAAATGACCCCAGCATTAACATCAATCTCAAACTGGAGTGATCCCGTCACACTCACCGTTGAACCACCAAATTCCCCAACAATATTTTGACTCCAATGCAGCAAATAGTCAAAGCCAAAAACTGTCAAGGTGAGCAGAATGTGCGTCAAGATAAGAAATAAGCTCGGCACGATGTTTGCTCTCTCCTTTTTAACATCTTTTCTTAAAAATTTCCGAAAAGCCTGTTCACCTTTTTCCCTTTCTTGGGAAGCCTTTCGTAAGTATTTTAAAGCCAGCAGTGGGACCAGCAAAATTGGAATGGTTAACAAAGCTTGAACAATTTTTATAACCAGCATAACTTTATCCCACTTATTTTCTATGCCATGCCGAATTTCGGATACGACCTCGGTCAAGTTTCCACTATCTATGTCAATTCCCGTGTCTATTTTAGTTTTAGGCTTTATGGAAAGTTTGACGATATCAACGACATTTTTAAAGGCATTAATCACAGTTGGTATCCCAACTCCGACGTATCCTCCAAGTCGCAAAGGTGCACATATTCCACTGGAAATTGAGAAAGCAGAACAACTCTGCTCGCCAACGTTAACGGTTTCGCACACCCACTTAAACATGGAAGGAACTTTATTACGACAGTCGTTATAGGCCCGATTTGTATCGTCTCTGCATTTTTTTCCAACCTGTAAATTCACACATTTATTTGTCTTATTACAAAATTTCAGATAGTTGAATCTCGTTACATACTTACACCAGACACTGCATTTTCACATTCCCCTCTAATTCGATCAGCATCTTTTCCAAAGTTTTCTATGGTTGCCACCGCGGTGTCGATAGCTTTTCGAGCTGGTTCCAACGCATTTTCAATTTTGCCGCTTAACCCTACCCAAACGCTCAAGGATTCTTGTATCGTGGTTGACATATCTTTGTAAGCGTGAGAATATGCAGATTGCATTTCTTCGGAATGATTCCTCACAATGTCACCAACGCATTGCGCAGTTCGGTGGACTTCTTGAAGATTGTGCATTATAGAAACAGTCGGACCGGCAATTATCAGTCCGGTCACTATGGACATCAAGACGAGGCGACTCTGAGGGCCGACAAGTTTAATCTGCCGTAAAAATAACAATTTAGAGATATGTTATAATAAATCCGTGCATTTATAGATTCACTAATATTTATATATATTAGTTAATATGTACTTACAATTGAAAGGACCATTACATATTTAAAAGTTCTGGAAAAGTGTACAGCTACAGAAATCAGCATCGTCAGTACAAAGCTTATCAAGATGCAGAAGACCCAGTTGATATCAAGTTTAAAAATTAAAATAGAGAAGGTAATCAAACCAAAAAAAATTGAAATCCCTACAGACTTCCAGATATATTTTACATTTGGAAATTGTGTTTTCGTAGAAACCGACGGAATTGCCATTTTATTAAAGATTTTTAAAAATTGTCACGTGGTGGGTTACCTATGAACTTTATTTCTTTAGACGATATAAAATAGTCTGGATAGTATCCAGGGGGGATGAATTTGTTAATGTTTGCTAAAACACATGTATTGGACTTAAATAGCCCATTTATCAGTATTTACATTATGAGTAAATGATTCACCATCGGATTGCAGGCTGATGTTTAATCAAGGATTAATGTGATAGCTGAAAACATGGCATAGTTTAATATGGGGATTCATGCACATAAGTAGGTAATATTTATGATACAGATAAATATGTATGTGCATCAATTTTAAGTTTTACTGATAGTCCTGCAATAAATGACACATTCTGAAATTATATAATATTGACTTAATTACAAAATGTTAACAATATTCGTCATGCTATTTAAGTCTGCAATGTTTAGTAGATTTCCTCAATGACTAAGGATACGAATGATGGACTTCTATCCGGTGTCAGGAGGATGCGCACAGTTTCATGTAAAAACATGTACTTATGCACATGCCTATGTACATTATTATAAGAGTTCTAGATCATTCCATGAGTTTTATGTACATGCGCTATATATTGATATACATACATATTTCCTTATTTGTTCATACTATTTATGCAAAAATAATTCTAAATTATTGGATCCAGCAAAAAAAATTAAGTGCATGTATATGTCGCATGATAATCTTAGGATTATCAACACTCTTGTAACTTTTTCGTATCATTTTTGCTTAATTTCTACCCGGCTAAACTTAATGAGTAGTCTGAGCACATCTGAGTAGTCTGAGTCATGCACAAAATACTTTAGCCTTAATTTGAAACTGTGATTCCACCAGTTTTATCAAAAACAATCATAATTTTACTTATACACGATCTATGGTAATAAATAGTTTGTACATACATAGTTTCATAATCAGTAGCATGCACATATATATGTACCTATAGGTATGCATATTTAGTTAAAAAGATGCTATGCATTTTATTGTTCCACTTTGATTACATATATAAATCTATAAATTTACAATACAATTTGTCCTTATAGTTCAAGATACTTTCTAAGAATGTAAATATGTACATAGATACGTCGAGACCCTACTGATAAATCATTATATATTTATTTACATCTTACTTTCGTATAAAGTCAAAAATCACAATGTAAGACAAATATGAGACAAAACTTTCATGAGACATTTTTGTACTTATCCTCCGTAGAGAAATTCTAGAATAGTTTAGCAGTTTTAAAAATAGGTTTGATTGCCATAAATAAGTTATCGTCCTTTGTATTCACTATTTTCCTAAATTTAGCTACATTCATAAGCAAGTACCTGATAAATATGTAATGTAATGCACCGCAAGTCTGTTGCTACTTGCTTAATATATTTGCGATGCATATGTATGTATATATCTACCAATATTTGCTGAGTATATATAAACTCCAAATTTAATATATAAACTCCAAATTATAACCTCCAAACACAAAATCCCTTCCAGACATGATTTGCATTTTATAGGGTTAAGTATCTACACGAAAAATATTAAAAACCTGTATTAACCGTTATTTAAAATTCATCAATTTATAAATTTTTCCACAAGGCGGACTTCTCTACAGAAATTCAATCCTGTAAAAAATGCATTTCTCAGAAATATGAGCAGTATATGAGTAAAATTAAATATGTAAATACTTTATCAGGCATGCAACATGTACCACTTCATACCAGTTAGAAGAGAATGGATGCAATTTCTAACGCAAATATTAGTTCAGCAGTGAAGAGAAAGCACTTGATGAGTGCTTTTGGGAAAAGTGAATGTGTGGTTTCATTTAGGCAAGTGAAGCATTGTGGTTTGCAATTTTGGAGAGAAAACGACATCAATAAGGGGAAAGGATTCCAAAAACACGGTGTTTTTGAAGAAATTACATCATTGTGTTTTTTGTTTTATGTGTTCTTTCTGGTATTTTTAGTTAAAATTGGAAATCAACAGGTCATGCATTTACTTATCCATGTACAATAAGCATTCCATTAAATTTAAGCAAGCCAATAAAGAGGGTATGTACATATGTACAAGTATATGAAAAATATTCCATTGAAAATTATGCAAGTAGTGAATATTTGTTAGAAATTTACCATTCCAGAAATCATTTTAAAATGTACATGAATGAAGCATATTCAAACGTTTGTTTATGTAATACGGCTCATACATACATATGTCGAATAACCCATCTTCTCCATGCCATTTTGGTACAAGGGGATATTACCTTAAAGATTACTCGCGGTGAGCATTTTCAGGGGGGGTCTGAATGCATAATCAGGCTTTCGCGGTATTTTCATGGTTACTAAAACCACATGCTGATTTGTGTTGTGACAGAAGACGATATGAACCTGGTCAAACGTTCAGATTTATGCACGTCCATAAATAAATTCTTTATATGTAGGTATAGAGAAGCACCACGAACGACAATGACTTTGAAACTACAGTTTTGTAGATATGTAAATGTCAAGTACACATACTTATGTATGTAAGTATTAAAATTTGCACAGAAGTGTTTGTTACAATGCGAAGTATTAAATTAAATTAAGTGATTCATAAGGGTATCCACGATGAGTTTGCATCATTAGCAAAAAATTGCAATTATACGAAATGAGAAAGGTGACCCGTAGTGAATTAGCCTGCGCTAAGTACATGCAAATATATTAGAGTATTTACATAGCTTAAAGTCCATAAGTATGTACTTTCGAAAATTAATTTTATTATCCTTCATAATTTCAACGCCGTGGGGAATACGACTTGACATTTGACATTCATGTAAACCAGTTAGCATATAGACCATGATCTACTCTGACAGAGTCGCATAGAGAAAATCATGTAAAAAGCCAGGGCAACTAGAGCTGTGCGTAGGGTCGGGTTTACCCTAAAAAAACCCTACCCTACCCTACCCTATAGGGTTTTGGGCGGGCCGGGTTGTTTGCCCAGGAAAATCCAGTCGGGCCGGGCGGGTCGGGCTTTTTCCAGTAGGGTTTTGGGCGGGCCGGGCTTTTTTTGCAGGGCTTCGAGCTTTTTAATTTGCCCTAGTGATAAAGTACAATATGACATTTGAGACAAAACTTCACTGTTTTCTATAGTCCCAGCTAAAGCGGAATTGGGTTTATCCTAAAAAAGCCCTACCCTATAGGGTTTTGGGCGGGCCGGGCTTTTTTTCAGAAAAACCCTATAGGGCCGGGCGGGCTGGGCTTTTTCCAGTAGGGTTTTGGGCGGGCCGGGCTTTTTGTCAAGAAAAACCCAGTACGGCCGGGCGGGCCGGGTTGTTTCCAGTAGGGTTCTGGGCGGGCCGGGTTTTTAAAAATCGGGCCCGTGCACAGCTCTAAGGGCAACCCATCAAGGTGGTAGATTTATACAGTGTGGTAGATTTATAAGATTAGCTCCCGTTCCACCAAAGCTTTCATCTTCAATTTCTTTAATAAAATTTTCTTTCACTTTTCGCATGAAAAGTAGGAATCTAGCCATTCATAATTATGTAACCCACGTAACACATACCCTTGTCTGAAATTAGATTAGATTAGATTCAGGCATGTGTGTAAACTGTAAATTACACTTTCAGCAATACCGTGAGCAGATCTACATAGAGGATTAATTACATAATATGCAACGAGAAATGACGTAAAGGATTTCTCCAGCAATGTGAAGGTTGTCCTGCTTTTGTGCAAACCTATCTGTGCATATCCTCCTCTTCTAGCGTGCCTGAAGATAGAATTTCAACTCAATTAGAGGGATTGCATTGCTCAATTGATGTATTTGCCTTGAACACCGGTTCATGAACACCAATTTATACTTAGCCAATACTTATTCTGCAGTTGGGAGTTGTAATAGGTATTTGCACGACGTACATAATTCTAGCAGTCGTTGATTCCTCTAAATCTCACAGATGACATAAGAGGCTTCCAGCATAAAGAAAGTAATCTAAATGTAGTAGCCCGTATCTCGTTGACATTTAACCAATGGTTTAGGTTTAAACTTGAGACGTTTACAATTGACTTTCAATTGTTAAAAGTTAGGCGGATTATTCTTAGAACTTTTTACAATAGTACGGAAAATAAAGCGTATCTTATATAATAGCTGATCTTTATTTAATTGGAATTCCATTCTCCAAACCATAGAACTTGAAGCAAGATTGACTTTTTAAAATTTGTTTAATAAGTGACCGTGCATAAATGATGTGATTTTCATAGAATTTTGACCCCTTAGCTGCTACCTATAGTTCTCATCCTACAATTATGTAACTTGAGACGGATAAGACACCTTTATCCTTACGCCCCCTCCCCCTCCGAAGAACACGTCCTTTACGTGCAGTCCCTGGAAGTAGCCAACCTTGAAATTGTACTTCAAAGAAAAAGTTTCCATAAAGTGAAAAAATTTGTTTGAGAAAATTCAGAAATAGCAACATGGACAAAGGGAAAATCTCTTTACACATACCCTCATTACATACAAACTTATCTACTTATGTAACTTTGATGTCTTAATATGTAATCATCATCCGCCAGCATCACGTGTTTGGAGAAATTCCTTTAGCGGAACACGTTATGTTGGTGATTTGCACGAGTACTCGTCAATATTCGATGGAAAAATTAAGCTCACTGCTTTCAATTAGTAGGTTTCAAATTTCAGTATGTGACATTTTCCATAAATAAAATGTAATTATATCTTTGCCTATTTGTTACTTAACTTATAGTCTGCACATACCGTCGGGGTATCTCTCATGTCTGCGGAGTCTGTCACTTGCTCCACATTTTCAGCATCTTATGGATGGTTAATTTTGGAGGAATCCACCTGAAAATCCTCTTGGTTTCATTTCTACGGCTCCTAAAAGCTTCCCATCCCAAGAGATTTTGCGACATTTGCAGCGTGGTCCAGTTTTCCTTTAAATATAACCTTAGGATCTAGCCTGCTGAAATACTGAATCACACCTATTCACAGATACATCTATTTATACCTGATTTTACTAGGAGTCTCCGCTATGATAACAATGCTTTTTTGAGCACTGAAAGGGTCAATTGGAGACAAACGACTCGTTATCTATGTATAACGAGCCGATGGTTTTGTCATTGCTTACGTCATCTCGAGCACAACGTGAATCTTGCTACTATTGCCTATGTACGTACTCGGCAAACTTAATCTTCATATAGCCCTCATATCACCTTTCTAACCCATACGCAGTAAAGGTTCTAAAATTGTAAAGATTTATGGTGGGAGGTGGAAAGCTTCTTAAAAGTATAAAATTTCAACTTTGCCTTTAAACTTCATTTATGTAATGCGGGTTATTGAAGAACATAAAGTCAATTTCGCTTATGATTCATCGTGGCTTTCAATATTTAGAGTCCATAAAGGTCAACCACAGGGCGGAGATAAAGTCATCGGTGAAAAGGTACGCCCACTAAAAATACCACTGTAGTGGTATAAAAACACCTACTCACAAAAAATACACACATGAATGACCAAGTACCTACATACTTAATTCAATTTGTTACTCTTTATTCCAGAGCTGAAAGAATAAAAAGTGGAAAGCGTTGCTTCACCGACAAATGATAGAATTACACATATGTATGTACATATCAGTCATTCGATGTATAAGACTTGCTTTTGGAGCTACTACTTACAAACGGATATCTTACATAAATCTATCGTATCCTTGGCGATTGGGTAATGACAAGTATCATTAGCGTACCCAATTTATTCGCGTACATGCATATTTATGAAATTCTAGGTAATAATAAATAGATGCGTTTGTACTTCATGATCTCAAGATGATTTTCTTACTGCGTAATGTATTTCGATCAGATTGGGGGATATGGAATTTATCATGAAATCATGAATAAATGAAGCTAATTACGTTACTGCAAGTACTTTCGTTTCTGGCAGTGCCATATTTGCTAAAATGCCTTTGATGTATAATCAAAGTCGTTTTAGAAAATTGGAAGACAAAAATCCTTAGCGATATACGTGCAAAGCTTTTAGCAATAAAATGAAATTCTAAAAGTCAGTACACATTGTATTGGTTCATATGTCCGTATTTATTTTAGCCAACCAACATACCAACCAAAGCCCCAGTTGTATTTGCTGCATCGAAAACAATCAATTATTAATTTGTACATCAATAATTTGTAACCTTGCTCGTTTCGAGTGTCTACAAATATTAAATATTTAATTGAAGGAGTTGACCATGAATTTGTACTTTAACTTGGATTTGTACTCTAAAGAAGAAAGTGGATTTCGGAAAGTTAGAGAAAGTCTTGAAGAAAGTTTTGGAGAAAACGCTAAATTAATTTTATTAGTAGTTGATTATCATCCGTTGCCTAATTTGATTTGCAAGTAAGCACAGTCAGAATGTTTTCGAAATAATCTGCTAGAGGAACTTCGAACACATTATAGAAATAAAAGAACGGCTGGACAATTAACTGCACAAGGACCAATGCACTGAACGTGATGCCAAGAGCTTCATCCGGTCTAATGATTTCCGGGCAGGATGACGGTGGACGAGAGAAGACGACTGCCAAGTGATAAATTCCTACAGGTGTTGAAGTCAGGACAAAAAATATCATGTGACAAAAAACAAAGCGAACTCGACGGATCTTGTTGAGCTGAATGGTATGGGGAATTTCCTAGAATAAAATATATGCATTTTGTAAATCAGCAAACAAAGCACTACAAGTACCTGCGATAAATCAGTTTATTTAGTCATTTTATTTTCATACCTGGCAAAGGAAAAGATACCTCAGTCTAAATCCAATTTTCCACATAGCTACACAGAAAACATTAAATATGTCAAATATTAAGGATAATGCAATTCAAACAGTTACATGCATCGTAAAATCCTTAAGTTTTGAAAATGAGTTTTCAAACTGTTTTCGAAACAAAAGGATTCCTACGTTGTAATTTATAAAGGGGCTTACAAAAATTTTTGTAAGCTGATTTTCTCTGGAAGTTTTTGTAAAATTTGGAGAGTTTCTAGTTTTCAGAAGTTTGCGGATTTTACAGTACCTACCAAGTACGGCAGTATTAAATTGGATCTCGAAAGTATTTCACTCACCGTAAAACATGTACATGGACGGAAGAACATTCTTTAAAAACACTGAGAAACATTCGGATCCCATGTGAGCCCATACTGACCCCAAAAATGTTACCTACATACGTACACCGGTACATTTTTACTACAACAACAAGAATCTCATTTCCGTCCATACTTCCGTTTAATACGTACCCTAGCACACGACCAAATCACAATTCCAGCCACATTTTCAGTCGGAACATTTCTGTAGAACCAGTATTTTGGAACTGACGCAAAGATAGATGTCAACCAAGGAAACAAGAAGATAGCAATCCATCCCGACTTTGTGCTTTCTCTTGGTTTCGTCAACTCATAAAATATTGTGGACATTGTAAGAGGATTGAGACAGATAAATACTCCTACGATGCAAAGATTTTAAAGAATTTAGAATAAGCATTCACAAAAATATGAAATCTGTACATAGATATTTAAACAGACAATCTTCTTACTGCCCAATGTCCCACAGAGCCCACACCCCCACGAGGTTTGATTGCATGGAATTATATTCAGTTGACTGAGTCGCCTATAGGGCACCGTTAACAATGAGAGGACCAATGATATGTGCAAATTTATCAAGTTGGGGGTGGAAAGTAACCTCCTGAAAAGTATTAAATAAATTATAATCCAATTAATACAATTGCTAAAAGGTAATTTGCCAAATCTTGCTTTTGCCTTATTCCCTTCTTTCTCATGATGCATATCAGTACAAAAATCTCGCCAAATAGAAAGGAGAAGGACAAGGTGGTTACAAAAACCAATATAAAAGTGCTGTTTGAGTTCCCATCTCCTGTTTGATGGTCCTCTGAGACGGATGTGTTAGATTTCAAGGCAGGTAAGAATCTCAAGTTTGTACAATTCATGACAGGTTCTACTGTCTCAAAGAGAAGAGGAGCGTGTGATGTTGTCGAATTCACGGGTAAGACCCTACTGCTGTTCGGATGGTGAAGAACTGTTGCATATCAGGCAGATGATTTATTGCCCGGAGAAAGGAATGCAATATTCCAGCATGATCAGAGTGCTTCAAGTGCATGTTGGAAATGCAGGGCTTTAGCTTTTCGTGAAGGACAGGAACATGAGGGTCGTTCTGATTGTTCGTTAGCGAAAGGGATTATTTTCTATCATTATTGCATATCTACACAATTGGGGAATTGAAGCGACTCATTGTCTTGAAATGAAAGCACGGTGAAAGCATTGTCTACATCAACATTGATGAAGCTAGATTGTCACGAAGCTTTAATTAGAAGTCTATACATTGTACTTTGTCATCAGTATCCTGGTAAATAAATAATTCTAAAATCCATCAGTAATGAAATGTATCCTCCAATTTCTCTTTAGGGCCTTTCGAACTATATAAATACATAAGTACAGAAATATATTTTATGTATAGACATTTGTCCAGATGAACTCCAGGTGAAAAAAAAGTTTATTTTTGTAACACATTTATGCAACATTATATTTATGTAATACTTAATGTAAAATTTTTCACTAGGAAGACTGCAATGGGCATGGGCATATATCTCCAGAGTTAGACTTAATTTGGGGGCGAAAGTTTTTTATTTATTGGATTATTCGTTTTCAAATTTAACATGATTTCACCTAAAGCTTGACATTTTAGAAATGGAAATTGTAGGCTGTATTTTTAATTATAAAAATGAACATTTTTCAGTCATTTTTAGGCCATAGAAGCTACAACTTTTAAAAGTCTAAGACACTTATGAAAAACTCAAATAAAAGAAATTAGAAAACATAAAACAAAGAGAAGTAAGTCTAGTTGTGTTTGATATCAAACTACCCAAAACCTAAGGGTATTCTTGTGTTATGAAGAAATTCGCAAAATTAGGAGAGTATTTTTTTGATACTCCTTAAATAAATAAGCATGCATAAAAGACCTTCCATATAGCTGACCAAGTTTAAATTAAGTACATATGTAAAAGGGCTCAGGTCACGATCACCCCCAGGTCAAATGACTACATGTATATGTATGGTCGGTATACGGTAAAACAGAAATGATAATTATATTTCGTGCCTCCGACGACGACACAGATTTAAGTACTTACGAATTGCATAGGACCGAGGCTAGAAAATCCAGAAAAGGAGGTTCAGCAAACACTCACGTTTGTACAATTCTTTTGTAGTTTCGTGATTTATTAATATGATGCTGGACCGGAATCATTTCGTCTATTTTTATCTGCTGCCTAGCCAAGGTAAGCAGTGCATAACGTTTGGAGTTGTTCCGGATACCCATACGTACATCCATAGTTTTAAGTCTCAAAAAACAACGAAATATCACACGTTCTATTAATTTTATGGATGTAAATAATTCGAATAAGTTTGCTACTCTCATATTTATATATGCTAAGTTAGCTTAAGGTAACTATTAATACCGACAAATCTTTGATTTTTGCAACACTTATTTTCGAACATTATTTACATATTTATATGTGTGATATGTACATAAAATGCAACGAAATAAATATTATGTATACATTTAACCAGTTTATGACTAGTTTTTCGTTACTTTCTGACCGTTAGTGATACTGTCAGTTACAATTGTACAAAATTATACAAGGTAATTAGTTCCTTTACTACATATTTAATTTTATTTATGTTAATGTTAATGTTAATACTTTATATGAAGCCTACATACCCAAATCCATACGAATTTATTGCTTCAACAATGAAATATTGGGATAACCAATAAGTCAGTAATATTCACATTGCATAGGTTAAGATGACTCAAAGAATTTTATACATTGCAGATAAGCACCTACAATATACGAACAATTCATTTTACTTAATATCAATCTACACACATGCGTAACTATATGTCATTTGCTTGATATGTATTTTATGTAAGTCGACGTGAACTCCATTCTTTCACAGAGGAAAGACAGACTTTGAAAAAAGAGAAATGTCAATATAACAGTTGAACCAAGAACTTTCTTCGATGCTTGCAAATACTTAAGCAAATCACGGAATTCAACCGTACTCGGAGAATTGAACGAATTGTTCATCCAACTCGAAATCATCTCATCACGAATGTTGAAAGCTAGAGAAATGCAATTTCACATATTTTGTTGAAAAGGTCAGAAAAAGAACCTGATAACATCTCACTGTTTCCCTGTTCATTCAGTTGTTTTTGTTATTTGATACAGACATGTAATGCAATACCGCACAAAGTTTGGGTTCTATTTTCCTGACAACTCACGATGGACATACAGTAGACTCCATATATCTGCATACCCTATGCATGTGCTATGCTCTGCAGCTGCTGAATGCAAACATGTACATACTTACATATACCATCCGATATATGTATTTCAGATGCTCCTCGGAGCATAAGCATAGCACGATTTTACGTTGTTTTGGGCGTTGTTGTTTCATAATAAAGAACGACTAATAACAAAGTTAAAACATACTGCACAGACTTCACATGAGCTGAGCAGGTAATTTTCATAACCCTTTTTAATTTTGAAACCAGTGTGGATTAAATATTCTGAAAGCATTCTTGATTCTGCATTACAGGATATGGTTCCATGAGAGAAATTGCATAACGTGATTCTTTGGAGGATGATGATACAAAACACACTGTGGAACGAAACACGAAACAGTTGGACATGTGGTTCTTTTTGTCTTCGTCATAATTTTGCTCTCTGGAGAATTTACGTCTTTTAAAATCAGCGTCACAGCTTAAGTTATCTTTTCCCAATAATAGATAAGTCAGAGCATATCGGAGTGCTAATTGTAAGTAAGCCAATGTATTACATAAATTGCCTTGTTTCCAATTAAATAATAATGATATTTTGAGTTATTTAATTACATTTTGTTGGGATGCAATTTTAGTAATTCACTTCAACTATAACCAGAAAATCCAAATTTGACGGATAACATTCCAAGCACTAAGCAGCACTCACTGCAGCAGAGTATACAAAATTTCTATACATATTGTTCATATTGTACTATTTCATATTTCTAACCTGTTTTTTAACTGACGTAATGCTTACATAGATGCAAAACGAAAATACTAATCAAATTCCAAATACTTCCCAAAAAGACTTATCCCTTGAAGATAAAAATGGCCCCAACCTAATTGTGACCAATGTAAGAAGCCTTTCTGACAAGAATACGACTTCAGGAGAACATGATGATATGATGTCTCCACCACCGGAAAAGAAAGTGAAAGCTAGTGAAAGTTCATCTAACGATGATCCAGGTTCGTTTCCATTTATTTGGGTGTTAAAATTCTAGGTTACGCATGTGAGAAGCTCTTATTCAAGGCTAATTTTCCAATCTAGGCAAGACCAGCGATAACTCAGAACCTCTCAAACAAGTGACTTTCATATTTCTCACCAGATCAACGCCACTCCCTTCACCAGTTGTCAATCTGGGGTCACAGTTACCTATTAACGATACCCAGACCTCAGCAGATCCTCGGACAACTACAACAGCCCCAATCAGGAACCAACTAAGTATTTGCATGATCTGCAATAATGATCTTAACCCAGCGAAATCTCCAACGCTGTCAGCTCGGGCTCAAACTAAATGTCAACTCATCAACGGAGTAGATCCCAAAGTGGGCGACTTGTTAAAATGGGTAGTTTATGATGAGAATTTATTACAACACACCTTTCACTCGCTGCCACCTCCCCCACCAAAATCTATAGAACGGAGAAAGTTGTGCTCTCCTTGCTCTACTCATTTAAAAAATGTGTACGAGTCAGTCAAAAAATTGAGAAAAGCATTCAACCCGGAAGGCTACTTGGGGAATTATATTATGAAAAAAGACGAAGCTATCTCACAAAATACGACAGCAACTCCGAAATATACTCGCACCGTGTCTACCCAGACATGGAGCCCACTAACTAAAACTAAAGACGTATTGTCTAAACCAATTAGTGCCCAGATTAAGGAATCCGTCAAAAATGTCCGGCAGCACACCTCATTTACACAGTCTGTTCGCAAAATGCTACGACAGCAAATGATCAGTCTTACCAAGACGAACGGATTACTAAATTATACCGGGGGCGAAACTGGGTCCGAAGATTTGAACTTTACACAAATAAATAAAGATCTCGAGATTTTCGTAAAGACAAAGTGTCCTCTGTTATGGAAAGTATTGCTTGCTCTATTTCAGAGAAATTATAGGACGGCGGATGTCAACTTTACTATGGAAATGCAAATCGCACTTGGTATAGCTGGGCGGGTGCATAACCAAACTTGTTCCAGGTTGCAGAGGGATATGGCGATTTTTCTGTGGAGGAACGGGGCGTCAAAAAATGTACGGACAAAATCGGTGAAATTTTGTATTGAACTATTAATTTTTCTAACTAATATATAATTTTATATTTATATCCTCCAAAATTTTATAGGTGATTGAAACTTTGCATGGACTTGGACTTTCACGCTCGTACGTTGCGAGCCTGAAATTGCCAGAGGTGAAACTAATACCCAAGTCGCGTGTGAAGACGGCGAATAAGAACAAGGAGAATAAAAAGACTCTTAAATTCAAATCCACCAAGAAAATTGTTCGCAAATATGCTGGTATTGCTAAAAATCGTGCAGCCAAAGTCAAGGCTGCAGTGTCGCCTTCCACAAAATTAAAAATCAAAATTAAGACAAAGAATAAAACTACTGGCTCGCAGAAATAAAACTATCTAAGTTTTGAATATTAATTACGCAGATATTGAATATTAATTTGAATATTACGCCGTAAATATCGTAATATCTTAAAATTTAAAAAATCAAATAAATTAATTATGAACCAAGTCAACCAAGATTCACTTTTTGGAAATAAGGATTTGAGTTAACACAATGTTTAGTAATTTATCACATATTGAGAGTAATTAATTTCCTATTATCCCAACTATGTATGTATATCTACTTACGATAAGGGGTATGCACTAGTTTAAACATAAAAACTACTAAAATAATATGCATACATGTGACATGTGTAATTTATTGTTTCTAATTCAAATTGTACCTATGTGCGCATTGCGCATATACACAATAAGAAATAGATTAGAATAATACAATATTATTAAGATCAGAATGTCATCAAAGTTTGCGCAACTTTAAGAAACTTTTTTTCCTCAGCTTTTGTAAACTTTTCAATTTTCTTTATTGGCAGGTCATCCTTCGCCAACTGTTCGACTAGCGCCCATCGTTCTTCACGCAAGTTCTCCAGAATCCTTCCACCATTTTCACCCTCATTGATTTCAAACGGTACCACCTAATGGAAGATTTCACAAAACTTGGAATCTTATCACTTACCATTTCTGATAAAAAATAGTACCGTTTCCGAAATTTTACGCATATGCATTTGATACATAAAAATCGCATGCATCAGTTCGCCAAAATTGAATTCCGGCCATGAAACCTGCGTAAAATGTATATATGTAAGCCTGGCTCGCTTCCCAAAGCATGAAATCCGAGAGGCGTTGGTCACCCCCAGTTCGGATAAGCATGTCGACGGGTCGTAAATCCATCAAGGAGTGAGATTGGTGAATTATATACTCATTCAATTCTGATGGGTCATTTTTGTCTTGATCCTTGTCAATTAAAGCTTTCAAGCCTGCCAAAATACCTTCACGACCTAAGAGACACGGAGACGTATGTACATACATATTTACATATGCTAAATAGACAAATATATTATTATCTAATTAAAAATACTCCAACTTGTGTACGCGACTGCGACATTTAGCCGATATGGTTTATTAAGTCTCGTTCTCTGCATCAAGTGAGCCACCCGATGTCTCAACTTTTCCGGCAGATTATCCAAGTTGCCAATCATTTGTATGCATGTATCTGATTCGTGATGAGATTCGCTAGATTTGATTAATAATCTTAGTAAGTAAATCATACATATATCTCAATTTGGGATTTTCTTGCGCATATACATACATGGCTTGTAGCAATTGGGTGCATCGCTGTTCCATTAATTCCATCAAATAATCCACTTCTTGTTTTGATCTTTTGTAATTCTCTGAGGAAAATGCGTACACTGTCAGCTCTTTGCAGCCGAGCGCATTTCCCCAGCGGTACAAATTTAACAGGGTGTCAGCCCTATAGAAGAACAGGAGGCATGTAGTCCTCATACTGGCTCATACCGTATTTGTAGGACTACTTACCCAGCTTTATGTCCATTTGAGACTTCCAAGCCTTTACGTCGCGCATATCGTCGATTTCTAGTTACAAATTGCAATGTAAATACTTAGCATTATTGTAAAACAATGAGGGTATTCATAACGAATTCGCATCGTTAGCAACGTACGCAAAAAAGTTCGTAGTTCGTAAAAAATTGTTGCACGAAAGTTTATTTGCGAATTTGTGCACCTCGAAAACTAGTCGAATTTTTGCGATGCGAACATGCGAATTCGTAATGAATATATCTAATATAAACACAAGTACGGATCTTTCATTCAATATCTGTGATGCTCACCCGTCCATTATAATTGCGATGTGATCTGGGATCTTTCCCATTCTTGCGACAGAAGTAGTCAATATTTCGAGAAAGGACAGCTCGTAAGAATTTTTGTGTGACATTGACATCGCAAGCGGATTTAATTCACGTAGTTAAATTTGTGTATAGATTAATAAATAAAAACCAGGCAGCTACTTAATATTGCAATTTCAAGCCGACTCTCCATATCAACTGTAATAATTATTGTCATTGTCGCTCCTTAAATATACCTTGCAGCTTCTATATATTGCATAAATTGTATGTCTGGACTTTTAAAATTTACTTGTCTCGTTTAAAAACGTCATGAAGAAGACAAGTTTGTACATACTAGATATTTAACAATGTTATAAAATGTTTATACCCGTCTGGGGAAATATCCAGAGTACCTACAGATAAGCTAAATTAGTCTCAGTTCTTTAACATGAATCTCACAATGTCAATTATTTTCTGCTCTACGGGCTTCCCATGTGAAGTAAATTTAATGGCTCGCGATGGCATCAAAAGATGAAAATGCACTGACATACGAGTTTAATTTAAGATTAAGTATGTACATACCTACATATGTATTTAATTAGTGGTGGTTAACCTATATAGATAGGCTTGCTCTTGAATTGGACCGTACATAAAGTATTGGAAGGTGGTGCTGGTTAAGAATTCCACAATTGTGTCACGTGGCACATGCTTTACAGATATGTGCAGCCCCAGTATTTATGCATTTCGAGTTTTATGTTCTGCTGCCGGTTAAACCGTCAATAAAATGTCTTAATTGGTATGAATCTGAACATAAAATTTTATGCAGATTAATTCTAATGACTAAAGGTAATTATTTCCCAGCTTTATTCTTAGGTGATAGACCTCCTTGGCAGAGCGTCAAAAACGTGAAGTAAATATTAGTAAAAGCACATGGGCATAGTCGAGCGTCACTAACAGTTATCAGCTAAGTCAGAATCACAATTTGGGTTCAGAAGTAAGCACTCTACGTTCCATGCACTAACTCATTTGACTCAAAAAATTTATGACACACTTGAAAAACGCAATTACACACTAGTTTTATATTTTGACTTGGTTCGTGCTTTTGATTCGATATCCCACAAGCTTTTAATTGATAAATTGCGTCACATTTATCATTTGCCAGAATACCTTATAGTCATAATTTCGGATTACCTGAAAAACAGACACATTAAAATTAAACTAGGGAACTTTATATCTGATTCTTTCCCTATATATGCATCTGTCCCCCAAGGGTCAAAAATTGGACCAATTCTATTTAATTTATATGTAAACGACGGCATTGACCAACTTGAAGGTCACAAGGATGTATTTGCTGATGATATTTCGTCATTAGTGTCCCATAAAAACTTTGACACACTTCAAAAAATAGCAATTGAAAGGATTGAAATCCTGCATGCATGGTGTAACTTAAACTGCATGAAAATAAACTGGACTAAGTCCCATTTTATGATTTTTAGAAATAGTCGCACGAAAAAAATACCCCATTTGGATTCAATAAAAACGGTAAATTTTGAAATAACCAGGGTCTCTGAATTTAAATATTTAGGGGTCTGGTTAGATGAGGAGTTAAGGTTCGACGTGCATGCAGATAAAATTATTAACAAAATTACACCTCGTATTCATTATCTGCTGAAACTCAAAAGGAAAATTCCTACCGATAAGTTTCATCTAATCTTCAACGCAATTGTAATGTCTTGTCTTGAATATGGTATTCAAATATGGGCTGGATCTTCCAGTACCACTTTAACACGCGTCCAAAAAGTCGTAAATAACTGTCTCAGATCTTGGGTTTCTCCACGTATTATTAACATAAATGTATTATATGAAATGTTTAATTTACTTAAGTTAGATGAGTACCCAAACTACTATCTTTCCCTTTTTGCTAAAAGTTTTACAAATGATTATAAAATATATATTCCTAAATTACTTCAAAATTTTGTTACTATTCATGGATCGGTTCATGAAACAAGGTCCACAAATTGTTTCGTTATTCCACCACACAAAACTGTGCTCTTTGAAAAAAGTGTTAAATATAGGTTAATAAAATTTTGGAATGAACTACCAAATGAAATTAAAGATGAAAAAAATCTTGATGTCTTCAAATTCAAGTTGACGGCGTATATTTTAAAAAGGAGATGTTAATCTTAAGCTTGAAATTAAATATACTACTAATTAAGTATTTAGTTAAATGTCAATGGTTGGAAATCAGCATGTTATCACGTTGTTACCTTTTGACAATAAAGACTTATTATAAGTTTGCCACATTTTTTAGATTTATAATAACCTTGTGAATTGCAGGGAACAATATCCTTGCATATTTGTTACATATACATATCCACACAAAAGTTAGTCATCCCGAGGTGCATTTAAGGCATCAACATGTACATATTTACCTACAAATGTTGGAAAACCCTGATATCTTTTTAGCACTTATTTTGCGATAAATTTCATACAACGAATAAATCATGGAAAACCCACCTATGTAGCTGAACTCAACGGAAGTATTGTTGTTAAAATAAAACAAGCCCCTATGTAGGTAGCAATTAAAGAAAAACCACTTGAACTGACAGTTTTGAGTTGCAATTACATATGTCGAATAATATACATAGGCTTTGCATTGAGATGCAAAGTATGGTAAACAGAGATTAAGAAATGCCAATTTATAATAATACAATTTTTGTCATAAAGTATACATACATGTGGATACACATTTGTACCTAGAACTACATAAGTTGATTAATTCAGGTTTCTCAACTAGTTTCCCATCTTACGTTTAGAGGGAATGTTCGAGACGATATATCATCTCAAACGTGCAACGAACATCAAAATTACAGACTTCTCATTGATAAGTTCTCAATTATCAGCGTCAAGTGATACTATTGATATCCTTGGACTAAAGCGATCCAATCAGTAATCCATTATCCTGGCAAAAACGAAAGTTGTCAGGTTGATCTGGATGTGATGATGAATTATGTATGGCATCAAAGGGCTATGTTACATGAACTTATGTATGTATGTATATACAATCAGATAGATAAGACAATATCAACAGATTACTATAAAAGCTTGGAAAATAATGCTACATTAATTAACCATGAAGCAAAATAACAACATGCTTTTATTTATTCTTTTTTATATTTAGTTAGCAGCCTACATAATTATCCAATAATGCAAAAGTCACAATTATTTTTTGCAATTTGTGTACTTACGGGTTCAATATTGGCGCAGAGGGCTAGACTCTTCGATAACGGAAATTGTACCGGGATCCCATTAGCAGAAACTACAACAGTTGAGCATTACTTGATTAATAGTAATGCTCCCAACGTAACCAGGGGGACTCGAGTATACGGCATGTAACCGAAAAATATATACACAAATCGAGTGGGGTATTTTTAATACACGAAATTTTATAAATATAAGTTGCATACATAATTATTATATTACAAAACGGACATATAAGTGTGTATATGTGCGTGCACATCATAGAGTTGAACGCATATATGTACAGTTACACATATCTATGTGTTGCCAATTGTAATATTTACCTACATTTCTGAAATATTTATGTGCAGATGGGAAATCGAAGAATGTCAACCAGCAGAAAATTTCAGCATCTATTGTCACGCTGAGATCATTTTGGATTACGATACGACCTGTCATCCCTTAACCATGGATATGCCCTACGTTATTGCAATGTCCAGTCGTGCGTATGAGCTAGATGAGCCTAATCTAACCCTGTACGGCGAACCCGGTTTAAATTCCACGTTTCAAAATTTCCTTGACACCAGGCCTACAACTAGGATATCCCAGTGGCAGTCGTATTTCATTGTGGGAACGAAAAGTTGGTTAATTTATGAAGAACCTGATTATAAGGGGAATTCGACATGTTTAAGTCCAAGTGAAGATGTGATAGATCGCGGATATGGAATTACATTAGTGATGGAAGGACTTGATGTAATGCTTTTAGGAAGTGTACGAAAAACTGAGAGAAATTGTCCACCTGAAGGATCCGGTGGTAGTAAGAAGATAATTCCAAGATTAACTATTTTAATTGGGTTTCTTATTGTTACTTTGATGATTATCTATAAGTAATTATTTATGATTTGACTTCCTTCCATTAAGTAATTATTCTTAAATATATGTAATAAATGCAGACACAATTACATTAAAAATTCAACAGTTTATATAGTGGCATATGTGGACGGGTCCGAAAAAATGCCCTGCATATTTGTAAGTCTCCGCATTTCAGTTCCCAAATAAGTACACGAGTGGTATTATTATAAACATAATTTATCACAAGCATTACCAACTGTTAAAATTAACTATTGGGAACAGTTACCAATGATAACTTACCATTCACAAATGACACAGCCAATAGTTTATGAATGTACGACAAACCCACTTCAAAATTGGTTCTACAATTAAACAAAATATATTGGAACAACGCACGTGTATCTTATTTATTCACGAAGCGGATGTTGAATAAATAAACAGAGCATGCGATTACTATTTTCTATACATACATAAATACTTGAGATCAATAATTAACCTAATCCTTCCCATGATCATAGTTATTCATCCAGAAAACGAGTATGAAAATATATACATGCATGCATGGGTGCCACTTGCAACTGCATTAGTATTTATTAGTAATAGAGTTACTCAGAATAATTACAGATTTCCTACTAATTTAGTTTTAAAAGAAATTTTGTCCTTTCCATCACTTTCAGCTCTTGACAGGATGCATCTGCACTGCACTTATCGCATTCTTAGATTTTAAAGGCAATAGATTTCCTACCAACATCCTTCTACATTCAATCAAGAAACAAATCAAACTAAAAAACAAGACGAAGCCTAAAATTACGAACAGCGTCACCAACCCGCCTTCCAGGCTTGATTTGAAATTTCCTTGTGTTAAATTTACCGCAGGAACCCTGTTTCGAATCGTCCTAGCGATCAACTCCACTTCCAACCTTCCATATATTCCTGTCTCAACGAGGGACATGTAATACTTCGGGACAATTGAGATTCCCGCGTGGCGAAAAACCATCCCAGCCAGAACTGGTTGAACACTATCTTTTCCTTTGTCCCATTTTTTGATAGGATAATGCTTTTCGAAAAATGCCGCTTCCATCTCAATCTGCTCATATTTAGCGATTAACACGCTTTTCCCACATCTCACTAAATCAGTCTCCACCAAATCTTTAAGCTGTTTCACTTTGTACACCGTCCCATTTGAATAGTTGATACCGTTCGGTTCATGAGCATGACGAGGATTTAAAAGTCCCAAGAGCATTTCATCATAACGTGTAAAACGAACAGATTTGTATTCCATCTCCCTTTTAAACCGAATATATAGCCCACCCAAAAAGTCGAAAAACTCAAAACTAGGTGTGTACAGGTATCGTCGCGTTATTGGGAAGGACAATAGTTTAAAGCATTCCAATGACACATAGGGATTTTCATGTTTAACTGTTTCTACCAATCCCCGATATAATTTTTGTCCTTCCGGGCCCCAATATTTGTGATAACGGCTGCTCGCATCACTTTGCCATTGCGGAAGTCCATTTTTATTGAGCTTCTCATCATCTCCAAGGCTGATTATGTCTGACAAATATTGGACGGATTGATCTGGCAGAGGAGCGTTCAGCTTGGTAATCATCAAACCGGTGTAGCAGTTTGTCAGAATTAACGAAATTAAAGCCCAACTTCCTAAAACGAGCCGGATAAAATGCCTACTTTCCAATTTTGGTGGGATGGGAGTTCCCTCTTCACAAAGTATGGCGAAGACAAAGAGCCAAGTCGAAAATGATGTTTTGATAAATGCTAACTTCTGATACGTCACGGTGACGATGATAACCACGAATAGAAAAGTTATGACCCAACTCCATACGTGTGGGTGAAAGGGTTCTATGTAAAACTTGAATGATAACCAGGCTTGGGTGTAGCACGTTAAAAATTGATATCCTGAGAAGTAGGGTGCAATGATGGTGTCACCGTCAAAGTAATTAGTTTTAATTGCGTTCTTCAAAGACAGTTGTGCCTCGTAAAATGCCGGACCAGAAATTCTGCCGTAAAAAAGGGTTACGTTTCCGGCTTTTCGCATGACGAGTTGGGCAAGGTAAAGCTGTATTGAGGATGATGACCTTGTACGGTCAAACGGGTTTGGTATAATGGTCGGAGCAGAAGTTATGTCTACCCTTCGCCATGGGACACGACTAACCAGAACTGGTTCCTCTATCTCGTCCAAGTACCACGTCTTTGGTGATATTGTTAGCAGGACAAATTGAGAAAGAACGTTGCCGATGGTATTTTGGCAGATAATATTTGCAACATGAAGGTCCTCTCCTTGACGATGGACACAGAATGTCACGTATTTTTTGTCCGAATAGATCAAAGCAATGGCGAAATGGTCAATCCCGCTGAGATAAAGGGATGTTCTAGGAATACGTTTCGTATGATGATTCGACACAAACAAGACGGTGAAGACGTTCGTCGTCGTGGCAATCGGGTCGTTCCGTTGGAATTCTGACTTCCGGTCGTGGATATTTCGTTTGGTGGCAACCCATATCCAATTGCTCAGATCAATTTGGTTGGTCTTATCATTATTATGACCAGCGAAGTAATTGGATAGCAAAATATTTATCCGACATGGAGGAAGACGTGTTTTACTAATATCTTTGGAGATGGAGTTTGGTGGTAGCGTGTTTTTAGGAAAGAGGACAACAGTTTGTACATTCAGGGCCGAATTGACAAAATTTTCGGAATCGAAATTGTCATGCAATATGTTAATATCGCACTGTCGCTCGATTTTAAGCAAATTTTTGATTTGTACAATATTTCTGGAATTAATTTGGCTTACAGTGAGTAGAATGAGTAAGTAAAACAGGGGACCATTTTTAAAAGCCATTTTAAACGTATGTACTTGAGTGAAATTCCAGTGTATTATCAGAAAACTTTAGTCTAACAAAATCCATCAACCATTACGAACGTTAACGTGGATAAAGCGTCCTCGTCACGTAAAAATGTAATTCTGATTACAATTTATGTACGTCATGTTTGGCCAACAGGACGTACAGGATTGTTATTACTTAGGATTAGTTGATGAGTAAACACTGTATTAATTATAAATATGTAGATACATACACGCTACCTTACCGGGTTTTTATGAGCACAGTTAATTTGGCTGGTTATCGTATATATTTTTGTAAACATTGCAGGATAAACATTTGGAGTATTAAAAATATAATATGGATGTTGTGCTTTTCAAAAGATTTTATCTCAATATGTGCTTTCTGATGGTGTAACCTTTGACCAGAAGTACTGGGTCCTACCCATGCAAGCAGATTTAGGAAAAATCAAACCGAGAAAAATTCATGCATTCTGCAATGTGAATTGTTGGGAATAAGTTTAACATATTGGTACTTATGACTTACATATGTACGCGAACTGGTACATAAGTATTTCACTTTACATCTGCATGTATGTAAATACTTATGTATCAATGTGGGGAAAGGTTTTGCAATACATACATTTATGTACATATGTATGTATTTATGTATTGCAAAACCTTTCCTTCACACTGAACTTATATTTCAAACTGACCTCTCGCATGCATGCACTGAACTGAATGCATGAGCCCTGGAGATTTGTTTTGATATAACGTTCGAGTTTTGGTTTGAGCTGATGATATCTAGCTGAATATCTGCATTTTCTTAGGTTTAAAAATTCCAATTAATCCTTCACAGCTGCATATAACTCATCCGTAACAACTTCAAATACTAAACTTGAAAGCTTGAACGATATGCAAATGTACGTTTGTCTATATACATATTTCTTTAATCTATGTATGTATGATAACGAAATTCACAAAAATTAGGGCATGCATTTTAGTAACTGAAAATCAGCTTGTCAATTAAAAAATTTTTACTCCGTCTAATTTTTAAGATCTACCAAATTTACTTTACGTCATTTTATGAAGACGAGGAAAACAAGAGCTTTCCAACTCTACTTCCATGGATTGCATTATACGATAAGAATACATTTTAGGTCTTTGCAAGAAGTTTAATCTCATTTCCTCCGTTCGATTGAAAATGGTGCAAAAAAATTGTTGGACTTTGGTACATAAAATGCATAAAGTTGTAACATTATCAGCACGTTACTAGTCTTATTCAGACTTAATATTTTAATTATTGCCCCGTTCCAGATAGTAACAGAAAGCTACCTAGTACATAATGCATCCCGTCTGAATGTTGTAGGTTGAGAAAGGTTATACATACAATTTAGAATAGGCGGAAATTCTTAATTTCAATTCTTACACGATTTAGATCCTAGATAAATTGTTTTAACTTAACATTTATTCCTCGTATCAGTAAGATCACAAATAATCTAACTTATGTACTACAATAAAACACACTGTGTAATCGCGATCAATTCAACTTTATTTCTCTAATTATCTAGAATTAAGAGAAGATTTTCCTGTAATGTGAACTCTTTAGCCTTTCCCAAGCTACAAAGTCTTAGGGTGTTGTAGTCTACAATCAACATACATATTTACATACGTATACTTAAATATGTCACTTTGTTTTTACGACAAGCACATGATAAGTACGAACTACTTAAGTAATTCAGAGTAAAAAAAATCAATATTGCATCAAATTTGTGAAATATGCTAACCAGTTTTTTTTACACCTTGGATACTTCTATTATAAAAACTCTGAGCTATGTACATAATTCACAGAAAGTGTATCATCGTGATAACAGACTTGTTACTTTTCCTTGTTGTCATTTCTCTTCATATTACATTGAGCTCCTATTTCGTACCTGAAAAAAATTTTAAAAAAAGTATTTGATTTATTACCCAAGATTGTAACAAATGTTTGCTTTAAAGTAACCAGGTCGATTAGTAATCCATATCCTTCCTCATAAATTTGCATAAAATATTTCGAGTTCTGCAAAATCAAGGTGAATGAAAATGCATATTCAAGTTTGACTGGACAATTAGGGAATTTCAATTTAAAAAAGTCGACCAAAGTTCACCGATCAATTGTATGATGTGGCTGCTGAAGGTTGAAATTGTTTCATGTGACCATGCTTTTTTTCATATTTCAATATCCGTCAAAGTTTCAAGCGAGCATATAAAATACATTTTCCAAGCTAATTAACTTCAGTATGAGACAAGTCTTTAATCACATAAACTTGATAACAATTCTCCTGAGTTTGAATGTATTTTTGGGGAACATTTCTGCAAAAAATTGTAAGTTTTTAGGTTTTTAAACATTTCTAAATTTGATAGTAGCCCGGTCATCTATTTCCAAATTTAATTTCATCTTTGAATGCAGACCACGATGGCTATCTTGAGCAAATACAAACCCACACGTTTCAACGGATTTGTGGAATTTGAAATCTCGAACATTTACCACCGTTCATTTGGCTATGCTAAAATTTCTGGAAATTTTCCACGACTAAAACCTCTCAACGGCCGAGGAGAAATTCATCCTAAAATTCTTACCACATTGATCAACAAATTTACTGAACAAGTCCAAAAATGCGGCATCAACAGCGATTCTTTCGACCGGATCGGTAATATCGAATCCGTCGTAGAAGTTGCTGACCAGTTTAGCTTATTCTGGAACCCTGGGCTCGACTGGGACTCGACAGGGATCGAGTTTTATGTCTGGTTTCTCATTTTTTCCTGGATTTTCGACGATGCCTTCCAGGAGGGTTGGTACCTTGGCCACAGGATGACGAGGAGAGACATGGCTGGCATCATTGAGCACATTCAAAATACATATTTGCGAATTATGCGTATGCAGAAAATAAAGAAGTCAATCACAGCGATGATTTTGCCACCAAATTTTGACGCCATCTGCAACGTTCTGAAGCGTATGGTGCAGGCAGGATTTAATTTGTATGGAAATGAGTACGCGGAAAGAATTGAGCCTTTTGTGCTAGCGTTCCACGACAACTTTGAGAGTGCGGATGTTATCAATTTCAACCCTGTAGACGACAGGTGAGGTGATCAACTAAGTTTAATAATACTGATTTTAGTATAATTCTCATAAATTTTCTAAATTTCCATTTTACCAAAATGCACCTAAAAATTTAAAATCACAAGTTACCTTTATTCTGACATTGTAGACTTTGCCTACGCCCTTACAACTTCTGGAAACAGTACAACGCCGGTACTTCGACGTGCGTGGAAGGAATTTTATTTGTCTCAGGGACTCGAGTCCCTGCATTGGTTCGGGATCATCCCATTTTCAAACGGATTTTGACACTGATTGACAGTAATGTCCAGTGGACCGAGGACATATTTGGGTGTCGGAAGGATTTTCAGTTTCGTGGGGGAAACACTGACAACGAGTTTGTTTTTCGTACCCTTGAGCGTAAAAAATCACTCAACGACGTTGTTATCGAGGTTTGTCAAGAGGTTGGAAACGAACTGCGGGAATTGATCGTGATGAAGGAAGCCTTGATCCACATATTCGGAGAGGACGATGACCATCTTCTCGACTTCTTGAATTTGATTGATACACTGATTGATGGTCAATTCTTGGTATATGCGATGAATCCTCGCTTCAGATTTGACTGTGGTTTAGTCAGGTTGTCAAGGGAATTGGGCTCAGAAATGCTATCCTTCTCCGCTGGCAAAGATGGGCTGGATAAGAATAATAATAAAATTTAGAGTATTGAAGTTTTATCCTTTTAATATGTTTTCTTGCTTTAATGACGAACTTTTATTGTCGTTTGAGTATCTAGTTATGAAGCGGATATTGTAATTTTTGGGTGAAAGGTTTTCTGCATATTCTACTGTTTAATGCATATGTACAGTACTTATTCATGATTTTGAATAATAAAACATTCATATTAATCCCAATCATTCTTCCGATTTTCCTGCTACTTATGTACATATGTATGTATGTATGTACCTATTATGTTAGGAGAACGTACAAGAATCCTTTGATCACCCGTGCAGTCGTTTTGTACAGTTGTACTTAAGTATGTATGTATTGACTATGTACATTTTGTACTTACATACATATTTACATAGGTATGTACATGCAACAACGGACCTGTTTTCTCGAAGAATGTGATACTATACGAATTTAAGGATGCTTTAATAATGTGTTACAGCACGCCAATTTTCTTGATACCCGTTTGGAAATCCAACATCCAACCTTTGCAATCAATGACAAATTAATTAACCTACCAAATTTATCACAACACTTGTAAAGTAATATTGTTGAGAGTTTGGAATGAAATGAGGGCTGGGCAGTTGGCGCATATTAAAATTCTAATTCATATATGTTGTATGTATGTGTTTATTCGTAAGAAATTTACATATTAAATACTTTGTGTCGCACTTTTAATTCAATAAAGCTTTGTCTTGTTTAAGATGTTTTCTGTGATATCCTTGTTTATCTCTTTGATCAAATAATTATTATTTAACAATATAATAGCTTCGCTAAATAAATAAAATAAATATACATCAACATCATCAATTTTCGCTACAGATGTATATATTTATGTATGTACGAGCAAAATTGTATCTATCTGGATACAGAAAAAGAAAGGTTCAATGGGCAGATTGGGATAAATTTTAATAATGTCACTTACTGAGTCACTTTTTAATCACGCTGGTCCAATTGATCAAGTGAATGATGAACAAAGTACCTATGTAAAGTCACGGGTGGTTAACCACTTCAATCCTGTATACATATATTTACCTAAACACATATGCACATACATATATCGTACCAGTTATATGTACGTATATGTAAAAAATTCAAAAAATGACGACAATAAGCTCAGCCACATAAGTATAACAGAAATCTATTGTTGGACTAAAATTTATTGGTCAAAAAATCTGGAAACAGTTGAAAATACGAAATCTGATATTTTAAATTTCTTTTAAACCAGCTTCTACCAGGCCTAGCTTCTCAGGTATTTATTTTCTAGCGTAGTCAAATTATGACGTAAAATCTCTGCTGGTTCATTCGTAAATTTGTAATCCCACAATTTTGGCCCATGCCCATCCTGTTTCTAAAGGAGTTTTCCGTTTATATAAATGACCTTTGTCAAGTAAAAATGTGCCAGTGTACAAAGGATAGTATTATGACAAAATGTTAATGGCTGTATCACACCAATATTTAATTTGACATTTATGCATAGCACATGTCAAAGAATTTGGAAGCGAAGTGGTTAAGCACACGATAATCTCGCTGTTACTCACCTTGAAATAAACCATGTACCTTGCAATCTGCGTAACTGACTCATTCTTTATATACATAAGCAAGTCAGCATCATGTGCAATTATTAATGACAACGTATGCACGATAGCATGTCATATTCTAAGGTCGTATTTCACGTCAATTTTCAAATAATATGAGTGCAGACACATAAGGCCCGTGCAAAAAGCATGTGATCGATTAGAGGGAGACGAGGGGTAGGGGTCAATCTGTCCTATCCTTTAAATTATAATATGAGGCATATAGGTCACACCAGGTCAAAATTATCCAAAAATCGATCACATGATTTATGTACGGCCCCTTTATCGAATCCATAGTCTGACTCGATATATGTCATCTGGAAGCCGGCTGACTCTTCCATGTATTTGCGAATCTCCACTCACGACAGGAAGATTGCATCGCATTTAAAGCAAGAAAGCTGTGCAAATTAAATTAACAGTGCAAAAATCAAACACAAAATTTCGCTAAAAAACTACCATGGACAATTTCCTCTCCGGATTAATATTATGGCCATTGTTAACCGTCATCCTTGCCCCCATCGTCCTCCCTCTCGCCATAATTCGACTGATTGTCGACGTGCTCGCCAAATCCCATGGTCTCAGCCCAATCACGCATGGCGAACAGTTGTACACTTGTCCCGAGGGGAAAATATGGGCACTGTTGACAGGGGGGTTTAGATTAGATTCGAAAATAAATCTAATTAAATTCAGGGAATTATTCAAGGAGAAATTCCTTACAAATCAGAGAGACTCAATTTTCTATAAAACGGTCCTCCAATTCTGGGGATATGGTTATACTCGACCAGTATCAAAAATTGATCTCAATTTACACATCAGAGAAGTCCGATCAGTTCAAGGAGAAGGATTCAATGCAACGCTTAACAGATTGTGGAATGACATGACCAGTATGCAAGAGAACTGGGCAACTAGTCCGCCGTGGGAAATTCTCGTGTGTAATGATATCCAGGGTGTTCCGGGGTCAATGATAGTGATAAAAATTCACCACGCCTTAGCTGATGGGTATTCCATGGTCAGCATTATAGATCAACTCACAGGTAACAGGTCACCTTATATTGTGAAGCCTTGGGTTCTTTCGCCATGGAGGAAGGTACGTAAATTTGTCCTGTATTAAGACGCATAGGGATCGTCCATATATTACGTCATCAAAAAATCTTGAAAAAACCACCCACCCACCCCAAAATCATCAATTGTCATCATTTCTCAAAAGCACCCATCCACCCCCTATGATGACGTCAACATATGAAATCTCAAAATTATCAATCGATATTATGAAGCTAGTATTTAGTTCTTCAATTTTATCACCAATACAGCTTTATTAACTCCACTAATAAGAAATGTTGGGATTTGGGTAAAAGATAATAACGCAGTTACAATCTGACTACTATTAAGCAAATGGGCATGCATATCAGTCATTTCGTGGATAATGGTATTTATTCTTGCTCAGAACTACAATTAGTAAATAAAAATCCTACTTTTCATTTTCTTTGAAGCTTAAAAAATTTGAAGATCTTCATGCATTTTTCAAAATTCAGAAATAGTAACATGTTGCAACCTTTAAAATCTTCTAGAAACACATAACTAATTTTGAGAAAACATTCAGAATTTTTGAGATTGGGTTAGAATTTGTAGAATTTATGTAAAGGGTGTTGATTTAATTCGACAACATTGTTTACCGTAAAGGAAATGCTTGTTTTTTGAAAAGTGAAAGTATGACGAAAGCCAACTATTTATCTGAATTACCTTAGGAATTGGTGATTCCACAGTTGACTTTAATCAAGCCTCAACTCTTTGGTTTGGCTGTTCTTTATCCTCTATTTTGTCTGTAATTTTGGATATAACTCGATTTGAGATTCATCAGTGTCAAGGATGTGCCGACGAAATTATTTATCTTGTCAAATACCAAGTTTTTCAAAGCATTTATGCAAATTCAACTAGGACATCAATATTTTGGTGGAAAAATGCTTTTTTTGGCTTGGCCTGTTCCGTAATCCGTGACAACATTGTGCAGATTCGACGATATTTTTCACAATAAGAAACAATTTATGTTTGATTTTCACATCATCAGTTTTCTAGTGTTTAACTCCCCTAAACCATTTGGACACGAACTTCAAGTTTTCGCATAAATTTCAGCACTATCTTTGTCTTCCTGGTAGAGGCGGGACAAATTCGGATTGTCATCAATACCCTTTGGTAAAAATTATGTTTTGGGCTAACAATTTGTATCAACTTTCTGTCATAAATAGTAGACAATACTCGCATTCAGGAAACCGCTAGCATACGGTCGGAATATTTATGTGCATTTGCAATTTTAAACTTATTTGGCCAAAATCAATGCGCAATTAAACTTGTTTAATTGCGCATTTTCAAAACACGACTAAAAGCTATCGCTCGCCTGAGATGAAGCTATTGTTGTAGTATTTAGTCTAAATTATTGGCATCAGGACTTTGCATATTTGTTCAGATAGGTTTGACTTTAAAAAAATGCCTGTTATTCATCCCCCATAGTTGCGTTATCATATTCGACATCAAACTCAGTTTTTTTTAAATATACATTTTTCAGTATAGTAACTAAAAAATATGCCAAAAATGATTAGAAATGATTAGACAATTAGAAAATTTTCAAAAATATTTAAAACCTCACAAAAAATATAATGAGTTTTGTACGGGAATCATGGATGACATTTTAAATGTATTATTGTTCCGAGCTTTCGACAGGGAGCTGCTATCTTCTTCAGGGAGCGATATTGATATTTAAATCACAAAAGATGAAATTCGCTTGAATGTCCTGATGCAACAATTAGAAACGAATTTGACTGCCCTAAATTTCGTGGGCACATTTTGACCAGTTTTTTGTAACTCACGAATTTCACTAACGTCCCGTAACTACCTACATATTATTTATAGTTTGAGAATAAAGTTGCTTAACTAACAAAACCAATTCGCTGCGGTGAGTTTGGTCAATTTTTAAACAGCTCCAAATACTATAATTAAGCATGTAAAACAAAAATAATATAATGACAATGATTTCACCTTCGAGGAAAATAATTAGATTTTATCATTTTAACAGCTACATATATACGTGATATTGAGAGATTTTTAAATAAATGTGGACTTTGATTTAGCGTAGAAACTCAAATTGTAGCCGTGTCTATTTTCAAAATTGTATCAATAGTGACAGTACTCAAATAGCAGCCTTGTCCAAATAGTAGCCTTGTTCGAATAGACGCGTCTCTATTTCCATTCAACCATACTTCTTGACCGTTCATTACGATAATTAAATTATAAATAAATATAATCGCAGATACACGCTATCAAAGGGATGAGTCGATCAGAACACACGAATATAGCTCATCAAAGGAATCATTGAAGAGCAAGTCGAGCAGAATAATATTCCAATGCACTACGACTCTAAGGGAAAAATTGGTGTGATTATTTCAATTTAATTTGAGCTTGATCCAGGAAATGAAAATAACAGTTGTATGCAAATAGTAGCCGTGTTCATCTTAATAATTTTTTAAATGGTGACGTTGCCCAAACAGTGGCCTTACTAAAATACATACTCGGACCATAAGTGCCCGTACATGCATTTCTGGTGATAAATCACAAAGTATTAGAGCTATTTGCTAGAAATTTTTATGGATGAACAAGGCACTAATATTGTTTGGAAATCATAACTCAGTTTTCAAGATTTCATCCAGGGGCTTGTGCGCAAGACATTACTCGTGACGGAAACTGCTCGCTCACGGCACGCGCCGTTTTCAGGACAAAAGGTTTTCAGACTTTTCGCCTTTAGAGACAAAGTTAATAGAAAAAAATGGCCAGATATTTGCTCTACGGAACCCTGACATTCCATTTAGTATGCAGAGGTCAATCAGAAATTATCGCCCTGGATCTGACAGGAGCCAGTTGCATGGAAAAGGCAAATCTCTGTTTTTTGCCGCAAAGAGTACAAGTTTAACCCAAGACTTATTTTCAGAGTTTCCAAAAGCTAATAGTTAATTCCCTGGACCATGAACGCTTGTATAACCAACATTTGACTTTTCAAGATACTCTGGTTGGCGACCATTCTGCAAAAATTGTCCAAAAATGGCTTCGAACGAATTTTGCTGACCTTTTTTCATCCCAAGAACGGTCCTCAGCATCTGCTGACCTTAGTCCTCTAAATTATGACCGGTGGTCAAAATTATAGACACAAGTATGTTCTAAATCTCACATAAGCGTGGATGGCCTGAAGTCATCCTAACGAAATTGTGGAGCACTTATCTCATGAAAACACCGCGTGCCGCGAGCGAGCAGTTTCTGTCACGAGTTATGTCTTGCGTAAAAGCCCCTGGACGAAATCTTGAAAAGTAAGTTATGATTTCTAAACAATATTAGTGCCTTGTTCATCCATAAAAATGTCTAGCAAATAGCTCTAATACTTTGTGATTTATCACTAGAAATGCATGTACGGGCACTTATGGTCCGACTATGTAGTAGCCGGGTCACAGCCACCGATTTTTTAAATAGTAGCCCCGGCTACTAAATAATTGAGTTTTTATTGTATTATTTACGGAAGCCAGATGGCAGATGCAAGTCAAAAGTATTCATACCTCCTACATACATATGTAAAATTCTGCGCACAATTTTTCAGTTTCAACAATTTGGTATGTAAAATAAAAAATTTATGCAGTTTTTGAAAAAAATGTGCAAAAACAAAGAAATATATAGAAATATTTAAGTTGACGTCATCAAGAGCAAAACCACCCACCCACCAAGTCAACAATCATCATCAATTCGGAAAACCACCCACCCACTATTTTGATGACGTAATATATGGACGATCCCATACATATTTATGCATAAATAATGAATTGCTAATGAATTGCTAAATGTTACGTTATTTACAATAGAATTTTTTGGATTTGTATAGATCAAAATATTCCTCAAGCTTCCTCTCGGGTTTTTGAAGAACATCTATAACCTTGACGTGTGCCTGGTTCATCATCCATTTTCTTTGAAGAAAAACACTTCCACAGACATTCCTCTGACCACATCCACCGCGACGCTTGATTTTAAAAAGATTTACGATATTCGAAAAGCCGAGGGCTGTAGGGTCCTACCAATTTTTATGTGTCTCCAGGTGGAAGCAGTGAAACGGTTTTTAACAGCACATAAAAGGATAGATGACGGAACCCAAATGCAGGAGTATTTTCGACATATTATTAACCTTCCGATTCCTGAACACCCCGCCGCGAGAGAGAATCGGCTTTGCGTGTACTCGTAAGTTAATTGAAGTTAATTTAAACTAGTACATATTTTGAACTGCTTAATAAGGCATAGCTAGTCACCATTAAAAATATTTTCTGGCTTAATAATTGTATGTACATATGCACATATATGACACTGATAATTATCATCCATGTACATATATGCACACATGTATATTTGTACCTATGAAATAGTACGATAAATTGACGGTACAAATTTCATATTTGTAGACTACGCATTTATCCGATTTATAAAGGTTACAAAACTATGCGTAAAATGAGTTTGCTTGGTGATATTTTTCAGGATATAAAAAAAAACATCCAATGTAATTTTTCAGCCAGCTGAAATTTTACGGGGAGTTAATCACGACCCCAATGATATGAGGTTTCCAACCGCTTTCAAATCGAATGCTTATTTCATATTGCGACCATTTTGTCCAATTAAACTGATTTTGAAAGCAATCTTACTGGGGAAAATTTTGTAGGAGTAAAACTGTTAGTGAAAATATTGTTCGGGTTAAAATTCTGCATTTTTTAGTCCTCACAGTATGAAAATTGGCTGAGAAATAAAAATAAGTTATCCCAATGCAATCAGTGTTATGTGCATATCTACAAACCCTAATGGGAAACATGACGCTTGTCGTTGTGCTACCGTGGTAGCGAGAAAACTCAATGCCCTTAGATAAGTAATTTATTCATTTAGACAATTCTAAGTACGTATATTTTTATTTCGCTAAATATTCGCCAGGATCATGGGAGATGGACGAGTTCCCCTTCAAGAGACCAACTTGCGGACCAGACTTCACATAACGAACACACTGTTAGAGGAGTATGAAGGATCCGATGGCGAAAAAGTGGCAGCCCTTCTTCGCAATATCCCATATATTCTGCCGAACCCAATCTTGAGTCATTTTCAGAATATGAGTAAATATCCCTTATTCTCCACCATCTCGACACTGTTGTTGTCCCCAGAACCGTACGTTTTGCAAGGGACGACAATTAGCAACTTCTATTTTGGGACTACATTTGACACTAAGAATTGCGGATTACGAGGTATGATTTTAATTGATTGCAAACTTGTAATTTTATTTGTACTTATTTAATATATTTCGGTCAGGAGTCACCCTGTTCACGTTTACCAGAGGGAACGAAGTAGATGCCAGCATTGTCGGATCGACAGATTTATTTAAAACTCAGGCCGAAACTGATGAGTATGCTGACAAATTTCTTGTCGATGTTTTGGATGATTACTGGAAATTGTGTTGTAAAAACAAGTCATAGTTCTAATCAGTCTGACCTGTTGAATTTTTTGGGGTATTTAAATCCCAGTCATCAAAATAAATTAAATTGACAAGTCACAAAAGCATGGATTACAAATATTGAATTCTTAAAATTAGTAGTATATAGTATTTCAACGCATCTATAAGAATATAAAAATAACTGTTTTTGATATCAAAAACAACAAAGGGATCCAAATTAGATTAACGTACATCATCTATTCCTTTATTTTTCATGAGACAAATAGACCTATTTGTGCACCTGTGCACAAATCAACATTGTAAAGATTCTTGACATGGGTTAATGAATGAAAAATCTAATCAGAGTTTAAAACCATCCACCTTATTGTATTTTTGAATATATACACAAAACCCATTTCTTGGTAAATATTGTGCAACAATAGTATTTAGAAACACAAATCAACTAAAAAATTTGTAAAAATATAGACCACTTTAAAAAATATTTCTACGTTATCCTTTACAATCCACCCCTTCAAATTTACATGCCGCAATTTGTACAATTTGTGACGAAATTACCAACTTCTTTCCCACACAATTCAACACTTTGACCCCTTCAACACCTTTATTAATCCTAATCAGAGCTCCACATTCGACATTATTGAGCTCGGTGTTGTTCGCATTTACAAAAACTGAGCCACATTTGGTACCCTGCACTGTGCAATTGGTCGCATTAATTACAATTCCCCACCCACCCCCAATCCCATAATTTATGCAAGACACGTCCTCCACCACGTTGAGAGTACCTGACCCCTCCAGTAAAACACCCTTGGCCAAGTTACAACTCCTCAAGACGTTATGGGAACCGTCGACGCGGATTCCACACTCATACGTGTCGCCATACACGTTTGACACGACATTGTGATCAGATCCTGGTCCAATATGGATTCCCCATTGGCCAACAATGTCAAGTTTCACTCCGTCAATCACGTTGCGACATCCTTTAACTAGCACGCCTTGTCCAGGCCAGGAAATTGTGACGTTTTCCACTCTGTTATCATCACCTTGCAAAACAATGAGCCCTCCCGCGTTGACGTCCACATTTTTTAACGTGTTTTTACATCCGTCTAATAATACACGGATTGTATCACCAAATTCGGAAATGGTGATGTCACAAAAAACACAGTCATTCCCAATGACTCGGACGTCATTAGATCTCAGTTTGGTTTTTGTCTTGCCAGCACCAACAATCTTAATCGTCAACATCAAATATTAAAAACACAACAATCAAATGAACATATGTACATGTTTTTCACCTTAATTACCTTAATGTTATTTAATTTGAAGTGAAAGTCGATCACATAAACGCCTTCGACCAAGATAATTGTTGACCCGGAAGTAGCAAATTTTAAGCACAATTTGAGATCTGACTCCGTCTTTGCAACCATTTCCTGTCTCGGTAGAGTAATGTTTTCCCAGATTGTCGTAATATTTTCCGTCTCCTTCAAACTGGTCAACCTATCTTCCGGCTTCCGCTTGGTTAAACGGATGATGACGTCCTTCACAGAATCGCCCAGAAGGATGTGAGACTTTACGAGATCTTCTTCCCCATCGTAAACTACGCGGTCGAAAATTCCACACTTTTTATCCGGCCCGAGTAGCGCGACCACTTCCCAAATAACGAGACCCAAGGAGAATAAATCAGCCTGATAAGAATATTTTCCACTGCGAACTTCCGGCGCAGAGTAGTATCGAGTTCCAACATTACTCGTTAATGAACTGGGCTCATCATCTCTTAGTTTTCGGGATAATCCGAAATCTCCGATTTTGACGGGAAGCTGGTACCCTGCTCCTCTGGAAAACATTACATTTGCGGGTTTCAGGTCGCGATGAATTATTTGGTTGTCGTGGAGGAATTTCAGACCGGATATTAAATTGAGAACGATCGTGACCTGGGTCATTTGGGTGATTATGGAGTCAATTCGAGTATCCGGTTCGGCAAGCCAATCTCTCAAGTTTTTTCCGCAGATTTCCATTTGGATGCAGGTCCACTCGAGGGGTTGAAGTTGATTCAACTTTTCTTCATAAAGGACACGCACCATGGGAGATGAGATTTGCATGATGCCTTGAATCTGAGATGGTGTCAGTTCCTTCTTGACAACGAAATTTAGCATTTTTATCACGTTGGGGTGTTCTCTCAGGCCGATGGTAATTTTGCATTCGCGATGAGTCTGTTCCTCATCCTGGGTGGAGGTTGGATGCATGAATTTTATGGCAGTGACCGTTCTATCGATATCGATGGCTTGGATAACGACACCGAAGGCCCCATGACCGAGGGAAGAATGATACTCGGCGATGCTGTCGAGAAAGTCGGGATTATTTCTGTGCGTGATGGACATGGTGATGCACTTTTTGCACTTATTGACTGAGTTATTGGCTGAAATGTTGGGAAATTGATGTGGTGATTATACGCGGAAATATTCATTGATGGCTTGGCTTATCAGCATGTGAACTGGAAGATAAACGTTACGTAGGTTATCCCTGTGAATTGCGTGTGTGATCTGCATTTTATAACTACTATTGTTTCTGGCACTCTACATACATAAATGCATACATTAAACGTTTATTTGTCCAGTGTTATACAAATACCAAGTCCTGAGAAATGATTATCTTATCCATGTGTGTCAAATAATGTAAATTTTGAAGAGTTGAAAATTTAATCATTTAGAAACATGTAGCCTATTGAAAATTATTTTTTTGATAGCACAATTTATTACAGTACATCTTCGATCTATGATTATTCCGTTCTACATATTCATTCGTCTTTTCAATTAAGCACATTTATAAAAATTTTGTTGATAAGTGTACTTACAACTATTTTCTCATACGTGGCGGTGGAACGTCGTCGTGTGCCTACATAAAAAATATCATATTAATGGTAAATATGTTAACTGATTGAATATAATTCGAATAAATAAATCCATGTGGCAAAATAATCACATGTATACTTAATTATTTATCAATATTGGGTTATGTAACATGTCACATAATATTATTATTTTGTATGTTCGAATAGTTTTTGGGCTGGACTTCACCATTAACTTCACTGTGTCAAAAAGTTGTGCCCCTACAAAAATTAGGTATCAGTTTACTTAAAACCATAACAAAATAATTACATACTCATTTTATTAATACGCTCGAATGCATGTATTTGCGGATCTGTACATATTAGGCGTATCTTCACGCAATGTAAATATATGCATGTGACATGTCACGGATTAATTTTGTTCCTACTAATTAAACGAGATCAACATTGGGCTAGCAGTACATACTTGATTATTATTTTCTTTCGCTATCTACAGTATTTAAATACATTACATATTTATTTATGTGCATGCTATCAATGCACTCCAATCTAACTAATCATAAGAATTTACAGATGTGCTATATTTGACAGGTTAACAAAATTAGGATAAAGTTGTACAACGTTCTCGGTAAATTGTGCACTCCTTTAACAATGTATACATTTTAACAATCCAGTTACACATCTCAAGTTTTCCTCCATCTGAATCAGGAAACTAATTGCTTATCATTGGTCATTACTTTAGTGTTACCGGGTTATCAGTTATCATCCCATCGGTATGTCCAGTTATTGACTGCTCACACATATTTGTAAATGTCCCAATTGACCCAAAACAACCAGATTTGTTTTATTTTCCTTATCAGTGTTCATGGGGCTTACAATTCTTCTTCTGACTTTCTTGGTTTGGTCGAAGAAACGGCTGGAACAATGGGCATACCCAATTTCCAATAAAAACCCAATGCCGGAAATTAACAACCCAAAAATCAAACTATAAAATGGAATTATAACATTTTCTAGATTGAACGGCTTAAGTGCACCCAGCGACGTGATGGAGTCCTCAAACTCTTTCAATGCCAAGTACAACTCCGACCCTTTATCCGACTTTTCCACCTTCGCCTTCCCCAGAATCTTGAAGTGAAAGTACGCTTCATCCGTCCACTGTGATTGTAATAAATCAATCAATACTTACTCTTAAATATTATTATTGTAACCAAAATTCAACTGTCACCTTATTATGCAGCCCGGTCGAAAAAATAAATCCTGTAATAGGAGTCATTGAGTCCACAAGGATGGAATCCTTGACGAAAGCCACACTCATCGGAACCAGCATTGCAATATCATTCGACGGAATTAGTGGGTCCAGTCTCGTATTTATCGTCATTGTTCCAAGCGATGCCGTCAATATGATTTTCCGCCACCCAACGCATATCGTTTTCTTGTGGAGGAAAGCTTGCTTGGCGCAATCATCACTGTCCGGATTATAAATCAGCCTCCTCGTCACAGCCTTAATTGTTGGATTATCATTGAGCTGAAAGAATTTCACCTCCGGGACGCCCACATTGTTGAGAATGATGCAATAGTCTGGGTCTGCAGCTAACTCGGCGAACGTTCTCGGTACTGGTGGAATCGTCGGAACGCTGAGAAACGAGGCCAGATTGCATCTATACCCCGTCCCCGTGACAATCGTCATGACCAACCATAACCCCACGATGAAGCGCACGCTTATCGGCACCTTTGATAAGGCTTGCTCTAACGCTACCAAGTACGGGACACAGATCGCATGGTAGGCCGCGTCTCTCCAAGTCAAATCATTTTTCTTCCATGGTTTCGGCACGAGGAGGCAAAATACCGTGAGAATGATGGCAACATAAACAACAATCACGCTGATCCACACCTCCCTCTGATACGGGAGGAGGAAGCTTTCCGAGTTGGATTCCATTTTAGCCCTTCCCGCGAAAAACATCAAGTGTGCGTGGTCAATGGTGGAAGCATATTCGACAAAGTCCAATAAGCCGTAAATTTGTCCGAGATAAATGGAGTTGGTATAACCCCTCTCCGTGTAGAAAAGATCCCCCGTCTGCCCGACCCAAGTTCCATTGGCAAGTTTCGCCGCATACACTTTTCCGGGTGGAGCGTCCAGGTCAAAGGTAAAATTAAATCTGCGCGAGGCTTCGACAAAGATGCGATAGTTTGACCCGTCGTGTTGCAACCCTTGAGGAGATTTGTCGTCCGAAATGCGATACAGCCAGGTGGGGAGGAGACTGCCGGTTATTTTGAGGTGGCGTCCTCTCAAATTTCGCCCCATGAGTGGTCCTACTTTTATAATGTTGGAAAAGTCCTGGACATCATGAATTGAAACTTTGACCATTTCTCCGGAAGGGTTGTAGATTACGGGGTCGAGTAGAAGCTCAGTCGTCATACCGTGCTTCGGGATGGTCAGCCCAACTTTGTCTTTGAGACCTTTGATAACTTCGGAATGAAACAAATTGGACAGTGAAGGTTCTTTTCCAACGAAAATGAAACGGTCCCGCCTCCGATTCCCGTTAATTTTGATAAACTCTTCCAATTCTAAAGGTGTTTTGAGTATGGCGAGGAAAATGAAGGAGTACAAATCGGTGTGGATTTTTCTTACATCTTTGCCAAAGTCTCCAATGATCAAGGGAAGGAATACATTCTCAGGTCGTTCCAAATTTGGGAGCATATCTTCCAAATGATTTTCATCCAACGGAAATCCTCCCGTGGCTCTCCGCACGTTTGGATGGAATGTGTATCCATTGTAAAACCAAATTGTTTTTGGGTGAAAGTTGTGCAGTGAGACTTGATTCTGGACGAGGTGTGAAATCATTGCAACTATTTTTTCTTTGTGTGGGGGTGGATTATGAGATGATCCCTTCCTTGAGAGGATGGAGATCGTAAGTAGTAAAATTATTATGGAATACATGCGAGAGAAAGAATGTTACGCAGAGATTAGGTGAAAGTTGACGAGGTTGTGGAGAACGCAGGGTTGGTTGGCCTTCTTATATGCATGGTAAAAAAATCTTGCGTCACAATTCATGACTGAAAAAGTGTTGCATGCCGAAGGACAAACGTCATGATCAATTATTAACGACTTAATTACCGTCAAATTGACTGATGATGATGAACACAGTTGGCCACAGACTTTCACCGTGGCAATTTTTATTACCGCATGAAAGGTTCCAAGAATGTATCGGGTAATTTAATTATCGGTATAAAAACTTTCATGAAGACTATTTTTATTGCATGAATTTTGCAGGAAGAAAAGTTACTGAAAGCTTTCACCCATTCCGTTTTTCATTAAATGAAAAATGAAACCTGTGAATAAAATTACCAATTTTATTCATGAGTTTCATCTATTGGAAATTACAGATAGATGAACTCAGAAAATCTATGATGGGTAAATAAAATAACTGGCATTAAGCGTTTGTCGCTAATGCAACCCTGGAATTTGAGATTTAAAATGTTATCCCCTGTAGATATTTAGATTACGTTTACTTCTAATAAAATAATTGTCATATGTAAATACTTCTCTTTATTCAAGTGTATGCCCCACTTTATCGCTAATCCTAAGTAAGTCCAATCACAATGCAATGCTCCTCTTATATTGACCTGACAAATACATACATGAATACGCATTGGAATAACATAATTTATATTTGTCAAATTATGAGGTCTTTGATACAGTTACAATCGCTAGCTACGTATTTAGACATTTCTATGGCGTTTAATGCATAAAATCATATGTCTAAAATCTCGATATCGTTTTGGATAATTAGTTATTGTGAGACTAGTGCTAAATCTACTGTCGTTATTCGTGGTCAAGAATTACTCTTGAAGGTGTGTATCCAGCTTTTGTTTGAGCCAAGATTTCGTAAATTATTTACAAGCCAGAGCCTAGTCGATTTAGTCGTCTCGAAAACATTATTCATAGGTCTCGTTGATTTTAATGCATGAAAGCTTTCATCAAAGCAAAAAAATAATTGCCTCTATAAAATCTTTCACACCCGTAATTAAAATACCACGATAAAAGCTTTCATATATGTAATTAAAACTTCCCGGATAACAGCATCTACTTGTATCACAGTCATAATGCGTACTGATATCTTTAGACATTTCATTTATAATTTTCAAGCTATTTATATATTTTCGTTTTAGTAATAAAACTCCTGAAATTAAAGGCAACTAAAGCCAAACTAATCAGTTATGGGTGTTCCATCAAGGTATAGGTGCATTAAGGAAATTGTGTATAATAATTCCCCTGAGACCATTCCCCCAAGACTGAAATTATTGACGGACATATTTCAAGTGAAAGGACAATAATGACATATTTAACAGGGCCTTCTTTTTTTATCTCAGTGAGAAATAGGGGAGAATATGGGACAAAGAAACCAGGCTGCGAGTGGACAAAGTCTAAAAACAAAATGCAATTTGATGATTATTGTCTAGTTAACTATTCAATACAACTGAATATCAAATTGACGTGAGACTGGAATGAGTTGATTCAGTATTTCCTTCGTCTCATGTAGTTTCACAAAAATAAGCAAGTAAATCGACTTTTTCTGGACATTCGTCAAGCGTCACTTTCGACGGCTATATAAAACCCAGGAAAAAGCTCGCATAGAACTCGGTGAACTCAGGCTGATTTACCTAATATACATAAATAACAAAGAAGGGTTCTTTTAATTTGTTACAAACCTTGGTTAAATTGTTTGAAATATGTGGGTACTAAATTGCTACATAAATTTAAATATAGGATTTATATATTTATACATAGTGTATTCTTTAATTCCAATGGCTTTTGCCCAGTCGCGACAGTTAAAAAGCACGTTTAACTTAATAAATAAATTGAAGAAAAAGCCAAATTCAGATCAGGTCAAAAAATGCGATTTAATTCAACATAATTGGGGTTTGTTGCTTGGATCTGTCGATGTCAAACGGAGATGAAACTAGCCTCACGTTGTCTGGCTACCCATCTTACATGCATATTATTTAAGTAATCAGTCAATCTAAATTCTATTATTGACCAGCTAAATTTATTTCGGAAAATATTTTATATGCAAGCGTATTTCATACTACCCTGCCCTGTGTCCATCCCAGACTTCTTTCGGTCCAAGGTTTTGTTCTAAAGAGTATTTGTTCTGTGCCTGCATATGAGGAGCAGTTACCAGACCAGAGGAATTTTAATATGTATTCACCCATCAGCTATGAAAGCCACGTGTTGAGGTACTTTTCCCATATTGAATACCAAAGCTGCCAAGTTTTCAAAGAGTAACAAAATTGTCATCGCTGTTAATTTTGATTTCGAAGGTTTGCCTTCTTGGTTCAAAGGGGTTAAACGATTGTTTAATCGTTTAATCCAGTGTCAGGTTTGCAGTTCGTCAGTTTCTGACAATCCGAAAAACGACAAAAAATGGCTGGCTTTGTAATATTCTACATAGTGTTTTTTGCAAGGGAACACCTCTTCGTTTCGAATATCTACATACATTGGAATATCAGTATATGTATGTACATAAATTTACACAAATTTACTCCTAGGTACACGTGCCGCAATAAACTCTAATGGTTTTTTACATAATTTTAGAGTCTGACGAAATGAGGTTTCACAACTTTCGCAAACTATTTATACATTTATACCTAAAAGATAAGCAAGAAATTGTCTAGGATTATCGTGGTAAAGCAACCATAATTATGTAGTTCTTACTCATTTACGTATGCTCTATATATAATTATGTATATGTACCTATGCAAGTAGGTACACAACTGGATTAAGGAGGATATATGAACATATTTCTTTTCTAAGTATTTAGATGGAACTTGATCCCAAGATGGTTTTACAAGATTACCAAGAAACCAGCACGTTGCTGTTGTGTAATTAAGCAATAAATTTGCTCCAGTGACGATCATTGCAAAGTGATTGCAGTGTAATTCTCCAACAAATTCACATAGATAAATCATAGATCGTGTGAAACTATTACATCCGGCGAAACACATTTTTAGTTACAAGTACGAAAATGTGTTCCAATATTTGTGCTCCACCTTTTTTGGGTAACACATGTTGAAGTTGAAGAAGTCCACAAGCATTCATTTGATTTTTAACCTTTTAAGAAAATACAATACCCACGCGAAAATTCAAACTTGTAAAATGTTGACCATAACGGTTTCTATAAATTTGGATTCGTTCTCGGACGATTTGTGTCCAGAAGTTAAACAAGCAATTTCAAACAGTGGGGTGAAAAGGATCGAGAAAAAAATTAAGGTTCTCGCCCAAACCACTTGCAAGTAACTAAATTATTTTTGAAAACAATAGGTCATGAGCATTTTTTTTTTATTTCGACAAAACACATCTGATTTTTCCTTCAAGCCGCACAAATTTGACATCGGATTCTCCCGACCTTTTACAATTTATAACTGAATTGGAGAGCTGGTTGCTGGACTATTTTGATTCCTTTGTAACTCCAGAGCAAATTCAACCCGTTGTTGAAGAAGCTGTGACGAAAATGCTCTACACCAGCCCTACCAAATCTGTTGGATCGACGAAATTCAAAATTTTATGCTATGCCTACGCAACAGCGAAAATCATAAAGCTTTGTTTCAGTGACTCGGTTGAAAGAATTGGTCGCAAGGGAGACGCCAAAGCAGAATTCTTTGACATGGCCAACAAATCCTTCGCTGATCTGGTCGACGTGAAAAACCTTGAAGAACAAGGTATTCGATGATAAAAAAATCCAAGAATTCCATGAAATTTATTTACTTATTTATAATTTCTTAACTCTAAAGACTTGAAGAACTTGTTGAAGAAGGTGCTCAACATGGAAATTGTGCATGAGCAATCGACCGAATTTTTACGCGTTTCTGCGAATTCATGCCTCGAAATTTTTGACATGGTTAAAGAAACTGATCGTGACATTACTCTAAAAAAAGCTGGGTCAATAATCTTGGCTCTCAGTGGGATTCAAACAGTTGACAAGGATTTTACAGATACATCGTTCCGTGGACTTGTAAATATGTACATAATTGGTAGATAAACTGAATATATTTTGCTAATTTATGTTGAATTTGTGTATGCATTTTCAGAAATCTGGCCTCATACTGCACATGACAATTGTTTCCTTGTTAGATGATCTGCACATTTCAGAATGGTTTGAGGAGGACTCGAATTTAGCTGAATGGAACGAAATTGCCAATAAAATCGCAGAAATTATGAACCTCAGGTTATTCCCTTTGCAGAATGATATCATTCTTGGCAACAATGATTCAGCAATTTTGCAAAAAGTTGCGAAAGGAACAACCTTAGAAAAGGCGTTGGATGAAGAAATTGAAAATTTGAAGTATGAGAAATACTTATGAAACAATTACCTAGTTTTCATGTAAGCCCAATATTTCATAAATTACAATGTTTTGCAGGCACCGTCTTACAGATTATGGCAGACAGTACAAAATTCTTGCAGAAAAATATGAGCGAGGAAACGATGCCTTGTTGAAATATATGGAGTACGTGGATTCCTGGTTGTACGGAAACTTGAAATTGTTTAATATTTTACCAAGATATGGCATGAAAAATCAGGTCAAAATTGTAAATAATTTGTAAATATAGCTTTATTAAATTTTTTAAATTCTGGTGCAGTGCACCAGAATTTAAGCAGCACATTATAAAAGTATTTAATTTGTATTGCATGAAAAACATTGGACTTGTTTTGGAGTGAATAAATATCTTGAAAAATACATATATACTCATGTATATATATTATATACATCTGAATGTATACACTCGTATGTTGATTGTGTATGAGTCACTTCGAATTTGACATACATACCTATGTGCATAAGTTTATCAAATGAATCCGTGTAAAAGTACTTTTTTATATATTAATATTATTACATGTTATGAAGTATGAAATTATTAGTCGGAAAGTGTAGAACGTGTGAATTTATTTATTTTAATCTCTTAAATTTATTGTGAGAAAATCATGGACGAGAAAACAAGTATGTACCCGATAACTTACGAAACCAAGTTCTCCGTAGTCTGACGTTAAATGATAATTTTTAATTCTTCTTCAGAATACCTATTTACATAATAAAATATATAATTGCATTTTCAATCCTCATACATGTACATATGTATGATTTCTCATATTTTGTAAGCATGTGTATAATCACTGAAGTATTTAGTTGCGTTCTGATGAGTTAATCTTATTAAGATTTGCATTTGAGCGAATATGAAGCTGATCTTTTTGTTAGAATTTCCATGAAATGGGATTGAAGTACAGATAGTCTTATTCTTGCTTTCCTCAAAGAATGAATACCAGTCGTATGGCCAAAATGACTGCCAAGTTCACCAAGTTCACACTTCAGTTCGACCCCAACATTTTGTCACGGGTAACAAACGGAAGTGATGCCGTACTCCCAAAATGTGCAACTCTGTCCTTCTACCCAGTTAAGGTAATTATCTAGTTTTTAATGGGGACATTTAATTGTTTAAGGTTATTCGGGTAGCTTTTCAAATCCAACTACTTTTTGTCCATCTTAATTTTTAAAGAACTGCAATTCTCAGATTAAATGCTATTTTAATAATTGTTAGACTTGCATTAAAAACCTAACTGATTTCAGCATGATTTATTCAGTAAGATTTCTAACCGAAATATCTAATCTATGCCACCCTTTTTGTCATGCTATCATATTTCGCAGTATGAGAGAAGCATTGCTGAAATCGAAAGCCCAGCCTATGAAGAAGTAAAGGCATCCTTGGATAAGTGGCTCACCTTGATGTTCTCCAAAATCATACCAACTTCCAAATTGAAACACCAAGTGGTCGAAAGTCTCGAGTTCACTGCCTGGTTTTACCCATTGGATGCCCTCTCTGGCCCCAAATTTTGGTGGATCCTCCGCTACGTGACCGTCGCCTTGATGACTGACGACTACTTTGATGATTCGGACGATGACAAAAAGTCCACCCGGCCTTCGCTCGACCTTTTGTTACTGACCGTGAAGGGAAAAGAAGACACTGGAGATTTCAGCATATCAACCTTGCTTTCCAATCCACGCTTTTTGCCATCCTGCGAGCCATGATGACACTTAAAAAAGAAGCTCTGGCGTCCTTTAGCTCATCCGAGGAAGCATTCACTTACGCGGTCGACATGCATTCGACCTATTTTTGCGCCGAGAAGGTGCCAAAGGCTGCCCTTAATATGGTATCTCTCGACGCCCTGCGACACTGGCGAACCGAATGCGTCACAATGGACGCCGTATTTTCTGCCATATTGCTCATTGAGGGTGTCACCCTGCCAACAGAGCTGATCAGACATCCACTCTATGTACGATACCATTACTTGCTGAAACGACTAGCGGCCATTACCAACGACCTTTTCGGATCGGAAAAGGAGATTTGCAGAGGGGAGATATCGGGCGTCGTGTTGCTCAGGCTGGAACAGGGGGCGTCACTCGTGGATGTCATCGCTGAAGAGGAAAAACTTTTTGAGGAGACGAGGAATGAATTTTCCCTTCTGAGAGAGTTGCTCATTAAAGAATTTTCTGAGGAGGATGAATCCGACGTTGTGATTAAATTGTTGGATATTGTTGATTCAATTATCTATGGACAAATGATATTGTTTGCTCACTGTGAAAGGTATGGAGGAGTAAAGGAGAGGTTCACTGTGGAGAAGGCTATACATTAACCATTTGTGAAATGTTGATGACTTTTATTGGCTTTATTTTTAAATGTTTTATTTCTGATTGTACAATTACAAGCTTGAATGAAAATAAATTTGCATGCAGTTTTGTCACAAACTCATTTGACCACATTTGTAAAATTATAAATTTTTGTTCTTTAAAGATGCGTTGTTAACGTCACTAAAGCAATGCAATCAAGTATATGTAGATAGATAAATATGTAAGTACTTAAATACATAAATAAATATATACCTATACACTCCTGTCAAATTAAAGTGTTATCATTGCAAATGTGAAGAACGATATCGTCAACCAAATAATAGATATTTCATCACCCCTGATATGTATAATTGGTGATACATAAACCTATGGAACATGATGTGGAATTACCAAATCCTCGTGCATTTTTTTAATTGTAAATTTGTATGAAATATGTACATACAGTATTTATGTATAGCTCTCTTAATACATACTTACTTGCTCTGCATTATCGACACTTTATTAACTACACGTGCAAAATTATGCATGATTGGCTGCTTGACCCACAGAAAACTGAGGATGAGTGAACAATAAGTCGTGTGCAAACCCCAAAGTAATCTCAAATTATTGATTGATTCGACATTATCAAAGAATGTTGAGCGATATTTCTCAAGAACCAATTCCACATTAAGTAATAAGCAATCCAATTATATTTGTATGTATATACAGATAGGGCCAAATTCACATGCTCCCTCAGCCCATCCCGAACTCAAGTGCGACATCAGTCCACTCCAGAGAACGCTGGAGTTCGTAAATTTTGTCACCAAAAATTACTAGATTTATGCATAATTCGCTTTAGTTTAATTAAGTACTAACCCACAGACATGAAGATTTTTACATTAATCTGTTGCATTTCGGTGCAAATTCTTCTCGTTTCGTCGTCTAACATTAGTCGATTTAATGTATCAAATCTAACACATTTTGACAAAGAAGCCGCAAGTGAACTCGTAAAGTTTCTAGAACCATACAAGTAAATATATAATTTAAAAAATATCCTATAATAAGTATCATCTAGAAAACATACACATACTTACTAGGACCGACATCCAAAAATGGTTTTGGGAAATCTCTGGCACCTCCTACAACTCGCCGCACTTCAAAAACGACCCCGGGAAAATTGGAACTTTGGCTGACTACATAACTTGCGAGATATGCGTCCCCGCCCTGCCCCTGGTAAAACTGTTAGTACAATTTGGCGTCCAACCGGTGGATATTATAGGTGTCCTTACCATTGCCTGTCAAGTCCTAAATTTGGCACCAAAACCTGAAATTTGCGAGCCAACAATTAGCTCCTATGCGGTACGAGTTTCGCTGTAATTTCTTATCTGATTTTTGTACTCAAATTAATTGTCTTATCAACAGACACCAATCCTGTACATGATCGAAAATAAGCCAGAAATCCCAGACGACGACTTTTGTGGCATAATAAATCCAGGCTGTCGAACAATTAGCCCCCATTTACGGGACTGGACGGTTGACATATCCCCACCGAATGGGAAAAAGACAAGAAAAACTTTACCTAAGGATGGGCTTCCAGCACAAACCGAGCTCACCAAGATCCTCCAATTTACCGACCTTCACTTGGACCTCGACTACGTTCCTGGAATGGACGCTGCGTGTGGATTACCCGTGTGTTGTCGAGCAACCGATGGGACCCCAACCAATCCTGGTAATGCAGCAGGAAAATGGGGTCATTTCTCCTGTGCGTTACCAGAACCTGCATTGAAAGGAATGTATGAACACGCTGCAAACACACATTCGGTAAAAGCTGTGCAAAAAATTATCCATGCAATTTTTTAAAATTATCTATCTTTACGCTTACTATTATTTAGGACGTCAAATTCATCTTCCTCACCGGGGACTATATCCATTCTGGCATTTGGTTATACGGCGTTGACGAAAACACCCGACACCACGTCGCCATAACGACCTGGCTGCAGTCAGCGTTTGAGTCCATCGGCCCAGAAATCTACCCTCTCGTCGGCAACCACGAACCCGACGTGGTTAATATGTATCCCCCCGAGGAGACATGGGCGGATTTCCCTCTCCGCTGGATGTACCACTCTGTCGCCGATGCATTCGGCGACTTTTTACCAGCAGATCAGATGGAACTCTTTTTAAAATATGGATACTACACGGTCATATCGAAAGCTGATCCAAACCTTCGGATCATCGCGCTTAACACGAATTTATGCTACATTAACAACTTTTGGCTCCCATATAACGCGACCGACACGTCCGGACAACTCCAATGGTTCGCTGATCGGCTACAAGAGGCAGAAGATGCTGGTCAAGCGGTGTTTTTGCTGGGGCACATCTTCCCAGGTTGGTTTCTTTATTTTTTATGGAGTTAATTTTTTATTCATTTTCAGGGTTTAAGTTTTTTTATTACTGCTTTTTTAGGGTCGGGGTCATGTTGGCCGGTTTGGTCACGCCAGTTTGAGCGGATCATTCAAAGATATTCTGATACGATCCGGGCTCAGTGGTACGGTCATTCGCACGAGCAGGACTACCATCTCGCATTTAGTGAGGATGATAACCCCGTCAGTTTGGGTTTTATTGGCGGCAGTGGAGTGACCGATGGAATGCATTCAGGGTACAACGTTTTCTACGCGGATGGCGAGCGTGGCGCAGATTCGACCTGGGAAATCATAAATCATCAGACTTTCGTGCTCAATTTGACTCATTCGAACGCACAACCGGTCGAGGCAGCACCAACTTTCAATATGATTTTAGATGCACAGGAAATGTGGGGGGTCACAAGCCTGACGGCGGAAACGGTGCACGACTTTATTTACAGGATGGTATGCGATGACGCGCTATTCTTGGAATACCAAAAGTTAGCTGGGTTTGCATACTTATTTTGGCATATTGTATGTACCTACTAATTTTATTCTATAGCAATTGACCAAATTTATAAACATTTAGGGTGGTCACTAAAGGGGCCGACTCGCCAAGATTTAACCCCTGTCCTAAAAACGACTACAGATGCAAGGCGAATGTGCTGGGGAGTTTGTTCGTGTCAAATTCTGGCGACCACTCCCACCGGAACAGGTTGTCAGATTATATCTTGACGGTAGACTGCACTGATCAGAATCCAACAACCACGACCGCAGGAAGTGGTGAAAAATCTGTCTACGTTCCCCTCTTGGTAGCCATTCTTATCAAGCTTGCCTTTGCATAATTAAACCATAAATCCTAACTTAATTTAAGTACTTTATGAACAATTAATTCCTGATAATAAATAATTCTCCAACTCGATCAACGACACAAGTTTCGCGTACATACTTAGCATTCAATTCCATATCGATGGATTATTCATGCATTAAACTTTCACCGGTCGTATAAACCTGCTGTAGAGATGACTTCAAAATTTTGTTATCAAATTACCGTTTGTAGATAAAGTTGAACATCAAGACAATTTACTAAATAAGTAAAATCGGATTCCGTGGAGATCAAAATAATGACATATTAAGCATGCTTCATCCTAATTAAACAATGAATCATAGTTGTCAATGATCATGATGTATCTAGATATATGGCATAGACTTATGTGCTTAATTTACATTACATATGTATAATGAATTCTCAGCCATTAATGTCAAGTGTAGTGCAATTTATGATTTATGTATGTATCTATGTCGGTTAAAGAGAAAAAGGAAATATAATCCCATAAATTTTTAACCAATCTGCTTATCTTGATAATCTAATACATGTGTAAATCTCAAGCTTGAAGGTTTTGTGATCAAGTTAACATTAAGTTTATGGACTGCAGTATTAACAGAGCTTTTAAGGTTTAAAGAAGTCCTGAAAATGTAATCAAAACTGGTGACGTTGGAAATCGTGGAAACTATTTTACCATAGGATCTTGATATACTTATGTAGGATGATTACTTACAATTAGATAAATCGTAAAATAAATTGCGACTTAATGGACATGCGAGCTTTTTTATGTAGTTAACTGTGTACATACGATCAACTTATAAATGTATGCACATCCAGATCCACTAATTTCAATGGGAAAAATGTTATCGACGTGATTTATGTAAAGAGGATCCGCTTTATTATCGTACAGGTCGACGACGTGGGTCCCACCAAAAAATGATAATCCACCTCTTGTAGATTGGCCGTCGAAGTGCTGGGAGCATAAATTGTATTTTGAGAGCATTATCTCCACCAGGCTTCATATGAACAAATGTTTATACGTGCATATTTACATTATGTAATATAAGAAGATATGAAATTGTGATTTATGTGAGTCACTACAAATTTTCCAGCGTATTTTCAAGCCAATACACTGAATTGCTCATGTATTACCCAACTCATATCACATTCCACTCCCCTTATGGAGTGAAACTGCCTTTGCCTGACTATGGGTGGATTTAGCTATCCGATTACCAAGAACTAGGAATTATTATACGTTTTAAAAATCCTGCCTATGACGTACATTGACCAAAAAGTTTGGATTACCAGTATCACCTTAATTTAATCTATATGTATATAATAACCAATTTTATATTGTCGTATGTCCATTGTCCGAATAAAGGTTTGCGAACAATCAACTCGCGACACCTGAGTCGACATGGGATTCAATTTAAAATATCTCTTACTTCAGCCATGCATGGGATTTTTCCTTCAAGGAGCGGTAACGGCTTTAGCAATTGTTGAAGTGGTACGTCAGTATTTATCTATATTGGTTAATGTGATATAAATATTTCATCCCGGATATATACATAACGCAGATGTTGTAACAATTTATTACCGATGTAGTAATATATAATGACAGATACATACATACATACATACATATACATATATGTATTCATTACATATTTACATACGTTATTGGAATTAAGTTTTCCAATAATTTCTCTCCCGTAATGTGGTTTACCAAAATTTCACACACATTTTGCACTGCAGGGCGTCAATTTTGGAATGATAATCTTAGCCAGTGTGGATTACTCGAACCAATTCAACGAAGTTAAGAATTCGAAAGAGTTTAGCGTCTCAAAATTTTGCGGTATTTAATCCACTCTGCTTTGACTCCACGACTCCCCAATTTTAATTTTCATTGCTCGATTAACAGGTCACATTTCCACGTGGATATATTGCTATTTGTATAAGATTGCTTCCATCATACTTGCCATTCGGTTGTTCATGATTGTTTCGCAGGTAAGCAAGTATTTTTTTAACCGAAGAGGGCAACAAATAATTGCATAGTTCTGTTTATCCCAATTTTAGCGAAACTCCACAAAACTTCGCTGGTGGTTATATTTGTCAGGCATCCTGTACAGTATCTGGCTTTGTTGTTTTCTAATGAACTCGATCTTCAACCTGTTCCATAGTTCTCTATCCTTAGCCTTGTACGGCGCACTGGGCGTTTACAAATTATACTTTTTCTGGATAATTATCTCATTTATCCTAGAAATCGAGAGGAACGGTGCTATCGACCCAGCCCTTCGCGTCTTGTCAGACAAAGATTTAAACGATTTCTTTAAGGATGGCTACGTTGTCCACGGTAACAATTTCTTATATGTTTAGTATGAGAATTTGCAAATACGCACAAGTATATTTATGGTCAATACTGCTAAATTTCTCACAGATCCACGGTATCAGAAGACATTTGAGATTCAATTCTGTGAGCTAACACTTGAAAAAGAGCGACCCTTAGGAGCCGGGGCCTTCGGTATAGTGTACAAGGCTTCGTTAACAAAACAGCTCGCAGAGTCGGTATCGAGTCAAATCGTTGCTGTCAAAACGGTTCTGCCTTCTGCGGATACAACCGCTCTAAAATGCCTCTTGCGAGAGTTGCAAATCCTAAATTGCATCGGGAGGCATGAAAATATTGTAAATCTTGTCGGGGCTTGCACTTCAGAAGTTAAACAAGGTATGCGTATTTGATGCTTATTTTTAGAAAAGGTTTCGGAATTTTATAAATATTTTGATTCCAGGTAAATTGTACGTCGTGGTGGAATACTGCGCTCTTGGAAACTTACAATCGTACCTGAAACGCCATCGCGAATCGGGTGTAGCAGGAGATGACTTTAAAACTGAAGCGATAGGGTATCTGTTTTTCCTGGTCACAAGTTTATGAAAAATGCACATTAAATTTAAATTCATCGAAATTTAGGGGTTACATATCCTGGAGAAATACAGAAACAGAAACTGTCACAATTCAAGACTTAACCAGATGGGCGCATGAAACCGCAAATGGAATGGAATACATTTCGAGGAAAAAGGTGGCCGTTTTTTTACATTAATTTTAACATCTCTAAGGATTGGTGTAATTTTTACATCTCCAATCTGCAGGTAATTCATGGAGATCTCGCTGCTAGGAATGTTCTCCTAACGTTAAGTGGAACTGCAAAAGTGGCTGATTTCGGCTTATCTAAACAACTCTACCGCTACGCGACTTATGCAAGACACAACAAAGAAGTAAGTGCATATGTCAATCGTTACTCTTAGCTTCCGATCGTGGTGGTTGACCTTGAATTATTCATATTTTAGCAGCCAATTCCATGGCGATGGATGGCTTGGGAGTGTCTGGACGACTTAAAATTTACGACACACTCAGATTCTTGGTCGTATGGAATAACTGTCTGGGAATATTTTTCCCTTGGAGCGCTACCTTTTCCGGCCGAGTCATTATCGAGTGAATTTGTCCAGAAACTTAAAAATGGACAAAGTAAACCAGATCAACCAGCTATAATGTCGACTGAGATGTAATTAAATATTTGTCATATGCAATTCTACATGTATATGTAAGTAAAGACGAAACAAAATGAAATTTTTCAGATATCACCAACTCTGCAAATGTTGGGCTATCAATCCACAAGAGAGGCCATCATTTACGGAGCTGAAATTATGTTTTTCCCAACAACTTGACCAATTTGGAAACACTGATAGCCAGTCTGCAATATTGAGTCAGCCAGTTCGCCAAACTAATTACGAAAATATTGACCAATCCGTCGTTATCATCGATGAATACGAAGAAATCTAGCAAGATTTTCAATTTTCCAGTTTAAGTAGAACCATATGTAGTATCAATAATATTTTTGAAAATAACATTGTAAATATCACCTAAATATACCAAGACGATGGGTTTTAATTTTTAAACCGAGAAGTATGCAAATAGAATTGCGTTTAATGTTTTAATGAACTTTTCAAAATTTTAAGGATAAAAGCAATGATTTGTGAAGAATTAGGATTTATTATCTCAAGCTCTACATATATGCGTGTAACGTTACTCAGCTTTTTTACCTTACAAAAACCAAATTCAATAATCGTTGAAGATTAAGTGGATTAGCCGGATAAAGTGCATGCGAATTAATTAAGGAGGAAAGTGGTTTCATGATAAAATAGTATCGAACCAGCATTTTTTTCCCCATTTCACTTTATTTATCAACACTGACATAGAACGAGTGGAAAATTGTATGCGCTTATCTTTTCACTTCATATCTTACACGTGTGCAAACAATTAGTTCAACAAATCTGCATGATTGTGTCGGATGTTTATAAATATGTATATATAGGCAAATACATACATATTTACATATAGATATCGTTACGAATAACAAAAAAATTCCTGGATCTTAATGACTGAATAAGTTATTCTGCATAAAACGATGTTTAACTTTGCGCATTATAGTACAATATTCATAAGAAACTGTATATTCATTTATCTTTTTTGCCTTGTGATAAATAATTGAAACAAAACCTTTACAATTGAAGTAGTAGCAAACAAGTCGGCAACTCAATCACAAATTTCAAGCTAAGCAGAATAAGTGGCAAATCAGGCTTATTTCCACAAAGTATTTAATTGGTAGTGCACCGACGGATTACTGATTACTCGCCCACCAAATATGCGCTCGTTTCCCTTCGAGACACGATAACACAAGATGAAGTAAACAGGATCAAATTATTTGCAGAGAGCTTCCAGGGAAACTTCCAGAACAGATTTGTTACATGTCGAAAATAAAAGTGGGATACAGTAGTGGTTGTGACAATGATTTTGCAAATATGTACGTACCCTTATCACATTGACGTTCATTGAACTACGCAACAGGAAAGCGAGACACAAGATCAATAACAAAAATGCAAATGAAACCGTGATATTCACCTTTACCGATTTTAGTCCAATTTTTACATCCATGTCGATAACAGACACAATGTAATCATCATGGGACGCCTTAAACTTGCCAGCTTCATTTTGCAACCATGCATGGGGCTTTTCCTTCAAGGTGCTGTAAAAGCATTGGCCGTTGTTGAAGTGGTAAGAAATTGAAATATTGTCCATAAATGAAAAAACGAATATAAAATTGATCACATTATTTTAGGGCGTAAATTTTGTAATGCTCGCTGTCGCCATTCCCGATTATGGTGACGAATACGTAGAAATATTGAAAGTGAAGGAATATAACTTTACCAGATTTTGCAGTACGTCCTGGAACATAGTTATTCTCTTAGTAATCTGAATGTTTGTGATTAAATATTGGTGTGTTTCTAGTTAACATGACCACTTGGATTTATTGTCACTTGTACAAAGCAATCTCTATCGCGTTTGCATTTTTACTATTCATAATTGTTTCAAACGTAAGCCTTTCTGGACGGATGAATAGTTATGTATTATTTTAGAATAATAAATTAGTGTCTATTTAATTCTACCAGAGAAATAGAGCCGGTCTCCATCGATGGCTTATCCTTTCGGCCACGTTGTATCTAATTTGGCTCTGCTGTTTTGTTACGAATACGATTTTGAGATCCTGGAAACAAAACTTGTCCTTCGCCATGTACTGCGCCATGGGTGTTTACAAATTATACTTTTTCTGGACTACAATTTCCTTCAGTAATGAAATTAAAAGGAACGGGGTGACTGACAAAGCTCTGTGCGTCTTATCGGATGAGGATTTGGATGACTTTTTCAAAACTGGACAAGTCGATCAAAGTCATAGAGGTACTCAATTCGAAAATTAAGCATTGAGCCAGGTCACGTGGATGTTGGTGTCTCCCTAAATTTTTATAACGTGACACCTGCATTTGTATGCAAAATTGGATTGCGTAGATTTTTAACCTGATTTTCCTTGGTCGTTTTTAAGCTCTGTAAACTTTTTGGAAATTTACTGAGTTTATCAAGTTATGTACGTAAATGCCTCGAAGTTAATATAACTTGGTTTATTATCTCATACAGGCGACCGCTACAAAACAACTTTTGAGATTCCACTCTCCCAACTCCTCCTCGACACAGTCCGGCCACTTGGAAGCGGTCAATTTGGCGTAGTTTATAAAGCCACCTTGATAAAACCAATCCAAAATACTGCTGGTACTCAAATCGTGGCAGTCAAAACCGTGATCCCAACTGCGGACGTCGTCTGCCTAAAGTCTCTCGTGAGAGAACTGCAAATACTAAATTGTATCGGAAATCATGAGAACATTGTAAATTTGGTGGGTGCTTGTACGTCTGAGGTTAAACAGAGTAATAAGTCCAAAAATTATTATAAATATGTATTGAGTTTTTTCATAATCTTCATGCATTCATTTTTAGGAAAATTGTACGTAATTGTCGAATATTGTGCACTTGGAAGCATCCAATCTTACTTGGAGGACCATCGATCCGCTGCAATGGGGATCGAATCGTATAACTTGGATCGGTACACACAGACGTCACACGTGTTAAATATAATAATTAATAATATTGAGCAACTAATCCGTATAAAAATCATGCAGGGAATACATCTCGAGAGAAGATGAACCCATAAATTTCCGCGACCTGGTCAGATGGGCGAAGGAAACTGCAAATGGCTTGGAATACATTGCCAATAATCATGTAACCTAATTTGCCAAACTATTTAAATTCTGAATTTTGAAGCAATCATTTAGTAATTAATGTGCAGGTAATTCATGGCGATCTTGCTGCTAGAAATGTGCTCCTAACGTTCAGCAGAACTGCAAAAGTCGCTGATTTTGGCTTATCTAAACAATTATACCGATACGCGACTTATGCAAGACACAGCAACGAAGTAAGCAGTTTCTCCTAACTTCCGGTAGTTAGTGGTTGACCTTGAATTATCCTTATTTTAGCAGCCAATCCCATGGCGATGGATGGCCTGGGAGTGTCTGGACGATTTAAAATTTACGACTCACTCAGATTCATGGTCCTATGGAATAACGGTTTGGGAATATTTCTCTCTCGGAGCTACGCCTTATCCAGGATTATCTTTTTCAAGTAATTTTGTGCAAGGACTCAAAACTGGACAAATTAGGCCAGATAAACCCCTTTATGCCACCAATGAAATGTATGTACATTTTTTTGTCACATTGATTTAAGCCTTAAATTTTAAGGGTATGAATTGCAAATTTTCCATTTTAAATTTGCACGTACGTAGATATCAAGAACTATGCAAATGCTGGGCAGTGGATCCAACCGCAAGACCATCCTTTTCAAAGCTGAAGTCCTTCTTTGCTGAAATACTTGACAATTCATCGGTTAAAATTCACACTACGCCAGAAATTCACAACCCATCTTTCCAAGTACAACCTTCACTGTCCTATGTTGCCGTTGGGGATCTCAACTATATTTAAATTAATACTTAATTTGTCCTCAAATATTCCCCGTCATTATTATAATATTTATTTATTTTTATATGCATTATCATATCAATATCTCTCAGGTGTAACGAATGCATTTATTTTCATTAAGACAAAATATAAGTTCGCATTAAAATAATACCAATGAAAACAATTACCATTGCATAAACTGGTTAACGTAAAGGCCTAATTTATGCTTTAAACATATATGAAGGAATATGGTAAATATGTGCATTTGTCAGGAATTGGTGGACTTGCAGAAAATATTCCTCAATACAACCGTATTAGATTATGCGATTATCATTTTGTTTTTAAGGTTGTTTACCAACTCTAGAGAAGCAAAGGAAATTTAATCAACTAATATTTCCTTTCATACATACTACGTACACATATTCATGAATCCATCGTTTTTCAATTTAGTTCTTATGCATCGCTTGAAACATATAGATATTTACATATGTACATATACCTCATTCTGCATAAAATTAAAGAGTTTAAAATACATATTATTACTTCGCCCAAGCAAAATTGCGCATCAAAATGACAACCCCACTAATGTTCAAGGCTTTAGACGTTGGTCAAACAGTGTCCAACTTTATATCCCTTCCTCCCGTAGTATGGGATATTTCTGCACAACGCCTTCGTTACCAAGTTGGACGAACTCAACTATTTTGGGCTGTTCAACAAATCTTTCATTTCGTAATATTCGGCCTTACTTCGTACATATTTGATCTCGCATTCTTTCAATTCGCCTCAAAAACTCATCCCGTCTACATGGAGACCATAAAATCGTCCCACTTCGTGACCACCCGTCTCGTCTTGAGCTTGGTTTACTTCGGAGGGGTCGCCTTCCTCGGGGGAATCTTCATCTGGGGTGCCGACATCGTTAGCATCTTCAATACTTCGATGGACCTTGAGCAACAACTTAAGAAAAGTAAGATATTCATTCAACGCATAAAATTCTATGATATTTAACTTCCGCACTGAAATAAATGCACGAACTATCGATAGGGGTACCACAACGCCCCAAAAAATTCGACCTCGTCGGTACCTTATTCTTTCTAGAGTACGCCCTGGTGCCCATAATACCACCAATCGTTGCCTTGACGACCACTCTGCTGCGACAAGATCCGTACTACACGGTCATCTCAGTTCTCCTACCGAAATGGTTCTTATCCATAGCAGGAATGCGACTTATCCTCTTCGCCGTCAGATTCACCCTCCTAACCGCCGTCGCACTTGAGATCGCACGAGTTTGCATCATTCTAATCTACGGGGTTGCCTTTGGCATCGTCATGTGCAAAAATTCGCTCCTCCTTCTCGACAAATTGTACGAATCTCTCACACCGGAAGGAAAACTTGATGCGGATCAATACATCCCGTACTACCAACAATTCTACCTTATCACCTTTGTGACCAATAAGTCGTGCAGTTTCATTCTCCTCCTCGGGTGTGGAATCAGCATCGTCATGTTTGTCACGTTTAGCGTCATCGTGCTCAAAATGTGGCGTGTTCAGTCGCTCCAGATCTATCTGATTTCCCTCTTTTTCATCATCGCTCAGATCGGGATCACAGTAGTTGCTCTGCCCATGGCTGCAGAACCGAACGAGGCGTCAGAGAGGTTTCGGGAGAAGTGGAGGAACAGTGTGAGCAAGGTGCGGGTGGGGCGCGAGGGGGGTGGCGAGAAAGGAAGGTACTTACAGAAGAGGGCAAAGGCATTGAACATATTTCCACTTTATGGAGGATTCCAAGAATATCGGTGCTATAATTTGACCAAGGACGTACCGTTTGAATATCTTCAGGCCGTTGGAGACTATACGATTGATGCTTTGTTGTCGTTTGAGGTCTGATTAGACATAAATTTGGTAATGATTTAGTACATGTTGTGTACATACATACGTTCATGTGTGAATGAAAAAATTCTGATTGATTGCAAATAAATATTTCTGCATAATGCCAGTCTTGTATCATTTCCTTTTTCACAAATAGGCACATGTAAGTAAATTGTTCTTATTTGATGTTAGAATCACTATCGAGTCATGCAAAGTCTTCACAAAACCTTTTTCTTACTCACAACTTTAATCTTTGAAATTTGTGTGGCATTTATTATTTTATGAAGCCCATAGTTTAGAATTTTTCAAAATAATGTTTCCTCATTGTAGACTATATGCACAAAAATACTAAAATCAATTAAAAAATGGTTGGTTGTGTAAATTTTATAAATTTCGTAACGAAAGAAGGAGGGGAAATGAGGTCTACCTGTTACTAAGCCGGAGAATGATATCGTACCTGCGGTTTACATGTAGCATTCAAGAAAGTGGGAATTTTTGTATTACATTATTTATAGGTACATAAATGCAAGTGCAAGGTGCAAGTCTGTGAGTTCATCGATATATGTACATATGTACACATATGTACATGCAATCGCGAAATATTGGACATTCCCAGTAAATTAGAATGATTTGTGACTACCTCAAGGTACAAAGTTTGTATATGCAAATACAAATGATTGCAACACCAACTCAAATCGGAATTTCTACATATGCACCTATTATGGGAAATTCATAGTTGTTTTTTAAAATATAATTTTAAGGCAGATTTACAAATCTTACAAAATTTGAAAATGTCGATGATCACACAAAAATGCAATCTATGTATGAATTTGCTGTAAAGCTAACATTGCACAAATTCTCTGTTTTATTCATGTGTGTTGTCCAGAAGGTTATGCCATACACACTTCTAAGCATGTACTTATGTACAAATTATCTTTCTCTCATTTCTATAATTCGGATGGGAATGGCTATACTCATGTGCTACTGCTATTTACGACCATGGTAAAAATGCAGTGGGGTTGCCAATGTCGCTCAAATATTCAGATAATAAATATTGGATTAATTTCCTGTCGCAAGAAATTATACTGAATTATTTAAAATATATTATTATTTATGTACAATGAAAGCAGAAAGTCGTCTTCATATCAAAATCTGACGATGGCGCAATACATTTCCTAGCCTCATCTCGTTCCAGTTTATACTGATTTTTAAAAAAACTTGGAATATTGGAATTTGCCCTTCTCGTCGTGTTGCACATTGTTGCGTACATAATGAACATATGTATAGGAAAGGACAACCTTCAGTATCTTGTACATAATCTGCCTCATTAATTTTTTCCTTATTACAAGGTGAGAAAGTCAGTCTACCTAATAACTTATTCAACCGGAATGTGTGATCACAATCATTCTGGAACTATGTATGTACACAATATTACAGGTACCTACATTCTATGTACTGTATATGTATACAGTTTAATTCAACGCAGGGTTTCTATCACATCGAATGCGTTATTTGCTTTAAATTGAAAATATTTTGAGCATATCTACTTTAAACATACCTACATACTTCTAGAACAGAAGAAATAAAACGCAAAAATTAAACCTACATATTTACATATCTACCGCTTCCATATTTGCTTATGTGTGAACGAAATAATGTAGACTATAAATTCAGAACCCTAAGTTGTTTATGCTACGTAACAACATCTTTAAAAGATATGATTTAATTACTTCCACGCGCATTCACATATTATCCACAATAAGAGTAACTAGTTTCATTTTTCTGGGCGAGTGAACATGCTTTGTTGCACTAAAGTAAACAATAAAATTTCATTTTTACTTGTTTCTTTCGCACTAATTATATTAGTGGAAGGAATCACGTTTGAACAAGACATAAATTTGACCCTGGAACAGAAGAAACTTTTGGACAAAGTAAGACTTCAATTTGAGAAACTATGTATGCAAAGTAACTTTTTCAACTTAATATTTGTTCTACAGTTTAAGGACAGGGTCGTGGACAAATTGCCTCATGATTACATGAAGAAGGAAATTTACCTCATAAAATGGCTCAGAAGTGAGATTTATATCAGTTTCCATATGTATGAACATATTTCAACGTGTAGTTGATTGATGTTATTTTCAGCCAGCAACTTCAACATAGACATTGCAGAAGAGAGGTTATATCGGGTACGTCCAGTCTTTATTAATTTACCCGTGAGGGTATTTATGTCGAATTTGGTACCAAATGATCAGGGTAAATTTTGCAAAGCGTGCAATTGTATGAAGTTACACAAGCAATCTCAAAGGAGAGGTCACATGTTCATGATGTGCATATATTTTTCTGTCCTGAGCTTAATTTAGAAATAAATGCTTATAGATTTAATATGTATGTAGCTTTACATAATTTGCACAGTTTGCACAGATAATAGCTTTCCATGAATTACGTTTTATGTGGGTCACACTTAACATTAAATTTTACTCCCAGAATTTACAATGGAGGAAAGAACAAAGCATGGATACAATTCAGTCTGAAGACTTTTCTGACATGTGGGAAAGTGATATACGTTACAATCTCGAAGGACGGGACAAGATGGGACGACCGTGTATGTAAATCTTAGCTAAATAACTTTGACAATATGAAACTTATTACATTTTCATTTCGTTGCGTAGATATTTTAATAGAAATCAAGCACGCGGATCCGAGGAGAATCGTCCTCCAAGGAAAGGGCGACAGGCTGGTCCGCTACCTGGACAAAGGGTTTGACGAAACGTGCGGCCTTGTGCGAGAGATGGGAGATCGCTACGGAAACATGACTCGCGGTAATGCGCTTATCAATGCTGACGGATTTAACTTGGTACAACATGGATGCCTTCAATGTGAGCTCAACTTTTGTTAAGCACTAAAAACTTATGTCACTTTTGGTACACACTTATCTATGTATTAAGGCGTTCCTTACATGCTGAGACACCTATTCAGCTTCGTCAATTATTTTCCCGAGTGCATCGACAAAATGATATTCGTAAACTGTAAGAAATTTATAATTCTCTCTTAGGACAATGCCAGATGCATATTTATATTTATCCTCGTTGTATATGCATTCGTATACATTTCCATATCCTGTGGATTCTATTTGGACAACTCCAACATCTAGAATTGAAGATGTGTCCAAATACAATGCTCAAGTTTTGAATTTATGCCCGAATGCATATTGAACGATGATATGGATAAATATTATTGATTTTTTATCTATTTATTTATGGATATTCTGCATATGTATATAGGTCCAAGAACGGTGGAACAACTTCTCAACCTAGCGAAAACAGCCATCACGGAGGAAATGCGGAATAGTATTTTCATTTACGGGAAGGATAAGCGGGTTTGGATGCAAGCTTTGAGCCAAGACTTTGATCAAGATCAACTCCCACCGTCGCTGGGAGGCACGAAAAGTCAGAATAATGAAGTGGATGACTATTAAGCAAGATGACAAATAATTTTTCCACATATTTAAAATTGCTATTTATTTCACTAAAATTACACGAAAAGGGGAAAATATTTCGACAATAAAGTTGACGAAACTGAAAATTTGCGTAAACATGGATTTGTGATATCAAGATATTGTGCTATAAATTTAGTTCAAGAGGTCTGAAATGGAATTGATTACTCTACATTCTACGTCAATTGCCATCCCTGCCGGCGTTGGCTTTTGGCTTTACCACTTTTTTGCACTATGCGTCTAACTGGTTATGAATCGTTTCTATTGGTGGAGGCTCGTCGTCATTGAGAAAACCAAAAGTCGTATTTGAACCTTGACCAAGAATATTCCTCTTCTCGTAATATAGTTCTAAATGGAAAGTTGTATCTTTGTCTCGCCTTTCTCTTGGGAGCGTAATGGTGCACGGATTTTCAAAGTCCTACTAAAATTGTTGTTTTGGGGTTAAAAAGAGTGAAAACGAAGGGCTTTTTGATGTTGGTGGCCTATTTGCGTGGGTGTTACTGGCGCAAATGTTGCCATGCCATGGTATCATTTGGGGTACTTGGTTACTACTGAGATGCTGCATATAACATATCCAAAAGGCTTCGAAATTTGAGAGTGGAGCTTTTAGTGAAGCTTGCCTTCTAAATTAAAAAAAAATACGTAACGCAAAAATTGTTAATTTTCTAGACCTCCCCACTCACCCTTTTAGCATGTGTAACATAGGCCGATATCATTATTAAGTAGCGTCAGCTACTTATTGTGATCGTTTTGTCCGTCCGTCTGTCCGTCCGTCAGCAGGATATCTCCAGAACGAGTCAAGATAATCAAACGCGGTTTTCGCCATTGTGCTTCTAATTTTTAGTTCTCGGTCGAGTTCGAAAATGGGGTCCATCGGACCACCCCCCGCAGCGCCAGGGGGTGTGGTCCAAAATTAAATTCACGTTAATTTTCATATGGGGTATCATTTTAAAGGAAATTTCGCCACGAATTCAACGACGCCAATATTTTTGACCTTTGACCTCGTCGCCAAGGTCATGGGGTCAAAAAACACTTAATTTTCATATGGGGTATCATTTTAAAGGAAATTCCACCGCGAATTCAAAGACGTTAATATTTTTGACCTTATGACCATGAGGACGAGGTCAAAGGTCAAAAGATTCATAATTTTCATATGGGGTATCATTTTAAAGGAAATTCCACCACGAATTTGAAGACGTTAATATTTTGGACCTCATGACCTTGAGTACGAGGTCGAAGGTCAAAATATTCACAATGGTCATATGGGGTGTCATTTTAGAGGAAATTTTACTGCAATTTCAAGGACGTTAATATTTTTGACCTCATGACCGTTAGGACGGGGTCATATATACGGAAACGTTAAAGGAAACTTGAATCGGTCTGACGCTACTTATTTACATTCGTTTGGAGGGTTTATTGGAGCCTGAGAACCCTCCTCCCCCCTCTCGCGTTACGTAATTTATGGACGACCCAAAATGATGTGGGCTACTTTAAATACTGGACAGTACATAAGACCGTTGCGATTGTCAATTAAAAATTAAATTAAATGATGTCAATTAAAAAACCAGGTGAAAATCGATCGTGCTTGTCATTGAAGTTGCAGGAGTAGGTTGACATGTGCGTCAAACTATATCTTTTATCAATTGTATCACTGCAAAGTTGTCAAGACGATCAGGTTAATGATGTGCTCATAATATTCAAGAAACTGGAATAGTGAGATTTATATTGAGATATTTTCCAGTTGATTCCTATGTTTGCAAAATATAGGAATTTTGCAAAGGTATGTGATGTGCATGTGCATATGTAAATCCTATGTAGATGTACCACTTTGTACTGTTGACTGTAGTGATGATACTATATACATACATGCAATTAGTGCTTTTTCCCATAACCTTATATTCTAATATGCATATCCTCACTTGCACAACTCCCATCAATATACAGTAAAATATAGAGAAAAACTACCCTACTATTGTAATGAATGGTTTATGCACATGCATATATACATATTTAGGTACATACACATTTAATTACGCGATTATTGTATGGCTATTCATGATTCCGTCGTATTCTTTGTATCGAAAAGTTACGAAGGTTACAAAGATTTTGTAAGCGTCGTAAGATTTAGTCACTAAAAGTCACATCACTGAGCCTACGATTTTTATGAAGCTTGACCCCTTCTTACTTCTTCGTAAACTATTTTACGATACTAAGACAATTGTTAATACCCTCATTGTAAGTACACCAACTTATGTCGTATACACGTGTTAAAGTATAATATGTAAATATAATATATCTATAGGTATGCGTATAAATAAATACGTAAATAAAATACGGCGAATCAAGTCCGTTTTTCATCTGATGATGCTCATCGACCGGTTTTGATTTATAATCTTGCAGTCGGACATCGAATTTTTGCCATTTTTTGTTCCATTGTGGACAATAGTTACATATATAAGAATTATTCGTTCCAAGTCTTCACTTTAATCTTATCCTCTAGCCAAGGTTGATTTGATCTTCAAAGTTACTAAAAATGTCTCACCTTGTTAAGTTTGAGTCGAAATTTTGCAGTTTAGTTTTACTGTTTCTAGTATCTTTAACACTAGGAAATATTAATTGTACTACGTTTGAGCAAGACACAAATTTAACTCTGGAACAGAAGGAACTTTTGGATTTGGTAAAAAATTCTCATTTTGATTTATGCTTGACACTTGTACAAATATTTCATATGTTTACGATGTGACTTCAGTTCAGGTCAAGAGTGGCAGATCAACTACCGGAAGAATATATGAAAAAAGAAATTTACCTCATAAAATGGCTCAGAAGTATGCTAATCATATCAGATTTCGTTAATATCGTAATCCCCTCAGTTGTATGCATTTATTTGCATACATGTCATTAACTAACTGTGTCAAATTTCAGCAAGTAAATTCAAAATTGATTTGGCAGAGGAGAGATTATTTCGGGTGGGTGATCACAATAACTTTATTCAGTTTGGTTATTGTCTTTCAATTTATTAAAATTATCCCTATCAGAATTTGGAATGGAGGAAAGAGCAAGGAATGGATTCGATTCATTACGAAGACTGGTCAGACATGTGGAACGAGGATTGGCATTACTTTACCGAAGGGCGGGACAAGTTAGGACGACCATGTAATAAGATGATTACTTTTATTGAAGATTAATGTAGATCGAGTATAAATCAGTTACATTTATGGACTTATAGATTTGTTAATCGAAGTCAAAAATGCTGACACAAGGAAAGCAGTACTTCAAGGGAAAGCCCAGCGAATGCTTCGTTTTTTTGACAAAATGATGGACCAATTTTGCGGCTTGGTCAGAGAATCTGGAGAACGTTACGGAAATATGACTCGTGGCATTATTCTCACCAATCTTGAAGGATTTAACCCATTGCAACATGCATGTCTTCGATGTATGTACATACTTTATGCATTTGAAAATTACCATGTATTAAAATACACATGGGAAACCAGATCTGAGACGTGTGAGTTACATACATTTTTTTACAGGCATACCCTTTCTACTTCGCCCTGCAGTAGGATACGCAGATCACTTTCCAGAATGTGTCGATAAGTTGGTGTTCGTCAAATGTACGTAAATATGCAATATCAAATTAGACTCTTATTCTTACAAAATTAAATGTATGTACTTAATAATCGTTTTTCTTTTCATAGCACCCAAATCCGTTGAACAAGTTCTTGATCTCGGCCGACCATTTCTCCCAGAAGCAGACAGGAACATGATTCACATTTATGGCAGAAATAAGAAAGTGTGGACGGAAGGGCTGAGAAAGGATTTTGAAATAAATCAACTTCCAACAACGCTTGGTGGCACGAGGGTATTTAAAGGTTTGGGAAAAGATGTGCAGGACTTTTAATCAAAAATTCAGCTAACAAAAATAATGACGGTTACATATTTACTTACATATGTAAAATGTAGTTGTTAGTTGGATGAATAATAAACATTGGACTTATTTAGCATGTTATGGAATGTTAATTTTATCACGGAAATTTTTCTTATCGTCTTCGCATATTTTTCCTTATTTTTGCAATTCATTCATTTGTTACAAATATCCGCACGAATAAAATACGCTCATGAAAGCAGAAAAACTCATGATTGCCATGTCAGAAAGCTGTTCCAAGTTAAGAATATGTATCTGTGACTGTTGTTACTCTGTTATAAATATGTTATCTACTTTTGCCAATTTCATCTCTCCCATGGCCTCTTTCATATCGGTGATACAGGGAATTAAACACAAATGAATTGAATAATGGCGTTGTAACGACAATATGTGTATGGCAACTAAACAGTGAGAAATATGTATCAGTACACGCACTCATTGTCAGTGGTGAGTGTTGAGAAGTCACAATTTAAGCTTAGTACTCACGATGGACTTTACGCGCGGAAAACGACTTTTGCAGAAATTCTGCTCAATTTAAGCCCGAGTGGTACTCAGGTCTTCGCGTGAAACTTGTGCGGAATTTTCCGCGCGAGCAGTTTACGCTCAATGTAAGCTCAAAGTTTCCGTTAAATCGAGGCAATTCTTTCACGTGAAATGTGAGCGGAAAGTGACTCGCGGCCCTCTGAGTTCAAAATAAGAGGGCGGAGCAACCTCAAAATCTCAGTTTCAACTCAATGGCAAGGCGGTTAATTTAAAATGGGGCAAAATGAAACCTGTTTTTCAGCTCAAATGACCTGAGTACCTACGAGTGAAAATTGAGCGAAATATACGTGGAATAGTGGTATTTTCTGCCCGCTTACGAATTTCTCTCCAGCGAAAAATTTAACAGAATTTAAGCACGATGAAATTCCGCGTGAACATTCGTCCTGAGTACTAGGCTTTACTGAATAAAGGCAAAAATTATTTTCCTTATAGATAGTTATCTCGCTACATTACCCTTTTTGCCTCTGTAGACCAATTTATTTGAAATTCAAGACTGCAGAAGAAAAATCATATTAAAATCATATTGTTGTGATACTGTTTAATTTTAATATTCACAGCGAAACTGGAATCCTGAGATGCAATCGAGTCAACTATGACATGGTCTGACTTTGTCGCTCCCTTTATTTTTGCGTTTAGCAAATAAGGAATAAGGAAGAAATATTCAAGATCTTTATTAATGATTCAAATTACATACGTAATTAGTCGACTGGACAGTTGGATTAAAAATATGGCGTATTTGAATACAGCTAGGGCCTTCCCATCGATTTCATATTATTTACTCTGTCACAATAAATAATGGCATGTTTATTTAGCCGTCACTCAACTAATCCTAGGTCCAGTATTAGTTTAAAACTGTAATGAAATGGATACCAAAGTTATTTGTCAAGTTATCACGATACTTTTCTCTTTTTCGCTAGTTAGTCAAGTGGTCGGAGCTACTTTTGAGAATGACGTTACGTTAACTCTGGAACAAAAGAAAGTTTTGGACCAGGTATTTTTAATTCGCGAAGCACAACAATTTTTATATTCATACAAAAAAATGACATTCAAATTTTAGTTTCGGAATGATCTTGTTGGAAAATTACCTCACGCTTACATGGAGACAGAAATGTATCTCATAAAATGGCTGAGAAGTTAGTTAAATTATCTTTTCATGCCACTTTTAGATACTTATTTCACAAAGTTCATCATTCTCTTTCAGCCAGTAATTTCCAGATTAATTCCGCCAGGGAAAGATTATCCAAGGTTTCTTATTTTAAAAAAATATTTTAATTTTGGTACAGTTTTTTGTCTGACATATGTAAATAACTTCATTAGAATTTAAGGTGGCGAGTTGAGCAAAATATGGATAAAATACACACACAAGACTGGAGTGATATGTGGGATGCAGATTTTCATTACTTTACCGATGGTCGAGACAAATTAGGACGACCGTGTAAGATTGTAATTAATTATAATGAATAGATACATAAATACATATGTATTTGCCTAATAGTTAATTCCATTTAGACATGTTTGTGCCGATAGGACACGCAGACGCCAGGAAGATGGTCTTGCAAGGAAAAGGTAGCAGATTAAGTCGCTACGTGGACAAAGTTATGGATGAATTTTGCAACTTGGTCAGAGAATCTGGCGAAAAGTATAACACAACACGGGGGACTATTCTCTATGATATGAATGGATTTAATCCTTTGCAACATGCCTGTCTCCGATGTATGTTCATACATTTTTATTCATTTATGCATCCAAACATACGCATAGAATAGTTCAGTAGAATTATTTGTGCGTATCACCTGATTTGCATAAATCTCACTATCCCAGTTTTCTGCGATACGGGCTTTTCATGCTCAAATATAAACTCGCTAATGCGTCAAAATAAGTATGCAAATGAGGTGACACGCACAAATAACTCCACTGCATGTATCACTACCTATTTTCCTTAGGCATACCCTACATACTGAAAAATATCGTCGGTTACGACAATCACTTTCCAGAATGCGTGGATAAGGCGATATTTGTGAAAGGTATGTCTGAATCACAACTTTTACAAATTAAGATGAACAAGCAATTTGTATGCATATTTAGCACCTCCGTCATTGCATGGATTGATGGACATGGGAAAACCTTATATTCCTGAACAGTTTAAAAAGCATATATTCATTTACGGAAAGTCAAAGCAAGTGTGGATGAAAGCGTTGCGACAGGATTTTGACCTTACTGAACTCCCTCCAAGTTTGGGTGGGTCGAAAATCTTTGAAAGGATGAATGACGAGTAAACTTTCTTTGTGAATTGATTCGTAACCAGAAAATGTCACATTTTTCAAGTTTTTTTTACGAAATAATTTTATTTTGATAGACAAATGTCTATACACTATACATATTTATGTATATTATTAAAATCCTATTTTAATTATGTATGTCATTAATTATATCCTGCAAAGAAACAAGATCTTGCATCTATAAATGCATGAACAAATACTTACAAGACGTTGTAAGGAAATGTGCTAACTAATTGTAAGTTTTGTATAAATTTTGTTTATTTCCCACACTAATAATTAAAATCTTAGTGAGTGCAGTGTTTTCCTCTTGAATACAAAATTTACGTAATTATGAGTTTATGTATGTAAAACTATAAGGTGTAGACAAACAATAAAACTGATATTCATCTTCATCGTGGAATAACGGACCACTTATTGCAATTCCAATCCGGCTAAATTTTCTGTAATAAATTTATTGCCTCCGTCAAAGTTACTTTGTTAATCACGCATTCAATTTACATCACGGAAACGTATGCATGAAGATTATGCACTTTGTCATAATTTTAGGTATGTAAACATCAGTTTATGGGCTCTGGGTTAAGTTTGTCAAATGAATCTACATTATAAGCTGGAAATGTCTGTTGGCAACGGAACTGAAAGTAAATGTTCCGCAACGGAAGTGAAAGTAGAGAAAGTTGATTTTCGAATGGCGCGAAAATTCAAAATAAATTCAAAATTTAAAAATTAAGTCAGATTTTGGGGGTTGTCTGACGGTGGTTATCTGGGAGTGGCTGTCTGATGGTTATCTGGGAGTGGTTGTCTGATGGTGGTTATCTGGGAGTGGTTGTCTGACGGTTGTTATCTGGGAGTGGTTGTCTGATGGTTATCTGGGAATGGTTGTCTGATGGTTATCTGGGAGTGGTTGTCTGACAGTGGTTATCTGGGAGTGGTTGTCTGATGTTTATCTGGGAGTGGTTGTCTGATGGTTATCTGGGAGTGGTTGTCTGATGTTTATCAGGGAATAGTTGTCTGATGGTTATCTGGGGGGTTATCCGATGGTGGTTATCTGGGGGGGGGTTATCTGATGGTGGTTATCTGGGGGGTTATCCGATGCTGGTTAGCTGGGAGGTTATCCGATGGTGGTTATCTGGGGGGTTATCCGATGGTGGTTATCTGGGGGGTTATCTGATGGTGGTTATCTGGGGGGTTGTCCGATGGTGGTTATCTGGGGGGCTTATCCGATGGTGGTTATCTGGGGGGTTATCCGATGCTGGTTAGCTGGGAGGTTATCCGATGGTGGTTATCTGGGGGGTTATCCGATGGTGGTTATCTGGGGGGTTATCTGATGGTGGTTATCTGGGGGGTTGTCCGATGGTGGTTATCTGGGGGGCTTATCCGATGGTGGTTATCTGGGGGGTTATCCGATGGTGGTTATCTAGGATGGTAATCATGGGTGCTTATCTAACAGTTGATATATTGGTTGTCGTGACCACTTTACTTTAAAGTAAAGTAAAGTAAAGTAAAGTAAAGTAAAGTAAAGTGAAGTGGAAGTCAGATCAGGGTATGCAGGATTTACCACTTTACTTTAAAATAAAGTAAAGTTAAAGTGAAGTATAAGTCAGTCACGGGTATGCAGGATTAGTCACTTTAGTTTAAAGTATAGTTAAAGTAAAGTGGAAGTCAGTCACATTTATGGATGATTAGCCACTTTAGTTTAAAGTAAAGTAAAGTGAAGTGGAACTTGGTAACGGGTTGGTCACTTTAAAGTAAAGTTAAAGTGAAGTGGTACCAGTTATGTATACCCGTGGCTGACTTCTAATTCACTTCCAGGGCACTTCGTAGCTTGAAGTAGCCAAGACAACCTGTGGCAGAGCCCAAGATAACTACCATGAGACATTTAATTTTGTTTAATTCACTAATTTGAAGAGACATTTCATTTAGCTTATTTTGAATTTACGCGTCATTGGAAAGTATCTTTACTATCACTTTCGCTGAGGAACATTTACTTTTACTTCGTTGCCAGCAGACATTTGCAGCTAATAATTCTCGCTGGCCCGGCGGGAGACGGGCTTATTCGCTAGTACGGTATATTTTAGGCATCGTTTGAAATGAAACACAGTAAATTCCATTATTTAAATGACTGCTATATTATTAAAAATAATGCTTAATTATTTGTATGTATGAACATTTGTGCATATGAATAAATATGTAAATGTTTCAAGTCAGTCAGGTTGATTATTTTTGAAACTAAATTTTATTTATGGGGATATTCCAATTTGAAAATAATTTGGTTTGTTTAAAACAAGTTGTGATCACTCAATTTAAAGACCAAGAGCAGCAGCAATATCGATACGTCCGTGACCTGAAATTCACAAAATATTTTAAATAAATACTTAAGTCTTCAGAGGACATTATCCAGGCTCGCTGGAAGTTGTAAGTCAATTGTAGCAAATCTTACCGAAAGCTTGGTTGGGGAAATCTCCAGGTCCGGGAAGTCCGCAATTCCTGTCAGCACTGGAGACGGTTGGGTGGGCTGCGGAGGTGGAGAGGGCATCGAGGATCTCGTCGTATCCAAAGCTTGGGTTGGCGGACATGAGAAGAGCGATGGCTCCAGCGGTGTGGGGGGTGGCCTGTGATGACAAAATTATTAAACATTAGTCGATTCCTCTGAAACTAAAGTATTTAATGCAACTTACCATTGAAGTTCCGGACATGGTGACGTAGTTGTTGGCTCCAGTTCCGCAAGATACGATGTTGTTCCCTGGTGCGGAGACTTCTGGTTTGAGTGCTCCTGCTGCGTTGGGTCCTCGGGAGGAGAAGGTCGCCATGGCGTCGGTGTCAGTGGTGGCTCCGACGGAGATGAGGTTGGGCTGATCTCCAGGGGAGATGACGGACCTGCAGGAGGATCCTGAGTTTCCGATGGCGAAAACTGGAATGATATCAGCCGTTCGCCAGGCAGAGACAACCTGGTTGTACCATGGATCGTTACCACCACCGCCCCACGAGTTGGAGACGATGTTTGGTCTGGGGTTGGCGGTCAAGACCCATTGGGCGCAATTGATGAGGTTAGCCTCAGTTCCGGATCCTTGGTGGTTAAGTCCACGGCAGGCGACCCATTGGGCAGCTGGGGCGACACCAACACCGTTGGCACGTCCAAGAATGGTTCCAGTGCAGTGAGATCCGTGTCCTTGTTGGTCAGTTGGTCCAGCAGTGTTGTAGTACGGGTCGCTCCAGGCACCACCGTACGCGTCAGCGAGAGCAACGTGGCCAAGATTAACTCCGGTATCGATGATGCAAACGACGATGCCCTCACCTTGAGTACGAGCCCAGGCCTCTGGTGCCCTGATCTTCTCAACACCCCATTGCGCGGCTTGGCTAATGTTCTTTGACTCGACGATGACGGATGGGGTCATTCGGACGGTGACTTCCTTGCGGAGGGTGAAATCTCCGGGGGTGGCAGCCAAGGAGGCGAGAGTCTGGGAGGTCAAACCCTTGACGTGGATGATGTTGGATCCCCAGTAAGTCTGGGTCTCGAGGCCGAGGGAAGAAGCAACCTGGACGTAAGGGGCCTGTGCAGCGGAGGTGAGTCCTTGCAGGGAGGCGACGAGGGCGGACACCTTGGCGTCACCAGAGAGGGACAAGAGCGATGGGTTGGACTGGACTTGGTCGACGATTGCGGGAAGTGCAAGGATCGCCTCGGTGGAACCTTGTTGGATGGCCAGGCTGAGGGCTGGGTCGACAGTGCCGGCGGCGGCGACTGCCAGGGAGGCAGCGAGGACGAGAAGCAACTTCATGGTGGAGCTAATTGGAGATATTACTGGATTGGTCGTTCTGGAACGGTGTGAAGAAATGGGAACCTGGGAGAGCTTTTATACCAAAAGGGACCAATACAATGAGGTGAGGTGAAGATTAATTTGTGTAAAAGTAGAATATGCAGTGCTTCGATAAGCGCAGATAAGCCGTTTATCGTTGCCTGGTCAGTAGGGAAATTCCAGTTTTACAGAGTTATCAGTTATTGCAATTCGTTTGGTCTACTCTCCATTGATCAAGTCTGATCAAGGGGACACTTTAAACCCCAGACATGATTGAATACCAAAGATTAGTTGGCATTAGGTACACATTCACATGCATAGGATTCAATGAGGGTATTCATTATTTCTTCGTATCCTTAGGAGGGGAGCTTGCGAGGTTGATAATAACAGATCTTGGTGCCCTTTGGATATGTGGTAGGGACCCATGAGTGTACTAAAACCCTGAAGTAGTTTGACTCCATGGCCACATTTGCGCCCGCCACACCCACTCAAAAATGCCCAAAAAACGCTTTCACTCGAGTTTTCACTCACTCAAATCCACGTCAAAAATCCAATTTTACTCGGATTTTGAAATTTCTTTCACCATTACACTCCCAGATAGTTGCTTTCTTCAATCCAATATCAAACTCAATTTTATTGATGATTATTTCGCAAACATAATTTGTTTTGTTGATGACTACAACAATGCTCATTCAGAATTTTAAATTTTAAAAATACTAAAAATTTCGAAAAAATTGAGTTTGATATTGGATTGAAGAAAGCAACTATCTGGGAGTATAATGGTGAAAGAAATTTCAAAATCCGAGTAAAATTGGATTTTTGGCGTGGATTTGAGTGAGTGAAAACTGGGGTGAAAGCGTTTTTTGGACATTTTTGAGTGGGTGTGGCGGGCGCAAATGTGGCCATGGAGTCAAACTACTTCAGGGTTTTAGTACACTCATGGGTCCCTACCACATATCCAAAGGGCACCAATATCTGTTATTATCAACCTCGCAAGCTCCCCTCCTTAGTTTTCTTCGTATCGTAAAATAACTTACGACGCTTACGAGATTTTGTAAGCGTCGTAAGATTTTGTCATCGAAAATCACGTTACTACGCTTACGATTTTTACTAAACCTGACCCCTTGTTTTTTCTTCGTAAACTATTTTACGATACGATGGATACGAAGAAATAATGAATACCCTCAATATTTATTTACGCATTAGCTGATTCACGGGTTTTCCGATTATAAGTTGATTCGATAATACGGGATGATCTTCTTGTATGGCTATCGAGTTGCAATTATGAAGATATACAATTTACATAAGGTCAGATTTATGATGTATTAAATCGGGAATACCGTCCAATCATGGAAATTCCAAGGTAAATGATCAACTGGACCACAATTCGATTGAAATTAAAAAGCTAATTCCGTCAGATTAAGCGATCAGTAAACATAAATTTGGTCATGTTCTCATTCACTGTCAGATTATTAACTGAAGAATAGTTTCACAATGAATAATTGATCACCAGCAGAATATCGGTACGTGTGCAATTCTTTGACATGAAATGCATATATTTTGTATGTGTAGCACATATTAAATATGTTTTTAAACTTATTGCTGGAACTCGTTCAGAAAAAGTTTTATTGAAAAACTGGGAATTTATCTTTTAAATGGGTTTGTTTTAGATAAGTGCACATGCATTCAATACTAAGGTAATGGGATTGTTTGAATTAAATTAGTTTCGAAATTTGTCGCATGAGATTTACTTAATTATGAAAATATTTACAGCTAAGAAAAATACATCAGTAGAAAAATAAGAAAGCAAGAATATATGTACGCGAATTGTTTAATGCGTTTCTGTTTAGTTTATAGTTGATACACGTTCTTTCTTTTACAGGCAACAGAGTTAAAAATATTATCAAATTATGATTAATGTAAAAAGTTTGACAACACTACATATGTATGTACCTATGTACATACAAATGAATTTGTACGTTACACATGCATATCTATTATAAGTATGCAAACATGTTGCTTAAAAGTTATTCAAGTGTTACAAATAAGATTAACAGATGAATTTACGTAAAATCAGTTATCGTTAAATTAAGATAATATTATGCAAATTTAAACTATCCAGATTCGGATTTCGTTATGTTTTTCCGCAAAGTTTGCCAAGGTCAAAACACAGCTTCCTCGACCTAAAATTTAGCGATAAACCCACAAATTCACCAAAATGGTTTAAGTGCCAATTAACTAATATGTTTACCTGTACGTGTAACTTTATCCAGATAGATAACCACTCCATAACAATTTAATTATGATCATTTCGATAATACTTTTATTATAATTCAATTTGTACTTTCTATACATTTAAAATTAAGCTATTATTTCAATTTCGTTTACATATTTTGCTAATGTTGCTAATTTTCTTTTCAGACTACAACCTAATCGTCATATTCTTTTTCCATCCCTTTATAAATTTTTGTGCCTCCCAGACTTGGTGGGAGCTGGTCAAGATCAAAACCCTTCTTTAAAGCTTCCATCCACACTTTTTTATTTGTGCCATATACGAACATTCTTTTTCTCATTGCCTCCGTAAGAAGTGGTCTTCCAATGTCAAGCGCGACCTCAAATGAAGCGGGGGCTTAATGCGACAAATACATAAACCCAAATTAAAATGAAGAGCCAGTAATTTTGCAATAAATTCCGGGATATTTCTTACAATTTACAGATATCGCTTTGTCCACACATTCCGGAAAGTGGTCAAAATAACCAAATACATTTTTTATCACAAGTGGGATACCTGTTAAATTGGTATCATTATAATTACGTACATATCCTGGCTCCTTAGGTGACTATTGATATTTAGGTATTAAAAATTACATCGGATGCACACATGCTGCAGGGGATTGAATCCTTCCATATTCCCCAGAAGATGCCCACGCGTTACATTTCCATACTGTTCTCCTAACTTTTGCACCAGTCCGCACAAGTCGTCCATTATTTTGTCATGGTATATGGCACAATCTGTCACCTTTTCCTTGAAGTACTGCTTTCCTTGTGTCGTAATTTTTCATATCCATATATACGACTAAATAATTACGATATAATAGTTTACTTCTTAAATATATAGTAATAAATATAATTCAAATTTACACGGTCGTCCCATTTTGTCTCGGCCCTCAGTATAATATCGGAAATCATTGTCCCACATGTCACTCCAGTCTTCCGAGTGGATTGTGTCCATATTTTGTTCCTTTCTCCACTCTAGATTCTAGAAAATATATATTTATTTACAAATTCGGTATTGAAAATTCCTCTTATTGTATCGATCGTGCCTGAAGTAATCTCTCCTCGGCCAAATTTTTCTCAAAATTGGTGACTGTAAATAATCAGAATGGATATACATATGTATGTACGTATTTGCATATATGTATAAACTTAATAACTTGATATCAACCTCTTAGCCACTTGATTAAATATATTTCCGTCTTCATATAATCATGTGGCAGCCCGTCGATAACCCGGTTACGAAACTATAGTTAAATGCATGCATATACATAAAATATAAAATCTATGACAATAAAATATTATTTTTAATTACCGTTTCTGAATTACCTGATCCAGGATATTTTTCTGCTTTAAACCTAAACTAACATCTTCCTGAAAAGTTATTGCGTACTATAATGAATGTGAGATGGAATATCAAAAGATGAATTTTGCAGGAAGTAATTAATTTCATTTTTATGTACTCTATTATAAGACGTAAAATTTTGAAAATTTACATGAAAATTTAGGTGCTTAGAATGGTTTTTGAGTAAATTAATTTCAATTTTTATAATTCCAGACAAAACTAGACGACCCACACTGCCTTGACAATTGTGGTATGCATGGGGATTATCTTTGCCTCCAATACATATGCATACATTCATATATACAAATACATACAAATCTGAAGCAGTTGCATGCGTTGATTGCTATCAAATTTAACTACTGCTTCACGGAAAGTTAGAAAAATCTATAATATGTACCTGAATCTTCAATATATTATGTTGAGGATTCAGGTAGATTCATTCAGGTATGTAGATTACGTACAAATCTAGGACAATAAGTTTCAATTGAACAACTTATCTATTTGTTTCAATCGAGCCGTGGGAAATAAGATGAAAAAATCAAAGCCAACTCGATTTTATAGAAATACATACATACATACATACAGAAGTACACATGTATGCTCGTACAGCAGATGAATATATATACGTTTGCGTATGTACATATGAATATACCTATGTAGGAAATACTGAATTGATTATAGTTTTTAGATGCATGAGTCAGGTTGAAGATTACTTTTTCGTGTCTAGAAGTAATTGCGTCGTAAAATTTGATGGGTGTAAATTATAGCTACCGAAGTACGATATGCTTGAAGATCCCAACTATTAATCGGACCGGCATAATTTATTTGCACATACATATTTATGTAAATTTTATTTTGCCACTGCAATAATAAAATTACAAGGTACTGTCACCAGTGATAGAAACTAATAATCAATTCAACGTCGTAGTTCAACATTTCGATTCAAAACTGACCAACGTAAAATATTTATCTGTATTCCATTCCCTTGTAAAGTTTTGTGCCTCCCAACCCTGGTGGGAGCTGGTCAAGATCAAAATCTTCCCTCAACCCAGCCATCCAAACCTCCTTGTTTGTCCCGTAAACAAAAGTGCTATTTCCATATTCCGCTGGCAACAGTGGTTTCGTGAGGGTGAGAACTTGCTCCATAATCTGAGGCGCTGATTAAAGTCATAAAATATTTATGTGTAAAGTTATTTACAAATACATACGATTTAAATTATGACGTTTCTTACATTTCACGTAAATCATCTTATCCAGACATTCAGGAAAATGTTGTACGAAATCAACGACATTTCTGATCATGTATGGAATGCATTGGATGCAAACATGTTGCACAGCGTTGAAGCCGTCCAGATCAAAGACGACGTTTCCTCTCGTCATGTTACCTATTGGTGGGGCAAGGCTTCTAAATGTGAAAAAGGCTCACAAAAGCGAAAAGAAAATAATACTTTACCATATTTAGCTCCCAATTCCTGGATTAGGTTACACCCTTCGTCCCAGGCCTTGGAAAAGTATCGAAGCATTCTCTCCCCTTTTCCTTGAACGATTAACTTTCTAGCGTCGAAATGTTTAAGCTCTAAGAATAGAACTAATGGTGGAAAGATAGAATTTAAATTAAAAGTTTCCTCGTAATAATTTGCAGACAAATGTATTTAAATTGTTTTATAAGTCTTACACGGTCGTCCCATCTTATCGCGTCCGTCGATGTAATATCGGTAATCATTGTCCCACATGTCAGACTAATCTTCCGTTACATTATGATTGGGGCTTTGGAAGAATCTCAAAGTCCACAACATTAACCTTATTTTTTTCCGTACTATATTTAGAGGCTAATGTTGTGGACTTCAATTTTTTCCAAAGCCCAGGGAGCCTTAATCTAACCCAGTCCTCCGAGTGGATCGTGTCCATCTTCTGTTCTTTCCGCCATCTTAGATTCTTAATGGGAATAAACAATGTATACGCATGTAAATAATGCATATCCTAAGTTGTAGGACAACAAAACGGACAAATCCATCACAATAACTATATACATACATACGCTCATTTCGTTCCGCTCGTTAAGAAAGCATTGAACTTACCCGATACAACGCATCTTCAGCCCGATCCAAATTATAATTGTTGGCTGAAAATGTATATGTCAAATTTGCATATTTAGTAAAGCACATTATACTTTCAAGCTAATCTGCATAAATGATTATTGCTGACTTTAAACTCACATCGTAACCATTTAATGAGATAAATCTCTCTTTTCATGTAATCATGAGGGAGACGGTCGATGACTCTTGCTTTAAACTGAAAATGTTTCCAGAGAAAGCAGAGAATAATATTTATAAAAATCGTATTTTCAATACGACTATTTATCAGAGCTTACCTGGTCCAAAAGTTTCTTCTGTTCCAGGTTCAGACTTACATCTTGTTCGAATGAAATTCCACCCACGAGGTTGATTAACACGAGGATAACAATAGAACTGAAAATTGTGAAGTGCATAATTTTTGGCGTTATGTGATGGCACCCTTTTCTCCTACATATGTACATAGACTGATCAATGAGTTGCATTAATCTATGTTTTTACTGTAAAAATCAATTGAATTCTTATCCCTATAACTAATCCACCCTGCGGATTAGGGGCTAGTTTTTTTGGGATGTCTGGTTCAGGTAGAGCTGAAAGGTAGACATGCAATTCATTTTTTTATTCACTGTTATTATTTTATTTAATCGCCGCATTTTCCTTGTCGTGATTGGCATGAAGTGCGGTGTAATTACTTTCCTACAAATATAAGATACACAACTATATGTTGCGTACGTGTAGCAAATACTTTGTTTTCGTCATTGTCCAGGACGAACTCTTCTAAAATTTTACTACATCCTACTTATTAGGTATTCAATTGTTTTATAGTTTTTACTTTTCCTCATGTATTTACGATCTTGGTCTTATTGAGTTAAACTGGTATTTCCAGATGTTTGGTGAATATATAGGTAGTGCATAAAGTATGTTTGTAGTACAAACTTTGTACATTAGTCCATCTTGGGATAGGCCCTCAAGCACTACCCAAATGTCAAAAATTGTCAAAGTTGCTATCAAGAAATGTACAGTTGACAAATACGAGAAGATGCGATTTATCCACGACATCTAATTTTTTTGAGACCTCTTTTAATCCTTATAAATATTTGTATGTAAGGCACGTATGAGAATCGCATTTCTTATAGCATCTTATATGTAGAATTAGCGTAGCAATTCATTGTTAAAATATGTATGTAGAGGGAACTATGTATGTAAGTATTTAGTTGTCTTTATTGTTGATGTATGTTTTTCAGCTTTGGCACAATTCCCAATATAAATAATTTAATTTGTAATTCATGTTAAATAACGAAGACAACAAGTACATACATACCTAGGGTTCATATGTGCTTCTCGATGGTCGCAAACTTTGTAAAGGCGGTTTTACATAGCATAGTTGTACTCGAACAAAATTGCGTATTATTGCGTATTTCCTCACTAAAATTGATGTTAACATATAACTAGTGTAATTAAGTATTATTCATAAATTTCTCACCTTGTCACAACTATGCCTCACAACAATACATTACAACATTACGAGTTACATACATACATACATAAATAGTGCATTCTCAACCCCGTCACCCGTATTTAGATTCAGCAACGTTCTCCAATATACGCTTTCTCCACGAATCTAAGAAGTACTTCAGTATTTCGAAAATCTCGAAGTGGGTGAAATTTACATACTATTTATGCTTTAAAAATTCCAAGGATGTGCTTTAAACAATATTGACACGTTGTAAGCCGAATACCTTCATACCTTCCAAGCTTTACATACGTACGTACACCATACTCATACTTATCAGTATGGCTATTTACTATTATGAACTCTTGGATTGCACGAAATTTAGACTTTTCTACAAGATTGATCTAAAATTCGACAAAAGAATTCTACAAATTCCATTTTAGACCTAACGTAGTATGTAAATTACACATCAGTGCAAATATGTATGTAACCAATATTAGAAGTTAGTTAAGCAGTAATTGTTTACGAATTTTCCTACTTTAATAGTCAAAATTCTCCTTGTCCATCCCTTTATATATTTTCGTCCCTCCCAAACTAGGTGGGAGCTGGTCCAGGTCGAAGTCTTGACGTAAAGCCTCCATCCAAACTTTCTTATTCGTCCCGTAAACAAACATGTTTTCCCTTGTCTCCTCTGAAACAAGTGGTCTCGCCAGGGTAAGGATTTGCTCAATTTCTGTTGGTGCTGAAAAAAATAAAAATTAACTAATTTCTCATCATAAACGTAATTACAAGTTTCTTGAACTTTATATTCGTTGTCTTTTCTCGGATGAAATCGACCTGCGTGAAATTTCCAGGCACACTTCATTTTTCATGGCCAGCTAATAATTAGTTGTAATTTTTCCATAATTATGTATGTGTTTACGAGTACGTACATACTTACATTTGCCACTCGATAATTTTTTTCATTCAAAATTTGAGTTTTTGCTAAATTTTAACGCTTCATTTTATTGCCGTGGAGTCTTAACAGATAAGCAACCAAAATTTAAAGATTTCGTCCAGGTACAAATTGTGACGGGTTTCCAATTCTCCGTGTCAGGGAAATTTTCACGACGATTTCACCCGTGAGAAAATACATCGAATCTTTACCATTAACGAATATCATCTTGTCCACACATTCAGGCCAGTGTTGCGAGAAACTGACCACATTGCGAATCAGAAATGGTAAACCTTAAAAGGATTCATTATTATGAGAACTGTTAAATTATGTAGTTATGTATGTATGCATATTTAACAATATTTAATGTTTACATCGAATGCAGCCATGTTTTATAAGGCTGAATCCATCCAAATTTGTAATGGCGTTTCCTCGCGTCATGTTACCATACTTTTCTCCCAATTCTTGCACCAGTTGACATGCTTCGTCTATCGCCTTATCCACGTAACGAACTAGTCTGTCACCGTTCCCTTGGAGGACTATCTTCCTGGGGTCTGCGGTCAACATTTCTACCACCATGACTACATATGCGTACGAAAAGAAGGTTTTAATTTGGATCCGTGGTGTAAATTGGTTATGTGCACAGAAAAGGCTTACATGGGCGTCCTAATTTGTCCCGGCCCTCGGTAAAATAACGAAAATCTGCCCCCCACATGTCGCTCCAGTCTTCTGAGTGGATCGTGTCCATATTTTGTTCTTTTCTCCACTCCAAATTCTAAACAAAATCACCATGAATCAATACTAAATAAAAAAACATGAAGCAGTTTTAACTTACCTTAAGCAACCTTTCCTCTGCTTGGTCAAGGTTGAAATTGCTGGCTGAAAATAGACACATTTTAAACATCAAATAATTCTATTTAAAATGAGAACTACGTATTATATATCCATCAATAGTTGTTCTTACATCGGAGCCATTTTACGAGGTAAATTTCCTTCTGCATGTATTCATGTGGCAGTTTGTCGGCCATTCGGATTTTGAACTGTAAGATAGAAATGTTATGAAATATGAATGTTATGAACATTAGTGCATGAAAGTTAAACTACTGATATGAAAAAAGTTTGTGAAAATCTAACCTTATCTAAAAGTGCCTTCTGGTCCATGGTTAGATTCACATCCTTTTCAAAAACTGCGGCACCCACGAGGTTAATTAAAATTATGAAGGTTGCGAAATTTAATATTTTGCTATTTGAAAACATTTTTATAATCCTCCAGGAATTCGAAATATGCATTTATATGAGCACGACTTTTGGAGTTGGCTTCTATCCAGTGTAAATACAAATGTATATGAGTATGGATGGTAATGATTTCATAACGTCAATCCAGATTGTTGTGTAATCAGAACCTTGTATTTTTTATTGGTCAAACTTATGTACGCTCATATTAATCGGGTGAAATGTGAATTTGTTGCATGTAGTAAACTATATATTCGCAATATGTAAATTTATGAAGCATGAAAAATTATTCTTTTCCCACAAAACTTAATATCTATGAAAACGTCGGACAGGATTAACAATCCAATACGATGTTGCAAAATGACCTCTAATCACGCATTGAAACTACAAGCTAGTTGTGGTTGAACTTGCACACCTGTCTTGAATTATTTCTTTTGTGAGAAACACGATTGCGATTGAAAAAAAGTAAGACGGGTTTAAAGCAAAACTATGAAAATCGAAGTCATGTATATGTAAATGAATATCAAAACACTGATTGAAGCCTGATGGATCAATTATTGATTTTAAGAGGATTATGAAAGGAAAACTTATACACACACAATCGTAATAAAATTAACATCTACATGCATATTTAACAATATTACCATTGCGTATTACACCGTTCTGTATAACATATTATACTTATGATGGGTATGTATGTAAATATGCATACAAATATTTATTTATTAGCATATGTAAGCTAAACTCAGAAATTGACAGTTTTGATGAGACTAAAAGAACATACATTTAACAAGCTTTTGCACCAGTAAATGACGTACACTTTTAATATGTAAATATTTCCAGCATGGGCGCTGATGACCCCCAAAGTGATTAAGTGACAGATTTAATCTATCACTTTAATCCATTGGATTGTCAAATATTTTTCGCTATATTTCTAATCTTATTTAAGCCTTTCATTTCTGAACTACCAAATTTGCTCGTCTCCTTGCCTTAACCCATCTTTAAATACGCATAGCAACATAACATTTCTCTAAAATGTATCCCAAACTTCCGTTTTGCACATTCCAACAGGAATACCAAGACGCACAAAAATATGCACACCACGTACAACCTAAACACCACGGATACCGACCCCTTATCAAACCCCAGCGGCCACACCTCGCCCCCAACGCTGGAAACCACCTCAGAAATAGTTTTGTACTTATTCACATCCTGTGCTCGTTTACAGGCCTGCATCCAAAAGAAAGTATTCATCCAATAATCATGTATCCCACTGGCGTGCATTACATTAAATGCGTACGCAAAGCTATCGCTTTCAATTTGTTGGGGAAATTTAAAAATCCAAAACGTCGGATTCGCATTTTTCGAGGACAATTCCCTCCCAATGTGACACGTTCGCAGTTTGGATTTCTTCTTAGTTTTCTTATTCATGGCTTCATTCCTCGCCTGCACCATGGTCCAAATATACGAAGAATACTCCCAGGGCCCAAAAGTAGCTGTTGCCGGTGTTGTGGACAGCGTTTCGATAAATTCATGCAAAGTTGGCTGCAGGATTGCTGTGGATAGCGTCAGTCCTGGCGAGGAGGTAGGTGTCACATTGCTATGTTTTGGTCTAAAATTAAATCAAATATAATAATTGACCAAAGAGTAATCTCATAAATTTACTTTAGCAATTCAGCGGCTTCCTGCGACTTGAACAGATTTCCCACAAGCAGAATTATGTAACTGAAATGACCCACGTTTGCAAATGTGAGATTATATTTCCGGTCAGCCAACTCCTCCACGTTCTTGATTACGTCAAGCTGTAACGGTGCGACGAGGAGGCTTGTAAGTACCCCGCTGTAAATTGTGTTCAACACGATACAAGCCATAAACCAGAGGACGATAAGCTTCGACTTTTGCGTCCCTCTGCTTGGCCAGTAAAAGAGGAGATACGCCGCAAAAATGGTGTAAATGGATTCAAACTTTGACACCTCTTTCCTATCAGCAATCAAAAAGTAGAATGCAAGCAGGACTGAAAGCAGGAGCAGGTACATCCACGTTTTCGGGTCAAATGGGTACAACAAGAGTGACAAATCGTTAGGAATTATTTCCCGATTAAAGTCACAGTATGCAAAATTGAATTTGTGATAAAATGAAAGTGAGACCGTAGTATTCGTCACAGTTTGACAACAATTTTGTGTCGCAGTTATAATATTCTGCACCACGAAGGGCACCACAGCGCCACGGTATTTGGTCAAGTCTATCCCATTTGTTTCAAATTCTTGCAAGTCTACGACTACCGGTGTGAAATTGCATATTTTGGAAAATTCTGCAGCAATTTTTGCGATGCCTGGAAGTGTATGATTTCGCTCTACCATGGGGCCGGTAAATCCATAAAAATCTGCAGATCTCAAGTTTAGAACGGATTCTATTAAAGTTTGCGTAAATAAGTGGTGTGTGCTTAGAATTGTGGGGGCACCGAGGAGATTTGGAATATGTGGGGACATTGTCGATGATGTAATAGGAATAACTGAGGGAGAAAAGTTGTTTAAAAAGCAGATGCAACTTGATCGCTTCGCGTGATTAGCTTCAATTAGGGGCGTACATTTTTTATGCGAATTGTGAGGCCAATACATTTGAAATATTACTACACGCTTACGTATATAGGTGCATTATGAGAATGAAGTTCAACTGCTATTGTGTACGAATATTGTATTGTCCCTAATTGGTAAAATACTACATACATTCCAGCAATGGCACTGAGCACTTGGAAACGTAGTAGTAAATAGTAGGTAGATATATGTATGTACGAAATATTGACATTTAGACACTTTGAAATGTGCGTAATTAGCTTAACAACCAAGTTTAGCAAGAATAGTTGGGGGTCATGGGTGCAAATGTCAATATGTCAGGCAGCAGGTTTATGTATGTACAACAATAAATTCTACCACCCACGAATATTTGGAAATGATTTTGGTGATACTAAGAAATTATCCACAAGATGTAATACTTTATTTTTGTGATTAGCGTCCTTAATTGACCAACATTTCATGTCGAAGTTGACATTTGCCGTTAAAGATGCCCCCCATGAAAGCTTATCGCATTGAATCTGCGGATTGAGAAATGTATGTACATATGCCAACTAATAACCAATCTTTCATTTGACAAGTAGTAAACAAATTAAGATGCGAATTATTAATTCCTAAATCTAATTTTACCTGGATAGATGATTACAATTAGAAAAGGATAACATTTGTTGCTATGTTATACATAAGTACATATGCAAATGGATGAGTTTCCACAATTATTTGTCATGATGCATAAGTATTTACTTATCACAACGATGGATGGGTGGGGTGTTGTACAATTAAAAATTGTCACCTCCTTGACGAATTTATTTAATTCATATTTTAAATGGATTTAGTCATGATGTAACGGTATTCATGCCGGAATTGTGATTCTCAATTTATGAATAATGAGAATATCCATTAGACGGGAAAATGCGAAAGCCATCAATGGATTTTATTTCGTCTTTTCTTTCATGCAAGTTTCTCAAAGGCTAAACTCTGTCTTTTCGGTGTGAGAGTAAAAGCAGCACGAAAACTCACTTGTCAAATCTAATCATCAGGTGTGCAAAATCAAATTCTTCGTCTCTTAATTTCGCACTGTAACTAATTCATTCCAAAGCATTCAGCATTGTACATGATTTGTGATACGTATATGTACGAAGAGTAAAAAGTACTGATTACATCAACTGTAAATACAAATTATCTAAATAAGCATGGGGAAGAGAAAGCAGGTTGGTCACTTGTCACAGTCCTAATTTTTGTATTAACTTAAATTTGACGATAGTTAACTTGTAGTTCAGAAGTTTATTGTGACGATGGATCATATTTTTTGTATTAATGAATTACATAAAAGTTAATAATATTGGTGTGTCCTTCATATTCAGATTGTCAACAAAAATCGTGCGAAAAAGCAGAAACGAGCTGAAGAAACTGAAGATGATCCAAATTCTTCACCATGCACGACTCCATTAAATGAAGATGTAAGTAATAATAATTGATAGCCAAATTAAGATTCCACAAATAGTCAACCTTAATAATAATAATAATAATTAAATTTGTCAATTACAAATACTTTGCAGGTTTTGAATATTGTCGCACAATTCATGCGTTTCAAAGATCTGAAAAACTGCCGACTCGTCTCCACATTATGGAACACTGCCTTAACTCCAGAATTGAGGCGAAGAGCTAAAATTACGCTCGTTTGTAACTTCTCACAACAAGAAATGCGCAGAAACGCAGATTTTCTCAAGGAGTTCCAAACCTGGCAAGGATTCACTGGCTGTGCCAATTTTGGATCTCAATGTGCAGGTGGTAGGACTGTGACAGATGCAGATTCCCCACCAAAGCCAATGGTTACCAAAAGTACTTCCATCTTTGCGAAAAAATTACAATTTCATCAGATCGAGGCAACACTGCGCACAAACTGGGAGATGGACTTGTTGCAGAAAATGCTATTAAATTCAACGGGAGTTTTGCAGATGTTCAGCTTCGCCATCGCCGCCTATCCTGAACAGCCCATTTCTTCAGCAGCAGTGGAATTTTGGAGTACGCACACATTTCCAAAAGTTACAAAGGTGGACGTTCGAATGGACGGTCATCGCCAATGGGCTTCGTCATTTTTCGAACATTTCCTGAAAGCTTTTCCTAACGTTCGTAGACTATCTGCCACCCTTGGGGGAATCTCTGCACTATTTTGTACGCCCGCATCTGTTAATGCCATGAGGTAATTTTGCAAAAAAAAATGTTTAAATCAAAGTAGTAATAAATTATATTTTAACCGTAAATCTTTACCAAACAGGAACATTACCGATTTGAAGGTAATGCTGTACTCTGGACCACACACGAGGGGGAAATCTTTACAACTGATATCAAAGTTTCCGGGCACCCTGAAGAAATTATCTTTGACTTTTATACACATCTCGGATCAAGCAATAGCTGACAATCCAGATGAAAATGACGTATCTCTTTTACGAAATTTTCTATCTCAACAGAGTGGATCGTTGGAACGTGTCCAGCTCTTAATTTTGAAGTATGATGGCACTCGTGATATTGAAATTCCTCGATTTCCAGAACTTAAAAGACTCCAGGTTTACTTGATGCAAACCAAGTGTAACTTCACGTTTGAGCAGCCAGACCAACCCGGTGTTTATGGCGACATTGACTATTCATATAACTTTCCAAAGCTGCAACTATTTCTAGCTCGCGATTTGGCCAGGTCTGAAGGGCTAAGCGGGGACAGCTTTAAATCTTGGTTTCCCTTAAATACCAACGATAAGAAGTATATTTGTCAGACTTTGAAACACTTTGAGTTTTATGAATCCGATACGGTAGACAAGTTGGATTCTGGTAAATTAGAAGTCGACTATTTTCGGCTGCCAAAATTGTTCCCAAATGCAGGCAATACATACATGCAGGGGATTAAGACCTGCACAAGAATTGAATCTGATCGAGCCATGCGACAGCGGAATAGGTGGCTAATGTTAGCTAGTCAGTGATCAGACCAATAGAACCAACCGACAATGTATTTGATAAATTAACGTTTAATTTAAGGAGCTTATGAAAATTGAGGTGAAGACTGTGCAAGATTTATTGTCATACATACGCAGAAAAAATTTGGAATTAGGAGTCATTTTTTAAGCCAGTTGTGTTACAAATTCTTAGATACAAGTATGCAGTTTACATATTTTGTCTACCTATTTACTTATGACAGTTGCTTTTGCAAAACTTTCATTTTAATAAAAAAAAATAGAGTCATAAAATTTACTTTGTGCAAAATCGTATTCTTATTACAATTTCATACCATTCACTATAAATTAAATTAAAACATAATTTTCTCAATCATCAAGCTGCATCCCTTTATAAATTTTTATGCCTCCCAGCGATGGTGGGAGTTGATCTTTATCAAAGTCTTGGCTCAAACCTTGCATCCAAATCTTCTTATCCTTCCCGTAAATGAAAATACTATTCTGCATTTCCTCCGTTACTACTGCTTTTCCAATACTCAATATTTGTTCAACTGTTCTCGGACCTAATGTGCATTTATAATTCCAAATTAAAAATATAAAAAGAAAATATTTATGTAAACTTTTACAAAAAATTTACATAATATAATTATTTCTTACAATTGACAAATATAAATTTATCTGCACACTCGGGAAAATGCTCCACAAAGCTAAATATATGACGCAGCATGATGGGTATGCCTAAATAGATTTTTTTAATTTTAAAATCTTGGACCAAAAGTTAGAAAAAAAATTATTTATGTATGCATAATTTTTACATGGAATGCAGGCATGTTGGACAACATTGAACCCATCGGCATTGACCAAAACGTTCACGCGAGTCATATTATTCCATTTTTCTCCCAATTCTCGCACCAAGCCACACACCTCGTCAAACCCCTTGTCCAAGTATCGGACTAATCTTTCACCTTTTCCTTGTATGATGAATCTTCTGGGATCCATGTCTTTGATTTCTACTAAAACGACTAAAAAGTCGAAACAAATTTTATAACTCGATCAAATTTCACATAATATTTCGGTGTGATTTATGTACATGGTCGTCCCAGCTTGTCTCGACCTTCGGTGTAATACCGGAAGTCATTCTTCCACATATCCGAAAAATCTTCGGTGTGAATCGTATCCATTCTTTGCTCTTGCCTCCATCTCAAATTCTATGCACAAAATAAGACGCAAAAATAAATTAACAAGGTATAAATAGGTATGTATGTAAATATTTAAGAGTCAACAAATTTAGGCTAACCCGAATTAACCTATCTTCTGCTGTATCCAGTTGAAAATCACTAGCTGAAAAGTACCACATTACATAATTATGTATACAAATCATTAGAAAAATAAGCCATCATCTCACATCGGAGCCATTTGATAAGATAAATTTCCTTCTTCATATACTCATGAGGCAGCCGATCAATTACTCGTTGTTTAAACTGTTCAAAATATGACAAAATTAAATTATGATTTTTACATATACTTCCAAAAAATGTTCTCACCTTATCCAAAAGTTTCTTCTGGTCCATGCTTAAATTAATATCTTGTTCAAACGTAATTCCTCTCACCAAAATAATTAGAGTTAAATATACACTAACGCTCAAAATATGGCGCCGAAATTTTGTTTCGAAACACATCTTCAATTCAGGCTTTTGCGACGAAACCGTGTTGATTAGGTATTGAAAATCCCAACAAATTGTTAGGTGACAATATGTAAAATGTCACCTAATTAATATTCCATAATCTGGTTGAAGGTTTTGGGTTGTCAATTCCAGATCCAGATATGATCGAAACAGGTCTTAATTCAACAGGATTCATGTAGAGATGCAGACGTCCTACTGTACGCATATTGATGAAATAGTAATTATTTCATTAATATGCGTACCTGTATCTCACTTGATATACAAATACATATTATGTACATAGATAAGTATATATTTACCAAATGAAATGCAGGTACTCATTTTGGTACCTTTAAGACTAGCAAATTTGCATTGGTAATATTAATAATAGAGCAAAATGTACGCCTATACATATAATATACCCATTAAACCCATACATATGTGACTACGCTTCATGGGCACATTTATTTATCTGGGAAATTCCTCGTTCGCCAAATTAAGTAATTGCGACTGTATTCTAATACATATGCATACGTAGAAGTAAATCTTTAATACTTGAAACCAGATTTCACACAATCATAACATTAGAACTCTCCATGACATGACATTGCAATGTCATGTCCATGGACTTGAAAAGTGGATTTAATTGGGTTCCTTGTTTCTTCTTATGTAAGAATTATCCTTTAGTTGAGGTATGAGTCGTTTAAGCTAAAGAGTGCATAAGTCCATGTGCATTTATAATGTGTACTTAACCTCCACCACTTGGCTGAATTTAAAAAATAGCACATAATTAGATCATGAGAATTATCCCAAATACGCATCGTTCTTAAATTAGCGGAAGAAACTTGAGCTAATTAATGTGAAGGTTTGGTCTCAATGTCCGTCTGCAGACACGACCTACTCTAACTTGGTAATTTTTGCACTTCTCTTTTCAGACAACGACATTTCACTTTTAATGTACGAGCGAATTCGTTGACCGTCAGGTCACAGCGCTAGGTCATAAGTCATAGTACTGGAATGATAAGAGGAACTAAAATTGATTGCATGTATGTCTAAAATGTCGAAAATTTAATAGTTGATATAAGAAGGAAAGATTTTCTGTGGGTTCTACAGGATTGTTTTTTGTCGGGTCGTGGGAAAATCACTATGCACACAATTTGTGTGATGTTTTTTAGAGAAGCTATGTAAGTATTGTTGAATTCGTCGTTATAAGCGGTAGGATTTGGTTGCATTTCTTTGATTCTAATACTATCCATTTTGTTTAAATTATTTTCGCATTTTTGTACATCTTCGGCCGTGCATTGTCTCGATCCTGAATTTAGAAATAATCTCATTATTAGCATCTGATTCTCCTTTGTCAAAACTTTTGATAGTTTTGAAAAATCCCGAAACTCTGAAATCTGAGTATTCTTTCTAAATTTTTCTGTTTTTGGCAAAATTTTTTCCTATTGTCTATTTTTATATTGCTTAAATTTTAACTAGAAGCAAAGCCTACGGAAATTTTAAAACGTAGTCTTGCAAACTGCCTACATATTAATTACGCCGGATGTACACAGCATGTAACATGAAAAAGCAAATATCTACTTATTACAGTGCCAATACAATTCCAAAATTTTATTTGCACTTACACCGTAATCGGTATATTTTAATCTCAATCAGAATATATATTATAAAAAACTGTTTTCGTTCCAGTGTTCAGGAAGTCATAGTTTTGCAACCTGATAAAACATTGCGTATGTATTGCATCGCAAATTGATTTGACCATCTACGACGCATAAAATTCGACCAAAACATTATGCATCATCCTTATCAGTGCAGATAATGCAATTGTCAACACGTGCGTCGTACTCTCCAATTGTTATAAAATGATGACATTCGCATCTATTTCTCACTCTGTTTGATCCTTCCAAGTACTTAATTTGTTTTAACTAACTTGTTCACACTACTGTCTATAGTCTGCCTAAATTATAGTGCCAAATAATTGATCACGGAAATGAAGTCGTACTATTTCACATCAATTGTCGTCCTATTAGGTAACGCACACATATTTTGCGACATGATCAAATTACAGGTTTTTCTTATAACTGATTTCTTATGCATACGTATAAGTGATTGCCCTCCACTGTTCGGATGAAGTGGATATTTCAAATCCGCGAGGAACATTGGCCATGTACATGAAAGAGTTGGAAGTAGCCTTGCGACCTGGCGAGGACCGGATATGTTGCCCGTGTTGTTATCCATGCGATCTTTTCCCCTGTGGGTGTTGTTGCTATTGTTCAAAAGACGAGTTTCTTGGCAACATGACATTGGCTCTGGAAAATAATGGGTATAATCTGGAGAAATAAAATATCATTATAGCGATGGTCATGTGGGAGGAGCATAATTATACCGGAAGTGCTGCCGGCAAACGCTTGCACAGTTACTAATACAATTAAATTAGATATAGATAGGTTGCATATATCCTGGACCACTTTTCATTTACAGGAATAGCGTCAAGCCGAACAATTAATTATTGATATTCCATTCCATTTAAGACATACATGTTTATTTATATGAAAAAGGCATTAAAAATTACTTTATTTGTAGCAAAGTTAATTTCGTTAAAACGGATTATATAAAACTCGTAGTAAAATGTACAAGTATTTGGTCATCAGGTTTCATCTAATGGTGATCTTTCTAGTCACTCCTTTGTATTCAAAATAAACCCTCGCAAACGCGCATACGGAAGTAGCTTCAGATTCACTCCACCCCCACGACAGCGGGAGAACACTTAATTTCAGTGTATTTCATCCATTTTTTTAATTTCACTGAAAATCTCATTTTTCCCCGACAACACCCCCTGGCGCCCAGGGGGTGTGGTACAACTCGGGAACACTTAATTTCACTCTATTTCAGCTATAGATTCAATTTTTTTTTAAATCTCATTTTGCCCCGACCACACCCCCTGGCGCCCAGGAGTTGTCTCACAACTCGGGAACACTTAATTTGACTCTATATCATATATAGATTCAATTTTTGTAAAAATCTCATTTAGCCCCGACCACACCCCCTGACGCCCAGGGGGTGTGACACTTCAGGGATACACAAAATTTCACTCTAATTCATCTATAGAATCAATTGCACTAAAAACCTCATTTTGCCCCGACCACACCCCCTGGCGCCCGGGGGGTGTGGCACATCAGGGATACACAAAATTTCACTCTAGTTCATCCATAGATTCGATTGCACTAAAAATCTCATTTTGCCCCGACCACACCCCCTGGCGCCAGGGGGTGTGGTCCGGTTGCACCCAAAAGTTGATAGGATCCTCCCCCTGGGGTCTTATGTATGATGGCGAAAACCGATTTCGATTATCTTTATCCGTTCTCCCGTTATCCTGCTGACAGACGGACAGACAGACAGACAGACAGACAGACAGACAAAGTCTTCACATAAAGTAGCTGAAGCTACTTAATAAAAGCTGAAAGTTAAAAAAGCTTCGAACAATGAGTGTCGTTCAAGAAGGATTGAAGCATACTGTCATATTCTTAGTAAATATCCAGATACCAAAATCTAACGAATTAACATACTATGTACATACATGCATAAATGTAAAGGATTCGCGTAAATATTTAATGCATATACATATGTATACACTCCCCATTTTCATAACAATTTGTTCACAAAATCTCATTAGTTCTAAGCATTATGCATTTTCACGATTATCAAGTCAAGTGAAATTCTTTGTAGTATCATAATAAGCAGATATATAACCGCAATAATTAACGTATTCTTATCCAGTGCGTCATTCACTTGATATAAAACCCAGTTGATTATGAAGAGAGAAAGCTATTCGCGTTTCAAGCTGATTCCATAAGAAAGTAGCTACTAATTTGGGATCAAATTCAATTAAGATGGTAAGCAGAACTAAAAAATACTTTGACAAAATACATGCCATATTTATAAAGTTGTTAAATGATTTTGATGTGAGTTGCAGATGACCCCAGCAAGCACTTTGACCATTTTTCTGGTAGGAGCGATAATTTTTGGAGGCACGCTTGTCGCAAGCCAAGATTCCAGTGCGAAAATACCGATCGTCTGGCCTGAGCAATGTGTTAATTGCTCTACTATCTGCAACACTTACTTGCAATGTTTGAAATTTGAGATGACTTCTCGTCTTGATGAAAACAGGATAGCGCTGTGTGGATATCGGTCATGCTGTGTGCATCCGAAAACTTACGGCTGTCTGACTAGATGTCCAAGACTGATCTTGGAACCGTATCCAACCCTTCCTATTGCTGAAATATAATGAACGAGATTCTAAATGTCCATAGAAAATTGTATAAAAAATAATGTATACATTTACATAATGCAAATAAATAAATTTATAGTGAGTATATTAATTGGTGCATGCACGAGTGCTTATAAATACAGTTAATGCACATCACATACTTCCTGATGCATATACAGCATATAAACCTGCATACTTACATGTTTCCTAAAACCTCGAATTCGAATAACCATAGTGTTTTCGATAGTCGGAGAAATTATCCATCGTAGTCTGGTTGCTTGTGGTAATGCAAAACGGAGTCAATTAAGTATATAACTCAAATTATCAGATTACATGTAAATATGTTGCAAACAGCTCTTGTCTTTCACTTTACTCGAAGACTCGACCTGTCTCACTTATCTTGAATATAATAAATATTTATATACATATTTTCAGTAAAAAGACAGCCAATTTCGTATGACGAACTGATTTTTCTCTTAGTGTACACGCCATACAACTAATCTTTCCAGAAAATAATTAGCCTTCATGAAAACAATTGTCAAAATTCCTTTTGTTGACATATTTACATTAAATCTAAATCTTATGCATTTGCACGATAAATAGCTCAATTTATTCCTTCCTAGCATGCTATACATAACAGTAATAATTAACATATTCCTAGAAACTGCGTCACTCAATCAATATAAAACCTGGGCGATTCCAAGCTAGGAAAGTTATTCGCGTTTTAAGGAGATTGAATGAAAACCCTGTTAATTTGGGCAAATAAAAAAATTAACAAGGCAAGTAAAACTAAAACTTTCAAGATTTATAAAGCTTTCGTGACGAATTGATATTTTATTTATGTATTTCAGATGAACCCATCAATAACTTTGAGCATTCTTCTGATAGCAGTGATGATTTCTGGGGGAACCAGCCAAAAACTTCCTGCGGACGACATCAGGCCTCCGATCTGGATTGATCAATGCGTTAATTGCACTACAATTTGTAGCGTTTACTTGACTTGCTTGAAATCTCAGGTGACCTACCTCCTAGAGAATAACAATCCTGGAATTTGTCGGTTGTGCTGTATCCACCCACGTGAGTTCGGTTGCTTGACTGATTGTCAGTGGGACATCTGCCCTTATCGATGGTATTGAATACTGAACTAGGTAGTTTCTACAAGTTTGTAGCATGGAGTAAAATCTAGGAAGTAAATTATGAGTATAACAACCCGATTTATGTCGAATAAAAAAATTAATAACTTAATGCGAATTAATATCATTCTTATGTAGGTGTTCTTTGAAACATTTTATGTATTTTGTATTGAAATGCGCATAATGCAATAATTACAATTGCCACTTATTGATGACAATTAGATTTATGAACTAAATAGTTCTTCATAACATTTCAAGTTTGAAATGTGATGGACCATTTTTTGAACGATATGTGTAAAGCAAACTTACTGAGGTGTTCATAACATGGCGACTATTGCGGTGCATCGAAGTAAATGGGACAGAATTTCTACGCGCCAAAATCACGTGCCCACTTGATTAACATTGGAGGCGGGCTGAAATTCAAATCAAATCTGTCCCGTTTACTTCGAGAATTCACAATATCAGAAGCAATATTTTTCGATAAGGCCATACATATGTACTTTATCTATAATAAAATGAAGGTGAAGAGTTTCATCAACGCGATCTAAAATATGTTAGCTGTATGCACATGCTTGTAAATAAATATGAATGCATAACATTGCCATACAACTGTGCTGACTCATTCAAATTATTTAATCACGAATAATATGCATCGTCAGAACCCCACGATCCCAACGAACTCAATAACTGTCAAGAAGATAAGTTAGTGAATTCATTATTTAGCTCACCTATTCATATGCAATGTAGATATGCATGAACATACATAATGCATGTATGTATGTGTGCATATTTATATACGTTTGATAACATGAGATATACCGATTTTTTGTCAAATCAGAAATTCCAAACAATTGTTTATAAAATTTGAATTAGCGTTCATAAAATTTTATTAGGATGTGGGTAGGTATATATTCAGTCGATCTTTAAACGCTCGCCAAAATTCCAATATTTCTCGAATTTTGAAAATTTTTACGCATTCTCGTCTCAGACAGTTGCTTTGTGATATCTGAAATCAAAATCGATTTGTTTTAATTTTTTGAGTAACTTCGAAAAAGTTAAAATTTCAAAAAGGCTGAATTTGATATTGAATGAGGAAGCAACTGTCGGGGACTATAAAAGTCTGATTCGTGCTCCTTTTCACTAATTAGTCCGGTTTTGAATCCCCAAATTAAAGGGTTAGCATCATAAATGTTATCCAGCTTGGTGTCCGACTAACATATGTACACATCGAAAAATTGGCGGAAACGAATCACAGATATTGTGACGTTATCCTCTTAAATGCATGAAATGTTTGTGTACATTTATAATAATCATGACGCATTAAACGATATAAATAGATCTTCTATACGAAAACTCCTTTATTATCAGTAAACAGTGTATGCGGATGACAAATTGATGTTTTGTGTACCCATGTAAACTTGGACGCATTTATATGGATATGTACATAAATACATACGTATGTAAACGTAATCAGCTTGGTCTCAACATGGGAATTAATCATCACGTCATAAATCGTATCAGAAATAATTGTGGTTATATGTAAATTCTCGTTATCACTATTTTGCGTCACATACTAAATGTTAAACTTGACATAATTTGCATCACATCTGTCCCATAATAAAGAGAACAAGGCTAGACAGAGTGGTCAGTTGTACAGTAAACATGATAGAAATTTTTATAAAAAACGAATTTCCAAGAAATTATAAGAATTAAAAAACATAAATTGTTAGGACCACATTTGATTGGATACACAGTAAAAAAAACAACTACAATTGAAATGTCATCGTCTCCTCAAGTTTTTACTTATACGGAGGAACCCCAAAATTATTATAATCCACCAAATTTTGAATACAGTAAAGATGAAACGTTACTATTCACAGATAAATCTATTCGCATTGGATTTGCGAGGTAATCAATAATTTTAATTTAATTAATCTAAAATAAAAATTAGCAACTATGTAATAGGATTTATTAATGTCTCATTTAGGAAAGTATTTTCCATCCTGCTCATCCAAATTCTCTTCACCTTCGGACTCGTTGCCCTGCTAACTTTCCACACTGAAATTAATAGCAAACTACACAAGTCCATGTATATTCAGGACATCTTTGTCTATGCCTCCTTCGGATTTGCTTTAGTGGATTTGGCGATAATCTTAATAATCCTATTTCAACCCAAGACTATTTCTAAGACTCCGTGGAACTATGTTGTTCTTGCTCTTGTCACAATTTGCACGTCGATACCGCTCGCCATATTGACGGCGTATATCGAGTAAGTCTTATAACAAATCGTGAAGCTCGATTTTCATAAATCGGGAATTTTATCAATTTGAGAAATTGATGAAAGTTGTTGCTAAATACATATTTAAGTGACACAGATTTAAATGTGTATTCAAATGCCTGCTCCCAAATCCTGATAATATGTACAATTTATTAATTTCAGGACAAAACAATCAGTATTCTTCGTAATTGGAATGATGGTCTGCATGGTTGTTTCCTTGTTACTTTTCTCCCTCCAAACTCGCCAGGAATTGACCTATTTGACCGGGTTTTTCATTTCCTTGACCTCAACGGCTGCCGCAGGGGCCATCATGTACTTCGTGGTTCGAGACCTGCCTGAAAATAAGGACCAGGAGGGGATGGTCGCCGGAATTCTCGGAGCCTGCCTGATTGTAACCGTTCTTTTCGGAATGATTTGGATAGCCATCGCCAGAGGAATTATGTTTGGTGAACCCTCGTCCAAGATGGCCTGCTCGCCGGAGGACTTCATCTTGGCCTCGATGCTGCTCTATATAATAACCATCGCGATTTTTGTACTGATTCTTCTAATCATAACTGCTAGTCAGTCGAACGCAGGAAATAATGTGAGAGGGAGTGGTTGTGGGCACTGGTTTTGGTTTTATCCCGTTTATGGGACGTCATCGGTGCATCATCGGAACACTGAGGAAGGTGTAAATTCGCAAAACGGCAGTGACCCGGCGAGAGAAGTGTAAAAGTATAATGATAAATATGTATATTTCTGTACATTGCACACACGTTTATGTAATAAAATTAATACCTGTACAATAATAAATACTTCCAAGTATAGTTAATTATGGGTATATGTAGATTTGCATATGTAGATATAAAATCTATAAAAATTGCGTCAAAACTGGATTCCAGCAGCAAATCAGTAAAACACGGTTTGAAACTAAATATTTCACGGAACTTAGTTTACGCCCGAATTAGAGTGGTCAAATTACCAGCTAAACCGAAAAGGTAACAAAATTTGTTTAGTCATAGATATGCAATATGACTCATAGTCCAAATAAAAATGCCGTAACAAAGTTCTAGAAAAAAATTTAGAATCCTACTGTGCCCATCGAGCTAATCCTGGATATATAGTCCTAGATATATAAGCTTTGTCGGTCCAAGACTACAGTGAGAAATCAATTATTTAGTTAAATACTCTTATTTTTCTTCACAATGCTTTCGGACAGCAATTTATTATTCGTCAGACAATCAAATTAGTAATAAAAGCTCCATTGAATGCTTTTGGCAGTGGTGGTATAGCACGTAATCTGTGCCTTGTAGTAGACTCCTTGCGCATACCAATATGGATTCCCGACGAAATGACCGGCTTCCTGTTTGTACAAGTCCACCCAGGTCAGTTCACCAGCAAAAACATTCATACATTTGCAGTTTGATTCCCCGGCGGCCGTTCCCGGTTCGTAAATGTCGTAACGGGCATAGACCCTGCTCGTCGGTGTTATAAAGTTTGGCGAGTAGCAGGCGGTCCATTGATTGGCCTTGGTGTTGCAGGTCCATACTTTTTTAGAATAGGTAAATGTTAAAATTATGAAGGGTACAAAATTGGACATTTTATGGGGAAAACTTACAGGTTTGACCAGCAGCAAAATTAGCGGCCATCAGAACGGCGAGGACTATAGAAGCAAAATTCATTTTGAAATTGAGCTTGATGAAGAATTTCTATAAGGTTTGAAATTTTAAAGGCGAAGAAGACAAACTGGACTGTGGTGCCGATTAAGGTGGATGTTCACCTTTTATATGAAATAAAAATCGTATAGTAAGCTAATAAATCTATTTCATACTTATCATTGAATTTTGTTCATAAGTGAGGATTAAATGTCAATGTAAAGTTTTGACGATTTTTATGACATGTTCGTAACTCGATTAAAATAGGTGTTCGGGTTGGTTATTCGTTAATCATTTCCGAGAAATCGTGGTGGAAAATTCATAATGTTTTTCCGCAGAAATATGGATTAAGCGCATGCTGTAAAACTATGCAAGCCGCATGGATTAAATTGTTAATTGGCGTGTCAATTGTGGTCATGACATGACATGCTCTGTTATGCGAGCTCCGGATCGTGGTTCTTCCTTTTACCTGTCATTATACCTTGCACATTTCTACATATCTAAAAATGTAAAATTAAGGTTTGCTCGTAAGCTTCAGCTAAGTACAAAGTCTTAGCATACCTATGTACATATGCATTTCCCTTTCTCTGAAATACTTTGTCACTTTGTTCCCAAATATCTTCGGTGTTTGTTATATTTTATAGTAGGACTAGTCTCTTAAGCCCGCAATGCGGGCTCTAATCAAAACCATTTGATTTAGTTTAGCGATACAAATGTCTGCTAAATAATTGCTACACATTTACATTCACACAGAGCAAAGGACCGTGGACTTGATCATCACGTTGTATAGGACGATGTGTAATAATACAGTTCGTCACGTCACCAATGGTGACTCACCATTCTAAAGGGGTGAGCACGTAAAACTTGTCACGACTGTAAAGTGTGTGACAACGAAAAACGTTCCATCCCGACTCTATGGGTATGCCCACGAAAAATGTTCAGTCACGACTCTAAAGGGTGTGACCACGGGAAACTGTACCGTCACGACTCCATGAGTGTGACAACGAAAAACGTTCAGTCACGACTCTAAAGGGTGTGACCACGAAAACCGTTCAGTCCCGACTCTAAAGGGTGACCACGAAAAACGCTCAGTCACGACTCTAAAGGACGTGATCGAGAAAAACGTTCAGTTATGACTCTAAAGGGTGACCGAGAAAAACGTTCAGTCACGACTCTATAGGGTGACCACAAAAAACACAAAGTTACGACTCTAAAGGGCGTGACCACGAAAAACGTTTAGTCACGACTCTACAGGGTGACCACGAAAAACGTTCAGGCACGACTCTAAAGGGTGACCGCGAAAAACGTTTAGTCAAGACTCTACAGGGTGACCACGAAAAACGCTCAGTCACGACTCTAAAGGACGTGATCGAGAAAAACGTTCAGTTATGACTCTAAAGGGTGACCACAAAAAAGGTTCAGTCACGACTCTGAAGGGTGTGACCTCGAAAAACGTTCCGTCATAACTCTATTATGTGCGTTCAGATCAATAGTTCAAGTGTAGTCGATTCCAAGTTAAATTGTTCTAACGTTTTAAAAACGATGAGGCACTTGAAGCGAAAGCCCGCCATCTAGCGGGCGGGAAAAAAACTCCGAAAAACAACCAACACCCGGTAGGTGGCGCTGGTAGGAAATTTAAATTAGTAGGGCACTGGTCAAGTCAACCATAGCGTGGGTTCTTACGGGTTACAGGTCAAGTGTCAACTTTACGGGTTGTTCGCAGGTCAGAGAAAATGTCAAGTCCAGTGGGTGTGCCCAGGTCACAGGTCAAGCGTCGAGTCCAGTGGGTGTGCCCAGGTCACAGGTCAAGCGTCGAGTCCAGTGGGTGTGCCCAGGTCACAGGTCAAGCGTACATACGTGAAGCACTCGACACTCGACGCGTACACACGGCAAGCGTGACATACATACGTATGCATGTAAATATGCAAAAATTAAATTATTCAGAGGCATTAAATTCAACTTCAAATCGAAGTATTATCAATTTATTTCCAATTTTTTTAAAGATAAGATACAAAAATTATTTAGTACTTACATAAATAGATACATACATACATATGTACATATGTATATCACAAGAGAGAATTTAAGTATTGAAAATAATAATAAATGCAAGAGTATGCATTTATGTATCAATACCTGCATATTTATTTAACATTGATAATGCAAGGAAAAGCTATAACTCATCCTCAGCTCTACAATAATTTTTATTGTTTTCTTGTCAAAGAGTGGAAATCCCAAGCTGCCAACTTTGCAGGTTCACCATGCAATGCAGAATGATGAGTTAAACGAATACATATATACGCATGCACATATGTAATATTATGTAATGTATTTTTTGTCTGTTCTGAATTATATAACTTGGTCCCACACTTTAGCATTGCATTCAGTATGTATGGTTTATGATATAACAATTATCTGTTCGGTCAGCTGTATATGTACATACATAATTTCCAATAATACCGGATTGCACATAACACTTACATTTAAATTCCTTATTAAAATTGCTCCACGTCAACACACAATACCAGGTGTTTTAAAATTTGTTAATGTGGCCACAAATTTGTGTGTGGTTGGTAACGGTAGGATATTCAGGATTTAAGGGTTTATATATACATACAATAACCATACAACTAAATTTTCTCTAATTTGTGATAGACTTTTTAATTCGAAATGACCACCCCCTTGGATAGAACGGATCAACCCGACTTCCAATCTTTCATCCTAAACCCGCTTGATATACCAACAGTTAGTACTTACATACCTATGTATATGATATATTTAGGCTTATCTTGCATGAACGTATATATGTTTGCATCTACACAAATGCATATCTACGTGAAACCTGATAACAAGTATGATTTTTTATACGTTGCAGATCTTGTCAAAAATTCTGGCATATTTACCCCTTCACGATTTACGAAGCACGCGATTAGTAAACTCTACCTGGAAGTTGGAATCCGACCCGTATTATCTCGAGGAAGGAATATTCCGTTTTGACACTTCTCGTCGCATCGCCAAATTAAACAGATACATTGCTTCGTATCTTCACGAAGGATGGAGACATCGCAACTTTTCTCTCGATCCGACAATACCTACGGATTGTTTAAAAGCGTTCTTTAATATTTGTGGCATCTTTATAACCAGTCTCGAATTAAGCAAAGTCTCTCATCACAATTTTAACTTTTTACGCGATACACCAAACTTGGTCAAACTTTCCCTTCGTTTCGTCGTGGACGATGTTGATGGGTCCAAATTCGTCAGAACTCTAAATTCAGACACTTTGCAACTGAAGAACTTGCAGATTTTCAACGTGGGAATCAGATTTTGGCGATATCTTCTTCCCAGCGAAATTACTATGGTCGCAGTTTACTTGCTGCAATTGTGTAGAAATGTAACCACGCTCAAATTTGAGGAAGGATATTGCGACAGTCAATTGCAAAATGTGTGCGTTCAATTAATTTCAGAAAGAGATGAATTAGTGCCAAATTTGAGAAATATCACAACTTCACGTTTTGGAGCAAATATGGTAAAAATGCTCAAAGCGATGGACAGACCTGTGACTGGGATAAAATGTGGGATCAATTTGAAAACCGAGGAAGAACTGAATGACTTGGAGATAATTATGATGAAATTTTCCCAGACTTTGGAAGTATTAGAATTGGATGTCCTCGAGGTCCACAAGGGAATTGGAAATGAGTTTACTTTTGTAAAAATGCCACAATTAAGAAAGCTAGCGATCCGGTTTCTAAAGCACGATGATGCAAACTGCAATCTAATTGAGTTGATTGGCAGAAAAATAGCGGTACGCTCATACATAAATATGCTTATCTTTTAGTAGAATTACATGTAGATATGGCAATTAATATGCACAGTATTTATAAAGTCGGTTTCCATACTTTTTTTGCAGGACAAAGCGATATTGAAGGAGCGACTTCCGCAATTACAATCTTACAAAGTTACTTTTGGTGCCAGATTGATCAAGAAATTACATAACTAAAAGTTGGGGTTCTATTCTGTTCTTGTATTATCTGTATGTTCGGAAGCGATTACAATTTAACCAAACATGTGTGGAAGAAGATTGCATGGACGTATTAAATCGAATTATTTACAGATCGGTATTAATGTGGCCTTCGACTGGCAAGAAATGGATGTATTAATTGCGACAAAACTATAACTGAACAACTCAGCCTTGTCACAAAGTATGTAATACACACACCAAATCTGTCATGTAATTTGTCCATGAATAAATCATGCTCGATGAGAAACTAAAATACTGATATGTAACTAGTTCAATTTTGTCAGAAACTTTGGGAAGTAATTAAGCAACTTAAAAACAACAATTGAGTTTATTGAAGCTTTATAGGAGATAAAAATTTTATTCTTTTCCGAAAGTATGTCAAAAATATTAAATAAACTAAATTTAGATAAGCTTAGATAAATTTTCTCCACAGTGAATGAAATGACAGGTATGTAGTGTAGTACTCCAAGCAAAAATTAGTACCACAACTTTCTAAAAATTACCCTGTCGGGTGCCGCACATAAATGCGCAGCTCGTAAATTTTATTACACATCCTGGATGTGTAATATTATGATATGATTTATGAATATGAATTTTGTGATAGAAGAGGTACTATATTTTTGAGTCGACCTTTCGCCAGGAAATATCACGTTTCAGTCCTTGCATAGTGATTCATATGTATTTAATGCTCGGTACACAAGTTTTTTAACTGTTGGTTTTACAAATAAATCTGTGTGTAATGAACAAATATATAGCACTTTAAATTCACAAATTACAGTATATGCACTTCTATGTGTGCTATCAATTTACACCTGTGAAATGCATACACGCTACAGAAATTCATGAAGAAAGCTCACGGAGAAAGCTCACTTTTTCACTCGGTCTCATAATGTGAGACTCAATCTCCAACTAGCACAGCGCAGGCTTGCATCGATCCGATCGTGATGGCGAGTGGGAATAAAGAATGATGATTTTCTTTTCTTCATCCGGCTGGTTTTTTAAAAAATACTTGTAATTTTCAATATTTAAAATCGATTTAATTAAAACCGAGTGTGTGTCTGAGTGGGTGTGGATACCAACATTTGCACCAAGGTAGGTGAAACATTTGCCAATTACTTAATAGCGTACAAATTTACAATTCAGAAATTAATAACAAACTAAACAAACGGCTATTACATATATTATTCTCTAATTGTTATGTTTTAGATGCGTTGTTGCGTGATTTGTTCCCATAAATTCACACCACACCCACAGCCCCTCCTTGATGAGCAGCTCTGTTCTCTGTACTTTATTAAGTTCCTCTTCCCCCAAGAACTCTTATCTCCGGAGCAAATAGTGTCCCTAATTTCGAATGGAGCCAGTATATCCGATACTGTCGAGTTTTGCGCCGAGTGCCACGCTCAGGTCGGTATAGTTTTTGTAAATAATTTATACAACGATACAAATGTTCCTACATTTTCTTCTATAAAATTTGTTTCTGTGCAGATTTTAGAGTGCAAATCGATATGGGGACAACTTAATGCTCTGCAAGAACAATATTCCACATTGAAATCGAAGATAAAAAAACAAATCCTCCTCATCACTTTGAATAGGAAGAAAAAGGCGGAGGGGGAGGTTGATGTTTACACCGAGATACGAAAAAGATTGAAAGAAGGTGGGTCAGTTTCATAATGGGGGTGATGATATTGCTGCTGATATGATGACAGTAATTATGCATAGTTATAATTTAATGCAATTTTCACATTTCAGTTGAAGATGACGACGATGCCATCGCAGATCTTACGTTTGCAGATAATTCTTCACCGCCACCTCCTCCAATTTGTTTGTACGGATCGGATGTAAATGATAATGATGACGATGACATGGGAGGGGAACCATTATCGCCAGTGTCCCCAGCTCCTTCAGATACACCGAAAGAATCCATTAGAAAGCACCGCAAGACTGAAAACAAAAAGACGGATGTGCCATCATCCACTAGTCGAAGTAAGCTTAGAATGTAGAAATATATAATAAATAATAAAATAAATGGTGGCACTTGGGAAACTTATTTCGTATTTTATAGAACCAGCACCGAAACGAAGAAAAACGAGGAAATCCAGCCGCAAAAGAAATCTCTCGGAAGAATTTCAATTGAAGCTTGAACCAAAGTGTGAACTAGTAATAAAAGAAGAATTTGTATCAGAGTCAGAAGAGGCTGACGACGACATGCCTGAACTTGAGGAGGACGACACAGAATACAGTAGTTTATTTATTTACTATAGTTATCTAGTGCTAAACATTACTAATTCAGAATTCGAAATATTTTTAGAACCTCGAAAATCGCGATCCAGAACCCCACGAATAAAAAAAGCAAAAACGCCTGTCCCTCCAATCGTCGGTGACACTCCCATTCGCGAAGGGAAAAGAAAATATGTGAAGAAACAAAACGTCACGTTTAACTGTCCAATTTGTCCTTGTCCCTCTTTTCCAACTATTTCCCTATTGCTCACTCATTTACAAAAAGGTCACGCCAAGGAAGAAACTCTGCCAAAATTCTGGTGCGATGAAGGCCCCTGTTCTCAAGCAAGGAAAGGATTTCTAAAAGCAGAGTGGTTACTGTGTCACCAGCAAGAAGTTCACAATCACGAAAAAATTCCTCCCCCCAAAACCATGAATGTGGAGTCAGAAAAGACTGCATCAGACAGAACAGTTGATGATAAAACAACAACGGCGACTGAGCATATCGTTGAAGAAGTTAACAATGGGACGATGACGACTATGGCGACTGAACATGATAAACCAGTGGCCGTCAAGTCTACAGAGCATGATGCACATGAGGATAATGGAACAATGCCCACTACTGAACCTGATCAAGCTGTGGACGACAACGACGCTAGGCCAATGACAACCGAACCTGATGCTGTGGACAATGGAACGATGGCGTCGACTGAACCACCTCCGCCAGAAATGCCTAGTCACGCTGATCGTCTCGTCATGGCAGCGCTAGAAGGTCGAACTTGTCCCAAATGCTACAAAATATTTGTACTTCCATCTGGTAAGTGTTTTAGCTGTAAATTAGTTGTTTAAAAATGTGTATGCATCATCGTCGTTACTCAAACTTACTCTTTAAATTTCCAGCCATGCGAGAACATTTCGACCACGTCCACAAGATCATGACCCTTAACCCATTTATGTGTCATATTTGTCCCAAATCGTATAAGCGAAAGTTAAATTTACTCCAACATCTTAAAGAGCACGAGGGAGGGGACACAATCCCAGCGTTCGGGTGTGTTTCGTGTCCCCGTAGATTTAGGAGAAAAGTCGATCTCGATCTACACGCCAGAATTCACACCGGGGCTGCTGGATTACTTTTCTGCTCCATTTGTGGGATGGGTTTCAGACAGCATTTCAGTCTTAAAAGGCACAACATTCTCCGTCACAACGCCGGAGGTGGCGAAACATTTGATTGTAAATTATGCGGTAAAAAGTTTAAGATTGTGTCCCATCTCAAGCAACACATGGCGAGCCGCACCCACGGAGGAATGGGGTCTGCATGGAAGAGGGTGCGAGAAAAGAAACCAAAACCCATTAGTAATGAAGTGTTGAACTATTCAGAGGGTTATTGTGGGAGTGGGAGTGAAGGTGCCAATGCGATGCACCACGAGGTTGAAATCTCTAGGAGTCATATTCTTCAATATGATGTTCAAGCTGGAATCAGTGGGGGTGGTCAAGGATCATCGTCTTCTATGTCGAACGTCCAGTGGACAGGAGGGTGGTGGGTTCCTCCATAGATTCCAGAGCTTTCTTCCCACAAAACGTAAACTCATGTAATGGTTTATGGGGACAACTTATCTTGTGTATGTACGTATGTACATACATACAATAGAAAAATTAGATGACAATTGTAATTCTGTTTACATTATTATTTAACATATGAAGTTTTTAATTGACTGTTCCCAAGCTGTCCAATAAATTTTTTGCTCATTATAGTGCACGCTTATGTTTCGGTTAGTGATTAAGGTCACAAGATTGTGAATATCGGTAGCTCTGAAGTATATATAAATACTTTTTTTAATTTTTAGCATGCTTTCTTACTGTACTTTTAGTATTAAACTGACCCATGTTCTCAGTGGTAACAGTATTAATTCATATGTCTTATCTATTCATTACAAGCTTTCTGTACTAATGTACATAAGTAAGTAAATACTTTTGAAGTTTGTGAAAATTGTCGAGTTCAATCATAATTTCGTGATCAAGTACATATGTGCAATTTGTAATAATGTAATTGTTTTCCAATTCACATTTTCGGTCTAAATAAAACAAATAAAGTGTATTTGAAGTAAGTATTAAGGTGTTTATGACTAATTTTGGGAAACTTTTACAGCATAATCCCTCTCGGTCAATCACAGTCAACTACAGATCTGCAGATTAAGTAAATCATCTACATATTTATTTATTTCACCCATGTTTCCATGTTTTGTTTGCATTCATGTCTAATTTGTATAAATTTGTACAAAATTTGTATCGGTCGGTAATTTAAGTTATTAGAGGCATAATAAATATCTAAATACCCAAACCCCATGCGTCGAAGTTTTATCCAAGTTCAAATGCGCATATGTACTGTACATACATAGATACCACTCCATACTTGGTTTGCATATGCTATTCAACTTAATATGTATAATAAGAATTCACACATAAAAATCAATCATTTATGTAATTACGTCAATAAACCCCTGAATTTCCTCATAACTGACTAATCCCACGAAAAATATGTACATAATTAAGTGTCGTCAACATTTCATGGAATTGGAAAATTATAAAATTCAATTGATCCCGTATAAATTTATGACTTGGGTTTAATCCCTGTCGATATATAAGGATTCCGAACTCCTCTCCGCAGTTATTAATATCCACTTCGAGTCCACCTCGTCGTCGTCAATATGAAGTATTCCGCCCAAATCGTTGTCTTTGTCCTCTGCCTCTTTAATTCGGGACATTGTTGCAGATTCCTACCCGGAACTACCTTCCCCAAAGGCTACACATGCACCATCCCAACAGGTCAGCTAGCATGGCGGACTGACGGGAACTTGGTGATTTACAACACTAAAGACAATGTAAGATGGGAGTCAAACACGGCAAATCGTGGGCATCGTGCTATATTTCAAACGGATGGAAATTTCGTCATCTATGACGCATCCAACTCTCCGATATGGTTTACATACACGTTTGGCAAGGGAGCAACATATCTTGAATTTGGGAGCGATAGAAATCTCGTACTTGGAACACCTTCTGCAATCTTGTGGCAGTCCAATACAAAAAATACCGAGTATTCCAAGGCAACTTTGCACACTCATTGGTTTTTTGAAGGGGACAAGATTGACATCGTCCTGCTCGACCAATGTCACAATCTACCAGCGAATTGGAGAAAGCAGGCCTCTTCAATTTACACGCAGGACACCTGCGTCAAACTCTATGACGTAATTCTCCACAAATTTTAATATGATACCAAATTTTAGTTTTCTAAAATTTGGTTTATTTGTAGAGATTAAAAGCATTTAAACTCTAATAATTTGGCGTTTTCATCAGGGTTTCAACTGCCAAGGAAATTGGATCGAAGTAAAACCTGGCACACCGTCTCACGACAATTTGGGCGACCCCAGGGTAAACTTTAACGACAAGACACAATCTGTCAGCCCTTGCGGAACATTCCAACAGAGCCAACCCCTCACTTGGAAAGAACATTGGTTTGAACATAACCAAAATATTCAAAGGGTGTATGCTGACGCAGATCTTGTCGTGTATTATGATGCCGACGTCAATCGAGGGATTACATGGCCCTTCCAATTTCTTGGCGATGTTTGGCGCTACACAAGAAACGTTTATGGTGATTTTGGTCCAGAAAACAATTTGTATGCAATTTTCCACGCAATGAAGTATGCCGGCGGCCACCCGGCCACGTTTATGGACGGGCATCATGATTTCAGAAATGTAATTGATTGTGGATTAGAGGAGCCCAATGCTTGGGTTGAGGGTCAGTTATTTAATGTCTATAATAGTCGAGACGTGATAGGCCTCCTTCCCTTGGGAACAAAATGATTTTTTTTCCATAGCGGTTTTTCATTTCAAAAATTTGTTAAAAAGACAACGACGTGCAGAAAAATTGTCTGTATAGCAAGTATGAAATACCAATAGAAAACTAATTATTTTTTCAAGGTTGAGTGAGAGATCCTAAAATCATGCACTCCACTTTACAAGCAATACATATTTTTGATATAATTTTCAGGTAAAGGTCAACATTTGGAATTGCCGATTCATGAAATTGCTCATATTGTTGAATCAGCCAGTCATGGAATCCTATCCAGCCCAGCCTTTGGAATTTGGAGGGATAGTAAATGGGCTGAGATTTTTATTTACGACGTCTTCAAAGGCTTGGGAAGGACAGCAGAAGCTAACGATTTTTATAATAGAATGATGTCAAATACCAACGGGGACAGTTTTCCTCGTCCGGGAACCTTGTGGTTTAAAAATTGGTTTTATCCAATCTATTCAAAATATGGGGGAAACCGGGCTCTGGTAAAATACTTTGCCCTCCTGGCGCAACATTTCCCAAAGGCAGGATTTCGCTATTCGAAAAGTATGAATATGGGAGAGTTCGTGCACTTCTGGAGTGGCGCGGCCAATGCGAATCTATTATCGCAGGCCACAACAGCATTTGGATGGACGACGGAATGGCAGAACCAGTTGAACACGGCGAAGCAGGAATTTCCAGGAATTATTTATTAGCTGGAAAATATTTTTTTATGAAATAAATATATTGTCAGCTAATTAAGTAAATAATTCATATTGCCTTGAATAAAAATTTCGGTTTTACATACTTACAAATTCTTAGATAATTCCTGAATTGCATTCTGGGAATAAAATGAGTAATTGAATTATTTTAAGAGTTTATTAATACTCACGTATGTATTTCCTATTGCAACTCATTTGGCAAATAATTTTGAAAAACAAAATCATGCCAATTTGCTTGGTAGGTAAATTTTCATGCACAAATCCTACGGTATTCAATGCATCAAAAAATTTAACAAAATGTAAATATATTCAAATTTCGAGATTTGCAAGGTATGTGAAAATATTTAGGCACAGACTGGGACCAAAATCACGGTCGGCACGATAACATACTTAATTTACGCCAGCTACTTGTCTAATAACCCTCGATATAATTTCTGTCAATCAGAAACACGCTGTTTTTGCAAGCAGGGTTCCGAAAGTATCGCTTTTTGTTTGACCAGCACTCTGGATGTTTTGTGTTTAGTTTAGTAATCAGCTTATATTTCATTGAACTTATTCCGTGGAGTATGTAAGGAATTTATTATGTTTTAAAAATTCCGAATGACAAAATGTGGGTAGCATTATTTACACACACTTAAAACGAGAATATTCCTTTACATGGCTGCATAAATTGCATGCGTATTTTGGTCATAAGTTCATCTTTCAGTGAAATTATGCAATGCGTTTAACTTCACTTGTCAAACAAAGATTTTTAAAAAATACAGGATGATGTGTGGCAGAAGAAAAACTAAACTGTGCTTGAAACCCTGCCAGCGGAGTGATGTGCTTCATTCCATAATAATTTAGATAATACCAGTTTTCTAAGAGTGTACATATGTACGTAGGGGTATGTACTTATATGCATACAGTAATTCAATATGCATGCAAACAGTAGCAGCAATTTATTCACAATTTAATTACCATAAACGGTGCCACATGCAAGATTTTAATTGATTTCTTTTCCAGAAATAATCCCGGGAGCAGGTGGATTTCTCTCAAGAAAATTAGACCACCTGGCTCAACCAAGACCTAACTAAATGAGACAGGCATTGTATGTATTTACATCACAAAATAAATTAGAAACAAAGAAAAATAAACCGTAGTAACGTTAGAAATAGCTCACCCTGTCATAATGATTTAGATATAACTTTGCACCGAAGGTGCTGTATAAGCCGACAAAAGAGATCATAATTTTTATGTATTCTTGCACCAATGGTGCAATTTAAACGAAAAATAGGTACAAGCGCCGAAATAGTTTGCACCACGTGTGGAGCATTAGCGACCAATTGGTATTTTGGAACTTTGAAAACTTGGTAACTTTGAAAACTTCGTGTCAAAATTGTATGATTATTTCTCCCGGATATTCTGCACTATTGGTGCGTTTTGTATCAATTCCAGCAATTGTTTCGCATCATTTTGTGTCACCAATTGTTAGAAACCAACGGTGCTATATATTGATTAAAAACGGACCTGGTACATTTTAATTAGCATCAATTGATGCAAAAAAGTCGTTAACAGACGGACGGACGGACGGACAAGAGGAATTCAATAGCTCCCGTGCTACGCAGGGTGAGCTAATAATGATGCAATTTCAATGCAATGTCTACGCAAATATGCAAGTGTCCAAACTAATGAAAAATCAATTAAATTACAAACCAATAAACTTAACTAACATTCCAGCGACACCAACGACTGAAGATGATGACCAGTATTGCAGGGATGAATACATACATAAGACAACACATGCAAAAATTCATTTATGTATTTCGTAGCAAAGTAGTATTTTATTTTATTTTACGTGATCTTCAAGTTAAAAAAACAATCAGTATTTGCTTATCGCTTGTTTCTTCAACTAGTCATCATACTAGTTTTGAGGGTGTTATACTTATCTAATTGGTGTTTCTTAACGTTATACATACACATGTAACAAGTAACTCAATTTTTCTTTTCTATATTTGTCACTCTGCATACGTAAAAAGTACCAGTTAAAATTTTACTGAAACTGAATCATTACTGAAACTGAATCATTAAAACTGAATCATTATTTTGAAAGTATCATCAAGTAATTTTGTCTCAAGTTATAGCCTTCATACATCAGTCATTGCTTTAATTATTCGCTGCATCTAAACAAATATCGATTGATTGTAAACTGTAATAGGACAAAACTAAAAAATGGTATTTTGTATAAATAATAAAGTGAACCAAGATGAGAAGATAAAGTCTAAGCTGGAACCCGAAACTCAGCAAGGAATTTTTAAAAGAATTTTATTCGAGTGGAGAAATATTTCGATTCTGCTCTTCCTCTACACATTGCAAGGCGTCCCCGGTGGTCTAGCCGGATCAATTCGTCTTCTTCTCCAAACTCGTGGCACAAATTACTCCGACCAAGCCATTTTCTCGTTAGTTAGCTGGCCTTTCAACTTGAAATTATTATGGGCCCCACTGGTGGATGCCATTTACTGGAAGCGCATGGGAAGAAGGAAGTCATGGCTCGTACCGGTTCAATATCGTATTGGTGTCACATTATTATGCAAATAGGAAGATTCATTGGATTCGGACTCTTCATAAACTTGGCGTCTCCTGATTTTTCAAATAAATATTTACGCATTGTGCCAAAAAGTGACGTGGGAGTGGTCACTTTATCCGGTTTTATGTTCACGTGGTCAATTATTTACTTTGTTTGTACGACGCTCATTTTCATCTGCAAGAAAGAGGAGGATGCAGATCCAGAGATTGAAAGTGCTGAAGTGGACGAGGACAAAAGGAATGTAATAATTATTAGTTATATCTTCGACTATGGCATATCCTCAAATTGCCTGCTGTACAAAATTGTCTTGTCTTCTGCTTAACATGCAATGTGGGTAATCAGTATTTCCTTAACAAAGTTATGAGTAATACACTGTGCATATAATTAATCTGTTTATTTATTTATTCATTGTAACAGTTAGCCTTTGCTGCATCTGTTCTCAATGATTTCAAGCTGGTAGAAGCTGGATTGTCCAAAGAGGTTTTGGCACAGCTCTCCGTTCCGTTAGCACCACTTGGACTTCTGATCACTGTACTAATGACAAAGTGGACGTCGGGACTGCGGCCAATGAGTCTATTTAGAAATACTTATGGTCTCACGTATGCAGATAAACAGGCAGAGTTTGCTCATAACGATATAAATTTTGACCCACCATTTGTAGGTTGCTCTCGACAGGTATTTCTGCAGCAATGGTGCCGGTAACTAGGTTTTTAAGCAACAATGGCACATTCCCATCGTGGTATTTCCCCTCACTGCTCGGGATTGATATATTCGCTACGGTAGACAAGTCAGTCACCACAAAATATGCATTCAATATAATTAGTTATTTTCTCTTTAGATTTGTTTCACATGTACGGGTGTCGCTCAGGTTGCATTTATCACGAAAATCAGCGATCCGGCGTATGGTGCAACTTACGCGACATTATTCAACACCGGAATAAATGTGGGGGCAATCGGGTCTGAAGCGGTTTCCCTTTGGTTGGTTGACCCCCTCACAGTGAAGTCTTGCAGCTCTGACGGATTGTGTTCCACCGTGTTCGATGGCTACTATGTTGAGACGATAGCTTGTGTGATTATGGGTGCTGGCTGGTTTTACTTCTGGGGAAATAAGGCCATCACGGAGCTACAAGAGAAGCCTGAATCTGCATGGAAATTAGGGACACTACGAAATGAGTGGCAGGCTGTATGATACAATAATTTAGAAGAATTTCATTTAATATCTACTTCCAAAACCCACACTTTTAATATTAAGGATTAATTATGTAGTTTGTTCAAATTAAAAAACTCTCAACGTATAATAAATTTTTTGTCGAATTGAGTAACCGAAATTGTTTTATTAATTGTTTTATTAATATGCTTTATTAGTATGTAAAATGAGAAATTTTAAGGAGCTATGAAAGATTACGACTATTTTAAATATATGTAACATCTCCACTATGTAAAAAATTAACTATGTAGTGAACGACTATGAACACTAGCAAATGACGATGTAAAAAACAACTTTGAAACGCATACACTATGAAAAAAGAACTATGAAAGACATGACTAGGAAACGCTCAGGAATTTCTCCGTTAATCCAACAGTATTTTTGACAACCCATCAGGTCACATGTAAGCTCCTACTGGATTTAAAAAAATGCGAGAAGTAATTTTAAGTCATATAGTCGACGAAAATTTTGTCCATGTGCACATGGACAAAATTTTCAATAATTACACATATGTGTGAGTATCTAAATAGAGAAAATCATGAGGTCAAGGGCAAACCTCTGAATGAATAAATGCTTCACTCATACCCTGCATTTCACAGCAAATCGAGCGCATGCAAGTGGTAGTGGGAAAGTTCTAGTAGCTAAACTCCAATGTTAATCGACCTTAATTCATGTCACAAGATAACCAGACACTTATTTTTTTAATTTTTGGATATTGACTGGGATGTACAAAAATCGATGACATGCAAGGTGAGATACAGCAATACGATTGAAACGTCAATTACAAGTAGATTTCTTTTATTCAGAATACCATTTTATCTATTAAGGAATAGGTAAAATGGTGAAAGTCAATGTTTATTTGGTGAACAAATTTATTTGGAATGTACATTTTTCTGTTTCGGAGTGAAATCTTTTTATCTTTTGGCAGCCATGCTAGCGACGCTTTCCAGGACAGCACCAATGTGGTATACAATTGTATTGGCAGCGCCACCAGTGTCGCTTATGCCGGAGAATTGCTTGATCCAAAAAATTGAACCCTTCAATACTCTTTCCAGGATCTAAATACCCTATTTCTCCTGTAGAAATGACAAAATAATTATGCGGCTTTAGTTATTTTTTAATACTACATTATAATAATCGCTGACAGAGTATGAACTTACCATTTGGGGCAGCGTCGACTTGGAAATTCGTGACAGCAGCAACCGTGATCGCCAAAAAGAGCAAGATAGAGAATGGAGACATGACGTCCACAGGAAAATAGTTATATCGGTTTCGTTGTCTTATGACAGACTTTGTGTGGATGAGTAGGGAACTTGCCAAACATGCAATTTATACCCAGCTCTGTTGCATAATCAATGAAATTGGGGAGCATTGTTGATTAATTGAGGGCGATGAAAGTTTTCAATCTTAATTCACAATTTGAAACTGAAGGTAATTTTGCTTTGTGTATAAGCACAAAATCCTTGAGTTGGTAAGTTTTCTATGCAGTATTATTATTTCTTATGGACTTCTTAATGAGGAATTTTTTGTGTTATTTTAATGGCTCTAAATTCAATACTTTATGAGGATTACGTGAAGATTTATTTCAATGGATTTCACCAATTAACCTTCTCCCCAAGCAATATGTACTTAAGTCGTGCCTGCCAATAGAACAACAAAGTGCTGTTAATTCATTTATTGATTATGAAGTATCCTTGGCAATTTTCGGTGGAACGAGGTGACACCGAACCGTCATCGGGTGATTTGGTAAAAAAAGTCCGTATGGACTTACAGAATTATTCGGTTATCAAGGTGCATTTCAGAGTAGGGACGACGGCGTTGGATAGCGTCGTGCTCCCTCGAAACTTCATACTTTTGGAAGTCACTGGACTGGATTTTCCCAGTTACTCCGAAGTTCATGGAATTTAGCCCTCATTTTCATCAAAACGGTTACGCGCTGTGTATATGCAGACTACCTCAGATAACAATTTCGGAGATGTAATTATCAAATATGAGCACTGACGTAGTGAGAATAAATTATTTATACAGTCACACCAAGTAATTACAACATTTAGTATTTATTAACCCCAAATCGGATTTCAAACTCCACAGCATCACAAATTGAGACGTCACATGCAATGACAAAAATTAAACATTTCATCCAGCCAACCCCGGAAGAAGGAAAAGATGCGAAGTTCAAGTTCATCATTAAAATTAATCATTTTTTATTATCATGTCATCATTCCTCCCGTCGAGCATGTCAAACGGGAGCCGTCTACACAGCATGCGAGTCGAGTGACGACTATTAATCTGAATTCGTATTTTTGACCAACAAGCTCCACGTTGTGATGTGGTACATATGCTACCAGCTACATATTTCTGAAAAGTATGTAGATGTAGATATTATAACACATCAGTCAATGTTTATTGTGTTTTGCACATTTTTTTGCATTTTGAGATGAGACGAAAGCAATACAAACATACAATGAGATGAGGTGTGAAGAAATCTGGAGGCAAGTTGAGACTGTTGTTCCTTCCGTAAATTTGACATTTGTATAGATTCCTGAGATTGTAATTCACACAATTTATGAATTTAATTCCAATCATACAATATTGCCTATTAATGTTTATGGATATGTATTTAGGCACATATGTATAGATTTAACGGCAATCATAAATTTTTACAAGGTTGTTTTGTTTCTTTGCTTTAATTCTACTTTCCATTACTATGTACATACATTCTACCATTTGTATCACAAATCGGGTATAATATTCATAATAACATGACTTAATGAGCAATTAATTTGCTGTTAGTTTGGAGAAAGGGGTAAATACTTACAAGTATTTAGTGCTGTTTACTAAAGTACTTAATCGTTTTTATATGGATATTTTTGGGAAATACCTAAACACATGTGCTGCTTTTTGGACAAGATCACTTTCTACTCTACTACTAAAACAACAAATAAGCTGCTTGTTACTTTAGTTGTTCGTCTATATTTATTCTGGACAGTGATTATACTACACTGTCAACTGTTGAGCCGCTAAATATTTATTTGGCATTTTGTAAAACGATTTTTATTTTATTTTTCCTGTTAAACATCTGAAATTGGGACATTAGAATGACGGCGTACAAATTTATTTTCGCTTGGTGTCTTACGTTAATATCAAACCTGGAAATTATCCAAGCAAGAGTAAGTCTTAAAATTAAGTACTTTGGAAAATAAAGGATCTAAGGCTCGGTTTGGAGGGTTAGGGTACTTTTTACCGCCCTTTATGCATAATAAATCGAGAAAATTAGCGACAAATGCATATTTTTAATTCCCCACCCATAGGAATCGTATGAAGAAGTACCCAGTGATGTGAACATAGGCCGTAGCTTGATTCAGACAAACCCATCTCACATGGAAATCATGATGGAAAGGTTAATGCTGGATGTTACCGGAATTAAAGAAAATTTAATAGAGTTAAATTATCAGGTGAGCAAATTTAAAAAGTAACACTTATTCATTACGTGTTTTCATATGCTCATATCGCAATATAATTATTGAAATCATTGAACTAAATAAATACTAGCCTTGGGGGTGTGCAAGTTTGCAAAATTATTTGCGAACGTTGCTAACTATTAGAGCTCGTCGTGAATACCCTCAATATGACAATAAATTCATACAAAAAACCTATCAGTACAGCTTTGCTTAGCCCGAACCAGGAATGATTAGTAAACCCATGTTTGTCAGTAGTTTTCTATGAAATTATGTGCTACTATTTTGCACTAATTCTTCCATCAATCCTTCGTATTACTAGGCTCCAAATTCTAAAAATATTTACTATCCCTTCCCTTGACTACTTCCTAGTGGAGGTCGTCTCTATAGCCCCCTGGTTAATTTTTGTTCATATTTAACTTCATATTATTTCGTGAAAAAGCAGTATGGAACTCTGGTCCAAATTTCAGCTTTCTATGTTAATTTCTGAAAATCGGTGGGGGTCACCCCATAGGGTCCCTCTGGATGAAAATTTTACCAATTTCACTTCATATTCTTCCATTACGGACCATTAGCAGCCTCTATGCCAAATTTCAGCTCGATTGGATGATTTTGAAAAATCGGTATGGGTCACCCCTCGGGTACCTCGGGTGGACAAATTTTCCTATTTCACTTCATATTCTTTCATTAGGAGCCATTAGCAACCTCTGTACCAAATTTGAGCTTTCTATGACGATTTTGAAATTTTGGTGCATAATACCCCACCCACTCCGAAGACCCCCACCGGTCAACCACTGGACCAATGTCACCCATCTTCGAACTCGTTTCCTAACTTTGTCCAATATGCATATGGTAAAAATTTCAAGTCAATCGGTCAACTCGTTCGAGAGTTATCGAAAGACAGACGGGCAGACAGACAGACAGACAGACGGACATGACAATTACATAAGCCCTGGTTCGGGCTAAAAATTAAAATTGTAATTAATTATCTTTCCAGCAATCCCGAATGTCCGGACGAATTTTGGAAGATATCAAAGTCTCATGTTCCAATCCACAAAATTTTATTTCGCACAGTTCAGCTCCCACTAAACTTTCCGACGTTGAGTCCATAATTGATTCCTCTGAGGATGTAGCCACCCTACGCAACGCGACCACAACCACCAAACATGCAATCAGTAAGTTGCACTATAAATTTCTTCACAATAAACTTTATTCATAATTAATTATTAATTACTTCGTCACACCAGGATGTTCCAGTTATCGCGCCCTACACGAGTTTATTCCGGTGGAGTCGGTCACTTCAAACGATCAACTGCTCGAGGCTGGCTGGGACACGGGGGTCGGTCCCTTGTACTTTTGCCACACGCAAGTCCCCATCAATGGGATCCAGTGTCGTCTTTACGGAAAAGGAAATCGGAGAACGTGCTGGGTAGCGTTGCCCGGCGGAAGAGTTCACTGGGTCACGGACAAGTTTCACCTGCTCCGAAAACCAGAAGGGGTCAACCTCGAGTGGAGGGCGAGCTGGCCGACCGACGTGGAAAAAAGACCCGTCGCAGAACTCAAGACCGGCGCGGGCGTGGTGTACGAGTCGGCCGTGTGGGACATTTACACTTGTGGACTCGCACCAAGGTTCTACTTTGGCCGGTGTGAAAGGGCTGGGGTCAAAACTCCGGGGCTCATTCAGTCGGGCGAGGTCAGTTTAAAGTACACGTTCGGAGGGAGAGAACAGTCTTGTGATAAGTATGAGATACTTGTTTGCACAAATAAATAAGTACATATGTACATATGTGATCGGTAACAAGTGAGCAAATAATTGACGTTTCCAGTTTCGCTAGGGAGTTAAATATTTATAAAATGGATTAATAAAAATTGCAGCAGGTTGTGCAAGGTGTTGCCTTTTTTGACAGTAAAGACTAAATAAAACAAGCAAATACAAATAAAATAAAATGGATTAATAAAATAGCTTTGCTGCATTTATTTATCCTGCACCCAAGATTCCATTTGTAATTTGTTTTATTGTAGGTGACGAAAATGATTTACACATTACGCTCATTTTATCTTTATATCATCAAACATGGAAAATATGAAATTATTCTAAATATGTTTCTGTCGGAAATTTATTTTGGAGTAGTTAAATATTTTCGTCATTCACATCAGCTTCTGGCACGAGCAAATCTTCTCCTCGTACAAGTAAGTTGGCAATTCATCATCGCGATACGAATGCACATTTCCATATTTTTTCAAAATCGTCCAAGAACAAGGACCAGTATCCACCCTGTCGACGCATTGCAATTCATCCGCACATTTTCTACCGTCCTCAGAAATTTCAGTAGTTATTTGTTCAACTTCAGGCCAACAAATGGAATTCTGTGCCCAACGACACATTTTTCTCCCGTGTAAAGTACGGTTCTGCTGTACGACATATTTTTCACGCTGATCCAAAGGTATAAATGGGAGCTGTGCAGATATCAATTAAAAATATGGGATTAATTTAATGGATTCTTCTGACCTTCTTTAAGCCAATCCATACCTCGTTTGATGCTTCGCCGCAAATGCAGCGTCCCTCTTCTTTCCCACAAATGAGCAGTTCGGTGGCGTCGCAAAACTTGCGATCACCATCGACCACCCAGTCCACTAGGGTTTCAGAATTGTCGGAAAAATTGAACCTGCTTTTGTCCTTTGCCACAAAGTTACGTAGAATCGCGGAATTTTTGTAGGAACATTTGTCACCAAACTTTAGGCTTCCCAGGAGACCGATGTATTGCCTTAGTTTGTCGTCACTAGGGTCGGATAGAGCAATGGAGATAACTTTCAAAAAGAAGATAAGGATTAGGGCGGCCATTACGGAAAGAAATTTTGACGGGTGGAAACCTTTTGTAGTTACCTAAATAGTCGTTAATAGATTTTTATCATTATTGTATGTACCTAAATATATATTCAATTTCCTGTTTATAAAACTCATGTCTAAATATTTACCACATTAGTACATAGATAAATATAAGGCGCTCCAGTAAATATTTAGAATAATTCTGTATCACAAATGAACATTTATGCAAATACACCTTATGCATATTACGCATATTTTCAAAATTGTAAATGCACTTTCAATCCAAGGCAGTTTTGGAACCTGAAATTACGAACATTACACATACAGGGTGGCCCTCCCTAGCTGTAAGTGAAATGAAGCGCTGTAGCATCAACAGTTTTTGTGTTACAACTTTCTACAACTTTCTACATATTAAAATAGTTAATTTTAATGGAAAGCCAGTTAATTTTTGAGTAGAAAACAATTTTTAGTTTTCACAATTTCCTCCCCCTCCATTAATGCAGCGCTGAAGTTGCCGCCTCAAGTCTTCAAGTGGAGCACGCGTTTAATTCATAGGCAAATTTTATCATCCCGGGGTCAAAGAATTTTTTAGAGCCTCCACACTTCTAGGAGGTTTAGAACACATCTTTGCCCTCACTTTGACCATTTTTCATAGTCCGAAGATTTAAATCCAACAACGATGATTGCAATTCCCAAGCGGAGATATAGTTCGGAATTTGGATTTTTAGCCACGCTTGGCACATGGCACATTTTTTGCACTATGCACTGGTGCTGAGTCCTTCAGCGAGGTCCAGCCGACGCCATTGGCCTGGATCTCATTTAGGGGATGTATCACGGATTCAAAAACGTATTTCAAAGATTTTTTCTTTCACGTTCCCCCCTTCCCCCCCCCCCCCGTTTCGACAAGATGAGGAGAAATTACTTATAATCGGCTCTCATCTGCCAAAATCATCACAAAACATGGATAATGGGACTTTTGACCTATTTTCCATATTTAGGGATAGCTTTGACTTATTTTGCGTAGCCGAAGTCATTTTATTTGTTAAAAACATCCTTGACAGTGAAAATCTGCTCATCGGGAACGAGGATTTTGTTTACTTGTTTTTTAGCGTACCGCTTAAAAAGAGCCATGCATTTCTTTAACCTGGTTTTCTTATGAGTGATGGTCAGCATGCGGCAAGTGCTTCGTTTCAAAGCCCCGAGTCCAGTTTGACCACTCGTTGGATAATGTGCATCGACAATGTCAGCTGTGAGGCTATTTTCGGTTGGAATTTCGAGAATTTTTTCGTATTCTTGCCTTCAGCGCCTTCACGATGGGTGTGGTCCTTGGAGGTTTTCTAAAAACATTTCTTCGACTGTTCCTAGTCGATCCGACCCCCATAAAGGTTTTTGTAGTCCGTTGGACTCAATTAAAGCACACGTTCGATTACTGTCACACTTTTCATATTCACATTTTTTCTTTGCATTTTTTTCTGAAAAATTATCGCCGCCCGCGTCCTTTCAATATTTTCCCTGCTGATATGCTTTGCAGGTAAATAAAAACGGTCATGTGGTGTTTATGTAAAATCGCACGAGGAATCCAATGCGCTTATCAGATCTTGATTATCTCCAGCGGATTTCTCGTGAAGAGCTAGTTACAGCTAGCCTCAGCCCACTAGGTACATAAATATCTACTTAACTGGATATCTGTTCTCGAGTCAGGGTAAAAGCCTGGTTACGAAATTTTGTCCGATGACCTAACACGTTTCCCCCAAGTACTGGAGATCTGCTTAATATTTGCATACGTATAACAGGACATTATTTACATTTTTGACACCAATTCTGAGAAACGCCTGTGAAAGTTTATCCGTATGCAAATAAATATATGTATTGTATAGTTAGTTTAAAAAAAATGTAAAATTAATAATCAATTGAACAAATTGCTTGCATAAATGACCTTACACACATATTTATAATGTGCATAAATCACAAAGTACATATAAAGTCAAATAAAATATGGTTATGAATTACGTCATTATCATAACGCCGCTGTCAAATAAATCTAACATTGTAATTTTAAACAATTTAATAAACAGCAGGTACAAATGCATGTTTACACGAGAAATTGATTATTCAATTTTACAAAAAATTTATGATTTAGCAAGCCATATTACAGTCCGTCATTCGAGGTACCTATCTATTTTCTCATGAGAGTACTATTTGCCATTTACTATTTTACAAGTTAAATTTTTTCCTCGACGTGACATAAACTTTATTACTTGATTTAATTGAATCATCAATCCACATCTCTTAATTTTGCAAACAAATCTCGTGATACATACAAAAGCTTGGCAGATGGTTCGATATGAATCACAAATTAAAATATTTCCATTTTCCACACATCCTGCAGATTGTTTATGCAACTCTTTGAATCTGGCAAACTCTAGTTTAAAATTCGAAAACCAACAAGACGACACGTTCATTTAACTAGTTCAATTTGCATTACAATGCCCGATTAATTGATGCCTCATGGGAATTTGAGAAGTTCGATCAATTCCTGCAACTAATGACATCACTGGAGACGAATCTCATTTACGAAACATAATTTTTCATACATTAACATACACAAAAAGTGTATAAATTGATCCACTATTCGAAATCATGAATCACAAGTCGCTCTCATTCCATAATCAACACAACCATGGCTGCTAGCTTCACTTATTCGGCAGTGTTCCTAACCCTGTCCGTGGCTTATTACGGGAATATTATTTCCGCAAGAATCGTGTCCAAAAACAATACTATTCCTGCAACCCGACAGTCGTCATGTTCCTGCGGAGTGGTAGGTTAAGCTAAAGTAATTTTTTTAAATATTTCCTAAGTAAATTTCTATGCACTCATTGTTCTAGTCCACGGTCCGAAAAAGCAGTCGAATAATTAACGGCTCTCCCGCCGTCGTCGGGGAATTTCCATGGCGTTGCATTGTATACACGACTAAATCCAATTCCTTTTGTTCCGGCACCATCATCAGTCCCAGCATCGTCATGGTTGCGGCACACTGTTTGGACCCCCTTATCCCGACCGATGGTCTTGTCGTCGACGTGGGTGACCTCGACATGGGGTCAACCACCGAAACTCCCAGCTTCTGGACGGCAGCACGCGCCATCGCGAAACATCCAGCCTACGACCGGGCAACACTTAAGAATGACATTGCCTTGGTCTACTTGCAAATTCCGCTCACATTTTCGCCCACCGTCCAACCCGCTTGTCTCCCATTTGCTCTCAAAGGACTAAACTTGGACTTGAATAAGGTCACCGTTTCCGGTTGGGGAATGACCAAGTATGGTGGATCTGTCTCGGAAAAACTGATGAAAGCTGAGATGCTCGTTCTGCCAGAGGCTGTATGCCGACGCTCTTTTGGTACTGCATGGCCGGAAACGAATCTCTGCGTTGGGATGCAAGGGAAATCTGCTTGCAGTGGGGATAGTGGTGGTGGTGCGGACTTCTTGAACACGACGACTGGAAGGTCGTACACCATCGGGGTCACAAGTGCCGTTGCTCCAGGTTGCAATACTAATGTTCCAAACATTTTTACGAGAGTTACAAACCATTTGGATTGGATTATTTCAATGTCGCGTAAGTTGTGGCAGCTTGTATGAGGATGAGTTTATGGGGCTTTGAATAATAATTGTTGTGTTTGATTTTTTTAGATGGAGACACATTTTGTCAACCGGAATGAGCGCGGAATTACTGGAACCGCTTTAAGTGAATAATTAAATTACTAATTGAATGTACTACATAAATCCGACTGCATTTGTGACTAATTTGTAACGGAATGCTTAAAAATAATAAATTGTGATTATGCAAACCTGATTAATGTGTTTTGCTATGTCGGTAACGATCATTGTGTTCGTCATCATTAAAAAAAATATATCTGTATGTAATACCGATACCGCATTCCTCATAGATCAATTCCCTTAATTCTCCTTCATCCTAAATAGTACATACTAAAATATCTATGACAAACTTCACACATTTCATCCAAAATCATGAACCCACCTTCGAAATTAATTTTATTTTGTTAAAGGGATTCAGAGCTTATTCATTTTTCATAAAAAAATACTTATAAAACAGCATGCACATAAATGTTAACTATTTAAATTTGTACATATTTGCAAAATTTTTATTTATTTATGCAAACAAGAACTTCAAACTCTGTGCAATGCTCTTCCCTCCCACCAAAGGTGTACGCCAACCTACTTTTCCCACCCCACTTTTCCCTCGGGGTATGAATTAATCCCGGCACCTTCGCCCCATTTCTGTCACACCTCCCAAAATAAAATCGTGGTGCAAGTCCACACGTATAAACGTCCCACACCGCCCATTCCACCACTATTCCTCCTCCCGTTTTCAATTCGGCATGTGGAAATCCTGCGTCATCGGTTGGCCAATTTTTTGCATTGTGACGCCACTGAAGCTGAACTCCTTCCGGTTTGCGGAGCAAGTGGTAATTGTTCTTAATCGTGACCTCCTTGCCAGCGGGTGTCGTGACCCAACAAGTTCTTCGATTTCCTTTGCCATAAAGTCGGCACAAAATTCCATTTGTGCGAACCAAGGCGTGGCAGAAGTACAGAGGACCGTAAATTGAGTCCCAGCCAGCCTCGAGCAGTTGGTCATTGGAAATAACGTTTTCAACTGGGATAAATTCGTTTAGGACGCGATAACCGGAACATCCTAAATAAAGAATTCTTTGTTAACTTAAGAAAATTACACGTAATTGCATGGATCAAATGTTCAAACTTGCTAATTGCAAGTACATACTGATTGCATGATCGCTTCCATTCTGAATTGTGGGTGTAACTCTCTCCTCAGATGATTGTGGAAAATTGACAAATTCTCCATTCGTAAATTTAGTGGAACTCGTTACAATATTGGAAATTTCTGGTTGAGGATATTCGTGTAATCTACAAGAATTCTTTGTCTCCTCCAAGATTTGTCTGGTGGTCCGCAAATGCTGTTGCATAATTAGAAAATATTGAGATATTCCTTTGATTTTTATTTATTGCATATTTACAGAACTTACAAGATAGTGCAGTTCCTTTACACTTTTACGTATTTCTGCCACTTCAAGCGCTAAACTTTCAACAATTTCTTCAATAAGGGTTTTTCGTGAGTTGCTCTGCCTACCGACGCTTTGCACTTCAGTAGACGTTTGAATAGTCTGATTCTGAAATTACCAAGCAATATATCGATCTGGTTACAATTTATTGATAATTTTAAGTATGTAAAGTTAAGAATTACTGAAATTTCCGCAGTAATCTGTAATAATTCTGGATTCAATGTCAACATTTGAAAAATAATGAGAATAACTAATTTACTAGTCTCCATTTTTATTTTACACGCTTCACTATTTTCTTGGAAAGAATGATGCATCGTTAAGCTTTTAAATAGCAGCTACTAACTCACAAGTAGATAAACAAGGATGCAGGAGACAAATTGTACAGGTGTGAACAACAATGGAACAACTTTCGCTAAAAACTGTCAGATTATTCAACATTCCTTGTTTCATAGGGAAGGAATAGTAAATATGTGTCACTATTCCAAATTCGGAATAAATATGTAGGTATGTTTCCAGTCAGTCAGGAAATCCCTGTGACGAAATATTTAATTTGGGTCATTTAACGAATGATCGAATCATAACAACGACAGATTATCTGTACTGATGATTACAGATATATCTGTATACTGAATAAAATTCACACGCACTTACATCTAGAGTCACATTTACATACATACACACACATATATAGAAAGAATATAAAGTGAGTGCTTATATGTATGTACGGATGCATGATTTAGTAGTTCAAAGTATTTCCGCATTAAATTTTGAAGTATGGACAAATTGTAGAAGTACACGAAGATGCACTCCGAACCGAACACGACAATAAATCTTTGATCTTTTTTATTCTCTAGGTGTTAATTGGATTCCAAATAGATAGCAAATTAAAATAGTTTGGGAAACTATTTACAAGAAAGTGTAACTCCGAATTTGTTTACACACTGTATTTTTATTATAAAGAAACACCAAAAATATGTATATGCATAGACGATAACAGCGAAATAAAGTATTTTTATTATTTACCTACATAAATTTATAAGGGATCATCTCAATCGAATTTTTACCTGCAATGTAGATACGTCAGTCGCAATTTTCACAAGTCTTCAACTTAAATAAATAAACCCATATCATCCTTTACAGATAATTCCACCTTTACAAAACTCTTATTCACTTCATAAGTAGCAATGACGCTGTTGTTGTCACACAAAAATTCTGAGTCACCAAAGCTGTCCCACGGTCGATAAAATTCCCCTCAATTTTAATCGTGATTGCCTGCATTGCCCAAAATTCACGTCGATGAAATCGAGTAATTCGCCCCTCTCGTTTCCACATCTCCATGACTTGGTTCGATTTAATTCCAAGTTGAGCAGCAAACGTTTCAAATAACATGAGATCCATAAACGCCATCGCAATCACGATGGGATACGTGATCAGTCCTTCTGATGGGAGCGTGCTGGATAATTTTATGATGACAAAGGAACAGAAAATTTGTGCCCAGGGAGCCACCGTCATTGTCGCGGGAACAATCCGACCTGAACTGAAGGCATTTAGCTGTTTTCCGAGGCACCTCACTTTTCGGTACAGCCTGATCCGGGTGGTCAGACCGATATTTTTGGAAGGGTGAGACATGCTGTGCATAATTTACATTTTAGATTTTAGTTCATTGTTTAAATATGCATGCCATGTCACATATTGTTGTTGCAGTCTATGCTATCTAACTTTCTCCCAATTTCATTCTCTCGTATTGTGGATACGGGAAGTATAAAGGCCAAAAGACCACATAGCATATAATGAATTTACAACTACGATGTGTAGATGTGGTAGTTCACGGTGCATTGTGTGCTATCTCAGTTTTTGGCCACTTCATCTCTTCCATGGTGCCATCCATGTTTAAAACAGAGATACATGTGCAAAACATATGAGAAAGCACAAAATGTACCTTCAACGACGTTATATACCTTCCCAAATGATCCAGATAGTCCAAGACGCACGCGGTCGCGACAAGATTCACATTTCCAAAGAGAAAGAACGATTTGAAACATTTAACGCTAACGTGATACACATCAATTATCAAGACTGCGTTTGATAGATATTGACTCCCACGAAATTTTTCCTCTCCGCAACTCGTACAATACTGAAATACATAACCGAGATACATCGGACTGCACCTATTGCGTACCAGCCTTCGAATCCTGATTAATGGAAGGACGACGCACATTGTGTTCAAAATGAATAAAAAACGTCGGATGGTTTTGTTCCTCAGATTTCTGAATGGGAATATTTATGTAAAGTTAATAACACGCTTAAAAAACAACTCATAAATATGTGCGTATGTAAATCATGCTAAGCTTACCCTGTCACTGAAATTGGGACACTTTTGAACGCATTTTGCAACCATTTCTCAAACGATAAAATGCTGTTTAGTAACCCGGCCGCATTGCTTGCTAAATCAACCCCCATTCCCCACAAGTATAAGATCGTCGTGGCTATTAGCATTCTTACGCTGGGTAAAAGTGCTAACGTGCATTCTTGTTCCGCTTGTTCGAAGATGACCAATGCGATCACGAGGAGATAAAAGATTTGAAGAACTTCTATCAATTTTGCGGCGAATAGACGATGCGGATTTGCAGTAATTCGAGTACGAGAAGATCCTGGGTCCCAGTAAATTGGGAAACAGCCCAAAATTTGCATGCATCTCAGACTCCACTTAATAAAACCTAGATGATCAGTTAGCATTTTGGAATATTTCGGTATTTAAGCCAGAGGCTGGAAGCCTACAGCTAAAAGGTTTGACGACCAAAATGAAACAAACTTTGGTCTTGACTTATCGTTTTATAGGGTTAAAAATGGAATACAAATAAATGTGGGTAGTATTACAAATGTCAATCAGTTGATGACATGATCACACCCAAAAAACCTTTGCCTCGAATAAATGTGTGTATCAAAGCAGTTATACATTTTGTGTTTACTTGTGCATGCTAAAACTAATACACACTATTGGTATTAGTACATATCTGGATGAACTATTGTTTAAGGCTGTTACATAAATGTTTTTGGTAGATTTTGTACTAAAGTAAATATTCCATGCTGGGCACTTCAAAAACTCAGGGAACGCAATACAGTAAATCATTCATTGTTTGTAGTGCTGAAAACAAGTTCAATTTAGTTCAACTCGATTTCTAGTATGTAGTAAATTGTGGTAAACCAAGAAAAGTTTAATTTAAATTTGATAACGAGTTAGGTTTATTAATTGCTTTGCTGATTTCGAAAAGTACATATCCATATTTTCTTAGTTAATATCCTTATTTTCGATTAATAATTGTTAATAATTAATAATTTCTTTGCATTAAGTAATTTAAAGTGATCATTTTAATCAAAACAAGCGATTCTTTTCTTATATTTTATGAGGAACATGCCAAGAATACTATTTTATAATAAAATTGCAAATTGAGTTTACAGTCGAGTTAACGTAGAATTCATTGACGAGAAAAGGACTATCTCCACTGGACACATTTTCAGCACTACGAATAATTGTTTGTGGGTCAATTTAAATTGCCCGTCATTATCCAATAAGCGTCAAAATTTGAACTTGTGCACTTTTTGCAGTGTACGAAAAAAGATTAAAAGGTTACTAACTAATTGATTTTAATTTAGCTTACACTTTCGCCTTCTCTTTCGAATGCGCATCAGGCAATGGATGTACATACATACATCGCATATGCATCGCCTACGCAAAACAGTTTTCACCTTACAAGTTAACCATATCGTTCAATTGCATGCATACGCAAAACTTGGAATAAGTGAATGTTTGTGTTAAAATTGCGTAATACTTTTTTGATTGCATCATTTAGTGAAAAGAGCAATTGGATTGACATTGACCCTGCAAAACATTAAAAACATGTTTTTGAAAACTTAACCACTGTTTACCAATCATTGATGTAAGCCAAAGCTTCTATTTCGCTTCAGTTATATGTGTAAATAGATAAGTTACAAGTTGGCTAGCTTACTCAATTGCACATTTAAAAATACCAAGAACAGGAATGCCTGTTTCCCTTAGAAATATTCCTGTCATCTTAATTAACACTACCAATTAATCTTGTAAAACTATTTTAATTTTGTAAAACTATATGACATGAAACAAGTTTAATACCTTTCGCCAAGTACCGTTTAAGTTGTGACAAGTGTTATATTTTATTAGTTTCAGAGCCTGTTAATGAGTTTGATTTATAATTTGCACGGTTATTCGCTAGAATCATGATGTCGTGCAATTTTGCACCTCTTATAATGGTATTTTACATTCATCTGCCTGTCATTGTTCGTGGTCGTTTTTAATGGAATATAATTTAATTTGCAAGCAGAATTCCATTTACTTAGCCCTAATTACGTGCTTAATATGTAACCTCTTGTACGTATGTAGTTCACACTCCGGAAGCAGGCATAATTAAGGAAATAATAAGGAGGAGAAAGTCATACGACAGAATACTTCAGTCTTCAATGCATGCTTTATTTCATTCTTGGCCAATAATTCTGTAGAAATATAGAACATAGATTACAAATTATATTTACATGAAACTGTATGGAAACACAAATTTGACACGTTGTTCGACCTTAATAGACATTAACGAAGCAACGGATTACCACATTTAAAAGCTATGTATGTAATTGCCTTAATCCAGTGGTGTTAATCAACATTTGGTAATACGATAATGAAATAAAGCAGAACAACAAAAGCAAAACTTTCGCTATATTGCTTCTTAATAAATTTGAAGCACTAATTATTAAGGAATTTGCATTCTAGCTGGGTTAGCAATTAAGGTCATAATAAATTATGTACATGTATATAAGCACAGGTTCAAGAGGCAGAAATGAAATTCCAAGTTATTGCTTTGTGCAGTATACTGATATATGTATTGAAAGGAGCCTTTTCTTAGCTTTTTCCAATCAGTTTCATAAACAAATGTGTGATGTCCTTTTCAAACATATTCTTGCATCGAATGTTGTATTTTTTGGTCTGATGTGTCCTCATGACAAATTTCAGGTTTCTGCAATTTATACAATTTAAACCCTATGACTCTCATCGGCCAACCATTGGATCGATCATGCTCATCTTCGAACTCATAAAATTTGTATACTAACATAGCAAAATGGCTCTAAAAACATTTGCTCAAGCAGTATATTACTGTATTTGGAGATACCTGTGATTAGTTAATTTCGAACGACCTTACCTGTATATACACATTTATGCATAGGTACATGCATTAATTTGTAATTACTGGTAAACATTTTCCGGTGACAAAGACAATTAGCAAATAAACCCTTCAAAGCACGAGAGTATCATTTCTTACCGGAATATGTCAGTACTTACATAAAGAACAATAGCACTCATTTAGATTTGCCACAAGATAAGTCTACATAATTATTTGTTTCATGCTTGCACACTTCCGCTCAATGCAGGATGCTACAGGATTTAGGACCTAACTCAAATTAAAATAATAACTTTTATAATCATACCAACCATTAACAACTGGTATGGTTTGCTTCAAAACAACGACTTATGCATATGCATTTGTAAGTTCATGGCTCATTTCAGGCGTTCAATTAACCCAACACAATCTCATAATAAATCCCCCATTCAATAAAACTAATCACAATGTTCTACATCTCACCAAAGTCTGACCAAATTATGCTAAAATTCCAAATAGCACTACATGAGGTTGGCATTTTTGGGAAAAGGTGCAAAATAGTTTCCAACTCCGTTTTAGCCAAGCTAATTGCTAAACTTCAGTTTACTTTGTCGCGATCAAGTTCCTCCCAAACCGTAATGTACTCCTCCGTCTTTCTCCCAATTCTCAAGTCTCACCTTATCGCGTGTAGAATTCACATGTGCCTCCCATTCAACTATTCGAGCAAATCAGAGCGTTTAGTCAGATCAAATTCTGTATTACAAGTTAGCATGTCGCAGTTCCAGTGCATCCTCTCCATGTTGTACTGCTTTGCCATGTCCATTGTCCTCTTCTTTGGAAATTTAGTGGAAACCGAAAAATTTCAGGCTTCCGTGTTCTTCATGCTCAATCTTTTAGCGTGCATTACTCGGTGGAGTAATACCATAGACAACGATGCCATTCAGATAATTAACTCCTTTCTGGAATTTGAACACACCGCGCTCCAAGGTTCAACAAATATTAAACTGCATAAATTAAGTAATTATCATATTAATTATAAATTTTGACAATTAAGATGCTCCTGAAACTGTGGGTAATTCACGAACCGTGAAAGCAATGAAGCTATTCATCTGGCTGATTGAAATCTCGCTCCCAGTGATATCACTGCTTCAAATGGTTCTCCTGATTTTCGCCCCTTGCACGCCACCCTTCATCATGTCAATGTTTCCCAATTGCAGAGAAATTACGAGTGTCAACACTTGTCAGAGCAAGCTACGATTTGCAGGGCACATCTTGGACACGTGGATCTTATCGCATGGAGTATATTCGGCGGCCATTCCTGTACTGTTCGTTCTGTGTGCTGGAATCATATCGTTTCTAACGTACTTCAATATATTGCAGGGGTATGTGAGGTGGAAATATTCAAATTTTTATGGTAGTTCTGATAGAACTTTTATGATTCATACGTATTTACTTAATCAAACTTTATTTCTTAAAATAGTTTAAAAGTTTTGAAACAGAAAAGGGAAGACAACTTTAAGTATTTGATACTTTTAGGCTATCAATTCTCAAGGCATTTTAATAATTTAAAATTATTTCATTCGATATTTTTGGAGTTGGCGTATCACTTTACAAATTTCATAAAGTAGCGTCAAAGTCTCAAAATTTTCTTCAAAAATTCGATGTTCAATCGGGAATGACTGGTTGGGTAAAATTGTAAAATTTTATTTCAGAAAAATTGACGAAGTTGGAAATATTCGAGAACTATCCGACTGCATCCGATTCTACAGATCGATTCACCTTCTCGAAAAATCATTCAACGTTTTTCTCATGCATCGCGTCCTCCCTTCCTTCATGATGGCTGCAACTGGGATCCAAATTATCGGGCTGTACGTCTGCATCATGCATCACAGCGAAATTTCAGCGACACCAGGACTCCTAGTATTCCCGCTGTTGGGGGTTGATGGGATGATTTGCAACATTTTAATTTTCACGATGGCGTCCTTGGTAGAAAAGGCTTCAACTGAGGCGTTGCAGCGTTTGGGTCGGAAATCCAGAAAACTGGGGGATAAATCGTGGGGGAACCGGGAGCTGAAATCTCTCACATTCATGAGCGTCAGGTTCGGCTCGAATTTCATAGATCGTGGAACACCACTAAATATTCAAACTTTCTGCATAAATCAGACCATGTCACTTTGTCTCATCAATTCTGGCCACGACACGCAATGATTTATATGTACGTACGTGCAATTAAATACATATGTTGACAGAAAATTTGAAAATCAGCAATCACGTGTGTATTGTATGAAAAGTAATTTTATATTGTATACATAGAGTAAAATAAACAAAAGGTGTATATCTGATTATGTAATATCTATGTATGTACATAGAGATGAGCGTGGTGAAAGACAGGTACATTATGTATGTACAGTTGGGGCATCATACAGATAGCTGACACTTATACGAGTACATACAAGTATGTACCTGATAACATTCTCTTATCTTTCACTTGGTCTTTCTGTTTGTCACATACGCTGATGCGACATGAATAATTACTACAAAAGATTTTCACTCTTAAAATACGGACCAGTTGGTAGAATACTTAGTTTCTCTTGCCGAAGCAAGTTCGTTCACTTTCAGTTCGAAAAATAACTAAAGAACATATTTATGTAGGTTTAAATCGACAAGTAATTAGCGGAAGTATTTATCTACGTAGTGCTCTAATTTTCTACTTTAATTACTACGTTTAAAATTTACAAATGTTGACATTAAGCAAACTAGGATTTCTTGTGTTTCTTGTTAATGTTTTTATTCCCACTGGACAGTCGGCCCTGACGGCTGAGTACCTCGACATTAAGCTCCCGACAGCCAACGCCTGCCATAAACCATTCTTCTCCGGTGGGGATATCATTTATCTCTTTGGTGGATGTGGCGATGTCTCCGTGCAAACTCAAATTCTCGCCTTTTCGATAACTTCGGAGACGTTAGAGGTCCTTCCGACCCACCTGCCTGGACCATCTGTCCGAGGAACTGTGCAGGTAAGTAGGATTCCCAAGCATTCATAATTAGTTGGCATATATTATTATGCTGTTACCAGGAACTTTTCAATTATAAATGCAAGCGAATTTCCTTATAAGAATTGCAAAATATTTTAGGGAGACACTACTGGAAACATTTTCTACTTGGGTGGCGGAAGTGGCGCCACATATCGCCAGGTCTACAAGTTTGACCCCACCGGAAACCAAACTCATGTCTCAGCCGTTCTTCCCTACAATGTTGACGAAGCCTACTCCGTCATCCGTGACAATGCGGTGTCCATATTGGGAGGATTCGCCAAGCCGAACGGCCTGCTCACCTTCGATTTACAACTTGGCATCACCCTTAACCAATCCTTCCTAGCGTTCCAGTTCCACCGGGGAACGGCGACTACCGTTGGGCAAAAGGCCTACATTTTCGACGCTGGAGAGACGGTAAACAATCGTGCCGCTTTGGAGCTGGATTTGAACACGTTTCGTCTCATGTCAGTTGGTCCGGCGACGCTTCCACTTTTTAACGAGGCGCCAACTTCCGTCTTTGATGGAAGCAGATACATTTATGTTACGGGAGGTTATATTAGCGGGACTCCGACTGATGGAATTATCTGTTTCGACGGGGTTACGTTTGAAAACCAATTTTTTCCAGTTTCAAACTTCCCGGTTGGACTGAACAGTAGCAACACGTATTTCCGAACAGCACCGGCGTCAATCTTTGTCCCAAATTTGAACAGAATTTACTTCTTTGGGGGAGAATCATTTAACTCGACAAGTGACGATACTGTTGTGCATGATGAGGTTTTCTTTGTTGACCTTGACTCAATTCAATAAATTGTGAAATGTGTAGAATTTACATCGGTCAACTTACATATGTAATAGATATATAAAAAAGTATGATGTATATGCTTGTGGGTATTAACTTTTGTCCAAAATTATATGCAAATTTAATATTTTTTGAGTTTACGTGACCTACTAATAAATACTATTTTAAAATATTGACAATGTTTCTTTTGAATCGTACCATTCTTTATAAATTGAATTTTGCATACTTAAAAATTGTATACAACTATGTAGTTTTATAATTAAATACGCTTGAATAACAACCTACATCTTATTGTATTCATCGGGTCACAAAAGTACGAGTTACCTTGATAATTCGATATGCAGATTAAAAATTTTACCAGTGCTAAATTTACAGCTACTTATTTTACTAACAAACTTTTCACACTTCTCGTTACATAATCCAGCACAATTTCATAAACCAAAGAGAAAAAAGCCAAAACTGAAATCGAAAAGGATACAACGAAAACGGGTAACACGACGCCAATGTCCAAGGACTCCACATTCCCTTTGACATTGAAACATCTAGGGTTCACGACTTTATTAAATTGTATGGATTGTCTATATATCGCCCCCATTTCGGCACGTCTGATATGTCTGCAAAATTATGGAAGTTTTTATAACAGCAATTCAAATTGCAGAATCATGAATATGTTGTAACTTGAGTTGCTTACGCAAAAAGGAAAAATTTTCTCAAGGGCGAATGTTTTTTGACATACATTCCATTATAGACGGGCAAACCCTTCACGTCAAGCTCAATGGAGGAAATCGTATCGCAAAACGCTTGAAATGTTAGATTTTCAACTGCCTTGGTTTGAGTAACATAGTGCCGGAAGGTTAAGAACGAAATGGGCAAGTTATCAATAACGGCCCGCATACCACCTTCGGTCGAAATGATTGATTCATTTTTATTTTGATCCGTGAACTTCTATAAATTTAGAGCATGTAAAAATGTATGCTTTAGGATTTCATATTTCGAGTTTTTTTAAATTTGAGTACGTCAACAAACTGCAGAGCATTCGCAGCCTCAGAATCTACCAATATTTTAATCCCGCTGGACAATATCTGGCTCATAGTTTTGATAGGAGGTTCTCTCAGTGATATGATTGAAATAATCCTGGCCGAGTACAAATTGTAGAAAAATGTTGACAAGATGAGCCCCGCCAGAATTGTCAGTTTAAGAGGAAACGCATCCATTTTGTCCGTCCAACCTGAAAAAATGGGCTCACTACTTCTACACTACGAATTTTGTAAATATATAAATGTTTAATCCACTCACCTTGTTGGGCAAATAGCCCGAAAACTTTCAAAATTATGCATTCACAAATTCGACTAGTTTCGCCGGAGAAATAGGCGACGGTATAAACGCATATCGAAATGAATCCCACACTTACAAGAAAAGCAAACCAGGCGTTTACGCCATACGGTTGGAAAATGAGATTGGGATAAAATGTCTCGGGCTGTTTCAAGAACATCATTTCTCTGTTCATCAAGTGAAACTATTTAACAGTTAAATTTTAACTGGTCGCCCAAATTTCTAGTTAACAAACCTGTAATTATAGTTGGGAAATAGGAAATCAAGCTTTGCCTGTCGGGCTAAGGTTAATTCGTGAACTTGAGCAAGAATGTCTCCTTCGTCATTTTCTAACACCTTGGCAATCCCTAATGGTTTTCCAGATGCGTCAAACTGTATCCATGAGTCACCAAAGACAAACGATGTTCTATATAATTAATAAATAGCTTCACAAAGGATTAAAAATGATTAATCAACTTTTTTGATTCCTCTTACGTAAAGTTTAAAACAGTAATTAGATCATCTAGAGATTCAGTTACCAAGGAAATACTGTGAAAATATCTCACTGTTGGGACTTTCTATTGAATACAGTGTAAAAACCTTTGTAAGTCAGTCGCACATTATTAAATGCTTATTGATAACTATTTAAATATCTGATTCCTACGTAAACAATTGCTCGAATAAGTTCCCCCTGAAAATTTAACCTTTTTCTCCTATTGTTAAGTCCTTCTATTGTGAATCCCTCAAAAGTTTCATCCTGCTTCATAATTTCTTGAACGATGAAACGACTTTTAATCGAGTATAGTTCTACAACTCAAAGAATTTGGTATTTGTAGATTAATGAGAACAACGAAGATGTTCGTGTCCACGGAAAAATTCCACATTTCTTGACGAGATTTTAATTTCTGCTCCAGTTCTTCTGAGAAATTATGTTTTTGATCATGAATGTTGCCGGATTCATTCAGTATTAAGAATACTTTTGGGTTGTATCTACCATAGTCGCAGTACTGAGATTCCAACTCGTTCAGCTACATAGTGTAGAAAATAAGTGTATAAATAAGTAAATAAGTGTACAACATGAATGAAAACAATATTGAAAGTGAATTACTTGGCTCAATAGTTTGACTGCGGCTGTGAAATCTGGAGGATTTAATAGCAGAATCCCAGAACCGTTACGCAACCCTTTGTCGCAGAATGATGCCGTCACATTGTATGAAACACTTATAAAATATGGGACACCTACGTCAGTAACAATTATGATATGTACATTTAATGATAAGTAAATGTGATTTACCAAAGCGTTTATTATTGCTACCTGAAAGGGTTGATGGCACCATGGTATAGTCAGAGTTAAGCACAATTGTTACGGGATGGGGGTCTGTTGCAAAGTTAATATTTTCTAAAAATCGTGTAAATATACTATTCTGCATCCCGTTGTGGTTAGAAATTACACAAAGAATTAACAGCAGTAATCCATAGTATTGCTTCATGATGCAACATTTGTTAAGAAACTTATTTTAATTGCGTGACCCATCTGTATATATGTAATATCCATATACACAAAGATACAGTTCTTGATATGGAATTATTATTGCTTTGTATGCACATTTAAATTTTTTCCTCTAACTGGAACCTAAACAAATATAACTTGCATTTATTGAGTCCTTAATAATTTAGATTTATGTCATATACCCAAATATTTACACAATTTGACTAATAGCTCGCTACATTGGAGGGGCGTGTCTTTTAATTTCATATGAGGTACAAATGCATTTATTCAAAGTAAACAAAGTTGATTTGGATTAGAATGGCTACTTCATGGGGAAAATATATAAATGAACACAAAATATATCCATACATTATACGAACTATAATCAGACAAATTACTAATACTATCTAATTACTTCATGCTAGACTTATAATCACTTTATCAATAAACTTTTCACACTTCTAGTTACATAATTCAGTACAATTTCATAACCTAGTGAGACAAAAGCCAAAACTGAAATCGACAAGGATACAACGAAAACGGGTAACACGACGCCAATGTCCAAGGACTCCACATTCCCTTTGACATTGAGACATCCTGGGTTCACGATTTTATAAAACTTTATCGTTTGTCGATGTATCGCACCTATTTCAGCACGTCTGATATGTCTGAAAAATTATGGGTATTTTTCGAGCACAGCGATTCGAATATTATTCATAACCATCATGATGTAGCATACATAAATTAATGTCTTACGCATAAAGGAAAAATTTTCTCAGGGGAGAATGTTTTTTGACATACATTCCATTATAGACGGGCAAACCCTTCACGTCAAGCTCAATGGAAGAAATCGTGTCGCAAAAGGTTTGAAATGTTAGATTTCCAACTGCCATGGTTTGAACAACGTAATGACGAAAAGTTAAGAATACGAGGGGCAAGTCATCAATAACGGCCCGCATACCATCTTCCGTCGAAATGATTGACTCATTTTTACTCTGATGAGTGAATTTCTATAAATCATGAGCATGAACAAAAGTTGTTCAACAAATTGTATGAATTTTTGAGAATCATCTAGTTACTTCAATAAACCGATGAGAATTCGTAGCCTCAGAATCGACGAAGATTTTAACCCCGCTGGATACTATCTGGCTCATAGTTTTGATAGGAGGATCTCTCAGGGATATGATGGAAACTATCCGCGCCGAATATAAATTATAGAAAAATCCGGACAAGATAAGTCCCGCCAGAATTGTCAATTTAAGAGGAAATGTGTGAGGATAATAATCCATTTTGTCCGACCATCCTGTTATGTCCCATTACACGATACCATAAAAACCATAAATCGACACTATCAATTTTTAAATGCTAAATTCCTTCACCTTGTTGTGCAAATAGCCCGAGAACTTTCAAAATTATGCATTCGCAAATCCGATTAATTTCCCCACAGAAATAGGCGACGGTGCAAATGCATATCGAAATGGATCCTAAACTTATGAGAAACGAAATCCAGGCGTCTACTGCATACGGTTGGAAAATAAGATTGGGATAAAATGTCTCAGGCTGCTTGAAGAAAGCCATTTCTCTGTAAATAATTTATTTTTAATTGAAACCATTAATTAAAATATTTAATAACTCCAAATAATTAGCAAACCTGAAGTTATAGTTGGGAAACAAGAAATCGAGCTTTGCCTGTCGTTCCAGGGATAATTCGTGACCTTGAGCGAGAACATCTCCTTCATCATTTTCTATTAATTTGGCAATTCCTAACGGTTTTCCATATGCGTCGAATTTTATCCATGAATCACCATAGAGAAATGATTTCCTAATTTATAAATAGTATGACCCGGGATGAAAACCTCGTAAATTTCTCTGATTAAGCATACGTAAAGTTCAAAATGACAATCAAATCGTTTAAAGCTTCAGTTAATAAGGCAATTGTGGTAACAAATCTTCTTGTCGGGACTTTCTATTGAATACAAAGCAAAATTATATGAGTATTTTAAATTCAATTTTGATTATAACTTTTTCTTTACGTAAATAATTGATCGAATAAGTTCCCCTTGAAAATTCAACCTTCTCCTCCTATTGCTAAGTCCTCCTATTGTGAATCCTTCAAACGTTTCATCCTGGTTCATAACTTCTTGAACAATGAAACGGCTTTTGATCGAGTATAATTCTATAATTATCAAAGAATTGGGCATTTGCAGATTCATGAGAACAACGAAGATGTTGGTGTCCACGGAAAAATTCCACATTTCTTGACGAGATTTTAATTTCTGCTCCAGTTCTTGTGAGAAATTATGTTGTTGATCATGTATTTTGCCGGATTCATCCAGTATTAGGAATACTTTTGGGTTGTACCCACTATAATTGCAGCACTGAGATTCCAACTCGTTCAGCTACGTACATAGTGTCGAAAATTATTAAAGGCACACCAGGAATGAAGAACAAAAGTTTTTATAATATATATTTTTCCGGCATGTGAAATAATACGAATTACATACTTGACTCAATAATTTGACTGTGGTTATCAAATCTGGGGGATTTAGTAGTAAAATTCCAGAACCGTTACGTAAGCTTTTGTCGCAGAATGATGCCGTTACATTGTTGGAAATGCTTATAAAATATGGGGCGCCTATGTTAGTAACAATGATACAATTAATGATAGATATGTAGATGTGATTTACTAAAGCGTTCATTATTGCTATACTTCGGTTGAGAAGGATAGTGATGTGCGGCTGAAGCGTAGTAGTGAAAAAGCAGTAGCTTTGACCTCAGTTTTTCCACTAAAGCTGGGGCTAAGGTACTTGTTCCTCGTTATTAGGCCCCACCCGTACAGCCCTTATCCTTCGACCAAAGTATACATACCTGAAAGATGCAATTGTGCACTGTTATATTCAGAGTTGAGCACAATTGTTACAGGATTGGAGTCTGTAAAGTTAATATTTTCCAAAAACCTTAAAAATATACTATTGTTAAGCCCATTCTGGTTGGGAATTACGCAAAGAATCAGCAACAGCAGACCACAATATTGCTTCATGATGCAACATTTTTTTAAAGAAAGTTGTAATTTTATTACTATGAACTGCAATGTTTATAAAAGAAATGTAAGATTCAGTTCTACATATATTTATCTACTACCCTCAAATTACTACAATTTTTATGCACATTAGAAATTTTACACTAACTGGAACTTGTAACTTTAATTTATGTATTCTATGATTCAGAATGCGGATTCATGTACATTATGTTATGTAACCTAATATTTAGGCAATTTCATTAATGGGTCGATACTCTCGATACATATGGAGTGTATCTTTGTATCCAATTTAAATTATGTATTTGCTTATGCAACATGGATAAAGTTTGCATTGTAGAAATTTTGGGTAAGCAGCTTTACATTGGATTAAAATGCACAGAATATACCTACTTGATGTCATTTCATGTTGCAAGAGGTGCGCCAGTGTGTGAGTCAACGGCGCAACTTTCTCCAGTAATGAGCTTTCTCATGCCAATGTTCCCCGTCATCTAATCAATTGTAAAAGTTGGATTTGCTAAAGTTCCCCGCTATCTACAGACACTAATAGATTTCTGACGAGATGTGTTCACAATGCAGAAGCCTTCCCATGAGAATTCTGACCCATGAACTTTCAATTTCTTCTCATACATGCATATGCAGAATTTCTACTATGCGCGTTCCCATTTATGAAAAACATAATCCAAATTTTTAACTTTACTTGACCAATATTTTCTATCTTGATTTCAATACTTACTTGCTAATTTTAGTTTAATTTAGAATTACCTAAAAATTTAAGTGGATGCAAGTAAGTATGTGCATATTAATTACATCATGATCCATACTTGTGTACATAACTTCCAGTTTTCACGGGGCCAGTAAGTGACGACCTTGACGGTATACACACTTTTCATCGTTTATTCTCGTAGGTTCTCTCGTGTTTATGCTTATGCATTCATATGATGCAACTTATGACGGAGCAGTTTTTGTTGATATCAGAGAATATGAAAGCAGGTACATACATGTGTTTTTTTCTTCATGTGTTTTGTGATGACAATAGTTGTCATGTCATGCTTGGCCCAACAAAAACATAGCGTAATTAAATTATATGTACATATGGACATTGGAACTGGTGCTCGAGTGTGCGCTAATGTGACGCTAATGTTTTGTATATAATTGCGATACGGGTAAACTTCACGAGGCAGTCGGATAAATAACTTTGGTCAAATACATACCGATATAATCTATAAATATACAATTTATTATTCATCATGAATTCCAAAAAGTGGACAGTCGTTTCCAAAGCTCAAGGACTTCCTAAAGTCAGCGATTTTAAAATTGTCGAAGAGCCCATTCCTGAACTTCAGGATGGAGGTGATTGCAAATTTTCATAACAATTTCATTACAAAACTATGTATCCTTTTGTATTAATTAACAAAGTGATCAATTATTTCAGAAATCTTGTGCAAAGCTGAATGGCTCACGGTGGATCCCTATATGCGAAACAGAATGGACAGTTCAGTTGGAGCTGCAATGGTTGGGGAGCAGATTGCAAAGTATGGAATACAAAAATAATAATTTTAACGTCAATTATCTTTATTGGCTCATTATTATTACAGAGTTATCAAAAGTAAATCCCCGGATTACCCTGAAGGAACCGTTGTTCTAGGGTATTTTGGATGGAGAGGTATTAAACGTTGTACAAATGTTTATGCAATTGAATGTCGGCCTTAAATACAAGCACAACTGAAAATTGTCCACAGATTTGACAGTGTACAAAGTGCCTCCAAAGGAGAAACAAGGATTTGGATCAATTTATAAAGTCCCTGACTTGAAGAGTCTCCCGGTATCGTATGCTTTGGGATCATGCGGAATGCCAGGGTGAATATTGTATACATTTCTTTATAACCGGAAACCGAAAAAATTATGATGATCATTATCATTAACAATTGTTTTTTCAGAAATACCGCCTACTTCGGACTAACCAGACTTTGCGACCCAAAACCAGGAGAAACCGTCGTGGTGTCGGCGGCAGCTGGAGCAGTTGGCAGTGTTGTGGGGCAGATATCAAAAATCAAAGGTACAAGTTTTACGACTGTATGTAGAAACTAAATGCGTGATATAAAACATAAATATCAAATTTTCTGCAGGTTGTACCGTTATCGGTTATGCGGGCAGTGACGATAAAGTCGAATGGCTGAAAGAACTCGGATTTGACCATGCATTCAACTATAAGAAAGAAGGAGTGGATGAAACCTTGAAAAAATACGCTCCAAAAGGGGTCGACTGCTATTTTGACAATGTAAGAACTTTATAATAAACTTGAAAAAGTGGCGTCATACAGTAAAGTATAAAATGACATGAAAATTACGTAATTTATGACCCTTGACCTCGTTTTTACGGTTGTGGAAAGTCAAAAATATTGACGGCGTCTGTAAAATTTCCTTCAAAATGACATGCCATATGAAAATTAGGGTAATATAATTTTGGACCACATCCCCTGACGCCAATGGTCTAATCGTCCCCCTTATCGAACTCGACCGAGAACTTAAAAAATTTTGAAGAAAAATGGCAGAAATGGTGTTTAATTTACTTATATTTGTATTGAGGCGTTCTGGAAATATCCCCCTTACAGACCGACGGACGGACAAAGCAATCACAATAAGCGACTGACGCCACTAATAATTTCAATCTTCTTAAGTTTTACTTAAAAACTTAATAAAGTTATAACTTCATATCATGACCAGGTCGGTGGGGAGTTTGCCTACAATGTCGTGAAAAATATGAACTCAAACGGCCGAATTGCCTTGTGCGGTGCAATTGAGACTTACAACCGAGATTCCAGCCAGCTTCCAATGGGTATGTACACATTTATTGCATACTTTTAAAAATCTGTAGCCCCGTGATCCCTTATTTTGGTATTCATTTTTAGTCCCATTCGATTATGGAACCATGATCTACAAGCAAATAAAAATGGAAGGGTTTATGGTCGTTCGATGGTGGCAGGAATGGTTTCAAGGTGTGAGTCAGTTGCGTGATTGGATTATTGAGGTACATAAAATTAATATTGTGTGTAAATCAAGGATACCTGCATATCTATTCATAAATCCGTTAATTTTTGAAAATATGTACGCAGGGAAAGATCAAGGTTCAAGAAACCAGAGTGGAAGGATTCGATCAAATGCCACTTGCATTTATTAATCTCCTTCAGGGTAAAAACACTGGGAAAATGATTGTAAAAGCGTGATTTGTTGACTTTGGGTTATTCATTTCTATGTGTAAATAATATTCTTAAATTAAACTAAAATCTAGCCAAAAGTGCTGATCCAGAAAGTGAGTACATACTTCATTCATAAGCAACTTTTTACATAAACCTCACATTAAGCCTTAACGTGCATAGAAATCAAGATGAAAAAAAATCATGCACATCTTCATAGAAATTTCTGGTATGATAGAAAAATGGCCAGGATACAATATCGTCGTTGAAGCTGCCAATGGAGCTAAATCCATTTTGTGTTAAATGCCAAAAGAGCCTTCTCTACCTAAGTTAACATTGAGAAAGCTCCTTTGGCATTTAACACAAAATGGATTTAGCTCCATTGGCAGCTTCAACGACGATATGTATGAACAATTTCAATTTATCAATTTACTTGTCGAGACTTTCAACTCTTGTGCCCTTTCCAATAACCATCCTCTCGTATAAAGAGATGCGATTTATCCATTCATTACATCCTGACTCAGAATTTCTGAGACAGTTTTGGTCTGACAAAGACCGTATGTGTTAAGCCGACGCTGCCCATCCTCCTCCTCGTAGAGATATTTGCATCTGAAGCGAAAAAAAGCGCAGTAAATTTGGAAAGTGTAAAATTTGTCCAGTTTGGGGTGCGTTTTAAATTTGTGATCGATGTCTCACTTCTATGATCAAGCACTGAACTGAATGCATATGAATTTCTTTATATGATCGACGAGATTTTAATACTTTAAGTAAGGTTTACAGGTCACTAACTTTGCGCGGAATGAAATTGCAGTGAAAATTTCACCGCAACAACAAAATAAAATTTGAATGAAATTTGCGAGAAATGAGTTAATTTCACGCAAATTCTAAAACTCAGTTTACAGGTCATTTACTTTAAATCCTACTTCCTACATTATTGGTTACTTGTTGAAGTAACCATGACCATTTTAAACGTCATTTATTCGAATTTGAAAATTTATATAACTTTTTCTGAACGTTGCCATACTTGTTCTTATGAAAACAATATACAATATGACCAATAACCAGAATTTTCACGTGAAATAATGTCCAAGCATTTCACGGAAATTTCATCGAGTTTGAGTAAAAATTACGCGTTGTTTTCACCGTTGACGTTCGAACCATTTTGTGAAATTTGCGTGAAATTTTCACGCAAAGGCGATTTCACGTGAAAAACATGTGATGTAAACCGCCCTTTAGGCATAACAGTGCGACCCTTAACTCAATGAATGCACTAAAATAAAGACTTGGATCTCTAATTATATCCAACGAAATATGTATAACTCTTGAAAATTGTATGTGTCAATATTGGATTATGCACGCGTATATGCTTATGTACGTCACTACACGATCAGTTATGTTTTCAAAGTCCCTTTAACAAGTACTAAAGATGCTAGAAATGTGATTCATAATGAATCATTCATTAATACGTGTATTACTTAATACGTCACTATTAATCAGTAATAATGTTCATGGCGTAAATACGCGTCATAATCATTTCATAGATTCAATTAGAAGAAAAGTCTGCCGAACCTATGTACATATTATTCTATACGCAATCAAGGTTAACCTGTGATGCTGGTTACTTATTGGTTATACACAAATACATCCTTCCATGCGATATACCCTTATGTATAAAGACAAACCACTTGTGGAGACACACGTGTTACACTTGGCTAAGGAGTACGTATATATTGAGTAGCCAAGAAATATACAGATTTTCATATCTATTTGTCACCCCGTATCTTGTATCCTGTCAAAACCACCCTTCTAAACCGAGGTTTCCGTGGCTTACATTTAAGAAAAATTCTTATTTATATTTTAAACTCTGTATAGAATTTGTGATTTGTTCCTGTTTGTACATTGTTGCTGGTAAGTTAAATAGATTTATGATTTCTTATTAATTTGCTTGATTACTATTACTAACCGGACAATCACGAATGCAATAATAATATTTTACCATTATTTACAGAATTGATCCATAACATAAAAAAATGGGGGCAGATCAATCAGCATTTGAACAACCTTTATATCCCCAGTCGAAGGATCCCATTTGCGCCACTGAGCCACGATTTTGCCTCCCGCAGACCGTCCAGCTCCGCCTTCGGGAGAAACTCTGGTCCTTTTCGGGGGACGATTTTAAGATTACGGACGCTTCCAACAGGGAATTTGTCTACTTCCAGTGTCAAGGACGAGTGTTCAGTCTGCGGGAGAAGAAGGTGTTACGGGACAACATGGGTGTCCCCGTTCTGAACATGAAAGAACAGCTCTTCTCGTTCACAGACAAGTTCAAAGTATATGCAGGAGAACATTCGGATCGAGAAATTTGTAAGTTTAACAGCAAACTGACCTTTTTCAAAGCTAAGCTGTCATCACAGTTCATCGACGTTATCAGCGGGCGTCCTCGTTTGATTACCTTGAAGGGAGACTGGAGGGAAAAACGTTGCGTAATTTATTTGGGGGAACCGAAACAGGGAGGCATCCCCATTGCCAGAATATTCAGACCTTTAACTGGACGATCCTTGTTGTTTGGAGTTGACGACTACATAATCGAAATTGCTGGTGGGGTTGATATCGCACTAGCCGTGATAATGTGCATCGCCTTAGATGAGCACAGCAGAGACAGTAATTAAATTGTGTCAATTTTTTTACCACCTTTTCGAATCTCAAATATACTCGTACCACTATTTATTAAAACTGACCAGCATTACTCTTATCGTAATATGTAAAAATGAACAAATATTTATTACTTATGAACTTAACATGACAAACAATAGAATACTCGAATGCACTAAATTTATTTTAAGTATTATTATCATGTTCCACTGTACTTACATATGTTACACTAATAATGGTATTTATATTTATAATAAACTTTGAAAATATCATGCCAAATTTGTTTGTACAGTATTACAGGTTCTTGAGACTATAGTGTCAAGTAATTAAATGCATTATTCACTTATGTATACGTATGCATATCACATAGTTCGTAAGTAGGTACATACATACATATGTGTTTATATACCACACGGTTTGCATGATCATCAATTACAAGAAACTTGTCTTAAAAAAACTCGTAACCTTAATCTAAGAAACGAAAAATTTACGAAAAATTGAAAATAAATATTTGCAAATCATTATAATAATTTCGTATCCATGACATCCTGTATATTTTATCTTGCACATCATAACCTTCGTTTCCCCAAGTCAACAAAGCTCTGAACGTGCCTTTAATAATTCCTCTCAGAAACTTTAACACAGTCAACCGTTTAAACGTTAGCACACCTTTCTTTCCCAATTCCAACTCTTTTCTCGCCTTTCTGAACTTGGAGAACCATTTCGCTTCTTTCTTGTCCTTAAAGTAAATTTCCTTCCACGACTTCACCGTCTTGATCGAATAGGAATGATACCTTCCTGACAGTTCGAGAACCAGTACCCACCCGAATTGTGTGCATACAGACCAAACGGTTAGCAGCAGCTAAAAATAAAATGTGAACTTAAAAACCGGAAATTTGTCAAGTTTCATTACATTACTCATCATCATACCTTCGTTGACTTCTGAATCCATTCCCAGTGTCGTAAAACAGTGAAATTGCAAAACAAACAAAAGTGGGATAGCACGCCATGCATGAAAACTAACAACAATCCCGTATTTTGCATCATCTCATTATGAAAGAGCTGCAGTGTTACAAATTCCATGCTAAGATTCGACGGATTTCGCAGTGCTGGAATTGCAAGGTGAACTTCCGCATTTATTTTTAATTCCCGCATAATTAGCGTCATTGATACTGAGGATTAGATGGAAAATATGTATTTTAATCTATATGTTTTTTACCATTAGTTTAATTACCAAAATATATAGCATATTACCGATATAGATTGTTCCCAGCACGACATACACCATGATTGCATACCAGCAAGCACACGCTGACCACGTTGCAAATAGCACGGACATCAAACCAAATATAAAGCTATCTTTGAACGCATAGCCATCTGGAATTATGTGCCTCGGGTGGGCGCTACTATTTGGAGAAAAGATGAAGAATAGTGTCGTCGAAAATGGGAGGATAAGCATGAGCACGACTTGAATGAAAATGAAGAAATCCAGAAGTGCTGAGTATTTCCATATGTATCGAGAATGTGCGACCGGCATCCATTTTTCTAAAATAATAAATGAGAATTATGTGCAATTCTTGTTGTCTATGGTTTCTTTGAATGAAGTCGCTTTGGCTTTTGAATGGTAAATTGCATATCATGGCGAAATTTGCGAAACCACGGACAACAGGAAGGATACACACATAGCTTCGTGAAATTAAAAATCCATATATCTAAGTATTTATATAGTCAAATATTACACTAACTTTGGAAAATTGGAAGATAATGTATGGTCCGATTCATCACGAGGATAAATTGGTCATGGAAGCCATACAGATTGATCAGTAACCCATAAATGAAGAACATCCCACAAGTGAAGCCATATGCTGAGAGAAATTCTGGGTTCCACTTCACAGTGTTCAAAGAGGCCAATTTATTGGAAGTAATTCCCCGAGCACTTTTCTCTTAATATTTTTGCATTTTCCGAGCTCTGGGGGGTCAAAGACGTGCCCATAAAAAATTTAACGAGCCACACCCACTTTGGGTGTGGTTTTTTCCTAGTGGGTTTAGGGTCAATCGCCCAGTCCAAACTTGTGTGCTAAGCGATTCTACACCTTCTAAAAAAATTTCATCAAAATCGGTCCATAAACAAAAAAGTTATTGCAGGTCAAAGTTTGGCGAAAGGCAAAACACCCCTACTTTAGGGGCGTGGTTCTCCGAAGAGTGCAAACTTCAAACTCTGAAAATGGTTGTAAATGATGGCCCCCCTTGGTGTGTACATATTCTGAAAAAATGGAGTTCTGAAATTTGCACATTTCCATGATACATGGCCGGGAACATTGAAAAAATTCATGTCGAAATTGTCCAAAACAGGCGAAACTCAACATGACGTAGAGTAGTAAAAATCGATATCTAGCTTCAGCTAGGGCTAAAAAGTGCGTCGCAAGTGAAATTGACCCATGTCGTAAGGGAATGGCGTCGACTTGTCGAAATTTCGACATGATCCTATAAAGCTCAAATTTAAAACCAATACTCCTCCACCATTCAAAATAATTATTCTAGCACTTTTGGCAATGTCGACAGCCCATTTCGCCGAATATTGACCTTTAAAATGTCTAAATTTCAAAATCGGCGAAATTGACTGTCGACATTGCCAAAAGTGCTAGAATATTTATTTTGAATGCTGGGGGAATATTAGTTTTAAATTTGAGCTTTATAGGATCATGTCGAAATTTCGACAAGTCGACGTCATTCCCTTACGACATGGGTCAATTTCACTTGCGACGCACTTTTTAGCCCTAGCTGAAGCTAGATATCGATTTTTACTACTCTACGTCATGTTGAGTTTCGCCTGTTTTGGACAATTTCGACATGAATTTTTTCAATGTTCCCGGCCATGTATCATGGAAATGTGCAAATTTCAGAACTCCATTTTTTCAGAATATGTACACACCAAGGGGGGCCATCATTTACAACCATTTTCAGAGTTTGAAGTTTGCACTCTTCGGAGAACCACGCCCCTAAAGTAGGGGTGTTTTGCCTTTCGCCAAACTTTGACCTGCAATAACTTTTTTGTTTATGGACCGATTTTGATGAAATTTTTTTAGAAGGTGTAGAATCGCTTAGCACACAAGTTTGGACTGGGCGATTGACCCTAAACCCACTAGGAAAAAACCACACCCAAAGTGGGTGTGGCTCGTTAAATTTTTTATGGGCACGTCTTTGACCCCCCAGAGCTCGGAAAATGCAAAAATATTAAGAGAAAAGTGCTCGGGGAATTACTTCCAATAAATTGGCCTCTTTGAACACTGTGCACTTGGTTCCATGACTCTTCCACAATTTCAACGTTTTGACGAGAAGAAATGTTAAACGACAAGTCATAATGAAAATCAAAATTTTGAAATCTCTCTTCGATTTCACAGTTGAATAAAACCTTCTCGTTTTTATATTAAAATGAGCACTAAATGCTCCAACTTTTGTGGTTGTTATTGAAATTATGTGCAAAAGGTGGTATACAAAACTGGAGTACATGTCAAAAAATCAGTAAAAATCCTTGTTTTAAATTAATTTTTATACTTGGTAGGGAAAAATGGGAGTAGCTTTCCAAACTCAACAGGATTAATGTTTGGTTTTAGTTTTAATGTTCTGACATTTCTACATATGAACAAATACATAGACCTCAAATTTAACAAATTATTAGGACAAGGTGGGGTCGAGCAGAGTACAAATACGATACGCTTATTTTACAAATGTATGTTATCGCCAGATTAAACTACTGACAGTAAGATGGCAAAAAATTAACTCCAATTCCAAAAGGTATTGATTTTCGCAATGCTAACGTGTAATTGATGTTAGTAAGTAATTTTTTCTTTTGACCAGTGTAATTGTTCTAATTAAGCTTCTCAAAATAAAATATTTGCAATGCGTATGCAGCATAGTATTCTAACTAAACATGTCCAATAAGTTTTAAATATACATATTTCTCTAGACGTCGTTATTTCTAGTCTAGCCCAATGTTAAGTATTTATATTTTCACTTCAATAAATATGCAATAATTTTTTTATTAGTTGAGAAGGGTATGCGCTTAAATACCTTACTTTATAAATAAAAAATTTGTACCATAAAATAAACTCTTGAAATATGTAAATACTTACATATATGTAAGGCTTAATTTGATGCACTTTGTCAACTCTTTGTAAATAAAATTGCATGCCGTCATTAATTAAATAATTTAACGAAATGATTATGGGCTTTGAGACCCGATATAAATAGTTTAGCTAGTTTTCGAATCCAATGATTTCTTGTTCAGACGGTGAGAACGATAAGATTGTATTTCAATATTTGCTTTCATCTTAATGTGTAGGTACATGAAATGTCGGGAAACCAACTATGTATGACGTAAAAATCAACATAAAAATCCTTCTCGGGTCTATTCATTGTCAATTGTAGTATAAATTGCATTCGCGAAAAATTAGTATACATACATTAAATAATAAGTATTTAGGGGAATAAATGTAATAATAATTGATCATACAAATCAGACAAATTTTAGAATTTAATTTTATAAAACTGCGGAAAAGTGAAATCTTCCAGAACTTAACGAAATGCATTTGGATATTGGAATTACGGATATGTAATATAATATGTAGATAGTGTACATGTGTAGCTAAACATCAATTAATGTATGTAAATCTGGATAATGTCTTTCAAGCCTACGTATGTATGTACATCCAATCATGACTGTGCAAATTGTATTGTCTGTACAAATTGCAAAAACGGTGCAACTATTTAAATTACTTCACCTTTGTCAAAATGATACGTTCGTACATAAATAAGTAGAGACTATGTCAAACTGATAAAGATAAACAACGATACCGATTACTCAATTATAATTAATAAACCACTTGGAAGTTGTGTATTTAAACCCACTCAGACCTCGCCATTTGAACAATTTATCAAAAATAGTTTATTTTCTCACATATTTTCAGACAATCATATATATACCACGTGACAATGATTATGCAAAAAATCATACCTCTGCTCTTCGTAGTTTCACTTTTTTATTTAACTACTGATGGTAAAAATTAGATAATAAAATAGTATAACCAAACTTCGGTATTTGTAAACATAATTAATAAGCTTTGTGAAATTTTTATAGCCCAAGTTCCCATACCCAACGTTCCATATGGCGATGGTACGGACCCCGAACAAGTTATCGACGTTTACCTTCCATCCCTTGATTTCGGTCGGATCAACAAAGTGATCATCCTTATCCACGGGGGCGCATGGGGGGCAGGCAGCAAAGCAGAAATGGCTGGATGGGTTCCTATTTTCCAGACCCTGTTCCCCGACTACTGCGTCACCAACATGGAGTATCGACTCGGTAGCGAATTAAATAAAACGTTTTTGCCATTGTCGTACAAAATCATGAGTTTGTAATTTTTCTAAAAAATAGGGACCACTGCAAGTCCCGGATTTCCGAAGCAGCTCGAAGACATTCACTTGGCCATATCATTCCTAAAATCCACGTTCACCACAAACGTGACCTTCGCCTTGTTCGGGGGCAGTGCTGGTGCACACTTGTCCATGCTTTACAGTTATCTATGGGATAGTCAGACCAAGAATGTAAAAGTGGTTGTCGACTTGGTGGGGCCAGCTGACCTAACAGATCCAGCTTACACTGAAGATCCCATCGTCTCCGAGCTATTCCTCGCACTGGTTGGTCCTTGTCGATATGCGGAATGTCCTGACCTTTACAACGCTACAAGTCCGGTGACTTATGTGTCGGCAGATTCTGCTCCGACTATCGGATTTTACGGAAATGCGGACCCACTCGTACCGATAAGTCAAGTCGGATTGCTGAAAAACAAGTTGGACGCATACGGTGTCATCAATAACTTTACGGTTTATCCAGGAGGCCATTTCGATTGGGCTTGGGAGTACACGGAGGATATGATTCTGCAAATGGCAGATTTCTTTAATACGCACTGGAATTAAACCGTAGTAGAATTACAGATATAATTATTTCGTTCAATGCTTGAATTACAAAAATGGGAATGTTTTGATAACAAAAAACGTATCGTATTTCTTTGAATTAGTAAAACCGATGATCGTATTTAGAGTTCAAAATATCAATTTCGACAATGCAAAGGGACAGCTTTACTTTTATGTATTAATGACAATGTACCACAAATTTATGGACAACAACATATCAAAAACCAATCTGCTCCATTCCATGTACATACATATATACTTATGTAAATGCTGGCTTGTAGCAGTTGTAGCATTATGTACCTGAAATTACGTATTGAATGTAATCGAGTTTCATTCGTATATTGCAATACTAAAACATTTCTGTAATCACGCTTTGGACAGTTGTAAATACATGCAAGTATATAAAAGTGGCTAATTAAACGTTTCCGAACATAAAATACGACTTCAAAATGCGATAAGAAATTTCACGAAATACCGTAAATCGTTGCATGTAGGATAAGTCAAAATTAAATACATACTTGGGGACCAATTCCATACTAACGTGTATACCAACAATTATTGTATAAACACGTACATATGTACACTGGAAAAAGTTCATAAACGAGTTGATTTAAATTCATGTGATTAAGCCACTGCATTCACTCCAATAATGTTGTTGCGGTTGAGTATTCTTGTTTAATGGGTTTTACATTGGTTTGACATTCTCATTCCGATCTGGCTGTTGTACTTGAACAAATGCTTCCACGAAATGTTGAGACTAGTTGCATATGAATTTCTGGACTTGTGTTTAAGAGTAATTAATAATTACTAACTGTGAATCCTAATAGGAATTACGATATTTTGCATCGCAAATATGATAATGTGATGGTACTGTGAACTTTAGTTACTTTTATTATCTAGAGTTATCCTAAGTTTTCCATTTTATCAAGTTTCGGATTACGAGATAAATATCCACATTTAAGAAACACAATTTACTCCATAGTGATTGTTTTATTTGAAAATTTAAATCATTGTTCATGATCTCGTTACATAAGTATGTTACTTGAGAAAATTTGGTGCCCACCTTCGTTATAAAATTCGGGAAATGTTTGTTAAAATAAAGAAAAATGTTCTAATCGATATATAATTGTTAAGAAAATATAAAATATTAATTTATACATTAATTCTTAAATATTGTACTTAAAAAACTCTCCGTCGTATCTACTAATTTGCATACTTGACGCCAATCTACTTATCCCTTTCTCGCCGCTTTCGCCTCCTTAATTCTGTTCCTCTTGGCTGCATGAGACTTGCAGACGTCCGCCTGACAATCGTCCACAGCTCTTTCATGCCTCGAATCAATCTTATCTTGCGCAGCTGGACTTAGTTTTTCCTTATCTGACTCAATAACATCGCCCGCTTTGGTAAGCAGGTCGCCAAGTTCGTTCTTAACTCTGTCCTCCCCAGCAGCTTGGCGTTTGAATCTCCGACTCCGGTAATTTACTCCATCCTTCCACTCGGCGTAAATCAGGGTGGCAGTGTCCTTCTCGATGTTCAGTTTGGCAATAATTCTGGCCCCGATTTCAGGGTTGTCTTCGCTCGCGATTCCACCCATGTCCGTGAGAGCGCGACAAATTAGGTCGAGGAGGTCCTTCGCAGTTTGTCGCCGTTTTTCCACCACACGCACAATTACTGGTGGCGGAATGACTTCGATGACGTTGTGGACTTCCGGGGTGCAATGGATGTAGTGCGGTTGAGGTCGAGGTTGTGGGTGGTAGTGATGGAACGTGGGGGCATAGTCGTGGTAATAATTTGGACCTGGAAAATGTTGCACATTTTAATTACCACAATTTCGTAGTGACTTTTATTTAGAAATATCTCAATATTTCTTATTTTAAAAATCACTTACTTTCTAGAATCCCAGCCTGAGCTCCGCAAACTAGGAGAATAGTCCAGGTAGAAATTATCTTTGTACGAATCATGACGGATTTTAGAGCACGAACGTCCTGGATCGAAAGGCTGGGTCTAACTAACTCAGTTTATACTCTAGCCCAATTAAATTAGTAGTCTAACAATGATTCGTAGTAATATATTGCAGGTAGCTGGCGATACTAATTTGTCATGGCATGTTGTTGAGGAAGAGGTGATATTTGCTGGAATACCTGTGTACTGCATAGTAGGAAATTGAGAAATATGTTTCTCATTTTGATCCTACGTTACAATTAATAAATTCAATACGAAGAAGGGTGGAGGTTACACATAGATGCGAAACTGTAGCAAAAAGAAGATTTTATTGCACTAGATTAACTGATCTTTGCTCTTTGTTCCTGTTTTGTACTGAATCATGCATTGGTCTTGTTAGTTAGATAAATAGATAAATGTGCAGATAAAGGTTTGGATAAGGGCCACCTTACTGTGTAACCGGTTCTTGTGTGAACAAAAATCTTCGCCAGGGTACCTTAAAGTTCTTCATGTTCTGTGTGTTTATTGCGTAAATTGTCATCTTCTGTCTATTGCGAAACTTTATCTACATAAATATTTACCATATAAATTATATGAGTCAATGTGTTTAAACATTTTAATTGTGTGCAAAAAAGCTTTCCAGAAACCCTGCCACAAACGAACCTGAACATAATGATGAATTAATAATGAGAAGATTACTTTAATTGAGGAATGAACTTAATTGTCAATCAAAGGAATGGCAACACATGTATTTGGAAGTAATATATACTTATTGCCTACTCAACGAAAGCAATATTTTTAGTATTTTAATTAATACTTATAATAATACAAATCAAGTGTGCAGTTTTTCATTGCTAATCGAAGAGCTGGTTCGATACGTATGACGTGTTCCATATTTGGTCGGTTTGATCTGACATCTTTCAATGTGGTTATTATGACCATCAAAAGTCAACGGAAATGGCATTGTCACAAAAACTAGATTTCAACATGTAATTTTAATGTATGTAAGCGAATGCATGTAAGCAATAAAGGGCATGTTGATAAGTGACCTAGGAACATACGAGCACATATATGTAAATATTTATGTACACATTTTTATGCATTAATTCAATATGATTACAGAAGTAACTAAATTCACAAAAGATCTGCGACTTTTATTATATGCAGAATAATTCCATTTTGCAGAGTGTGTCTCCTATTAGTTATTGAAAACTTGTATAAAATGTGCGACGAAATCAATTTATACATAAATAAATATCTAGGTAGTAGAAATAATGCCTGAAATATCTACTATTCTCATTTCGGGAATTTAAAAAAATATGGAAGCGTGTAAGAAATGTTTTATTAGTCTGCGATTCTCCTCTATGATATGATATGCGTCATTCCTCAATAGATCTATGTACATATACAGAAATGTAGACACTTGTCCTTAATGGCACAAATTCGTGTACGAGTTGCATTTAATTTCCTCGCAACACTTTACAGATAAAATGTGACATGAAATCAGGCAAAATGTGTATGGAGTTACCCATTTTGTAAAGTACAACATCCTCGTCTCAGACTGTGACTATGTGTGGCAGACCTCGAGGTCTGCCAGATCATGATCTGATAGAGAGATAAAGAATACATAACATGTATGTATGTAATCCAGTGGAACTGAAATGTGCATGCTTTCTTTCTTATTGATGAAAATTCAACTTAAATAATGTATTAAATATGCAAGCAATACATCTTAATTAAAAATAGGGGTTCATGTCCCTCCACATGATCAATTTCATAAATGATGTAGAATGTACATGTGTACTTGATGCTCGTTGAATTCAGTTAGAAATTTGTTAAGCTGGTAAATATTTATAAGTATCAGTATTAGTATATCTACTCTGCCTAAGATAACATGTTCTATCCCTTGTGTACTTCAAAATTTGCATGCATATATGTATGTATATTGTGTATTGCAATTATTAAACTTGAGATCAATATAATTCATAATAATCTAAAATCCTGGAAGATTTGATATGCAAATTTTGATCTGAAGGTATTTTTTGCACGCCAATTAATTAAGTATTAATCAGTATGCACATACTATAAATAAAACAAATTGGATGAGCATAATGTACGCGACAAAGTGCATTTGTTATATAATTTGTGTTTAATAATAATAATTTATGATAATGCCAAGTGTACCTACACGAGTTCAAACTGAATGTTACTTTTTTATCAGGTAAAGTCATTTGATTTGAATTTATTCGCAATCGACGCATGTGTACGATACATGCGGTTCGACTGCGAGGAAATCATGCCTAATTTTAAAATTAAAAAAACCATCTACTTGTTAAACATTTATAGGTAACTGAAATATCTGATTAGATAACTGGACAATTATTCTTTGAGCCAATATGCACTGTTCTCGAGGTGGAGCCGACTCATACATACAACTTTACACATGACCCAGGCGAGCATACTGGATCGTCTTACTTATCATTCAAGAGTTTGAAACTTGAAATTGACTTGGAAAAATCAGCAAATCCATCATTTCCACAAACACAAGCACATAATAAACCGTATACCAAGTATGCATATGTATGTAGTACAGTATAGGCAGAAAGTCATTATACCCTTATACTTTTTGTACATAAAGCCTCATATTTTTCGAGAAACTTGAGAGGATGAACTGCAATTTTGCACAATTACTTACTATGATGCAGGGTTTCCAGAACCATACTTTGGATAACGGCGTGATACAAGCAACGACACGGTGATATTATATCCAAAATTCCGACAGGAAAAAAGTCTTTATACCCCAATTAAAGTTTAATAGAAAATGTGTTGATAATTTTTTTGTGTCAAATAACAGTCAAATTAGCACCTGGGATGTCCTCCCCCATCGCTTAGGAAGGCAAAGACACATCTTGGCATCGAGCCAAAAAATAAGCTAGTGACAGAAGTGTCCTAATTCTCCTATTCAAGCCTTATGGCGAGGACCAGTCCTTTGAGGTTGGATAGCGTGTGCTGAGAAATTTTGGGTTTCATTGTTGATCATAAATGTCATTTAGCATGCTGTCCGATGATTGTGGAAGGCAATTCAACAATTCAACCTCCTTCGTTCTAAATCAAATCCTCAATAATTTTGATGTATGCTTAGGATCGCCTTACTATTTGAAAATATAATTACTCCCCAACGGTTATTTCCTCACGTTACCATCAAATTCCAACTCAGAACGTCGCAGAGGTAGTTGGAGTACATTATTACTTCGATTGTACTAAAGTTTCGGACGCCCTTCCATAACGTCACGCCCAAAAAATTCGATTTCCTCCCCATTCTGAATGGTTAGCGTACGGTAGTTGATTTTGTAAGCGTCTCTTTGCTGAATCCATATTCCACTGGTCCCAATTTGAACCAAAGAGGTTGATGTTGACGTCGGCGAACAATATCAGGAGTTTCTAATATTTAGCCGTCCAATTATCATGATTTTTAGCACATTTAGAGCTGTCTGCAATATAGGCCTCGCGGAGAAATAGAATTCTCCACGTTGCTCGCTATGCAAATTCATCTTAAGCGATCCTACCCTTTGTAATTCGAACAGAACTCGAAGATTATATTCCTCCCTCGTGTTCAAGTTGATTTTTCGTGGAGATAACCGTGAAATCTTTGGCTTTTGGAGAACTTGCCGTGATCCGTCCATGGGGGCGTGATCCATGTACACGATAAAGCTGTTAAATTCCATTCGATCCCAAACTTTTTGCAGTTCTAGACTATTCTGGCAACTCTACCATTCTTAATGGGTAGTTAGTCGGAAATTCTTTGGTGTCGAAGCCTTTCATCATCAAAATTTACGACAATTTGTTTCAGGCCGGGATTAAGGTGTTTTTGAGTGATTATGAGCTAATTTTAGTAATGGACAACCAGTTCAGTACGAGACAAATGTTATTTTTCAATTAATAATGAATCATTTGGTGCGAGAAGGGCGATTTAAGATTTTATTTTCAAAAATTACATTAAAAGTACCAAAAAGTCAAAGGGTATAAACACTTTTTTCCTGTCGGAATTTTGGATATAATTTCACAGTGTCGTTGCTTGTGCCAGGCCGTTATCCAAAGTATGGTTCCGGAAACCTTGCATCATAGTAAGTAATTGTGCAAAATTGCAGTTCGTCCTCTCAAGCTTCTCGAACTATATGAGGCTTTATGTACATAAAGTATGAGGGTATAATGACTTTCTGCCTATACTGTATGTATGTAATTGAGGAGATGTCATGCAGTAGATTTTCAGTTTAACTGAAAATCTACTGCATGACCTCTCTTCCCACCTATATTTAGTCTATAGGTGTGAAGGTCCAACCCCTGCGCCAAGCAGTATATTCTTCGCTAATTGGTTTATTATCTCCTCTGATAATTTACGTATTTGCAAATAAATATTTCGGTTGCTCAAACCCTGTCTGTCATGTACATGTTTTACATGACATGTTTCACGTTTGTACCCTGACTCCTCTTTTCGATAAGCAGGAACTGAATCCACTTCAAATTCAATATAAAAGCTGGACCCTCACCAGAAAAACGTACACATAACGATAACCAACATGGGTTTCTTACAACTTGTCCTGTTCGTTTCACTGGTTGCAGCCAGCAAGGCTAATCCTCAGCCTAAAATTCCCCCACGACTTTGTAAGAATTTACATAAAATTTATTTTTAAAATCAGTAAAATGTACCACAAACTTCTCCCTTATTTTCAGTGACCTACGATGTTGATCCAAACTCTCTCACCGTGTCTGGAATTTCATCCGGCGGAGCGTTTGCTACTCAATATCACTTCATCTACTCCAGCATCGTCAAGGGGGCCGGAATCTTCGCGGGAGGACCGTACTTGTATGGAAATTAATGCTTCAGTTAATTAATTAATTAATTCCATTAGTAATGCTTCAGCAAGTTTGTAATTTGCCAGGTGTGGTTACGGCGGTCCAGTAGATGCGGCTGCTTGTATGTTGACACCTTCCCTCGTCAGCGTCCCCTGGCTCATCTCGGAAGCCAACATCCTCGCCGCTGCCAACCAGATTGACCCCGTCAGAAACCTGGCCGACTCCAAGGTCTACATTTTCCACGGATTTTTAGACTCGGTCGTAGACCCGTTGGGTGGACGTAAAATTGAGACCATGTACCAACACTATGGCGCTAACATCGGACACGAATTCGACATTGGAGCAGGTCATGGACAGCCCGTCGATGGTAATGGATTCGGAGGGCCGTGCGGGCAGCTGAATATTTTGCACGGTTTCGTGAACGAATGCGCTTACAATGGCGCCTACGAGATGTTTAAGCATCTCTACGGGGATAACATTACTCGGCCAGAGCCTGGGTTTGTGGCCGATGGAGAACTCTTGGAGTTTAATCAAGGAGAGTTTTTCGCCATTGACCCAATCGTGGCGTCTATGTCGTACACGGGATTGATCTACGTGCCCAAAGCGTGCAAAAATTGGGGCAAGAAATGCAGACTTCATGTCGCTTTTCATGGATGCATGGCGAATGAGTAAAGATAAGATAAGATAAATAATAATTATATGTAGTAATAGTTTGGTTTTTAATTAATCAATGATTGACAGGCACATGGTTGGCGATGGATTTGCGACAAAGACCCAGTACAACGACGTGGCTGAAGTTAACGACATCATTGTCATGTACCCACAGACGACGTCTACACTGATAAGCCCGGTTGGATGTTGGGTAAGGAATACAGATTTTGGGAGAGGTAGAGCAAATGATATAATTTGACGGTTATTCTTCTTTTAGGATTGGTTTGGATACACGGGACTTGGTTCCTTCGGTGAGAGTTTGTTATATGTCATACATTTCTAAATTGATGCTAAAGATATTTAGTGAATGTGCATAAATTATATTTCTTGTTTCTTTATTCCAGCAACCAAATGGGGAAATCAACCTGCTGCAGTGAATAAGATGACGAAGAGGGTCATGGGGATTAATTAAGTTTTAAAGTTGAGATTTAATGAGATGACAGAGCTGTGTTATTCCTACCACAAACCAAAGACAATAAATACTTGCAAACCTAAAGTTGCATTTTTTGAGCATCTGCATATTTGTACGCAAAATTCTTGTCATTTTTCATGCACCTTCTCATGTATAAAAAATAAGTATGTATTTATGGTCATATGTAAGTGTGTATACAAGCAGTTATGAAATTCGAAATTTGTACCCATTTGGCTTGATCGTAAAATAGAAAAATATTTCGTTTTTAATACAGGCAAATAAATGATACCTGAAGAGTACATACTCGTTTTCATCCGTTAAGTTAAAAAATAACACCAAATCTGCGAATACTGAATATATGAACATGGACTAATAAATTTTGCAAATGTTTGCATATAAGCAAAAAGATGCATTTTATCAAGTTAGTCTAACTATAATCAGTTAGTAAAGCCGGGACAATATGCAGTTGTCCAATCTGGATGTGCAATACTACTTCTGTGTACATATTAGGTACATACATATGTAAAATAAATACATTCACGTTTACTCCCTCGTCTCTAATCTGACTTATCATGCTTTTATTACGTACTTACCAAAGACTAAAGTATAGCAATTACCTACGAAAATCTAGCCGGACAGCAAAAAAGATGACCTTCTATCAAGCAGTCCCATCCACACCATATATCAATCTTAATCCAAGTAATTGTGTAAATGTATAAATTAATTACTCTTCAAGTTTGCAGTGAGGTAGACAACGTGATCCCATTGTGTTTGGTACTATAACACTTCGATATCCCAGTCTGAATACAATATAAATGTATATCTGTGCATAGATATCATACTTTCATATTTAGATCTACCTATATATGCATACTGCATTTACTACATATGTTATGTAATCATCTATCACCGAGCCGGAGAATTGCGATCCAGTGTATGTATGTCCATATGAACATGTGCAGTTGACTCTCGTAGCGTGTAACTCGGTTTGTTGCTCAAAATCAGAAGCAGTTATTTTAAAATTGTTTTATATTTGAACAAAATAATGTACGTCTTCGTGTACGGAACGTTGAAGAGGGGATGTCCAAATCATTACGTGATTGAGAATAAGGACAACGGTGCAGCTGAATATGTAAGTGATGGAAAAACGAAGGATCTATTTCCATTGATTGTCACTACAAAGTACGAAGTTCCATTCTTATTGGACAAACGAGGACATGGAAAGGTTGGTATAATTTTAGCAAATTAATTAAAATTAAGCTACATAAGTAATTTGTCACTTATTTCAGAACGTGAGTGGTGAAATTTACAAGATCGACGACAAAATGCTCCAATTTCTGGATAAATTCGAACACAACCCAGACGTTTATATTCGAGAGGAAGCCGAGATTGAAATCATTCCACCAACAAATGGTCACCCTAAGACCGTGACAGCCTGGATATTTGTCTTCCACTCATTCCGTGACGATCTACTGGATGAAGAGTACTTTGAAAATTACATATGTAACAACTACGACGTATTGAGATCCATTTCTGGCAAAGTTTCGCCGGAAGAGAGGAAGCAACTTTTAGACACGTTACGAAAGGAAATTGGAAGTTAGGATAAAATTGCTGTTAGATATGCAATCATTTTGGAATACTGATAAAAAATTCTTTAACCAATACGAGAAATTAATTTGAAGATGCAATTTGTGACTTAATTAGAGCCGTAAATACTTTCACCTTCATTTATTCTTACTGTTTTGCAATCTGCAATAAAGAAATTTAAAAATGTGTATTAAGACTTAATTAACCAAAAAATCTATGTAATAAAATTACACATAATGTATTATTAACACCCATCCCCACCTATTTCTCGAATTTGGTCTAATATTTGGCAACGTTACGATGATTCCACCATCTTTACAACCACCCCCTTCAACACATGGTAACCACGCTAACAGCTTTTCTCCTTTATCCAGCACCCCATAAATCCCAACGCTTGAAATCTTCATCATTTTACTATCCACAGATCCCAAAACCAATTGGCCTTCCTTCGGCCAATTGGTCTCTAACAAAATCGCAAACAATTTATTTTCTCTTGGTTTGTAAGTGTACCAAACGCCCGGGGAGACGTAGTCATTCTGCGCCCTCGTCCATGGGATCGTGTCATAAATAGCATCACCATTAATTCTCAGCCACATCCCAATTTGCACAAGTCGTTCTTGAGAAATCGGTGGTATCATTCCCTCCCTCGTAGGCCCAATGTTTAGCAGAAAGTTGCCCCCACACGAGACCGTCATGACCATTTGCATGATCAGCTCTTGCGTCGTGTGGTAATCCTGGACGAGAGCGTTGCGTCGGTAACCCCACGAAATTGTATCCACGGATAACACGTTTTCCCACTTGTGGGGCTGAAGGACGCCAGGGTTGTAGCGATCCTGACAGTTGAAGTAGCCACCGTGTTTGCACCCAGTTCCTGTAAATATTTGCATAAATATGTATGACATTCGCTTATTTTCTACGAAGATTTGTAAAAAATTAATTACCTCTTCCCCACCGATCATTTACAACGACCGTGTTTTTAACCGGGCTCGAGTTGTACAGCCAGGCTAAAAATTCTTTACTTTTCCAATACCCCTCTTCCGCCTCCCAGTCACCGTCTGACCAAATGATTTCCGGCTTGTAGCTCATTACCTGTTAATTATTGAGATCACATTTATATCCACAATTAAACTCTACTCACATTTAAAGTTATTATCTCACAGCTTCAATTAATTCTGGATATGTCTTTCTCTCCACAAACTCGGACGTGTTAAATCCGTTCTTCTTGTCGAGTAAATATAACGGATTGTAAAATTCATACCAGGAATGATAAATCCCAAACTTGATATCGTTCCTTCTCTGTCTTAACTCGGTTGCCAATTCGCCTAGAAGATCCCGTCCAGACCCGACATCCACTGAATTCCAGCCAAAAGAATATTTCGACGGGTACATTGTGTACCCTTCGTGGTGCTTCCCATTAAAAACGACATACTTCGCGCCGTACTTTTCTATCAGGTCCACCCACTCAGAAGTGTTGTAAAATTGTGCGGTGAAGTCGGATGCAAAATCTTGATAGGTGAAGTTTGGGGGGTAGTTGTCCCTCATAAAAGATACGACGTCGGGATACTTGTAAGTTTTCCAGTCGTACCAAAACCACTCACCATGAAACGATGGTACAGAAAATACCCCCCATGCAAATTTTATCCCGATTTTGGCTTTGTCATACCATTCGGGCAATGGTCGCGAGTCGAGGGATTTCCAGGTGGGAGTGAAATTATAAGGTCGAGAACTTGTTTCTTGTGACTTATCAGCGTGGTACAGTATTTTTGTTACAGGCAACCCAGATTTAGACATCGATGGGTAAAAGATTGACAACATGAAAAGTATGATGGCAAGTCTTGAATGCATTACTGTTATGAATTACTTGTTAATTTGAAGCTGCAAATGGTGATGTAAACCGGTAGAGATTGACTGAAACTAGAAATATTTGTATCTGTAGTACAAATTTTGCACTGATTTGTCTCGCTACATGAAACAAGCTATAATTATAACATGAATTAAAGAATATTCTCTTAACCGTTGCCGTTCAGCATTAACATACATGTGTAGAGCTGGAAAGATAAATAAAATGCATACGATGACTCCAAGTGAATAAACAAATACTTCCTTATTAACTACCAAATCACACAAGTCTACATATGTCAGAGAACTGTTTAGTGGTAGAGATGCATGTACATATGAATCAATGCATTGAATTAATATTTTGTAACCCTCATATGCAACGAAAGTTATATATCTCTTAATTTTTTTGAGCCACTGGTGTTTCGACTTGAAACTGCATCAATACAATCAAGTACGTCGTAATTGTTTTAATAATCTAAAAATAAATATAGATTACATACTTAACAAGTTTAACAACTACACAAACTATAAATAAGTATATGTATATTTCTAACCGGGGTGATCAAGCTCAGGTCCACACGGTAATAGTCAGTCTCAAAATAGAGGGGTTCCATGCTTGACGAATAATCACATATCTCATCCATTCCTGCCTTGTTAAACTTTCTCGAAAAAGAAGGATCATTTCGTGCCTTCTCCAATTTCTGTGCAAGTCTCACTTTCTCCAAAAAATCAACACTATCTTGCCTTAACTTTGTCGCTTTCTCGCACAACACCCACAACCAGTACAAGCAAACGAGAACTGTGCAGCCATTCTGAATTACGACTCTCCACCGCATACCAGGTTGAATTATATTTGTAGCGACAAAGTAAGCAGAGAAAATTATGCGCATTAAACTATGCCCCATGTCCAGTAGTATCCAGTGGCTGAAAATCCGGCCAAAAACGGTTAAATTTTGTCTCAGGCGAAAATACAGATCCACTTGTTGAATATTGAGACTAGAATCGTGTACCAGTTGATAAATAATCTTCAGGTACCAATTAAGGAAGTAGGTCAGCAAGAAGGGAAATATCGATCGAAGAAGACCAAGAACTGTTGGAGTTACAATAACGAATACGAATGCTGGACTTCCTGCAGATCAAAATTTCAAAAATATTTAAGAAACTAATTTTGATGTTTTTAATCCAGTAAGCTTTATTTTATTTATGTGTAGATGTACAAGTACATATACATGTGCAGACACTCAAATTTTGCATACCGTCAAATTCGACTGCGTACATTAGTAAAGTTTCCAGCGTCATTCCAGTGACAAACAACGCCCACAGGAGAATACCTCTAAGAGAGGATGCTTCGCTATGATTTTCATTACACAGATTGCACTTTGACCAAATTTGTGGCTTGATGATACAATCTTAAAAAATCTACCATGTTTACAAACTCTGCATAGAAATCGTTCAACTTGTTCTGTTTAACAAAAATTGAGATCTGAATGTAAGCTGCGACCAAGATCTCGGCAGTGGATTTAAAAATTATTGACATTATGAATGTGCGTGACCTCTTCCGTCGCGCACCGGCCACCCAGACCTCGCTGGTTTCGAATGCAGTCAAATTTGTAAAGAAAATAATAGCTATGGACAAGATGAGAATGCAGTGAAACACAGTGGGGATAGCCAGGAAATTTTGGTTAGCTACTTTTCTTCGTGTGTTTTTACGTAATGGGTCAGTAATGGGGTTTATAAAGATTGGAAAGTAACCAAGAATTTGTGCCACGTGTAGCACGATATGTCCGCCTGATGAGGACATTGGCACATTGAAGATTGGAATTTGCTTGTCGGAACGGTCAATTTTAGAAGATTTCGTGTCTAGGAATTTGTACATGTTTCCACCTGTCCTAAAATTGTGGCGAAATGTAAATGTATCTCTTCACTGTTGATGCTTGCTTATAAGCGAGAATATATGTATGCATGTAAAAGTATGTGTGTAATAATATTTGCATGAATAAGTAATTGGATTTTCCGCCATATGTATATAGAACTATATGTATTTGTTAGGCGACTTTGACATTCAAACATTTTCAAGGGTTTTATGAGGCGAATTTATTGAGCAGTTATTTGTTTGAATAAATGCTTAACCCACAATTAATTGATAAATAAGTATTACGCTATCATTGCATGAAGCCGTAGAACACGACGGAATGTTCAAATAAACGCCTCCTACATAGGTTATTATGATGATTGTGCGTATTACGTAAGTGAAGTTTTTTAGCTCTCCCAATAATTATTAGTTTAATTTCACAAAGAGGTATACGCATTGCTAGATAAATTGCTCAAATCGAGCCTAAAAATATTTGTAATCAACTTATTCTTCTCCAAACACAATTGCTAAATAAGTAAAGTTACTAAAATGATTACGCCCATAAAATCCACTAAAACCACATTAATATTGGAATTAATTTTTGGAAATGTCATCTATGTACCTACATGATACACGGTTCTGTCATATTCTTAAAAATATGGGCAAACTTCCATGATCATTAGTAAAATTCCTGAACACATTTATTTAATCTGTAGAGTTTCGTAATGGATATATTTGTGCTATATTTGTCTCAAATTTTGGGCTATTTTCCCATAAACCCCAAACTGCATGACAATAAGTCTAATAAACAAATCCTTATCAAACGACACCTAGTTAGTCTCCCCACAGCATTCTACGCAGTCCTGTTTATCTTAATTGTAACAATTTTCCTCGCTAATATAGACAACTTTCAAACCAACGAGATATGGGTTGTTCACGCCCTTAAATTTCAATCACGGACCTTCATCGCATCAATAACTCTGATATCCATCGCGGACCTATTTGTATCGGTGTATTTACAAATGTCCATTTATCTAAAGAGGAAAGAACTGGGCCAATTTTACACAAAATTTTGGAACTTATGCCATAACCCAGTATTTCAGAAGCTTAATCAAGAAAATCGGTATTGCTCTCGGTCTAGGAAAGAGCTCCTCATTTGTGTACTATTCGTGATGGGAACCATGGTCGAAATATTGCAGATGTACGTGATCGACATGGGAGGTAAATACTAAATAGACTGCATATTTAATTAAAAATTGTAATAATTATTACAATTAATTGCATCCAAAATACATTACAAACTTTAAAGGAAGCTTTCCATTCGTTTTCGTCATGGTGACCCCATTTTTCTTGGCTCTCCTTCGATGTATTTTTCCATTTTTGCTGGTCTTCTTTTTAAGTTGGTATCTCGAACTAGTGCATCGCATTTGTGAGACGGACGCTTCATTCCAATCCCAACTTAACCTGTATTCTCAAGTTAGGCAAAACTTGACGGATTTTGAAAGCCTTTTCGGCCATTGGATCCTAGTCGACATGACGCATAATCTAATCCGCATCATCTTCTCGGCATATTTTGCGGCAACAAATATCCCTCCGAGCGAGGTCGGATTGCGAATCGTGATTCAAAATGGGTTAAGCGTCCTTGCCTATTTTTATTTGCTCTACATGGTTTGCAAAAAAGGAACGCAGTTGCAAAAGGTTAGTGGCGATTTGGTGGACAAAATGAAAATTAAAAGGAAAATGGAATGCCAAGATTTTTATTTTCTTCTTTTGGGCGAACTATGCAACCGGAACCTGAACCGTTTAAATGATCATAATTCCGTCTCAACGATGGAACGATTGCATTTTGAAACGGACTATTTTCGCATTAATCTTGCAATGATTCCACCGGTAATCTTATTTCGCTTTTTGAGCATGGATAAGAAATGTACGTATATATGCATTTATAATTATCTTTTCAGATTGTGGGAACTATCACGACTTATTTAATAGTTCTGCTTCAATTTCAAGCAAGTGATGGGGAAGTGAAAGGTGAAAAATGGAAATGAAAATGATAAATATTTTGTAATCGTAAGCATTGTTGTTCAAAATTTAATTATGGTGACAGATAAGTATTAAATGTTTTAGATCATTTTAAGGTAGGAAATTTATTAATAACTAACTTCCAAAATATAAAAGTACGAAATTCATAAAATACTTTTTTTTAAATCTAAGTTAAGTAACAATTTATAACTTCTTTACCTTGATTTATTTATTTACTTCTAATCTATGTAATTGGTGCTAACTGTCGATTTTTATTTTATTATTGATATAATTAATTAACCATTTTTGTAATAATTTGATTTTTCATGAAGATTGCATAAAAAAGTAAAGTTAATTGTCAGGTAAGTATTTTCTTAAAAAACTTGTACATAAATATAATACGGTGGAAGTATTTGTTAGTCCGTAATATGGGCTGAGCAAGAATATTACTTCAGTCATCGTAACACATAAATTCGCATATCGTTGTATGAAAAAAATAGTATAAAATATTTAATACTAAATAATAATAAGTAGTTAACTGGCCAGACATTAAACATCTTGGATTGGCACAAGGAATTACAAAGCATTTTAAATATTATCTACCCAATTATTCGTCATCCTCGTCCTCAGGATCCATCTCAGCCCGTCTCTCCCTCGCCTCCCACATCTTCCTTTGCCCAAAGTAGGTGTAGCTCATGACCGTGGCGACCGTTTTGTCCGGATTTTTCCCTGTAAGCAACCTGTGCATTCGGATGCGCCGGCCGCAAAATTGCTCGAACAACACGCTTGACTTGCATTTTCTAAGAAACACGACCAAAGTGACGCTGGAGTTGTCATACCCTTCGCGCAGCATGCCACACACGACGGCAATCGTCTTTTCCTTCTTGGTGAAAGCAGACAAGTTCCTCTCCATCTGGTTGTCTGCGATGATGAAGGTTGCAGTTGGACCCAGTCCGGCCGCGACGGCTTTTGCTTCCACCTTAGTTGCGACGAGTATCATGGCTTGAGGATGTTTCTCTCGAGGTTCTTGACGACGGTGCTTTTTGAGAATATCTTTAACATCCTTGTGTAACTGGTCCAAAAATGCCGGATCCTTCAGATTTACAGAGTTAAAATGGTTTTCGATAAATTCCATGGGGCGGATGGTGACTCCTGGAAATGGGCGTAAAGATTGATACCAATAAGAATTATATTATAATTTGCGAACTTTGAAAAAATATATGTATATATGTATAGTTGCTCAATATATTTTGGCAATAATTTAGGATGGAAACTAAAAATTATAAGCAGGGCTACCTTCCAACGCGTTCCTTGGAATTTCATACACAAGTTTTAGTGCCCCAAACAATGTCAGAGCCTTCTCATCAGTTCCAAGATATGGTGTCGCAGTCAAAAATACGACTTTCTTTCCTTTAAATGCTTGCACAATCGTTTCCCAAGTCGCGGCAGGATAGTGGTGCGCCTCGTCCACAATAATAGTGTCAAACTGATCCAATCGATCTAATGTGATCTGCCTATCTTCGACGTTAGCCCTCTGGGAGGTAAGACTGCAGGCCGAGTTACCTCCGAATTTTTGGGCGTTGACGATGACCAAATTGCCATTCGTCATGATTTCGATGACCTCTCGAGTCGATTGAGCTAGATGGACGCGTTCCAGTACTTTATTACAGAGGGATAAGTTTTGGATCATTCCTACTTTGTAGAAAAACGGTTTTTGTGGTGAGCCGTGCCCGAATTCGGTGGCGAGTTGTTCCGAAATAATTTTTGATGGCGTCAAGATTAGTACTTTGTGTGAATTAAGGACGTAAGGGAGCAGAGCGACCATTCCAGACTTTCCAGATCCTGGTGGTGCCACGATCAGAGCCATTTGAGGAGGTTCTCGAGCAGTTTCAAATTCTTTAAAAAATGAATCTGCTCTAAGAACTGCTTCAATCTGATAGTCGTATAACCTCGTAGTTGGGGTGGATTTGCCGAACTTCTTCCTAACGAGTTCGTTTTTCAGAGAATTGGTAATGTCTTTGCTCCGAATTTCAAACTCGGACTTTTTCTTAGGCTCATTTACAACCTTGGCGTTCAACGCTGCAAAGTCCATGGTGGAGGCATAGTCTACAAAAACGATTACAAATTAGATAATCTTTTTTACATACATTGTTTACAATATCTATCCAATATATGTATGTACGTATATTTATAATAAGCCATTTTTAACCACTTATTTTTATAGTGTACTATCCTCCGTAATTAATTATTACACTGACGAAAATTTGGTATTCACGGAAGTACTATAATGAAAAATCCTACTGTGAATGACATAAAAATTGCTACATCTATCGCTATATTATGTCAGCAATTGCGTGTATGTACATAAAGTTGCATACTGTAGTTCATGTAATTGTTTACTGTAATAAATAGATCAACCCTTTGAATCATAGATCCTAATAATTCCAAAGTAATAAATTTGTCGCCTATCAGTGAATTAAGCACATTAAGTATGTATACATCACGCACATATGTATTAATATACATACACATACTACTAATTTATAATTATCAATTAGCTGTATTAATAGCCTACTTTCTGTACACGTATGCACATGTACTTCAATATGTACATCCTTTTTCTTACCTCCTCCAAGAATATAGGACAATTTGTCGTCAGTCTGTTTCATTCGCCTCGCTGTTTTTGTTTTCTTAACAAGGCGTTGTTTTTTGTTAATAGTCGGTTTCGGAATTGAAGCCGTGACAAATTTTCCGTCCCTTCGAGTTATCAGCATTCTTCTAACTTGCTTCACTTCAACGAACTTTCCTCCTTTGGAATTTTTAAACGTCTGACGGTTTTCTACTTCTTTTGTAATCGTGGTCGTTGTCTCGCCATCATTCTGCTGAGTGGTTCGTAAACAGGGAACATTTGCTGAAAAATTTTAAAATTTTGTAGTTTCCTCGTTTCAAGTTAAAAAAAATATATAGATATAAAAGTTGAAATTACTATAAGAAAATTGTATTTAAGAAATCATATTAACTGAAATTAAATATGTTGACTACAAAAACGTTTTGGAATTTTGTTTATAGTTGGAGTATATTTTCTCCCAAACTTACGGATTGATGTATCCATGATATTCTTATCTGCTTCGGCATCCATACCATCACTATCTGTACTGGTGCCAGAGCCCTTGTCTGAATCCGTGTCGGTACTTGTACTTGTACTCGTACTCGTACTTGTACTGTCCTGATCTGTACTGGTACCACTACCAGTATCCTCGTCTGCGTCCTTGTCGGTAGGGGTACTTGAATTTGAATTCGTATTCATGATAAACTTATTACGATGGTAATCGGAGTCTTCGATTGTGTCGTATGACAACTGGCGTGTAATTTATTGTTCACAAACTAATTGATTATAATGGATACGGTTTTAACACGAATTTCAGCGAGGGAAATCGCCTGTCAACCGCATAGATGTATGTATGTACAATGTGCATTGTATGTATGTATTTATGTGCATATGTAATCCCTGTTACATCATATCTGACAATACAAAACCAATATTGCGTACATGTTAACATTAGCGTCTTGCTTTAGAATAACACATACATATGTAAAACACATATGTGTATATACATGCATACATACATACAATGCGTGAATTGAAACTGGTCGAAAATAATTTGGGAATCTTAGATCTCCAGGGTTGACAATGTTTAAGATCCGAGAACTAAATATTACATACATCCGACTTATTCCGACTCTACAAAATCTCCAGAAATGAAGAATGATGATGATATACAACTCAATGTAGGTTAAATCACAGTGCATGAGTCATCTCCGACTTATCCCGTAATTGAAAAGCTGAATCTAAAGACAAAGTTCGTGCCTTGTATGGCTTGTATGTAAATCATAAATGAGTGAATACGTACAGCTCTGTGACGACAATTTACATAAATATGCTGCTGAGATTATCAAATCGATTGCTCAGCGAAAGCACCACACGTTACGATTCACGATAGCTTGTTGACCTTTAATAAATAAAAACATGAAAATTTGTGAATATTGTGTATTTATGTATGCATTTCTATACGGGGTTACGCTTTCACTTACATATTTATTTACTTGTCGCATAAATACATTGAAGTAATTAATTTAATCTCCATATATTTTTAGTCAAAATTGGGTTAATTTTTTTTATTAACGGAACAGAAAAACAATCTTCTCCGAGATTGGCGTTGATTGGCGTCGTTCAGATTAATATTTATTTACTGTTTTATTTTTATAAATGCTCGGCGTTCAATAAAATTAGAAAACTAGACTCCATAGCAGGCTTGCATTCCATCACAAGCAAACCGATTATTAAGACAGTAGCACCTGCACCCGTTAATTGCTTCTGGGTCGTCGAGGTCCGAAGTGAACTCGCCGCTGCAAACGAGACGCTTTCGAAATCTGGCTTCGCATTCTAATTTACAGTTCAAGTCGTCCGATCGCGAAGGATTTGTGTTGCAACAGCTCCCTAAAAATGAGAAAATATGGATTTCCAACTGCATGATTTTCATTACACAATTAACAAATATAAATATTGAGGGTATTCATTATTTCTTCGTATCCTTAGTATTCTTCGTATCGTAAAATACTTACGACGCTTACGAGATTTTGTAAGCGTCGTAAGATTTTCTCATCGAAAATCACGTTACTACGCTTACGATTTTTACTAAACCTGACCCCTTGTTTTTTCTTCGTAAACTATTTTACGATACTACGGATACGAAGAAATAATGAATACCCTCATTATTACGTACCAATAGTGACAAATAAGAGTAAAATAAATAGATAGAAGAAGATCTTCGTCTCCATTTTATCCAAAGTATTTTGTATCCTAATAACTCAAATTTAAGATGATATTAATAATGTCAGCATGACAGTAATTTGGCGACTGGTTTAATTCATGCGGAGTCTGAAGTATTAAATAATCTTCGTGTAAATTAGGCATCCTTGCTAAAATAGGAAGCACTAATTTAAACCAACTTATTCCAGGTTTAATAATCACCACTTGTCTACTTAACATCCACATTGTTAGTCTTGATCATCAAGATTTGATGTCCTTGTCAATAAAGCTGAAGCTGAAAAGTATACGACTGCACGTGATAGCAAAAAATATGTGCATGGTTAACTAATTGAAAGTAACTAGGGACAGTTTTGCTTTTGCCATGACATTTGAGGCCATGGTCGCGTTTTGTTTTAGTCCGAGTCAAGTCAGGCTTATAGAACCGGTGTGTCTGTGAGTGCCACACGGACGGACGGACGAACCGATGTTGACCAATTTGGCGTTAAAGTAGTTTCTCAGCAGGACCTTGGATTAGTTCTCTGCCATCTCTGGGTAGGGGAGAGTGGTAATTCCAGTCAATTCGGAAAAAAAAATTTAGAAGCGGACTCTGTTCTTGACTCGGGCTAAATGAAGTCTGCACTATTTTGCAATCAAATAAACCATGAGCTGAAATATATATTTGATATATGATTGATATTAAATGAGCCTAGATAAATGATCTATTCATAAATGATGCTGTGTTGAGGTTTGACAATTGACTTCACTATTAAAGTGAAGTCAATTTCAAACTATTTTTATAGGCAAATACCAATTTGTCCTTAATCGTGAACTAAAATGTCTGCATGTTTAAAAATTTTTTGTATGTTTCTACATACAGATATATGTATACTTGGAAATCCTTTCAATATATATGTACGTACACATATTACAAATATTCTGCAAAAATCCATTTGATTTTATCGTCATAAATAAATTTCTAGTTCTATCCCCAAAACAGGGACCCGGATGGGTTTGTTCCAAAATTATGTGAACATAATATGCATGCATGTACAGAGACGTAAGGATATAATCTTTTATCATGGAGTAGAATAAAATTGTGATTGTGAAGTCCTCAGCAGGCTACAATTATTTCTAAGAATTTTTCACTTTATAAGTACCTTCAACCTTCCCTGTGAAACTATTGACTTTACAGTGCGATGCATAAATCCGTTTCTTCGTATCAATCCCTTCCTTATTAAATGATTCCCATTTTGGAAAATAATACATAAATTACTATTAGTAATAGATACATGTTTCTGTGTTCCATGCATTGCTTATCCTTAGAAATCATGGATTAGAAAGCTTCCTAATATTCTCTTCTGAGAAGCATTAGTTACACATTTGTGTAAAGATACAACCATAAATGACGTACAACTACATATTTAGTATGCAATGCCGTATCATTTTTTACATAGGTTAAAAATCCTATCTAAGCTTACAATAAGCTTATGATAGCTTCATATCTACATAAAAATATAAATAAAAATACAAAAATTTTCATAAAATTTGGAAAGACGAATGATGCTGATGAACTCAGTTCATTGAACTGATACTAAGCGTGGGACCGTGGGACGGGATCCTTGACCTTACATTATGTCATAATATGAAATGCATATGTACATTTTAATGATTTTCAACCAACAATGCTTCAATCTCTTGTATCATAACAAGCTGGTTAAACAAAGCGTGGAAACGGAAAACACTAAATTTTGGAATGTCCAGTCCAGCTGCAGAATGAATGAATTATGAATTGTTCTTTTTTTGTTGTTCGAAATATTTTAAATTTTTGTTTGGGTAGGAGTATATGTACGAGGTCATGGCAGGTGCTTACATATTTATCGTATGCTTTGTTGTTGGTAGAACCCTTGTCTTAAGTTACTTAAATATTAGTGTTTCCTTCCTTTGCTAATGGTTTAAGCCGACAGTGAGAACACAAACGCTGTTATTCTCAGAATTTTGATTACCCTTGGGATATCCAGCGTTTTTGTCCTGTTTGGTCCTACAAAGTCTTCTTGGTTGTTTAAAAGGTGGTCACCTTATCAAAACTCGTTCACTCCAAATCCAGCCGTCAACTAAGGAACTACAGATTAGTGGAGTGTTTTTCAGTGTTTTTTGGTTAGACGTGAAATACATAGTGGGAAAAATGAGACTCAGAACGAGTCTAGATAAAACATCTCGGAACGACTTACACCTTATCTTATTCCTCTTTGGAATTTCGAGACTGGTAAGTAATGGAAATTGCTACAAATTTTACTACGATTTTTCTACCTTTAAATTTTACATGAAATAAATTGATTTTAACCCGACAGATACCTGATACAAATTGTGCACAAATTCGTCAGCAACGAGAATTAAGTACAACACAAGAAGCTAAAGGACAAGGTGAACAAATCCAAGGTAAGTATTTAAAATAGCATTTATTTGCGGATAATTAACTTTTGTGCACTGTAAACATGGGAATTTACTTTGAAACTGTAAAATTTGTCTTTCCAGATGACAATGAGCGACGACTTCAACCCGGAAATAGCTTTCACTTGGAATCACTTTCTTCCAGTGATATGACCGCTTGGTGCAAAGACTTGGAGGAATCTGAGCATATCGACGTCCATAACGAGAAGCTTTGCAAACCTTACTCTCAACATAGTCTCGACCAGGTAATTATTGTATTATTTACATAAATATAAGAGTAGCAAAATTAAGTGTGGCTCAATCTTCTATATTAAATGCAATCTAAATTTAATTCAATTTTTCCGTTCATTTTACAGCCACCCCAAGTTTCCATGTCTTTCTATCCGTCTTCCTGCTCCCTCCCGGAACCCGAAACGCCCCCAGATTTCGAGCACGACAGCAACCTCCTCAACGAAATAACGTCCGACCTCGTCCCAGAGAAATATCCTTCGTCTCAAGCCACTCTCATCCTCAGCAATTCAAAGTTGAGCAAAAGTTCCGTTGCCTTGGTTACCCTCTCCGATCTGGCCTCGCTACGTGGCGTATTTCCACATAATGACACCACCACACCCATCATCCTATCCGCCATCCATGCCCGATTTGGTCCTCCATCGTATTCCTCCATTTTCGAGGTCATTCCGCGCACCCTCGTCCACCCCACGAGCCACCAAGTTTTCTACGAGTTGCCAGAATTCTCAGGAAACCGAGGCCCCAAAGCCAACATTCTCTCCACCTTTTACACCAGGAAGTTGACCGATCAGCTCACCTTTGCCAAATTGTTGTTCACCATTCCTCACTCGGCCTTTAAAAACAAGGAAAGCGACCAGTTTGACTCCCTCCTCAATCACGCCGTGCCCTTTCTCGCCCATAATGTTGCTCATTACACGGGAAAAATGGGCCTCGTTGTGACCGACGTGACAACGGAAAGGGGACAAAGTGACGAAATTATTTTGCAAGACATCAGCTCCACCATGTTGACGCACATGCAATCCTTACTGCAAGGACTCTCCTTCAATTATCTCACCTCCGAGGACAGACTCCTGATCGAAGAGAAAGCAAAATTCATCGAAAATCTGCACCACGAGGGCGGCTCTTACATTTCGCTGCTCCTGTCACCCGAGAAATGTGGAAGTTTGGACAAAGATGCAAAAATTGTGAAGGCAAAACAAGACATCGACACCCTCCTAAAACAATTAGGTGACGCCGATGTATCCGATAAAAGCACCAGTTTCGCCTACAATGTCAGCCTTTCCACGGCGGAGCAAGTGCACGAAATGGGAGTCCAAGCCAACGCCAAGATTACGGAAGAATTTGCCTCCTACGTGACCACGCTGAGGAGACTTGGTCAACTGCGGGACCACCCGAACACTTCCATCGATGGAATTTTGGTCAATTTATACCGTGAGTATTACCCACTGGAAACGATTCTCATCCAATTGAACAACGAGGACGAACACGCCACGACCGAGAGAATAATTTCAGACGTTTCTCGGTGGAGTAATTTCCCAGGTTTTGAGGTGGATCTGCCCGCAACGAGAAACATTTTGAGGGTGTCGTCCTTCCTCGATTTTCTAATTTTAATCGGGAGGGAAATTCCATCCGTTGGACAAGTGGAGAGAAAGTGGAGCGAGTGGATCGAACCCATCCGGTCGTATGACAAAGGGGAACTCAAAACACGAATGGACTGGTACAAACTGCTCTCCGACCTTTCACAAAGTCTGGACAGTTATTATTTCCATGCGAGAAAACCTGTCGGAAATGATGACGAAAACCCAGAACCCGAAGGGATGAAAGCGTTTGACCTCGCGTATCCTTATTTCCACAACGAGAGTTACCTCGGTCCAGCCGAGGTCCAAAAAATCCTTGACTCAAAATCTTTAACCGCTTTTGATCGAAATTGGTTAAAGAAACTGGTCCATTCCGCCTGGCCGAAGCCAAAGATTATCTGCAACGAAGATCAAGACGGGCTTATCGTGCGAGGAAATTATATCAAAGTGACCGACTTCACCGACGTGAACAGCACCTCCGTCAAGAATCCTTGCTCCAAGAAACTCAAATCAATTTCTATCCTCGCCACGCGCAAATTCTTTATCGACTCGGATCTCACAATTTTGGGGGTCAAACAGGTCTCAATCATCGCTCCGATTTGGGACATGCATTTGACTCGGGATGACCAAATCGTGTCAGGATTCCATTTCAAGTTTGATGGGGAAGACGGGATTCCTTGGCCAGCGAAGGTGAATCGACCCTCAACTTCAATACTGTTTGGCTTCAAGGGAGAGGATGGTTATGCTGGAAGGCCAGGTAACCCGGGAGCCTATTTTGTCGGCGTTGTGGGACACTGGGAACAATCCGGCGGTGAACATGTCAGTCCAGTTCCTCTCTACATTTCTGTCAACGGAGGCAACGGATCACACGGACAGCAAGGCGAGAAAGGAGGCGAAGGCAAGAAGGGGGACGATGCGACTGACAAAACACTTCAGGATGTGGAGAAAGCTTCCATCGTCGCGAGCCATTGTTGGGACAACAATCACAACGTTCCCTCGTGCACGAATAGAGGAACTTTGGGACACGATGGAACGAAGGGCGGAAATGGTGGGAACGGTGGCGTAGGTGGCAAAGGTTCGAAGAATATTCGTATTAGGATGAGTTAAACAATTAATTTGCATATTACTAATTTTATTTGTTTGATGCGTAGGAGGATTTCCGGGTGATGTAGTAATTCACACAGTTTCACGCTCACCAAAAGACCCAGAAGTCATCGTTTCGATGGAACAAGGTTCCACTGGGGATCCCGGTTGGGCAGGCGAAGGTAAATTAACAGTCTTCCCCATTCAAAATGCATATCTTAATGCACAATTACTGAATATCTACTTGCCAACAATTTTTTCAGCCGGTCTGGGTGGACTTCAAGGGGACCGCGTCGAGTGTGAGAATGACGGGAGGAGTTGGGTGAACTGTGTAAACTACGGAGTCTACACGCGACAACCCGACGGTTCCAAGGGGACGTGGAACGTATCAACCACGAACCAACAAGAACCAGCCCATGCTGAACAAATCATCGAAGGCTACAGGCTTTTAGGCGATTGGAAAGCAGATGCCTTTCTCCAACTGCCCGAACCAGACATTGACATCAACTGTGACCTCTTGACGGATTGGTTTTACCGCAGTGGGAAAGCATATGCTTATGAGTTGGTTGGATATCAGAAAAAGATACTGAATTTGCAAGGTATAAATTTCCCAATATTTCATAAAAAACGAATCTTACAAATTATGAATTAAAAGATAAATCATAGCAATAATTATTTCAATTTCAGACAATACTGAAAACCAAAACGCCCGAATTGAATCCGTCCTCACCTCGTTTTCCTCTCGACTTGAAGCCTTTGCAAATTACACCAGTACCAAAAACGCCTCAAATCCCACGTGGGTCAAGGAAGAAAAGAAAGTCCTCGCGACCCTGTACTCCTCCACGCTCTCCACTATTTCTCGTCTCCGTGAAACTGACTCCTCCGCCGACATGGTGTTCGACCTGGCCCGATACGCCGGCGTCATCACGACCACGCTCAACGAACTCAAGGACCTCGAGGAGAAAAAAGTTGTGGAGAAGAGTCGAGCCGCGATGAGTTCGACCTTCAAACAAAAGATCTCCCAAGCCCTCTCCTTCATTTCGGATACCGTTGGACCAGCTTTGCTCTCCGTGCGGACCGAGCTCAAACACAACACCGACTTTCTCCTCAGTTCCATCATCAACGCGGAAGAGGACGCGAAAGACGAGGTGGAAAAGGCCAAGAAACGACTCCAAAAAATGAAGGATTTGATGCCTTTCCGCTATCTTTTGACCGGATTAGAATTCACTGGACAAGTTGCGTCCTTCTTCGGAGCGCAGGGCGCCTTGGCGGGATCAGCAATCGGAACTTTCACCGCTTTCTCGAAAGAATTCAGTGGAGCGGAAAACGCCGACTCGTCCGTCCGACCCCTATTAAACGTGCCCACCGAAGCGCTCGACTTTCTCACACAGACGGAAACCTACACGAAAGAAACGTATGACAAAGAAAAGGAAAAGTTTGACAAAATGACGGAACAGGCGGACAAAGCTATAAAAGAAAGTGGCGATTTAGTCGACGACTTGCAAGACCTGCCCCAAAAAATTGAAGAAATTAAGAAAAAGGCGGCCGACATGGACAAAAACAGTCCCTTGGATTTCTCCGTCTTTAAAAACACCTACTCAAAACGAGCCGAAGAGTTGCAAGAGCTCATGAAAACCAAAACCAAACGACTCGACCAACTCCTCAAAGACCAGGAAGCCAAACCCCTCTCCGAACCAGATAAGAAAAAGTTGGATGCAAACCTGAAATCCTTGAACAGAGTGAAGAATGGTTTCAACCTGATAACCGGATTTGGGCTCGATAACTATAACAAGTTGGCGAACGAGTACAAAAACCTGGATGAGTTGGGCAGCGAAGTGGAAAAGGCGCAAGGGGCCGTCGAAAATCTAAAAGCGTTCGAATCCTCCATCAACAGAAACATGATTCCCATCATGGCGAAAATGAATGACGAAATGGCCCAACTCTACCACAATTTGGAGCATGATAAGGACAAATCTCAAGTTTCTCTGCGCGTCACGCAGTGGAAAGTGCAAGGAAGTTTGCGCGATTATAAGAATCTCATCAAGCGATTCACCAAAGGTCAAGCCGTGGAGGAAAGCATTCTCACCTGCGTGGACAAACTCGACCAGGCCATGACCTTGCTCATCGACTTGTACGATTTTATCGAAAAGTATGAAGACCAAAGTAAATTAGTGGATTATATCGCAGCCGTAAATTCGAAGGATGTCCTCACTGTGGGCATTACCGACTTGGAGACTGCTTCTTGGATCAACTTGGTCACCCAAGCGAGCAAATCCAACCTGCTAATCGAGCAGTATGATAAGTTCATGACCTCATTTAAACAATGGGTCTTCCCCTTTGCGAACAAATACTTGGCCAAGTTCACCCTCCCGGACAGTTTGCAATTGACGGATAAGAATTCCAGCTTTCTCGTGTCGAAATTAAATGAAAAAATCTCCACTTTGAAACAAGACTTGGACACGTACCAGAGCTCCATTGTGAAAGAAGACACAAACCTCATTACACTAGAATTTGACCCCAAGTTTACTTCGGGATATGCCTTTTACGTTTGGGAAAATGAGAGGTGGAACGCCGCGATACGAAGTTTGCTCAAAGGCGCACCCATCACATTGACCGCGAACAGCGAATACGGGGTCAAGAAAGGGTTTGCCGCTGTAAAGTTTGTCATTGCGGAGATCAGCTTGAGATCCAAGGTAAAAAGAGAGCAGGGAAAACTGGACGACTTGTTGAAGCACTTCAAAGTAGAAATGGTCCACTCGGGAGTTTCGAGGTATCAATTTGGGGGAGAGAGCTATCAAATTCCGGGACCGAATATAACGATAGCCTACCATTTCGAGAGAGATCCCGACACTCACTTGCGACTGGGGAGGAACGAGGTTTACAAAAAGTTTGCGGCGGGTGACTCCATCATGAGCCCGTACACTTTGTGGACCTTTCAACTCTTTTTGGCCAGTGACACCGCGTCCTTCTCGGATCTGGAGGTGTATGCAGACTACGTGGATTTGGAGTTGGTCGGAAGTGGGGTTTACGTCGATGAGGCGAATTATCTGAGCAAAGGGGGCGTAATTGGGGATTTGCATCTGGAGAAATATTATGCAAGGGAGTACGCTAGTACTCCGTCGAAGTAGTAAAGATGCGTATGTAAATTTATGTAGACATGTATGTCCAAATGTCGACTTTAAGCATTTTTATTTTATTGATTAAGTAAATTACGTTAAATTATTTAATAACTACGTGTTCATGTAGTCTTGGTTGAATTTATTTTATTTATGATTATGACTCTTATTCTTAAAATTTACAGAATAAATATATTTTATCGTACCGTTATTGGAATTATTTGTGTGATATAATAAAGTTTTTAATAAAAGTATTATACATTAATAAGAATTCTACTAATTTTGACATGTCTCAAACGCGTAAATCGTAAACTAACTGGAAAGTATGTAAGTTGTAACTTGTTCCATAAAACGTAGATTTTCATAAGCATGACAATTTGCGTCCCCCAATCTTATTCAGATTTGCGGATGATGCCACCCGATCAATCGCACCCCATCAATCGCACCCCGGCTAACGCACCCCACCATTGCCACCCCTAGGATGATGCCACCCCCGATCATTCGCACCCGAGCAATCGCACCCCTGTAGATGCCACCCCTTATCAATCGCACCCCTAGGAGTATCCCACCCCCGATTTTGTGAGATTTTGACAAATTTTCGGGCACAAATAAATGAGTGTAAATATGCGATATGTTGCTGAATTTATTGGGGTTATAAAACAATTCTAGGATTATCTCATGAGTGAGATTTTGAGTTACCGTCATCGTTTTTAAATAATGGACACAATCCTAAGAATTCATGAAGGATTTACACATTAATCCTATTACTAGTAAAAATAAAGCTGAACTGATTAATTTGTAGACCTAATTGTTTATATTTTGATGATATTTGAATTTTTACTGAGACTTATTTTCGTTGATATTGACTTATGTGTTTCAATTTTTACGGAGATTTAATTTTTTATAGATTTTTTGTCGAAATATGAATTTAATTTATCAAGCCTGATGATATTTGAATAAATTACACGCCTTTGGGAAGCATTAAGAAAGTAATATGTACATACATACATACACGTTTGCTTTATTTTTACTAGTATACTGCAAAAAATGCCCGTCGGTATTTCAGTACGGACGTATCAAAAATCGCATTGCGAGCCATCCGTACTTAATCGAAGTACAATCGTACTCGGTGCAAGTAGGAATGTATTTAAATTTAAGTACAAATGGCTCGCAATGCGATTTTTGATACGCCCGTACTGAAACACCGACGGGCGTTTTTGCCGTGTAGCAGGATTAATGTGTAAATCCTTTATTAAAATTGTGTCAATTATTTAAAAACGATGACGCCCTTCCAGCACAACCTGTCCGGTTCCGGTACAGAGCTCCACGCCGCCGATTTTTCGCCGGCGCGCCGCCGACGCCGACCCGATTTGACACGCCGCCGCCGCCGGGGAAATTCATCGGCGGTATCGGTACATATAGTACCAATACCATTTTTGTATAGTGTTGCAGGTACAGTCCCGGTACCCAAAATTTGTTCTTAAACTGTGCTGGTAATCTCACTCATGAGATAATCCTAGCATTGTTTTATAACCCCAATAAATTCAGCAACATATCGCATATTTACACTCATTTATTTGTGCCCGAAAATTTGTCAAAATCTCACAAAATCGGGGGTGGGATACTCCTAGGGGTGGCAATGGTGGAGTGCGTTAGCCGGGGTGCGATTGATGGGGTGCGATTGATCGGGTGGCATCATCCGCACACCTCTTAAATCCGTAATGTGCCCAATTCAATAATACGTTAATTTTGAGGTATGAAATGCTAAAATCGTTGGAAGCCGAAAATTTCACTATATTATTCGTCCATATCGTATTCGTCCATATTAATTAATATTACACTAAATAAATATTAACGTGTATTAGTCAACAAGTAAGTAATCAAACAATTTTAGCAAATTGTTGCTTTAGAAAATCCATAGCTCATGCATAAATGCATAGCATAATCAGGTTAAGTGAGTTAATCGTCACACTTCATTCAATAAACTTTTAGCATTTGCTCAAATTCTCCAATTGTCAATTGTACACAGTTACATAGATTATGTTGTGTGTATATCTTACACATTTATGAAACTCGCTAAATGTTCTAGTCATTTAAACGTACGTTTAATTTAAAAGTTGCCTGTGAAATGGCCATATTTTTTTTCTGTGGTACTCATAATTTTGCACATGTTTCCCATGTCTTCCACTTTCTCTAAAAATAATTTTATTTCTCCCCAACAATGTGACCACATGCACTTACTTCGACTTAATAATTACTCAGAGTTTGGGTATGACGACGATTACTATTTTCAGGACGACTGTTTACCAATGAAATTAGACTTGAAGGGCTTCACTCTATCCCTTGTAACAAACGTGAGTGGGTGTTATAAATAAATAAAATAGTTCGAATATTATGCGATCCTTGGGATTTTTTCTTTTGATTTTTGCCTATGTAGGTGAGGGAAGGTGTTGAAGGGTTGGTGGATATCGATGGCATTTTACAAGGAAGTCGGATAGTAGAGAGTGTCGTTCGAGATATGCAAAGCATTTCAAACTTCCGGTAAATACAGATTTTTTGTTAACACAAGAAATTTCATAATTCAATATCAATTACAGTTTTTGACAATCGCGTAGAAAATTATACTAAAAATTAATTAATCAAAAAATGTTTAAAGAATAATTGCATACGCTCATTTTATTTTTTTAGCGCAAAACTTCGAAAATTGTCCTATTCCGAGGTTGACTTTAGTTTTGGCTACTTCGAGGGTGGCGTCGGTCTACAAATAACTAGTGGCGAGGCGGATATTGGCATCGGCTACTTCTACATCACCCCCGCTCGCGTCGCCAAATGGTCCCCACTGTCACCCTTATTGGGTGAAAGGTGACATGTAAATGAATCCCTCTCGTATTAAAATATAAATCAATTCGGATTGTATTTTTACAGACTCTTCGCCTACTTTCAGCAACCAAAGTCTAGCTCGGTTCGAAATATATTTATCCAGCCGCTGAATCCTGACGTGTTTCTAGTATATTTTATATTTATCGTATTAATTGGAACGCTTATGCTCAGCGTAAAGTTCGGATTGGAAACAAAATCCATTAGAGAGAAGAGTTTTACAGAAACGCTTTTAATTATCGTGTCCATCGTGGCGCAGAGAAGTAAGGCTATCTATATCACTAATCCCAAAAGTACATATGCATGTGCATAAATAATTCTGCACATTTTAAAAATGTCATAAATATTTTGTTAGGTTACTCATTCTGCCCAAAATTCTGGCCTAATCAGAAACCATTTCTGCTTAAATTTCTGATATTAACGGCCTGTTTTCTCTCCACTATAATTTATTTGTTTTACTCGACCAAATTATTGAACGTTATGATGACTCGGGTTAAAACTATCACCACGATCGAAGATTTGCTCAAGCATGATTTCATTTTCCACGTCAAAGCAGCATTGGGTGATATTGTATCGGATCCGAAGGTTCAATTTTTTAAAAGGTTGACATAGGATTAAATACACGAGATATTTCCATTGTTGACAGAAACCATTTAAACTTCGGGTTATTAATGACACTCTGGATTCCATGGATGAATTTATTGGAGCTGTCCAGTCAGGAAAGCACTGCTATGTCACCGTAGAGCTGACCTCCGTCAACAATGCCGACATGCTAACAAAGTTTAGGGAACGTGTGCACTCCATAAATCCGATGAGGAATTCGGACGACCAAATCTGCGACTCATTGTCCATCCTTCGGATCGAAAGGTCAAACTTTCCTTTAGCGGGATCCTTTTATGTGAGAAAGAATTCTCCGCTGAGAGGATACTTGAATAGACAGTAAATATTTTGTTCTATGTTTTTACATGGTTTGGTTTAGAAGTAAGATGCAATTTTTTTGCGTAGTATTTTAAAAATCAGGGAAACAGGTTTACTGCGGAGGTACTTGTCCTACACGAACAATGGGACTTTGGTTTGCTTTTCAAAGTCTAAATATCTGGAAAACCTTGGCGTGGATGATGTAGTTTGGGCATTCATAGTGCTTGGAGTATTGGGCTCCATGGCCATATTAGTTCTGCTACTGGAACATTATTGGTGCAAAAACAGTGGTGAGATATTAGTATTAATATAATTTTGCATTGTTACACGTGTCACATTGCTATATTATTTATATAGTGAAATACGCCTGTGGAGTGAAATTCAGAGACGAAAGTGCCGTACTACAGCTTATTAGTCAAGTACATAAACGGATGAAGTAAACTTAATTTATTTATTTATGTGAAAGAAAGCTTGCAATAAAATAATTCAAGAAAATGTCCTCAGATGCCGATGAAATTACTTCAATTAATGTATTTGTTTCTAAAACCCAAAATAAAAACAAAAACTTTACAAATAATTCTGTCAATGAGAAAAATTGACATGATTTTTTAAATACAGAAATGTTCACTTGTAATACTTTATGTTAAAAATGAGCATATTTACAACATTTGTAAAATACTAATCTTAATCCTAAGTAGAGTAAGTACTTTAACTAACCTGTGAAGCCTAAGTAGTGTTCTTGAATTGAGTTCATCTGTAAATATGGCATTGTATAATTGTACGTCCTGCAGTAATTAAAGCTTCAATATTATGCCTCCTGTTTGCAACGAAATAAATTGGAAATTCAATATTGGATTTTTGTTTCATTATAAATATATACGTTTCTTGTCTACATATTTATTATGCATTTGATTGCTTAATTATTGTCCTGTTTGTCCTGCTACGTTTGAGTCTGTCCTAGGAATATCATTATTATTAGCGCTTCGTGTCAATGCGGCTCCGACAACGTCACCCACGACGTCATTTTCTTCACTCTTATCCTTCACGTTTTTGGCTTTCTTTCCTGGATCGCAGTACTGGGAATATTTTTAACGTGGAGCTTAGTAAATTATGTACGAATAATATTCCTAACTGATACTTTTTTTACAGCATTAATCTCATTACTTTTATATACTCATTGTAGATGCAATACATGGCGATGCGCATCGGTTCGCAGCGACCGTTGAGAATAAAGGGTTCTGTACATTTTTGAAACGTGTATGAAAATCAAAGGTAAGATTTTTTTAGTAAAAAAATGAACTTCTTACTTTCCTGGAAGCATTGCTTATACGAAAACAAAACCTTTTCCTTGGTTGCATTCTCGTACTTGTAATATTTGTCATGCACTTTCGCAATTCTTTGTGGTTAAACTTTCCCGTTTCCTCGTCAAGTTGGTTTAGGCGTTGATACCCGCAAACATGTCTGCACTTGAGGACAAGTAAATTTAGGCAACTTTTATTAACAAGAAAGACTGTGGGTCAGTAATCAGCTCAAATTTGCAAAATAATATGCAATACCGCACGCGGTGATTCCGTCAAACATGACGCAACGGTTGGCATAATGTCCTTGTAATAATCTTCCATCCCCGTTGGACGCCCTTTACATTTGAAATAGACTTCGTAATCCTTCTGCGACATGGAATTAACCGAGGCAAATATCTGTCGTGTTGGGAAATTGTTTACAATTTTCGTACGTTTATGAAATTCGTACCAGAGTTTGACTCACTAATGAGATGGTGACGTAAAAGTTGACCATTTTAGAAAAGTGAGGTGTCCTGTCCATTATGTATGTGAAAATATTTCTGTGCACTTATTTATCATGTAATCTGCTTAATTACTTGTTCCATAAAGTTAACATTCAATTGAAATTGACATGTTTCAATTTCAAATGCCACCAAAAAACGCTCTGCATTAAAACAATAATGAATTCCAATTCCAATGGGGATATGTATTGTTTATATTTTGAGGATTGGGTCGGCTATAAAAATTTGGCAATATGAATCAATAACATCCGACTTTTAGTTTTATGACGTATTATTGTTAACATCCTGCCCAAACTGTGTACATAAATATAACAAATATAAAAAAATTGCTAACAGAATCGGTAAATCAAATTGAATCAAACTACACGAGGAAAATCGTCATTTCGTATATTTATCATCAATCTCGTTTGGTGTGATTAGTCCATCTTCATTCTCGTCCAAATTTACAAACTCCTCAAGAACGTCAATGTCTTGTGTGTCTCGTAAGATGCGAAATTCATGAATGTTAATTGCACCGTCTTTATCCGTATCGAGGTCTGACATGATGGAGTTCACCGTCTCCCTCATCTCGGCATCATGATCTATGACCCCTTGTCCTCTGGGCCCTTCGTTGCGAAATGGAAATTGATGAGATGCACATACTTTGATAATTACGTTATATACGATATACGTTGATAATTTAAGGCGATTTATTAATGAAGATGTCGCGTTACGTGGAAAATCTCGGCATCCACCATCACAATTACAACCGAAAAGGTTGCAAGGTCCGTAGCCGCAGTAGGGCGTGCCATGGGTGCAGTCAGCACAGAGAAAGTCAATCTCATGGCGCGGGGGGCTATCAGGAGGGCTCCCGCGGCACACCCAAATGTGTTTAGCCGCGCGGTAGCAGCAGTCAGACAGAGGTCGCAAGGATGGGCAGACAAAGGGGGAAGAAAGTGTGGGAGATAATTAGAAACTTATTTTCAATTGGCATGGTAACCATTTGGAAATAATAAAAAAGTGGTTTTAAATAATAATGGAGTGTGATTTTTTAATGGAATTTATAAACTGTGCTCTATGCAATTGTGTGATCTATAAATAGGTATTGTATAGTGGGAAAATTTGTTATGCAATTCATTCATTCATCCTTAATCCAAGGATGCTGGATTTCATAAATGGAAGCAAAGGGGGCTTTATGCATGTACATAAAGGAGTTTATTTCATAATCAATGCGCCATTGTTGACAATGTTTTTATTAAAATTACAGAAATCTGTTTTTGTTGACGTCGAAGAAATCATCGTTAAAATAACATCTTATAATTGTTAAGAGTAGAAGTCTCTTTTAATTGTGACTTTTTGAGGAAATTCTGGACAAGTTCGAATTTTAGAGCTTTTAGAATATATTACCTTTGATGATAATGTTTTACTTTAAAATTTGGGCTACCAAGTTGGAATTTCAATATAAACCATTAAATAATTCCGGCATAAAATAACAAGATCAATATGGTGGGTAACCACATGGAATCACAGGGATCTGTTAGATTTAGTCGTATATGCACATATATACATATGTAGTTATGTCGGAGAAATTTGACACATAATAAAATAAGCCATTATTTAGACATGAAGCTCAATTAAGGCAGCACTTCATAACTTTTACTGTTTTTCATGAACTGAATAATGGATTCCATCTAGCCACCTCCATCTCATATACATACATAAATATGTATCTAAATTTACCTACGTATGTACATAGGTCACAGATCATCGCATTGCTTACACACTGCACAATTGGTGACAAAATGTGACAGCACATGAACATGTAGATTGGTAACTATATACATATTATGTATCACAGGTGGGTACAATTTAAGGATGTATTCCACCAGCGTGTTGGTAATTAATTACTGTAAACTTATTTATTAACTAATCCTAAGAACCGATACATTACGCTTATGCTTCTACAATTTCGTTACCAAATTTTTTAATGTATCATAATTATTCAGACTGAGCAATGAACTAAATATATAAATACCCAAAATTTAGTTCATGACAAATAATAAAAATTAATAGACAAGAAGCCATTTGTTTCCAAGTATTTCTATGGCTATCCATGTACAACACTATACCGAACGGAACCTAGAGAAATAAAAATGTTTAGTAAACATTGTTTACATTTCAATATTATGCAAAGGGCACTTGAGTAGATAAAATTCTCAAGATTTAGCACGTTTACTTTTTCATGCGTCGTATGTAGATTGTTATTTTATTTTGTTCCAGAGGTTTAGTTGTTATTTGATTTTTATTGCGCTCGTTATTCGTGAAATTAGATTAAAGTACATTCATGAACGATCGTAATTATACAATTACATATACTCCAACCCGTCGGAAACCTCTGCATTCTGCGGACTTTGGCTTCCGACACAAATCGTGTAATCCTTATAGCCACGCAAGACTCCGACTATGAATCTTGACGCATACTTATTTACTCACTATCGTTGCCACTTCCTTAAATAATATATTTGTGTATCAAATCTTGTGTACCTCAATTAAGGGATTTCATGAATTTTCATCAACTACTAAGTGTCCTACAGGGTATAAAAAGTGGCCCTCTTTTCCAGCTTTCTCATTCTACTTTCACATTTGCAACACGCAAGATAACTTACCACGGCAAAATTTCGGTTAGTATTTAGTTTCTTTACACAGATTACGAATTACTAATTTTCTGTACTCTAATTCAATTTTAAAAAGTTATTTATTTTTCAATTAATTCAGTAATTTTCAGTAATTTTCAGCTAATTCAAAAATGTATTTATTTTTCAGGCAAACTTCTCCCCATTTCAACATCATGTCACTCTCAACCCTGCGACGCTATGAAACCATGGAAGAATTGGACAACTGGGTGCGTCTGGCCAAGTCCGGCTCTACCCAAACCTTCGCCCACGTTAGCGACCAACTTTTCGATGAGGTAATCGCCCTCGGCGCCAGCATTCCTCGAACTCCATGCACTGATGCAGAACTGGACATGATGAATGCCATGCTGGGGATGAATGCCTACTCGCAGGGAAAAACTGCCCTTCTCTCCAAAGTGGATTGTGTCGGGTGAAAATTTTAATTATTACGTTTCGGTTTCTAAATATGCAAATATCTTGGCATTTGAATAAATTCCTAAGTACATCATGCATTACTAATTATTTACATACACATTTTTTATTCGTTTTCAGGTGCAACCGTTCCCTCAATTTCTATGACGTTTTCGTCCAAGGTGTCGAAAAACATGGGCTTGGCTTCATGAAGAGATTCGCCACTGGGCCGAACAAGGTGCGTGGTGACACCGATGGGGAGCAAACTCTCTGCTGCAGTGGGTGCGGCCAGAGCACCCCGTGTACTCGAGAATTCGTTACCGACCAAGCTCTCTATGGGTATGGTTGTTACAATTGCTAAGTATGACGTTATAGCGATTTTCTTCAACCTAAATCGTCAAATGCTAGACTTAGATGTCAAAACCAATTGAAATTAAATGCATGGATCAGTAAAATATTGTTGTGTTTTATAAATTTTGAGAGCTTTGAATTAATAAAAAAATTGCTTGCTCATAAGTATGTATGAAAATTAGGAGAATTTGACTTTTTACCCATTAAAGTATGGTCGCATAAATTTTAAGGGCACGTATATTCAAGTATTTACATATTAAATAGAAATGCATATTGCATACAATTAAATGGCATGATGAATCATTGCTAGGCATTTGTTTTTTAACTCATAATGAGGTCGCAAGCTACGTGACTAGTTTGAAATACATTAATGGGATATCCAGTAATGGCTGTAAACTTAGAATAATTAGGATACATATAATAGGTGTAAAGTTCCTCTTGAACTCTGTATATACATATGTACATATTAAGTTTAGTGACACAATGTACGTATGTATTTAATAATGCCAAATTAAAGAAGAGATTATAAAAAACTAAATTAAAATCTTCCGTGTAACGAGCGGAACCATACAAACGTAGTTATTTAAAACTTATCCAATTATTAATGTCTCATCAGAACTATGAAAGTGAACAAGTTTAGCATTTTTTGGAACACAATGACAAATAGCTTTTGCTCATTTATACATAAATATTACATACATATGTATGTACACATGAATAATAGAGCATTTTTTTGTTAATTTCTAGACACTATATTTGTCTACCTGACCGAATAGATACTACAATTACTGTAGGGGTACATTTACTTATGTCGTTGGTAGCTTCCCAATACGAAACATAAAAATAAGTTGGCAAACATTTAACTAGTTTATGAACGTATGTGGGCGTAAACTAAACATTATTTAGAAATGCGGATTGAGATACAAAACAAAATTTGGTCAAGTAGCTTGATAAATACTCGGAAGTACTTGTGTAGATCTTTTGTGTTGTTTCCATAAATACATACATATGTACATATGTATTTATGTAAATAATGTACATACATATGTAATCCTCGTTAATAAGGATATTATGTAATTACGTCATATCTGACAACACAAAAGCAATATTGATTACATTAGTGTTTTTAGAATAATTTGTTTCGTTCAATTTTTTAAATTCATGTTTTTTTGGTCTAGTCCTTCTCGTGACATGCTACATTATTCGTCGAGTCTTACTTTAGAAGTTTCAATTTCTGTAACTCTACAGTTACCCTTTGAAATAAGTTAACATTTTTGAAAGTCTCTAAGAAAAACATAAACCCAAAAATAAGTCGTCTTGCATATTTACATTTTTATAAGTTATCTCAAGTCTTGAAATGAAATTTACCCTCAAATTTTTGTTATTTATACTTTCAGCCACCTTTGCCCTTTGCATGTTTGACTGTGATCTATATTATGTGAATTCATTCCGCCCAAATTTAGACATCCAACACGAAATTATAAACTTCTTAGACGGACCACAAAGTAAATGTGTGCTACTTTCGTTTTCAAACCGAGAGGATGTTACACAATTAGGCAAATTTCAGTATAAATTTCATCATGACTTTGTGAAAGTGGTGTTTATTTTGTATCCCAATTCTGACCATGATATTCACCATAGTTTATATAATCCGGCAGGATTTAGTCGAAACTCCGTTTTCGTATTCCTCAATAATGATGAAATAAGGTATCACGATTTCCAAAAAATTGTCAGCTTTTACACGGCTCAAATTTACTCAATTTCCAATACAAAAAACATTTGGAGTTTGGTCAAAATTTGTCAATTATGCCTTCAAAATTATCCTGACCACACCTTCTTACACCAGGATCTCTCTTCGCTGGTTAATTCGATAGTTTTAAAGCATTCGGTAGAATTTCGATCCAATCAAAAACCGGACAAATTAAACTGGAATCTTAAGCCTATCGGAATACATGGATATCTTGAAAAATTTTGCACAGACCAAGCATATTTGAGGAAACCTTTCTCCTGTGAGCCCAATTACAGATTCTTTGAAACTGCCCAAGCTTACTACAACTTTTCCATCGAGTTAATTGATTGGGATACGAAGTGGGATTTCTTCACTTCACGGAAATCACCAAGGTATGCATTTATATATTTAAGATCAGATTAGTTTTTAGCCCGAGTCAGGGCTTATGGAACCGTCATGTCCGTCCGTCTGTCTGTCTGTCCGTCTGTCTGTCCGGCACGATAGAGCCAAAACGGCTGAACCGATTGACTTGAAATTTTTACCACATGCATATTGGACAAAATTAGGAAACGAGTTCGAAGATGGGCGAAATCGGTCCAGTGATTGACCGGTGGGGGTCATCGGAGTGGGTGGGGTATTATGCACCAAAGTTTCAAAATTGTCGTAGAAAGCTGAAATTTGGCACAGAGGTTGCTAATGGCTCCTACTAGATAAAAATGACTTCAAGTTGGAAAAATTTTCATCTTGAGCGACCCTATGGGGTGACCCATACCGATTTTTAAAAACCATCATATCGAACTGAAATTTGGTGGAGAGGTTGCTTATGGGGTTTAATGAAAGAATATGATATGATATTGGTAAAATTGTTATCAGGAGCGACCCTATGGGGTGACCCATACCGATTTTTAGAAATTGCTTTAAAAAGATGGAATCCGGCACAATGATACTTAATGGCTTCTAATTAAAGACTATGAAGTTAAAAGTGAGCAAAGTGCAACCAGAGTGACCCTATCGGGTGACCCATACTGATTTTTCAAAATCGTTATATTGAGCTGAAATTTGATATGGAGGCTGAAAAAGTGAAAACCACTGTTGGATAGTACATGCATACAGCTTAGAACTTCATGATGTTAAAGAAGCCCACTGGTCATGGTGGTCAAGGCACATGATTTGTAACTAATTCAAAAATTTGGTACCAAATAGTAGAAACTATCTAACAAACTTTTAACCATCCACAACACGGAAGTTGGTGATATTATGTCGGTCGGAAAAAAATTAGAAGTGGGCTCTGACTTATTGATTCAGGGACTATGTCCCTGACTCGGGCTATATGGAGTCTGCACTGTAGGTTTTTTGTATATCTATTTAGATTAATTAAGTTCAATACGATAAGATTAATTAATATTTTTTTGAAAATATAGCCACTTCAGAGTGAATTTGGTGATTGGGGGCGAACTCTACCTTGAGCAGTACCGGCAGGCGTCAATATCTTCACTCACATTCATCAGGGACGTGGAGGAGTTGTCAATTGTTTATTGTGAGGATGCGTTAAAATATGAGACGTCGACCTACTCGTCCTGGTTATATCCGTTGCATCAAAGTGTTTGGATTTGGTGGGTAACGTCCATCCTGCTAATCTTGATGTTTAATTACATACAATATGCCGTTATTTCCATGCAACATAAAAACAATGGCATGTCACTTCGAGAAGAACTATTTCTCCTAGTTCACAAACTCTTAGACATTCTTTCCACCGTTTTACGTCAGGTCAAACTCAGGGTAATCCTAGAATCGAAAACACTAATCGTATTTTCCGTGTTATCGCTATTTCTGACGATACGATACGAATCGGTCATCACAAGTGACATCATAGCCCCACCACGGCCACTTGTTGCCAAAAACTTGAGAGAGTTAGTGGTCGAGAGGGGGTACAAGGTCTTTATACCGACAGACTCAATCGACGAGACGTATGATTTGGACCTGCACGAAATCAAGGATGCACTTGCGGTAAGAAAAACTTCAATTTGATTGGGCACGCTTGTTTGCATACGCTTTTTCACAATAACTGATTACGCAAATAATATTTTGGATAATTCAACCTGATTTAAGATCGTTATTATTTTTCGCATAAATGATATCCCTTGCTTGATTTTATATTTACGTATCATCGGATAACGGTTACACAATCTCGTTTAAATCTCTAAATCTAGTAATATTTATTTCTACAGCACTACAATATTGACACATCCTATCATTCAGATTGGATAAAAGTGCTGGACACGCCTTGGACATCATGGGACAGTGTTCTGGTCAACTATAACGTTGTGCGAGATTTTAGAAAAACTGAATTGAAATGGTTTATGCCATTTGTAAATTCTCGCGTGAAGCAGCGAAGGATCACGAGAAAAGAAAAGGCGCCACGGAGATTTTGTCACGCCGTGACGGACACGATATTCTTTCAGAGAATATACGCTTTCTACCTGAAGGGTCACGGTTTTAAGGAAATTGTTTCCTGGATGCATTACTTGAGACAAGTTGGGCTTGTACAACTTTGGTTTAGGAATTATATTTGGGCTATAATTGACAAAAATATGCATCGCGTGGCGTATACTGCGATTCAAACGGAAAGTGTTGCATTGACGGGAAAGCTTGGCCAGATATTTATTATTCATGGTGTAGGCTTGCTTGTTGCAGCTACTTTGTTTTGTGTGGAGACTGTTTGGCATTTTTGTCAGAAGACGATTATTATAAAGTTTGAATAGTCTTTAATAATGTGTACATGCATATTTAAAATTTTTCATGACGTTTCATTTAGGGTTGTGATTTGGTTTAGATAAATTGTAAGACAATTTATAAATTTTATCTTAAATCTTATTGATTTCATATATTCTTATGGTACATATGTATTTATGTATGTATCAATTTATTTACATATATGTCCATTTTCCTATTTCCTAGTATTAAACTGTGTTATGTATGTATGATTATACATAAATAAGTGGTACACAGTGAGAGGAGACAGAGGAGAGTATTTATTAGAAGAGAGTTAAAGCTGGAGTGATGTACAGATTCATAACTAATTACATATACATAACTACGTAGGCATACATATACCTAACACTACCCTCTCACGAAAAAATTGTTCTCCTGAAAAATAGTCTGAAAGGTGTGTAGGTCTGCAAACTAACAATTTGAATTAGAAATTTTGGTGGTTTGAGAAATACATAGGTAAAATTCATGGAAAAACGAAATATGAAATGACTCCGGTAAACAAACATGAACGAATATTTTGCATGAATAACATTAAACAATTTAATACACATAACTAATGACGTCGTAATTATGACGGGCTGGAACTTGAGAAGATGGTATGGCTCGCAATCGGTGGTAGAATTGTATCATCTCAGGCGTGGTGGTGGCTGACTTATATAAAACTTGCAGATTTGGACAAAACGATGAACAAAGAGAAATAAATTATTGTGGTCTTGGTATGTGGTCCATCGGGATATCGGAGATACATAAATACGCAGACTGGTGAGGGTTTTGTGTGGGTGACCCATAACCGGACAACTCGAAGACGCAGGGTTTTGTGTGGGTGACCCATAACCGCAACTCTTGAAATAAGGGAACTATATACAATTTGGACTTTAAAGTTACAAGTGGAATACGCACACTTGTGTGAGACTTGAGACGCTGACCCGTAACCGTACAACTCGAAGACTCAGGGTTTTATGTGGGTGACCCATAACCGTGACTGGTTAAAAAAGGGGAACTATATACAATCTGGATTTCCATACTTAACCATGCAAATATTATGTAGACGTTGCTCATTACAAACATTAATCTCGGCGTTAGATTTCATTCTCAGCCTGGGAAAGTGGTGACAACGCAGATCGAGCATAAAAGTTCAGCAGAATTTTGAGACAAGGTGAATCAGATTACATTTTTGCAACAAAATTTGATAAAGAATTGGGACAATTTTCCAGACGAAATGAATAAAAATGACATTTTTGCAAAATATTTTGCAGAAATTTTGATAAATTTTTAACGAATTTTGATCAAAATTTTTCAGAAATTAAACGGAATTTTTTTTTTACAATATTTTTACGATTTTTTAACAATTTTGAAGGACAATTTTGCATATATTTTTTTGACGTGTTTAAAACAAATAACGGAATTTTGAATTTAGCATATTTGCTCGAATTATGAAATGTAAATTTTGGACTGGAGATTTGGAAATTTTAAGAATGGGGGAATATTTTCAGGGTGGTTTAGAACCAATTTACAGACCTGATAGCATCCGGGAGGATAATCCAATTTACAGACCAGATGACGAAAATTCACAAAAAAGTTTCACAGGAAAATCACACAGTTTACGCAAGGTTTTGAGAAGAGAGATTTGGGAAGTTACCCTCGGAAGCAAAATGACAAGCTCTAAGCGGCGGTGGTCAAGCTGCTTAGTCGTCGCAGTCGGAGCAAATTTGGTAGGTGATATGTCTTGCGAAGAATTTTGAAAATTTTAAAATCCATTGTGAGTGGGAGGAGCGAAAGAAAGTACTCGACGGTCCACCAATGTTATGTATATATGATTATACATAAATAAGTGGTACACAGTGAGAGGAGACAGAGGAGAGTATTTATTGGAAGAGAGTTAAAGCTGGAGTGATGTACAGATTCATAACTAATTACATATACATAACTACGTAGGCATACATATACCTAACAACTGTTTATTTTTTATCATATTCTTATTTGTGATTATTAATATAGTGTATTTAGAGTGATGAAATAAATTTGGCCAAGTTACGAATATCCTTGCCATTCTCGGATATAATTTAAAATCTTAAGTATGGAAAATTTTCATGGGAATTGTAATATTAATGAGACATTTAAAATTCTACATTCTTCGTATGCAAGAACTAAGCGACCAACTCTCATTGCATGTACATATGAGCATACATACCTACATGTGTACATTTATTTACATACATACACGTACATAAATTGAGGTTCAATTTTATTCACAGAATTATTTATATATATACCAATTTCCAAAAATATAATCATATCACATATTTGACATACAGTGTGACGTTAGAGTATGAAGAAATTGGCAGGACTGATTTTTGTTTTTTATCAGCAAATGCTTCAACGTCCAGGAACGCTTCGCCAATATCATCATCAGCCGAAATGTTGTCTGCGTCCTTTACAACAAAGTGGAACATCTGGAAAAGTGAAAGTAAAATTAATACAAAATTAATGCGGATGCAATTTTATCATTTCCTAAAAAAGTACTTTGATTTGAGAACTTGGCGAACAAAAAAAATCGCGCTAATTATGCATACACATCATCCAAGAAAATACATTGAAAGAACAAACCTGGTCAGTTCCACGTTGGAAGTTGTCGAAAGTTATGGGCTGATTCCACACAGCCGTACGAGTATTATCCAGCGTTTTTGTCTCATGAAACTTGTAATCTCGTCCATCCTTTCCGTATCGGAAATAGCACAATACGTACGGATCACTTAAACCTCCAAACTCATCCAAGCCTGGAATGCTCCTGCACATAAATATGTACATATGTTAATGACATGGCGAAATTTAAGAACAAATGTTTAAAACTACGCATGGTTAAAAAACATATAAATAAATGCAAAATAAATGAATTAAAAGTAATAAAAACATACTTAAGTTCTAGTGTAAATTTGAATGGTGCCGTATTTTGCATCACAATCTGTCCCGATTTAGTCCCCGAAATTGGAACGGTGAGTTGGTGACCGTGCTCGACATATTCATCCAAATCAATCTCGGCCTGTCCAATGACGGTGCCTTCGCCAGTAATTCCATGCTCTCGAACTTGGACCCAGACTTTCTGATTATTGTAGTAGCAATAAAAAATTGTATCAGGAAATTTTGAACCCTTGAGTTCATCACATTATTTAGATACGCATAAATTTCACCTGATTAGTTCCTTTGGTGTACTGAATTTCCCAAACCTTGATCCATTTTGGATTCAATTCATTCACAAAGACTTCAGAATCATCCAATGATTGGAGATCTTCACCTCTTCGCGTCGAATGGGTTGGAAGGGAGCCAAATCGCACTTTTACGTACGAATTGACGCTCTCATGTCGCGAATTTCTTCCCGCTGGGAGATTTCTGTATACATTTCAAATTAAAATCAGTAAATAACTTTTACTTTAAATTATCCCCAAAAATACGATGACTTTCGTACGTAGCTGAAAGGACGAAATGCAGTTTTTCTGGTCTCGGATTCCTGTCATTGTAACTACTTTGTGGGGAATCTGCATAATATCGGTCTTCATCGCGACGGTACTCTCGTTCCTTGTATCGGTCGTCGCCTGCTACCCTTTGCTGCGAACTGTCGCCTCCACGATACCACTGGTCAGATCCGTCACCACGATATGCTCGCTCCGAGTCATACTCACTCCCGCGGTACCTCTGCTCCCCCGTCGATCCCCGATACCTTTGCTGTGGGGATGAACTCACAGCGACGAACAGGACAAACGTGAAGGATATTAAGCTTAATTTGCACATTGTTTTACGAATTGTTCAAAAATGGAAAAAGTAGCGGGCGAGGTAGAGATTTATATGTGCGTGGTAGTTGATTCCTCGCCAAGACAAGACTGGCTACAGCTTAGCGTGGAATAGGATTAGTTTTATCTAATAAGTTGACAACAAGCATGACTCGACCTGTTATCGCGAAATATGTATATGTGGTTAATTCTGGAGAAGGTAATGTAGGTTTTTGATGCGAAAGAAGTGTTGAACGAACAGATATATAGATATATGTATTTACGTATATACATACATGCATCAAGGTAAATTTGTATGAACGAAGGGCGACTTATTTTGCATACCTGTTCCGCTGATGTCATCCTCACTTTTGCCATTGTAATAATATTACGTAGCATTGGTTAATAATGTTACGGGGAATTGACTTCTTAAGAAATTAATGGAAACCGGTTTAATGCGACGACGATTATTTGAGATAAATATAAGTCATGCAGTAAATGATTTGTCTTATTTGTCATGCAGGTAGACAAATGCATTATTTAACTGGACGATGTCGATAACAAGTGTGACTCAATTTTGTACAGACTTGATTAAATTGATTTGTACCTGTCAACTCGGTTAAATTAAATTGTTAAGGACAAAAAGATCGTAGTTTGTAGATGGACAACGAATTTGTTTTCAACAAATTGGATGACTAATTTCCAGATAGTCTGCTGTTTATGTATTTAATTTAACGACGACACATCCTGAATGAAAATGTTGGTCATTTCATTACAAATGAAACTGGACGTGACGACGAAACTCTAATCGTTAGATCAGAGACGGGACTCCTTTTGTCCAAGGCGACTATCACCCATGGGAAAGATTGCGTAAATGAATATGAAACAATATTATTTGACCAGTCACTCATTTTGAAATCAGGAAAAGGGTATGACATCCAAGTAATCTGTATGGCATTTGATCCCAGCGCCTTCTTCAAACCACCACGACCAGCGTCAAAGAAACGTCGAGATGACGAAGGGAATACCAGTATTTGTAGTTTATTTATTTTGACAAAATCTGAATTTTTCTTTAAGATAACTGAAAGATTGTATATGTAAGAAGTTTTCCATTTTGGCAATGTCTCTAAGAATTAATCACCAAGTCTGGGGAAGGATAAAATTTTATTCCAGAGACATAGATAAACGTGCCCCAAACATCTTCAAATGCAACTGCTTACGGATCCAACTGGATTCGAAACTTCATCACTAGTGCCGCACCTGGAGAGCCCGAGCCTTGCATTATTATATAATTGCTCATAACGGATGTCAATATATAAATTATTAAGTAGTACCATTTGTTCTTATATTTTTCGAATATTTTCTTTATTTAAGTTTTAACATGTTTCATATTTGATTGAATTACGTATAATTTTATAAGTAGAATGTCAGGAAATCTGTCTAAAAAAAGATAATAACTACTCAACTACAGAAGTAGGAAAAGCTAATACTTTTCTATACTAAATAAAACAAATGTAATGTGAAAATTTGCAAGCGTGTAATTTAAATGTGTTTCCTAGTTTGCGTTTTTCTTAGTGCATTTCATTGGCTTCTTCTTTCCTGTACCACCACCCTTCATCTCGTCATCATAAATCGGCTTGGCGAGTTTATTGTCTCCCTTGGCACTGAAAGAGATACCCAAATATAACCATTTAATTTATAAGTAGTGAATATATGTACAACTGTGTACATATGTAAGCACATAAACAATTAATTTAATAATTTCATGCATTAATAAAGTAATTTACCCATAGTCGAAGAGAAGCTCGGTGCCTGGTTCGATTTTATCCTTTGCAAATACAGCAATCCGATGATCTCCATTCACTCGCAGAATTTTTGTGTAGCAATTCGCCTTCGCACCTTTAGAATGATTTGCAAATCGTAGTTTATTTCCAATCCTCGTTGAATCAATCACATAATCTGAAAGGGATAGAATAATAATAATATAATATAACACCATTTGATATCACCTAATCGTAAACGATACACCTAAAGTAGACAATATATTATCAATTTGCGAGTCATATGCATATTTTAACTGAGAATATTGATTCAATCAATATTCTCAGACAAAAAAATAAAACGCAATCAAATTGATTGCGTTTTAAAATTTAATTTTTGTCGTATTCTAACATGTAATTCTAACATGTAATTAGCCTGTAACTTTTTTACGTTTGGTTTCAAGATTTTTTTTTCTACCGGTAAATGAGGTTATTTAGATTTAGCTGACCAAGGGTCGACCGACGGACATGAACAGGGTATGCTACCTCGGGTTTTTGGTGGGTTCTGGGCTAGCAAACCCACGGGTAGACGGGGTTTTCGAACTGAATAAAGTATGATAATAGGACATTACTAAAAATTCTACAAATTAATTAGCTTTTAAAATTGAATTAATAAGCTGTTTTGTTGCGAAATTACTGAAAAAGTAGATTATTTTCAGAACTTAATATACGAGGTCGTAACTCAGTTTGCTTCCAAAACCCCGACTACCATAAAAAGCCTGGGACTGGGAAACCCCTGGGTATGGGTTTTCAATAGCAAAACCCCGGGGTTTTCCTTGCCCTGTGCATCAACGATAATCCAGTCATGGGCAATTCATTAATTATCTGATGCATACCTGAATTCAGATTGAACAGGAAGCTACATTTCTTTCTGTCATAGACTATTCCCCTGCGCTCCGTTTCATTCTTGGAGATTCGTTCCCCACAATATTCTGAGATGAAGTCATCTTTATTTGCACCGCCGGCAAGGAAGCAGCCCCAACCAGAGACAGAAGATCGGCCCAACAGGAGACGCTTGCCTGCAATGTACAAAATGATATTCATGTAAAAACAGCCATTATTACTAATTATTAGATCAGCAAAAATATTTTTGATTACCAAATCGTCGTTGACAGTTGACGTTTTTACAATGAATTTTTTCCCTGTCGAGTTCATGAGCACTACAAGCTTTGCAAAGGTCAGCGTCGCATTCGCGACTAGCGATGAAACATGGACACAATTTCGTGGAACATTGGCCCTTGCATTTGCAACCCGGGAACCGATTCGAACCTTGAACACAAAAAACAATAAAAAAATATTATAAAGAACTAACCTCTAATAAATTAAGAAAATATAGATTTAAAATTAGTTGTTTGGCGAGTTTGATATTCTGTCTTACAGTCGGCGCTGCAAAGGCAGAATTTTTCGCAATTGAGCGTTGATTGAGCACAGCAGCAATCCGGATTAGATACAGAGCATTCCCCAGAGTGATTGCACGGGATGTAGTTATTCTCATGCGAATCCACAATTAACGGAGCTTTAAACTTCTTTGGTTTTCGCGGAGTCTTGGACTTTGCTTTCCTAGTTTTTCCGCTGCTGGAGCAAGGAGGGTCGTCCTCACTTTCCATGTTCGACTCCTTTTTTTCCTCAAGAAGACTCTGTCCTTGAGCAAACTGGAACACCTACACAGAACAAGTTAAATACCATTTAAATGTGTAATTTCTCTTCGTTGGAATAAAAACTCTAAAACCTCTTGGCACGTCCGATTCAGAATTATTTCCGCCATTGAGCAAAAATCTTTTTTAAACAAAGGTTGAATTGATCGGAATAAGGTCTCCTCCGCTGAATGCATAGATAAATAATAAAGAAAAATGGATGATCAATCAGGAAAAAATGTCTTTTTTTGTTTGTGCATATATACCCGGAGTCCATTCGGTTGTATGAGAAGTAATACGACGTGACGATGTTGGCTTTTCCTCAATTCCCAGCCGATAACATTTAGTACCACAAATTTTGTCTTCTTCTTCTTCTTCTGCATCCTCTTCAGAACTGGAATCATCTGAATCAGTTGGCATCTCACCACGCTCCTCCGGCGCTGAAAAATAAATTGAAGTATAATTATTCGTTGTGTTAATTCGAGTTTTGACGATCTTGACTAAATTCTATTTTTTTACTATGATACGTGCAGTAGTACATGGCACATCTCTTGCAAAATAAGGAATGATAAGAATGCATGGCTTTGTCCTTCGAAATGGATTGGGCTTCTGGTCCATCAATGTTTGGCGAGTAGTCAGGATGTCGAGGTTCGAACAATTGACAGCTGGCTGCTTCTTGGGAAAGGCTCATATATCTGAAATTAAAAAGACCATCTTCAGAATCATTACATTTGCTTCGCAAAATTCATACCGATCCATCAATGCTTCCGGTTTCCAACGCATCTGATACAGTTTCACCATTGCTTCAAATATTTCCAGTTTCGGAGAGGCACCCTCAGGTTCGCCACTAATCTGCATCGCCTTGTTCACTAGTTTCATAAACTGTTCATCGCTCTCAATCTTATATGCAGGGGTGTACGTTGGCGTACTATTTAGTTGATCATCAGCGTCGTCGTCGTCATCGTCTTCATCATGCCCATACACCTGACTATCATAGGTGTCGTTAACAAGTTGCTTTATAAACCTTCCAGCTTCTTTCTTATTCGCCAGCACTTCTTCTCCTAGGTATGGAATATGGGTCAGCGTCGGCTCATCCTCAGCATAAACATTTGTAGGAGTGGAAACCCAGTAGGTCACTGGTGGAAGTGCTTTTATCTTCGGAATGACACTGGCTGCAACCTTGGATCGTCCACCAAATGACGGGCGCAATTTATCTTTAATTGGAATGGTATAACCTCTAAACTTGGTTCCAGGACTCTTCATGCTGGTCTGTTTTTGGGTTTGGGGCGAGTCCGAGTCCGATGAAGACGATGTAACTGAAGGAGGTACGGTCCACTGACTTGTATTGAGCTTAAAATCAGCCGGTCGTTCTGAGTCTTTCCTCTCGTCAAGTTTTTTAATCTCCTCTGTAAATACAAAATATAAAATAAAATGATAGAATTGTTACTTACGAGCATTTAGTACAAATTGAGAATATAAATTTCAAACTATTTTATTACCTTCCATCCGGTTCATGTTACTTCTCCAATCCGCGGTGAGCTCAGCTTCTACTTCTTCGTGAAGATCTTCAGCAGCTTGTTTCACATTTTCCTGGAAGTATGTTTTCAGCACCTCAATTTCTTCGTTCAAACTTCTAGATTCCGAATCAGAATCTTCCCCTTCCAACCGAATGTGCTTTTTCTTTTTCAGATGTCCTATTGCCGAATCCAATGATGACGATGATGAGTCTAGCTGCTCGTCGTCGTCCGACTGATCCTGATTCCTAGTTGTAGTTTCCATTTTGGTGACTGGTTAGAATATTAGCTTGATATTTAACTACATAAAATATGAACTGCAATTAGTCAACTTTACTTATTAGCGCAGTAAATGATTCGAATTTCGAAAAGAGATGATTAGATCATTTATTATAAATTATAATTTATAAATTATAAATTATAATTTATAAATCGATTTTCAGTTTACAAAATTAAAAAAACATATCAAAGACAAAATGCCAAATGGAAAGTCTATCATAAGAAGTTTACCTTTTGGTTCTTAATTATTATTATATTCTGTCCAAAAAACTACGATATGAAATCAAAATCAAAATCAAACTAAATTTCTGGAGCAACCAAGCAAGACTAAAACTTGTCGCTTTCGTTGGGCATGGGTCCCATTAAATTTGGCGCGTTGGTTGTCACCCACTGTGACTCATTCCGCCCCCAAATGAAGAAAGATAAACCGGTAGAATTAGATAAGCTAAAATTTAGCTTATCTAATTCTATCTTAGCTAAATAATATTTATATTATTTAGCTTATTAAATATGTAGCTCTATATATGTCAAATTACACCTTAGTTAAGTATGTAATATCTAGAATTATGATTATAAAATAATCGGCCAGACATGTCTATAGCGTTATATGTAAAAAATGATAGACTAGAAAACTCGATACCGTTTTGGATAATTGTGAAATTATGAAAGAGATTAGAGACTTTTGTGAAACTGATTAATTTGCGTGGTCAATAAAAGTTCTGGGAGTGTATCTGAATATACAACTTTTCTGAATTAACGAGTCAGAGTCTAAATCGCGTAGAGTAGATTTATCGTCTTTCGAAAATATATATTTATATATAATCGTATGGATAAGCTATTAGGTAGTAAAATACATAATTAGCTACTAATTATGTATTAACCAATTATAATTAGCATCCACCTCAATTTCAAGTTGAGATTCTCAACTAATATTACCCAGTCTATCCAGATATAGTGTTACTGGTATAAACGCGTAGGACGCATTCATTTTTGAGAATTTAAATTTCATGGTCATTTCATTGGAAAGCCAGTTAAATTTTGAATAGAAAACATGTCACACTTAAACGTTTGATCCCCTTGTGCTGGTAAACTTTTGAAGAAGCGAACCCCAATCACCCACCGCGGAACGAACGAAATTTACTGACAAAGTGTCACATTCCCGGGTCAGAAATTTTTTTGTGACCCTGACGTTTATATGGGGTTAAGAACATACCTTTTCCTCGACTTTAATAGACATTTGGTGTTGATATCTATTTTGGTTCGAAAATGCCAAAGTCAAACCTAAGGTGGAAATGAAGTCAGAAATGTGCATCTTAAATAATTAAGTTTTTCACGAATTTCGCTGCATTTTTTATTGTGGAGCCCTGCACAAGGGCCGGCGGGCTTCCACCCAATATGGACTGGTTGAGGGGGTGTTCACTCTTCACCAAGACGTTAACCAAATATATTTTAAAACTATCTCCTCTCCTTAATCAAGGAAATTGGGCGGTTTTTGCCCAATCAATTCCGCCGATTCCCCCAAAAACCATGAATGCACCCCGATAAGATGAAATTTTGACCTCTATTGTGTAATCAGCTAACCCTTAGATTATATAATGCAAAATTATTTAGTTTTTGGTTCAGAAATGTTTCGATCGTATAGGAATTCTCATCGACAAACTGATAATTTTTTCTTGTTTTTCCCCATGCCACTTGAGGAAGGAGTTTATTTTTTTTAGCGTAGCATCTTTCCGCGGATGGGTGACCTTGTGGTACTTACTAACAATGCGATGGTGTGAAGTGTAACCCTCAAATTTGGCTGAAATTTTAAAATTATGTGGTCCAAGTCAGTACAACCAACGTTTCTTAAGGCATTTTGTGCGATGGTCAGAATTAGCCAACCTATTTGAAGTCGAAGTTCCAAAAATGGGTGATTTTTACTAAGCAGAGGAAGCAAACCCCACTCCCATTCTTTTAAAGGGAGAAATAGCCAATTTTTCAACTTTGACCTCAAATAGTTTAGTTTTGAACAATTCCAGCCATCGCACAAAATGCCCCAAGAAACGTTTGTTGTATTGACTTGGACCACACAATTTTAAAATTTCAAACAATTCAGAGGGTTACACTTCACACCATCGCATTGTAAGCTTGAAGGACTTATGTGTGGGTCATTTTTCAGTGCTCTTCTGATTGCTGAAGTTGTAAGGTATATAATTTGTATGGTCAAAGTCTTTGGCCTCCGACGGAGATTTTGTGCTAGTTTGACGTTCAGAACTTCGGACATCACTGGAGTCCTCCCTGACCTTAGACCACCGAAACGTTTATACCATAGATAGACACTGTCCCTAGGGAAAGCTTAATAGTTTGGGCAGCCAGATGATAATTTTCCTTGGACTGCTACACACTACACAACTCGAACATTGCGATTTTTTTCTCACGTAAAAAGTGAAAAATTATTATGCCGCGCGTGTATGGTAAAGCTGCTCCAGGTAAAAGAGCTTAACATCAATTATAGGTACTGAATGTATGTAAAATGCAACTTGTGTTTTAATTTTATCTTACTGGGGTCAAAAGTACTGCGCGAGTAAGACTTTATCTGAATAGACTATATACCCAATTTATCATCTAATAACACGCTTGTCAAATAAAAAACGACCTTATATTTCCTTGCCCCTATTATTATTAAGGTCACTTAATAATTTCACAGTATGCCCTTATCTTAACCAACTCGGTGAGTTGGGTTGCAAAAACGAAGCGGCAAATTTTTGGCGAATCCCGCCTTGAGTCATATATGTACATACATATGCACAATGTACTATTTTTCGGGAAGGTGTTGCAAAATTCCCAGTGGGTGTCGTACGGACTTACAGAATTATTCGGTTATCAAGGTGCATTTCAGAGTAGGGACGACGGCGTTGGATAGCGTCGTTCTCCGTCGAAACTTCATAAGTACTTTTGGAAGTCACTGGACAGGATTTTCCCAGTTACTCCGAAGTTAATGGAATTTAGCCCTCATTTTCATCAAAACGGTTACGCGCTGTGTATATGCAGCAGAGCTTTTTAATTAATTAGTGAAATCAATTAATTTGCTAATTAATTACCAATTTTCAGCTAATTAACAATTATAAATTAGTTTTAATTACCTTACTAGAGTAATTAAACTGAGTCAATTATAATTAATTAGTTTCGTGATATTTTAACCAATTAATTAATTAACTAATTAATTACTTAATTTTTGAGATTTATCTGGTTTGCGCTGTTTCGTTTTCCCAGGTAAAGTGGCGTTTTTTAATCTGGCAACTCTCCTATTCTACATGACTTATTTTCAAGCCCTCATAATTAAATTTCATGCAATAATTTCAACTTTGTTACAATAAATAACTGCATACTGTAAAGTATATAAGTGCAAATAATGGAAGACGATATTCTCAAAAATTAATATGAAAATCTTAACAAACTAACAATGTCAATACTCAAATACCATCATCAGCTCCAGTTGAACTTTACTTGATGGACTGATTATAATCATTCCATCAATTAAAGGATACATAAATGTATCCGAAATATGGGCGATGTTAAAATGTAACGATTATTATAAATTTGAGTTGCCGGTAATTATTTCTGCCGTCCGTAATTTTATATTGTAGCTTGTAAATTTGCGTTGAAAACAATTCTTTTTTTAACTAATTAATTATTTTTCGAGAAGTAATTAATTACTTTTTTTAGAAGTAATTAATTAGTAATTATAATTAATTAGTTGAAGCTCTCTAATTAAAAATTGATAATTAATTAGATTAAAGATGTCAGCGCTAATTATTAATTACTAATTAATTATTCTTTGCGTTAATTAAAAAGCTCTGATATGCAGACTACCTCAGATAACAATTTCGGAGATGTAATTATCAAATATGAGCACTGACGTAGTGAGAATAAATTATTTATACAGTCACACCAAGTAATTACAACATTTAGTATTTATTAACCCCAAATCGGATTTCAAACTCCACAGCATCACAAATTGAGACGTCACATGCAATGACAAAAATTAAACATTTCATCCAGCCAACCCCGGAAGAAGGAAAAGATGCGAAGTTCAAGTTCATCATTAAAATCATTTTTTAATATCAATCATCATCAGCCATCATTCCTTCCATCCAGCATTTCAAACGGGAGCCGTCTACATATTGACTGGGAACTGGTTAAGGGTGATGGAATTTCTGCCCGCCAAAAACACGTGCCCATTTGATTAACATTGCGAGCGGGCTGAAATTCAAATCAAATCCATCACCCTTAACCACTTCCCAGTCAATAGCATGCGAGTTGGGTGACGACTACTGTGCTGAAAATAATTAAGCGTGATGGAATTTCTACCCGCAAAAACCACGGGCCCATTTGATTAACATTGAGAGCGGGCTGAAATTCAAATCAAATTCATCACGCTGCATAAATCATTTCCCAATCAATATCAATCTTTCCTATTTTTGATGTGATATCCAGCTACATATTTAGATACCAACTGGGACAAACTCACGGTCGGCACGATAACATACTTAACTTACGCCAGCCAGGCTGTTTCACCTATATATGAGATAACTTTGACTTGAGGAAAGGGCCGGATAATCTAAAAAGAAACGACGTACGGTCGCCTCTGTAACAGAGGTAAGCAACCAGGAGACAACCGGACGTGGTTTTTTTTACATGATCCGGCCTTTTCCTCAAGTCAAAGTTATCTCATATATAGGTGAAACAGCCTGACGCCAGCTACTTGTCTATAACCCTCCAAATAATTTCTTTCAATCAGAAACACGCCGCGCTTTTTCAAGCAGGGTTCCGAAAGCATCGCTTTTTGTTTGACCAACACTCGATGTTTTGGGTCTAATTTAGTCATCGGAAGATATTTCAGAATTTACAGAACTTATTCCGTGGAGTATGCAAAGAGTTGTTTTTCTAAAAATTTGATCAAAAAGTTTGGAATGACGAAATGTGGGCCAAGGGTGGCATTATATATTACATTACTTAACACGAGAAAAATATTTTACATAATTAAATTGCATACATATTTTACTCGAAAGATCTTTCAGTGCAATTATGCAATGCGTTTAGCTTCATTTGTTTTATATTCAATGCCAAATACATTTATAAGTAAAAACCATTAGAATTATGCACACACAGTATATTGCTTCTCATTAAAATTAAAAGCATAATTTTGGCATTTCCTAGTAAAAACATATTTACCTCACTTTCACCTTCGGATAATATTTATGAACAATTCCATCCTCCTATTATACAATCTGAATCAAATTATTTGATTACATATATCCTACGTTTAGTAATAACATTTACATCAAGTTATGTACATATATGTACGCTTAAGGACAAACCATGTACATAAGTGCATACATATGTACGTACATACGTCAATACGCTGTTTCGTAACACATATAAATCTACAATGTCTCCACAAATTTTCTCACTTCTATACTTCCTCATCAATCTTGACTACTTTTAAAATAATTCCAAAAACAATCCTGTTCGAAATGATTGTCACTCTGTTAATGTACAAGTCTTTGAACAATTTGACAAAATCTTTCAAATACTTATTCTCCTGTCCTCTCGAGTGGGATGGAAAATTAGGCATCTTAATTTTTAACCCGATACTATCTAAAAAGATGTTACCATGGGTGTGGTCCGTCTTTGGAGGCATGCTTGCTGTAATTTTTACCTGCTCGACTCTCATCATCTGCCACAACTATGGGAAAATAGACGTCAAATTTAAAGACTTAGTGCTTTCCGTGTTATTTCTATGCATGAGCTCATTCGCATTCATAGAAGAAGTAGTGATCCTCCTGTATGGAAAGGATTTTGCATATTCGATTAACGTTCTCACAGCCATGTTCGCCAGAAAAGGTACACATAGATAAATACATATCTAGACATACATATGCGATCAATGGGCGTACTCACGACAGCGTCTTATTTAGCATAGCAACTCATTTATTAAATTTGGGATGCTCAGAGAATTTATGTCATTAGGGGATTCGCAAAATATAATTTCGCGAAGCTATGGATAAAAACAGTCCGGTGATCGTATTTTCATTTAGTTTCTATGGATTTCTGCAATTCTTTCGCTTGTGATAGAGAGGATAAGTTTGGGAAATGATTTTACGATATCTTGCAAATTTTGTAAGTTACGCTCAATTTGAGCGCTACAATAGTCGTGGGTGGGTTCCATTAATAAAAATGCATCTTTTTTAAGCAAAATAACAAAAAATTTGTCACTTTTAGAAAAAGGAAGTAGCGGATTACACCCTGTCGACATTGTTCTTAACTGCACAGTCTCCGCCTTTGCCATCTATCCCTTCTTTATTTTCATCTTCATCCTGCATTCAGGTGGGGATCCATTCTATAAAATTACAGAATACTTGGTTCCTCCAGATTTGAAATTGGCTAGTAAAATCCTACTCTATCCCGTCCGTCTCTCCATGATTTGCGTCCTTTGTGAAGGGTGTCGCCTATTTTCGACAGTAATTTGTTTGGCCACCTTTTCTGCACATCTTGTCCTGGCCGGAATCTCAACCGTCGGAGAAATGACGACTGAAGATATTAAACAGCTTGCGACGCATTCCGCCATTGTGAAGTACGAGGCTTGTCACATCGCAATCACGGCGACAAGGAACTACACGGCCAATATGGGCTTAATTGTCATGTTCTGCAGGATGGCACTTTGTACCGTGTGCAATTTTATATCTCTGAAAATGTACAGTACAATTGAGATGCCGTTGTTCCTCTACTTCCCGACGGTCTCAGTGCTAACTCCGATCCTAATTCGGCTCATGTTGCCAATGCTGGTGGACGTGTATGAAAATAGTGTCAAGCTCCGTGCAGGCTGGAATAAGATGTTGGGTGATGAAGGTGGAGATAAAAAATATGTAAAGAAGAGGTTAAAAGCGATCCAGCCTCTGAAAGTTTACGGAGCGGTGGGAAGTACTAACCCCATTGACCAAACTGGTTACTGAACACGTATTTTATTCGTCCGTAATGGACGAAAGGACGAGTCGAAGTTCGTGTTTAGAACAAGTTATAGACGGGCTGGTACGGGGTGAACGGGCGCCGGTAAACGTGCTAGGCTCGTCCTTATCTGGTCCGTTAATACCAAAACGGAACCAATTGAGAACGTCCCTGGAACCGGGCTGAATTCGTTCTAATCACGTTCGTATGCGGTGCAAATATACGAAAATAGTACGAGTATGTAACCACCAAGAACTATTTTTTACTCAATTCATTTATATTTATCTTCGTAGCTTTAATACAAATTAAAATATAACTAGCAATTAATTTATGACGAAACGTGCTCTGCAATTCCATCCAAGCTGCATCTAAGGATAAGTATAAATATGTCTCACATTAAATAATATTCTTAAACATTCTTAATCTACTAATATATGAAGGTTATGTACATACCTTTTTCTTTCTTGCTTTGATCCTGGCAGGAGCTTTGTTCAGCCAGTTCTGGATGCTTTCGTCGATGTCTTTATGCGTAGCTGATGACATTAGTGGATTTGTCCGGACGGCAGCTAAAATTGAAAATAGTTAAAATATGCACCAGAATGAAGCAAGGACGAAAAGCTTAAATTATCAGCCTTACAATAAACAAAGCTTTTGATCCTTTCACGATCTTTAAAAGATTTTTTTCCGCGTTGACCCGCCAAACTTTGTGTTGCTGCAAAATCGTCCGTCATCAAAAGTGTAAGCACGCGGTAAATAGCATCTGTGCCTTCACTGCATGAGCCTGTTAATCTCGCTATCTAGAAATTACAATACATAAATTATGATAAGCAGAAGTAAGAAGATTGGGGTGAACTTAAAAGCTTGATGTTAACCCTTGTTCTGAAATCTTATCGGATGCGATAATCGGTGCCATCACTTTAGAACAAGGGATCTTTCCAATTCGTCATACTCCGTCAAGTTGTTTAATGGAATAACCTTTTCGTCACCATCAAGGTCTTCAATAATCGTCCTATTTTGATTACGCAAAGTCAGATGTAAAGTTTCTCGAAGCTCGTTAATGGTCGCTTGAAGATAATCCAGTTTACGAATTATATCTGCACCAAAAAAATAGATGCGCTCCTAAAATTTAAATTGTTACTGTAGAAGGAAGTGAACTACATACCATCGGTTTTTGGAGTAAGTGCAATTGTTCCATTAAATGACCCTTGATCAATATTCTGGCTTCGTACCTGGGACAAAGAACTCATCGGGGCTCGTCCTTTGAAAAATTAGTTATTCTAATTATATTAATTAATGCAAACAAGTTAGAATGAAACGGTAAATTATGTTTACGAATGAGTTAGATTGTTTAGGTTTTACATGTAGCTCTTCTTTAACGGACTATCATTCTCGTCATCGCTACTTGAGTCAGCGTTAAAAAGTTTTCTGTTGACGGTCTTACGTAGTCGACTCCTTCCCCAGTTCTGCGCCACTACTAATCCCTCCTCCTTGCACAAGAAGTGGAAGGTTTAGGCGAGCATCTTCGTATTTTCCTAAACAGAATATAAATAAAGTTTTAACAATACACCCACGAACTTTATATTATAACTAATGTAAAAAATACTACATACCGTATCGTTTAACTATTTCAGTCTCAAGATTTTCCAAGTTTTGGCGTCTGGTTTACTGACTGTTTTAGAGTTTAGTAATTCTCGCGAGCTTTCAAAATTTTTAGTAGCACGTCTGGTAATTTTTTTCGTCGAATTTCTGTAAATATCCTCTGTCTGACCGCTTGCTGCAGACTGGAAGTAAAACTAGAAGCAAAAACATCCATGCTGCCAAATATTTAAATGTGGCGCACTAGTTTCATCGGTCTTCGTCCCTCGGCCGTCTTTAACTCGTCTAAATTTAAACATGAAAATAACCATACAACCCCATCTCGAGGTGGTATGGTTGTGACCACCTCCATACGTCCTAAGCTCGAGCCCCTGGTACCGGGCGAAGCTCGTGTCATACGCACAAACTAAACACGTCTTTTACCGGTGCCCTTGGTCCTGTACGAATCCAGCACAAATAGGACCAGTTAAAAACGTGATGAGAACCAACTGGTCAATGGGGAATTTATTTTTGTGTAAAATGGAGACCAAAGCGTTGTATTATGATGCAATGATAAATGCGACGATTACTGCTTTGTTGAGTGTAGATGAGGCAGGCGGGATTAATTTAACCTAATTAAATAATGATGTAGATGATTGATTAGTAAAACATAATAGTGTAAAAATGTGCTAAATAAAATTTACTTAAGGTTGAGTGAAAAAAGAGGACCACATAACCAAAAGGTAAAATTTCTCCAACCGTTGTGCAATAATTGTCTAATGGGTTGATAAATTTTGCACAACGTTTGCTAATTTTTACCTTTTGGTTGTGCAATCCTCTTTTTTACTCAACCTTGAGTAAATTTTACTTATTTTTATTTCGAGTGTAATGTTATATTTGCGGAGCTGATTTCATACGAAAATAAGTTAAAATGCCACAATTCTGTTTACGGGCCAAGGGTAGAATTAATTTTTGATCAAATAAATGTATACAGATACATAAATGATTTGATTTCAAATTTGATTTTTACTTTTTCCATGAACAATAAATTACTGATATGCCTTTATACATACATCCGATAACGTCATTTGTAGTGTTGCATTTTATTTTCATTTATTTTTGGTCATGGCGAAGCATTGTCACGCCACCACGCAATAATTCTCTCCGCTTCTCTTGCGCCAGAGTCATAAGCGCCGTGTACAGTTGCATAATACGTGGGATGCGTAGCCTCTCCAGCAAAACAGACCAACTAGCAAAAAACATCCCTTTTTAGCATAAATTTCACTAAGATTGAACTACTTATTTTGTATCATCGTACCGGTTTGGTCGACGCCAAGTGCTCCACCGGTTCCATTAAGTCTCTCGCCCACACGTCGTTCTCATCACTTTCTGGCCGTCTGTAGCTGTAAGTCCCCCGGAAAAGGGGATTTGTGCTCCAGAAGGTCTTATACGACACAATTGGTTCCGTCATGTTGGGAAAAGTGGCGTCCAAAAATTTGTGCATGACCTTCATTATGCTCTCCTGCACGTAGACGGGATCACTCCGGTCGATTAAGCGGGATGGGTTTCCGCTCACCCAGGTCCTCAAAATATTTGGGGCTGATCCAGAGTCGACGTTGTGAAAGGAAAGGATCGCCCTGGTCCAAAGGGGGATTCCGTCATATTCAAAAAGTAACTCCTCGTCGGTAATGTCCTCGCGCCAGTATTGAAGGGAGGCGTTGGTATAATCAATGTCATCCCACACTGGGAAAAGGCCCTCAAATTCGAGCGGCCACCAGGGCTCGGCAAATTCAAGGTTGACCTTCGACACGGTCCCGAATCCGATATTCTGTAATTATAAGTTTTTTTTTGTAAAAAGAGAGTGATTTTGACGTAGAAATTAGGTCAAATTACTTCGATGGCTAGTTGTTTCTTGGCACGCAGAGGTGGGTTAAACAGTGTTAGATGGTTGGCTTTAAGGACGCCCAGCGATGGAGTGAAGATGACATGGTCGGCTATATATTGCTCCTGGTTTGTCGTGGTGACCGTTACCGACTAATAATACGAGATATCATATGTAGAGAAGGGATTATTAACCAGGTAATAAATGTGTCCTTAAATTTACGTACAATTGCACCCGTCGAGTACTGGATGTTGGACACTTCCCTGCCCAACTTGACGTATCCTGGGAGCGAGTAGAAGTTGTCGTCCGTCACGGATCCGGTCTAAATTTTGTATGAATTGTATATCATTTGGCACCTTTTAATTTGACCCTCATCTGACAATGTCACACTATGCAACCCACCAAGATAAGCTCGCACAAACTTGCGTAAGAGTATGGAGGTTTCCACCGCACATTGGGATGACCATCGAGCCATATGTACTGCTCCCCTTCATCGCTTGACGACACGTTGAACCAACTTGTCGAAGATTCCTCAGCGTTCTATAAATTTATACGAGAATAAACTTCACCTATGCTAAATAAATGTGCGACTAACAATCTTACACTTGTCCTGTGAGCCCAGTCATAAACTGCTTCGAGAAATGTGGCATTGTCATGAATCGGATATACGCCATTAAATCTGTCCAGCATCCATCTCGCCCACTCGCCCTGTGACATGTCTACCTCCACTTCCACCCCCCAATCTTCCGGGTCGAACCAAACGTAGTCCAAATATTGCTCCATTGCACCAGCCAGAGTGGAATTCAGCAATTCTCCGGTTGGTAGACCAAAATAGTTTCCATACTAAAATCGAGACCTATTTGTATTACTTTTACTCTAATTAATTATTTAATTTTATCAAAAACCTCCAGAATTTGGTTGTCTTCAATTGTATCCAAAACCAGGCCGAGGGGTTCCACCAGTTCGAAAACACTGTTATTCACTTGTCCGTGAATCCACTCTCCACCCATCTCAATGTGTCGTCCATCGCCTAATTTCACCGTCATGACACGACCTCCAACTCGAGATCCTGCCTCGAGAACGGTGACATTAAATCCGGCCTCGTTTAAGAGAGCTGCAGCCTTGATCCCGGCGACGCCCGCGCCCACAACGATCACGCTGGGAGTGACTTGTCTAATAATTAATATTTACGTAAGCCTGGAATTTTTCGTCAAAAATATGTATGCAAATAATTATTTTCGGGCTTACTTTGTGTCTATGGAGTTTGCTTGTAGGGCGAATGCATTCCCGAGGAATGCAAAAATTAAGAGGAGACGCATCATGATCTGTGTCCCAGTCTTACAAGTAATTAACTGGCGTCCACTACAGGAATAAACTCAAATTTACATAACCCAAGTTATTTTTGTCTGCTGGAGCAACTTGCGTAATAAACTGATATCATGAATCCCATGAGGGCTTGGTTACGTAGATATTATCACTATTACATTATTGTGCTTAAGGACTGCACTTGTAATTTGTCCGTGAGTGGCTTAATCAACCAGTGGGTAAATGGTAGCAAGGTTGCAATAATTCCCTGGTATTTGGTAAGGATACATACGCCAATAAGCATCAGTTAAGTTTCCATTGGCCATTGGTTTTTTTATGTAACAATGCAGCCATCAATCAAGATAAATGTGCAAAAAACTAATTAAAAAAGCTCGTCTCGTGTATGCAAGTATGTATGTGTGTACGAATATAGTTCGGATACCTTCCCTACGTGAATACATATCTAATTTTTTATCAGATTAGTTATGATTTGTTAGCTAATTAAGGAGAAATAAATTGGTATTTATAAAATAACTTCAACTATTTAACTCATTGATATGAAATTTATTGGAATTTGTTACCTAGATCTGTCAGTTTTAAGTATAAAATATATATCTCCACATTTTTGTACCTAACACTATTAAGTAGATTAAAATGTTGTACAATATCGTGTCGAAAACATATGATCAGATTTATGTACATATTTAAATAACATCCCGACTAGTATTATTGCTGACGCCTCATTTCTTCTCGTCATCGTTATCATCTTTCACGACGTTTTTTGCTTCGACTCCTCCTCGACGAGTTACTCTTTCGACGAGCTACCCTAGACCCATTCCTTAGGGGAGATCCATAAATTATGTCACGCAAAAATCGCGATTTTCTAGACCCCCCTCCCCCCTTTAACATGTGTCACATAGGCACGATATCATTGGAGCCTGGACCCCCCCTCCCCCCTCTCGCGTGACATAATTTATGGACCGTCCCTTAATGGTATTCTGAATCAACGAAATCTACTTGTAATTGACGTTTCATTCGTATTGCTGTATCTCACCTTGCATGTCGTCGATTTTTTGTACATCCCAGTCAATATCCAAAAATTAAAAAAATGTCCGGTTATTTTGGGACATGAATTAAGGCCGATTAACATCGGAGTTTAGCTACTTGAACTTTCCCACTACGATTTCACTTGCATACATATGCTAGATTTGGCAGTGCAGGGTGTGAAGCATTTATTCATTCAGAGGCTTGCCTTTGACCTCATGATTTTCTCGAGTTAGACACTTACACATGGACAAAATTTTCGTCGACTATGGTTAAAATTACTTCTCGCATTATTTTTTATCCAGTAGGAGCTTACATGTGACCTCATGGGTTGTCAAAACTACGGTTGGATTAACGGAGAAATTCTATGTACATAAATGATATCACTGTTAACGTTATTCACTATGAAAGAGACTGTACTATTTAAGCAACGACCATATAAAGGTATATGCTATGTAAAAGCCGACTATGAAAAAACTAATAATGAAAAGCCTTTACTATGAAAATGAAAAGAATGACTATGAAAAAACAACTAAAAAGCAGTCACCGTAATCAAAGTGACCCCATCTTGGAGTTGGTGTGATAACAACGGCTACGTTGAGGCGTAAGGGTATAAGTAATACGAGCATAGGAGTTCCCTTCCAATTTTACATATTAATAAAAATATTAATGAAACAATTAATAAAACAATTTCGGTTACTCAATTCGACAAATTAAATGCATTATTTAAAATTTATTATACGTTGAGAGTTTTTTAATTTGAACAAACTAATTAATCCTTAATATTAAAAGTGTGGGTTTTGGAAGTAGATATTAAATGAAATTCTTCTAAATTATGCTATCATACAGGCTGACACTCATCCCGTACTGTCCCTAATTTCCATGCAGATTCAGGTTTCGCTTGTAACTCCGTAATCGCATTATTTCCCCAGAAATAAAACCAGCTGACGCCGATAAGCACACAAGCGATCGTCTCAACGTAGTAGCCATCAAACACGGTGGAACACAATCCGTCAGAGCTGCCAGACTTCACTGTGAGGGGGTCAACCAACCAAAGGGAAACCGCGACAGACCCGATTGCTCCCACATTTATTCCGGTGTTGAATAATGTCGCGTAAGTTGCGCCATACGCCGGATCGCTGATTTTCGTGATAAATGCAACCTGAGCGACACCCGTACATGTGAAGCAAATCTAAAGAGAAAATAACTAAACTAATTATATTGATTGAGTATTTTGTGGGGACTGACTTGTTTACCGTAGCGAATATATCAATCCCGAGCAGTGAGGGGAAATACCACCATGGGAATGTGCCATGGTTGTTTAAAAAGCCAGTTACCGGCACCATTGCAGCAAAGATAACTGTCGAGAGCAACCTACAAATAGTAGAGTCGTTAAGGTTAAAAGCAGACTTAGCATATCTATCTACATACGTGAGACCATAAGTATTTCTAAATAGACTCATCGGCCGCACTCCCGACGTCCACTTTGTCATTAGTACAGTGATCAGAAGTCCAAGTGGTGCCAACGGAACGGAGAGCTGTGCCAAAACCTCCTTGGACAATCCAGCCTCTACCTGCTTCAAGTCATGGATGAAAGATGAAAGGCCAACTGTAACATTCAATAAATAAATACATTTTATTGATGCACTTTATCGGTACACTTTGTTCAGGAACAAAGGTCCAAATAATACGTTATTAAAAATTGGTGGTTCTGGGTCCCCTATTTTGCTAGTGTTATGGTTAACATGAGAGAGTAAGAGAGGGAGGGTGTAGGTGGGTGGTCTAAAAATCGGAGTTTTCTTGATGACATAATAATACGCGTTCCCTTAAGGAAATAAATACTAATTAGTATAATTACCCACATTGCCTGTTAAGCAGAAGATGAGACAATTTTGTACAGCAGGCAGTTTGATGATACGCCATAGTCGAAGGTAACTAGTAATTGTTATGTTCCTTTTGTCCTCGTCCACTTCTGCATTTTCAATCTCTGGATCTGCATCCTTCTCTTTCTTGCAGAAGAAGGTGAGTGTCGTACAAACAAAGTAAATAATTGACCACGCGAACATAAAACCGGATAAAGTGACCACTCCCACGTCGCTTTTTGGGACGGTGCGTAGATATTTATTTGAAAAATCAGGAGACGCCAAATTTATGAAGAGTCCATATCCAATGAATCTCCCAATTTGGAGGCCGACAGCGTTGCATGTTGTCGCGAGGCCCACATTTTCTCTAACACAAGGAAAATAAATGAGCTAAAATGTAAAATTTTATTTAATGTTGTCATCCATTAGATCAAATTAGATGCAAACCTTTTAAGCAGATTCAGCGCCCAACCATCGACGACGATATCTTGCGTTGCAATGAGGAGATTGAGAAAAAACATCAAAGCCGTTAACACCCATATCTCGAGGGAGTCGATTAACGAGTCCACATGGAAGGATAGAAATAATAACGTGACACCAATAAGATATTGAACCGGTACGAGCCATGACTTCCTTCTTCCCATGCGCTTCCAGTAAATGGCATCCACCAGTGGGGCCCATAATAATTTCAAGTTGAAAGGCCAGCTCACTAACGAGAAAATGGCTTGGTCGGAGTAATTAGTGCCACGAGCTTGGAGTAGGAGAGGGATTGATCCGGCTAGACCATTGGGGACGCCTTGTAATGTGTAGAGGAAGAGCAGAATCGAAATATTTCTCCACTCGAATAAAATTCTTTTCAAAATTCCTTGCTCAGTTCCGGGTTCCAGGTTAGATTTTATCTTCTCGTTCACTTTATTATTTATACAAAATACCATTTTTTAGTTTTGTCCTATTACAGTTTAAACTCAATCGATATTTTTCTAGGTAGATGCGGCAAATAATTAAAGCAATAACTGATGTAAGGCTATAACTTGAGACACAATTACTTGAAGATACTTTCAAAATAATGAGGGTATTCATTACGAGTTCGCATGTTCGAATCGCAACATAACTTTTCCGAAATTGCGAATTTTGCGAAGCAACGAAGTGAAGACACTTCGCAAATGACAGTTCCGAAAATTTGATATACAAATCTCTCGAATTTTAAAATTGGAAAAATACTTTAATTTCCATTAGTTACCGAAATTTTGCATCTGAAATTTACCAAATATGAAATTTCAAAAATTCAAACAGCCAAACTTCGGTAACTAATAGAGATTTATGAACTTGTCTCATTGCAAAATTTGTGAAAAATATTTTGCGAACTAAATACTAGCCCTGGAGATGCGCAAGTTCGCAAATCAATTTTCAAGCACAATTTTTTTGCGAACTTGCGAACTTTATTTTTTTGCGAACGTTGCTAACGATGCGAACTCAAAATGAATACCCTCAATGATTCAATTTTTGGTAAAATTTTAACTGGTACTTTTTCCGTATGCAGAGTGACAAATATAGAAAAGAAAAATTGAGTTACTTGTTGCATATGTATAGCGTTAAGAAACACCAATTATAACACCCTAGTACGATGTCTAAATAGTTGAAGAAACAAACGATAACTAAATACTGATTGTTTTATCAGTACTTGAAGATTACGTGTTTTACTACGAAATACATAAATGAATTATTGCATGTGACATTAATAATGTCACATTATCCGTGTCTTATGTATATTCATGCCGTCAATACATACTGGACATGTTAGAATGTTAGTTAAGTTTGCTGGTTTGTAATTTAATTAATTTTTCATTAGCTTGGACACTTGCATACTTTTCTACAGATTGGATTGAAATTTCATAATTGCTTTTCTTTGTTTCTAATTTATTTTGTTACATAAATAAATACAATGCCTGTCTCATTTAGTTAGGTCTTGGTTGAGCCAGGTGCTACTAATTTTCTTGAGAGAAATCCACCTGCCCCCGGGATTATTTCTGGAAAGGATACGTATCAATTAAAATCTTGCATGTGGCACAAATTGTAAATAAATGGTTATTGCTTGTTTGTAGATATGTACATATGCATATACTTACCTATGTATATCATTATTATGCATATTGCATCATTGTATGTATGTATATGCATACATATGTGTACTTGTGTACACTCTTAGAAACCTGGCATTAAATTATTAGCGTCCGGAGCACATATATGACTCCACCGGCACGGCAATATTGAATATGTCCAATGAAAAATTAGGAGGTGTTGTAAGGTGGTTATCGCCGATTTTGACTTGACCAATTTTAAATTGTTCACGGAAGTTTAATATAAGATAAGGAACTATGTACTATATATCACTACGGCAACGGGATAATTAGGTTGAAAAGTATGTATGTACACATGAGATTGGGGCTTTGACCTTGCCAACTACATAAAGAGTTGATTTTTTTAACTATTACAGATAAAACTCATATTTACATATGAAAAGGCTAGTCTGAATGAAGCAAAATACATATAGCAAAATTTTCAGAAATAGTAAATTAAGTTCGCAGTTAGCAGTACTAACGTAGCACATGCAAATAAAGAAAATTGATAATTAAACTCTTATTGCCATCAGGGTTTCTACGTTGTACGTAAAACAAGGGTTTAAATAAATACAGTATTTACATTGTGCATTATGCGTTTTACATATATGCTTATTTCAATATGATATTATCACATTGAACTTTAATAATCTACAAGAAAAAGTACTCGAATAATAAATAGGTATCTAATGAACTTGCTTGCATAAATATCCAATTCGAATTAAATTTAATAAATCTGTAAAAGAGTGCATTTATGCAGCCGGCGATCATTTTTTATATGGCTGAGGTACTTAATTATATGATGTTTACTCTCTTCGTACAATCCTTTAAAAACATTGTGGGATCAATTTTTGTCGATTTGACCCACTTCATCCCCAGGTCGTGGTCCACTGTCCTGTTTAATTTGATAAGAATGCTTTTAACGGGATATGATCTCTCACTAATTCACTAATCCTACCAATCGGATTAAACTCTTTATGACATTATTGTACATGGTACGTAGATAATAAATATCGCAACAATAATGTAATATTTGTATTATTTGTCGTATTTAATATCAGTTATCATGTTTATTTGCTTGTAAAAAATGCGATTCAAATCTATCCTAAAAGAAACACCGCAGACTTTTACATTATGTACAACAAAGTTCGAAACGCAAATCTGGACAATAAGAGGTCGTGAAAGTGTCCATCCAGTCATTAGTTCTTGTTTTAGGTCGCAAAGAAGTACGGCATACAACGAACTCCAAATTAAGTTGGTTTAATTTACAGTAAAAATGCTTCTTAAACTCGTTTACATAATACCGATAATGTCACAATTTGTCGCTACGGGTACTTCCACGAACAAAATTGAGCCCACACTTCAGCACAAGTTCAAAACTTTAAGCCCAAAAACGACCTTTAATGTCCTGATATCCTTCAATGTCTCGGCATCCCACGTTTTAAAGACATTCGCCACGAAATCCTTCCCCGACCGAGGTTCGCGTATCACAGCGATTGTCAAATCACTCAAATCCCACGCCACACAACAGCAAGAGGAATTAATTAAACTCTTGATTGCGAAAAAAATAAAATATACCGTCTTCTGGAGTACGAACCAGGTTTACGTCCTCGACGCGAATAGTACTCTGACCCATGAGATTGCCCTGCTCTCATCCGTGACACGAATTAAGGAAAGCAAGAAAGTTAAAGTGCCAAGTCTTCCGGTACGAGTATCTCAATCTCCCCAAGGGGAAACTCGAGCTGACTGGAACATAGACGAAATTTCGGCCCCGGAAGCATGGGAATTACCCGGAGGCAATAATGGAACAGGTGTCCGCATTGGAGTCATCGCCAGTGGAGCCCTCGCATCCCACGTCATCCTGAGGGACCGATATGTTGGCGACCGATATGGTTGGTTTGATGCGTTGGATGCAGCATCACAAACTCCAATAGATGAACGAGGTTTCGGCACCCACTTTTTAGGAACAATCGTCGGCGGGAACGGCATCGGCGTAGCGCCAGGAGCGTCATGGATGGCGTGTCGAGCGTTTAATAGCGATACGATAAGCGAAGCTGATCTTATTGCGTGCGGTCAGTGGATGTGCTGCCCAACTTTGGCTGATGGTAGTGAGGCAGATTGTGACCAAGCGCCACACGTCGTGCTCGGCATGTGGTTTCGTGGCCGTCAAGACGATGACTTTTACGACGAAACCATAAATTACTGGCATGTGGCGAATATTATTCCAGTGTTTGGCGTTGGTGAGGTGAACTAAAATATTGAACTCCGAAAAGTAGGAAATAAAAATTGTGTCTACTTTACATATGTATTTAGGGGACATGATTCCTATTCCGGACGAAGTATGTGGAACTGTGGTATCACCGGCGGATTCCGTTGCTGATGTGATCGCCGTTGGAGCAACGTCACTTACTTCGAATTTACTTGCCCCATTTTCAAGTAGAGGCGACAACTCTCAACTAAACTTAGTAAAACCGGATCTTGTCGCCCCGGGGGTCAATATACGGTCGGCTTTCACAAATCGGGGCGATGTTGGGTATGCGTTCCTAGATTCGACGCTATCTGCAGCAGCTCATGTAGCGGGAGTGGTGGCCTTGATGAAGGGATACAATCCAGATATTAGATTTGCTCAGGTTTTATCCAGTTTAACTTCGAATTGTCGCACGGTGTATAATTGGGATACGGGGAGAAATTGCGGGAATTTTGTAGAAACTGCATTTCCGAACAATGCTTATGGGTACGGCACAGTTAATGCAAGGGATGTGATGAATGCGCTGATTCCGCCGATCATTTCTACAATTCCACCTACGATAAGCACGGATGCATCAAGTTCAGTATCAACTACGGAGGAGTCAAGTTCAGTACCAACTACGGAGGAGTCAAGTTCAGTACCAACTAACGATGGGTCAAGTTCCGTACCAACTACGGAGGAATCAAGTTCAGTACCAACTACCGATGGGTCAAGTTCCGTACCAACTACGGAGGAATCAAGTTCAGTACCAACTACCGAGGAGTCAAGTTCAGTATCAACTACGGAGGAGTCAAGTTCAGTACCAACCACGGAGGAGTCAAGTTCAGTACCAACTACCGAGGAGTCAAGTTCAGTACCAACTACGGAGGAGTCAAGTTCAGTACCAACTACCGAGGAGTCAAGTTCAGTACCAACTACCGAGGAGTCAAGTTCAGTACCAACTACGGAGGAGTCAAGTTCAGTACCAACTACGGAGGAGTCAAGTTCAGTACCAACTACCGAGGAGTCAAGTTCAGTACCAACTACGGAGGAGTCAAGTTCAGTATCAACTACGGAGGAGTCAAGTTCAGTACCAACTAACGATGGGTCAAGTTCCGTACCAACTACGGAGGAATCAAGTTCAGTACCAACTACCGATGGGTCAAGTTCCGTACCAACTACGGAGGAATCAAGTTCAGTACCAACTACCGAGGAGTCAAGTTCAGTACCAACTACTGAGGAGTCAAGTTCAGTACCAACTACGGAGGAGTCAAGTTCAGTACCAACTACCGAGGAGTCAAGTTCAGTACCAACTACGGAGGAGTTAAGTTCAGTACCAACTACCGAAGAGTCAAGTTCAGTACCAACTACCGAGGAGTCAAGTTCAGTACCAACTACTGACGATTCAAGTTCCTTGCCAACTACGGACTATTCAAGTTCTCCGCCAACTACTCACGATTCAAGTCTCCCGCCAACAACGGATGACTCGAGTTCCCCGCCAACAACAGACGACTCAAGTTACCCGCCAACTACTGACGATTCAAATTCCCCGCCAACTACTGACGACTCAAGTCCCCCGCCAACTACGAACTATTCCAGTTCTCCGCCAACAACGGATGATTCAAGTTCCCCGCCAACTACGGGCGATTCAAGTTCCTCGCCAACTATGGAAGATTCAAACCCAGCGCCCACTGATTCAAGTCCACTGCCAACTACTGAAACCCCTGATGATTCAAGTTCAAATCCAACTACGGACGATTCGAATCCCCCGTTAACTACAACGACATATCCCGGCCCATTTCCCTATCCTTGCAAGAGAGAGGGATACTTTTCTATTAGAAGTGGAGAAGAAAAAGCAAAATATTGCCCGCGTGTAAATAATCCAAGGTGTGACTTTGTCCTTTGCTCGTGGTATCCTTTCTACGCCAGGTTCTACCGAGTTTTCTACCGCTGCCCACAGGATACTATGGCACCTTATGTCAATGATTTCAATTTTGACGAGGAAAAACAAACTTGTGTAAAGGCTCCTTAATTGTGCATGCTTATCCTGATAATTATCTGGATAAGGTTGTTTTGGAGGTGTAATCTAATGATAAGCAAAAGTAACCTATTAAGTATTTATTAAAAAATATTCCATTTTTCTTGTTCACATTAACTGGAATACGTGGGCATTATTATTGTTCCTTCATATTGAGTCTTAATGTTGAACAGCAAACAGTCCGATAGTGTAGTCTGATATAATGTGTAACACAATTTCATGAAACGACTAATCTTATCTTGTTAAATAAATTATTCTACTACAAATAATGGATAAGATGTAATGCATTCTGAAGAAAACTTGAATGCCAAGCTAATCGTATTCTCTACATGCCATGTTCTAAGAGTATACGCAAAGTGTTGGCATTTTTTTCCAGTCCGCTTTTATACTTTGAGTAGTTTGGTTGATTTTACATTTTGTAAGAATTTGCTAGTTATAATCCGTTGCATATCTATTATAATTCCGTTTTTGCATACACTCTCATTGCACACAGAGATTTCGCCATGGTCACATCTAATCATGTATTATTAGAGGGGAGAAAGAGTGCTGGACATAATGTTGCTACACAAACCAATGCAGAAGAAGGTGGGATTGAGGTGAGGTTATGAGATATTTAACTTTCTGTATGAAAATGAAATGAGTTTGCAAATTTTTGCATAATTTCTGCTCTCCCATATTTCTACTCATTCTTATTATCCGTCTTCCCCTCTGCCAACTCTACACATTCTCAGTATTCGTGGTCTTTCAAAAAAATCTCATTTAAAATTAAAAGTTTGTTTGTTTTATCCAAAAATTCTGCCATTTATCGCAATGCCGAACGACGATTTGGCTCAACATACTCAACACCAGCAGAATATTAAGGGTAAGTTGTTATGCAGTAAAAATAATATTTCTCATTTCTTCCTTCATCTTGGAATTATGCTATTTATTTCTTAATTATTTTTTTGCTCGTTTATACTCATCCTCAGATAATGAAACGAGGGTTGATGCATGTAAGAGAAACGTAAAATTTGAGAAGATAACTTTCCTAATATAATAGTATTATAAATTATAAGATATATGTACATATACAAATATATATTTAGATCGGGAAAACATAATCCTCGAAAATACAGAGGAAGCAATTATAGCTTTTATCAATAAGCTTCCCGAACAATATATCCAAAAGATTGCGTTCCATCCAAGGATAATTAACGCTCGGGAGCAGTACGTTGGTCATACATATATTTATTAATTTGTAAGTCATCGTGCTATACTCTAGACAGGTTTTTTACATTTAGTATATTTTTTTAGAGGGAATGGTAGTCTTGGATATGATATGGAGACGAACAAGGCTGAGAAAGACGTGGGGACGGACGGTAATGTCGTCGAACAAACACTATTGTTGGACCAGGTGAATAACATTTGGCCTTTAATAAATTTTATTACATTTGTTAAACATAACTTTACTGATTTCCATAGATTGCGATTAAAAATGGTGGTGAGGTAAAAGTAAAATATGAGAAGAAAGTAAGCACAAGCCGACTGGCTTTAATTTTATCGGATTCCATGGTTTTGTCAAACTTATGTGATTGTACGCATATGTCATCAACTCTGTTAAATTATTTGGAGATCTTCAATATCATCCCGGGCGAGCTATCTGAACGAATCGTAAGAAAATTTTTTTCACAAATGATATCAGAAAATTATATAAAATGTGGGTTTTCACAGAAGCGTGAATTTGATCCAAGAGTAAAAGCTCTCATGTTGTACAAATTTCTGAAAACGCATCGCACAGATGAAGATCTCGAGAAATTAAAGGTTTTTTAGTTAAGACTTCAAACTCTAAAGCGTTACTAGAAATGGAAATGGCGGAGAAGGAAATATCGGCATAAAATTTAGACCTGCAAATTTTTAAATTGGTTTGGCCTAAGCTTTAATTTGAGGTAGTTTTACTTCGACAAGTTAATTACCACCGTTATTTAATTTTACATATGTATATGTCTCGGATTTATTTGCTGAAACTAATGTAAACAGTAAAATTGCATGCATGTATTTACATATCTACATATAATATTCGTATTTAAATTAGGTACACAGGTTTTTTACCAAATAAGTAATGCTAACGTACTTTTGTATACGTGTTTGTCTATATACACACATACTTGCATATGTTCCAGGCCATTAGAACAGATATTATTATATTACAAATATCGAGATACATATATATATACATACCTAAATGTGGGTTGCATGAAATACTTGACCCAATTCTATAAATTGAGCCCCTTGAGAAACTGACTAAAAGAAAGGGACTTGATTGTTGATTTAGAGCAATTTGACTAATAGGTAAAATGATACAAGTACACCCCCTACCAGCTACACCCACATATTCCACTTTTCCTCTGTGTACACGTAACCCACATACGAATTGGAAGAAACTTTCAATTACGTGATGAATTATTTGTAATGTACGTCTAACCATAATGGATCTAAGAATAAGTTTGTACATACACTCCAGTAGTCAACAAGACCAATTTATGTAGAACCTCAATGGATAAATAGCTTAATAAATATATACATGTACACCTTGTTAATGATATTTGTCAGCAATTTGTTAATGGATTCAAATTGATATGGGCAAACATGCAAGTAATACATATGTACATAAAAAGAATTTATGAGTAGACTGTACTTTCCGTACAGAAATATCATGCATCTTGATAGTTTCGAATACACTTTCCGTTCGTACAGGTCGTTCATAATACTCAAGCAATTGAGTAGATTATATGTAATCTTACGGATTAAATTAGTAAAATTATCAGTGGCATAATAATGGATCTAGAATCTCAAAAAATCACTACAGGCCAAGTTCAAACCCCTACAAAACAATCTTTCCACACAAATGGAGCACTCTACCCTCTTCGAATTTTACAACTTTGCGGATTTTTCCCAATTTCGATTTATCGAAGGGACACTTTATCATTAACACTGCGTTATTCATCCTGGTACCGGTCACCCGCTGCTATTTGGCTGATCGCGCTAATCCTAAGTTCCATCGGACCCATGGTGGCAGCCCTGTTTCTTGCCGTCAATCGCTTCAAAACATCCATATCCGGATTCGTAAATCAAGGGAGGAATACTTTCCTAGTGTTGAACGTCACGTGGGGAGCGGGATCTGTCATTTGCCCGTTAATTTCGAGAATAAGTTTGTTGCAAGATAGGAAACGTCTTATTTCCTTTTGGGAACAATTTTGTAAATTATGCGGGAAATTTAAAAAGTTTACGAACTTTAGAAGAGGCAGGAAACATGCAAAAAATCTTAAGTTGAGATGGGCGCTACATTTTGTGACACAGTTGGTAAATTCTTCGGTTGAAAGTTGGATTTACATCAGTTACGGATTAAAGGGCGCTGGAGCTTGGGATGGGATCGGGTTACTCGGTTCTCTGCAAGATTGGGCTTTTTCTATTAACGCAATTTTGTCCTGTTTTGCGTTTCATGGAATGATCTACTTCGTGACGAGTTATGAATTTTTACTGGACGAATTATTACTAGAATTAAAGTCAGAGAAAGAGAATTATCACGATAAAATAAGTAATCTTGTCAAGGACTATATTTCCTTGGATGAAAATGTTTCCGAGTTTTCAGAAATGTTTGCAACATTCTTGAACGCTCAAGTATTCCATAGCTTTGTGTATTTAATTTATTGTGTCTACTTTATCCTGGTTGCTATGAATGTACGTGATTATTTGATGTGTTTTTTAACGATTTCGCAAATTGTTATATTTTCAATATATTTCTATTGGTTGGCCAGTTCGGCAAGTGGTTTGGAGCAGAAGAGTAAAAAGTTTTGCAAAATGGTAAAGTATAGTGGGAGCGATGATGATAAAGTGATGGGAATCAAGGCGAAAATTGCACTAGCGAGATGGTCAGAAATTGAGGAGGCATGCAAATTTAAGGTGTGCAAATTTGTTATAAATTTGTAGTGGATCAAACTTCAAATATATTTAGTAAAAATTATTTTATTTAAAGGTTGAAGATCAATCCAGCCTTCGAGTGACACTGGAACCCTTGTCCATTGCAAATTCTGTGTTGACTTTAAATTTGAAACTTTTCGCATCGGTGAGTAACAATAAAATCGTTTTGATTAAACGAAAATTTGGAAAATATGCAATTAAATCATACATGTATTTTTTTTAGATGATTGCAGGGATTAGCACGTATTTAGTTGTGATTGTACAATTTCACTCTGGAGACCCTTCATAATTTTGCAAATTTGCTTAAGAATCTAATTAATTACTTATTCGTTGAACATGTCTTTATTGATTACAATTTGTTGGAAATTTTTTTGCATTCGTAATAAATTTATTTGTCAAGTCCAACCAATTGTTCACTCTTACTCCACAATCTGGCGGCATCCTCGTGGCTCAATTTAGGTCTCTTGCCGGCATCCCAGAATTCACAGTTTCGATACATTTCACCAGAATGATTAGTCACGTTTTTGCTTAGGGCGCAATAAATAGTGGTGGCGGCGCCCTAATAAAAAAGCGAAACATTATGTAAATTCTCATTTTTATGAATATCTTAATCACTAAATGTTTAACCTCTTCCGCAGTCTTGGCAAAATAACGGAACATTTTCATAATATATTTCTTAATGCCAGATTTCCGATCAGTTCCAATGTCCGTTTGCACAAAGCCGGGACAAAGACAGTACGTGTTCACTCCGGAGCCTTGTAACCTTTTAGCCAGCTCGAGATTGAATAAACTGTTGCCCAACTTGGAGTTGGCGTAGAAACCGGACATGATGGGCAAGGGTTTGCTTGGTGGAGGCGTCTTGTCATGCATGAGGTCGTCAAAGTTAAGTTTTCCCCAACTGTGTGCGAAGGATCCGACGTTAACTATCCTGTAGGAATTTTTGAGGAATTTAAAAAGTTGGTTCTAAACGGTATTCGAAAACAGGATTTACTCACCTACGGATATCACCTTTCTTTAATTCATCCAATAGGAGATTTGTGAGTAGGAAGTGTCCTAAATAATTGACACCAAATTGTTCCTCAAATCCGTCCTTGGTGTTTCTTCGGATTAAATTGGATAAGCCGGCATTATTAATGAGAATGTCCAACTTGGAGAATTTGGATTTGAATTGTTGCACAAAATCGCGAATTGATTGCAGTGATCCTAGATCGAGTTGCATGATGATCTGGGAACAAAAATTATTAAATTTTTGAATTAAATTTGAATTTTTAAATTATTGAATTTTTTTTTTGGGTTATGTTCAAACCGATGAGAAATCTTTACAAAGCCGACATATTGTAAAATATCAAATTAGACATATTTTTTTGGAAACTGTGGATAAAAAACATTATACAAAGAACTATTTCGTCTGGGACTAAATCTGGCATATTTTAGTACGAGGGTTTACAAATACTATTACAAATATTATTATCAGGATACTTTTAATACTAGTTCTCTTGATTTTTAAATATGTAATTTCTTAAAAACAAGCAAAAACTGGATGTATTATCCATAATACAACACAAAGGAAAATTCTCAGGACCATCACTTGATGGACAATATTCTTACCATTTCTCCCTTATCCGTCTTTTGTCTCAACTCTTCCACCACTTCCTCCGTCTTTGCAATATTTCGGCATGCCAAAACCACTTTCGCCCCCCTTTCAATAAATTCCAGAACGGTGGCCTTTCCAATCCCGGCGGATGCCCCGGTCACAATTACAAGCTTCCCTTGAACGTCGACTTCATTGGATTTGTCCACCTGGCCGCGGTTTCGTCGGAGCAAGTATTTGATCACTTTTATCACAAGGTAGCCCCCCAGAGGGAACAGGGCGAGACGTACCCCTCCAAAATAGGAGAGGATTGAAATTAGGATGAACATGGCAGGTGCAACTAATTATTTATTTATGCTGAAAGATTAATAATATTTAATAATGAATAATATGTATTTATGGGTTAATGGAATGAGTTGGAATGAAAGTCAAGTGCATATTTAACGTGCGGTGTTAATACATATGTTTAGGATTGCATAAGTTAGCCGTGATATTGATTAAATTGTTATCTGATAATCATAAAATTGTGATTCGTATTTGACCATGGTTTGTGTATTACTTATGTATTGGTCAGTTTACATGTTAACCAAGTAGTGACAGTCACGAGTCACTCATCGGATCTGTATTATGTAAACATGTTGTTATATATATATGTTTTTTGTCTGGATGTGTTTCATAATCCGTATATCTACATATGTATGTAAGCAGGAGCTACGTATTAATTAGAATGCGTTATAACCTAAATTACCAGACCCGGCTATGTATACTGCTGCATTTCAGATGTATTTACCACTCGGACAAAATATCAAACAAAGAACTTGGAAATTGCTAACTTGTGTATGTATTGAGCTTTAATGCGGTAATCTGTACATATGTAATTGTATTTATGTATGTATCCATGCTTGCTCATCTAATTAAACTCTGCATACAAATGAGAAGGGAAGAGGGTGGATTTATATATTATGTAGAATTGATGTAATATAAAATTTGGTACTTGAATATTTTGCATCAAAAGTGTGTACATTCGTTAAATGTACATTTATGCATATATAGAATTTCAGTAGTTTTATTAATTTAAATATTAATTTTCATCTATCACAAGAGATGTTGTTGTTTCGGATTGCTTACCAATCTTTAACAATTTTCCTCTTAAATTTAGAATTACCTATTCACAACTCAGACCAGAAATCCATATCAAAACTGGCCCTGCGTCTTTCTTCAGACGCCTGTGATAACCAATGATCATTGAGCATGTATATAGTTAATTTAATTAATTGTTTCTATTAACAAGCATTTTAAGTACTTTTTGATTCCTTGAATAAAATTATAATGCTAATGTCATTTAGCTCAAAATTAAAAATGTCGACGAAGAATAAGGCCGGGTTTTTGGAAAATCCTCAAGGTCGGGCCGTTCAAGTTTGGACATTTATAAGACCCATTATCCGGCAAACGTATTTTTATTAGTGGCATGGGGTCAATTTAATATGTATTCGTTGCTGCGATACGCAATAGAATCAAGTCAAATTAAGTAATTGAATTGTATCATCGGCGTGAGTCATTGTTATCTGCAATTTAACCCATATCCACCCATATACATACATAATTAAATTCGTTAGTGGGTGAAATATCCTGCAATTAAATTAGGTATCTGTAAACTTCAATTGTTCCGTATAAGCAAGCAACCGGGATAATTATGTCATAAACCACGGTAACCTACACTTAAAATTAAATTATAGTGCATTGTAAACCAAATTTAGCCAAATTCGACAACTTTAGGCGGATAAGCTTACAAAATTACGATTCCCCAGGAATCTGATAAATTGCCGAGGTACACATGAATTTATAACGTTTGAACGTTTGAAAGACCAAGGACACCTCGACCGCTGGTCTACATTTTTGTTAACCTATTTAGATAGTTGCTTTATCATACCCGATACATAGTGCAATTTATTAAATTTGGTCTGAATATTTTTGAAAACTGGGGGTATAACAATTCAAGCATTATCAAAATCCGATACTTGGATTTAAACAAGCAAAAATTGTTCGTATTTTTTGCCATTTGAGGGTTGTGGCGCATGCAAAAGGGGACATGTCACCAAACCCTCCTTCATCTTTCTATGTACTCCCCAAAGGCTACATTGTGTGTATCCAAACAGTATCAAAATATGAGCAGGTCAGGTAGAGATGTTTTCATCCTCAGAACGATGACGTTGTATGCATACCATCCACGGTCACCTCCAAAACTGCGACGTAATCAATGGATTTACATCGTGCACAAATTAAAATTAATCCTGAGCTGATTTTATGACGAGTAATCTGTCCAGGTGAATTTTTTAGAGAACCGAGCAAGCCTAATCTAGGGTTATTTAAAAAGTTTCAAACGTTGCCGAATAACCGCACACATTTTCTGGCTTAAATGCCACAAATTCTCATGATAGACTTTTATTAATCTCATAAATGTTCCTGTACGTCAAGTATTCCCATTATAAAATACGATTTTCGGAGATTACATTATGCAAATCGGAATATTTAAACCATGTAGACCAAAATTTGTACCTCATTCCGTGTTTCAGTTCGCATTGGAGCCTAGATAGTTGGGAATCATCAAATACATAGTTTCCAAACTGCAAAAGATGTACCTCAAACTAGGAATAGTTGCCACTCTGTTGACATTGCACTCTTTGTGGCATTGCGGGGAAATTGTGATCAAATCGTAATTCAAGACGGGGCTACTTTCTGGCACTATTTTAACACATCTCGAGCTTCATTTAAAACTGCCACCTCTCCAGAAGAAATTGGTCTTCACGGTCTCGCCGGATCACAAATCTGGTTTATTAAATCGTACCAACCAACCGACAGTAATATCGACTTTAGCGCGTCGTTCGATTTGCCAAGATGGATTTGTAAAGGGACCCAGGTTCAGATTAATATTCGGTACTTTAGCTCACTCGCGTCAGTCACAGTGTGGCCCGTGGTGGACAAAAATGCCACCCACGGGGGAAGCAGCTATGGCAGCTTGACCGACTTTAACGGAGGATGGGTCAGTTTTGTGGCCGATATCGATATTGACAGGAGCGAACAGGTATATACATATGTCTACAATATGTACATGCAATTTCATATGTACATAAATATGCATGTAATATAATGGTTAGGCTTATGCAAATAAAATTAAATGCATTCTGAACAACTTCCTTAACTGTAATAAACTTGAAATATATTCAATAATGTTAATAATTGCTTTTAATTAAAAATGTGGATTAAAATGGATGATTAATTAGCTCGTGATCGATGGAGTAATAATGCCAATGGGTCATTTCATGCTGGACGAAATAATTTTCTTGTACACTGGGGGAAACTGCTTTGATGACGGCAGAACCACCGGACATCCTACGACACCCAGGACCACATATTATTGGGACCAATATTCCACCACTGATATGCCAACCACTAGTGATGATTGTCACGAAGTTCTACCAGAACCTTGTGGAATTAATTTGAACCCAGGTGGTAACGCAGTTCGAAACGGGGTCTGCCTTCCGGGAGGACAGTGCGAACTCAGGGAGGGCGAAAAGGACGGGGATTGTGTTGATGGATTTGGAGAATGTTGCAAATGTGAGTTGGACACATTTCAAAATAATAAAAAATTCATGCTGCATTATGGAAAATGTAAATATTTTTTTTATGGTTACAGTTACAGCAAGCTGCACTTCTACTCAGCATAATGTCACCATTTATGAAGAAGTCGTTACGCTGAACACACACCAACCTCTGGATACCGACTGCATTTATGAGATACGAAGGGTACGTTGGTAACAAATATTTTTTTTCTGAATCGATTTAAATAATTTAAAAAATATTGGGTTTACTCACGACAACTTTCGCAAGTTGAACATATGTATGTATCAAAATTACTTTCGAAATTTTTCGGTATTTACCCATAGAAAAAAATGCTGGTAACTAATGGGAGTTTGAATTTTGTTACTAAGGTTTCATATATAGCACGTGCTAAGTTGCGATGCAAAATAAAATATTTAGTATCCTGTGTAGTACGTCAAATAAATATATTTAATTTTTCATCAACTAAATTTTTGAATTTTAGAAAAGCGACAAATACTGCGGCGTTAAACTTGATTTTGTCGCATATAATTCTCAACATGCCGATGACAATGGGATATGCAGCAGGGACAGCATTACGATTCGTGGCACCAGCACAGTTCCTGATGGATTTGTAACGTGTGGAGATCTTACAGGTCAACACAGTAAGATTTCCATCCTAAATTCTAAAGTGAGATATTTTTGTAGATATTTAGCACTAATTATTTTTCAGTGTACCTCAACTTCAACAAGGCCGGGTCGATCGAGATTCTCCCCTCTTTTACGACCATGGGCGGAGGGTCGTACCAAATTGTAGCGTCACAATATGGCTGCGTTTCACCCTTGAGGCGTAATTACCGTACAATGAATTATTCTACGCAAACTACCAGTTTTTTCACCATATTTTCTTCCTCAGCACCAGACAACTCGTGTCTGCAGTATTTTAACTCGACTCGTGGCGTCGTCAAAAGTTTTGGCTACCCAGTCCGTCAGCAAAGCTCACAACAATACACGGTCTGTGTGGGAGGGTCAAACTCGCGATCAATTACGGTAAATAGACACAATACAAATTAGAAATACATATAGAAAATAGAGTACTATTTTGAAGTAAAGAAAACTGAAATCTGTCTGAATCGAAGCAAGTCGGACTTTAACCCACCGTTTTCTCGACACTTGGTCTAAATTCTCATAATTATCCCAGCTTTCATTTTTCAACGTCCCTATTTTTATGTATTTAACACAGCCAATTTTCATGGTATTAGTAATTATGCAAACTTTGATCTCAGTGGCGACCCTGTTCCGCAGCCAACGCTGAGATGAAGGACCCTCCCTTCAAAATAGCCAGCAATCCAAACGGACCCGCGTCGCCTGATTGGATCTGTCGTCCCGATCGGGACTGGGTTCAAGTTAACGGAGCTAATCAAATGTGCAAACCTAGCGATATTCCAGGGAATGGGATTAAATGTAAATTTCCATGAATTTTCTAAACAGAATTTTTGCATAATTATGTAAGTTTCCCTATTTCATTCAGCCTCCTTCACTCCGTTCCTGCTCAACGTCAATTTCAACGATGTTGAGAAAGCCGAGCTGCCTTGTACAGAAGATATCATGAGAATGCCAGAAACTGCTTGTGTGCCTGACTTCACAGCGCCTCCAGCTGGTATAGTACCTCCTTGCGTAGTGTCCATGTATGATGAATGTTTCTGGAATGCCACTGCCACACCCTCACCCGGGCGTTGTGAGTGTGACCCGAAACCAGCCACCATTGCCGGGCTTGAATGGGATATTTATAATTGGGGATTTTGCTTGGAGTATACGCAGAGTAGTAGAAAATAAACCGTAGTAACGTTAGAAGTAGCTCACCTGCAATAATCATTTGATATAAATTTACACCACACAGGTGCAGAATAAGCCGACAAAATAAGTGCATACGTGTAATCAGAGCTGGGAATTAATCGAGATTAAGCAATGTATTGGCATTATAGAGATTAAAATTAAGATTAAGATTAGACATTTAAACACATTGGTTAATCGCGATTAATTCCCAGCTCTGCGTGTAATACAATTTTGCACCATTGGTGCAGAGTAATCAGTGAAATTAGATATATTGTAATCGTATAATCTTGCACCAATAATGTAGGATAACGCGAGAAAATAAATATTTACTTTTGATGAAATTTAGACTTTTGGCACGACTCAATTAAATCGTGATATCAATTTTTTAAATTATTTCTTCCAGTTATTCTTCACTATTGGTGCATTTTGCATCGATTCTCCCAATTGTTTCGCATCATTTTGGTCAACCGATTTCACGGTGCTAATTATTCCAAAAATTGTAGTCCTTCGTCGATCAATTTTCCCAACTAATTTGCACCATTTGCATACTGATTGATCAAAATTGTATAATTATTTCTTCCAGTTATTCTGCACTTTTGGTGCATTTTGCATAATATAACTGATTTTGCAATTATTTCGCATCGTTTTCGATAACCGATTATTCGACCCCAAAGGTGCTAGTAATTCCAAAATTGTAGTCTTTTCACTATCGATTTTCTGTATTGATTCGCACCAATTGCGTCGCGGATTCTTCGATATTAATGGTACGATTAAGATGCTCAATAATGGACAAGGGGATTTTTAATTAGCATCAATTGATGCAAAAAACTCGTGAACACACATTTAACGACTTTAACAGTACAACTGATTTGACATACGGTTTCGCCACCATTTTGAGGGGAGCCACAATCACGACAAATAACTCAACCGCTATGACAGCAAATAAAATTAGAACCGGGAATGGAATTATGTACGCTGACGTGATCAAAATGTACAGTGCGAAACTTTCGCAAACAATCACGCTCCAAATCAACGCTGGCATGGCTGGTTGTCTGCAGACGGAGTTGTGCATGTCTGATAAGAGCTGTAAGGTCCGGAAGGTTGTTAGATATTCAAATGTGGCTTGACCACCTTGGCTCATATTCCTAAATACAAAATAAACTAATTTTAACCCTCAGCCATGGGAGACCGTTTAAAAACGTTTGAGAGTTTTTGCTTTAATTCGGGAGACCGTGAAAAGCCGTTCACAAAAAAAGTCTCTGCCTTCGGGGTCAACGGCTTTTCACGTTTTCACGTTTCCATGTCAGGTGCGGGACAACGGATATTTCCGTGGTAAAAATTATTTAGCTGATTCGGGAAACGGCAAAACACGTTGGCACTAAAAACTAAAATTATTAGGGCCTTGGTTCAGAATCGTCCGTGGTAACACTAGGTCACATTCATATAACTTCGCCCCTGCTTTGCATAGGATGGGTTGCATGTAAAATTTTTGACTCTAGTTTACTAACTGCTAAAACTATTCAAGAAATTTATAACGGAAAGTTATTGAGGCCAAACCACACCCGTCTCGTGTAATCTTGGTTTTGCCAGGAAATGTTCATTTTTGCTAAATTTCAATGTTGATGAAAAACTAGTGGGAGAAATTAGTTCGAGTTTTCCCAGAAGCTCGACAAATTTTTTGGTTAGTACACCAACTATCTCAGATAATTTATAAAGTTACAGGGGATTATTTAAGATACAAAATATGAGGTAAAACTAGCGTCCCCAATAATTAAAGGGTTATATACACCTTTTATCAAACTCATAAATTTTCAAATTGATCTCCTCGACTGGATTAAGGTCTTGGCTGCATTTAAAAATTAAAATATACCAAATGAATGCATATAGTTAGTCAGAACTCTTGATCCAAGTTAAAAAAAACCCTTATATAGATCCACAAACATGTGTGGTTTTGGACCAATAGCTCTATTTTACAAATGTCTTGAGTAGTTTTGCATAGTCATAATTTTGCACCATAGTCATAGTTCATAACTCTAAAATTATCATGCAACTTTGCTTTACAATGTTACACTTAAATTTTAATACTCATCATTTTAAATATGATATTTATTGACGTTGTCCCGCAGTTAATTTTCTCCTAACGTGTTTTGCCGTTCTCCCGAATTTAGCATTTATAAAATCGTCCCGAATCTAAGCAACTCATATAATAAAAGTTTCCAGATTTAGAACTTGTCAGATTTTAATTATTTTTTGGCTTCCCGAATGATCACAATTATGGTCATCGAAACGCCCCGCAGCAACGCCAAACATAGTTACCGTTTCTCCTCGGCTAAGGGTTAATTAAAATATGCAATATACACATGATATTGTTGAGCGTACTCACGACAACGCCTGGTTCGTATCACATCTCATTATATTGCAAACTTGCGAAGCTTATCGTGAGGGAATTCGCAAAATATGATATTTCGCAAATTTCGCAAACAGTTATGTAATCCTATTTTAATTTAGTTTCCATTGGAGTAAGAATTAAATAATTCGACAAGCAGATCCGCCGACTATTTCAAAAGTGGAAATACTCTATTGGATTATGTTCCCCATATGAAAAGAATTAAAACTTAGCAATTTTTTCGGGCGCCAAAATTTCCCTTGGGGGGTTATGAGAATAATGGGAGATTCATATGGTGCACCTAGGGCACAGCATATCTATGGAACGGGTTGATGAAATTTCAAAGACAAAATTTTGTTAGACTCTCTGGATCAGTACCCCGATAGGTTTTTCGAACCGAGTTGGAATTCCGGCTTTCAGGGGTTTTTCCCAGCGACGCAAGATTTACTCAAAAATTAGTTTTTCGCTATGACGAAAAAGTATGACGAAATGTTCATACGTTAGCGTTTCACCAATTTTTACTATGTTGCAAATTATTAGTAGTAGAATAAAGGTTAAATTACTCAAAAAGTCGAAATCGACCTGCGTGACCTTTTCCGGGGATCGAAAGGTCACAATGTCAAAGGTCACATTGCCCCATAAATGGGGTATCGTTGGAAAGGTATTATCCCTCCCTCTAAGGTAAGGTCTGAAATCCCTCCCTGCAAGTCTAGAGGCAAAGGAGCGAAAATCGACAGTTGTCCAGAATTTAGCACAGCAGTGGATTGGGAGCTAACACGGAAGCATGCATGGGAAAAACTCAAAAATATTCTTCTGGCTCTATGTTTGCGGGGAGTGGTCTCAGACCCCACAAAGTATACATATTCTGAATCCTCTCGCCAATACCTTTCCAACGATACCCCATTTATGGGGCAATGTGACCTTTGACATTGTGACCTTTCGATCCCCAGAAAAGGTCACGCAGGTCGATTTCGACTTTTTGGGTAATTTAACCTTTATTCTACTACTAATAATTTGCAACATAGTAAAAATTGGTGAAACGCTAACGTAGGAACATTTCGTCATACTTTTTCGTCATAGCGAAAAACTAATTTTTGAGTAAATCTTGCGTCGCTGGGAAAAACCCCTGAAAGTCGGAATTCCAACTCGGTTCGAAAAACCTATCGGGGTACTGATCCAGAGAGTCTAACAAAATTTTGTTTTTGAAATTTCATCAACCCGTTCCATAGATATGCTGTGCCCTAGGTGCACCATATGAATCTCCCATTATTCTCATAACCCCCCAAGGGAAATTTTGGCGCCCGAAAAAATTGCTAAGTTTTAATTCTTTTCATATAGGGAACATAATCCAATAGAGTATTTCCACTTTTGAAATAGTCGGCGGATCTGCTTGTCGAATTATTTAATTCTTACTCATTGATTAGTTGAAGTTGCGATTTGCAAGAATATCTAAGTTTGCAAAATAAAAACATGCCCAATTACGTTTGTAAGTAAGTTTGTGAAAAAATCCTGGTTTTCCAACAAAAGTTTTGCAAAATTTGCGAGGTTTCGCAAAACTTCACAAGTTGTGTTGCTACAGTATGCTTAGTTCTCGAGATATTCGATGCGAGGTTAACGAAAGTACGCTCAAAGTTTCCATACGTAAAGAATTTTCAACCTTTTAATTTCTTTAAGGATCATGAGCTTCACCTCGGCTGGGTACAGAAGGAATAATAGCACCTCCGTTAATACTGTTCCTGGAATCATGAACCAGAAATAAGACATCAAAATTGCTGTCGCAGTCTTGAACATGATCCCTGATTGCCCACTGTCAGCCCATGAATATTGAAGATACAGCATGCTGGTCAAAATTGGTGGCATGCAGGGTCGGAACAAAGCCAGAGTGAATACAGCAATTGGCACCATGCTCCTACTCCGATGCACGATATAATTACAAAGTCCATGTTGACGACACTGATGCCTACATATTGTAAGATTCAAAATATTATTTAAGGTTCTATTGTGTGACGCGTCGAAATTTGAATTTTTCATCTTACACTATCCCAATTCAATAGTTTAGGTAGTGTTACAAAATCATAAAGTTAATAGGTATCTACTAAGTCGTCAGATACAAAACTGGCACTTATCAAATTTCCAAAACTGAATCAATTTTATGAGTTTTGAGATGTGCAAGTTTTGTCACTAAAATGTGTATATGAATGTAGAATAAATGTCTATGAAAATGAATAAACTATTTTTTTCTCTAGAAAGTAGTTTCGTAATACCAAAACTACAATAAATAAATAAATAATGTAATATTAACTACACATTGAAGTAGCAAAAATTGTATTTATCCCAAAGTTCATGAAACTGACTTGGTTTGGGAAATTAACCTCTTTTAGACCAAATTCGTCATATGACGTATCCTGTGTTTTACCAATTGGTTAAATACAAATTGGAAAGAATATCTTAAAAATAGAATTAATGTTCTAGAACTATATTTCAAGTGTTCCACCTTCTATTATTTTCTTGTTTGATAATTTTTAATACATTCCATCAAACCTCAGAGTTTGCATGAACCACTATCCTAAATTTTCAGTGAAAAATAAAATAACTCACCTTAGCGTAGTGGCCGTCGGTTGCACATATCTCTAATATGTAAATATGCAATATGGAATAACTTCAGAAAAATCCAACTAGGTACATCATTGCTATTGCCAAACTACTGATATTAATGTCATCATGACTGGGAGAAGGTAATGCATGCCATTGGTTACATAGATACAAGCATGATTTTGTAGCGTTTTTTTAAGTTAGGGACCTTTCTTGTGCGACTCTTGCGTAGTCAGCTTTTTGCTATACTTTTTGTGATTTTTTTTGATTTTTTTCGTACAAACTCTGCGAACACAGCTTATACTCTGATCAATAAACAAGAAGTGATTTTGTAGCGTTACATACATACATAATCTGCACTTAATTTGCAAGATCAGAGGGCCAATTTTGACGACTGATAAAGTTCACCTGAAAATTAGTCTACAACTCTGAGTTTAAAAAGTGTTTACTTCGACGAACCAATTCGGTCCTATGGGGACGGACAGACAGATACACATGACCTTTAAAAACAAGTGCATATGTATGTAACACGGATACATAAAATTTAGCCCAACCCAACAAACCATAATGATACCAAGTAATGAACTATATAACTCTTTACTTATCCACTCAATTCCAGGAATAATTCATCGTTACTGTTCATCCAGTATTATTAGTCGCAAAAAATTCTGAAAGGTTACCTGGCAGATTATTTATTTTTCAATTAGCAACCAAATAACCTTTCAGAAAATTTTCGAAGAAATTGCGACTATTAATATTGGATGAACAGTAGTTAGTAATACATATGAAGTAAATGCAATGGATAATCTCGAAATCTATCCTTACTAAATAAATTTAAATGTTGAAATCAATAAATACGTAGCATATCAAAATCTATATTAAATTCATGACGTAGCTCACCTTTCTAGAGGATATTAAATCAAAAGTAGTCTTTCATATCTTGCATATTTAAGTATCTATGCACATCCTGTGAAACTCAATTTATGCTTGCCGACAACTCAATAACATAATTTTGATTTAATAAGTAAGTTCAGTCCGACCTATATTTTACATGATAAAAGTAAATAACTTTGTCAATTTATGTACACTCAGAATAAAATGTAAGCAAATTGCTACTGGGTGGTGTCTATATATGACCTCACCGGTTTGGTAGCGATTTTCTACAGAATTGTAGTAAATTTGCTACCATCTTGTAGCATTTCCTTATCCCGCTGTTACGGTTAGTCAAAATGTGGTAGCAAATTTACTACAATTCTGTAGGAAATCGCTACCAAACCGGTGAGGTCATATATAGACACCGCCCAGTAGCAATTTGCTTACTTTTTATTCTGAGTGTACGAAGCTATCGGGCGAATTTTTTGACAATTATTCTACATTTTTGGTCGCTTGAAATTTGCGAAAATGTGCACTTGGCCGTGAACAGTTTCTCTGAACTGTAAAACTGTAGAACTGTAAAATTACGAGATATTTCTCGTAATTTTACAGTACTGCTGAAGGTTGTAGAAATTTTTGAAACACAAAAGATTTTGTGGATTATCTAGTTATACTTCAAAATAGGCACATTGCCCACAAAAATAATCTTGAAGTTTGAGTAGAGTGCACCAAAGCCAGTTTATCGGATATTTACTTATTATACTCAAACTTTCAGTATAATGCTTGACCCTTCATCAGGAAAATAATTTTTTTTGCAGACTACTTATTTTTAAATTTTAAATTATTTTTTTCAAAGTAATCTTGTTTAAATATTAAATTCTGGAAAAATTAAACAACGCATATCGTGAAAGGCATCATCTCCCGTTATTACCCAACTATCTACATAACTTGTAGTAAATAATGTGCTTTATTCAGTTTTGTATTCCGTTAAGAACTTTTTCTTGAAAACGGTGCATACCACAAAAAGATTTTTTCCCTGAAAACAATGTTTCCCATAAAACTACAGAAATATTGGGTTAACAGCGTCGCACTCTTGTTAAAGTATGGAAATTTTGTAAACTCGGTTCCACTCAAGTATTCCGAAATTGATGGTCAATTTCTGGTAAATTTTAAGAATTGATTTGTCAGTATGTATATTTTCTCTTGGTGGAAAACAAATGTATATTTAATACAACATTTGCCATTATTTTCCTTGTGTACAGGCAGTGAAGAGCTTGACTTCACTTTCTCTAATGTTCACAACGTTGCTTGTTATGACTTTGGACTGCACATACAGAGTTTGGACAATTTATTCTCGGCCGACGCAACAAACCTCAATACCTGATTTTCTGGTCGAGATGACAAATGTAATTGGACGATCTGGCACTGGAATAATTGGCTGGGAGCTGTTCCTCAGAAGGAAACGGTGCAGTATGTTTTTGAACAGCGTGGTCAAACTGGATGCCAATCTGAAAAGTATGTATAGGTGTCAATTACCGACACAAATATAATTTGTGTTTTATGAATTCTTGCTCTATAATGTTATTCCTATTCTATGTTCCTGAATTTCTCATGGACTAAAAAGCCACAATAATTACACGCCTAATGCGGAAAATTTGACCAAGTTGGACCAGATTTTAAACAGTTTTCCACCAAACGACTATCAGAGGATTTAAATTTTTCGAACTAAAAATAATCTGAATCCTCGAGAAGTTACTTGGTTGGCTAGTTACCAAAAGTACGTTCATGTTTTTTCTAATAAATTATAATTCTAGGAAAATTTGGAACATTGCATTCCTCGAGGTATAAAAGCCTGGCTCGTTTCATCGTAATTGTCGCGATTGTCTCTGCCCTCTACCCCATCTTGGGCACGTTGCCGCAACAAATTAAGGATCGGCACCACCCTCAATACTGGGGGTCCCAATTCATCCCTCGACCAGTCTATGATAAACCCCTCGTCGCGTTGCTGTTTATCCTGTACGAAGTAAACCTTACCTTTGCTAACTCCTTCGCCGTCGGGCTGACCGTGTCGATATTGTATTGCTACATACATATTAATAGTTTGTGGCTGGAAGTCGTTAAGAACAGGTGACTAAATTGTATCAAATATTTATATTTCTGATATTCATTACGAATTCGCATCGTTAGCAACGGTCGCCAACTAATTTGGCTTGAAAATTCATTTGCGAACTCCAAGGCTAGTATTTATCTAGTTTGCAATTTTTTGTCAAAATTATGTTGCGATGCGAACTCGTAGTGAATACCCCCATTATCTTCTTGCCCCCATACACATGTGGTAATTGATTTGAGCCATTCTCATCTAATGGATTTTGCAACCCATTACAGTTCATGCATACACATTTAAACTCTGGAAGTACATACATACATGACGTACGTACATATCTACCTAGTACTCGCAATAGTTCTGTTATAAGATTTCCCGGGTAAATTAAGCAGGCAAAGTAATTTTTTAGAAGGTTGTACTATTTTTTATTGAAATCTCCATGCAATTTACCGTCAGAAACCATGTTTCGAAAACTTTTGTGACCCCAGATGAATAAATGATAGATGGGCAAACATGGCATATGTAAATTTTTCAGCAACATTTTAGCGAACGTAAAAAATTGACATTTTTAAATTGTTCAATAAAAATCGGAATTGATTGCAAGATGGTCGACCGTACAATAAAATGATGCAGTGACACTGGCAGTGTCGACGACGGAAAAATAAGTGGAAGTGAACGGCTAAAAAGGTTACCAAAATTGACGAAGGCGCGAAAAAGCTGGATTCGCCCGAATCCATGCCGAGCCCTAACAAAATTTCCCTCACAAAAGAACGGATCAAGTAAAAGTACGTCCCGGGCCCTTAATGCGAACTTATATCTTCAAGATTTGAGGAGAACTACTTGTTAGCTACACGCCAAGTGAAAACAGACCCATCAGAACCCGGGTGCTGATCACGCGGTACGCGCTTGAAAAATGGAAACCGATATTTTAAAAAAATGAGCCCACCTTTATGGGTGAGGCTAAATAAAATAGCAAAAATACCATATTTGCACCCCACCGGTCTAGGCTATTCATAAAAATTTCAAAAATTTTTATGGGGCCCACCATCCTGTTTTTATGATTTTTTTATTGGACTTAGGAGGAGAGTACGCCAACCTGATAATGACAGATCTTGATGTCCTTTGGGTATATGGTAGTACCCCCTCTGAAAGTAAAAAGTGTGAAGCGGTTTGATGCCATGGCCCAATTTACGCCCGTCACACCCCTTTGAAGGCGCGCCCGATGCCAAACTAGCTGCACTAAAAAATTCGCCAAAAATCCAATTTTGTTCGGATTTTCATAATAGTTACATATTTATGATCCCAAATAGTTGCTTTATCATATTCAGTTGCAAAATTAACATTTCAGAAATTTTCAATATTTTCGAATATTTCCTGAAAAGGGCATGGCTTGAAAAAATTCAAAATTCCAAAAAAGTTCAGATTGATATCAGATATGATAAAGCAACTATTTGGGATCATAAATATGTAACTATTATGAAAATCCGAACAAAATTGGATTTTTGGCGAATTTTTTAGTGCAGCTAGTTTGGCATCGGGCGCGCCTTCAAAGGGGTGTGACGGGCGTAAATTGGGCCATGGCATCAAACCGCTTCACACTTTTTACTTTCAGAGGGGGTACTACCATATACCCAAAGGACATCAAGATCTGTCATTATCAGGTTGGCGTACTCTCCTCCTTAGCTCGGATTGGGTCGAAAAAGTGCTTTTTCTTAGCAAGGGGGTGAAAATTTGTGTCAAAAATTATTTTTCAAGTTCTCCAGCGAATTGTGGAACCACTGAACTATTACCTATTCAAAAATAGCGACGTAACATTCAACAAGGGCTCAGGTCCTGTTCATATGGTCAAGATAACAATTCGGTGGTTAAAATCCTCAATTCATGACTCCATTTCAGATCAAGAAAAAAATTCACTGTTGTCGAACCTAATCCTGCTGAACTATGATACATTTTTCAAACTTCAGCTGGATGTATGTGCTAAACTTCACACAAGTTTGGAATCCATAAAAAATTCTGTCGTCAGGATATGCGGTCAATCTTCCCGGGAACGCGTGCGTACTTCGATCGAGTGGTGGAAACGAAGACTGCGGGCTCGCCTAGCCTTATAAGATTGACACTTTAAAAAGTGAATCATGTTTCTTATACAGAATTTCATGGGCTTTTCAGTTATTTAATTACTTTTTCGAAATTCGATAAACTGGGTTCGCTACAGCGAGTTGTTCTTATAACAGAACTTTAGCGACTACTAGGTACATAAACTAAACCCTAAAAAGGATTGCTTAGGTGAGACTGTAGTATGTGCGATTAAAAGTTTGAAATAACCCCCCCCCCTCCTCCCACCCTGGAGCGAAAGTGTTGGTAAAATGAGCATCACCACACTGGGAATAATTTTTGAATTGTGCAGGTTTTTGCAGTGCAAATATAACAGAAAATATTAACATAGAATTTACATAAACATCCCAAAAGAATGGCTGATTATCTGTTTCTTGACTGCGCATTCAAAGTGAAATAAGCCCCAGCCATGTCTTATTTTATTTACCGAGTGAACTTGTCTTCAATAATATTACAGTACATTATTAACGAAAAATCAACAACCACCAATGGTATTTCTAACGATAAAACTAGTAGATGCGTAAACTGCTAGAAGTAATTTAATATAGACCAAGTACATGATGTTTTGGGTTGAAATTATTTAACCGTGATGAAATTATTCCCAGGGCGGTGATGCTGATTTTACCAACACTTTCTCTCCAGGGTGGGAGGAGGGGGGGGGGTTATTTCAAACTTTTAATCGCACATACTACAGTCTCACCTAAGCAATCCTTTTTAGGGTTTAGTTTATTTTAAGCTTTTAATTGGTAATATCGCGGTGAATGAGTCGTTACTCAAACCTTTGTTAAGGTTGGGTTCAAATATTTGAGATAGGTGCTGAAAATTTGTGAACAAAATTGATTTGATTTGATTATTAAAATTATCTGACGGATGCCAAATTTTTGCAAAATATCTTGTAAAATGTCCTAACCCAGGCCTGGGTTAAGACATTTTACATGATATTTACACCTGCACCCTTTAAAATGTGAATCAAAGCTTTTCAATTGCTAGACGACCTGACCCCTTCAGCGCCGGCCCTGAACCCAAAGGTTCATTTTTCGTCAAAGGGAAAACTTTTTTATTTCTCAACCGATTTTGATGATTATAATTTTAAATGAAAGATAGCTATATTTGTCACATTTCCATCCACGCAAATTTTCTGTTAAATGCTTCACTTCTGTATAATAAGGCAAAATGTTATTATGGAAGTGATTTTTGAACGATTAAACACAAAATAAGAAGAGTTCATGCATGGCAGCTGAGAACTAGATTCTTCATGATTATAATTGACTCTGGGTTTTTATTTGAGCAAAATCGGTTGAGAAATGATAAAGTTATGGGCTGTGGTCACTTTTCAGAACCCAAGTGAATGCTTACTTAGGTATTTTTTTTCAGTAACCATAGCCTCACCTAAGAATAAACATTTAGACAACCATGCACTTAAAACAAAATCAGGCGACAAATAAACATACCTATTGTACATTACGATTTAGGGCGTATTTTCATTTGTAAAGTTGGCAAAATCCTTGCACTTTTTTCCGCATGAGTTTTATAAAATTAATTTTCCACAATATGTGTATCATTTTCACATTTTGAAAACATTTCTAGGAAGTTTTCACACCAAGGAATCCCAATTTCGACCAGATTAGAATTATTTTCATCCCTAAAAATTCTAAACATTTTCAACAATGAGATGGCTGCTGGAATTTTATGGCCAACATTTCAAAACACATTGCTCGCCCTGCAAGTCCCCTCACATGTTACGTTGATCCGATTTTTGCCCAATGTGCAACCCAGCTTCGTCCTCATGGTGGAAACAGCTCTGGGATTGACGATGATTTTTCAGGGAAGGTGTATTACATCAGGGGCCAGAATGTTCTCGATTTCTAACCAATTCAAAAAGGTACTTGAATTTTCGACATAAAATTCTGAATCACGAAAATTTTGTCATATTACCTCGAAAATTGTTACTGTCTCGAGCTTTGCATAAGCACCATGCAACTTTACTTGCCGAAGTAGTACAAGTGCGACACAGGACGAGAAAGTGATCAAAACCATATGCTCCAGAATTGAAACTTGCTTGCTAAATAATTGTCTTTAGTAAATAAAAAAAGCTTTATTTATACGGTTTGCTAAATCATTTCATAATTTTGATCAGGACGTTACCCAGTTTGGAAGCCGATTCGAGAAAAAGGTGGCTAAATCTCTGAACTCACTGCGAGTTGAAGTCGGCTCGTTTTACTTTTTTAAAATGTCGACATTTACAACATTTGTACAAACCAATTTGGACACTACGATCAGTTTATTACTTACGATTTAACATTACGCATGGTATACAGATACATATTGGCATATAAAAATAAAATCATAATACTTTTTATTAACTTTGTAACTGGGCTTCAATCATTTAACTATTTTCATGCTGAATTTATTTATTTCAGTTTGATGGCCTGTTAACATTTTCATAAGTCATTTTATCTATCATATTCTATCATATTGACATTTATTTAATACAAAACAAGTAGTTTTAGAAGAATCGATATCGATCGGGAAAATATAGACAATAACTGGGTAAAGCATAAAACAATAATCAGATGAGTGAATAAATAGGTATATAGATAAATGCAAATTTTGTCCAACAGATTATTTAAAATATATAGTAAATATTGTGAAAGAAAGTTGCCCAGATGAAAGTTTGCACCGGCATTTTGTACACGTAATGTGTCTGATGGTTTGATTTGTGACATTTTAGAGTAGTGTAACAAAATTACTATTAAAATTCTAGCGATATAATTTAAATTTTTGCATCAAATCCAATTATGTGAGAGCTATATATTTATTGAACTGGTTTATTGCTAGTACATTATTATATAACTTAATGCGCTTTAACGAATTCCTCTGAAACGATATATCCAATCTTCCCAAAAACTGATGAAGAATTATTTGTCATACTTGCTCTTCTTCCTTTCGACAGCGATGTACATACATACATAAATTAATCATAAGTAAATAAACTACTGATCGCAACACTCTGCTCGAATATTGTTCAGGGCTGTGTCGTCACCTGTAAATAAGTTATATGTAAATTTAGCAATAAAAACCATACTTTTAGAATGGATCATGCATCACAAATTCACTCGGACCTTTATGTAACCTCGGTAAAATGACAAATTGATGGGACAAATCTTTTGTGATCTTCTTTAGATCATGGATGACTTCATGCTTTGTAAAAGCTTGTAAAATACTTTTATAAAACTTGTATAGTTTACAAATAGCCGAGTGAATTGCACTGCAAATATAATCTCAATTTCTCACCATCCCCCAGATCCCGCTCAACTTGAGTCTGTAAGGCACAAATGGCCTGGTAGCTAAAGCAACGCTGTGACCCCGTCCAACCCCCATATGCCAACCCATCCCCCTCCTTTTGCTGCTCCGGAACTCCTATCGAAGGAGGGTAAGAGCACAAAATTCTTAGGTTGTTTGTCGCTGTATCGTCGCTAGATCCTTGATCCCGTTCCACTCGTAGCTCAAATCCTGTCACAAAACCGTCCGGCGGGACGGGGCGGTCGTCGCTTCTACACGAGTAGACGGTCCCCCAATTACCCCAAACCTGACCGGCTGAGGTGATCACAATCGTGGAAATGTTTCTTGGGTCCCCACAATACAATCGAATCCCATTTACAGCTGTGTCGTCAATGAAAAGACCTTGATACGGTTCGGTGCGGATTTGAATTGCCTGAGCGTACGTTCCGAACGGGCATCGTGACCAGGCTGGAATATAAAGGATACAATTATTGTATTAAGGTGTTCACCTTTTCCATCATAAATTTTTAAAAATTTAAGTACGAATTTTATGAATTTTATGGTTTACAAATATCCAAATTAGTTTTTAACTTCTTTACGAATGTTTAGTTTCAAGTAATTAAATAATTTCCACTTACGACCCCAATCACCCCAATTTGTTTCGTAAGGTGACTCGATAATCATGTTCCCACTGGTGAGCAGAAGCAGGGAAGAAATCGTGGCTGCGAAGATGTACCACATTTTTAGAATTGTATAGATGTTTGTACTTTAATTTGTACTATTTTTGTATGTTAAATAGAGGATCGAAAGCTTGTAATTGGTATGAAAATTCTTAATCAACCCAGTTTTATACAACAATTGGAGTTATCGACGAACCATGTCATGAGGTATGTGGTAGATAGGTTTTCGATACGCCAGTTATGAAACAGTGACCTGTCTCACTTCCAGGATCTGACAATGACAATCAAAAATGAGCCGGCAGTGACTGTTGATAAACATTAATCATATGAATAAATCATTGGGAAACACAGGGCTTAGCGTTATTTCTAATCTGACTACTTTGACAGCTGAATGATAGAGCGATTCTAATGACAAAAACGGTATGTATTTTACTCTGGTTTAAGATAGGTTTAGGGGATCATGCGACCGAACGCTGGACAATTGGGCAGAAGGAAGATAACCATTTGTCGGCGAAATATCAGGCGATTCTTCTCCTAATGATAGCCCAATCACTGCGGACTTTAGTCGGTGGTGCGATTTCGATCATAAAATGTGATGACAAGAGACACCTATTACGTAGGAGGGCTTGTTTATTGTTTTCTTTGATAAAGGTGATGACAATGGATTATGGTTATGTAAACGTGGAGAAGGATGTTAACAAGAGAGTTAGAGTTGAAAGGTTAACCAGTTGCCTGCCACATTAAAAGGCATAAAGTAGTTGCTAAGCCCCCAATATAACGCTTCGAATTTCGCGATCCTTGTACCATTTTTCTTGGACAATCATTTCCAATGCGGTCCAAGATATGAAATTATGACACGTACGCTAGCGCCCAAATTAATGCAGAGTTGATACTGATAATTTGACATATAGAAATTATTTTACTTATCATTGCTTGTTTGCCAAGGCAATTTTTAGCCCGAGTCAGGGCTTATGTAATTGTCATGTCCGTCCGTCTGTCTGTCTGTCTGTCTGCCTGCCTGTCTTTAAAATAACTCTCGAACGAGTTAACCGATTGACTTGAAATTTTTACCATATGCAGATTGGACAAAGTTAGGAAATGAGTTCGAAGATGGGCGAAATCGGTCCAGTGGTTGACCGGTGGGGGTCATCGGAGTGGGTGGGGTATTATGCACCAAAATTTCGAAATCGTCGTAGAAAACTCAAATTTGGTACAGAGGCTGGTAATGGCTCCTAATGAAAGAATATGAAGTGAAATTGGTAAAATTTTTAAAGGCCAGGACCCGTTGAGGTGACCCATACCGATTTTCATAGCTTGTCGCAAACAGCTGAAATTCGGAACTGTGATACTTAATGGCTTCTCATGAAATTATATGAAGTCAAAGAGGAACAAAAAGTAGCCAGAGGGGTACCCATACCGATTTCTAAGAGTTTATATATTCAGATAAAATTTAGTGCGGAGTCGAAAAAAAAGTTAGAATTAAAATATAGGAGGGTTGAATTTCGAAATTTTTATGCGAACAGCCTCTACTGCTCGTGGTATTTGGTTTGGTGCCAAGTAATACTACCAAGTGACGTTAAGTTAATGCAAGAATTAGTGAAAAATGGTACAACATTCTGACAAACATGGGTTTGCTAATCAATCCTGGTTCGGGCTAAGCAAAGCTGTACAGATATGTTGGAATTTCCGTAAATAATCTCTATAAAGCTGGAGTTTTTTGGGGCTAGTGTATTACGATCAAGTATTTATTATCAATAGCAAATATTTGACCTAAACTTTTCTCAAACTTATAAACATGTGCAGATAGTGAAGAAGTAAGTCGAGCGTTCTCTGGGGCAGTATTGGCATTGTGAAAAACCTATCAGTACAGCCTGTACTGATAGGTTTTTCACAATGAAATTTTCTATACAATTGTGATACTATTTTGCACTAATTCTTACATAACTCATAGAAATCGGTATGGGTCACCCCCTCTGGGGTGACTTTAACTTATAGTTGCTTTTTGTTCGTATTTGACTTCATATTATTTCATGAGAAGCCATTAAGTATCACTGTTTTGAATTTCAGCTTTTTTCCGACAAGTTCTGAAAATCGGTATGGGTCACCCCAACGGGTCCCGGACGATGAAAATTTTACCAATTCACTTCATATTCTTCCATTAGGGGCCATAAGCAGCCTTTATACAAAATTTCAGCTCGATTGGATGATTTTGAAAAATCGGTATTGGTCATACCCTCTCCGGTACTTCCGGTTGAAAAATTTTCCAATCTCGCTTTATATTCTTCTATTAGGAACCATTAGCACGCTCCGTGCCAAATTTCAGCTTTCTATCACAATTTTGAGATTTAGGTGCCTAATACCCACTGGTCCAAATATGACCCCCACCGGTCCAAATCTTTTCTCATCGAACCCCATCTTCGAACTCGGTCGTTGCATATACATGTCTGCACCAAATTTGGTTAAAATCGGTCAACTCGTTCGAAAGTTATCGAAAGACAGACGGACATGACGATCACATAAGCCCTGGTTCGGGCTAAAAAAAATTACACGACATTGATGTACTTGGGCGCATGGTTACCGTACAAGAATTACACGACTTTGATGTACTTGGGCCCTTAGCGACGTTTTGTGCAGCACATGACATTCATGTGCTTGGGAGGCAACTGGTTAAGCTTAAGCTTGAGTATTAAGCGGGATTTTTATGCAAATTGAGATTATTCCTGATTTGAGGTAATTTGTGTAATGCTGAATAGGTAGTTATCAGGGAAATGTACAAAGTTAAGCATATGCATCCGCGTGCTGACGTATTGCATTTATATATTTACTCACCTCTGTAAAATGATGATGGCATTATAATTCAGTGACTCATTAAGTGTTTGTTTATTTATTTTTGCATGACATTGCAACCAATAAAGAGAAAAAATTATTGTGATATTTAATCCATTCATAAATACAGATGAGATGAGTTGGGAGTCCCAACTCATCTTCTACATACATAATTGTTGAGACATACATAATATGTAAATACAGCTCATGATTTGTGCTTCTGAGACCCGTGGCTAAATTTTATACAGTAAACTTGGGACCAAACATTTTAAGCCTCGTAAAATCGTCGGAGTAAAAAGAAAAATGGTATTAATTTGTATTTCCATGTTCAAAATTGTAGCCATAATGTTTGGTGTGTAAAAACATACCGACTTAATGTGATATAGATATTTTGTCGTCTCATTTGAAAATTCATATTTAAGTTTATTATGAAAAACTTTGAATTTTGTTGTAATAGATAAATTAATTTTCTCAAATATGTAAAATTTATGAGACTACGTGCATACATACATACATTATGTACGGGAAATAGATTTGATTATTGTATTTAACCAACCAAGCAAGATTTATACAAAAGTTATGAATTTGAATCTGATGAAATGTAGATTACCAATAAATCTAATGAATATCAGAAATTAAGTGTTTATATTTATTCATTGGGCAGATGCTCTGTAAAGTCATGCTTAAATGAATACAATATAATTGACAATTTTAAATCGAAAATTTATTTATTTATCGCAGCACTCTGTTCGGATATTATTCATGGCTGTATCGTCGCCTATAAAACAAAAAAACTTGTTAAGAAAATGTAACCTGGTAATTAAATTAACAATATTGAGTAAATAGCATGATTATGTATCCTTACCATTCCCTTGATCCGGTTCGACCTGCGTCTGCAAGGCACAAATGGCTTGATTACTATTACACCTCCTCGCACCCGTCCACCTCCCATAGGTCAAACCGTCCCCCTCCTTCATCTGCTCCCCCACACCGACAAAGGGTGGATAAGTACAGAAAATTCTAAGGTTATTCGTTGCGGTGTCATCGCCGGATCCTTGGTCGCGTTCTGCCCTCAACTCAAAACCGGATACGAATCCGTCTGGGGGAACGGGACGCCCATCGCTACGACACGTGTATACGTTTCCCCAGTTCCCCCAAACTTGGACAGTAGACGTGATCACTATTGTAGACGCATTCTGGGGATCTCCACAATACAATCGGATCCCATTGACGGCTGTGTCGTCAATGATGAGACCTTGGTAAGGTTCCGTACGGATTTGGAGGGCTTGAGCATATCGACCGTTCGGGCAACGTGACCAGGCTAGAAGTTGGGGGTAAGATCTAATTATGTAAAATTTGTCAAGTAATGATGTAATTAGAACTTACGCCCCCAAGTTCCCCAATTTGTTTCGGGTGGAGATTCGATAATAATGTTAACTCCAGTTGTTAAGGCTACCAACGAGGTTAAAAGAATTAAAAAACTGGGTGACATTTTTAGTCTTTAAAAAATACAGTGCTAAAATTTGGAGAAGGTGTGACGGTCAGGAGTTGCTGTACAATGTGAAGGAGTATCGAATCAGGACGCCTTTTTATATAGAGTTACATACGCATAAATGGTAGGAATTAATATTAACGGTGCCATTGTTCTGTAAGATATGTACGTATGGCAGTTTGATCCAGTTGTTAACAGATTGAGAAGGCTTTAAATTGATACATCATTTATGACTGGAGAAGAACGAGGTGAAAATGGTGAGTATGTTGGTAGAGGTATAATTGTACATGTTTACGTGTGTTGGACAATGCCAAATATATGGCCAGTTACAAGCGATAAGGCCGACAGGTGAAGGTTTTAATTTATTAAGTGTGTACCTGAATTTGTTTTCGCGTGTGGTCTGATAAATGGTTTAATTAATTAATTGGTGTGTTTCCCGTGATACCGCAGAACAATTGAACCTCCGTCGAGTACGGGATGTATCCACTCGACATAATGAGATGGATTTTACGGACGGATTTACAGATGTATGTATGTATATAATTAGTGATAAAAAGTACCTCGTGTTAGTACTTCGGGCAAGGATTACACATGAGCATGTTCTCACCCAGGGTTTAACGATAGGTTTGCATTTGTATAAAAGCAATAGGTAAGAAATGATGTACAACTCCGGGGAAATAACATAATTATAAATAAGGAAATTATGAATTGATTAGAAGTTTCACACCAAATTATAGAAATCATTGAGTAGAATGATGCTGGAAGTAGTACTTCTAACGTTTTAAACTAATTATTTCACACAAAAATGATGGAGCAAAATATGTATGAGCATTTTTTAAACGAAAGTTATGATTAAATATAAGTTTGGAAACTCATTATGACAATAAACATGAAACGATTGAAAGCCGAGTGCCTGCTTAGAAATTGTAGAAACAATGAATTTTTTGACCTGCATGACTTAATAATGTCGGATTAAAGGGATATAGAAATTTAGAATTTGCATACATTCAAATTGTCCCGCATTGACACGTGAGGAAAGCAACTTTATTTCACAATACAGTCAAATTATTATTCCATTAATGCATATTTAGTTTAGGCGTCCATCTACCAGTAAGAAAATTTTGGTGCATGTGGAGTTTTAATAATGTCCAGTACAGAAGTTTCCTACGAAAATTTAAGAAATTAAAATCTTGACATATGTATAATCATTCCCCTAAGAAATTACCGTGAATATTTCCGTCATGAATTGACACATGGCATTTTTCAAAAGTGCATTCCAATTGGCCAGTCCTAAGTATAACTCTGCCAATTTGTTACTCATTTGAGCAGTAGCTTTACCCTTGAACTCCGTCATCAGCGGTGGCGGGATTGCATCGTCTTGGAACCCGGTAACACTTACGAAATATGGATTTACATAGTAGGCTATTTCTGATTGGTCGCAATTGTAAGAAATGTGCCCATTTTTCACCGAAAAACGTCCCCAAATATGTGTGTCCGTAGCTACAGTTCCCCGTGCATCTCCAACAGCAGAAAAGGGAAGCATGTCGAGTACTGATCCATCTGCCTGGTAGCTAGCTAAGTGATTTAAAATTCAGAAAATTCTGTCTAAAGTGATACCTTAGTTGGAAGAAAATGTCGCATTTATAAAAGTATAAACTAAAAGCTCGCTATTTTATAATAATCGTCTGCCTACAGGCAGAAGCCTGTTCTCCATAAATCCCCGCTCTACGCCGTAGGGAAATTTACAAATAGCGCGGCTTAGCTTAGGATGGTACGATACATACATATAGTAGCGTGAAACAATGTTATTTTTGTTGCGAGATTTAGCGGAGAGAAGGAAAATGTAATTGTGCATATCTCTCTTAAAATGGGTACGTCAGGTTTGTGCATTCCTAATTTTTTTAAACCCGTAGAATGTCACACATCTATAAATAATTTTTAGTTCAAAACACAGGTCAGTACGCAAAAAGCGCAGATGTTTGTAACTTTAAATTAAAAAAACTGCTGTATTTTCCACAGCGGAATTGATGGATTCACGGTCCTCAAACCTGTTTAAAAATTCCCGTGGAAACGGGAGGGTTTTCACAGGAATTTTAAAGTTAAAAAATCTGTGGTTTTTGCGCACTGGTCTGAAAATGAGTTGTGAACTAAAAGTTGCCTAGATGTGTGGCATTCTACAGGTTTAAAAAAATCTGCAACGCACCGGCCTTGCGTCCTAATTGTAGATGAATATATATAAATACGTATACTGTAAGACTGTAATCCATTTTTTTCAATGCAACAACATCAACATGTTCGAAATAAGGAAATATTTTCCTAAGCAACGTCAAAATGGAGGTTGAACATCCACATTTACTTGCTTTGTTGACATGTATGACTACAAATAAATTATGAGATTACCTGATACTGTACTTCTAATCCTTCCATTTTCATTGTTAAAATAATCGTACTGTGTAAGAGAAACTGAGAATGACCCTCCGTTTAAGTCTGTAGTGGCGTAGCTATGCCCCCCAAACGTAGAAAACACTGAAATGAAGCCTCCAGCGACGAAATTTCTAGGAACATATATCAGAATAAAACTACGTTTAAAAAACAGCATTAGGGTGCGACTAAAAACTTTAAAACAAGAGCATTGGGCTAATTTTAAAATTTAATATTTACCAACTTTTGCCTCACCGTGGGCATTATTTAAGTACAAAATCAATTTGGGCCCACGGCGAGGCAAAAGTTGGTAAATATTAAATTTTAAAATTAACCCAATGCTCTTGTTTTAAAGTTTTTAGTCGCACCCTCGCCGAAAAATGCTGTTTTTAAACGTAGTTTTATTTTCTGGTTTTTGGGTTGGAATTTTTTTGTTGGTTACCAATATGGTTGCCGCGGGTAGCGAAAATGCTACCCGTTACCCGACCCGTTACCCGCAGTACAACTACCCGTACCCGCACGGGTACCCGTGCGGGTACCCGTTACCCGCTACCCGTTATGAGAATAAGGTTAAAAACTAACCAAACTTCAGAATAAATTTGATTTGATCAATTATTTGTTCATTTGGGTTGATATGTACTTCGAGATAATGCTATGCAAGTAACGCATGCCATAATTTGCTCGTAGGTGTCACTAGCTATTTTTGGAACCAAAATCTTTGGCTTACATTGGATCGTTTTTCAAGCTAGATATACCGATTTATGTACATATATCAAAATATTAAGCCAAAAAATAGGAATTACATGACACTTATTTTTCCGTTGAATGACCCGTTTAAAGGAAACTATTGGGGAACTGTGTTCAAAGTCCACCATGGTTTTCGTCCAGTGGAGGAAAAGATACAGAACATTTACTTAAAAATTAAACTTTGCTGCCAATATTTTTCTTCGAATCGATTCAACAAAAAGATAAGTACCATGTTATTCCTAATTTTGGGCCTGACTTTTTGATATACTCTCCTGGGCAATCTTGCGATAGCATGAAAAAGGTTCAATTTTTTGTTTGATTTTTTCAAATTTTGATTGAAATGAAGTTTTCATTAAAAGAATTGTCTACAAATAAATTTTTTGCTTTCTATCGGATTCAGGTTTTTCATCTTCACAAATTACAAAGCACAAATTAAAATCTGGTCAGTCTTACATAAATACAGACAAATACAGGACAAATTATTATTGATATTTTAGAGCAGGCAAACGATGCTTGAGAAACAATAATTGCTCCAAATTTTATGGACGTGAAATGTATTTGAGGCTACCGTATGCTTCTTTGGCTTCCAAAAAGAGACAATAAACTCGTAATAAACGCTTGTTGCTGGAAAATGACAAATAATAAACTGACGCTTTTGTTGGTAAATGCGGACTAACTTGCTGCTAACTTTCTTTGTGAACTAGGTTATGGCGAAAATTAAATAAAAACTGAATTACCCGTTACCCGTGCGGGTAGTTCTCGCTACCCGCAGATAACGGGTACCCGCAAGAATCGTGCGGGTATGCGGGTAACGGGTACCCGACCCGTTACCCGCGGGAACCCTAGTTACCAATAGCAACCACTGCAACCAGCTAGTTAAAGTTCAATTATGATAAGCATTTTAAGCAGCGTAAATGGTTGCAGATACCACCATCAAAAGTTTCTCATTTTTCAACCGATTTTTCTCGAACGTACCTCAAATGATGCGTGATCAGCGCCCAGACAATAAAATCAATAGCGGGCATGATCATTGTATGGCAAAAAAATTGAATTTCCGGTTCATTTTAATGTTTCGAAGGTCCTAAAATTCTTGTAATATTAGACTTTCGTAAGGAGAAAGATGAAAAGACACTAGATTTCGTGATTGTCTGATTTTTTTGTTTCAACAATTTTTCAATAAATGCAACCGTTCGAGCTGTGGCGGAAGTTTTAGGACCCTGTCTTGAAAGCATACTTTGGCTTCGCCGTAACCATGAGCTTTTCTGTCGTGAGGGTAGCCCTTGGTTACTTTCCTCACCTCAGAAAAAAATAAGTCATAATGTTTGTGTAAATAACACCCTAAAATGGGTATTTAGTAAACAATGTAAATATTTTTGAATTTTTTTAGTACATAATCAGGGTGCATAAACATTTTGTCGTCCGGGGTTTCTTCTAAAGGGGTGATACCAAGATGAATTTTTTATTAAAAATTAAAAGTTGAGGAATTGAATGCAATTTTGCTATGCATTTTGGTGGTTGTCATGGCAAAATTGCATTCAATTCCCCCGACTTTTAATTTGTATTTAAACCCCGGACGACAAAATGTTTATTCACCCTGATATATAATAAATTGTAAAAAAACATCAAATGATTAAGATTTATTTTTGATTGGGTGCTTCGACGATTTTTTGGAAGGGGTTCAGATTAGCACTTCCATGCAATGTTTTTTTTTGCGTAAGTCGCCTACCCAGAGGAGACAAACAGATTACTTCCACCTACCGCCTACACTTTTATAGATAATTTGTATTAAATCATTACCGACCGAAGTACTCTACCGACACTAATAACGAGAATTATCGTTGAGTAATGTTATGGTAAGGAAAAATTTACCACTAAGGAACAATTACTACCAATTTGGCAGGAAGTTATTAGAGATATTGAAAAAATTTGCACACTTTGAAAGAACTACATAATTAGCAAATACTTAAAAAAAATTATATAATTTCAAAAATTTGTATAATTAAAAAAAAATTCAGCCGGTGCAATAGTGGTGACATCGTGCCAAGAATCGGTAGTCGATGACGCATCGTACCAATCACGAGTCGTTGGTGCACGAGTTGTAGTAGGATTTGGACGGGTAGTTGTCGGGTGGTGCCAATAATCCTCAGTTGTTGACTCGAACCAATCACGAGTCGTTGGTCCGCGGGTTGTAGTGGGATTTGGACGGGTAGTTGTCGGGTGGTGCCAATAATCGTCAGTTGTTGGCTCATACCAATCACGAGTCGTTGGTGCACGAGTTGTAGTAGGATTTGGACGGGTAGTTGTCGGGTGGTGCCAATAATCGTCAGTTGTTGACTCGTACCAATCACGCGTCGTTGGTCCACGAGTTGTAGTAGGATTTGGACGGGTAGTGGTGGAATCTTGCCAATAATCGCGAGTCGTTGACTCGTCAGTCGTGGAAGGAGTGTCCCAGTAATAAGTAGTCCTGGATGTTGTGGGATATCTGGTTGTGGTAAATGTTACAGGGTATCCAGTAGTTGTACCGTCATCAAAGCAGTCTCCCCCGGCGTACAAGAAAATTACTTCGTCCAGTATGAAATGACCCATTGGCATTATTACTCCATCGATCACGATCTAAAAGTTTTAGACACGAATTTTTATTTGCAGGAAATGATTGACTATGTATATGAGGGACGAGGTGACAAATATGTAAAAACAAATATGTAAAAACAAATATGTAACCGACGTTTGTGTAACGACATTTATGTAACGACATTTATGTAAATGATATTTATGCTACTCGACAAATATGTAACCCGACACATATGTAAGCGACCGATATGCAAACGACAAATATGTAACACATAGGATTTCGCGAATTTTTAAAAGGACAAATTCAAACAGTGACAAAAAACAAATTAAAAATTAAAATTGAATTTAAAAATTAATGAAAAAATAATAAAATATGAGTCAGGTTAAATGTACTTGATCAAAACCGGTTAACCAGTTGACTGGGAGGGGACATATAGGTGGGTATTTGGTAGGACTGTGGTAGCATGTGCCAAATTTTCGAAATAGCTGAAAATTTGGTAATTAATTACTCATTACTCAGAAAGAACAAGGATAAGATTAATTTTGAAAATTATTTTTTGATTATTAAAGGTAAGACATTTAGTTAAAATTCGGTTTTATGGTTCAAATCGAGATGTAAACTGGTAATATGAAATCAAGTTAAAAACTTGTCAACCGGTGAAGGGAGGGGGGAATTTATTGTTGAACAAATAGCTCGAGATTGATTGACACACCCTAGATCGGGGACCGCAAAACGGTCGGACAAGTAGTTTGTATTCTTGCTGGGATTGATATTTATGTTGGGATTTTTATTTTTCCTGAGATTTTCAGCTTGAATATACTGTTTCGAAAATATGATTGACCAATCCAAAATATATAGACGAAATCCTATTTGTACGATATTTGTCGTTTGCATATTGGTCAATTACATATTCGTCGGGTTACAGATTTGTCGGGCAGCACAAATGTCATCTATATAAATGTCCTTACATAATTGTCGTTACATAAATGTCATTTACATATTTGTCGTATCACCATATGAGGTAATTATCTATGTATTTCCCAAGGTTATAACAAGTAATAAATTGTTAAACATTTATTTGTCCTATTTACATAAGCTTTGTCATGAGTAGATAAGGTTTATGTGAATATGATATGAATATGCATATCAGTGGCTGCGGAAGCCGTGGGGACATTAACATTGTAGGATAAAGGGTTGAGGGATTTATTTAACGGGTTTTTAACAGAGTTTCCCTCTGTCCCCACACTTCCGGGGCCACTGATACATATTACTATAAATTTATGCAAGTAGATAGTTACACATATGTACATACACACGTGTTCATACCTGTTCGCTTCTATCAATGTCTACATAGGCGACAAAATTGACCCATCCTTCGTTAAAGTCGGGCAAGTTGGCATAGCTACTCCTTCCGTGGGTGGCCCCCTTGTCCACAACGGGCCACACTGTAACTGAGGCGAGTGAACTAAAGTACTGAATGTTAATCTGAACCTGGGTCCCTTTGCAAATCCATTTTGGCAAATCGAATGACGTCCTAAAGTCGATATTACTGTCGGTTGGTTGGTACGATTTAATAAACCAGATTTGTGATCCGGCGAGATCGTGAAGGCCAATTTCTTCCGGAGATGTAGCGGATTGGAACGGAGCTCGGGATGTGTTGATGATGATGATGATGCAAGTGTGGCATCGAAAGCTTGTAATAAATTGCTTTACATACCAACAACCATGTCTTCCGAGAATTCTACTCTTAGTTAATAAAATTTAATTAATTTCTACTTGATTAGAACTTTATTGCGTATCATAGCAACACATACACATTGAAGAAGGGGGCAGTAAAATCATGTTTCTAAAAATCGGCCAAAAAATGACAACTGCTTTTTATGATGAAAATATTACTTTAAAATAACATTTAATATTTTGATAAAGTAGAAACGCGAAATTTCAAAATAGCTGATGAAGGTTTAAATGCGCAAATGTATGTCTATTTTACAATACCAAATTTATGGTTTTTGAAACCACTAGGAAACATTTATGACCTTATTACAAAAGACTACCTGATTCGCCGAAGAATTCATTTGAACAGATTATTAGTAATAAAAGCTGTTGTAATCGGTGTAGAATTATAATCAATAAATGCAATATCAGGCTCATACTAAATATATACATAATAGTATACATATATACTATTTATGTGCTATACACGTTTGCAAGCGTGTATGGCACACAACACTAGCTTGTAGTGTAAAGTTTACACTGTAAACACCACAAGCGCTTGTGGTGTTTACTGAACAAAATTGTAATAATGAGTAGCAAATTCGTAAATCATAGTTGACATTTAAATTATTTGACAAATTTTGAAAATCATGCTTATAAAAGGAGACAGGAAAGGATCTGACGTCTTTCATGTTTTTTGATTCTACATGTAATGCTCAGTTATCACAAGCGTCCGAAGAAAGACGCAGTGCATCACACGACAAGAGATATACATAGCTTCCCATCTAACAAAGCTACATTTCTCATCGTGTGGCAGTGCATGTGTTGATATGGATTTCTGAGTTGTGAATAACCATAAATTTAACTCCAATTGCGTAATTAACGTCGAGAATAAACAGAATGTCCAAGGTCACGCCGGTCACGGTAACTCGCTTTAAACAAAACATATTGTAATGTCTAAAATTTTGCATGCATGGTCTTGCGGTCAACATAATCAGCAGATCCGGTCTAATGAACTATTGCCATTTCTAGCCGACCAAATTCATTCATAAATTTGCACAATTTTAAATTGTTGGCATCATTGTTTATTTATGTTTCAAAAATTGTTTATATATTCGCTCTTCCTAGCTCAAGCAACGGTAGCATCAGTAATCCATCCATCAGTATTCAATGGAGTAGTATCGGTTTCCAGAGTTTGAGTTGTCCCGTCAGTGTTGCATTTTTCTCCGGTGTACAGAAAAATTATTTCATCAAGTAGGAAATGACCCATTGGCATTATCACGCCATCCAACATGACCTAAATATTTGCATTCACATACATTTAGATTATATAACTAAGGACTTCTAATTCCAGGCAATTCGTAGCAGCTAATATTGAATCACGATAACATTAATTCCACAGTGCAAATTGAACGCTACAATCATAAGTACATAAGTACTTAATTTGTAAACTATTAGTAGATTTCGAATTACTTCACCAAAATTAAAGAGTCTCGGGATAAACAACGTTCGTGCGGAATCATAAATTTGATCACTAAACGGCGTGAAACATTTATTGCAATCATATCAACGGAGCCACGTATGCATGTACCTGTTCACTCCTTTCGATATCGATATCAGCCACAAAATTGACCCATCCTCCGTTAAAGTCGACCAAGTTGGCGTAGCTGCTTCCACCGTGGGTGGCGTTTTTGTCCACTATTGGCCATACTGTGACTGACGCGAGAGAACTAAAGTACCGAATGTTAATCTGGACCTGGGTCCCTTTACAAATCCATCTTGGCAAATCGAACGACGAGCTAAAATCGATATTATTGTCGGTGTGTAGATACGATTTGAGGTACAAGATTTGCCATCCGGCAAGTTGGGAGAGACCAATTTCTTCCGGAGATGTAGCGGATTGAAACGGAGCTCTGGATGTGTTGAAATAATGCCAGAAAGTGAGCCCATCGGGTATCACGATTTGATCACAGGTACCTCGCAATGCCACACAAGTCATGAGAATGGTAATTATTAAAAATTTAGCCTCCATTTTTTTAAACAAGTTTTTTGCTGGATAAGTCTATAAGAGAATTGAAATTCAGACTGAACAACACATTTGTTTTGACCCAGTTTAAATACTTGTCACTTTGCTGTTGCATTAACGATGATCCCCAAAATCCATTTAGATGACTTTTACGCGAAGGTGGTACACAGTTAAGAAAGCTCAAATTAGTTTTTGTTTTGAGCGTCCAATTTTATGTTTGTATCATGGAAAAAAATTATGACCTAATTATATTTATCAGCCTGCGAAATTTACCGAATGATTCATATGTATGGAGAGTTAAAATTTAATACCAACTAATAAAATCAATTGTAATCTCCACAAGCATGTCAATAGAATTGTTTTTCAGGCTGTTTTTCCGGTATGATGAAAAATATGAGAATGTTTAATGGAAAAGTATTATCTGAACGACCTACTTTATTGTTCTTAATGTTATGGAATTCAATATGCGAGTCATTTCACACATTTAAATTGTAATTGGCGTTTAAAATTAAACATTTGTATGAGTAAAAATTGTTAAAATGTCAAAATTTGTAAACTGGGACCGGTATCCTTTCCTCGCCATTTCAACATCATTGGTGATAATAATGTATACATACAACACAGTACAGATTTTGGGTTTGGATTTTGATTACAAATAAGTACATCCCCTGATATAAATCCACAATTTGCAATAATATTATTTACGAAAATAGTTCATGAGTTGTATCAATTTAGTTAATTGCATATTTGATATCCTTCGAGTTAGAATAGCATACACTCGAATAATTATGCGTCATTAAATACATGGGTACATACATGTACATATGTGCATATAGTTAAATCGTAAATGTTGAATTCACACAAATTATATAAATGTAACAGACTTGATCCGGTTGTACATACATATTTAAATGTCGGAAACTTATGACAAATAAAAATATACATACATTTGCTGCTTTAGTCATACATAGATACATTATTATGTGTATGTATGTGTGACGTATGCATTTATATATGCACGTGGTAACAATTTATCTAAATATGTATTACTGAATCATTTATAGCTTAGAGATAGGGATAAAGATTTTGTGCACAAATCTGCAATCTACGATGATAAGTCATTGTTCATTTGGACGTTGCAAATTTCACGTACATATGCACATATGTATGTATTTATTACCCAATTGACGGGATCAAGGTATTTATAATAAAATTTAGCCTATTTATTTCAGTGTACCAATATTATTAATGAAACGAAAGTCATTTCAAAGAATAAGCAAATTTATGAAATACATGAGATCAGCTTTTATGTAGTTACATAACTGTAGTTGTATATCTCTTTTAGCGGTCACAGCACTCTGCGCGTATATTATTCATTGCTGTATCGTCACCTACATTAGTAAAAAACACTATTACAAAATATTCGTTAATGCATATTATAAAAATATTTAATCAAAAACACATACCAGGATCCCCTTGATATCTTTCCACTTGCGTTTGAAGAGCACAAATTGCTTGATTACTGAAGCATTTCCGATCAGAAGTCCACCTGCCATAAGTGAGTCCATCGCCCTCCTTCATCTCTTCTGGGATGCCGAGGTGGGGTGGATATGTGCAAAAAATTCGTGCATTGTTGGTACTGGTGTCGTCGCCTGCCCCCTGGGGTGGTTCTACTCTCAATTGAAATCCGCTTACAAAACCGTCTGGGGGCAGTGGACGGCCGTCCGATCGACATGAAAACACCGACCCCCAGTTGCCCCACTCCGCAACGGTTGAAGTAATGTAAATTGTGGAACCATTGTTAGGATCACCACAATAGAGGCGGATTCCATTTGTGGCTGTGTCGTCCCCAAAGAGTCCTTGGTAGGGTTCGGTCCGGACTTGTAGAGCTTGGGCGTATGTTCCGAAAGGGCAACGGGACCAGGCTAAGGGCCAAGTGAAAAAGTGCGAATTAGTGATACAGTTTTTGTCGGATTAAGAAATTATCGACCGAATTTTTTAAGTACTTACGTCCCCATTCGCCATAATTGGTTTCAGGAGGAGATTCAATAATGATGTTGCCCTCGGTGATGAGAATTGTAGAAAAGAGTGCGATAGTCAAAATTGACCACATTTTGAAAACTTGGATAATTATGAAATGCTTGGAGATTTTACTGTTATTGGCTTGAATGTTTGTGATGGTTTAGTAATGATCGGTAGAGGTTCGAAGCTGGTTATATACTTGTGATGGGAGTTATCGGAATACGTCATATTTGTAATTGAGACTCTCAATTGAGGATGTTTATGAGAGATTGGGGTGATGGATGACTCATTTTTTATAGTGTGGAAATCAACAAGGTTTCAATTGTGTTGATCCTCCTGTTGATTGTTCATTACTCAGGTTAGTTAACTAAGGATGAATGCTTTATTTGGACCATGAAGTTAAACACATACCACATTACTACTAACGTCCAACTGATTACGGATGAATAAGTACATTGGACTGGACACGTTGTCTGATCGAGTCCAGCCCATTGACGTGATCATCGGCATGTTTTTACAAAGTGATAAAGCAGAAGAATTAAGTTCGCGTACAAACAAATATAGGTGAAAGGATGTCTCCACTTGAGGTTGATTATTTATTGGGGTAGACGTGCTTCATATTGGTGATGCTTGTTTCCAATTAATAATCTTTACTGGGATACACACCAGGTAAAATATCCCGTGAGTTATGGGAGATTGTTTAAAAACAAGTATCAGTAATGGATTTTATAGTGGCGAAGTCACAAACATTTATGTTCCACCACATTTTCCTTCTAATTAGGATTAAAAAAAAAATTTTAATTGGGTGACATTCATTTATTGCTTTCTGCTCCTGCTTTTATATAACTTAAGTTAAAATGTAAATAAGTTATACGAAGTATGCAAATCAGTATCAGATTTGGCGTCTTAATTATGCATAATTATTTTCAATTCCCATTATCTTCTACTACTCTGCATATACTCTAAGCAAAATCCCCAATTGTCAATGTCAGATTCAAGCCCGGCAATGGTGGCTGGTTTCGGATCACACTCACAGCGCCCCGGTGCGGCGGTGGCATTCCAGAAACATTGATCATATTGGGACATTACACAAAGAGGTACGGTACCAACTGGAGGCACTGTGAAGTCAGGCACACACGCAGTTTCTGGCATTCTCATGATATCTTCAGTACAAGGCAGCGGGTCTTTCTCAACATCGTTGAAGTTTACATTGAGCAGGAACGGGGTGAAGGAAGCTGAATCAATATGGACACTGAATTATGCGAAAATTCTGTTTAATAAATTCATGATAGTTTACTTTTGATCCCATTCCCTGGAATATCGCTAGGTTTGCACATTTGATTAGCTCCGTTAACTTGAACCCAGTCCCGATCGGGACGACAGATCCAATCAGGCGACGTGGGTCCGTTTGGATTGCTGGCTATTTTGAAGGGAGGGTCCTTCGTCTCAGCGTTGGCTGCTGAACAGGGTCGCCACTGAGATTGTAATTTGCATAATGAGTAATGTAATACCATGGAAATAGGTTGTGTGCTAAATGCATATTTAAAACGTGGGAAATTTGAAAACTGAGATAATTGTGAAAATTTAAACAACCCGTCGTGAAATCGATGGGTTACAGGTTTCACTGTTTAAACTGGCGTCACTTAAAAATAATTGTCGAATTTTGGTAAATATGTATGATTTAAATGTGTCCATTTACCGTAATTGATTGCGAGTTTGATCCTCCCACACAGACCGTGTATTGTTGAGAGCTTTGCTGACGGACTGGGTAGCCAAAACTTTTCACGACGCCACGAGTCGAGTTGAAATATTGCAGACACGAGTTGTCTGGTGCTAAGGAGGAAAATATGTATATGGTGAAAACTGCTAATTTGAGAATAATAATTCATTGTATGGTAATTACGCCTTGAGGGTGAAACACAGCCATATTGTGACGCTACAATTTGGTACGACCCTCCGCCCATGGTCGTAAAAGAGGGGAGAATCTCGATCGACCCGGCCTTATTGAAGTTGAGGTACACTGAAAAATAATTGATGCTAAATATCTACATAAATATGTCAAATTGGAATTGGGGATGGAAATCTTACTGTGTTGACCTCTGAGATCCCCACACGTCACAAACCCATCAGGAACTGTGGTTGAGCCACGAATCGTAATGCTGTCCCTGCTGCACATCCCATTCTCGTCGGCATGTTGAGAATTAAACGCGACAAAATCAAGTTTAACACCGCAGTATTTGCTGCTTTTCTAAAATGCAAAAATATAATTTATAAAAACTGAAATTAATTTAATTTAGGCATTCAAGATTATATTTTAATTTGCAAGGCAATTTAGCACGTGCTGTGTAAACATGGGAACACAATTCAGACTTCCATTATTTTCCGGTAATAAGTTTTTCGAAACATCTCAATTTCGGAGGTTATAGATAGAATCTATTAATATGCTCAACTTTTGAGATTCGTAAGCTACGCGAAGATTGTCGTGAGTACACCCATTATTTTTTTTTAAATTATTTACATCGATGAAAAAAGTACTGGCTACCAACTAACCCTTCGTATTTCATAAATACAGTCGGTGTCCAGAGGTTGATGCGTGTTAAGCGTAACAACTTCATCATAGATTGTGAAATCGTGATGTGTAGCATTGCAGCTTGCTTTAACTGTAAAGAAATAGAATATCTATTTACATACATTTTTCATAATTAAGGCTTACCCTCAAGCTCGGAGGAGTGAATCGGGTTTGGAGCAATATCCCAGTTTCAACCTTCTCTCTCGCTTTGCGTAATGCCTTGTAGTGCCTATCTCGAAACTTCGCATCGACCTTGTGGGGGGGAGGAGTCGACCTCAGGGTTCATAATAGTGGAATATGTTGCACTCGTCTTTCTGCGTCTGATGGTATTTTTTTCAAATTTTTTGGACTCGCGCGAAGGGCTGCAAATGGTTTACCATCAAGTAATGTAATCTTATGTAGACTGGTAAACCATTTGCAGCCCTTCGCGCGAGTCCAAAAAATTTGAAAAAATACCATCAGACGCAGAAAGACGAGTGCAACATATTCCACTATTATGAACCCTGAGGTCGACTCCTCCCCCCCACAGGGTCGATGCGAAGTTTCGAGATAGGCACTACAAGGCATTACGCAAAGCGAGAGAGAAGGTTGAAACTGGGATATTGCTCCAAACCCGATTCACTCCTCCGAGCTTGAGGGTAAGCCTTAAGCATATATATGATTTTTTATTTTGAAATTTAGCCAACTCACACTTGCAACAATCTCCAAATCCTTTCGCACAATCCCCGTCCTTTTCGCCCTTCCTGAATTCGCACTGTCCTCTCGGAAGGCACACCCCGTTTCGAACCATGTTGCCATTCGAGGGGTTTGGATTCAAATTACTTCCACAAGGTTCTGGTGGAATAACTATCTTGATAAAGGGGAAGTAGCCGTTCATGCCTTGAAATAAAAACAGCTCAGATTAGTATTTTTTATTAGTATTGCATAAATTATATCTTGACAAATATTGGAAAAGTTGCTCACGTTTCGGATTTCGCGAGGAACTTTTTCCTGAACTATCACTTGCACCATGACCAATTAATCCGGCTAGACAAATTCCCATGCAAAGAATTCTGCTCGTAGAAAAAGAACTAACCCTCATTCTGTCCAAAGTTTGTGTGTGATCTGTTTCAAAAGAGGGTACGAAATGAAGAAATATTTAGTCTAAAGGGCGTATTTTATGCAGAAAATCTGTGCCAGTTCCACAGGTCAACGAGAATAAAAGGTCGGCAGACGGGGACAAATAGACTTGCTTTGATAAATTAACTGTACAGGAAACACATGCAAATTGAAACAATTAATTAGCACGTGAATTTATGACTACGTAGAGGTGAAGGCTTTTCCACGTATGCATGTTTCAATATTTGTTCAGTGATGTGAATACGGTACCTCTCAGCTTGATTGGGATGTTTGTATGGGAGATTGATTTCTCAAAAAATTGAAAAGTGTCACATTATTAAATGAATGTCATTTAGCTTAAACGGTGTTAATTTCTTTAAAAAAGTATTAAGCAAATACTTACCTATGTGACGCTGCTTTAGAGATTTGGCGACAAATTTGTTTAACCTGATGACCCTGAAAGAAAGAGGATACATTTTTTGTGCATATTATTTCCTCATTGTTTCCGTTGTGAATCAAAACTTGATCAAAGCAAACACATCAGGAATTGATGTACATAATTGTGCAAAGTAGGATAAGTCTGAGGCGATATTTATTGATTTTTCGGTAAGGTAAAGATAAGTAAAATTAATTAAAATTACTAAATTAACCTACACGATCTTTCGTTTTATTAAATATTGTTACGCTTATCGAAATATCAGTAACTTTGTGGACATGATTGAAGTTGTTGTGTTATTTTTAATTAGTTGTGGCGTTGTTGTTCTGATCATCGTTGCAGGTCTTTGTAAATTTAGGATTCACGGCATTGTTGTCATCTACACAAAATCAAACATGATGTTTTTTGCAATTTTCGAAATAAATTGTTACTTTTTTAGTACCAAGTGATGTTATGGTTGTTTGTTGTTCGATAAATTTGGCAGCTTTCACTTTTCCTTGGTGGCGATATAACCAGGCTAAATTCTGGAGGACTTTTGTTACTTGAGGTGCATGGTAAAGCAGCTCTTCTGTAAAATGGAAATCTTGGGTTGTCTCATTTTCTTCAATTTGGTCTGCAATTTGCCATACGGATTGGTGATCATCTAAAAAATATATATCATAGAGGTACTCAAATTTAGTTACATATGCCATTATTATTATTACATATGCCATATTTCATTCCCCGTCTGCGCGCCAACCGAGGAGGATTTGCTCTTGCACGAGCTCTCCTAAATTTATTTATATTATATTAATTTTAACTAAATTTAATTGGTAATAACATTAATTTTAATTGGCAATGTGCGAAAATCGTTCTTTATCAAGCTGGTCAACTATTCCAGTCAAAATTTGTTTATTAATTCTTTATTTTAATGTGTTTTTTTTACAATCTGAATTACCACGCGGCCTCTGTCCCTCACTCCTCGGTTGGTTGGGGAATCAAAAATTGGTTTGTATTTCAAAATTTAGTTGGTTTTTTGTGCATTTTTCCAACACAATTTATAATTTAAGTAAGTTATTAATTAAAATTTGTCAATTGGTTAAATATTGGATTATCTTATATGTATCTAAATTTTACAAACATTACTAGTCTTGGTATGCAACCAACATAGTCGCGCCAGTAGGTAGCGAGTTAGTTTTGTTTTGTTCATCTAGTTAAATTTATAATTTGACGTTGTTGACGGTAGTAGTAATGGCTTAAATAGGATGTAAGCTCACGAAAATAGGCTAGTGTGCTATGCTAAATTCATTTTTGTGCATTCCCTAGTACTAGTAAATGAGGATAATAAAGGCTATTATTATTATTATTATTATTATGCATTCAGCATAATACGTATATGTATATATGTAGGTATGCATATAACATTTCGCTGTAATAATCTAGAAAATTCACGCAAAGCTTTGTGAATTTTGTGACTGGATCAAGCTTGATCAAGATATTTTCATAAATTTCGTTACATCTTAAAAATTTTTGAAACGTTTTTTTTTAAATTTTGTGAAGCTCGTATGTATTCAATAATTGCGATAATTAACTCTTATATTTCCAGCCCAGGCCCAGTGCAGTACCGAGATAATTTTTTTAAATTAAACAGTTTAAAAAGTTGGCTTGAAACAGTGTATGAATATGTTTTACATACCCTCAATGTGACCAAACCCTCTTTCACTCTCACGTGTTAATATTTCTTTATACAAAATCTCTGCCTCTTTAAATTTCTCCTGGGCGACATAACAGGACGCCAAGTTGTTCTTGGTTTTTGCAATTCTCACATTAAACGGTTTTAGTTTGGAAGAGTACATTTTCAATGCTCTGTTGTAGTGCATTTCTGCTTCGTCATATTTGTCCTATTACAGGTACATAAATATTAATTAAGCAACGTTTTATAAATGAAATAAAAATACATACTTTTCCTCACCAAGAGTAAATCCATATTGGCCAAACGATTTAGCTGGTCAGCAATTTTTAGGTCATTTTTGTCTAAAATTACCTCCAGAATGTCTAACGCTGTTTTGCAGGAGGATTTAGCATCGATATAATTTCCACATGCTGCATACATTTTGTACAAATCGTTTAATGTTGCAGCCACCTTGCGTAAGTTGTAAGTGTTGATGAGTTAATTAAAGTTTGGTGAAAAAATTGGTTAAACATGAATTTACTTTGTGTGTGTACCGAGAGATTATATTTTCCTTGTGTGTGCTCCTTGATGGCGAAGACATCTTTTAAAAGGTTGACTGCTTCTTGGGGGTGATTCTGTTCTCTAAAGTATTTCGTATGCATTTTACTCATCCCATTTTTTTAAGATTTGTGAAATTGTGGAGAAAGTTGTACCTATAAACTGACGCGAGTACTGTCAAAACCGTGGCTTGGTCTTCATTAGGGCCATATTTGGTGGATGTTAGTGTTTCCATATTCATTTTCCGCATCGGAACTATAGCCTCGTACCAGGTCTTTTCCACGAATTGGACAATGACGTGATGCAAACATGGTGCCAAACTCTCTCGAAGGATTGGTTCTGGAGTCGTCAGGGTCAATTTAGAGGTCAAAGATTGTAACAGAACTTTATCTTCGTCTTTTTCAGACTTGTCGGCATCCATGGTTTCGAACAAGGCAAGCTCCAACTCATAAATACTTTGATATCTGTTCAACTTTGAGTATCTTGTCGCCCGATGAATCACTCTCGGTACGTCGTTTAGCACGGGATGTTCCCGAATTGAAAGAATTATTCCTTTTTTGACGTCTAAAAATTTTGCCTTTCTTTCCAACGGGGTAATATTTTCTAATATTTCACAGATTATGAGACCCAACGAGTAAACATCGCTTTGAGTGGATGGTACATAATTTATTATTATTTCAGGAGCCGTGTATTCGTTCATGATTCTGTCACTTTTGGACCCATAAGACTCGAACACGTTATCGCCAAGTTTTACCGGTAACTGGAAATCACCGCGTATGTCGGATCTCGTAAATAAAATGTTTTCCGGGGTGAGATTACCGTGAACGATTTTCTTAGAGTGGAGGAATTTTAGACCGGATATGATATCTCGAACGATTTGTGCTTGCAGTTTCGCAGTGTCAAAGGTTACTTCACTTTTGGTGATGGAATTGTTGAGCCAATATCGTAATGAAGGACCACAGAGTTCCGTCCGGATGCACATTGTTTCTAATTCTGTTTGACTTCCGTATTTTTTGAGCAACTTTTTAACATTTTTGCCCCCAGCGTAGCTGAAAATCCCCTCCAACTCGGCCGTATTCCAGGTATGGCTGAATATTTCGTACACTTTGACAACGTTGGAGTGAGACTTGCCCCACATCAGAGGACATTGTACGACTTGGGGGTCACTTTGTTCGGGCGAAGGTGGGAGAATAATTTTTAAGGCAAAGAATCCTTCATTGTTGTAAATTTTGAAGGTTGAACTGTGACTCGTGTTACCAGTGGAGCCCAAAAATTCCCAGGGTGTGCCAGGATTTGACATTTTGTATGTACGATTTTCTAATGAATAGTCAAGAGAGTATAAGCGAAATGTGGGTAGCATGCAGCTGGCTTTTCATTTACAGAGAACAAGCATGTTTATCTGTATCCTTATCACAAATATTTAGCTTATCGCATTTCATTGAGATTAATATAGGGCAATAGGAAAATTCATAGATACATATTTATATAGATACGCAAACGTATGCATATATGGAGGGTAGAAGTGTGGCTTAAATATGAAATTTTATAATGTATGCATTTATGTAGATTGTAACGATAAGAGAGGGAAGTATTAATAGAAATTTATGTGTACAGGTTGCCATGGTAACGCATGTTATTGATGTACGATCTAAAGAATACAGATTATGTACATGTATGCTTAAATAAAAAGACTTTATTACCAATTAAGACATACATAAACGAGTTATTGTGTCTACGTATTTTATGTCAAGTTAGCGTTAAAGTTAAAGCAATGACGAACTTGAGGTTGTCGTAAGACTCGTAAATATCAGTATGTATGTGAAACTATTTCAATTATTTTTAGCAGAAATTGCTACATACGCACAAAAGAGAAGACATCCCAGGAGATTCTACATATTATTTCGAAAGCGTATTTATTTACCACGCAAATTTGTCATTCCTATGTTGCTCAACAACTCTCCATTGTTGCTGAGGTTTTATAACGTGCACACCACGGAGCTGATCGACGACATGACCCCTAAGAAACTCTTCATCATTTCGAAAATAAAATGTCGTCGGATCTTCGGTATCCTCAACTTTGAAGAAGATTTTTTTTAATTGTGTCCACAACCTTTTGCTTGCTCTGGTCATTTTATGCCCACAATTTCTTCCTGATCGTGACTGACAATAAAGTCGGAGAGTGAAAAAGTAAATTATTTCCAGTATGCTGATAGCACTGAATCCCATGCAGAGACCAAGAAGACCACCAGTGCTTGCTAAATAAATGCATATGCGTGTAAATCGAGCTACTCTGATTATTAAACAATTCATCTGCTATAGTTGCATATGTACTTACAAAGTAGATCGATAAATCCATACAGCTCTTTCCTTTGCTTCGGGTATGTCGTGTCGGTTAAATAGTGGACGTGAAGAATTGACACGTTCTGATTTACCCTGCACGATACAATTTAACATGTTTCATCGAAATTTAAAATTTTGGTATTTTTTAAATCAACCATGAAGCATTGGTTCGATTTGGATACTCCCAGAGAGGAATGTCAGTCCTCATCGGCATGAAACTTGTGGTCATTTTGAACTCAATGTCATTGCATGTAGGCCGGCACATTTTGCACCGATCTTGCAACCCCTCTTTTAAAAGTTTCCCTGAAATTTAGTATTAAATTTGACTGAGTTTTTTTAATGATTTCATAAACATTTATCGCTAGGATCATTTACTTACGAATAATTTTCTCCGAACAGTTGTATTTTTTTACTCCGCATATTTCTTGAATTTCGCTTCCTAAAATAAGTATTAACGTAATTTTACAGCGTAAATTGGTCATTTACCAAGTAGAAACGATCTTACTCGGCATGTAATAGCGAATGCAGTCGCATTCCTTAAACGTTAAGTTGGCAATACATTCGTTTTCACAGTTGGATAGAGTATAGTATTTGAAGTATTTTAGGGAGAATTCTTGTCCAAAGTAACAATTGCGTTTATCCTGTAAAAAATAGGATTTAAATATCTCAATTAATATTTTTTGGGATTTATAATTTCGCAGGGAAGATTCGGAAATTACTCAACGGGAAGTTGAGAATTAGCATCTTAAATTAGAAAGTTAGTTAAGCAGTGATCAAACTATATATGCAAATTAGTGTCATAACCATGCAAAAATTTGTGAGATTTATCATTTTTCATGCAAAAAGTAAATACGTACAGTCAATGGAAAAAGTATTGGCAACCCCCACGCCAACTAAATAAAATTGGCGATATCATTGGAATGCATTATACAATTAGCATGAAAATTTGTACGTATTTAACAAATATAATGTAGTTTTCGATTATAGTCATGTTTTATTGATTAAAATTAGATGGACACAGGTTTTAAATAATTTGTTGGAAAATTTGCAAAATTAACCCGCAAAAAGTATTGGCACCCTCTAACTTAAAAAATTATAAATCAAAGAAACGCCAATTTTATTGCGACAAACTGCTTCTAGTAATACATATCACCTTCCCTCGACGCAGTACGAGCAGAAATACGCATTGGAATTGATTCGAAAGGTCTTTTAATAACACTTTTTGACATGGCTGCCTAATTTTTTTTCGAAATTTCGGCCAGCTCTTTTTTCGACGAGTGGTTTTCCACCAGTCTCTCCTTTCTGTACCCGGACAGTAAGATTCACATCGGGAGACTGTGCAACCAACGAAAGAAGCTTAAACTCTTAGGTCTCCAAAAACTTGCATCGTTAATTGGGGTAGCTGTTTTGGGTCACAGCATTTTTGGAATATTAAATTCCTGCCCATGTCAGGTTTTTGCCAAATAATTTCAAATTATCGTTTGGAATAATTATTTAGACCTTATTGGTCATGAATTCATCGATAATGACCAGGTAACTACGCCACGACCTAGTCATTTAACCCCAAACCATAATCGATCCTCCTTCGTGATTGACTCCCAGACGGCAGCATTCATTTTTGAGAGCCTAATTTTGCATCCTCCAAACTCTAACCATCCAACCCGCACCCAATAAGTTAAATTTACTTATGTGAGACCTCTAGACCCTTCTTCATCCATTGGAAGTCCATTTAGGGTGATATTTAGCTGATTTAAATATCTTGAGTTGGTTCGTTTTGGGGGCCTTCTCTTCTATCGGGCTACTGGACCCTGAAACCCCATTGTATGATTTTTGATTGATCACAATATTGTATTTAATATTGACTCCATAATTGGTTCTCAAATTCTAATTGGTTTTGGGTGTTGAAATCTTCCGATTTCAAGTAATTTGTTGCTTGATTCATCAGCTACTTTTGGGCGTAGGTGACTTTTTTTCTTTCCCATCATGGAAAAGTAGAAACTAAAATTGTCATTTTATATTTTTTGGCTACATTTCCAACAGTAAATATGGAAAACTATGTTTTCTCTTTGATTTTTCGATATCAAAGTTTTTTGCGAACAAGAATTGATTATTTCTCGCCGCGTCAAATAGAGCTCGTTTGGTGTCGCCATTTTGGTTCCAGACAACACAATTGCGTACTAAAAATGTAGCTAACGTCATATTTTGTCACCTAATTAACTTACCGTAATGAGTCGCGGTAGGTGGTTACGAAAATTGTTTCGCGTAATTAATTGTGCCACATGTTGCCAATACTTTTTGTGGGTTAATTTTGCAAATTTTCCAACAAATTATTCAAAAACCGTGTTCATCTAATTTTAATCAATAAAACATGACTATAATCGAAAACTACATTATATTTGTTAAATACGTACAAATTTTCATGCTAATTGTATAATGAATTCCAATGTTATAGCCAATTTTATTTAGTTGGCGTGGGGGTTGTCAATACTTTTTCCATTGACTGTATGTATGAACTTACTATAAACTGCAACAGAATTAGTATGCACTGTGAGGTCTAAATATTTTAATTGTGCAATAATGACTTGCCAATCATGAAATTATTCATCCATTTTGAGACGTGTGTAGTATGAATGCTATTAACATGATACGTGTCTAAATTTAGGAGAATTTTCGAATTTTCCCTAAATTAAATTATTTCTCAAGCCATTCCATCCTTACCAATGGAAAGCCTTGAATTTCACTTCCAGCCGTGACAATGTCGGGTTCGATTTTGAGATATGTTTCAGTATTCGGTTTAATGGGGACTCCTTTATCGGCCACGTTCGGAAAATCGAAGGGAAGATGAGCCAATGCCTAAGAATACCAACTCTATTATCTAATTACCAGCAATTACAGGGTAAAATATTTATTAAATAAATAAGTCTCGCCATGAATCCAACGGAATCAGTATTCGTGCAGAAATAGCTTTCCTCGTCCGGATTCAGTAGAACTGAGAGTCCAGTTGATTTCCCAGGTCGACGTTGCCTACGCGGAAATCTCGGTAGCGTTCCAAACTTTTGCATATATTCGTTTTCAAATGTCCCATCCTCGTCGAGGATAATGTTGTCTGTATCCAAACTAAGGGATTCCCATTCCTCAATTCTGGCTTGGTTGTCTCGTGAATCATTTCTTTAAAATAGTGTGAAGTACATCAAAACAGCAAACAGCTTACGTAATCTATTTGGCTAAAAAATTACCTCAAATTCATCAACAAAGACATCGGAACCATATTAAAAACGCAGCAGTAGCCGAAATCCGTCTCAATTTCTTCAAATAAATGGCTACATTTCCTAACTTCACCTCCCCACATGCAGAGAAGAATCATCTCGTCACATTTTTGGGCCACCTGCCAAAAGTGGATTGGTCATTTATAATTAATTTGCATACAAATATAAATTTGTGTAGTATTTGTATTTGAATATTTTTGTATAAAAATTGTAAATTTTTATAATTTGTTTGTATTTGTCATTACATCTCTCAATAAATAATTAAAAGTAGCAGAATTCGTCCCAAAGGGGAGATTTCGACTGGCTTTGAATTCGATGACTTGTCGAATGAGATCCCTCCGCACAGCACCTCGATTGAGGGAAAGGTTGAAAGAATCCTTGAATGTTGAGGAAGATTGACAAATGTGGTTCAATCTGTAGAGATCACTGTTGATCTGCGCATCCGTCGGATTTGCAATCAGTCGACTGTAACGGAATACAATTAGTTGGACTGATAGTTTTCTAGAATCTCGAATTCACAGTTGATTATTAAATCATAATCATTCAGATGCGAAAATGCATGATATTTACATGTTAATGACTTAAATATTACTAACTTTTCATACTCCTCGGCCTTCGATTTCTGCACATTGTTCGTGTTGCAGATAGTGATTGCAGGAAATGGCAAGAGATTAATTCTAGTATCCTTTGGTTGGAACACCGTGATGACTGGGGTGAGGCGATACTTCTCCCAGATTTGGAGGATCAAAATTACCGCAACCGACATAGAAGTGATAATTGCGATTAACCAAAAGACTCTGGAAATTTTAAAATTGTTTAATAAAAGTTTCAGAAATAGATTTCTATGAATTCGTCACCTTTCCACAAAATGACGCTTCGGTTGTCCCATGAACCGGAAGCCGTGTAAGCTGCTATCTATGCAGTACTGCGAGGTCGGTTCCCACCAGTCCATATCTTTCAGAAGTACCCCATCCGTTACTTTAAGGTCAAACTGAGGCTGCATTTTCATTTTTACTTAATTTTAATGTAAATATATAATACCAAATTCAAGACATATTCAAATTGTGAGGCTCACGCACCATGTCCAAGTTCTAGACTAAGGTCCCGTTATAAATTCAATTAGGATAAAGGTTCGAAACTCAATCATAACTCGAAACCGCAAAAGAATAAATCAGCCATGACGACTTTTTATTTCATGTATAGCAAGAGTGGTGGACATAGTATGTATGTAGAAGTTAATAACTTTGTATTAGATTCTGTAGTCCAAACTTGATTCAAGATTTCGTTCATACTAGTCTATCAGTCCATGAATTCCTACATACATTACATACTCATATTCGTACATGAGGGCGATAAATTGCTATTTCGTGACAATCTGTGCCGACCAGTAGTCTATGACGATTCAGAAACCATATTGCATGACAAAAAAAGTTATATATTTTGCGGTTGGTCATGTTTTCCCCTAACTTTCACTGTGTAACCACATGAAGAAGTACAAACTCACTCCACGCACTTCTGTATTTCATTTATGACATAGTCGGAAGTATGAATATGATGTGAATAATTGAGGTTGTGGTGCCTATTTTTTTGCTTGACTATGTGTGTAGGATTTTGCTACGTTGATGGAGTTATCGTTTCGTTGAGACACATAGATACATATGTACGCAAGCTTTCAAAATAAATAATTTGCACGTACATACGTGATGCAAAAAAGTATGTGTAAATGTAAATAGAAGTAAATACATATTTATTCTGGGTGATGGCTCTACTATTTTGATACTACCCTTACAGATATTGTTGTAAAGGAATGATGGAAAGCGACATCCATAGCTTTCTCCATTTCATAAAATTATGCATTTGTTCATGCATTTACTTAACTTTCATACAATATAATTTAAGACAGGATTTTTCGTCACCTATGTACAAATATGTAAATTCTTCATCGTGGCCATGTGTAGTTGTTTTAGTTTTATGCATTTAATAAGTGCATATGGTCAAGTTTAAGAACAATTTTCATATATTTCAAAATTCACCAAAATAAACATTTAAAAAACTTTAAACCCACTCGAACTTGAATCCTCTCCTGACCTCGCTAGAGTCAGATCTAAAAGTGACGATACCAGCGCCTTCAATAAGCGTGAGAGAAGGAGGAATAGTTGTTCCACAAAATCTGAAAATAATATATTTCGTAATCTTCAAATTTCATCATTCCTTTTGGAAAGCTTTTCATGAAAATTTTTGCAAATTTTTGCACGACAAAATCCATAAAAATTTTGCCACTCACCTTGACACCTCGATATAATTGTTATCGAACCAATTAAAGATTCGAACAGAGTCGTATGAGCAGTTTCCTTCGAACTCGAGCTCCACAAAGGTGAATCGCAATGTGGGGCGTCCTGGAACCGAGGGGGCGATAACGAACAAGGCATTCTCACTGTTCCTGTAGTTTCCGCCGTCTTCGGGGTATGAATAATTTCCCGCGGTAGCGGTCAGCTCGGTGTACCCGGTCAGAACTGGACCGACGTATGACCCGGATGAGAAATACGTCAAGGAGAATCCTCTCGTAGGACCGTGACCGACACTTAAGGTCACCATGACCAAATCGCTGGTAAGGGTATGATTCTGACCAACGGTTGAGCTAGAAAAGTAATTTTTAGAATTGAGGATCCTGAGGCAATGTGATGCATTAATATTGGGGTTGAGAGATTACAGAATTATAAAGTTTGAGGTGATATAATTAAACAAAAACAAGGGACAATTTGATAAATACACTAATTTTTCCCTTTACATTTTAATTGGTGGTCCAACAACTCCTAACATATACGTGGATACAAATAGTCCATCGTTTTCCCCAAGTCCGGTTGACGTGAGGCTAAACCGTTGACGATTAAGGGGAGGTTTAACAAGCCATATGCATCTCTGGTCAGCTCTGATAGAACCTCCGACCTGAAGGTCGATCTGAGCGGAGGATGCGTCAATTAATCCGCCGCATGTGATAACTGTTAATTAATTAAAAATTAAATGATCACTTTAAGTTTAACTAGTTTAATTAGTTTAATGAATTTAACTAGATAATTCTTTTTCTAGTATCTGTTTTAAATTTTATAATACGATTTCGACAGAATATGACTTGATACTAACGGATCAAAAGCGCACAAAATTTGGATTTGGATTTTTACTTTTTGTAACTGGAGCAGGATCCTCCAGTGTTTGTACGGGTAATTGTGGCGCAGCTACAAAAAATATGATTATAATTAGCGACGCAATCTTAAATACTGTGGAGTTTTAAACTTTACGTAAATCTTAATTTACCTGAAACTGCTATCACTAAAAAGAAGAAAATTAAACTTGTGACGGAATTCATTTTATGAATAAGATTAGAAATTTGAGACTACTTAAATAATTGAGTAATTAAGCAGAATTGAAAGAATGATCAATTTTGGATTGGTGGATCGGTTTATAAATGAGCGTGGGAGTGACGTTGAATTTGATAAGGTAATTGCTTTTCGGTGTCGTCAAGTATTTTGTTGTGATGAATTGAATTGATGACGCAATGGGAGCTAACGTTATACATATGCCATTCGAGTGTTTTACATAGTCGAGAAAATTGAGCATCAAGTGATGTACCTATGTAAGTTGACAGGTTAATGGAGAGAGACTCTCTCCATTAACCAATTGAGACTCTCTGAGAGAGTCTCAATTGGTTGATCCACCGTCACATTATTGGGATTTCGGAACCTTTTGCAGGTTATGGTGAAACCCAGTTTCAATTCGAGTTGTGCATATTTCGCAATTTGTGTTACCTGTTGTGCTTTGTCACATATGTATGAATTTAATTGGTGATTAATTATCTTGATTGCTGACCCGTTACACGGTCGCATCGTTATCAAAGTGAAGAATAAATGCATAGAAAATTCAGAAGTGAATAAGTTACAAACTCGTCAGTATTTAACACATCTTACAGAAGTATATAAAATTAAAGTGAGATCGAGTAACTCATGGATATTTCAGGATATATTTGTATGATTTAACTGTAGTTGATCCTTAATATTCCAAAATTCTTGTCTACATACGTATGTACTTACCTAAATACATGTCGTGGAACCACAGAATTCGAAATAAATTTTGAATATATTGTAATTAAGTATATAATTGCCTTGGGAGAAAAGTTTATGTGATTATTTTCGCCCTATGTAAATAGTACTGCTTCAATGCTTTCTTTCTCGCATTTGATACATTAACTTTTGCAGTTAAATTGCTGATATCATATTTTAAAAGTTAATTTAGACATTATTCTTGGTGAATTTTGTATTCTGGAAAGAACACTTTGTTAGTTTGAAGTAATTTACATGCATGCATTTCCATCGGGTAAGCTATCCACAATCTGCCCGGCTGCAGAGGTTATCACGAGGGTTGTAATGGCTGGATTCAAGGATTATCTCTGGTAGAAGCAACCTTAAAATATACATCAATAAAAACCATGTTATCAAAGCGTTAGAACGAAATTATAGTGATGATTTCTGAATTAAATTTGGAAATTTTGATCAATGTGCATAAATCTGTCAATTATCTATGTAGATAGCTTAAATAGCTACCTTATCAGCTGCCCCACCCACCCAGGCTGGACTCCCTTGAACTCCTGCGTTGTAAAAACATGATTTATCAGCTTCAAACTTTGTGGAAATTTAAAAAATATAAGATAAGTATTTATTACCATGGTTCAGTGACATGACCAAGAAAATCAGAGCGATTGCGATGAATATGTAAACTCGTGCCATTTTTGATGCTAATATGTGTACCAATTTGGTTACCTAACTCGGCGTGTAGATTATCAACAAACTGCTTCTACAAATTAATGATGCTTCCCACATACATTACCTTCCCTTTTATATCTGATCTGTAAAGTCAAGTAGTCCACAAAAATGTAAATCATGACGTCAACGGATCAAAAGTAATCCTAAATAAATTTCAAATTCCCTGGAAAATCTAATACAAGGATTTGATAAAACTCATTTTACCCAAAAGTAAAGTCAGATCTAATCAGTATATTAACCTGTCATAAATACCAAATACTTGTGAATTTATCACACTATGCAGGCTTGCAGATGACACATTGTATACTTTGATTAGCTCAAAGAGTGGCTTTGTATGTAGCTCGAGTGTCTAGCTGATTTACTTAAACATTTCTATCCGAAAATTTATTATGCAATGTGTAAATATGTAGAATTTGGTCATGTATCTCATTTAAATAAAATGCAATATAGAAACTGTCTAACAGATATCCATTACAGTATCACTGGGTTGAATTAACTGCATGAATATATTGAGTATCTAAGCCGATGGATTTACATATGCACTTATTATACGACATACATATTTACATATGTATACATAATCCCCTCTTTAATCAATAATAAATAATTACAGAAAATCCCCAGAAAATCAGACAATGTCAGGTTTTCCAGATATTTATATAGTGGTATTGTGATCCCTGCATTAGTTGGGATTAGGCATTCCACCTAAAACTTTGACACGTGTATGTATGTAGGTATGTATTTGTAAATAATGAGGTGATTCACGCAGTCACTGGGCATTCATGCAGATTCATGCATTTTACAAATTAAAAAGACGACCGTGATCTGAGAAATGTTGCAAAAATTTGTAAGCTAATTTTGTAAAAACTTTTAAGTTTGCAGAATTTACGGGTTTTACGAAGGACAATGTGAATTGCCTCATTACGTTCTATGAATCTATTTATCAGTATTAACCGATATGATTCTTACTAATACTTACATCTATATATGTAAATGTATACATGGTGGGGTTTAATACTATGGAAGTTATTACAGTTTCCATCCTGACAAACAGCGCTGGGAATTAATCGAGATTAAGCAATGTATTGGCATTACAGAGATTAAAATTAAGATTAAGATTAAAAATTTAAACACATTGGTTAATCTCGATTAATTCCCAGCTCTGCTGACAAAGTACTCGGGTGATAAAACACTGCAGCAAAATAATTTGCATCCAGTGCGTGAAAGTTAAGGATGGTCCCACTTACATACGTATTCGTCATATGTACATATGTATTTAATTTAAATATGTACATACAAGCGCAGAAGAGTCACACAAAATATTTGTTTCTTAAAGGACTGATTTCACAATATAGATGTACACAGTATTTTTTCTTATGGTTAGTAAATAAGAAAATCAAAATTATATATTAAGATAAGTCACGACATATTTATTTATTTACAAGATTTACGTGCATATCCCATTTTTTGAATGCATAAAAATTAATGCATCTAAGCATTGTACATCTCATATTTCTTCACTTCGTTCATTTCGCCCATGACTTATCCTTACCAAGAAATTCTTAATGATTACCGCTGCCAAACAAAACGTTCGCTGGTGATGATTAGATACATATTACCAATCCGTTGTAGGCAAAAGATTTATGAAAATATTAACGAAAATCACTGAATGTTGAGATGCTCTCAAGCTAGAAAATATATGAAAGTACCTATGTATTTAGATATTAAAAATAATATTTTACAAGAAGCCAATAAGTACACACAAGTATCTACATACAACCATATTTAATATCTTGTCGGTTAGGATAGGTATCCGAACTTAATGAAATACTTATTTGTCATGCAACGTTTTTCTTTGGTTCCGGCTAATCATCAAGATTACCCCGTCTTAACATCTCTTCTCTGACTGACTCATCCTCGATGAGGTCCACTTATGTAACAACAACATCATATTGATTGCTTGGGCCTACCCTCATTTCATTTCCTTTCCTGAGACTGAGAATATTACAGATATTGCATCTCAAGTTGGTTTAGCTAGTTTACTCAAGTCCGTCAATATCATCATGTCGGACGAACTGGATAATGTTATTAGTTATCCAGAGGCAAGAATGTCTTCATCATTGATCTCCGATGGAAGCGTTGGGGGTGGCGGACATGAAACCCTTGAATTAAATAAACTTTCACCATCTTCACCTTCAAATGTGGGAGACATTGACCTGCAAGGAGGTCGCCGTTTCGGAGCGAAAGGAATTTTAGGGGCGGTGGTGACATGTGCGTTACTGGTCATCCTGATTTTAGTAGTGATTTTCAATGGAGGCAACGAAACTCAACAGGCACCCAATTCGTCTCCACCTACTCCTGTCGATAATCACGCGTTGCAAGTTTTGGATTACACTTCAAACTCTTCACGCACAAGAACGGAACAAATCCATATGACCACGCCTACCATTAAAGCGGCCAGCACGACGAGACAGCCTGTGGCATCTCCCAGTGGCACGAATCCCATAACGACCAGACCACCGTTAAGTACTTTGATAACTGAAATCCCTAAGGGAAAGGTAATCATGACAAATGACGACATGGGTTGCGGAATCGTGGATACAATAACACTGAAATATATTTATGTATGCATGTATGTAAATACTTAGGAATGCGCTAAGTCCATTTCAGTAATAGCATTGCAAAAAAATTGAACCGTTCCCCAGCCCATGAATGACGACATATTTTAAAATTGAAAATTGTTAAGGTCGCTCTAACTGATAACTATTGCTAAAAGGAGGACGAGCATAGCCGTTGCCAAACTTCTACTTGTAAAGCTGTAGCATGGTTGAAATCCTCCATGGGTGTGGATGAGTCATTCGACCCGTGCAGTGACTTTTACCAGGTGAAATTTTTTAAATCGCTCAATAGCATGTGCATATCATAACTGATTGCTTATACATATTCTTGTATTCACTCAAGTATTCTTGTCGTGGATGGATCGTAGAACATGCTGCCAAATTGAAGAAGGAGAAAGCAAATTCAACCAACGTTTTGAGCGAGATTGACCAAGAAAATATAAAACTGGTTACGAAATTGATAGGTAAGTGGATACATATGTATCTAGGTAAATACTTATAGAATCACTATCACTAGGGGCGGAAGTAGGGGGACAGGGGGACATTCCCTCCAGCAAGTTAGTAAAATCGTATCTTATCCATGTTAATAAGTTCATCCTCCTCCTATCCCACAATGCTATGTCCCCCCAACTTCCGCCACCACTGATCACTGCAAGTTTAGAAACAGCATGTTACATATAGTATTTAATATATGAAGTTATACATATTATTGTCATATTTTTACAGAAGGCCTCCGGACCCGATATGGTGCCGAAGGAAAAGCGAAACTATTCTACTCTTCGTGCAACAATAACCCACTTCTCAAGCCGATCATGGATACGTTGATGTCCAAAGCGAAGAGTAATTCTTATAGTGCATCCACTCGCCTAGGGTCTGAATCACTACACAGAATTCGCAACATCAAGACTTGGGGTTGGATGTTCAAGGATTTACTTGAACCTCAATTCCCATTTTTTGATGATGACGCCAGAAAACTTACATTCTTGGTTGGACCAGAACGATCCTACCCCCAAGCGTGCACCAGTTTTACTCGTGAACTCTTTCCCGAAATTCTTGCCAAGCTTTTTATCCTACACCATTACGATATAGATCAAGGTGAAAGTGTGACAGATTTGACGAGCAAAATCTGGAAGACGTTTAAATCAAAGATGGTTGACTCGACAGATTGGATTGACGGTGTCAATTCCAAGTTGAATATTAGCTCAAGTATCGGCAATTTGAGTACGATCGTTGGACTCCTTGGTCACATTATGAACGAAACTGCGATGGATGCCAGATATGAGAATGTATCAATATATGGATACCATTCATCCTTTTTGAACAACTTGAAGCAGCTTCTGCGTATGAGAACTGAGGCGGAGCTGGACATTGAATTAGAACGAAAATTTGACGAGTCTACATCCCGAGCTAATGCATTTTACAATAGTCTTTTGAACAACATCTTTATTCCGGCGGGGATCATCCGAGCGCCAATATTTGATCATGAGTTTCCGGATTTATTAAAATTCTCAAAGTTGGGGAGCACATATGGCCACGAATTGGCACATTCTTTAGATCCATACATTAACGGAATAGGACTGAAAGGCTATTTTTTGAGCCAGAATTATTCTTCAGGAATTTTTGCCAATTTGTGAAATCTTAATTTAATTTGCAGATGAGTCAGGAGTGTTTATTGAATTTCTAAAATCTGTCGTAAACCAACGTACCAGAGACAACTTTGCAGAAAAATGTGCATGCGTTGAAGCGCAGTATAATGTATTTCACGTCCCCCTTCCTCCAGGCTATGAGAACACCACACTCGTCGTAAACGGGACACTCACTTTGAAAGAAAACGTCGCGGACATTATTGGTATGCAGGTTGTATTTGACTCTTTCGTAGAAAATATGGGGTCGTCCGTACCATAAATACCGCCCGGACTGGAAAAGTTTACTTGGCAGCAAATATTCTTCATAGCAAGTGCTCAAGTATGTATAAATCGCACTAATTTTTTAATTCAGCATATTTGTATACCGTCGTATTTATTTCCGAATAGGAGAAATGTCACTCTTATGTAAACGATGAGATGGAGATGCTTCTTTTGAAGGAACAGGTAGAAAAAGACCCCCACAGTCCTAGCTCAATCCGGGTCCTTGGTACTTTCAGCAACAATGACGAGTTTGCAAAAGCGTTTAACTGTCCGGTAGGATCACGATATAATCCAGAAAAGAAGTGCAGATTCTTTGTGCCCACTGCGTTTTAATGCGGATTGGTAAAACGAAAAATTTTCAGATACTGCTCGCCACCACTGCAGATATTTAATTGATTAATAAGTTGTTTTCGAAATTTGTCAATTTCAATTAGCCAAATTTTGCTTACGTTGAAATGTAATATATGTAACGCGTGGTTTATGTTTTGTACATAATTTTTTGCCTTTTATATTCAGAAGACCTTTGTTTGGAATAGTTTGGATTTTTACGTTGGGAATTTTTTAATAAAAACAATATACATATTTCTGTACATATCCATCAGGTTAATTTTTGTACGTATTTTACTGGCAAGCTGTATATCTATTTATGTATTAAGTGTCATCAAAATTGTCCACCTTCACCATGTCATCTCAAATCATCTTATCATCATCGAAGTCATCTTTTTGCAATCCAATCCTTGCCTTATAAATCTTTAAGCATAATAAAAGTTCACACACACAACATTGCATAAAACATGTATAAAAATTCTGTGCATAAGATTGCTGATTTTTACGTTGGAAGATTGTTGACGTTCACGTGTAAGGTGCGTATATACAAATGATTCACAAATTCACACACATACCTAGTCAGGTACGAAATTCTTTGATAAACGTTTTTTACTACAGAAAAATAACGGGTAAGAATTTTTAATTACAATTTTTCACATGGATGCATAATAAACCTGTGTATAACATAAAAATACTAAATATCCAAATTTCCTCTTCTGGAGCACACAAACTTACAAAATCTGATGGTAAACCGATCGCCTGGATTACGCACGGTTTCCCGTGGAAACTTATCACAAGCCTTGCGTAAATTTAACAAGGAAAATTAAAGAATTTGCACTAAGTAAAAATCATACATACCCCTGGCAAATAGAAAACGTCGAAGATCTCATCCCCCTAAGTCTGTGATGGTTTGGATTTGAATTAATCTGCCGGAGGAAGCGAAACCCTGCTTTTCTCTAGAAAGGGTTACAGCGCAAGCCAAGAATTACATTACCAAAGTTGCCAAACTTAGTGTAAAACCTTTGAAGTCCGGCCTATTGAAAAATAAAAACTGAATTTCTTAAAAGGTCACGGCTCAGCCATATGGTGCAAAAATTGTCCAAAATTGACTATGAGCTCATTTCATCGATTTAATTTGGTCACAAAAATGCCATCGGTAATAGCAGACCTTAATCATCTGGATTTTGACTTGGGGCGTAAAATTGAGACCATGGCCTGCTCTAAAACTTCCACTGGTGCAGAAGTTCTCAAATTTTGCTTCTCAACGCTTGTGACCATTTTCCGGTAGAAACCGCGCGTGCTCCAAGCGACCGGCCGTCCATCAGATTTCTCAAGCGTGTGTACTCCAGGAGAGGAAATTTGGAAAGGTAGTATTTTTATATTATACACAGGTATATTATGCATCCATATGGGAAATTTTAATTAAAAATTCTTACCCGTTATTTTTCTGCAGTAAAAAATGTTTATCAAAGAATTTCGTACCCGACTAGGTATTTGCCCCACATTCGCTTAATGACCTTTCCTTGGACTTTGCCACTTAAATCTAAACTGATATTATTTTTACAATGCCAGCAACCCCGTTCTCAGAGACTGAGGACGCGTGTGAATAAACATATTTATGCATGTATTAATAAGATGTATATGTGCATGTGTAAGGTGCGTATTTATGTATGTACATGTGCATACATGAATACGCACCTTACACACAATTTCAACAATCTTCCAACAACAAAGTCAATATGCAGCATAGATTATGCAATGCTTTGGTATTTTCTGGTTTTCTAAATATTATTTACCATATAGTGTGTTCCTTCCTTTGACTAATTCGATAAATTTGCGTCATTCATAATATCTATACAGCAACTTCCTTCCTCACTTACGATCAGTATGTAAGATGTAATTATTAAATCTCACATACTGATAATTTCAGTGCGGGAGTATAATTTTATATTTAATCTGGTAGTGCATTAATATTAGTAACAATTTGTGACTCGCAAATCATTTCTTCTTGAGGTATTGCATTTTGTTGTATTGTTGTGTTGACTTATATAGAAAAATGTATGAAAAATGCTAAATTCACTGCTTTAGATACATATGCACTGAAGAAATTTGTTTATTACGTAGATAAAATTCGTTATTTATCTCACTATTACTATTGCTCATGTTTTTTAATGCGTCCTGTGTAATTTCATTGGAATAGTGAGCGTATGTACCTACTTATCTCACTTTACGTAAATTATAATATACAACATGTAGAATATGTATTAAAGTTGCATATGTAGGTATGTACGAAGTACAGTTAGTAACAGCCATGTGAACGCTCCCACCTGCACCTGGATCAATCCATTTATCAATTTCACTCAAAACAATTACCTCCCAAATGGAGGTAATGGATTGGTGATCTTTCCGATTAGGGGCCGTCCATAAATTACGTAACCCCCCTCCCCCCTCGTAACGGCATCGTAACGCTTCTCGACTACCCCCCTCCCCCTTCGTAACGTAACGTAAATTTGATTTCACCGCAGGTAATTTCTTTAACAGTAACAGTAACAGTAACAGTCTTGCAAAATTTTCATTTGTTCCAGGTTGTGTAGACAAATGTCGCTTTTATTGCTTCTATTTCTTTTAAATTGCTAGATAAATTAGAATTTTGTGAATTTCTTGTTCAAGAACAACGAAATCATATTCGACAAGAAATGGAAATTGTAAATCTTACAGGTCTCTCAACGTTTACCAAGACTCACAATGGAACCTTTTGTCAAGTTGCACCCGGAAAACTATCGTACGACCATTAATAGATGAGTACAATTCTTGACAACCATCATGCCTCCTAAGTGACCTGGTTGGGGCTCAGGTGATCGGCAAATTCCGATCAAATTCTCATCTTAAAGGTAAGGCTCAATTAATCGTGAAACTTACGTCACACCATCGCCCTCCGAGGTCACTGTGGAGGAATGATGGTTTACAAGTAGGCAAGAATTTTGCTCTTCTTTTAATGTGAGCACCATAATGAAAAACGTATTTACATGCGTACACTGAAACCTGTTACGTAACAAATTTGTTATACCCCCCCTCCCCCTACATAACAATTCGTAACGCTCTTCCCATGACCCCCCCTCCCCCCCTCTTGCGTTACGTAATTTATGGACGGCCCCTTACGAGGTTGCAAATTTCAAAGTTGAAATTGAACCCATAATCAGGACCAGATTTGCCCAGTTTCATTCCAACCTTCAAACCATCACGTCTCTCCCTCGTTTACAATGGAAATTGCGAAATTTCCAACACTGGTTGAAAGTAGTTTTTATATACATTTCTACGTATGTCATATACGGTATATGCATAATTATCAACCTGAGCGTGTGTACGTAATGACGTGCTTGCATACATACATACGCGCATATGTGCATATTAACAAATATTTTGCCATAAAGTGATACTTTTATGAGAGAAAATTTTCTATTGAGTTTCAATCAGATGTGGTTATTCATATATGCGTATCATATAAATACATATAAATTCATGTACTTATTTAAACACGTGTTGTGAATTGTGAAAATTAATACTGATGTACTTATCTATGAAGGTATCTGAGAGTAAGTATTAAAAATAAGTATGTACAATTTACAATAAAGAATATGCAAAATGTATGTAGACATGTATGTAATATAAGTGCACTTGCACTCATTAATTGATTATGCATGTTCGTTATAGTTTATTTACTTTTTTAAATTAGTCTTTTTTACATATTTACTTAATTCGTTCCAATCATGTCTTTCCATGTTTTTTCATGGCCAACGATAAGGATTCCTCATATGTCGGTGGAGCACAATAAGTTTCTTCCATTACCAAAATACAGTCACAATTTCCACGCTTCCCATTAGAATTTGCGAGCATAAAGGAATCATAATCTGGAAGTTGAGTCCCCTGCGAGGCGATGACGCTGACTTGAGCGCTATTTTTATGCTCACGTATTTCTTCTTCTGAGCTAGTAACTCCAAAATTTGAAGTTTCCTTTGGATCATTTCCCTTAATCCAGACAACCCACTATGTCAAATAAATAATCAATTTAGTACTTTGACATAAGTAATTGTGTAAATAATTAAATGATTTTTATAGTTATTACATTGATATAGAGTGCGAAACAAATAATGAAAGCAAGGGCGGATGCACAAACTATGAAGGTAAGTTCCACCATGATAAATTACTTTGTTAGGCGTTTGAATTAAATATTTTAGGTCCGCACAGCTGGCTAGACTGAAGTCGAGTAAATATCATTAACCGTCTAAAACGTATTGTGTGATAAGTGAGAACAAGAGCATACATATATTCTCCATTTGTGGAAATAGGTACGTACACGTTTCGGGTAAATAAGTCCAGATATATAGATACGCGTGGAGATAAGCGTTCATCATGTACATATGTAGATATGTATGTATGTATGCATAAATTTCCAATTACTTATTAGATATGTCGTGGTGGTTATCGGTTAATATATGTATATCTGGATCATTTTATTAATCGCATGGACCCGAAACTAATTTTTTGCAGACTACACAAGTGTGTGACACTTTTAACTTTGTAATTTGGACATTTTGAACTTTGTGATTAATATCTCAAATATAAAGTGAATGGATTTCTGTGTCGAACTCATTTTTCGCCAAGTTATCACGATTTTTACGAACCGCGATCAAGTTGGAGTGACCGATTTCACAGCTGTATGTTCATAAATACTCTTCATTAATTCTCCGGTATTAATGGATGACGACAAAGTTTAAGTGCTTACTCAAAGTGCACACGTATGTGATTAACAGGGTTAGAAGGACCGTTAATTTGTTTTCATAAATGGACTGAGAAACTTGAATTAAATTTCTTTCGCGAAAAGTGATAAACTTGCTATCTTATAATGGGATAGTCTATTATTAGATTTAAAATGCATGACAATTTAAATCTATGTACTTAATTGCATGATACAAGTGTCAGCTTCATTGTTTAACTCGAGTTGCATGCGATAAAGTAAACAAGCTTTGTATTTATGATTATGCGATCATTCATTTGACAAGAGAAATTAATTATTTCATCCTCGCTATAATTATTAATGACAACAGCGGTCAGACTTATTAACTAAAATGGTTTAGCATAAAATAAATGTGCATCATTTTCGACAATGCCCATGGCAATTATTATATCATCAGTCTTATCCGACATTAGTTAAAGGACAGACAAATACATCCATAATTGCTAACATAAATTCGGTATAAGTGCAACTCTAATCAATACCAGTTACATAAAGCTTGGAATGAGGTGTCATATCTGCATATACTGATTATTGTCTATAAACAATGTAAAAATGTACCAAATTGTACCCGCACAAATAAGTAAATAGTACTTACTGAATAATGTATCATGGGGGGTGACACCTTCGTAAGCCACTGAATTTGATTCATTTATCAATGTCACCTTCAAAACAATGCTCACAAACCGTAATCATTTACGATTACAAGGCTCCAAGCTAAAATTAAACCGAATATCCAGGCCAGATTTTTGGCCAGTTTCACTCCAGCCCTCAAACAAACCCATCTCTCCCAATGAAACATATCCTCCTTCTCGTCCTGGTGACCCAGGTCACTTTCTGCCTCTCAGGCAGGGTTGACCCTCTTCTTCAACAATCCGTGAAATCTGGCCATGTCACTGAAGCCATTCTCCAACTGCCACAAATTATCCAGCAAGTCAAGTCCTCTCCGGTCCTTGCATCCCTCACCGGCGATGCCCGTGTATCCACCCTCATCACCATGCTGAAAGGATTAACGTCCGCCGCCCAGGCCCCATATTTACCGCAACTTGAAGCCCTAGGTTTAACATATGAGCAATATTGGGCGTCAAACATCATCCTGGTCAAAGGTCTGACGCCAGAAGCCTTATTCTATCTGGGCGATCTGGGAGGTGATTATGAACTCCGAGTACAAAAAACTGTCTCAATCTCCCCCGCCACCAAAGTCCATGAAGAGATCGTCCCTTCCCACAAGCAGGGGATCATTCAATGGGGCGTGAATCAAATCCGGGCCCCTGCAGCATGGAACGTTACTCGCGGTGAGGGCACAGTCGCCTGCGTCATCGATACGGGTGTCCATTTACCACATATCGCGCTTTCGTCAAATTACGCGGGCGGATGGGCGGACCCCTACTATTCCACGATGGGGCCGACGGACAATCATGGACATGGAACTCACTGCATGGGAACTATCCTCGGTATCGTGAATGGCGTCGGTGTTGCCCCTGGCGCCCAGTGGATCGCGTGTCGAGGCCTGGACAATGAAGGATCCGGTACCGAAGCGGCACTAACGACGTGCGCTCAATTCGTTTTGACGAATGATCCTCGTCCAAACGTCGTGAGCTGCTCGTGGGGCGGGGGAAGTGATGACGGATGGTATGGAAGTCAAGTCGCTGCGTGGCGTTTGGCCAATATCATACCGGTTTTCGCCATCGGAAATTCTGGGGCAGCGTGCAGAACGGGAAATTCTCCGGGGGATCAACCCGACCTGATTGGCGTGGGAGCGACGACTACGCTGGACGCCATGGCAACGTTTTCTTCCCGAGGTGCGGCCGGTCCAATGGGAATGTTGAAACCGGATTTTTCTGCTCCTGGAGAGAACATCTTGTCGTGTGGGACGGCGATTAATAATTATGTCACGATGAGTGGGACCTCCATGGCGACCCCGCACGTGTAAATGGCAAATTTTTGTTAGACATATTTTAATTTATACTCAGATAAAAAATTTGCATGATTAATTTGTATTTTTATAGTGCTGGAGCGATTTGTCTGATTTTATCTGCGAACAGCTCAATGACATATGACGAAGTTTACGACCTGTTGGGAGAGTCCGCGGCGAGACCGTATGTTACTCCGGCCGATAAGAATTGTGGTCTGTATGGGGGTGATTATCCGAATAATGCGTTCGGTAAGTGGGGAAAATTTTCAAGTTAAAAGAATGGTTTGTAATAAGGTTTGTATTTGTATATTTGTTGTTATTTTTAGGTTGGGGACGAATTGATGTGGGACGAGCCCTTGGTAAATAATCATTGTCGGCATGACATGATGTACATATTTTAAAATTTGATGAATGGAAACCCGAATTCGTTTAATTAATTTAAAACTGAACTCGAATGTAATCCAATTTTAAAGCGTAGAAAATTTAAAATGATTAAATAAATTTGAATCAATAAACTTGAAAATTTGAAATGTACTCTCCTCTATTTGTTATTAGCTATGCATAAATCTATATTAATAACAATGTCTTGTTTTACTGAGGTATGATTAACTATGCACGAAAATTTATCGCCTATACATGATGACAAAAAGAATGCATCAAACAAAAAGAATAGCACACATCACAGTCATGCTTTAATGAAAATAATACATAATTATAATGAAAATAACCAGTTATTTTTTACCATTTCAATATATATGTACATACATCATCCATCTGCCGATCAACCACTTTTACCCTCCGCAGTACATACATATGTACATATACATCCGCACATATATCAAGAGATGAAAAATGTCCACGCTTCGATTTCTATTTCATAAAACGCTAAATAGCAACTAAACTACTTTCTAATATCGTATAACAACTTTGACATGTCTGTGCATTCACGTGGTGATACTGAGGTGACACTTCAATTGACAAGTTCAAGATGAAGTTGACACGTTATTTATACTCTCTTTTCGTATTTCTTTCCTATCAGGGTAAAATAGTTGTAAATTGTTGGCTACAATTTCAAGAATCTGTCCCACAAATTTCCAAAAATAACTGTGGCTTCGATGTAAACAATATATGTGGTGATCAGCTATTACTTGATGTAGACGAACGAGCCAAGTTAGGCCAAGCCTTAGAGGATGAACCGTTCTCAAAATTCAGGGAACAATCCCGGATTAGAAATTTATCCGATGGTTTCGAAAGCTACAGTGGATTTCTCACCGTGAATAAAAAATATAATTCTAACCTGTTCTTCTGGTTTGTCCCGGCCGCGGTAACACTATATTTATAAATTTCCGATTTTTTAAAGAATTTTCCTTAAAAGCGGTACATACATAAAACTATTCAGGTCAAGCCGGAAACAGCGCCGGTAATTTTATGGTTAAACGGAGGTCCCGGGACGTCTTCTTTGTTCGGACTTTTTGTCGAACATGGTCCACTATTAGTTGGCAAGGGTGGAATCTTGCAAAACAGGGAGTACGCCTGGACAAGGACGCACTCCATAATTTACATGGACTCTCCAGTCGGGACAGGTGACGCGTTATGTTTAAAGTTTGTCAATTTTTGTCACCATTTGAAGGTTAAGTTTGAATTCTGAAGGGTTCAGCTTCACCGACGATTCAAAAGGATACGGAAAAAATCAAGGGGACATCAGTCAAAATTTGTACACCGCGATGCGGCTGTTTTATCAAATATTTCCAGAATTTTTGCAAAGAGATTTTTACATAGCGGGAGAATCTTATGCAGGTGAGGACTACATAAAAAACTTAAGCAATTGACTGAAATAGAGGTCAACACCGACAAATTTTGGGGCGACGGCGTGGCAAATTTTTGTGATTTTTCCGCGGTGTCCTAATGTTGAAGGAATAGAAAATCTAAGATATTCCTAGGCGGCGTCGACGACGTGCAAACTGCTATCGGCGGGCTTACGATCGGCGGTGTTGACCTCTGATACAAAATTCGCATATCTAATAAAAATTGTTTTAATGATTTTAAGGGAAATACATTCCATCCTTGGGAGTAAAAATTCATGCGGAGAACATCGGAAAGAAGAAGGCTGATAAAATAAGGTTGAAAGGCGTAATGATTGGGTCTGGATATTTCGACCCTTACACGCAAAACGAATATGGAGATTTTCTCTACAATCTGGGGCTAATTGATGGTGCGCAGAGGGATATTTTTCTCCAGGAGGAGGCTACTGTTAAGGATTTAATTGAAGGGGAGGAGTGGGTTGAGGCGACAGCGGTAACCCATTTTCTCTTAGAAATATTTCTAAGTACAATATTTTAATTGGAAATTTTTGTAGTCCTATGCTTTAGGGAAAATTGAATCTATATATATTTGAAGATAGGGCAGCAATATTTACGAAAAGATATTATTTTTGAAAACCAGTAGACATAAAAAATTCTGAAATTGAAATTTTTTAGTATCTGCTTATAAAAGCTGGAGAACACTAAATAATGTGATTTGTTACGATTCTGATTTCCAGGCTGTGGAAAGATTAATTGTTGGCGATGGTGAGATTGAATCCCACTTTCAAAACATGACCGGTTTCACGGACTACTTCAACATGTTACAACCCGTCAGAAGAAAGGAAACTGGAAATTATATCGATTTCGTTAATAATATCGACGTTCGGCGAGCTATTCACGTAGGAAATCAGCCATTTACGAGAAGGTGGGAATAATTCATATTAAAAAATTGTCAATTTTTTAAAGTCGAATACTGAAAAAAATTATGCTTTACTCATTTTAGTATCGACATGTTGGACAGCATGCGGGAGGATATTAGCAAATCTGTGAAACCGTCGGTAGAAACGTTGCTTCAGGAAAATTATCGCGTCCTTTTCTACGCCTCCCAGTTGGACGTTGTCGTTCCCCAAACGGGCATTCAGAAGTTCATATCCACGCTGGATTGGGCAGGGAGTGACGCCATGGAAAATGCACCTCGTCGAGTATGGCTTGTCAACGGCATGATAGCAGGATACACGAAATTTGCGAGAAATTTCGCCTTCGTCTTACTTCGAAGTGCCGGTCATCTCGCGGCTGTTGATCAACCGATTGTTATGTATGATTTGATGCATAGATTTACTAGGGGTCTTCCGTTTTGAGGAATTATATATGTAAATTATTGTAATCATTGGTGTGTATTAAATAAGGTTCCATGATTTAAAATTATCAGTTTATGCACGGTGAAAGTAAGCAAGGAAAGTATTTATTTAACAAAAATTAGTATTCCTTCACAGTAAAAGATATAAATTATGCGTAGTTCAAATGCATACTTACTTAAATTTTAATTAAACATTTACCTATAAGAGATAATTTAAACAGAAATACAAATTTCTCTATTAACACTGTAACAAAATATGATGCTGATTATGTCTAAATTGAGATTTTGTTTGCAATTTGTTTTAAGCGTTTCAAAGAATTAGTTGCTCTCCATGTGCATGGTACTTTAAATTTTCCCGCCTTCTTGAACCACCCATAAATCTTACAAGCATACCTATTTGTCTTCTCAACTTCTCCACAAAATACAACCAAACCAATCAAACATCCCGCCAACGTATACACTAGAACGTACCCCACCGCCCCACCCAACCCCAGCCGTAGCACCCCACTTGGTGCCTCTCTCTCCCCATAAAGTTGCGACCTGTACATATTTCTCACCTTGTTGATCCATCTGGGAGAAAGTGACGTTTAAAAGGAGAGCAAGGATTTGCCACTGGATGTATTTTGGGACACATTTTTTCTCTAGGATGAAATTTTTAGCACAGTTTTGAGTCAGTGGATTTTTTTGGTAGTCTTCTAAAGTGATTGGGAGATGGGCTAGGGCTGTGATTAGGGCGGGAGACTTGAATCCGTTAGAAACTAGGCGCACGTGGGTGGAACTGATGGATTTTGTGGTGATTTTTATAGGGTGAAATCTTTCCTTAGGTGGGCATGTGTAGCACATGAGGGAGTTGTAATTTAGTCCCAGGATAACCATGGGGTTGCGAAATGGGAGGCTGTAAGAATTTCTTAGATTATGTAGAAACTGAAAAAGATTATTTGTTAACGGGTAAAGTAGGACAATGGAATTTTTATCTGGAAAATATAGTTTTTCGAGGATATGAGTATGTGTGGCTTGAGTTAAAATGATGGATAATGAATTTGCAGCGCAGTGAAGAATTTTCCGCGTTATAAATAATTTGGTTAAACTGCCTTCTTCATGGTCGCCAATTGTTGTGAGAGAATTTGATGCAGTTGCAGAGTTGGATATGGAAATTGAAATCGTGTGAGTAAAAACTAGCTTGATGAATTTTGTAGAATCAATTATACCGTTTACGTGATAATCTTCATGGAAAATCAGTATATTTGCTGAGCAAAAAGTACTGATTTGCGAAGAATCAAGACTTGACTGTATAATCTGTCTCAGGTAACTGGACTCAGTTTCTAGTTGCAAAGATAATGTGAATGGTAACAAAATTGTGGATATTATTATATTTTCAAATTTCATTATGAATGATAGATTTGTAGGAAAAGGTTAACAGTAAATAATAACAGAAGCATTTATTTGTTAGTATAAACACTAGCCTTGAATTCATTTCCGAATTAAACCAGTTACCCCGATGACATTAATAAATACGTACATACTTTACAAATATCTACTAAATTGCGATGTAATTTTTTACAGATTGCTATCTAGGTTTTAACAAAAATTTGGGTACATAACCGTACCCAGCCAAGGATTTAGTCTAGATTACATTATTCGAATATCGTATCAGATGTATCATCACATGTATTTGCATGTAGTTCTCGTTTACATAACGGTGTACAAAATTATACGTTTGGACTTTGGATAAATTCTTTATCTGAAAACAATCTTTAATCTTTGTAACTTTTCATGAGAAAGGTTGCCTTGCATGGATACAAATATAAACATCTGAATTACTGTATTTTTAATGGAAAACAGAAGTGTATGTAATGGGCATACACATTTATAAAATTATTGTGTGTGGTGCCATAATGCCGCTAAATGATGACACTTATCGATGGTTTTGAGCATGAAGGCTTCTTTACATATGCTTTCTGGAATTTTAAAATCAATTGCTAAAAATATCAGTTGAACTATTCCTTCATGCAAAAAAGGCGATACCGATCAAACTTTTTTGGACAAGCGTTGTATACATGTATCACACTGTGTCATAACCTTTTGTTTTTAAAGTAACAATTGTTAAATTATATATAGCACGGCACATTTAAATAGAATGTCATATGAGCGTAAGTAATGTTTTATGTACATATTTGGCATAGCCTGTACATAGCCCTACATATCTGTATATCTGTCTAGCAAATGAAATATTTATTAATTATTTAAAGGATATGGATTTAAATATTTTTCTTCATGTAGATAATCAACAAAGGAATTAACTCTAGTCCCTCTTACGCAATTACGTCATCTACCCCGTCCGAATTGATTTATTTTATCGTTTATACTCATTAATTTGACATCGGCGATCGATCATATTGTTTCCATATGCATATTTCTACATGCATGTATGAAGGGTTCGGAAAAAGTTTCCCAACTTTCTCATGCAAAAAAGGAAAGCTTATTTCTCAAAACGTTGAGACGCGAGGAACTTAATTTTTTCTTAGCATTTGGTCTTTCCATCATCTATGTACATATGTTGACCACGTCGTATCTTCTCTTCAACGAATAAAATAAAAATATTCCAAGGTTGAATTTGATTACACATGTGTACTGCCAGCAACAAACGGAACGAGAATTGTTAAACATTGATCGGGTGTAGAATGGGCAATTATTAAGTAGATGGGAGCTACTTTATGTGAAGATTATACCCATTAATTAGTATCCGTTGGTCATTTTTTTATTTACCCAAATTTTTGTGAGCGACGTCACGTCATAGATGGGCGTGTCCAGTGGCTGGCAAATTTTTTTGAATCTGAGGTGTCCGTGGTATACATACGAGTATGTATGTATATACATACTATGCTGCTATCAATTTGTGCTGATAAATCTACCGCCACTTTATTAAATCTGTTTGCTTCCCAAAATAAGCTTTAGAGTTTTGAGTATATAATTCCGTGGTTGCCTAGATATAAATATTTAAATAAGAGCTTACTCAACATTGCAGTAATTTTTTAGCTCGTAATGTACGGTATACGTCAGCTTTATTTTTTATACCCGTGGCCCAAAAACACAATAAATAAATCATACGTTCACCTATTAAATGTTGCAAATGTCAAACTATATAAAAGGCTATGTAGTTTCGCATAACCCAGTCGGAGCAAAAACACACATTAATAATTACTAAAAATAATTGGGAATGACTTTGACAATTTTGAATATTAAATTGCAACCCGTGTCGAACTTTACCATATTAAACAGTTTCCTTGTCCTTAAAAACCCTGTCAAGATAAACATGAAGATCTTAAAATTCATAAAATCTGTGAAGCATAATCCACCATCCTTACGAATATACGATGCACTTCAACACTTCGCTATATTTAGTGAAGCTCAATATTTTCAATATTTCACGTGGGATCGGTCGTCATGGAAACCATATCCAACCAGAAAGCAAAACCTGATCCCGTGGTACTTTATGTCCTTGGTTATCATCCTGGCCACAATTTCATACACTTTAATCGTATTCAAGGAAATCCTTTCGTATCAAAAAGATCCGGAAATTACACTCATTCCGATTCTCATGTTTCTCCTGCACGTTGTTGTTTACGGTTTCGATGTGGTTGTGATTGTTACGCTTATCTCCAAAGTGCAGGAACTCTGCTTCGTTTTGGGAAATCTGCAAAATATGAAGGATTGCATGAATGGGGGTGATGGTAAGACGTTAAATTTTGTATTCTAAATATTTTCTAGCACTGTATTGAATACGGCACGACTCCGAAGTCTGAAGGTTTGAGACTATAGTTTAACTCTGATTATCATAAGCAGTTACATACGATTATATGTACTGATTATGTGCAGATTATATGTACTGATACAAACTAATTGTAAGGGTGACTTTCTGCCAAGTTTCGCAATACGTTACTTAATATACAAATTGCATAATTCAAAATCGCGCATACTTAATATTGCATAATCGAAGTAATCGCTATAACCTTCGGTATACGTAAAATTATGTTTATATGTATTAAAGCACACTTATCCAAATAGAAATTCATGTTAATCCACAATGTGCATTAACATAGTTAATATGTAACCTGGCAAAATTTTGCCTCTTTTAATTTTGTTTAACGACTTCTTTTTAATTTATCCAGGGGATGAAGAACCCAAACTAATCGGATTACTACTTCACGCCATGATTCCAGCTCCAATTGCGACAACTTTTGTTTTTTGCAGCGTTCCACTTATTCTTCCACACGTCGATCCAACCTACTTTCTTTTTCGAAATATATCTTCACTTTCATCAATTCCGATTCTATTTTGCAGACTGTTTATCATATCAATTTCAACATTACACGGCTCTGTACTAATCTATACTTGCATCATATACGGAACTAATATCTACTTGATGTTTCACATTTCTTTGAAGTCAATGATAAATCAGAAACTTTTTGAAGATGTTAAATACCAAGAGGAAAATGGTACAAGTACAATTACCGACTTCAAAATTTTAATCCGAGTTTCAAAATTTGGCCTAAAATTTGGAAGAATTCCCTCCTTCGCTAGAAATTTGCTAAAGTATCGGCAACTTCAAGTCATGATTACAATCCTGAATCAGATCGCTTTCGTGATTCTGCCATTTTCAATGATGGTCTTGCTCGTCTGCTGTGTCGCGTGTGGATACATGTTGATCAAACTGACGGGATCGGTGCCATTTCCGATCACTCTGCTGTCAATGTTTGTCATATGCTTGTTCGTCACGTTGGTCCATTTCATGGTTCCGTTAATGGTCGAAGTAACAGTCAGATCGAACGATTTTATCAGACTTTGGAAACTTCGCAGGGTTTCGGCGTACAGGAGGAAGCAATTGGAGAGTTTTCGACTGATTAGGATATCAATTGGACCATTCGGCTATGTAACGAAGGGATTGAAGATACTGTGTTTTTCGTTAGCATTGTACCATACTGTGTCAATGGTTGTTTTACTTTAAGCTGGACATGTATGTGCATAAATGGTGCAAGGGTGTGTGCTGCAGAATAATTAAATAATGTAGTATCCAAATAAGTTAGGCTTTCTTTCAATTTTTATTACGACATTTTATCTAGTTTAAAAAAGTGCTTGAAGAGTTCTGGTTGTGATCGATAGCTAAATTGCTCAGTATATATTCAGTTTTATGTATGTACATATGTACAAGACATGTCTTAATGTTTCAATTTTTTTACTTACCAATATCTTTATGATTTTAAAATACGAATATATAAATAGTTATACAGCTAACCACGCCATTGCCATTCTACTATTTACATACTCAAAAATGATGTACACATGCCCAAATATATATTTTGTCCTACGTAAAATATATGTGATACGATAACGTGTGTGTAACTATAATATGACAATAATAAATTTTATCGTTGGAGATAAACCGTCCGGATATTTGTAAAAGTTTTAATAATTTGTGATTTTACGGCGAATATTATGTAAATTATAGGATATTCCTCGAACGCTTAATTCGAAATTATAAATACATTTATTTCAGTGCAAGATTTTGAACTTTGATTTTATTCCAAATATTGAGTAGTTAGTTTCAGGAAATTTACTTATTTATTGAGGATCCCCTTTGACAACGTATAATTCCAAAAGTTTTTTAGTGGATGGAAACGTCCGCACAATTTCTGTAGTATTGGTTTGACCCCTCCCCAAACCAAGACCATTGCAAAACACACCTGTCGCACGTTAGTCCTAAAAATAATGAGAATAATAATTATTTTCCAAATCTTATTCCTTTGTTTAACCGCATGAATTTATATACAAACCTGGAGGAAGGATGACGCTCGTTCGAAGATTCTGGTTACCTCCGATGTCCTCTCGGGTACCACCGGATGCAAAGGTCAGCAAATATTGGTTAAAACACGTTTCACTCTCTTGACCTGTCACGCTGTAAGGACAGATTCTGAACTCATGCCAACCATTGTGGTTAACAGCGATGAAAACTTCGATTGGCACGGTCTGTAAAAAAATCATAAAATTCATAAAATTCAGGGAGGGGATTACATAGTAACGATTTTAAGAGAAACGGTACACACCTGGCCAACGGTATAATTTCTGGTGATAATTCCTCGCTCGTATTCACCTGTTTTTTTAGAAATTAATTTTTAAATGCATACATATGAATTTTAAAATCGAAATTTAGCATACCTCCAATTTCATGCTTTCTCGGTCTTGGGTCCAAAAGACTGTCACCGCAAAGTCCACAAGCCCCAACGTACGGGTCAGTCACCTAAATACATAGGTAAATAAATTATAAATTTCTTAAAAAATCATCAATTAAAATAATATCATTAAATTATGTATTTTTAAAAATAAACTACGCACGTCTCGCCCACCACAGAGGAGTTCCTGATCATCAGCTTGATGTCCAGGATTCGCCCAAGCGTATTCTGGCAGCCTCCAAAGCGAGCCTCTCTGTGGGGGATCGACGACACGGCCGTGACCTGCAACCTGCTGACCGGCCAAAACGGTCAAGGAAAGTACGATAAGTATTAATTTCATTTTTTTCAAAATTTCCGAATTTCTCTCGAACTAAATATGTAAATATTTATATGTCTATCTGAACGATTAGCAAACACAACTGTATCCAGGATCAGACTATCCTTCAAATTTATACGAATGTGAAGTGTCGGGCGCAGAAAGAGGCAGCTTATCTATCACTAATTAATTCGTGCACCTACTTGAGCGGCTTGTCATCCATGTGGAAATAGGCATCCACAACGCATGATTAATTGGCACTTATTTAATATCTTTCCTAATTTTACTACGCAGTGTATTTGATGAGCTCATTGTGTGTGTATTTCGAGTCATTCTTGTAGATTGTAATCGTTCCAAAATTAATTAATCTAATAGATCACATCACATGACAATGGGATGCTTCGCTGGAATGTGATTCCCAAACGGGACATGCTACACAGCCAATTGTTTTGAATATGGGACCATTGAGGTGCAAGCATCATGCCGCAATCACATGATAGATAAGCCCGGAGTTGATTGACAATTTCAATTGAAAATGTAGCAATTAGTTATGATTGGATCATGTGGGGGCTTGTTTGTCTAAGTTTTACACAGTGATGATAAAATGGTAAATAGTGTATAAATACTTGTGGTCAAGTTGCACCTCACGCAGTCAAAAGACAGAACGACACATCCTAAATTTTTGTACAGCAGCAAGATTTATTTACATTGCAAAATGTTCAAGTTATCATTCGCCGTGCTTGTTGGCATTGTCCTCTCTGCCAATTCAGCGTCTCTTCCAGGATCATCATTGACGAAGTATGTTGGCCCCAAAGCTTCCCAGGGACCACTGGCTTTGTCAGGATTTACTGATTGTGGTAATTAAAAATGATACGATAATTAATAATAATAAGGAGAAAATAAGTAATTATTACTTTTATTTAATCTGTAGGAGTTGCCACTCTTGTTGATGTCACCTTGTCGGGATGTGCATCCGCCCCATGCACATTGAATGCTGGAAGCTCATACACGCTTGATGTCACGTTTAGACCACGTATGTAAAATAATTTAATTCGATGTATTATTTATTTTTGAAGAACTTTATTATGTTACGATTTCTAAGTTCAGAATAATATGACTAAAAAAGTCGTTACGAACATAATTTAAAACATGAATTGTATAATGTAGGGGACTTCCACTGGGACATGTCACATAGGGCCATCCTTTTGAGGGACACTCAACTCCTAGAACTTTCTGACGGACCAATTCCTGACAGCACGATTGATCCTGCACAAGTTTACGTCTTTTCGTACACATTCAACGCGGCATCATCTCACATGGGGGTACGATGAGACATTTTGATAGTAAATACATATGCAGTACGAACTAATATGTTTTTGTACTTGCAGCAAGGCGAATTCCGACTGAAAACTTACCAAAATTACGTGCACGAACTCTGCTTGGTCATCCCAATCAATATCGTTTAGGAATGTTAAGCTCCTCTCGGTTGGACTTCAGAAATACAAACGAAATCTTTCATTTCTCAAAATTTAGTATGTAATAAAATTGTGAGCATCGTAGAAGGACGAACCATTTTTTTCTTATTTAAGTGAAATAATTATGCTTGCAAGTCGAAGCTTGGACTAAAGCCACTTGCCACATGAGCAAAATTAGTTTTTATAAAATAAAAACGTTATATTTTTCATAAGCTAAGACATATATACATATGTTCATAAATATGCATTTATTTCATACTCTTCGTTCTTTATAGTTGAGCCTTGAAATCATTACATATACTGAGGATGAGGGTATTCATTATTTTTTCGTATCCTTAGTATTTTTCGTATCGTAAAATAACTTACGATGCTTACGAGATTTTGTAAGCGTCGTAAGATTTTCTCATCGAAAATCACGTTACTACGCTTACGATTTTTACGAAACCTGAACCCTTGTTTTATCTTCGTAAACTATTTTACGATACTAAGGATACAAAAAAATAACGAATACCCTCACTATTTACTATCCGTACATATAACGGCGATACATACGTACATACATAGATATATGTATGCTGACAAACATATTAAATAAACAGTGATATGTAAATATGAAGAAGGCATTCGGTTTTAAATTTTCCACTAGTAATTTACACCCACACACATATGTACATAGGCTGAAATTGAAGAAATGCTATACGGAAAACTACCCACTACAGGATGTGGATAGCTTTTGCACGAAATCCTGTTGACCAAGTTTTCTATTGCTTTAAAGTGTTTGCATGTATGTACTTCTTATGTAGTTCGCGATAAAATATAAATATTGATCAATAAAAAAACACTAGTTTGAAACACTTATCTTATCCAAGGTCATATCGATCCGATCGTTGTTATGGTAACTGTGCCCATACAAATCAAAATTAAAACAGTTCTGACACGAAGGAGCGTCTCTTATGTATCATTCCAACAGATAACGCACAACTTCTTTGCTTGGCGTCATGCTTGCCACTTTTAATTTTCTGGCCCTTCTTGTGGGGTCAGCCGGCGCTGCAAAACTGAGCAACCAAGTAATCGCCAAGACCAAGGAAGAGCTTGACTACATTACGAAGGACAACTCAAAATGCGAAGGTACATACATATTTTAAAGTTGGATTAAAAAATGAAATTGCATCAATTTTAAATTTCCCTCATCAGTTTGCAGGGTCGTTACGAACAAGCTCGGGGATCAATTTATCGAAACGGGTCGCCACTACCAGGTAATTGAAAAAGGGTACAATTTTGAACTAAGAGACGCTGCACCTCAATTGGACTACGGTAAGAGCCAGCTCCGCCTAATCGAATCAACGGAACGAACATGTCTCCAACTGTTCCACGCTCACATGGAATATGAGAAAAAGCTAAATGACACCAAGAGGGCGTACAGATACGAAGAGATTCAGCTTTTCAAGGGAAAATGCGACCAGGTAAGTATACCGATTATTTTAATAAACAATAAAAGTGGGTAGCGTCAAATTAAGTAAGTTTTTTTTATTTTTCATCAGTTTGTGGAACGGTGGGAAGATGAGATTGAGGTGTGGTACTTGGAGCATGAAGGGTCCGGGATGTCCTTGCAGGACTACTTGTGCAGGGGAGTGGTGTTAAAGCAAAGGAACAGCCAGACATGCTTGGGGCCAAGAAAGAAGGTGAAGACGGTTGGACGCAAGAGACCGGACGTTGTGGAGTATGATCCAAGTCCTGGACAAAGTTTGGAGGAAGATGAGCTAATTAATTAGGAAAACAACTAAGGAAAACATTTACATATATTGATATATAATTAAATATATGTACACATCTGCGTATATACATGATTTCATGCTTAGCTAGCTGCGGCTATTCATAATTGGCTTGCCCGTTAGGTATGTACATATTCTTTAACATTATAATTGTTCTCAGATTCTTGTACATACCTATGTGTACGGTACACACAAACCTATCTATGTATTCCTACGTGGCTTATCGAATTGTTTGGCAAATAGTTTTCTTAAATTATGTGTAAATCATATTTTTATCAAATGCGAAGCTAAGCATAGCATAGCATGTTACACATTCATTGCTACATATATGTACAATCATAAGTAATTAAGCAAATGTAGATCACCTGTACATTAACTATTTCACTATATGACACTTAAAATAAATACATAAATCTTGAATATTTAGACAAGTACATACATCCAATTTTATTAATTATGAATCCCAAATCAAATCCATCACAAATGTGCATGAAAAAAGGTGTTGGACACTGATGTATAAGTATGTACATTCATACATACATATGTATGTATATCATGCATGCGTTTCTGTATAAGAACATATTCCTTTGTCTCATATTTACGCCATGGAAGTTTAATTCCCCATCACCCTTCCTGAAAAAACTAACATTAATCAATATTGGCCACACAAGACGAACACATGCATATCCCCGATTACTAGCAATTATGCAATTGAATTAAGAAAAGAACAATAGCAAATCCACGCTTTTAAGCTGACGTGTATATTTGTCGTCCTTCCCCCTTCTTTTCTGGTTTAGCTTCATTTCATTCCCCATATCCTTCCGTTTCACTTCCCCACAAACTTATGTATACTAATTTCTCTGCAAAATGATTAATTTCTGGATAACTAGCATTTTCATCATAATAAGTTTTTTGATCCAAATTACTTCATCTCGTCACGAATGCTTTCCATCCGCTATCGTCAACCTGGTGCAAGATTGGAACACGTTGCACATCTTTGTGGAATTTGACTCCACTTTGCTAGCCGAGGGGAAGGAATTTATCTCGGAAAACTGTTGGAATCCAGTCCTGGAGAATTATTTGATTGAAATTGAGGAATTGCGAAGGTAAATTAAGCATGATTGATTTACTTTTGAAATACATACAACTTCAATTTTGAAATAATTGAAGGTTGGGAAATTCCGTATCCGTGGATATTTCTCGGAAACATGTGAATATCAGCAAATTTCTTGGAAAATCGACTGCTATCTTGTACCCAATGCCTTCGAGGGATGCTGAAAAAATTGCGGGATCGATTAGGAAATTGCTAACTCGCTTAAAATCTAAAAAGCTAGACCCTGTTTATCTGTTTATCCATCTCGAAATGGTTATCGCGGATCATGAAACATTTGCCAGAACGTTGGGGCCAATTGGGCTGAGATTTTTGGGACAAATATTCTTCATATCGCATGGACGCGTATATCTTGCCTGCTCCTCGTGGGATGGAAGTATCAGCGTGATTCCTCTCTTTGATAAGAACTTAAAGAATAAATATGACGAGGACGAAATCTGGGAGTTGTGGATTAATCACAACCATCGTCGAGAAGAAACTGCGTGAATATAGAAATTCCAAATTGAAATTTTCTAGAGATTATTAAATAACGATACCGTTTTTGAACAAAAATAGTTTGTAATAACTATTTGAAGTGAAATCATTCTTGTTTTTCGATTTCTAAAATTTTCCCTGAAGATGATACAATTGTAGTATCGAAAGCTCGGAATAAAAATATATATCTGCATTAAAACAATCATGTCGTCCGATAACTCTAATTCTAATTGTTAAATAAGTAGTTTATGATATATGTAATAATGAATTGTATTATGTGATCTTTATTACAAACGTGCATAAATTTTTTTTAATAGTCATACTATAGATGCATTTATGAAAATTGGTATTTTTACATTTTACATATATACTTACCTTAGGAGAAACCACGGACAACAAATGTTTATGCACCCTGGTAAAGCATGTATTTTCATGCATAAATAACAGAATTAGACTCATCAACTATCGACCCATTGCCATTCATGCCTAACAATTGAATTATTTGTTAATTTATTTAATTTATGAAGTTCTCAGACTTTGCTTGATCATCATTTGAGAAAAAATCCTGTCGAAAATAAGTATTTGTTTCTTTTTAGGAAAAAATTAAATTATTCGTCTATTTAAATAAATATGTATGTCGCTTCTTCTAACCTATGCGTACGTACTTAATGATACTAATCTTAAATGCTGAACTTGATTTGTACCAATTTTCTTCTTTGTGCATACATTGACAAAGTTAATCACGCTACCAAAAAAATCTATTGTCGACAGTTTTCGCAATAATTCTTAACTGATTTTGAGGAACATTTACGTCGCAGAGTTTGTCTCCTGCCGGTGGATTGTCGAGAAACTGGATGCTATTTTTTCCATGTTGAAAATAGAACATTGTCACATTTGTGGATCGTTCCACTCCGAGAAATTGTCTGAATTTCTTGTAAGCATATTTGATGCCCCGAGACGCTTTGTGTCCCGTGTTCCTGCCCGATCGGGTCTGACAGTAAAGTCGCAGCGTGAGGAAATAAATTATCTCCAGTATGCTGAGAACGCTGAACCCCATGCAAAGTCCGAGAAGACCACCAGTGTTGGCTAAGCACGAAATAAATTATTTGAATAATGCCTAAACTAATTGTTGTGGATTAAGTTAACGTTCTTATTTAACGTCTTACAAACTAAGTCGATGAAACCGTACAGCTCTTTTCTCTGCCTCGGGTGGGTATTATCCGCCATATAATGGACGTGAAGGATGGACACGTTTTTACCAACCCTGTCAAGAACAGAAGAAATTATTCGCATATAATAGCATTTTCATTACAAGTAGGTATCATTAACATGGAAGCAAAGTTTGCATGTTTGCCAAAAATTTGACGTGATTTTCGAACGTTCGCATTTCAGTTTTTAAGTAATTATCAAAATTTCAAGAAAATATCAATATTGCGATTTGAATTTGGAAACTCATAATGGAAAATTGCGAACTAACCATGACGCATTTGTCCTGTTTGTGTACTCCCACAGAGGAATGTCCCCCCGAATGGGCATGAAGCTAGTTCGCATTTTGAATTCGATATCTGTGCAACTGGGGAGACACATTTTGCATCTTCCTTGCAATCCCTCTTGTAAAATGTCCCCTGTAACGTGTAACAAAACAAGTCGTTTGTATTTCTAACATGATAAACTATTTACGCCATAATGACACCAAATAATTTTTTTTTAAATCGATGATTACATAGCTAACGAATTTTTGCCAAACTGAAAACATTATGCAAATTTTTGCAAACAAGCTCAGCGGCAAACCAGATAAAATATGTACTTCAAATTAAGTCATTTAAATTTTCTATCATTCATTACGTTTATGTATCAAATAGTAAACCCGGATGAGGAAAATTAATTTTGCATGGATTTTCAGAATGATTACTTACTAAGAATTGTCTCAGTACAATTGTATTTTTTAACTCCACAAATATATTCTTCTTCGCTCCCTGTTGGAAGATAGAAAAATATTAAAATATTTAATATTCTAATATTAAAATGGGGCCTTAAATAAAAGTTAGTTGCAAGAAAATTACTCGGCATGTAGTAGCGAATGCATTTACACTCGTTATACGTTATGTTTGCAATGCATTCGTTTTCACAGTTGGACATTGTGTAGTATTTATAGTACTTGAGGGAAAATTCTTGGCCGAAGTAACAGTTACGATTTTCCTGCAACAAAATTAGATTGGTGTTAGTTAATATCACCAGCATAATTCACGATTAAAAATGTAGTTAAGATCAAATTTTATGATGCACTATGTACATAACGCCATGCTTACAAGTGGAAAATCTTGAATCTCACTTCCAGCCGTGACAACGTCAGGTTCGATTTTTAGATAGGTCTCAGTATTCGGTTTAATGGGGACTCCTTTATCAGCCACGTTCGGAAAATCGAAAGGAAGATGAGCCAATGCCTGGAAATTTCTAAATCTATTATCTAATTACCAGCAACTATGTAAAAAATACACAATTAACCTTACCATGAATCCAACGGAATCAGTATTCGTGCAGAAATAACTTTCCTCGTCCGGATTCAGCAGGACTGACAGTCCCCGTTGTTTTCCCAGGTCGGCGTTGCCTGTGCGGGAATTTCGGTCGTGTTCCGAACCTTTGTACGTATTCATTTTCAAATGATCCCTCCTCTTCTAGAATCATGTTGTCCGTATCCAAGTTTAGTGACTTCCAGTCTTCAATTCTGGTAGGGTCGTCTCGAGAATCATTTCTTTTAAACAAAATATCCAAATAGCCAAAGGATATATTGAAATTAGTTTGACAATCTTACCTCAAATTCATCAACAAAGACATCGGAGCCATATTAAAGACACAGCAGTAGCCAAAATCAGTCTCAATTTCATCAAACAAATCGCTGCAATTCATAACATCGCCTCCCCACATGCAGAGAAGGATCATCTCGTCACATTTTTGAGTAACCTATTTATTTGGAAAACATTCTTTATCCTGAATTAAATTGAAATAAATTTCGAGTTTTACATCTCTTAAAAGGTGAACAATACGCTGACCAGCTTTTGTCCCAAACGATATATTTCTATCCGTTTTAAATTTAACGACGTGGTCAATAAGATCTTTTCGCACAGCGCCGCCTTCGAGGGAAAGGTTGAAGGAATCGGTGAATGTCATGGTTGACTCACAAATATGATTTAAAAAATAAAGATCATGATTTGCTTCACGATTTGTTGGATTATCAATAACCAGTCTGCAGAATAGTGAATATTTAATATGAATGCATTTCATGCAATTAAAATTAATTTACATATTTTTACTGACTTTTCGTACTCCTCGGCCTTCGATTTCTGCACATTGTTCGTGTTGCAGATCGTGATTGCAGGAAATGGCAAGAGATTAATTCTGGTATCTTTTGGTTGGAATACTGTGATTACTGGGGTGAGGCGGTACTTGTCCCAGATTTGGAAGATCAAAACGGTAGCAAATCCGACCGACACGAGAAACGCGATAATCCAAAAGATTCTGCACAAAATGAAGAAAATTAATTGGATATGCACATATTTATGTAACTACAATTGAATATTTACCTTTCCACCAAGTGACGCTTAGGCTGTCCAATAAATCGTAGACCGTGTAAACTGCTGTCCATGCAGTACTGTGAGGTCGGTTCCCACCAGTCCAAGTCTTTCAGAAATACCCCATCTGTTACTTTGAGGTCAAGCTGGTGTGACTTTGAGTTCAGTATGGTCATCATTGTTGCAGTTTTAATCACAGTCTTTTTCAATGAAATTAAATGTGCATACCCGTAGTCGAAGTTCTCAACTAAAGTCGGGCATTGTGGGTTATCGAGTATAACTGGAATCTATGTACACGTGCCAAAAATAATTTCAGTCGCAATTTTTAATGCAATAATTCACTGGAACGAAACTCATAACCACAGAACGAAATGGATGACCACCTTTAATAAAAGATTCATAATTGTTGTTCTCTAACAGTTCGATAAATTTCTTTCTTAGCTTCTAGGTTACTGGGCTACGTATGTATGTAGGTATGTGCATATGTACATGCATGCATACGTCACGTTAACCTACATAGGTACTTATTTATGGAAGTGGTCATATTTAGATAAATACGTTTTGACAGTATACTTATCATCGGTAATTAATTTGTTCTTCAGCAGGATTTTTGAGAAAAACATGCACCAATATGTCAATTTTTACTATATGCTGCAATTATATTTTGCCTACGCTATACACATAAATACATTTACATACATTTAAGTCATTTATCCATATGTATATGTAAATACATATATCACAGAGTTTGTATGGGTAATGTTTACACCGCACAGTTTACGTTGTTAAAGCTTACAAAAACCTATCAGTACAGCTTTGCTTAGCCCGAACCAGGAATGATTAGTAAACCCATGTTTGTCAGTAGTTTTCTATGAAATTATGTGCTATTTTGCACTAATTCTTCCAGCAATCCTTCGTATTACTAGGCTCCAAATTCTAAAAATATTTACTATCCCTTCCCTTGACTACTTCCTAGTGGAGGTCGTCTCTATAGCCCCCCTGGTTAATTTTTGTTCATATTTAACTTCATGTTACTTCGTGAAAAAGCAGTATGGATCTCAGGTCCAAATTTCAGCTTTCTATGTTAATTTCTGAAAATCGGTGGGGGTCACCCCATAGGGTCCCTCTGGATGAAAATTTTACCAATTTCACTTCATATTCTTCCATTACGGACCATTAGCAGCCTCTATGCCAAATTTCAGCTCGATTGGATGATTTTGAAAAATCGGTATGGGTCACCCCCTCGGGTACCTCGGGTTGACAAATTTTCCAATTTCACTTCATATTCTTTCATTAGGAGCCATTAGCAACCTGTGTACCAAATTTGAGCTTTCTATGACGATTTTGAAATTTTGGTGCATTATACCCCACCCACTCCGATGACCCCCACCGGTCAACCACTGGACCAATGTCACCCATCTTCGAACTCGTTTCCTAACTTTGTCCAATATGCATATAGTAAAAATTTCAAGTCAATCGGTCAACTCGTTCGAGAGTTATCGAAAGACAGACGGACAGACAGACAGACGGACATGACAATTACATAAGCCCTGGTTCGGGCTAAAAAGTAAGTCAAAAACTGACTGCACAAGAGTCGTAAATTTAAAAATCCTAACATAACAGAAATTCGAAACCATAACCCCGGACAGAGTGCACCTATGTATGTATATAATTAAATGCACACATGTAAATTACTCATTGTAAGTAGGCCAGAACCTCATGATACACATAGATACATGCCTACATATGTAGATATTTGTATATGTATGTAAGTGCCCATTCTTTATTTCATTTGGCCTTAGTTTTTCGTGGGATTATCCGATTGATTTCTTCACAAATCTCACGAGAAAATACAAATATTTCACAACCTTGCAGAAGCTAAATTTCATTCGTACTCTTTATAATCACCAACCAAGTGACACATGTTGCATGACAAATTTTGCACACTTCGTGGTTAAAAATATCGGTTGACTATAACATTCAACTATGTGCGATCGCATCCATATGTACAAGATGATGGAAACACATATTTTTGATCGTGTCGACACGGAAGTGTCGACAATGTGGGCATGTCGACATTGTTCAATTACGCCGAAATTCAAAACCTGATGCCTTTGAATGGGGGAAGAGTGGGTCTACCGTTTTAGCAGGGGATGAATCTTGAGAATGTGTGTCATCTTATCCCCCAAACAGCTAAGCTCTATCGATCCACCTAGCGAAGTTATAAGCGGTTGAAAAGGGCCGAAAAGGGGGGTTTTGCAAGTGTCGCCATACTGCGCCCGGCATTGTGGTAGACCAAATGCTTTCAAATTTGGAATGTAAGCTACACACACATAGACCTACAGTCTCAGCCACAGTATAATGTCAAAGGTCAAGCGGGGGGCCACTTCGCCCCCCAGGGGGTGTGGCCCAACGAAATTTCACTGAGGGTCATTCCAACCCTCAGGATAGAAGAGCATATACAAATTTTTGCAAAAAAATGTCTGGAGAATTTCCGGAATTGCCCCCATAAGGCCGCCGCACTGTGGCACATGAAGAAATCGACCTGGGTACGTGCATATTTACTTTCACCGCCCAATATGTGTGTGGGTGTGGGTGTTTAATATCGCAAATATGGGTAGGTTTCTGGTTGGCTCATCACCATACGTCGGATATGAATGAAAAATGACTTTTTCCATTTATTGATCTACAGTCGCCAAACTTTCTGAGAATGTTTATGGTCACTAGTAGGTCACGTAGGTCAAAGCATATTTTCTCATATTAGTCATATTTTCGGGTGTTAGGACATATTCATATTCCCGATCATATTTCGGGTTTTTTTTCGTTCATTTTGGGTTACTCCAGGAGTTATGGTAATGTACCTGATGTCGAAAATCGATTTTTGTGTATTCCTTCAAGTATGTGTTAGAGGACCTTAAAATATGAACGAAAATCATTTTCCCCGAATTTTTGAGGTTTCAATAGGGCTGATAAGAGGGGGTGTGGCTTCCGTTGAGATACCACCTTTACGCAGCCGCTATTGCACGCAGGGGCTCCAAATTTCACACATAGCTACTAGAGGCCATTAGAATTGCGGGTCTTTTTATCTTTTGTTGAAATTAGGTCACTGTGACCTTTTTTAGGTCAAAATGTGCATTATGTCAAATTTTTCTGCAGATCGTCTCTCATAGCCCCATAAATGGGGCATCATTAGAAAGGTCTCGGCAAGAGGAGTCAGAATATATTTACTTCGTGGGGTCAGGGACCACCCCCTGTTATTTTAGAACAGAAGAATGAGAATTTTCTATCTCTCCAGATTTTAACACTGCAGCAGATAGGGGAGCTAACATAGAAATAGATGGGCAAAACTCGAAAATATTGTTCTGCCTCTGGAACACCAGGGAGTGGTCCCAGACCCCACAAAGTATATATATTCTTAATCCTCTTTCCGAGACCTTTCCAACCATACCCCATTTATGGGGTTATCTAAGACGTCTGTTTTTCAGACAAATATGCTGCGGATTTTGACCTAAAAACGGTCAACTTGACCTAATTTCAAAAAAAGAAAAAAAGACCCGCAATTGTATTGGCCTATGGTAGCTTTATGTGAAATTTGAAGCCCCTGAGTGCAATAGCGGCTGCAAAAAGGTGGTATCTCAACGGAAACCACACCCCCTCCTACCAGCCCCATTCAGACTTTATAAATTCCGGGAAAATGATTTTTCTGCATATTTTAAGGTCCTCTAACACACAGTTGAAGGATTTCAAAAAAATCGATTTTCGACATCAGGTCCATTACCATAACTCATGGAGTAACCCTTTTATCATTTTTGGCCAAATTCTAAGATTTGGCAACCAAATCGACGGAAAATGACAAAAAATTCAGTTTTCTCACAATTATTCATTGTGAGAAACTTTCAGAAATTTACGTTCACTTTCGCCTAAGGTGATTTAATTCATTGGGAATGAATTAAAGCACCCCAGAATTTGTTTAATTGATAAAAATTTAGCATTACAAGAAAATATATCAAAAAATTAAGCCAAAAATTTGAAAAATAAAGTCATTTTTATGGTCATATTTTGGGGATTTTTACGGTCATTTTTTGAGGTTTTATCATTCATTCATATCCGACGTCTGCTCATGAGGTACGCTCGTGAAGTACGTATGCAAGTGAGGGACATTCAGGTATCTATTTCTATCCACGTGTTTAGATACATAAGTCGAATGACACGCAAACTGCAATGAAAATTAAAAACATGTACATATTTATTTGTATTTGTGTGGTGTACACACGTATCGATGCTATTTGTCATGCAGTTGAGTCAAATACATAATATGCATAAATATATAACATATGCATACATATATATTGCCTTAAAATCAATAGGTACATATATGCGTTCATATGTATGCAGGCTGCATACCTTATATTATATTTATACAGTTTTGGCAGTTCACGATTAACGTACCTAACTTAATTAATACCCTTATTCAGTTACTTACTGTTCTAAGATTGATTACATAAATTTCTACATAATACCATTATCGCTGATTAATATGCTTAAATTCGTTCTCAAATAGTTGTATCCATTCTTCCTTCAATTTGTTATCCTTCCCTTTGTACTTTATTTTTGTCCATAATTTTGATATGAATTCCTTGCCTTTTAAGCAAAAATAAACTAATATGCCCCTAACCCTAGCATAATCTTCTCTCAAATAAATAATTATTGCCACACACAAAAGCGCAGCATGCACAATGAACAATAATCCAATTGATTCAGACAATTTAAGTTTCCTAAACTGCTGGCATCCTTCGCCACAATCTTCTTCAAACCTCTCCTTGTTCAGACGTCTCACAAAATGCGTCCATCTCATATTCAAATACCAACTCCAAATCCAACTTTCCAAATGCCAGACAAAAATCCTACGAAATTCGGTAGAAACCAGCAACGGACCATAGAGTTGCAAACGAACCGATACTGACATCAAAGCCTGCTCAGTCACGAAACAGGAAACCTTATCCGTTCGAATTTTTACCTCAGTCTTGTCCAACTTGGTAAAAATTTCGTCCTGAATGGGAATGTGTCCTTTGTCTTTTGCGAGTCTGTTAAACCATGCGTATTTTAAAGTGTCATCAAAAACATTGATTTCCTTGTCAATATAGATATCATCTGGGGTTAACGGTCTCCCCATAGTTTTATTGTAGTACTTTCCCACTAAAAATTCTACAAAGGGGAAATTCGATCGATCTGGGATAACCATTTTATACCCCGCGTCTTCTAATTCTTTCAAAGTTTCGTACATGAGAATATTCAGTGGTGCTGTCAGCGAGGTGGTTGTAAAAGATTCATAATGATAGGAAAGAAACGAAATAAAGATTAATGTGGGAAACGTGAAAAACCCGAAATTCTCGATTTTTCTTATCGGGACGTAGATGAAGTAGAAAATGACGTCAAACGATACCCAAAATGAACGGCGCACAAGGCCAAACAAAATTACTGATGTTATCAAAAGGAACCAGATTTCCCAGTCGAACGGAGTGACGAACCAAGTCCACGTGGGTGCAGTGAAAGTCTTTTCCTCAACACAGTAAAGTGAATGCATCGTCCGCTGCAAACCGCCGGCAAGGAGGGCGTGGTCATAGTCCGAGATGTTGTCGACGGCGCCCATCTCCAGCGTTCCTAAGCAGATGAGGAGCGCGGCCCAGGAAGAGTCGTCGTATGGAGAGCACGCAGGAACGACTGAAATAGATTAGACATGTATTTGCATAAAATATGAATTTTGTACTAAATCGCTAAAGTAAAATTACGCTTCGAAATCATAAGCGCAGCCATGAGAGGGTGGGCATTCTATACAAATATGTATATGAAATTCCCGCCCTGTTATGAGTGCTATGTTCCAAATTCACTCTTCTAGATATATCAAATTGCGCCACTATTTTAGTTTATGATGTATAGTGAAAGTAATGCACTAAAGGATACATAAATAATTAGGAAAATGTAGGTAATCAGTTTTTCGAAGAGGTTTATTTTCTATTATTTTGCTTATGTTAATTTTGTCGTATTGTTCAGCAACAGAAAAAAATCTGAACAGTTTCCTGGTAGGCATATTATTTTCCCAAAACCGAATAAATTCTCAGAAAATTTTCCAATGAATTTAGAGTCTCAATTTGAAACTATTAATATTTGCTTACTGTTCAGCCAATTACTTTAAACTATATACTTTCGACTTCAGAGCAAACATCGCATGAAATGCTTACCTTCTATCTTCGAAATATTGACTTTCTCCATAGCAAGTTGTAGCATCACTAATAACGAATTCTCACATTTTGGCTCAGAACCAAAATATTTCTCACATTGTGTCAGCCTCGGGTTTTCTTCAAACTCTTCGGGAGTTGGGATTCTTTCGGCCACCTGAAAAAGCTGTAAGACTCCGTCATGCCCATTAGAATTTAATTCTACGTGAAGACGAAGTAGGGTGACCGGATCACTATTCAATTCAACCCTCGAAAACCGTCTACTTTCATGACACGTGTAGCACAAAATGTGTCCCGATGTCAAGGTAATCATGTCACCGTCTGTCGCCTCAGATGATACCCCCAAGAAAACTAAAGGACACATAAATCTTGGTTCTGGAATCAAGTTCTGATCGTGAAAAGCATTTAAGAAATATTGCAAATGTCCTGCCCCCACCAGACCGTAGAACAGAACTCTGAAACTAGAATCCGTTCCATATCCGGTGCGTGTAATCAGGTAATGAAGACTTTCTAACGTTTCGGAAGGCAGCAGAATGAACAGTTTGTTGTTTGGCGAAAATTTTCTCATCGTTCGGAAATAAAATAATTCTCGCTCGGCCAGGAATGATTCAAGAGTTTCCGTACAAAAAGAAAAATAGGATTGTACTGTTTTGACATGGTCAAGCTGAAAGTTAGAAATAACGTATGATTCCAACTTCCTTATGGGGGAACAACTTCGGAAATTTAGTTCATAGTTGCGTGGTAAATGTGAAATCAAGTCTGCCCAGCTAAATTGGGTGTATGAAGACAACGACGATGATGTTATCAGTAGTAGAAGAATTTGTATTGTTGATAAGGTCATGACAGATGCGGTATTCATTTTTTTTGCAAACATATTTGATCTGTTCTATGGATAAAATATTTTCTATGTGATAGTATCTGTAAAAACTATTGGAAAATGATCTGTTATTCGTCTTGATGTCTGATCGGAAATAAAATGTCATATATGATATTGTCTGTTTTGGCAAATGATAATTATATGTGTACGCATTTGGAGGAAACGACTATTTGGTTTTTGCTACATAGATACATAATTATTTTTCTATATATTAGAAGCCAAGTCCTTCCATACATAAATATTGGGATATTTAGTAAATACACTGCTGTTCTGACATTTCGTGACCGGACCCGTTGGATTATTTTTTATGTGTAATGTGTCAACCTCGTTATTTTCTGCCAATATTAACGAGGATATTTAAATAGCATGAAAATTTTTCGGAATAAAATAGCAATAATGAGATATAAATATTTAGTTGATGATACGTACATATATAAATACATACATACTTAAGCTAATGGTAAGTATTTTACTAGTTCCTATGCATACTACAACATTCTTCATGCCTATAATTTTGTTTCATATGTAAATACATGGAAGGCAGTAATTTACGTTCTAAAAGCTACAGGAAATTGAAATTAAATTAATCCTTTAACGTCATTGGATATCAGATTATAAATCTGGTTTGCATCCGGGACGATGTGCACAAATCTATGGCTATTTAATTTTTCCTTTCTGCATACCAGATGAACTGACATGATTTTCAAATATTTAAAAAATTTGGTTATTATTGAAGTTTGAAGAGTCAAAACTCCAATAATTATGAAAACTTCTCTATAATACATAAATTAGTTTTAAATTGAGTTTATTTATTTTTTTAGTCGCTCAACTCGCGCAGAATGACCATGCATATGTACATGCATATTACATTTGCATTTACAAATACGTTTACATATATACGTAGATAACAAGACGTTGATAAATGAAAACTGAAGAGTATTACGCAATTGTTCGAAGGAATATCTTTATTTCATCCCTGCCTTGAGAAATTGCGTAATGTGGATATATGTACACAATTTATAGATAATCTTAACGTAGGTAAATAATCCTCAGGGATTTATTTATGAAATTTATACAGAAATTTTTATGTGATCTCTCATCCCGTAAATTTCAGACTCCGTGAAGACTTGGAAAAGCCCAAACAAGACGGAATCTGTTATGTCGAAGTATTCTTCCAAGTTTTTGTCCAGTGGAAAATATTTGACAATAATCTCCTTCAATTTCATGTAGTCGTTGATATTATTCCTGTAAATCAGAAACGGTTTCGACATAAATTACATGAACTATTGGCATGACGTTGAAAATATTTGACAAAAAAGAGCTCACTTAAGAATGCTGATTTCCTCTTCCAGTGCAACCTGTAGTTCCACTCCCCTCTTCACCTTGTACATGACGTTGCCATTTTCTTCGCCAATTCGAATATCCTTTTGTAGTCCTAAAATATCATTAAAGGCTCCAGAAATTTCGTCAACTGTGGCAAGAAATCGGCGGAAAATTGGATTTTCTGTCACTTTCCTGGGAACGATTGCGTCTCGTATGACCGCCATTACGTTCACCATGTGAGCTATTGTCCCGTCCTAAAAAATGTAAGAAGGAAATTTTCAAATTTCTAAATTTCCAAAATTATGTAAATACTTCAATTTCATTTATTAGGGTTTTGGCTCACCGACGAGCGAAGGTATCGATGCGTGTTTGCCGAACATTCCTCAATATCTCCACTTTTAAACAATAGTCCTGCCAGTGCAGATTCTAAAACCTTGTTAAAGAAAAACGCTTGCTTTCGAGAATTTCCTCGAGCTCCAAAAATACAGGCGGAGTCGTTTGTTAGCTCAAAAGCTGCACCGACAAGCATTGCGGCAAATTTGTTGCCATGAATTTCTTTCATTTTGAAGATTTTTTGATGAACTTCCTCGTCTACGAGGAAAAATGTGTATGTTAAAAATTGCAATTTACATAAGTATGAGTGTAAAGATTTTGTATGTATAAGTTTTTAAACAAAACTTACCCATGTAATCGAGATCTCTTTCATATACGTCATCCATTAAGGACTTGAAGACTTCGAAACCGTCTCTTAAATCATTAAAATCGTAGTCATAAAATAGTTGGGTGTCATCAACAAAGAAGTCGATTAGGAGGGCGACGGATATTGCCCTAACCAAGGGGTAAAATTGATCTGAATCCGGTGAGATTTGAGGACAGCAATATTTGACGTAAGAGACGGAATGCGACGTGATTTTTGAAGCAGTTCCTTTCTTCATGACGACGGGGAATTGATTTTCCAGCCAGGCCGAGACTTTTTTGATTACAGACTCCGTCTGCGTTAGGAGAACGTCTTGTTCTGTGGAATACATAATTTAGAAATTATTGTAATCAAAGTTACTTCCTTTGAGAAAATTCGCTTGAATGAATGTTTGTACATAGTATTTATAACATCTTTGAACGTATTTACACAATTTTTCTGTAAATATATATATGTACATGATTTTCTAAATTACATACGAAATAAAATCTTCTCGCGATGGGGTGACAAATGTGCAAAGACAAATCTGCAAACGACAAATGTGCAAAGACATTTGTGCAAACGATAAATGTGCAACCTGACAAATGTGCAGCCCGATAAATGTGCAAACGATAAATGTGCAACCGATAAATGTGCAGGAATTTTTCCAACAAATAGTGCAATATATCTTGATATAATTTACACTTCAAATCAAATTACATCTTATCAAAAAACTAAGAATTCTGAAACATTAATTTTGTGGTGAAGCTTATGAAGCTGGAGATCATATAATGGAGATTCTATACTTATTAAATATTACTAATCATAATTATAACGGGGTTGACCCCTGTCAATTTTATAATAAAATTCCCGTGCCGAATCACTGTAATGCTAACCTTACATTTATGTAATGCTAAATTTAGCTAGTGACAATTAAACTTTAGTTAGGGACACCCCTCGGGGACAGAATTTAAAATGACAGCAAATAAGTAAATCCCGAATTATTTCATTGAAATTTAGAATTTTTATATGTACAAAATTCCAGCCTATACGATAGGCTAAAATTCACGAATTCACGAAGATGTATGTACCAGGAAATTTATGCACCATAAAAATATAATTTAGTAAAATATGAAGTTAACAATAAATTAATACTGCTCAATATAAGATCTACAGCTTCAACAGACATCATACGGGATGCCACCACAAAATTAATGTTTCAAATTTAAGTTTTTGAGGAGATGTAATTTGATTTCATGTTTAAATTATATCAAGATATATTGCACCATTTGTTGGAAAAATTCCTGCATATTTATCGGTTGCACATTTATCGTTTGCACATTTATCGGGCTGCACATTTGTCAGGTTGCACATTTATCATTTGCACAAACGTCTTTGCACATTTGTCGTTTGCACATTTGTCTTTGCACATTGGTCGGGCCACCCTTCTCGCAAAGCTACTGGGCGTACTCACAACAATCGTCGGAAATGTCTCAAGTCGAGCATACCAAGTACATATACAAATGCATATGTACCTATTTTGTAACGCGTAAGGTTCACCAAAATTTGCAAGTTTGCAAACCTTTATGCTAGAAAATTACTATGGGGTGTGTAAATTGATCTAAAAAATGGTCATGCTTTTATTTCGCAAATAATTGGACCTAAGTTTTGATACGAGAAAACACATTTCCGTGAGTACGTCCACTGTCAACATAACATCGCCTGGGTCTTTGTATTTAATAAAATTTGGTAAAATGCCAAATGCCGACACTTTACATAACTCATATTCATATATAGTTTACCGTTTTTTAGCAATGTAAAAAATATGCCGCCTGAATTTATTCAGCATTATTGGCAAAGATTTGCGGATTTTTCCAGCCCACGGACCCCAGCCCGTGGGAGTCCAGCCCACCATTTCCAGCCCGTGATTAACTCCAGCCCGCGATCTCCAGCCCACCAACTCCAGCCCTTAATTATCTCCAGCCGTAATTATTTCCAGCCCATAAATATCTCCTGCCCCAATACATAAATGAATATCAAAACGTGGTTTCGAGTATGCTTAGTCCTTGTGCCACCACACAAGCTGGAAAACCGAGTAGTCAGCAAGGGAGCCACACCCATGTACCCCTTTTTGGGTTATAGTGCAAAAAGCAATCATTATGTACATCTGGAGAGAAAATCCAATCGAGCTGAAATTTGGCAAAGCGGCTGCTGTTGACCCCTAATAAAAGAATATGAAGTGAAATTGGTAAATTTTTTGTCTACAGCGACCCTATGGGGTGACCCATACCGATTTTTAGAAATAGTAAGAAGTTAAAATTCGGCAGGGTGATAGTTAGTGGATTCTCATGAAATAATAGGAAGTCAAATATGAACAAAAAGTAACCAGAGGTACTAACGGGTGACCAACACCGATTTCTAAGAGTTTATACATTCAGCTCAAATTTAGTATGGAGTCGTAAAATAAATTGCAAATTAGAATATAGGAGGGTTAAATTTCAAAATTTTTGAAAAGAAAATTTTAAGAAACTTGAGTTTTCTAATAAATCCTGGTTCGAGCTAAGCAAAGCAACTCCAGCCGTAATTATTTCCAGCCTGGAAATAATTACGGCTGGAGATCGCGGGCTGGAGTTAATCACGGGCTGGAAATGGTGGGCTGGACTCCCACGGGCTGGGGTCCGTGGGCTGGAGTCTTCCGCACACCATTGGCAAATTTTTAATCTGCATACAAACTCACCTTCGTTTGACAAGTCCTGGAAATTTTTCCTATAAACTTTTGGAAGGAAGAAGGGTAACTCAAAGTCTAACTTTGGCACACATTCGAGACGGGCTTTAACCTTGTCACTATATTTATCAGAAACTTGTTTGATATCGATGGAAACTTGGACATTTATTGATTCCATGCTTAGCAAATCAAATTCGAACAGTTTTACAAATCGTAATCCTCGTTTCATATGAAGAGTTGAAAATGAACTGAACTGGAAATGGGCAAGTTACGCATTTTGTATTTAAAAGTTTGGCCATGATTGCGCAACTTTGCACCAAAATTTGATGCGTTGTTACATTTCCTACTTGGATGAAATTGGCATGCTGGTAATCCCTACTAGAAAATATCTGTAATTGACTTGAGTCATTACACCTGTGGGAATTAGACAAGAGAAGAAACCCATTTCAGCCCCAGTCACGAAATAATGTTGGTCATTAAGGATTTTAAAACGAAGCCGAGGCAACCCTGGGATATTTGGGAAGTAAGGAAATTTAACGTGACGTAATTCTATTGGCATGATTACTTCTTTATGTGTTGCATAAAAATGATGCAGGAATTACGGCGGAATTGAGTGAATTTAATAGTTGAATGGAATTGTGCAAACAGGAGTTGAGTCAAGTTCAAGTTTTTGTGAGACTACTATTATACTTACAGATCTTGTGCTGGACCCTCAAGATCTACACATATACATACATTGTACATGCACACATACGCATGGTTCTCATTTACATAATAGTTGTTATTTCTTTGTAATGAGTTTAGTGTCCAGCCTAAATAATGGCTGGAGATCAAATGTTTAAACACAATTTTAGACTCATAGCAGAGATAATTTTCCATCAAGAACTGCGAAATTGTGACGGATTCATCATTCCAAAAAAAATATTTGCAATGCACAGGCCAGCTGAGGTTATAAATTTGTACATATAAACAAACAAATACATATTACGTAACTTACATAACCTGTAATTCGACATATTATCTGGGTACCATAATTTTGCGATACGAGATAAATGTTGTCAATTTGGGATGGGCATTGACGTCATTGAAATTGTACACACCCACGATTTCAGCCAATCATTGCAAGCTTTAATGTAACGTTTTTCATACCGATATTTAGATACGCACATCTGCCCTGTAATTAGCAACCCATGTTGTTCGAAATTTTAGGGTATTCCCTTGATCAAGGTTCTGGATATGGTTTGATCGAAAGGATTATTTATGTTTGTAATTTTTACTTTCCAGTAAATACATATGTACATGTGCATGGGGTATCAATTATGTTCAGAAGTATTAGTGTACATACATAAATGCACATGTATATACATGTACACATATTTTTGTATTTATAATCTCAATTACTCTCCAGTTATTCGTATCGAATTAAACAAACAGTTATAAAAATTTGTTTTGTACTGGTCATGCAAATTCTTACCATTCTTTCAGTTCATTTGAAATTTTTAACTCCTTAAATCCTCATTATACAACTTGTGTCAAAACTATCTAAATAACCTAAAAGACAATACTCTAACATTTCCATATTTTGATTACGATATTTTGAAGACAAAATTGATGAAGTAGATTTCTATGTCGAAATTTGCGATCATGATGAATCATTTAAAATCTATCTCAATCCCACCACACACGTCGTTTCATGCTCTACAACGATTTTCAATCTTGAGCGAAATGGTCTATCCTCAGTACATAACTTGGAATCGGATCACGTGGGAACCTCGCCCTAATAAGAAAAGAAATCTGGCCGTCTGGTACATCTTATCCTTCTGTACGGCCCTCGTTGCTCTAAATTCCTTCTTTATGCTCTTCGAACAACTAGTTTCGTACCGGAAGGATCCAGACATTAATTTAACGTCCGGAATACTACTCGTCCTCGTATTTGCAGCTTACTCAATCTCGACCGCTGTAAGTCTGACCCTCGTCCTCCATGCAAAAGAGTTGTGCTACTTGTTCAAGTCCTTGTTGAAAATGGAAAAGATTTTGAATTTTGACCATGGTAAGATTTTTGAAATTTCCTTAATTAGTCAATTTTTCTATTCCACTCATTTTGGTTCTTCTAATTATGCGCATGCGAAACTGCTCTATTTAAAAGAACAATTGACTCTTCTTTTCATGCAGAAATTTTCAAATTGCATGAACGATGTTGGAAAAATTGTGTTTTTTGCATTTTTTTGGTCAAAATTTGTTCTCCAAATTTGTAAAAATGTATAAAATTCAACTCTCGCTATTTTAGGTAAATCGGGGCAACCTGAGTTGGACCTCGTCGGCATATTTCTTCACACCTTAATCACGCTTGTGACTTCAGCCCCTTTTGCGACCTGCCTCGTCCCAACTCTATTACACAATATTGATATAACATACTTCTGGTTTAGAAATGTGACCATGATCTCCCCATTTATAACGTTAATTTTGAGAATGCTCATAATTTTTACATTCACCTTACACATCGGCGTTGCTATGTTCGCGTTCGAAATAATCGTGACAAATTTAGTACTATTTTTTAAGCAGTGTTTGAAATCTATGACAAATCGTAGGCTTTTTATGTTTCCGAAATGTTTCTTCAAGTATCGCCAACTTGAAATAATGACGACTTTGTTGAACCAAATTTTGTCCTTTATTCTCCCAATTTCACTCCTTCTTCCGTTCGTTTGTGCCGTGGGGATGGGATATATCGTGATCAAGATGACCTTCAAGGTGCCACTTCCCATCACTTTTTTGAGCTTGTGTATTATTTCGACAGTTTTGGGCATGGCACATTTGATTATGCCTCTCATGGCAGAGTTGACGATAAGGTCGGAGGAATTTATTAGGTTTTGGGGGCTTCAGGGATACTCGAAATATCGGAAGAGACAGTTAAAGAGTTGTGGAAAGTTGAAGGTTTACATCGGACCGTTTTATTATTTGGTGAAGGGGTCGAGAACAGGTTTTCTGTCGAAGGTTTTGTACTACACGGTATCTTCGGTCATCTCGATTTAGAATATTTGATCCTTATCAATGATAAGTTCAACCTATGTAAATGTACATATATGTATATGATATGCGCATTAAAGGGAACTTGTTCATAAGAAATAAATCCATACTAATAATTTGACATCCATTTTAATGCATTCACAATAATAACCTTTTCCAATAATTACATTATAAATGCATAGACAAATTATTTAGATTGTGTCAAATATACATAGCTTTGCTATCTTTGAAATCGATAGATTCTACAATTACTAGTACATGCCTGATATATATTTTTTAAACTTTTACTTTTGCTCATAAGGAGTAAATATGTAAGTGCATGATTAATGTAATTAACGTTATTTACAAACTAAAAATTTTCTAGGACTTCCTTCCGTGTGTAGATAGTTTCTGTCTATATATATCTAAATAGTTTACCCATTCCTGGCAAGTAGGGTATTTAAATACGTAATAAGTACTTAATTTATCGCTGTGCATGTTGGAATCGTCATTATCTTCTAGAATGCCTCATTATACGTAAAAATTATAATTGACAATACCAACGGACTAAAAAGTCGTGAATACAAAATATCTATAAATTGCTGGGCAACATTTAATGTCAGGGTTTCTACTAATCATAATTATAGATATATATGTATGTACATACATATGTATGTATGCATGCATGCACGTATATATGTACTTATGAATTTGCATATACATAATACTTTACAGACGACGATGTTTTCGCAAATTTAGTCCCGAGGTCAATGACAAGGGAAGTATGACGCCACCACGTCAAACGCAATTTTTGGTAATACAGATACAAGCGTTTGTGTGTCTCACATCAGAATTACAACATTCTGTAAAAATAAAATTCACAAAATTTATGAAATTCTGTACAAAAATGTTCACCCTACCAAAGTTTTCTCTTCCATCGCACACAGAATTCGAGGCACTGAAACGTTTCGCAATATTTAGCGAATATCTGTACCCCCAATTCATCACGTGGGATAGGGCCACTTGGGAACCAAGGCCAACGCAGAGGAAAAAATTAATCCCGTGGTTCCTCTTGTCGAGCTTGGTTGCTATAATTGGATCAATTTACTTGGCCATGTTGATCAGACATATGGCGTCGGATAAGAAAGATGCGGACATTACCATCACGGTGCAGCTCCTTTTAATCTTGCGGTCGTGCTCTAATTCCGTGGCGACCACTATTATTTTCACTTTCGTTCTGAAAGTGAACGAAATGTGTTTCATGTTACGGAATTTGGAGAAAATCAAAGGTATGTATGATCAAGGTATAGACCTTTATTTACACGACTAAAGATACACAAAAACGTACTTATCAATACTGGTTTCGTGCTTCCATGTGAAAAAACATTTTTTGCGTTTGTAAACATTTATCCACATATTGCAGAAGTGAGTGGCTTATTGGTGTAATTTGTTACAAATTATTGTACTGTAATTTGAAATTAGATCCATCGAAATTATTTGCATATTGAAAAGTTGGAAAAAATGTTATCTAATTCAGTCGTAAAAAGATACTCTACATTCACCGGTGAATTTTTAATTTGTTGATGTTTTGAATTTTTGTATCGCTGGATGCGATATATCAACCTCAGTTGTAGACTTCTACTTTCAGCCTTTAAGACACCAAAGCACCGTTTTTTTACATTTTATGCAACACAAAAATTCTAAACTGTCCGAATTTTCTAGGAAATGGGTCAGCATCTTCATCATCAGTCGGACTATTTCTTCACGGACTTGTACTCGCCGTTGTGACGTCAACCATTTCTGCCAGCACGGTCCCCCTACGACGCCACAATGTTGACGGGACATACCTCTGGTTTCGCAATGTTTCATTCCTCTCAGAAAAAATGAAAGTACTTTGCCGAATACTGATCATCTTTCCTGCCACCCTGCACGGCTGCATGATGATCTTTGGCTGTGCAAATGTACTAACTAATGTGACCCTAACGCTAAACACGGTCTTAAAGAAGGGGACGATTCAAAATTCTTGGAAAAAGTTTCAAAATATTTCCAAATATATGAAAAGCTTCATAAAATATCGTCAACTTCAAGTCTTGAATAAGGTAGTAAATGAGGTTTTCTATTACATAATACCTATCGGATTAGTCCTACCCTTCTTGTGTGTCGTCGTGATGGGGTATATCGCGATTAAAATGGCCGATACGATGCCACATGCCGTAACATTTATTATGGTCTCGGTTAC